TCTCATCGCAGTACCCCTGCGGCTTCTGCGGTGGACCCGGTGTCGGCGAGAACGCGTGTGGGATCGGTATCAAGAGCGGCGCGGCGCACTCCAACTGTCCGCGCGCCTATGCTTTCATGTTGCACGCAGCGAGGAAGTTCGACGAGAAGCGCCCATGCACAAACGTTCCTGTCGTTTGCACCTTCCCGTATTGCGGACAGACGCACTGGAAGTACAACTATCACCAGCACTTCACCGACCGACATCCATCTTGGCGCGACGAGATGCCTTTGGACTCCGAACTGGCCACGGCGATTCGAATCGGAGAAGCAGAGCAGGCAGCGATGGGGATACCAAAGGCTCAGATCTGTGTGTGGCCCCCGCTTCCTGCCTCCGTAGACGGTGCCGCGCAGCGCGGGTGCGTGCCCCCGAACAGTAGTAACGACAAGGAGAACATACGCCCGCTACCTACTAATACCATGTAATTGATTGACTCAAGGGGGAAGTAGATTTACTGTATTCTTCATGTAGAGTATCACAATCTCTGTCCAGCATACAACGCGTCCTCGCCTCTTTCGACTGACCGCGGCATGGACGGTCGACCGCGTCCCGTCTCCTGCGCTGAAAAAGGAAATTCTCCATCGGGCCTAGGCTTTTGATGATCAAGCACGCGAGACTTCCATTGTAGGCGATCCAGTGATCTGCTACCTCTTGCTTCGCACGTCCTCCGGCGTCGCAGGCCGTCCGCGCACTCCAACGTTGACGCTCGTGGATTTGTGGCACGCCACCGTGACCTCGCCGGCGACGCGGTATCCTCAACAAATGCACCCGCACCCGGCTGCGCGCCGAGATGGAGCAAGTAGCATGGTGCGTGGGGGACTACACGGCGCACAATCCCCAGCCAGCCACCGGCTGGCTGCCGTGATCACTTGCGTTCGCTCCAACTACTGATAGAAGGTTCGCCCATGCGCCTTCTGAGTGACCGAAGTTGTGTTCTTCAACCACCTAAAAGCCTCTCATTTCGCAGGCAAATAACCAAGGTTCGCTTCTTGTCTATTGTATGTTCAGGCAAACTAACGTCAAGGCAGACTGCGCCGCTTGTTGCCTACCCACCGCCAGCTTCTCGGTGAATGCTTGGAAGCCTGCTTCCGGGCGCCTTGTCGACGACTCCACCGCGTCCGACACGGTCCTTTTGGTCGTCGGATCTTGTTGATCGCGCGAGGATCTACGCAGGCAGGATGAAGGAAGGCCACTCCAACCGAGCTCATCGTCTACGCACGATGACTATCGCACTCCAATCATTCTCCTCGCTCCCGAGATCCCTAGCGCGACGGCCGCCCTGCGACCGGCTGGAGTGCGCGCCACCTCGCTCGGTCTCATGTAGGCGCGATAGCACGGGGAATGGTGCCAGCCGCACTATCGAAGGCCTCAAAGGCGCTTATTTCCTATTTTTCTCGACGCCACACTCCACGGTGCGGGATCTCATTCGACATAAGGTGCGGGATCAGAATCAACGACTACGGACTGACCTCAGATAGACACGCTTTGGGGACCTCTTGAAGAGGGTATTGCTGCGGGCTCTCCCAGATGATGTATATCCGCCTTCGCACGATGTTGCGTGTCCGCCCTCGTCCTATGATGTCTGCAGGCCCTACCTCTCTCCGGCCTCCCATGATGTCTGCCTGCCTTCACGAAGCCTACTAACGGCCGCCCATCGTCGTCGGCTGGGGTCTTTGCATTGCCTGCCGGGCCTTGGGGTACTCACGGGGCTCCACTTTGCGAATGTACCTCTACCTGCCGCGAAGCCGTCGCCACTCTAGCCACTCCAATATCGCCACCCTACACACTCAAGCGATTTGACTCGAAGCGAACTGACTCGCCGCGCGCTTCTTTTCAGAGTGGCGCTTCTGCACAGTACCAAGTGGCGCGGGAGGGCGAGGCAGATGCCATTGATGATCTACGCGCATCGGCGCCCTCTTTCCTTCTTTCCTTCCTTTCTTCCAGCCCCCACATCAGGCATCGACCCTCAATCGCAACGTTGCGACCGTATGACCTGACTTTGATAGGCGCCTAATCGAAGCGTGGTCTCCAGACATTGTGTCTCTAACCCCACCTACCATGGCCTTTGTTCAGCTGGCTTGGCCGCTGGTCAGCGGACTCTCCTCCTCGATTGGGGCATTTTCCCGCCGTGGTGAACCCAATCATCCACGACGCACCACCTCGTTTTGGGGGCCGCGGCATCGACATTGCCGCTGCCTGGCACGCCGTTGACATCGGGCGCCGCGTCCGTGGGTCATGCTGAAGAACGGAGAGGCGTCAACAACGCGATATTGGCGTCATCAGAGGCTAGTGCGTGGTGCCGTCGGAATGCGTGGGGAATTCCTGGAGGGTGTGGTACGCGTGTCTTCGAGGTGTATCGTTCTTCGACCTTGCTTCCTCCATCTGGTACTTTGCAATTTAATTCTCTTCACACACACTTGGTGAAGGTCTGCGTCATGAGCGGTGACTCGTAGAGGTAAGTAATGTACATCCTTGCCGTATACCTTTCTGGACTACTACTTCAAGACAATGCCCCCCAGGTGCATTGTGGTATATGCTGCAGGACAGATTGCTTCAGAAGTTCTGAGGAGTAGTCAAGCGCCAAGAAAATGATGCACAGCTGGTGCAAGGGCGCAACTTTTGAAGCTGTCATAATCGATACCTTCGGGAGGTTGATGCTATTGATGCATATCGGGAAGTATAGCGGCTCAAAACAAAGCTTGCCGAATCCGGAATACAAAGCCTCAGCGGTTCAGCGGCCCGCACCGGTGTTTGCCGGTTGTGCACGCCCGTTTGATCGCCGTGTGACGTTCAACCGCCAGCCTCATCACACAGAGGCTCTTGCTCAGCATTTGCCATCCCAATGTGGGGAACCCTCTACGCCCAAGCATAGACCATCTTCGAGCTCATGAACACCCAGACTCTATGATCTAACCCAAGCTATTGTGCTACTACCACCGGCTGCTCTCTTCGATTCCCTGGAACACACCAAGTCGCCATGGCTTCCCAGAGCAGGCCCGAACCGATGAACGCGTCCCCGCACCACTCGAAGGTGAAGGTGTCGTTGACGATGGGGAACCGCGTGTTCGTCGCAGGCGGATCCCTCAGAGGGCAGATGGAGGTGGAATGTCGCGCGGACAAGGGTCTCGCGCTCAATGTGATGATGGTCGAGCTATTCGCAATACAGGGTGCGTCTGGCACAACGTCCATAAATTCCATAAACTGACAGCGCCTCTCAGAACTTACTTCCCGGGACCACTCCGCGACGTCTACATTCATCCACGCCAGACGACTTTTCCAAGGCCCCGGTCTACCCCCGTCCAATGCCGTACAGGCCCTCCCCGCACCAGGCGATCCCCAGTACCCCAACCACTACTACCAAGCGCGCCGCGGCATTTCCACCTTCCCCTTCCGCATCCCCGTCCCCTCCACGAGCCCCTCCTCGATCACCTTTGGATCGGGCCTCGCCAAGGTCCGCTACGAGGTCCGCGCGACCGTCGGCGTGTTCTGGAAGGGCGAGAAGCGCCTCGTGATCGACAAGACGGAGGTCGACGTCGTCGAGAGCTATGAGGAGGACTTTGCGCGCGCGGAGCCTGAGGGCGTGGTCGTGGGCGAGAACGGCAAGATCTGGGCGCAGGGTAGGGTGATCGGCGGCGTTGTGGTCGCGGGGGAAAGCGCGTGCGTCGAGCTGCAGCTCAAGAACCACTCGACGAAGAAGGTGCGATCGCGAGATCGAGCTCTGTTGGGAAGACATATGCTGACGAGATTATACACAGAACTCGGGACTAGCAATCAGCTTGTCGCGACATTTGGTGTTGCCGGAAATCTCAGGAAGCGGAAAGCCGCCACTGCAGATTGCGGACACACTCACCAGTGTGTCATTCAAGAGTGCTGACTATATTATGCCTCCCGGCGCGGAGGGCGTCGCGAGTCTCGTCTTCGACGTACCGAAGCATGCCCGAGGCGTGCGAGGGGGGCCTTACGAAGGCGGCGGGCAACTTAAGCGCCGGGAGTCCCAGGCCATCTTCGAGATCAAAACGATCCTCGAGATCAAGATCCTAATGGGTCTCACAGGGTGCGTGATACTCCTCGATCATCCTCTGTGCGTCAGATTATAATGCTCTACCTAGAAAGGATATCGTGCTCGAGATCCCGGTACCCGTGGTTCATCCTCTGGCTTTACCAGAAATGCCAGCACAGGATATGATGCCGCCACTTTCACAAGCCACTCCGTATCCCATGTTCGCATCCCCTCCACCGCCGAAACCCTACTTCGACCCGGGAGCACAGGTTCCATGGCCGGACTATCGCGCGACAAGTCCGTATGCCTCACCTACACCTTACAATCCCATCGGCTCCCCTGTCGCCTATTACGACCAAGCACAGCAACAAGTATGGCTGCCGCCGCCATCAGTTACTCCACAACCTTACCAGTACTTTTCTCCTCCGAACGCTGCTCCAACGCCGTACTGGGCCCCTCAGGCCTATCCCAATGACCCGCAACCCAGCCCGCCACCTCCACCAGTGCCTCCACGACCTTCGAGTGCCGGCGCGACGCGCCGAACGCCTGACGGGTTGCCACCCAACGTTACTGGACAGCATACGCTACTGCCTTTGGTGGCGCAGGCCCCGCCGTTGGCTGCGGCGCAGAGTAGGGAAGAGGGCAAGGGAGAGAGGGCGTCTCGAATTGCGCAGACGCTGCATCACTCGTCGAGGCATAGGTCGGTGTCGCCGCAAGCGCATCGGTACCCTGTTCCCGCTGCACCCCCGCATCAACCAATACCGCCGCACGCACTCCCGCCGCACGCGCTCCCGCCTCCTCTCCAAACTTCTCTATCCCAACCTCCTGCCGGGCTCGCCTCGCCACAATCTCCTGGCGAAGCCATCCTCCACTCGCCCCGCCCCATGCTCACACCTAAGCACTCCTTCACCAGCGACCCCAACATGCGGCCCAAATCCGAGAACGTCACCGACCTGGAAAGCATGGCGGACGAGATTAACGAGAAGGTCAATGACCTGTCGGGCGATTTGCCGAAGGGGACGTTCTCGCCGCCGCCCGTCGATCCGAGCGCGAGGTATAGGAAGCCGACGCTTGCGGCGCTGGGGGCGAGGGTGAGGATGAGTGATGTGGGGGCGAGGGCGGGGTCGAGCAATAGCGGCGCGCTGGCACCCCCAGTGCCGGCGAAGGACAAGAGGCAGAGTCTGCCTGCGGTGTCGCGGCGGACGACGGAGGATACAGCCATACCCACTGCAGCTACTGCGTCAGACGCGCAAGAGCCGCCATCCCCGCAGAAACCTCGCACACCTCCAACCCCGAATCTCACTGCAGTGCGCCCAGTGGCCAAGCGGCAGAAGAGCGCGACATATTTGGCGTCGCCGACCAGTGGTCCGAGCGGCCTGGACGCGCTGGAGGCGAAGCTGCTCGCGCAAGTGGGGACGAGGAAGGCGGATGAGGGGAAGAGGGTGCCGGACGTGCGCTCAGTGCTCAGTGAGACCGCCAGCCCCATCGAGATCCCGAAGAAGGCGTCCGAGGACGAGATGATGGACGAGAGCGCGATCTCGAGTCTGACGCTGGCGAATGAGCTTGCGGGAGACGAAAGGCCGCCGCTGCAGGATCTGGCCAGGGTTGAGCAGGATCTGGCGCGACAAGAGCAGGATCTACTCACCCACGAGCAGCTCAACCCGGAGTGGGAGGAGAAGACGCACCAGGGCGCGCGGTCGAACGGACCACAGTCGGACGGGGAGGACCTGAAGGACAAGCGGAAGGGGCGCTCCTCGCATGGGGAGAGGGGCGAGAAGAAAAAGGATCGCTCGCACCAGAAGAAGGACAAGAAATCCGGGACGAAAGAGAAGAAGTCGGTGACGAACGGGCGCGTGGCGGCGTGGCTGGGTGGTGTTGTGGACGCCGACAGGCCGTCCCCCCCGCCGACCGTAGTGACGCCCAGCCCGGCGACGCCGCTGTTCCCGCTGCCTGATCAGCCGGAGCGGAGTGCGATCGATTCGCCGGAGGTTAGCGAGATGGCGAAGGATGCTTCGCCGACCGTAGAGAGGCCTATATCTCATGTGGAGGATCCGGCGGGGGAGGCGGAGCAGCTCGAGCAGCAACAGGAACTGCCGAACCCAAGGTCGTCCGGCTTTGTTGCCATCGGCACGTACAAGCGCGAGGAGGTCACCTACCGCCGCGTCTCGCGCTTTCGCACTGCAGAGCCTGAAGCACGCAAACTCACCGATATCTGGGGCTCGGAGGACGGGCCGTCCGCAGGTGAACGACGAGAAACCTCGTCTGGTACTGCGCGGGAGATCTCGACTAGCACCCCGCGGCCCGACGGCGACAAGACACCGCGCATCACTGCTGCTCAGCCCCCATCTTACCTGCCCCCCGTCCCGCGCCTCGACCCCGAAGTCAAGTACGACATCCGCTCGGCCCGCGGCGGGCGAGGGGGCAGAGTCACCGCGGTCGCGGCGCTCTGGGCGTCGGGCGCGGTGCAGGGCGCGCAGTCAAGTGTTGTGCGAGTTACGAAGCCCGCAATTGCGAAGCCACCAGTTGAGGTGAAGCGGGCCGCCCGTCCGCCTGTGCTCGTCAAGCCCCCGAGTCTCGCTGGCCAGGCAGCAGTGACATCCTCGCATGCGGCGCCCCACTTGTCGTCAACAGCGTCGCTGGCAAGGCCGGCTTTGACTACGCCGCAGCCGCGGGTACCAGCGGCGCGGATTAGCCCCATTGTCGAAGAGACATCGACGAGCAGGGCCAATGAGGATACGTCGCCCCCCGTCGCGACTTCCCCGAGCAAGCCTGCTTTCAGCAAGACGCGGGAGTCACTGACGAACCTGTCGACCCCGAAACCGGCGCCCAGGCAATCGCTTGCCAGCGAAGGATTCGCTTTTGGGCAGGCGCGATTGCGCGAGCTCATCAAGAAGTATCAGGGTTCGTCCTCGTCGTCCAGCTCATCGTGATGTTGCACACGCACCTTGTATCGCCGTTCACGCAAATATCTATCGCATTCGGACTTCACTATCCCACCTTGCCTCCGAGTCGACTTACGCATCCATCTAACTGTCGTATACCCTACATACGTCATCTGTTCACTGATTTATTGTCGTCGACATGATTTCGCTATCATACGTATCCTGCTGTAGCCTGTAGTTGCGGTGTTCGCCAGTGTTGTTGCTGGACCTATTCGGGTATTTTATGGCCACCGCGGACTTCCGAATGGTGCACGACCTTGTCATGACCTTTACGAATAGATATGACTTCCGTGGCTTCCGGAACTCTGACAAGGCACTATCTACAGTGAAGTATGCACACACACTTCACAGCACTTGAGGGATGTGCCATTCAGGCTGCCGTCTCAAGGCAGCAATGACATCAAAGTCGAACCGTGGGAATGCTTGCCACGGACCGTAGGACCGTAAATCCGTCTTCTTCTCTACATCCTCCATCATCACCGGGACTGTGCCATGCGCTCGCCAGGCCTGCTCGCACCGTCAGACAACACGGGCCGGATGTACATGCGCGTCTGTGGGGTGCATACATCGTCACTTGACTGCTTATGCTGTTTATCGAACCGATCTGTCGGCCTACTCCTCGACCCCCAATATAGAGCTGGATGTTCCCTAGGTGTCGCAAGGCCGTACTATGTTACTTTCTTTGCATCCTGACTATGCGATCAAGTACTCCGCGAAGGTTACGACGTACAAAGGTCATTCCAGAGCTTGAGAGAGGGTGACGATCCCGTCAAGTGTTCGCATGATTATAGCTTCGAGTCGAGAAACCCCGGCCTGACCTCTCCGACTCGTTTTCATCTCTCCAGGGCCCGGTCGCGCGTACTCGGTCCAGGTGACCTTTGACGGACACATAGCTCTTCCGCTGAGCGCATAAAAGGTGGATGGGGTTGGACGGAATGTCATCGTCGAGCAACCCTCACGATGGTGCACTCGCGTCTTTTGGCTACGGCCTGCCTCTCGCTGGCTCTCCAAGCTGCGGCTCAGGTGACAGTTACCGTCAATGCGACGGCCAGTCATCCTATCCCGACGACCCTCTGTAAGTTTCGGCGTTCTTAAGCGACTATCATCAAGAAGCTGACGGGCAATGAAGGGGGTCAGATGTATGAGGTATGAACACCGCTTCATGTCCGGGCTTGCGGGAGTTGACGAATGCTCTTCCATCTCCAAAGGATATCAGCGTAAGTTTCTAATTTTCTGTCTCTTCCAACTTGCGTACTGACCTTCTCGCCAGCATGTGAGAAAGAGATGTGCTTGATTACTTTGCGATAATTCTGATCGTATTCAGAGCGGAGATGGAGGCCTCTACGCTGAACGTACGTTCTCATTCTCCGCCTATCCGGAATGACCACACTGAATTGATTTTAACTTATCCAGTGCTTCAGAACCGTGCCTTCCAGAAGGTCACACCAGGTGAATTTACCCATTTCCCACCTTTTGCCACGTAACTAACCTTTCACAGGCTCCGATGACTCGCTCACTGCCTGGGGAACCGTAGGCAACGTCAACATCTCTGTCATCGCCGACGATCAGCCGGTCTCGTCCTCGCTGCCGAACTCTCTAGAACTGGTCGTCCCCGATGGCGCGACTGGTGCAGTTGGCTTCTCGAATGAGGGTTATTGGGGTGAGCTCCCCAGCTGAGTAGTCGTACGTCGCGCTGACACCCAATCAGGCATCAAAGTCACCGAGTCCACCACCTACAACGCGTCGTTCTACTACAAGGTCCCGCAAGGATCGAACTTCAACGGCGATGCCACGATTGCGCTGCAGTCCTCTCCCGGGGACGTCCTGGCTTCCGCGACTGTTCCCATATCCGGCTCGCAGACGGAATGGACGCAGGTTGCTGCTGAGCTTACACCGTCTAGCAGTGCCGGCGACGTGAACAATGTGTTCACCGTAACGCTCGACGGCGAGGCCGCTGCGGGACTGACTATCGACTTCGCTCTGTTTTCTCTGTTCCCGCCGACGTTCAAGGATCGGCCGAATGGGTTGCGGCCGGATATTGCGCAGGCTCTGGTCGACATGGGGCCTTCGTTCTTCAGGTTGCCCGGTGGGAATAACCTTGTGAGCGACTTGTTTGGCGACGAACTCTGCAGTCCCTAATGCCATATACAGGAGGGCAACAGCATCGCGACCCGGTGGAAGTGGAACGAGACCGTCGGGAGCCTCCTCGACCGTCCTGGGTAAGCACCTTCATGTCTCCAGCCGATGAATTTACACTCATCCGCACTCGCCTGCGCAGACGTCCAGGTACCTGGGGCTACATCAACACCGAGTACGCTTCGTCTTCAGACTTTGCGTGGATCTCCACTAAGACACTTCGCAGCGGCCTCGGCATCTACGAGTACCTCCTCTGGTGCGAGGATGCGGGCATGGAGCCCATTATGGGCGTCTTCGCTGGCTACGCCCTCGACAAGACCTCCGTTCCCGAGGATCAGCTGCAGCCGTATATCCAGGAGGCTATCGACCAAGTCCACTTCGCTGTAAGCGATGCGAGTGCGAACGATGCTGGTGAGTTACTACCACCTCTATGACGAAATCGAAAGTCCTACAGCTCACGCTACTTTTAGCCGCCCTCCGCGCGTCCCTGGGCCACCCCGAGCCGTTCAACATTCGGTATATCGAGATCGGCAACGAGGTGAGAGTGCTCTGAATGAAGATGAAATAGATGCGGCGATGCTGATTGCGCTCATCTAGGACTGGATCTCCGAGCAAGCAGCTGAGACGTACGGCGCCTACCGCTGGAATGCCTATGCCACTGCGCTTAAGGCGGAGTTCCCCGATTTGCGTACGTGTTGCCTCTTTTCGCCTGATTGGCATGGTCTACCATCTGAACTTGAGCATCGGTTGACATACGTTACTCTGCAGAATTCATCGCGACCAGCCTCGTGAGCGGGCCTACCCTGGACCCCACGCCCACGTCTTACGACGTGCATGATTACCGAAGCCCTTGTAAGCTTACATTGTCATGGACATGTACGCCAAAGAAGCTGATACGACCCGTCCGCCATAGCCTGGTATCAGGAGCAAGTGTATTACTAGTAAGCCCCCGATGTTTTCGAGAAGTCATGATTCAAGCTAACGACCTTCTCAGTGACGACTTCGAGGTGTGTTTACCCAGCGATATATTTACCAGTCGTATCAAGGGTGCTAACCATGGTCCCAGAGGAACGGCACCACGTACTTCGAGGGCGAATACTCCTGCCAAACCGACCGCAACGGCGACAGGTGGGCGTATCCCAGTGTACTCTGTGAGTCTCTCGACGCGTCACACTACTTTTCCACCAAAATCATGACACTGACGTTTCATCCCAGCCGCCATCTCCGAAGGCGCCTACATGACCGGGCTCGAGCGCAACTCCGACATCGTCTTCGCGGCGGCGTACGCGCCGGTCCTTAACCACGTCAATGCGACGGATTGGGTATGCATAGACCATTTCGCTCATCTACATGTACTTACTCATCAAACTCGCAGACCCCGAACTTGATCGCATTCGAGTGAGTGCAAACCATCTATGGCTGTCTATTGGGGCCGCACCAGGACTAATCGCCTCCTCAGCGCCGGCAACGTCTACCTCTCGACCAGCTACTATGTCCAGCAGCTCTTCGCACACAATCACGGCGATGAGTACCTCCCGAGCACGCTCCCCGAGCGCAACGGCACGCTCTACTGGAGCGTCGCGCGCAACGATAGTGCGGTTATCATCAAGGTGCGCTTACCCTCTTCCCCTCTTCCCCCCTTACTCCCCTCTTTCCATAGCCCCCCAGCCTCTCCCTCCTCTCCCCCATCCTCTTCGCCCTCCTTACTCACCCTCCCCCAGGTCGCCAACCTCGCCACCACCGAAGCCTCCCTCACCTTCCAGCTGCCCTTCGACTCCGTCGCCGAGTCCGGCGTCGTCACCTACATCACGGGCTCCGAGACCGACTCCAACACGCCGGAGCAGCCGGATCTCGTCACACCGCAAACGAGCACCGTGGAGACAGGAGCCACGTTCGACTATACGGCGCCGGGGAGCAGCTTTGGGGTGTTGGTGATGGGGGTGTAGGAGAGAGGCCGAGGGGTTAGGAGAGAGGTCGAGGTGTTAGGAGAGAGGTCGGGGGTTTAGGAGAGAGGGTGGCGGATTGTAGGGAAACCAAGGACAAGGGAAGGAAAGGACTCAGCAAGGGGATGAATTGTACGACTAGTGAAAAGGAACGAATACGAAGACTCACGATATGGTTGCTGTTTGAGTTCTTTACGAACACGACGCGGGCAGCCACCGACGCCTCAAGCACGCCAGAACCCGATTCGAGCTTCTCAGTGCTGGCGGGTCAGAATGAGAACCCGCCGAGTGAGTTTCGTTATGGAAGACTTCGTAAAGGTCAATTGACTGGACTTTGCTGAGTTCAAACTGGAATTCTTGGCGACCTCCACTACATCTACCCTTCCCCTCGGCCTTCACGAGTTCACTTAGAAGCTCCCACAGTTGATCACAGCCATAAAGGGTATAGGATACAAAGATTGTTGTGTATTCCAATCAGACACAAAATCGTTCAGTGATGTTCGTAAGGTCGTACGATATCGTAAAGGAGCACGAGCTCGTACGCACTCGCCGGAAGACGCATGTACTACAAGTACAAAATAACACCGCGCGTCCTCGTCGGGACATCACCCACGTCGGGGAAGGATGGCACCCTCCTCGCAGGGATCAACCCAATGAAGGGCGTGATGAACACGTCCAACAAAGGGCATCACCAAACTCGGAAGAACACCACCCATCCCCAGCCAAGAAACCGATTACAAAAGCGACTATAGAGATACTTATCGAGAGGGAAAGCGTACGCGAGACCTAAAGGGAGCGGGCGCGAGGCCTATAGGTAATAGGGAGGGTATGCGCAGCCTCGTCCAGATAAGGGTCTTAGGGAAACCATAGGAATGAAACTGAAGTCCATGGGAAGCTAGGTGGGTAACCAGTGTGCGCTTGTGAGCAGCGCAGTGTGTACGCTGGCGCGTGGGGTGTTTGGCGCAGAGTCCTTAAGCCATGAAGGCGACGAGGGCCGCGACGGCACCGGCGACGCCGAGGGACGCGCCGTTGACGAGCGCACCGTTCTCATCGTCGCTAGACGACGCAGACGCGGACGCGCTGCTGCTCGTGCTCGTGGACGAGCGAGACGAGGTGCCCGAGGAGGTCGTCGCGCGGCTAGAGGTTACAGCGGAGGTGGCCGTCGTGGACGCGGCGCTGCTCGAGGCAGTCGTGGAGACCGCGCTCGAGGCGCTGCTCGAGTCCGAGGAAGACCCGGAGGTCGACGCCGCAGTGGTAGACGCGGCGCTCGAGGCGGACCCGCTGGAAGACGAGCCGTTCAAGCAGCTGTCATCCGCTGGGCAGGGGTCAGACTTGGCTGCGGGGCTGGGCGAAGGGCATTACTCACAGCTGTTCTGGACGGTGACGGGGGCGGACTGGACCGTCTTGCCCGTCGAGTCCTTGAGGGTGAAGCCGATAGAGGTGCCGCCCGCAATGTCGGTGTTCCAGGAGTAGGAAGAACCGTCGGAGACGTCGAACTGCTTCAGCGGCTGGCCCGAGGGGTTTTCACCCGGGAGGATGCTGAGGTAGTACGGCGCTGCGAGGCCGCATCAGCGAGACCGCACAAACACGGATGGACAGACAACGCACCCGTCGAGTCACTCGCGTCCCAGCTGATGAGGGTCGGCTGGCACTGCGTGACCGACGCCCTACACGGAAAATTTGAGATGAGGGGGCGGTCGTTCGGTGGGAACGCGGGGACTTACGGCGTGTTGATGGTGAACGCCTGGGCGAGGGCCGCGGCGGCGAGCGGGGCGTAGATGGCAGCGGACTTCATGGCTAAACTGGTCTGGAGAGCGCGGGTCGCTGGGCTTGCGGGGGAAAGGAGGAAGAGCAGCGAGGGTGCCGGGTGCCGTTCGCCTCCTTATATTGCGCCGGCGGTGCGGCATCCTCAACAGGGGCATCACGTCACGCGGTCAGCAACCACGTTATCGAATCCGCTAACCGAACCCGCGCCTCGAATCGACCAGAACATGATTGCGCTACTATATCCGACGCTAGATGCACAACGTAAATATCTGCCTGCGGACATCGCCTCCCCCCTCTCGAGGACGTACGCTACCCTCCCCCTCCCTCTACGCGACAAGACCCTTGGGCCTTGGCTCGCCTTGGTCGATCCTTGCCACCCGTCGTTTGTCCGCCCTGCTGATGCAAAGTCAAATTTGGACCCGAAGCACGTATTTCTGGAATTCTTCCGATTCTTTCCGTTTCTGGCGTCATCCTCGTCCCCCACACCCTTCCGGCACCATCTCCAGCAACCTGCACGTCCGCTCGCTCGCGCGCAATCGTCAGCCAAAAATTACACGCTGTATTTTGAGCCCTACGCGAAATGAAGACATGAACATTCCTTTCAATCAAACCCTGAGAGAACGAAAGATAGCGTAACCGTACAACCCGACATCACTTCAGCATGTGCATCGTCGAGATCAGCCCACAGTGCTCAGAACACAGCGAGCCGTCCTCGCACTTCACATTGATGCCGAACTGCTTGGGCTCGTCGACCTTGAGCCCCCTCCGTGGCTGGAAGAGGATTTTACTGTGCCGCGTCGGTGGCAAGCCATACTTGTCGAAAACGGTGGCACCAGCCGGGTCGTCGTTCCCCCGCTTCCACGCGTCCTTCAGCTTCAGATCTCTCTCCGGCTGCTTGTGGTCGTTGGCCCCCTCAGGATACATGTTCCCCGCGATGACGCCCCCATTCACGCCCTCCACCCTCAGAAACTGCGAGAGCAGCTCGAGCTGCTTCGACCTGTAATCCCTCCCAGCCGGCTGCTCGCCCTCGAGCTGCGTATTGATCACCGCGACGCGCAAGGTGCGCCTCTCCGTCGCCCCCTCCCGCACGCGCGCCCCGCGGAGCCAGATGTGCGTGATGAGCGCCGAGCGGCCCATGGCGCTGCGCCCGAAGCGGAGCACGGCGGCGGCCTCGACGGGCACGTCGCGCGAGACGAGGGTGACGTTGCCGAACTTGGCTTCCTCGGGCCACTTCTTGCGCTCGTGGGGGAGGACGCAGAAGTAGGCGCGCACCCAGGGGTGGTTCACGAGCACGCGCTCGAGCGCGGCGCCGGAGACCTCCTGCAGGCAGATGACGCAGGGGGGAGGCCTGCCGAAGGTGGTGTTGCCACGCTTGTGCGGGTTGGTTGCTGGCGGTCTGCCGTGTGTGCCGGCAGGAGGTCTACTGTGCGAGCCAGCTGATGCCTGCTGCGCGACTCGGACCTTGTACCGTGCGCGGCGCTGCTACCAGATGCATCGACAGGGCTGCTTCCGGACGAATCACTTGAGTCGCTCGGACTTGAGCCGGACGATGCGCCTGGCGAGCCTGACTCCCCGCAGCCAAGTACCTCTGCGATTTTCGCAATTGCAGTCGCGAGGCTGAGATTATGATTTCTAACCTCCTCGTCCATGCACCAGGTGATGAAGCGCACGTCCGAGGGTGGGTCGCGTGCATTGAGGGATGCCTGCGGGATGCGTCAGTCCATGGCCTGTGAACACTGATTCGGACGATGACTCGAGCGACGTGAAACGAGGCCTGCAAGCCTGTAACCGGAAGGGGAAATTTATGGCGCTCGCCACCTCCTCCCCCGTCTCCTTTCACCCCTCTCATCTTCACTCCCGTCCCCCTTGTCATCCTCCTCTTCGCCCATCGCAACATAAACAAGGAATCAACACCCCAAACTGCCCACTCACCTGCGGCAAATGCGACCACTTCCCCTTCGTCTCCCGCCACCGGCACACCTTCACGCCGTCTAACTCGCTCGGGATGACGGGCGTGATGTCCGAGTCGTCGACGGGCTTGACGTAGGGGCTGCGCCAGATGAAGGGGTTGACGTCGTCGTAAACGTTCATGAGGGACGCTGAGTTGTGTTGGTGTGGGTAGGGGCGATGGGGATGGGTACAAAGAGGTGCCCTATGGGGATGGAAGAGGTTGGAGAAGAACTTGCTGGCTGTGATGAGGAACACGGCGACGTTGGAGAGGATCAGAAAAGCAACGAGAACAATGAACAGTTCTGGCGGCAACGATGACAAGAGCAATGGCGAGAGCGAGTTAGAGGCAAGCGCGCGATTATATGGGGGAAAAACACGATTTGTGGCGATGGCGATGATTTGGAAGCGATGCGGGCGAATCGAAGGCGAGAAGGCGATGGTCGATTCAACGGCGAGAGGGCAGAAAACGTTGGGAAGGTGGAAAAGCGGTTGATAGTTCGAAGACAGGAATCGAGGCGCAGATGATTCAACGATCACGAAAAAGCGCCGGTGGGTACGCGTCGATAGCTGACGCGCTTTCAAGTATTCGATGACCGTGTAGGCTCAACGCTCAAGGCGTCGAAGGTACGACCGAGTTAAGGGATCGTCGGCCGGTCGAGGAGCTCGTCGAGGATGGGTCGGGTACCGGGCGATGGGCGAGTGGGTGTCGAAGGGGATCCCCTCCAGACGACCAGCGGGTATGTATACGGTCCTGCACCCACACACGTCAGCGATGATCTGTTTGGATAGGATAGAAGATGGGGGGTCGGAGGACCACGCCGCGCACCTAAGGTTTATGAATACGCGGCGCTCCGAAGTCTTATGGCCACGCAGCTGCCGAGGACTCTATGGGCGCGCTGTGCTCCGAAGTCTGCGAGTGTACCCGTCCGAGGATGCGATCTTGATTGTCCTCCGAGGTTGGAATGCCGTCCTCGAAAACCTATAGGCGCTCCGTCGTCCAGAAAACGATGGATGCCGGGAAACTGAAGACCTGTTCCCTCCGAGGTATATGATAGTGTATGTGACACCGCTGACCTGCGGACCTCACTCATCAGCACGCCCTCCGACGGAGGTTCTGGCCGCGCCACCTACGGATGTCTGCGCCCCTGTGCCCTGCACGCGCGAGCGCCGGTGCGTCTTCGCCGAACTCAGCGGCACCCAGAAGGCTTGAGGTACCCAAGCGATTGATTATCCGCTCCGATTGACCAACACACCGATCCGATGGACCAATACGCCGCTCCGAGGGACCCACAGACCGGTCGGCTGGGCAGGAGTTGCTCGAAGGGAGGGAGTACCGAAAAGAGGAGAGTTCTGGGGTGTGAGGGCTGGAGGGTCGTAGATGGCGTATACGGGGCGTATGAGATCTGGGATGGAACTATGAGCAAGGGGACGGATTATGAAAGTCAACTTCGCTGGCTTACCGTAGGTCGTCGAGTCGGTCGTCGTCGTCGTCGTTGTCGAGGGGAAATCGTAAGAGTCGTTGATGATAGTAGCCAGCGAAGTAAGCACGTCAGAGAATCAACAGAGCGTTATCCAGCTGTCAGCCTCCCCCGAAACGAGTCGTAAAAGAACCCGAAGCCAGGAGGTGCACCACCATCGATGCCATCGCGCGGTCGTATATAAGCACCGGGCAGGATTCGCGACCGGTTTCTAAGGTTCGCAAGCCGATTTCTGAGGTCCGCAAGTCGATCCTGCGGTCCGCGAGTCGAACACTAAGGTTCACAAGCCCTGCTGAAGGATCGGGAGCGGGACCTTGTGAAGCCCCGCAGCCGATTGTGTATGCGCACCCGCCTTCTGCGATCTGTCAGTGTACCCAGAACGGCAGCCTGCATGACGCTTTATGGCCACCAGGCGCCTTACGCCCGCAGCCAGCTCGTTACCGCAGGCGCGCAGGCGCTTGTTGGGCTCCGATGAGCGCTTGTTGTACTTAAGTTTGCCCGAGGGTATCGGTCCCGCAGCGAGCGAGGGGCTTGTCGATGGCGCTGGCGCCCACATAGCGCTGTCATGAGTGCTTTCTTGGCTAGACAGCATATTCGCATGATCAGGGCGCTTTGCCCTCACCCTCATCTTCAGACACTTGAGCTCGCTGCGTGGGGTCGTCACGTCTTCTTGAATCTGCCTGGCGCCTTCGACGATCATGGGGTAGCCGCGAGGCAATCAAACTCAAGTGGCAGCTATCTGCGGCGCGGAGCGGAGGGAAGAGTGGGCGATCGCCATCGTGGTCCTCTTGTCACGGTTTGGTCACGGTTGATGTCGGCGCCAGAGCGCGATCGTTGCTCAAGACGGTGCAGACGCGGTTAAGCTCCGATAGGGACGCGAGCCTGTTCTCTGAGATCTGCTTGCGACGCGACTGCGCGTTTAACCGGAGCCGGTGCCAGTACGAGGGGTCAATCTACGAACGTTTTTGAACGCGCAGACTCAAGCGAGGAGACTAGAAGAACGGATTGCCATTACCTCTACGCTGGGCCACCTTCTCCTCCAAGGAGCCGGAACATCGTCCCGATGGTGAGTCGCAGTGTGGTCAAGGGATCGTTCATATCGAGATGTTGGAATCGATGACATTGAACTTGCTTGATAGTCTTCACACGGAACGAACACCTGCATGGTCAACAGACACGCGAGACGCCAACGGACGTTGCCTTGCTACCCCCGAGCATCACACCGAACAAAAGAACACTCATAAGTTGTTCCATCCATGATAATCGTGATCGTGCAGCGTTAGGTACGATACCTTACACATATGAGCCTTGTAAGCTCGTCAAACTACAACTCCGCCGCCTCGCGCTCGACCTTCTCCTTCGTCTCCTCCGTGGCCTCCTCTGCCTTCTGCTCGACGAAGGCCTTGAGGACGTTGATCTTGACCTTCATCTCGTCGAGCTTGCTCGAGTCGATGTTACGCTTGGCGATGAGGGACTCGAGCCTAGAAGAAGAGTTAGCATAGGTTCGCAAACAAGTCATGAGAACGAATTCACCTCTTGCGCTCCTTCGCCAAATACTCCTCCGACCCATTCACAACCTTTTCCATGACCTTCAAATACGGCTTAGCCGCCGCGCCCAGCGTCTCCGCCAGCGCCTTCGCCTCATCGTACACCGACGAGCGCAGGTCTGCCGCAGACGAGAGGAACTTCGCCGCGAGCGCGTCGAGCGACGGCAGCCGGCCAGCGAGGTCCGTAAGGCCGCCGCCGACCGCGCGCTGCGTCCCGCACTTCTCGTTGAGGAACTCAACGAAGTCCTTCTCGGTGCGGCCGCCGGTGTACGCCTCGGGCTCTGCCTTGGCCTCTGCGCCGCGGCCGAAGAACTTGAGCGTGGGGTAGCTGGAGACACCGTACTTGGTGGCGAGGTCGCGGTTCTTGGCATCGTCGGCGTCGACGTTGACAACAAGGCACTAAGGGAGTCTTAGCAAGGGTAGTTTGGAAAGGAGGTAGGAGAGGAGAGAAGTAAGTGATAGGCGAGGTCCAGGATACGCACGTTAGGCTCAGAGGCGAAGGTCTTGGCGGCTATTGAAAGAACGGTCAGTCATCGGTGCTAACAGCATAAAATTCGGCGGTGCTCACTCTTCTCGAACTCGGGCTTCATGCGCTTGCAGTGACCGCACCAAGGGGCCTATTGCACACATCAACTTGTATCCACCGACGACGCGATGAGTCTAGACCTACAGTGAATGCAACCAGCACATCCTTGCCCTCGTCCAAGACTACAACGTCAAAGTCGCTCGCGTCGGACACAATGTAGGCGGGTGGTGGCGGGGGAGGGATGCTAGACTTGACACCGGACTTGGTCTCAATGCTGTGACACCATCCGTCAGTCTCTTGGAGAGGAAGCCAAGTATATTGCCACGTACAAGCTGACCAAGCTCGTCAAGTCCCTACCAGACTCATACGGCTCAGCCTCGCCATTCTCGTTGAACCACTTCAAAGCTAAGGGTGCGTCTCAGCACGCAGGGGGACACTTCAGGGTATGCAGCTACGCACTGGGGAAGCCGGTGACACCGTACTTGCTGCCGAGGTCCTTGTGTGCGTCGGCGTCGACCTTCGCAACGTAGACCTTGTCTTTGGACTTGGAGAACGCGTCCGCGACCTCCTCGTAGGTGGGCGCGAGTTTCTGGTGACTGTGTCAGTCCTGCTAGCGGTGATGCAATGGTATAGGTCACGCACTTTGCAGTGACCGCTAATATGAGGGATGGAATGTAAGCTCCTCGTCCCCTTTGCTATGTCAGAGAATATACGTACCACCAAGGCGCGAAGCTATAGCATGTCAGTCAGCATGCTACATTCTCTCGAATACCACGACCACGCACAATTCCACAAGACCAGGCTTGCCCTGCCCGACAACGCTGTCGAAGTTCTCGGGCGTCAAGTCGATGACATTGGACGCGCTAACGGCGGTGAAGAGCGCGGCTAGTGCTAATGCGAATCTCATGTTCGCAGTGAAGTAGAGGGAGGGGACAAGGTGGAGAGCTCGAGTCTCGACGCGACGCGCCGCTGAGGCTGACGTGGAGATGATTTGTGGCGTGGAGGCGCGCAGTTCGGGCCGGAAAGCCTGACTGACCCCGTCGCGCGAATGCCTTCGGGCTCGGGCTCTATGTATCTGTCTATACTGCAAGCTTGAAGACGCGGATCCATTCTACATAGGTATACATAGGTATTACAAGGAATGAAGCCGAGCAAGTAGCATAAATTAGCAAATAAACAACGATAGCGCAGCATCGAACAGAAAACAAGTACGCCTCCGGCCTCCCTCACAGGTCCCAATCCTCCCACATCGCCGCAGAAGGAGGCGGCGACGTCGTAGACGCCGAGAGCTCCGCTGTTTCCACCAGCTCGACAATCTTGTCGTCCATACTGTCCGACGCCTTCCTATCCCCCCTCATCGCCACCAAGATCGGCTCCTTCTCCCCCACCGACGGCGCGTACAGCATGCGCATGCCCGCGCCCTCGATAGTCTGCACGAGCTTGCCCGTGCCCTTGTTCCGCACCTCGATGAAGTTGTGCGAAAAGAGCAGGACGTGTTCCCCGCGGGCGGCGAAGGAGGTGGCGGGGGTCTCCCAGCGTATGAAGCCAGATTTGCGAGCGGGTTCGCCGTGGCGGGTGATGTAGCAGCCGAGGGTGTCGTAGACGACGAGAAGCTCGGAGGAGCCGCAGGGGACGAGGCCGAGGGGCCGTGCGTCCTCGACTTTGGTCTTGAGTAAGCCCATCGCGAGATCGGTGCTGTGATTGCTGAAGTCGGGGACGACGGTGGCGGAGGAGTTGGCGAGGCTGCAGAGAGGTTAGCTGAAGCAAGTACACCACGAAGAAGGGCTCACTTCGTCGGATTCACGATGACGATCCCGTCCGTAGTGCATATGCCGACGGTCTTCGTGAGGGCCGTGACATCGTGCGCGTCCTTCGGCACATATCCAGGCTCGCCGAAGCGCCGGAACGACGACGGATGCTTTGACCCTCCAGTCCTGCGCGGCGAAAGCACCGCTTCGGGCGAGTCAATGACCTCGAGCACGTGCAAGGTTAGCGAGACCTGCAGAAGCTTCTTCGCTGCATAGAGCACTGCATGATCGTCAGCCAATTACCACTTTCATCAACCGCAGACCTCTCACATAACGTCCGCGATCCCACCACAACAATCCGGAAGAACAGGACCGTACTACTATCCTGGCCGGCTATCCTTTGCAATGAGGCGTCGAGTACCTCCGCCGTGGCCTCGCCGAAGGCTACCCTGGCCAGGATATCGAGGGCGTACGAGAACAGCATGCCGTCGTGGAGGATCACGAAGCGGTTGAACGACTTGCCGTTCAAGCGTGATATTGCTGCGATGGAAGCGCTGTTAAAGGGCAAGACGCGGCGGAAGTCTAGAAAACCGTGGGATAAGTAGCGAGGAGACGGGCCAGAAAGTCGAAGTATACCTTCTCTGCCCCGATGGCCGACATATACCCCTGAAGGACAACTGATGGCAAGGTACTTCCTCCCGTTAGCGTCTGGGGACGTCGTGAGCATAGGCGAACTTAAATTAGGAGGATTAGTCACCGAATGGTGCAGCACTGGTTGCGCCGCCAGTCAAGCGTCCCATCGTCAGCGCACCTCCAGGCGCCGCTATCCTAAAGAAGCCCTCCGACAATTTCTGCGGACTAAAGAACTAGTCCCCCATCAGCATTCCTTTCCCCCTCTTGACCCAAACTGCCCCACTCACCATATTCCCCTCTGCCCGCGCCTTATACACCGCCAGCGTATCCACAAACGCCGCGTACCACTTCCTCCTCACCGCCTCGCTCCCCACATACAGCGTGTACCGCCTATTCATCTTATTCGACGCGTGGTACACCGTGAACGGATAGAGGATCTCCGTGCGGGAGCGCAGGCCATCGAGCAAGCCGCCCTTCTCTTCGCGGATGCGCCGGGATTCGGTAGCGCCGTTGAAGGAGCCGAGGCGGAGGTAGGCGAGGGGGATGGGCCGGGAGACCATGTAGTGCTTGATGGAGCCGTTGGGCCGCTTTTCTTCGCGGGTGAGGAAGACTGGGTTGGGGTCAGTGGTGATGAGAGGGAAGGGGGAAGGGAAAGGCACACAGTAGTGGTCGAGGAGGGCGACGTAGAGGTCGGTCCAGCCGGAGAACGTCGCGTCCTGGCGGTTTCTCCGCGACGCGGGACCGGCGTAGACAAGTGTCCGGTTATCGTTGTATAGGTCGAGGTCCTGTCTAAGGTGAGAAGACAAGTCCGCTAAGTCGAAGCGGTGCACGCACAATGATCTCGCCCTTCCTGTATACCAAGCTCTCGCAAAGAGCCCAGAACTTGACTTTGCTCTCCGCTGCTTCGATGCCTGGTTGCGTGCTCTGTGCCGTCGTTCAGCAAGATCCCGGCAGTATTTTGCACGAGCATACCTTTATGAAGTCCTTCAGAATTCCGGATATCGTTGGTAGGGTATCGAGGTCGGGGTGGTCATATGCGTGTTCCGTGAGTTTGTGCAATTGTTCAATCAACAGATTCAGTCGGGGCAACCTCGTAACAGGCCGGGAGAGGAAGGTAACAAGGTCGCGCTTGCGTATCCGCGGGTCGGACGCGGCAGACTGGATGAAGTGGCGGTAGTCCGGGTTGCGGTTGAGCTCCTTCCGGTGGTGCGCTTCCGCGAGGGGGTAGTGCTTGATGTACGTCTCGTACGCGGTGCGGAAGGTGCCCTTGAGGATGGTTCGAGGATGATGTCGGCGACGCTCTGAATGAGGGGGTGCTGCTCGCGCTGGCGGGCGAAGAGGGCGGCGAGCATGAGCTGGTGGTGTGCGAGGATCTGGGCGACGTTGCCGAAGACTTGGCTGATGAAGCCCTTGAGGAGTTCGGGCTTAATGATGGGGGGATTGGCGGCGCTTAGTGGCTCGATGTAGACCTGGTAGCGTGATGAGTACAGGGCATGTCAACTGGGTGGGCTACACACATCGCGAACAGCTTCCAGGTCCGACACATAGTCCCTCTCAGACTTGATGATCTCGAAGAGGACGGACTGGCGCTGAACCTCATCATTTCCCAGCGCTTCACGAGCGGCCTCTGGGACCAATCTGTGCCATTCCTCCTCAGGTCCAGCAAGCTCGTGACTCTGAAATCGCCGGAGTCCTTCTTCGGAGTCGAGGGATACATCGGCTAAGTCCTGAGATAGCGAGTCCACCGAGCGGTCGTATACAGATGGTTCGTGAGCGTCGTAGGAGTAGGCCGGTTCTTCGTAAGACTGCAGTACAGTGAGCTCGCTAACCACAGTCCAATCGAGAGGCACTTACGTCTCCGGATATGGAATCGTAATCGTTAAATGAGTCCGCACTGAGAAACGAGGCCGTAGATTCATTCCGCGATATGCTGGTCGGGGTATTGACGGTGTTGACGTATGCCTCGCTATGGCTGGGCCGATGTCGTCTCATTTCGTTCCCTGCAGTGCCAAATGACCGTCCCGCGCCTTGTTGGGATACAGAGCGATACAATTGTGGCTCAGGGAACGCGACGTGACCGCTAGACTGTGCGGAGTAGGTTGTAGGGCGGCTAAGCCCGTGCCCGTGCTCACGATCATTGGAGATAGTGAAGTCCGGAAGGTCGTACTGGGAGAGAGGACGCCCCACAGGCGTTGCCATGAGTCCATATTCGCTATCATCGTAGCGCGGCTGCTGTGGCGGGACGACTTCGAACGCGTAGGGTTCGTAAGGCCTGGAGGACGGGCTGGGGTTCTCGGGAGCGCGCGCGCCAGGGGGGATGCTGATGTGCGGTCGTGAAGCGGGCATCGACTGTGGTGGTATAAGGAGAAGCGATGAGTGGTTCCACACCAGCACAAGACTTGGAGACGCGAGTTAGAGGCGCTGATCTATGATGCAGTGCTGACACCAATCTCCAGACCGTGGACGCGCGCGCACGCGAGGGGACCGTGTCGGGCCGCCCGCCTTGGTGGACTTCGGCAATGCCCGAAGAAGTTCAACCATAACCATCACCATGTCGGAACCGACGCCTTCCACATCCACCACTAGAGGCGGCCGCAGCGCGCGAAGCAGAGGTAGCCATAAGCCAAGAGGCGGGTTTGGAAAATCTGTCAGAGCCAGAGGTCGCGGCGGACGAGGCAGGCCTGCACAATTTGGGACTCGGTTATTACTGGAAGGAGAAACCCCATTAACTCCAGAAGAAGAAGAGGCAGCCGAGGAAGAGCGGAAGAAATACTCTCGAAGGCAACTAGGAACAAATGCAGATAGGTACAAGGAGGAAGAACCTGAATTGGACTCTGATGGTAAGCATGCACAAGCCTGTGGCGACGATTAAGGACTCAAAATACTCGATAGGGGAACCCATCCTTGAGCCTGAGGTCGATATTACTACGCTTCTTGAGCGGCAGAAACTGGAAGAAGAGAGTGGACCCATCTACGAGAAGCCAGTGGACGACGATGATGTGGATCACACCATCGCGCCGACTATAGGTTCGGGGCGGCATATACAGAGTGATCCTGCACTACGGAAAGGGAAGGTTCAAACGGTCCAGTGGGACGAGGAGTTGGAAGAGCTCAAGAGGGAAAAAGCTGCTTTTGAGGCAACGAGAGGTGGGATTACTCTGATGGTGCAGGATAATCCGCTGATTTTCTTTCGCTGGTGCAGAACTCAAATCGCGATTCAAGGCGAAGCCGGATCGTCTGCAGAGCAAGCCAATTGTGCCGAAGGCGCGGGATCAGGAATCTGGTGGGCATCGCCTCCCTTGATATGTACAAGAACACTGACGCCGCGACTCAGCGAAAGACTACATCAACGCACCAGCGTTGCCTACAGAAGTCAAGGCTCCGAAAGGAGAGAAAGAACAAATGGAAGACTTTCTAGACGACCTGCTCAGCTAGCGCTTGCGAGGTCGCGCCGCTTGACCTACATATAAATACATACTGACGATGCCTACAATCTGTACATCTACGCGAAAGCTCCGTATGCCGGATCTTTGTATATCTATTGCAACTCCGTCGGTTCGGTGGTGAACACCAAACACAATCCCTCGTCGCCCGCGCTCAGAACGACGTCTCCGCCCAGAGCCAGCGAAGCGCCGAGTACTGGGCCGTAGTGACCCTTCATCTCACGGATGAGAGCGCCGGTCTTGCCATCCCATGTTCGCAATGTGCGGTCCGCGGAAGCAGAGATCAGTAGGTGCTTGTGCGAGAGCAGGGTTGTAATTGCGTCCTGCGATTCGCGTTAGTTTTGCTACCAACCTGAAAGGCATCGCACGTAGCCAGGACGCACCTCATGCTGCAGCGTGGTTCTCAACCGCATCGTGTTCAGATCCCACAAGCACACCTTGCCATCCGTCGCCCCCGTCGCCACCACACTCGCCCCCGGCGCCACATCCACAAAGCTGATCGCCTCGATGCTTTCGCCATCCGTATGCCCACCGAGCGCATTGACGACCTCGCCCTTGCTCAGGCTGACGACGCGCACCCCGCCAGCGGCGCCACCGACGATGGCGAGCGTGGACGCGGGGTTCACGGCGATGGAGGTGATGCCATCGAGATTAAAGCGGCCGTCGTCGGGGGTAAGCTTGAAGATGGGGGCGGGGTCGCGCGGGTTCCAGTAGAGGAAGACGCCGTCGCCGCAGGCGGAGATGATGTTTTTGCCTGAAAGAAGTCAGTTGAGCAATTGAAGGCAAGAAGGGGGTAGGGAGCTGGCTTACCGTCAGGAGTAAATTCACCACACTGGACGGGTCCAGTATGGCCAGCGAAGACTTGCATGATGTTTCCAGATGGCACTTAGAGCATGTTAGTTAAACGACGTGGGGGAGGAAGTCTTGTCTCACATTGCCATAGCCATAAAGTGGTATCATTCGAACCGGCGAGAAGTACATTGCCCTTGGGATGCCACCTCAAGAACTTGCCACAGTTCAGCATCACTTCGCATAGCCGTCACAGACGCAAACGAACGCACCATAACCTCATCCGGCCCCTGCAACTCCGTCAAGAATTCCCAAGTCCGCCAGTCCTCCTTCCCCACTCTCCGCCACAACCGAACCTTTCCATCCATCCCACCCGTCGCCACCATCTCCCCGTCGTGGCTCCACGCCGTACTCGTCACACTATCCGTGTGCCCAGTGAGTCTTACGAGCACCTCGCCGTCCGTGATGTCCCAGATGTAGCCCATGTCGTCCTCGCCCCCGGAGGCCGCGAGCGGCTGCGTCGGATGCCCGGCGACGGTGAAGACAGACTGCTTGTGCTCGGAAAAGGCCTGCTCAAAGTTGCCCTCGACGGCGGAGGAGGAGGAGCCCTGGCCCAGGTCGCCTAGAGTGTCGGCGACCTCATCGTCGTCCTCGTCCATCGGGTGATCCCCATCGTCGGGGACTTCGGCGAGGACGTCGTCTTCGGTGATGAATTGCTCCTCCTCCATCTCATCGTGCTCCTCCATGTTGTGTTCTTTTGTGGAGGCCATTGTGAGAGTCTCTATGTCTGGACTTGGGTCGTATGGGGAGGGGGATGGGTGGTCGTCGCGTCTTATACTGTTGATCGCTGAGTCAAGGGGAGTCCGATATCGGTAAGCCTCACTAACGATGGTGATGACAAAGACGTTGACCGCGAGAAGGGTGTGCTTCGGCACTTCCGAGATGAGAGTACCTCAGGATCGGTGGAGGATGTGCAAAGGTAGAGCCCAAGACGATCCCAGTGGCGAGCAAGTGGGGAACTTCGGGGAACTCAACAATGTCGATCAGCTTGATCGCCACCCGCCAGCCGATCACTTGTTGAACGCCACATCCTTCCCTTTTCGATTCGTGACCGTAATGGCCGTCACGAAATGTTCGAGTCCCTGCATTCTCACGGCAATCCATTATCCGCAACCGCGATGTCCGCACAGCCGGACGCCTATTCCCCTTCCATGTCTCACTGCAGAGACCAGCTGCCTACTCAGGACCAGCGAAAATGAACCCGCCAGCGACTTTTGAGTCTTGATACAGGTCTGCTCGGGTCGGATACTCTGTGGCACCGGCGTGGACAAGGACGGGGGTCACGCGAGCGCGAACTACCCGCTCCTCCCCACGCCTTCACAGCAGCATAAGCAGGTACGCGCGTCGTCAGTTGACCTTGCTAGGTTGATAACATGACACCTTCCAGGAGGCATTCGTTTTTGAATGCGCGTTGTAGCCGTCGAATCGCGTCCTGGTTCTTACGCGCGGGTCAACGAGCCCGCGCGGTTCGCAACGCCAACGCTCGTTTTGCGAGTCTTGATGCGGCGGGCTCGTAGCCAACTGTAGCTATAGAAGGGCAGATCTGCAATACAGTCGGGCTTGCGAAGAACAGATCACGACCGCAAAAACGGGCGCCAAGGTGTAGGAAGTTGAGAAGGGTCACATGGGATGCCTGCCTGGTGGAAATGGGGCTGCACCGCTACCGCCTATATAACCCTGCAGATCCTCCATATCTTGACCTGATCGTTCCCTTCTTTCCCCACCTTTCTCCCAGCTTTTCACCGCAGCCCCGCGCGCATCGCAGTCATGACTACGAACGTCCACTTAAGCGATGTGAAGCCGCGGCCGCGTTCGCTCGTGAACTGGGAGAGATACCGCCACACCAGGCTCGCGCTCTTCATCGAGTGCTTTTGCGAGTTCGTGAGTTGACTGGAGCTACGGCTTATGCGCGTGTTCTCACCCTTTCCCGATGTCCAGCTTGGCGTATTCCTCTATACGTGGTGCGGTACGTCGGCTAAAAATACGTTCACCGTTGCGGTAGCCTAACTCATCTTAGGCGTTGGGTCGACGGCAACCTTCGTCATCGGCGGCCTCTCTGAGACCCCTGGACTATCATGTCCGTTGCCACAATTCCTCCAGCACCATTGGAGGCTCATCTCCTCGCAGCACTCTTCCAGATTGGCGTAGCATATGCAACAGGCATCGTCCTTGCCCTCACTATCTGCTGGTGCGCAACTGTCTTGCTTGACATCCGAATGGCATGCTCACATCCCTTAGCGGCGGCCACTTCCATCCAGCTGTCACTCTCGTCAAGATCGTCTTCGAGAAGTTCCCCGCCCACAAAGGCGTTGCGTATGTCTATTCCCTTGCTCTCTTAACTACATACTCACATCGCATCTAGCTTCGTCGTCGCCCAAATCCTCGGCGGCTACGTCGCCTGCCTCGTCGTCTACGCCCAATTCCACAACGCCCTCATCCCCGTCGAACAAGCTCTCGAAGCCGCCGGCAAGCTCGCCGAGATCAACTTCACGCCCTCCGGCCCCGCAGGCATCTTCGGCCTCTACGCCCCGCCCGGCGCGCACCTCGGCTGGGTCTTCTTCAACGAATTTATCTGCGACATTGTGCTCGGCCTGGGCATCTTCGCTGCCGTTGACCCGTCGAACGTGTTCTGCGCACCCGCGATGGCGCCGACGTTCATCGGTGCGGTGTATGCGGTGTGTATCTGGGGGTACGCGACCCCAGGGCTGGCGGCGAATGCGGCGAGGGATGTCGGTGGGAGGTTGGCGGCGATGACAATTTATGGGAGGGAAGGTACGTTTATGGACACAACTCTGGTGATGAGAAGGGTCACTGATGGTTGTGCAGCGAGCGGAGGCTCGTACGCCGCAATCGCTGCGCTGACGAACATCCCTGCGATGTTCCTTGCGTACATCATCTACGAGTTCCTGCTCATGGACACCGACCGAGGTACGCCTTGTCGAGATCTTTCATCTTTAATGACTTCAAATCTCACGCGTCTCCAGTGATCCCCGCCGCCCACATGGACTACATGCGCGTGCACAACGGCCACGCACGGACGGGAGATACAATCCCCCAGCCTCCCGGCAGCCCCGTCAGCAGCACGGACAAGATGAATATTACGACGATCGAGCGCACGGCTACTTGAAGGAAAGGACGCCGGGGCGTATCATGATATGGTTTAGGGAAGCTGCAGTGTGGGCGCCTGGATCCATATACCAGATGGTTTGAGATATGTATATTGTATACGAAGGCTTGCGATGCGTTTACGATAGGAAGAGTGACATGATGGGATTGCTATGATTTGGTACAGGATGTAAGGAAGTACAACAATGGGATGCTAGTGGATATGGGAATACAGGATGACGAGGAGATTCGTAGTACAGGCTATGCTGGAGGAAACGAGTGCATGTACAAGTACAGACGAACGATGCGATGCGTATATTGCTATGCTGTGTGCGTAATGAGGGCGCCTCTGTGGGCGTGCTGGGCGCCATGATAGATCGATTGCAGGCGCTTTCACACCTACTCAAAGTCGCTGGAGCTCCCGGATCCACGCTTGCGAGGGAGCTTGTCACCTTCGCCATGAGAGAAGTCGAGCCACCACCCGCCCGGCTTCTCGTCCTCGTCATGGTCGAACACCCGCTTCTTCGTCAACACGCTCCGGACGGAGTTCTGCAAATATCGTCAGCTAAGAGCTCGGTCATAATATTAATTACGGTCCCTTACCCTCCATGCTCCCGCCTGGGAGGAATTGAAGTACGGGAAGCGCCTGGCAATCTCGTCGCATACCTCCATATATGTGCAGCCCATGAAGTAGCGCCCAGCCTGAACGGCTCTCCCATGAATGCCGTGGATAGCCAGTTTGGCGAGCACCTCCAGCGTATGGTTTGGCCTAATATGGGGCGGGCAATCCGGGAGCGCCCATAGGTCCACATCGAGATGGGGCGGGATCTGGAGTTGCCTTCTTAGGTAAATATCGTTGGCCTCGTGATTGTTCGGCGGTCTCCGAGATGTGGGTCCACCGCCTGGACAACGTTGTTGAGCGTCCCGAATGTGGGCGTACAACGTGCAATCGATAGATGACCTACCTCCAGGCTGTGGGCGTCCTCCGATGGCCGTCTAGATATTGAATTGAAGAGAGAAACCATGAGTAACTGATACACGTTCTCCGGTGACTGAGAAGACGTACAGGGTGTGGACCACGGGCGCGAGGATCACCAGAGCCAAACCCAGGAGTGCGGCGGTTGGACATCTACATGGCGGAGGCATGGTGAAGCATGGGGAATGACGAGGAGGAAGTATAGGTATATTCATCCAATATTCGCGCAGCATGACCCCAACGAAGAGGCGCATCACGGCGGGATAAATGAACAGCATGATAGGAAAGAGGAAGGAAGCAAGATACGTCAGCTCAACATAGCCTGACGCGCGAAATGAACCACGCGCACCGTGACAATATATGCGTGACGAGGGGGTAGTCGGGCGAAGTGCAGGGTACTGGGCGCACTGTAGGGCGCTGGAGTGCAGAAAAAATCGGAGAGGATGCGTAGAAGCTGCAGTGTGCTATTGCGCTGCCTTGCTGAGGAGTAGGACGTCCAGCGCCCGAGCTTTTGTAGGGGAACATAGCGCCAAAGGTCACTGTGGGTCCAACGGAAATCGCTCAGTAACGCCTAAATCGTGGTGTGTGTCCAGTGTGGATCCATCACGACAAGATGCCGGATTGCTGCAGAGGAAGTCCTGGGCGCGCGGGGCTCCGTATTGGGCATATTGGGCTTATGGAAATTACTGGGACTGGCAAGTGAGAGGTGCAAGATAGGCGCCGAAATTAAGGCGTCCTCAGTCCTAGATTCAGGCCGTCACATAGTGATTACTAGCTTGCACGAGCAAAGTGCTCTTTTGGCGACTTGGCTAGTGCAGATGGGGAGCCTGAACAATGTTTTCGCAAGGAGTACAATAATTTGAATGCGACAGTCAGAAATATGGTCTTCCGAGAGTCAAGCACACATAAGCCCAGTGCAATCACGGTCAAGAAGTAGACAGAGCGTATGTACGTAGCTTCTTGGGAGTATAGCAACGCAAGAGCGAAGGGCGCAGCGGCGGCAGCAAAGAGAAAATAAGGTCACGCGGCGGTTGGACTTTTCGCGTGACCGTGAGATATTAGTGCGCCACAGATAATCTGCAACGTGTTGTGTGTCCACTGTGGATCCATCAAAACAAGATGTCGGACGCCCTCAGAGGAAGCTTTGGGCGCGCGGGGCTCCGCTTCGGGCATATTGGGCTTATAAAAATCACTCGGACTGGCAGGTCACAAGTGGGATGAACAGGATAAGCGCCGTAATCAAGATGGGCTCAGTACCCGGTCGCCAGCAGCAAAGTCCTTAGCAAAGGTCGCCAAGGTAATCTTATAGATCTTTGAGTATATTCATCAAAGTGTATGGTTGCATAGATCTCTGAGGTGTACAGAAAGATAGAAACAGGATCGGGAGGCAATAGACTATTGCTCAAGCATCTTCGTGAAGTATCAAGCAACGACAATAGAAATAGATGGTAGTTGTGCAATGAAGCGCTGTGACAGCGATATCAGAGCGCGAGAAGGGTGGAATGCACGGTGGGAGAGAGAAACACAGTCTGAGTGAGGTCACGCGTCGGTTCATCTGATCGCGTGACTGTGAGATACAACGCCACAAATCGCTGTGGCGCGCGTCATCGACTCATCGCCAGCGACGAACGAGGTTCGTTGAAACCTTGCTCGGAGTCATAACACTTTCTTTCATGACCCGGCGCCCTCTCGTAGTTACGAGTAAATTCCTTGTTATTCAATGAGACCGTAAATAAAAACCATCCATGAGACTAAGTAAACGTATGTAGGTCATTACTGGTAGCACAACAAAGGAGAGAAGTACGAGTAGAGAGGAATGCCCTTTACAACGACGTGAGTGTAGGAACAATGATCAGTAGCTGTGAGGAATGATGGGTTACTGTGAAGAAGGTAAAGGAAAAGTATTGTGCGCGGGTAGGTGAGGACGAACCTGGTCCCTTTAAGGGATGATGTGCTTGAGCTCGTCGTCTCGGACGCGAATCTCGACGACCTCGACCTCATACTCATTGAGGGCGGATGTAGAAGAGGAGACAGAGGACGAGACAAGTCCAGAGCCTGGCGGCGATGTGGACGCGATGTCTGTGGTGAATGAGTAACGTGTAGGGTTATTGATTGGGAGGGTACGCACATCGGTCCTTCATGTAGCCCGGGATGAATAGATCCTGGCGCGCACGTCAGAATGGTGAGTTTATGGGATGAAAGTAGCACACACCTGGTTCCACACAAAGCCTTGGCTCCTCTGGATAGTCAATATAGGACGCAGCGCCTGTATAGGCTCGCGTCGACGCGGATGGCGGCGACGGCGCGGAGAGGGCTCAGGGTCGGGCTGCACGGCACGCTGCTTGCCCTTGGCTTCGCGCAGGGCGCGCGCGCGGGCTTCATCATCAGCATCTTCTTCGCCCATGTCCATACCCATATCGTCCGACTCATCCTGCGCAGGCTTGTCGCCCGGGCGCCCATCGCTGCTCTCTGAGTCCCTGCGGCCCTCCGCGCGCGGCGGGTAGTGTTCATCGTCTTCGGAGCAGGAGTCAGACGCGCTGTCGCTGTAGTCGTCTTCGTACGCGAAGTGCTGCTCATAGCATAGCATCGTAGGCGGGCTCGCGGCGCGGCCGACGCGGCGGCGCCAGGGCGAGCCGTACATGGAACCGGCGCTGCTCATGGATGGCTGCGGGTGTGTGCAGATGCTTGGGGATGACTTATTGACTCGGGCGGAGGGGACCAGCGACGATGGTGGCTGTGGTCAGGCTGGGGAGCACGGTATGTGCACGAGGCGTCATGCTATATAGCGCCGCCGTCCATCACCGCGTTGCCGGCCGAAGGCGTCTCCGGGCCCGACGCCGATTGCCAATATCGCCTCATTTGGTTCCGCTCGGCTCACTGCAGTAAGCGCCCAACACGCCTTTCCATCACTCGCCTCTTGCCACTCGATAACGCGACCAGAACGACTTGGACCTTTCCCCAACCTCACAATGCACGAAGAGACGTCCACTTGCCACCACATAGAGAGGCTGCTCGCCTCAAACGACGCGTCCGCCGTAGACAGGTTTCGCGACGTGGTCGGATGGAGTGTGAATTATGAACGCGCGATGAGCAATCCTGCAAAGAGGAGAAAGGTCAGAAGCGGTCAGAGGAGCAGAATTCGCGTATTGATAATCCATCGTTAGTTGTCGAATAGGCCGATATGCGATACCTGCCGCGTACCCCTTGCGCGGCCTATCACTTGCTTGCAGTGCTCTTACTCTGGATGTTGGTCCCACGGCCATATCAGAGCACATCTCAAAGGCTCTGGTCACCAGTTTGGTGCGCGATAAGACGCGTTGAAATGCCAAAACTGACACCAACCTCAGGCGTCGACCCTTCCACGGGCAGCCTATACTGCCTAGCGTGCAATGACTTTGTGTATAACTCAAGGGCAGAAGCCCTATACGCGGATAGCTACGCAAACGCTGTCGCGTCGTACTTGCACTATAGCGGTACGCCACTTTTGCCACTGATCCTCCGCCCTAAATTCGACCTTCCCAAGACCACGGACCAGCAATCCCTTGGATACCTACCGAAAGGGATTACAATGCCATTAATGCCGCGTCCGCGGTGGTTTGCGAAGGTGATTATCATGGTGTCATTCTTCATGGCTACTGACGCTGCACTCAGGTCGCCGCGGACTGCTGAACCTCGGCCAAACCTGCTTCATGAACGTCGTTTTGCAGAGCTTCGTCCATAACCCACTTCTACGAAACTATTTCCTCGGAGACATGCACGACAGACGAATATGCACCATCGCAGACTGCACAAGCTGCGAGATGGACAGTCTGTTTTCCGAGGTACGCTCGTCCTTCCTATACCCCGCCACCATTCCACCCCACCCGACCTCCCTTTCATCTACATCCCCACCGACCACCTCATCTGACCCCCTTCCCAGATCTACTCTGACGAATCCTCTCCCTACGGCCCCATCGGCTTCCTCGTCACCACCTGGCGCGGCTCCGCCGAGCTCGCCGGCTACGCCCAACAAGACGCGCACGAGTTTTTCATTAGCACGCTCAACCAGATCCACGCCTCCTCCCCAGACGCCTCGCCCAGCAACAAGTGCCCGTGCATCGTGCACCGCACGTTCGCGGGCCAGCTGCAGAGCGAGGTGCGGTGTGGAAGGTGCGGGAATGTGACGCTGACGGTGGACCCGATGTTCGATGTTAGCTTGGAGCTGAGGGGGGTGGGGGAGAATACGTTGTTTGATTGTTTGAGGAGGTGGGTGGTTTGTGCAGGAATGAGGGGGAGCATGGATTAAGATGTATCGTGATGCTAACGGTCGGCGTAGGTTCACGCATCCGGAGAAGTTGTGGACGAAGGAGTATAGCTGCGAGCGATGTGGCAAGAATGGCCAGGTACGACCTTTCATATTGCTTGATGTCTTCCTTCCGCTGATTTCTGACCTTCCTTCAGGAGGCAAGCAAACGCATGAGCATCCGCCGCCTGCCGCCCGTGCTGAGTTTCCAGTTCAAGGTCAACTCATGATTCATTGTAACGCAGATCCGCAACCCGACTCACTCCATGTGCAGCGCTTCGAGCAAAACATGGCTGACAAAGGCACCGTTCGCAAGATCGAGGCTTCCGTGCGCTTCCCAGCCACCCTCGACATGTCGCCTTACACGACCCGCGCGATGCGGCAGCATGCGGGCGAAGGGTCTACGAGGTATTGTTTGTTCTGCTTGTCTTCGTCGGTCGTCGGTATCCACGGTCTGCTTGCGTTCAGGTTGTTTTCGACTGGAATGAGCAGCAAGCTGACAAGCATCACCCAGACTCCCGGACCCACCGGGCACCTACGTCTACGACCTCTTCGCCGTCATCAACCACGAAGGGCAGATGAACAACGGGCATTATACGAACTTTGCGCGGTACGGACGGGAGGTGCGCTTTGTTCCTCCTTGACGAGTGGTGGATTTTTTCTTGCTGACGACTAACCTTTGCAGTGGTACCGATTTGACGATGACAAGTGAGTGCCAACCGTCAGCGGACACTTCCTTCAGGCTCACAGTCATTCGCCTAACTACAGGGTCACCAACACCAGCCTCGCCACCGTTCTCGCCTCTGCGGCCTACATGTGTTTCTACGTCAAGCGTAGGCTCGACTACAAGGACGCGGGCATGGCGATGGACGCTGACGTACCCATGAACTTCGGCTCCTCGCAGTCCATGGGCTTCGACACGCAGCCAGCGGGATACGACCCCTCGCAGCCCATGGCCTTCGATCCCTCGCAACCCATGGAATTCGACTCCTCGCAACCTATGCCATGGGAGATCGACGCGCCGGCCATGGACAGTCTTGATCCTCAGCAGACGGGATATATGGACCCCCCGCAAACGGGATATCTGGACCCTCAGCAAACGGGATATCTGGACTCGCAGCCCATGGACTTCGACCCCTCCGCCGTGGACCCGCTGTTCGACGACATAGATGCAGACGGGCAGGGTGAGGATGACGTGGAAGAGGAGGAGGAGTATGAGGCGGCGCGGATGAGGGAGGTGGAGGATGAGTTGTTGGATACGCTGTAGGGTTTGGTGATGCGCTGCGGTAGAAATGCTTTTGTTATGCGCAATGGGAGAGAGGCGCGCGATAAGCGAAAGATGGACAATGCGTGTGAATGGTTGTTCAGGCTGCGCTGGGCGCGGCCATTGGACTATCGGATACGGGCTCTCGGGTTACTGATACATACATACATCTCGCTGTACATTGGTCATACAAAAACTTCGTCTATTCTCGCAGAAGATACGGCCTGGCCGCCCAGAAGTCATCTTTGATGATGTCGCAATGTAGCAATACAATTTGGGTGAACGGCTTGTCTTTGGCTTTCTTCTTTTTCTTGGGCTTGGACGTTTCTGATGTGAAAGAGTCGTCTGCTTGATTGTCTGCAGTGGACTCCGTGGGCGCGGCTTCGGGAGCGGGAACCTGGGCGGACGTTCAGAGTGAGCTCCATGGGCGAGTAGGCCGTGCCCGCCATACCTCTTCGCGGACGAGCACGCTGCCCTTGCGGTACCGCTCGTCAATGCTGTTGTAGTTCATACCGAAGCGGGAGAACAAGATCTCGTTCTTCTCTTTCGATATCGTTCCCTGCGAGGATGTGAGTCCCCGTCGGCTCGCGAAAAAGGCAGGCTTACGCGCAGAGCAGCATGAGCGTCTGTCGTTGTAAGTCCACCCTGCTGTACGAGTGCCCAGAAGACGGTGTTGTAAAGGTTGTTGATGTGTGCTATAATCACGCATGAGGATGTGAAGCAGATACGAGGAGGGAAAATTTTCCAATAGAAGGAGGAACTCACTGTCTGCTTGTCGCCACGCAAAATAATCCCGAATATGCTGCTCGGCAGGATACAAGACGATACGCCCGTCGAAAGACGGTGGATATTGCAATTGAGTAGACGGGAAGAACTTCGACCAATACATCACATATGTAGAGGTGAAGAAGGACGTGAGGGTGGTCACGATTTTGCTCTGTCGGCGGTTGTACATGTTCGTCGAGCGGCGAAGGAGGAAGCTGTTAATGGCACGTCAGAAACCGACCGGAGTGTTGTAAGAATAAGTGAGGGTCATGGATGCGCTGAGCATGAGTGGATTGTATAGGAACGAGTCCTACCTGTATTCGTCGGACTCACCGAAGCCGAGAACGATGTCGGGGTACTCCTCCATCAGCCTTAGGGCGGCGTAATCCATGAGCTCGAGTGCGCGTTTGTCGTTGGGTTTTACAAAGTTATGCGTATCTGAGAATCTGGTAATCTGCGTCAATATAATTGTATCTCCAGCAAGTTCGAGTGCTGTGAAACCAACCTATGGAAGGAATGCCCGTCTAGTCGGAAGACCATGAAGGTCTCTGGGAGAAGAGGATCCGGTAACTCGAAATTCCGCACATATGCGAACTTAGATCCAGCCATCTTGGGAGAATGAGAGTATGGCCCTACACGAGGCTGGACTCGACGGTCGCTAGCGGTCAAGATGGCGGGATTGAACAAGGAACTGCTGTGACTGATCAACTTCAGTGACCGTGACTCGATGGTTCGGCTCGTCCCGAACTGCACGTGCTTGCCTGTTGACCGCTACGACCACGTTCGCAAGTTGCTTTTCTGCGAGAGCTCGGCATACCCTATGGGCAATCTTCTCGATGCATTGAAAAGAAAGGCACATCCGGACTGCATTTTCTGCGACGTGACGCCCGAGAAGGGGTTCAATGTCGTCGCTCAGGTAAGTCCGAGTCGGTAGTAGTCCGCGTCTCCTCTAGCCCACTCCCGTCCAGCCGCGCTCGCGGAATATGTACCTGGCGCATTTACATACACACCGGCCTACAGAATGCTTACTTGTGCGCCACCATGACAGGATGACAAGTTCGTAGCATTCCACGACCGCAATCCTGCGTCTAAAGTGCACGTTCTTGTCATCCCGAAGGACCACCACCGTATGCGATTCGACGTTCAATTGAATTCTGCGGACTCATTGTATTCCTGTCTATAGGCAGTATCAAGGGGCTTACCCGCGAACATATACCCTTGCGTACGTTGTCCGTAATGCAATGGACGCCGACTGTGACTGACTAGGCGCCTAGTCCTAGAAATGGAACGGTTCGCTAAGGAACTACTAGAGAGCTTCGGCGTCCTGCTTGAATCGACGGAGTGAGTCTTTCTTCCCCGAGCGATTGGTACGGCTCGCCGCTAACGTGCTCACCAGGTCGTGGAATCTCGGATTTCATATCCCTCCTTTCAACTCTATCAACCATCTCCATTTGCACGTTCAGGTCCTTCCTTATAGGTCCACAATACGCAAGCTGAAGTACAGGATCGCGGATGGTCATGGCTCGCGAACCAAAGGCTTCAGCTGGTTTGCAACCCTTCGTCAGGCCATAGCTATCTTGGAGAAAGGCGGCCGCGTGGGGGTGTTACCCTGCTGACAGGCCCGCGCCCAAGCTCTCTAGTTCCCGTGCGAACGGCGAGTCAATCGCTGCGTCCCGGTCCGCACAATCGGTCTAAACTTACGCGGTACGTCGTACCTGCCTCTGTTCCGTTCGCACCGCGGGTGATGTAGGAACATCTGTCAGATGCAGCCTGTGTCCTGACAGTCAACTTCATTATGGTCCCAGGACGCGGCCTTCCCGCCTAGCGCCCACAGCACTTAGCGCCCGAAGTGAACGGCACCTACGAAGCCCTGGTGTGCCACAAATCCTGCATTACCACTCACTGATGTTGACTTACATGTCTTTTGCAAGGACGGCACTCATGTAGACCCCCATCTAGCAGTATATACCCTGCCTATCATGCCATTGTGATTCAATCATCGATTTCTCCGCGTCCTCACTATCTGCAGAAGCGAGGTGTCGCTCGCCACCGCGGGTCGTGATGCGGACTGGAGTCTATCGGAGGTGGACGGGAGTGACTGCTCGCGAGTTCTTCTTGCTTGCTACCAAGAATGGAACGCTGCGTGCTCGCGATGACTCCCGGTTGGCCATGGCTCATGGGCGCTTGAGGACTCGCTCTATTTCTGAGCTTCTTTCTCACCGCTTCACTCATGTGATGAATGCATGTTACCGATGTTCTTTACGTTGGGCGCTTGCCAGCCGTTCATGGAGCGGGACGATTCGGACGATGCCACCGCCTCCTTGCAGGTTACTCGTCATAACAAACCTCTCGAAGGCGACGATTTGGCCGATGAACAACGTAAGCACCCTCTATGCCTCTTGGCGGCGTCTTGACCTCCCCAAGTGCAGACGCCGGCCTTCATAGACTCATCTTCTTCGATGCTTTCCCAACCGGCGAAACACATCAGCTAACTATCTTTGGCGCCACTGTGATCAAGTGCGCTTGTGCATCGATACGGCATACGTACGGCGCTGCAGAAAAGTCCACTCGGTGCAAAGGGACACAAGGAACGCGCCGGCATACAGGGTGAGCGCGCAGGTCGCATGCCTCCACACTCAATGGAGTCGGGAACGCCCGTTCCGTCACCTTCTACTTCCTAAACGTACCGGCCAAGGGCGAGGGTAATCTCGGAGGGTGAGCCGCATTGTCCTCTACCGGTAGTCCTATATTCGCTGCTGACGTTATCAGCTATAGTCCCCCAGATTTCGCAGACTTCGGGACTATATAAGGTCGTCGTCCCCTGTCTCCTTCGACAGCTCCTCAGCCATGCGTTCTGCTATGCTCTCGTTCTGCTACTGCGCTCTTCTCCTTGCCAGGCTGACCTCGTCTGCTCCAGCGGCAAGCGGCAGTGGCTCCGAAGCTGCGTCGTCTACGGCGGTGACTACTGCGACCGCATCGTCCGCCGCTGTGACGACCTCGTCGACGACGAGCCTGCAGACGCTCCCGAGCAGCTTTCCGCCGGAGACGGCGACGGTCGCGCCCGTTTCGTCGGACCCTAACGAAGTCATCACCGGCGACGAGCCCATTCGTGGCCATCTTGGAGGTGAGCCCCTTGCATTCCTCTTCTTTTCTTGAATACGAAGCTCACCTCTTTTCCCAGCCGACATTCAAGGGCCTGTCGTAAGTCAACTGACACACAAATGCTTTAGTAGCTAATGCCCATCTAGAATGAGGAGATCGACCTCCAGAACCCCGACCTACTTGGTAAGTAATCTGTCAATCAGTCTTTTGGACCAAATTAGCTGATTTTCCACTCGCATATAGCTCCTCCAAGCACGGACCACGGCAGCTTGTAGGTCCTATATTCCTTCTTGAGGCTGATACTTGATCTCGCCTCGATCAGTGACAACGCAAAGTGGCCGTTCTCGCTGTCGCACAACCGCCTCCAGACTGGCGGCTGGGCTCGTCAGCAGAATAGTACGTTCAGAGCGCATCCCGTCTGTGACCATATCGCTGATGAGTTCTGTCTGTAGTTGGTGACATGCCCCTCGCGACCGGTAACTTTCTCTGCTTCTCGCTGATTCAGACCCCACTAATAAGGCCTCAGAAATGGCGGGTGTCAACATGAGGCTACTTCCTGGTGCCGTCAGGTGCGTGTTGTTGATATGCAGACTCTATCGCCATACTCATGCGCCTTATGATAGGGAGCTTCACTGGTCAGTGCATACAACGCTTGAATTCATGATCCAACTGACAGCGTGCTTTCGATAGGCATAAGACCGCTGAATGGGTACGGTTGGTCTTATGACCTGCATGAATTCATGGCTGATTTTTCTATGCAGGCATATGTCCTCAAGGGCACGACGCAGGTTTCTTCCGTCGATCAGGACGGTCGCAACTACCTTGCGAGCGTCAAGGCGGGTGACCTGTGGTATTTCCCGCGTAAGCTCGGACAGGTTCTCTCGGACATCTTTGCGCCAGGCTGATATAAGTCCGTAGCTGGTATCCCGCACAGCCTGCAGGCTACGTGAGTTGCGGTCACTCTGGATTTTGTACCATGTCAACTGAGACCAAATTCGCAGCGGCGACGACCCCGACGGCTCCGAGTTCCTTCTCATCTTCGACGATGGGGATTTCTCCGAAGACAGCACCTTCTTGCTGACTGACTGGTATGCGGCCTGCGTCAAACCTTCTGGCGGCCCTCACTCATGATACATTTAGGCTCGCGCACACGCCTATGGAGGTCATCCAGCGCAACTTCCAGGCACTCGGCAAGGATGACTTCTTCTCCCTGCCCTCTCAGGAGGTATCGTGAACTCAATCCAGCTGTCTATCAGTATCGCTAAGTGCTCGCCCCAGCTCTACATCTTCCCCGCCGGCTACGTCCCCAAGGACAGCGACACCGCTCCCGAGAGCCCGCAAGGAACGGTCCCCCTGCCCTTCAGCTTCGCGCTCTCGGAGATGGAGCCCACGAAGCTGAACGGTGGCTCGGTCAAGATCGTCGACTCGACGGTGCGTTCTTCGCCTCCAAGCAACTACCATCATTATGTTTCTACTTGTGCTACATCAACTAAGCCCCGCCCGATGTAGGTCTTCAACATCTCCAAGACGATCGCCGTCGCCGAGGTCACCGTTCAGCCGGGCGCGATCCGCGAGATGCACTGGCACCCGACGCAGGACGAGTGGACGTTCTTCCTCGAGGGCGAGGCGCGCGTGACGATCTTCGCCGCGCAGTCCAATGCGCGCACGTTCAACTACCAGCCCGGCGACATCGCGTACGTGCCCACCGCTATGGGCCACTACGTCGAGAACATCGGCAACACGACGCTGAAGTACCTTGGTGAGTGGTTGAACCTTTGTTTAAGTCGCTAGCACCTCGTCGGTAGCACCTTGCTCTCGGCTGTTGAGCTGCCCCCTTGCCTGCCGCGTCTCACTCGCTAACACACACCCTCCAGAGATCTTCAAGACCGACAAGTTCGCGGACGTCAGCCTGAGCCAGTGGCTGGCGCTCACGCCGCCCGAGCTCGTGAAGGCCCACTTAGGCATTAGCGACGAGACCGTCGGCCGCTTCAGCAAGACGAAGCCGGTCGTTGTCGCGGATTAGATTAGGAGATGGGTGTTGGATGTGATAGGAGAACGTCGGAATAGCGACAAGACATTTTTTTCGACGACGCATATATACGAGCTCTTACGAATGGACAATATCTTGTTGCACGATATCGAGCGTAATCCCTGGAGTCTGTTTGTGGCCTGGACGCAACGGGGATCGCAGGTAGGCGAGCAGTGATTAGTTATATTGAGCATCTACCGAGCGCCGTAATGGGCCGTTGCGACGCAAAAAGGCACGCATAGTCCTCCAAACGGGCCCCAATCGAGTCGCTCAGGTGCTGACAGTTTAAGCACATCGGCCTCAGCGCACCCGACACGCGAAGGACCTCAACGATGTCTTGCAGTCGGTGCAGATTCATGATCGTCTCTGCAGGTGTCACGCCGACGCCAGGCATCACCGAAGTCATGCTTTTGACGCTAAGCGCTAGGGTCCCGAGTGATACGCGGGATTGCATGGATTTGTACATTCTGCACTTTGATTGTGAGCTTCGTCGCGTGTCGGTGGAATATGACAGACGAACGACGCGAAAGTGACGCTCTCGCCACAATGACCCCATGGCGTGCCGAAGAGCTCTTCACTCGGAAAGGCGTAGCAGACGCCCGCTTTCGCATGCGCCCTCTGCACCGGCGTCGCGTTGTCGAAAACGGGGGGCCAGACGCGTCCCAAAGTACGAACGCGCGCCGCTCTAACATCCTCTCGGCCGTCGCCCTTGCCGGGTACAACGCTGGAGGCGAGACTGAAGCGTCCCAAGGTAGATGCGACCCGGGGGCAGTTATGCGCACGCTTGGGCTCAATCTCCCAAAGCAGTTGGACGACAGTAGGAGGATTGATGTTCAGCGAGCGAGCGGAGGTGCGACAGAGCTGGGCGTAGATGCCAAGGAGCTGAATCAAGTGGGCTAAGTCATGAGGTTGGAGTCCTTGGTACGCGAGCAAATATCCTGCGTTCGCATTAGAGAGAATTCAGGCGTATGGTCGGGGACCACGCACCAAGACCTGAGAAGTAGTCCGTGATGTGCAGCTCTTCATTGTCGTGATATTGGCTACGGACTGTGCGTACTGCTCCTCCCACCTCAGACGCATAGTGTGTTCTCTTTGCGCTGTTAATTGGTCAGACAGACGTCCCAGACCTGATGGTGGGCGTACTTACAGGCAAGGGAGAAGTACCCTTTCGTACACACGCAGTAAGCTCCTCCTGTGTGCTTGAGGTGCAGTGTAGCACAGGTTATATAGATTCCTGGATATCTTCGGCATCGTCAGACGCGTCAAGGGACTCCAATTACGCATGACATACCGCGCTCGTCGAGGATGCTTGTGCAGCTTGCCAAAGACGCCTGAGCGACGCTGCGCCCATAGATCTCGTTCCCCCTCCTGATTGCCCAGTATATCATAGCAGACCCGGCCCTGGTATGAACTCAACAGAAGATGGGAACGAGGAAGCTCATGACGGTAAGACCCAAGCCGGACGCGCCGACAGACGCGATCGCGAATTGCAGGTCGGCAGGCCCGGACCGAAGAGCATGTCCGCGGACCCTCGGCGGAATGAGGCGAACTGTGACGGAGGTGTGACTTCTACTCGAATACGCTTGCAGCTTTTCTTTCCTCCGTCTACACCGAAGATAATGAGTGGTACGTGAGGAAGGAACACTGCAAAATTGACCACAATTCAGGTACAGCAAACAATCACTCGACTACAACAAGCAGACCCAGCACACCGTCCAGTTCGGTACTTCAAGAGCTTCCCAGCCGACCAAATCCCAAGCCAGCCCAAGTCCAAAGAATCCGCCTCCGATCTCAGTGAGACCATGCTCTTTCTCGACCTCAAAGCAGCGTCGTACTGTCCCTGATCACCTTCTCCTTTGCACTCGCCAGGACTTTGCTGCGATTCTCCAGCACCTTGTTGTGCTGGTCTACCTTTTGGTCGAACGACGCGAACAAGGCGAGCTTTGCGCTAGTGGTTCGTCAGTGAAGGATCTGCTCTTGCAGCGTATGAAGGATGCGAGAAGCCTTGGGACGTACGCCATATGCTTCTGAGCCTGTGAAAACGCTGGCGTAAGGACCATTACAGAGCGTTGAGGGAAACAGCAGCACTTACCACCTCGAGTAAGCGTTCATACTTCTTCGTCAGTTCTGCGAGGGGAGATATTCAGCATACGTACATAGGTCTGGCGCTTGCACCGGAGGTTACTCGGCGCTCGAACAACGAATGAATGACATACCCGCTGCCCCCGCCTTCCACTCGTCCACCGTACAGTCCGACCAGCGCTTGACCAGCTTCTCATACGTCGCCATATTCGCCTCCACATACGCATTCGTCTCGGGCCCAAGCAAGCGGTCAATGCCGATGGGCTGAGCCGGCGGTGGCACGGGCGCTTGCTGAGCGTAGGCAGCTTGTTGCGGCTGCTGAGCGTACGCGGCCTGTGGCTGCTGTGCGTACGGGCCTTGCGAGCGCCGGGCGCGGCTGCGCGAGCGGTGGGGCACCGCTGGGCTGCAGTGCGCAGGGCCGTCTTGATACTCGGAGTGGTGCGAGCGGGGGCTGGACAGGTTGTCGAGAGGGCGGTCGTATTCCTACGAAGGGGTTTGCCTGTATAGATGCGGCGACGAAAGGGGAAGTACCTCGGGCATATCGTAGCCATCCATGCTCATCTGGTTTCCTTTGTAGCGCTTTGGGTTCGTAGGGTACTCAGTCTGAGCGGGAATATCGTCCGCATCCATACGGTTGCGCTTGCTACGAACTGGACCACGTCGCAGGAGGCTCTGATCGCCCATCGGAGGGGAAACCATCGCTGAGCCGCCGGAGCGCCTGCGCTCGTACTCCTCGACACGACTCGAGAAGAAAGGATCCTCTTCCATAGGCTGACCGTTGTTGTAGCCAGAGAACCGCTGTAGGGGAGTCATAGAGCTGGGTATATGCGCGTCTTCCGGCGAGAGGTCGTGAGCAGCGGATGCAGGAAGACCAGGGTGCTTGAAGACATTGGCATTCGCGTTGGATTGAAGGATAGGACCCGGGGTGTTCGGGGGAGCCGCGCGCGGAGAGGAGACTGCAAGGTTGAGCGCGTTTGACTGATGAGCGGAATCACGACTAGCCAGGCGGTGGTTCGTCAGGGTCTTGTGCTGCTGAGCTGAGGGGTCCGCCGTGGCAGGTCGAGCTTGGGCCTGTTCCACAGGACGAGAGGCAGAGTGGGAGGTCGGCTTGTTGCCAGAGTTGGGCGTGTTCGGGCGCTTCTTCGGCTTGAGGCTAGCGACATTGAGAGGCATGGGAGCGGAGGTACCGTTACCGAGAGACGCGCGAGGGTTCTTGTTCTTCTGGTTCGTCGGAGCAGGAGGATCTGAGTGCAGAGGGTTCGAGGGATCTGGTTGGAATTGCTGGTTAGCGTTGGCCGTCGCGTCCCCGGCGGGACCAGCAGCGGCGGGACGAGTCGGGTTGAAGGGCGTTCGAGCACTCATAGTGGTCTATAGCTTTTTGATATAAGCCTCCGGAGAGCAAGCAGGCAACGAGATAATGAGGGGAAGAAGGAAGAGCTGGCGAACGACCGAGGCAGTATTATAGGTCGCGTCGCGTCACGGTCAGGTGATACGGAGATGAAACGCGTCATTGTCACACCTTAGCTCAGGATGCTCATCGCGGACCTTTAGTCGCTCTCTGGACCTGATTTTCTCCGGATATCTGGCTCACTCACTTTACCTCTGACTTGCTGGCGATGTCTCTTGCTATCGCCAACGCTCAGATAGCCCCGACCTGGAACGTCTTTCCGCCCCTGCCTTTCCCAGACTGGAGGATCGCGGCATTACATCACTTTTGCGCTAGCCGAACTTCCAGCAGCCTTCGCTCGCAAGGCTGATGTCTAAGGCAGCTTTTCTTATCCTACGACCATGGCAAGCCTCGCCAAAAGCCTGGTCGCGCCTCGATTCCTTGCCAACACCCTGCGAACCGCAGCGATCAGACGACGAACCCTCTCATGCAGCAACCGAAGATTCTCTGAACCTGCCCAGGAGGACCGTCTCCCTCATCCAGCGGCCCTGGACTCAAAGCCTGGAGGCGAGCCTGTGGGCGAGCCCTCGGGCCCGTACAGCCGCGCAGATAGCGAGACCAAAGAGTATGCAACAACCGACAAAGAAGAACCATACAACGTTCCCAAGAAGGAGATGCGTTACGGGGGAATACCGCAGCTGAAAGAGTCAAGGGATAAGGGCCCAGATCAGAGCGACGCTGGCGAGGGCCCCGACGGGAGCGAGTCTGGAGGGCGGATGCCCGAAGGTCGCAAGCCGCACAATGCAGCCTAGGTGCGTGTGAGTTGCGCTCGGTTCTTTGCACAGGCAGAAGGCTCATGTCTTCCCAGGCGCGCCTAAAGCTAGGCTCAACCCCCCTGCGAGATTGCGCGGAAGAAGCGCAGGAGCGGCTGCGCGAATCATGTAAAGATGCCTTCCAATCTGTACACTAGACACGCATGATTCATTCGGTGGTCATGATGTCCTGGTGCGTGACGGTGGTTCGGTTTGCCAGCGTGCCCCGTGGTCGAGCCCTCGACCGTCACCGTATAAATACCTCTGAATGGTGCGTTTATCGCTCCCCATCGCATTCCCTCTCAGACAATCATGGCGTCCATCCTTTCCTCTTCGCGCGGCGCTTGCTTCCGCTCGTCTGGCTCTCTTCCCGCTATGCGCTCGATGCCCGGGAGGCCCATCTCGTCGACCAACGCCCACTACCAGAAGGCGGGGACGGAGCGCAGGCTCCCGCCCTCCCTGCCGGACTCTATCCGTCCGGGACCCGCCCACCACGCCGGCGTGGAGAAGAAGAGCTCCCCCGTTGGCGAGGCGTCGAGGTATTCGACGCAGGCGACACAATCCGCCAGCAAGCCCGCGAGCGCAGCTGACGCCGGTAAGGCCGGTACCGTGACCGCTGGCTCGGCTGTGCCGAAGAGAGGCTGAGGCAAAATGGTGACCAACGTCTGAAAGGTATACAAATCGACTGGTCATTGTCGCGTCGTGCTCACCAGTGCCTTCACAGTGGTCTGTGATCAAGCGGCCCAGCGACATATGCTCGCCGCCAAATTTCTCGTTCTCAGTCGAAGTGTTTTGTGGATCCTATGTACAGCTTTGGTCTGTGTTCTTCATCGGTTTTGTTGTGTTGGGTCGTGGTGGGCGTAGGGGCTGCAGCATACGCCTGCCTTTGCTACATCTGTTGTTTGCCGTCGGGACAGTACACGGCGGGTCCAATTCCTGTACGCACATAGTTTGTACATGCACACATGCAATTGTATGGCGCTGTCATAGCGTTTTGCTACAAAGTCCCTACAGTCTGAATTTGAGGCGCGCGCCGGAGGGCGACGCGCTTTACCATCACGTGACGTGAAGTCATGGCAGGCGCGCGTCTCGATTTTTGGGCGCTTTTCTCCTGGCCTTTGACCTGCTCTTGCTCACGACCATCATGTCTGATCTCCCGACGCTCCTCCGCGCGTCCCTCGACCCATCGACGCGCAAACAGGCTGAAGCGAACCTCACCGAAGTCAGCAAACAGCAAGGCTTCCTCGTCGCGCTCCTCCGCCTCGTCCTCGAGCCCTCGCAAGATCGCGCCGTGCGGCTGGCGGGGAGCGTGTACCTGAAGAACGTGGTCAAGCTGCGGTGGGAAGAGGTGCGTAATGGGAGTGCTTGATCGCGGATCTGGGAATGACGAGGTGCTGTGCAGGATGTAAATGCGCTGCCCGAGGCGGACAAGGCCGCGCTGCGATCTGAGCTCGTGCCGGCTATGATCGCGCTTTCGAGCCCCTCGGACAAGTCCATCCGTGCGCAGGTCGCGGAGGCGGTGTCCCTGGTCGCGGAACTGGACTTCCCCGAGCGGTGGACAAACCTGATGGACGTGAGTGCTTAAGCGCCCTTTGTATACAGTCTTTGATAACGCGCGGTACAGCAACTGGTCTCCTCCCTATCCGCGACCGACTACAATGTCAATGTCGCCGTCCTCGAGACCGCGCACTCCATCTTCCAGCCCTGGCGCTCGCAAGTGCGCTCAGACGAGCTATTTACGACTATCAACTTCGTCTACGAGAAGTTCATGAACCCGTGGATGGCGATGTTCAAGCAGACCGCGACGCTGCTTCTCTCCAACCCCAGCCCGAACCCCGCACTTACGACTCCGGCCTCGAATTTGAAGCTGGTGGCACACACCATGCTGCTCTTGCTCGAGATTTTCTACGACTTCACGTGCCATGACCTCCCGCCTGCTATCGAGGATGCTCACGCTGAGTTCTTCACTCCTGGGACGGGATACCTTCATGCCTTCATGGCATGGTCACCTGCCGAGTTGGCCACTGACGTGAGTATACTGGCTTGCATCCCCTAGGAACTTTGCCTGACTGAACGCTATTAGCAGCCAGACGACACCGTCCCATCTCTGCCGTCTCAGATCAAGGCAGCCGTGCTAGAAATTGCCGAGGTACGCCTTACCCTGCTATCCTGACACATATCATGCCGATATAACCTTTCTGGCCTTTAGTTGTACATCAAGCTCTTCCCCGACGCACTCACCCAATCCCCTGCCGTCGCAGCCTTCGTACAAGAAGTATGGACCCTCATCGGCTCTAACAGCCTCCCCTCGATCGGCGACGATCCACTCGTTGCCCAATCCCTCCGCTTCATCTCCGTCGCCATCCGCTCTGGCCTCTACAGGGACCTTTTCGCAGCGAAAGAGACCATCGCGCAGCTCGTGCAAGGGGTCGTCGTTCCGAATGTTGCGCTCCGGGAGCACGAGGTCGAGCAGTTCGAGGACGATCCCATGGAGTATATCCGTCAGGATCTTGCTCTTGCCTCTACGGATGTGTCCACTAGAAGACAGGCGGCCGGTGATGTTATCCAGGCGCTTGTGAGCAGTGGGTATGATGCGGACGCGACGGAAATTGTGGGGCAGTGGATACAGAAGGGGCTGGCAGACTATGCAAGCAACAAGGAGAACTGGGGTGCGAAGGATGGTGCTGTGTACCTGTTCACTGCTGTTGCTACGAAGGGCTCGACGACGCAGGTAAGCCACACAAAGGCTCGCTGTTAAGAGCTCAGCTAAGGCGCCTACGCAGCACGGTGTCACGTCCACCAACGCACTCGTCAACGTCATCGAGTTCTTCTCAAACAACGTCTTCGCTGACTTGCAAGCCGCGGTAGGCGACGTGCACCCCATCTTGCAAGTCGACGCCATCAAGTTCCTCTACACCTTCCGCAACCAAGTGCGTTCACCCTTCATCTGCCTGCACGATATCACGGCAACTGACCCTCCCCACAGCTCACAAAACCGCAACTGCTCTCTGTGCTACCCCTCCTCGTCCACCACCTCGGCTCCGACAACTATGTCACCTACACCTACGCCGCGATCACCATCGACAGAATCCTGTTCATCAAGCAGGGCAACCAGCTTTTGTTTGCGCAGGCGGACATCCACGACCACGCACCGGGGATGATCGACGCTGTGCTGAAGAAGATCGAGGCTGGGGGCACCCCGGAGAAGGTCGCGGAGAACCAGCACTTGATGCGCTGTATGTAGCGACCACTTACAGTTACCTTCTTGCATATCAAACTGACCATATCTTTCGTAGGCATTATGCGTATCATCCTCACGGCGCGCCAGTCGCTCATCCCGCACTACGAGGGTATTCTTACGCGCCTAGTTAACATCCTCGGCGTCATCGCCAAGAACCCAAGCAACCCTCACTTCGACCAGTACACCTTCGAGTCTCTAGCGGGCTTGATGAGGTGCGTTCGTCTGCATCTTCCACAAAGACATGCTCACCGATTGCATGTAGGTTCGTCGTAGCCAGTAATCCCGCCTCTATCTCGACCTTCGAGGGCACGCTGTTCGGCCCCTTCACCTATATCATCCAGAACGAGGTAGAGCGTAAGTCTCTGGATTCCGTTCACAAACCGTCCGCTGACATGTACTTCGTAAGAATACGTCCCCTACGTCTTCCAACTGCTCGCCCAGATGCTCGAGGCGCACCCTTCGAGCGTCCCCGATGCCTATCGCTCGCTCCTGCCCCTCCTCTTCACGCCGGCAACGTGGCAGCAGAAGGGCAGCATCCCTGGTCTCGTCAAATTGCTGAGGGCGTTCCTGGCAAGAGACGCGAAGGGCATGTTCGCAGCGGGCCAGATTGCGAACGTGTTGGCGGTCGTGCAACAGCGCTTGATACCGAGTAGGCTCAATGACGCATACGGTTTCCAACTGCTGGAGGGTGTTGTGAGATATGTGCCACCGTGAGTTTATCGTCCCGGCCAGAACTATTTCACAGCGGCTGACTGTTTGTTAGTGCCGACTTGCAACAGTACATCAAGCCTGTGGTCCTCACCTTGTTGCAGCGCATGCAGAGCAGCAAGACGGACACGTATGCTCAGCGCTTCGCGTTCTTCTTCCTGTACTCCATGTCCCTCAACTCGGAGGGGTTAACACCGGACTTCCTGATTTCGGCCGTGGAGAGCATTCAGCCTCAGTGAGTAAATAGGCTTGAACTACCTTGGTACATAACTGACCGCATCCAATCCCCAGATTGTGGTCGAACTTGTTGACGAACTTCATCATCACCCAAACACCCAAGATGCCGCCAAGGGACCGCAAGGTCGCCGCCGTGGGCATGTGCCGCATGTTGACCGAAAGCCAGATCATGCTGCAGCCGCCCGCAGTGCAGCAATGGTGCGTCCGCCTAACCTGCTGCTCACATTTCATCTACTAATCCTTCTGCCAGGCCTCTTGCCTTCGACGCGCTCGTCAAGCTCTTCAGCGAGCCGCAGCACCTGCAAAAATCCAAGACCGACGATGACCCGGACGCCGGCATCACCGAGATCGACTACGAGGAGCAGACCGCGGGCTACCAGGCCGCGTACTCGAAGCTCGCCGCGTCGGAGACGCATGAGCCGGACCCGGTCGGCTACGTGAACGACGTGCAGACGTTCGTGGGCACGCAGCTGGCGAAGTTGTCGCAGGCGGCGGGGCAGGCGAAGGTGCGCGAGATGCTGATGGCAACGGGCGCGCCGAGTCAGGCGTTCGTACAGAAGCTGGCGGCTGCTGGATTCGCGGTTTGAGTGGAGGATGGTGGCTAAAAAGAGATTGTTTGTCGTACTTACTACTGCTACATGACTGCTTCTGTTAGGATAGGATATTTGCGTAGGTAGCTAATCCACAATGTATGCCGCATGCGCCACCGATTTTTCCTCGTCGCCTGAATTGAAGTTCAACATGCATGGCGTGACATGAACTTGAACATGAACTTCGCACGCCAAGAAAGTGATAACAGAATGACAAACAGGTGATAACCAAATAGGTGATGGCCGACGACCGCAGTCGAGGACCTCGGTCACGGCCCGCGGCAACGGCTAGCTCTTCTTACGGCCCACGACAGACTCTGCTTATGGTCTGAACGGCTGGGAGAGACCAACTGTTCCCCGCATTCTATCCGACACGCTCTCTTCTTCCTTACCTCCGCCACTACCTAGCTACGCGCCGCGACGAAATATGAACAGTCCAATTGACGAGAAGGAGTTGAAGGAACTGCAAGACGGCCGCACGACGCCCTCGATCGTCGATGAGGACGTGTACGAGGCGACGCTGTCCCCCTTGCGGGCAGCGGTGCGACGATGGACGCTGAAGGCAGTGGAGAGGGAGTCCCCGATACTGGCTAGGATGCAGGTGCGCTCGCTCGTTCCCCGCGGAGCAAATAGCTGACGTCGGATTTCCTCGTTCGCAATTGTATTCTTCTCAATCTAACACTCGCTGTACGACTCTATGCACGATAGGCGCGCATACGATCACCTTTCCTCGACTCATACTTCCTGTATACCTCCTCTCTTGGCACGCACACGTTCTTCACGATCCTCCTCCCTACCTTTTTCTTCTTCGGCAATGATCAGCTTGGACGGAGCCTCTGCCTCATCGTTGCACTAGGCGTGTGGGTGACAAGTATCATGAAGGTGTGTGGAACGACTCTACTAGCTCGTCGCTCGTGCACTTCTTCGCGTGGCAGCGTCTGCGCTCTTCTTCGCTTCACATCTACAGTGCTTCCACCTTCTATCCCTCTTCACCACCCTGGTCCCATCCATCTGCTCTTAGTAGTCCCATGCTAAATTCGAGACCTCAGGATTTCGTATGCTCGCCACGCCCGTTCGCTCCGCCTGTCCAGCGCCTGACCATTGGCACCCATCACCTCGAATACGGCTTCCCCTCCACACATAGCGCCAACAGCGTCTCCATCGCACTCTGGTTCTACGTGATCCTGCACGACCTCTCCGCAAACGCGGCAATTAGCTCCACAACATACGCGGCCTGCACAGGCCTCCTCATCCTCTATGCGTTCTCCATTGTCTTCGGCCGGCTATACACGGCAATGCATTGCTTCACGGATTGTGTAGCGGGTGTATCTGTTGGTAAGCTTGATGAGTGCGATACCTGAACGCGTCTGTTTACGCAGAGAGCACAGCTGTATGGCTCTGGTGGCTAGAGGCCTCATGGGAGGGTTTTGTGATGCCGGTACCTTCAGTGATAACCTCGGCGGTGGCGACGATATACGACGCACTGCCGAGTGTACTGTCGTCGTTCCTCAAGACGATGATTGCACCTGCAGCAGACGGTGGCCTCGCCTTACTTCGCGGTGCTGGTGTCGGCTCGCTGATCGAGCGTTGGATCCACACCGCCGGCATCGAGGTCCCTTTTATCATCATTCCGCGTACGTTCCTCGTACATGCTTGCATTTTCACCATCGTTCTGACCCCGCCGGTCGCATTTAGTATGCCTGCTCGCTATCAATCAGCACCCTCAACCAGTTGATGATTGCCCATGCTTCGAGGATGCCATTGCGGTCGGCAGTGTCATGGTCGGCGCACTTGTTGGGCGTTGGGGTATGATGTACTTCGGCCTGGAAACAGTGGGCGTACAATCAAAAAGTAGTAGTGCGATTACGTTGATGGACTGCCTCCTGCGTACGATGCGTGAGGGGTGGTCCACGATAGAGCAGCATCGCTGACGAATTATTCAGACCCGAGCAGGATCCTCATGCCAGGTTCAGGTTGGGTGTACAACGAGACCTTGGGCATCGAAGATGCCGTGACGGGCTGGGTGCAGGAGCCGCGGACGTTGGTCGATGTATCTATCTGGTGGACCATCGCATTCCTGAAGATGTTTTTGGGGATCATGATCATTTTCGCATGGCGGCTGTTCGCAAAAAGCGCATTGCATATCATCCTTCCACCGACCTTCCGGTAGGCACTGCACTCCTCCACCTGGCGCTACTCGCTTACACGCACCACAGCTTCTTCGCCAAGCTCGTCGACCTCCCTAACCGTCGCTTCTACACGCCCGCGACCGACTACAAGAGCGTTCCCAGCGAGTTCGTCGACGAGCGCGGCGGCTTCCGGCTGCACGCCATTCCGAGTGTGATCGACCTGCCCAGCATGTCCGGGATGGAGGTTGGCGGCGTCGGTAGTGGCGTGAGCGGCAACTCTGTCGCGTGGCGCCTCGGGGAGAGCGAGATGAAGCTGCGGCAGGGGTCCGGCGTCGTGACGGAGAAGGCGCAGAACGCGGTGGACCCCAACCCGCTGGCACGCGCGTCGAGTCCGAGGGAGGAGACGATGGTGCAGCGGCTGAAGCACTACGATGCGGACGTGCTGACGAAGGTGCGCGGGCAAACTGTTGGCGTGTAGGTTGCAGTTTGAGCTAATGTGCATTCTTCGCAGTTTGCCGTGTATGCTGGTATCGCGATACTCGCCTGCGAGGTTATCCCGCACCTGTTTGAGATCTTGGGTTGGGGCGTGCGATCGTCGCCCTTCTAGTCGCGTTAGCGCCTTGCACAAGAAAATCCAGGGGTCAGGAGAGGAAGAGAGCGACACTACTCGTTGACATCTGGCGTATCACTATGCTCTGCTGCATCCCTGCATTATACTTGGGTGACAGTGTATATACCCCTTGCTTCCCACTAGCCTCGCGAAGTTGGTTCTTCTGGCCTTCTCAATGCTCTTGTCGGATCGTAACTTTACGTCGCGGTTTTCCTGTTGGTATCCTACGTTTGAAGACACTGTTGCATGTTTCCGTCAGGTGTAGTAATAGAGTAAAGTACAATCGAAAACATCTATTCCAAGCTGGCGGTAAGGGGGCACTCACTGAACGCAGGAATGTTCTGTGTTCAGCATTCCTCGGCAAGGGCCGATCACGTGGAAGTCAGGCAAAGTTCGGCCCGCCGGGTTCGTCCGCCAGCTGCAGTTGAAAACGGTGTTTTGGTTCTCTCGTTCATGTAGGCTCGCCTCTCAGCTGGCGTTCTCCGACTGGTATTTGACTGGTATACTCTGGCGACCCTCACGATTACTGCCAACCTTCTCTTGCCCTGATTTTGGCACTCAGCGTCTAGATCGCTGTCAAGCTTCCCGCAATGATACGCTTATTCGGATGACTGCGCTAAATATCACGGCGACATGGGGTCCCTACTATGGCAGCCCTGGTCTCGTAGCAATCAATGAAGATCTACCCGTGACTGACAATGTTCCTACTGCGCAGCGGTAGGGCCGCCCTTACTCTGCGCTTGAACGAAGTCGAGGTAGACTGAATTGGGCATCAAGGATGCCGTCAACGAATGCACAGCGGCAGACATCGCCTAACACCCGGCGGAAGCTTCTCCATCGCGGGAGATGCAAAGCAACTGAAAGACCCGCAAACGAGGAAGACTGCCTTGAGCCTTGTTTCACGATTGGCCTCGATGGCTGCACCTGTTCATCACAGCGCGTGGCCTGATCCTCTCCCGCATGTTCACCTTGCTCGGTACGGGTCTCGGTTGGTACATTGTCTCCCCTCGCTAACCAGCTTGCCCTTAGCCTATGTCGGGTCAAGCCATTGCGCAGTTTGCCCTGGTGTCGCCTTGGTGAGTCTCGACTTCAGCGCCTCCATACACCGCGGGCGGCGAGGCAAGCACCGCGACCTCTTGAGATACCGACTTTCGTTAGAGTTGATGTTATCCGAAACAGAAGGCGCGCCGCCTGTCCGGTAGCCACGGTTAGATGCACTGCAGTCGTGCATTTATATCCCGCAGGTACTGACAGCGGGTCATCGACTCCCGCCCTCCCTTCACCGGCACCGGCTCATAAGGCCAGAGGTCAGACGCGGCTTCCACTCCTCTGCCCTGGTTGCTCCTCTTCTTGTATACTCTTGCTCCAATCATGTGGACGCCTATGCGCTTGGGATACTCCGATTTTTTCTTGTCGGGTGTTCGAGCTATCACCAAGCGTCCGATGCGCGGCCAGTCGCAGGCCAATCGCGGGGCGTCTATGGAGAGCGCATCCGAGCCTTCGTCGTCGGCTACTACCGCCATTCACGAATGTGTTATCGAGGGAGGCGACGCGGACCTCGGTCGTCCCGAGGCAAACGCCAGGGCACCAACCAGGTCCTCTGCCTTGTCGTCGATGACTTCCCCGTCACCTCCCAACGACCATGGAAGGCCCAAGCGGAGGTGGTCGATGAAGCCCACATCGATAGCAAAGACACCCGACTTCGCACCGCTTGAGAAGCGTACGGCGTTAATGGAACCCTCCGTCACTTAGTACGTCCTCAAGGTCCTTTGTATGTGCTGCTAAATTGACCTTACTCTACAGTATTGACTCACTCTTTGTCGCCGACCCTTTCTCCGCCGAGAAGTCGCAGTCCTTTTACGCGGATTTCCCCACCTCGGTGCCGAAACATCGTGCTTCCACCAAGCGCAAAGCCGTTGAGCATCCCTCCTTCCTCACCCTGAACGACTCGTCCAGCGATGGGCCATTGTCCTTCCCTCGACTACTCTCGCGGTCGTCGTCGACATCGTCGACGTACGCCGATTCGACGCGAAGCTCAACAGGGGGAAAGGCTCGCGGCAAGCCGACGCAGTGCGCCTCGCGAGCGTCGCGCAATGCACACCGAGCCTCGATGCCTCCTGTACACCTGTCGACATGCATTCCGCCAGCACCACCCCACCCACGCAGGAGGTGGCGAGTATCCATGGGACCTCTAGGTGCCGCGGATCGCTCTGGGTGGGCTTGATCATACTGGGGAACAATGGACTCGCACTGCCAGTGGCAGCCTTGCTTCATAACTTATTCGCTGCTCTCGTCGTTGACATAAAATACGCAACATGCCGCTATTACTCGTAGCTGAACGGACAGACCTCAGTAGACTAACTTATTCATTGCGATGGCCAGGTCGTAGTCTATGCGTAGTGTAGATAATTCCTTATATTCTAGTGGTCAATGGTGCAGTAGGCATTGCATCGTACACATCCGTTGAAGCAGATCTGGACGCAAGATCGAATGAATGGACTGGTGCAGCAACCGGCAAATCCCGGCTCACTGTTGTTTCCGCCTCTCATGTTACAAGATATGGATTGACGGCTTGCTGTGTATCGCTCTCCAGATTTGACAACGTGGCAATTCACGATGCTAGCCCCTCATATCTACCACTCGCGGCCGCCCTCGCCTTGATCCAGAGAAATTCAACTCGAAGTCGGAAGTAGAGCTGGACATTGCCAAGCAGCGAGCTGGAGCTGGTCAGCGTGCAACAAGGGACGTTCTCCCAGCTTTCTCTCGCTCCGCAGCCTCTACATGATTCGAAGAACCCGCAGACGGTGGCCCTGTTCGGACGTTCCCGACGGCCTCACCTCCAAGCCTCTTTCGCCCTGCTTCCAACAGGCTCCGAGCGCCCAATTTCGAGGTCGATTGGCCGACAGTTCTGACGAGGCGATGCGCGGGTAAAGCAGACGTAACAAAGCACCGACAGCTTCCGAGCGTATAGACGAAGGCGAATCGAATGTACTGTCCTGGTAGTCGAAGTTAGTCCTATGACCGTCGTCTTGTGATAGGTCGGCCTCAGATACGTGTCCTCGAGAGGTACCTTGGGGATATGGCTATCGGCTCCGACCATTGAGAACGGTCGCGGAAAGGACAACACATGGTATTGATGTCGAGGACACACAGTCACGCCCGCATCGGCTCACAAAGTCACCGCCTACGACCCAACCGGGACCTTCCAGGACGTCGCTGGGCTGCCCTCGATTATGGGTGCCACCCAAACGTGGTCCTCTTGCCGTTCTTCTGGATGCCTTCCTGCTCTACGACGTGCATCGTTGCCATCTTCTTTGGAGTCGCCAGTACATGGGATTGTGCAGCGCCCTCCACAGACTCAGTCACGGATCCCCGTCTTGACAGGTACAGTCCGTCGCCTAGGGAAAGCCAGGGACATACGAACCAACATACCCTTCGCGCCCGCTCCCGTGATCTTGTACGCACAGCTCGCCGACGGCGCGTGCACTCATCCAGATGCGAAGAAAACCCGCTCGAAAGAGACACCCCGAGGGCCGGCCTTTCCTCGCGTATACGTAAGGTTCTGCTCTACTCAATGCTATGGCCCGCGTTTATTGCCCCGCCTGCCCTGGATAGGCAATCCGCGGGGTATATGATCGCTCGTACCCCAGACGAACAAGCTCCGCTTGACCGTCCCCATCCCCTCCCCCGCAAGGAGACAGGCGCGCAAGCGCATACGCGCCCAGCATGCCCAACATGGCGCCGTCACGTCCACTTCCGGAATGGACCATCGTGGACTTCATTCACAGAGGGTACTGGTGGAAGAACAGAGGTGCGTCCGTGGCGCGTTGCCGCTCTTCATGCATATGCTAACGCCGAGCTCGAAGGGATATTGATGTTGAACCTGTGTCTCATCCTTCCTTTGCTCACCGCTTCTGTCAACGGGCTGGACTCTTCATTGGTCAACGGTGCGTCAGTCTTTCGTGCGCATCCACCTTGCTCATGGCTAGATGCAGGGCTCCAGATACTGCCCGATTGGCAGAACTACTTCGACCACCCTCATGGACGAACATTGGGTACGTCACTCGGCAGAGCAGCTGATAATACTTGCTAATACGTCTCCTGTACAGGCCTCATCAACAGCGCGCAGAACATTGGTGGTCTCGCTGTGCGTGACGCCTTCCTCCCGCATTTTCAGCCTACCGACTCTAACGTCTCAGGCGCTTCCTTTGACCCCGCTAGCAAGTGACCGCCTGGGTCGACGAGTCGCTCTGTTCATAGGTTCGACGATCATGCTTGGCGGTGTCGCTCTCCAGTATGCTGCGAACTCTGTCAAGCTCTTTATGGCTGCTCGGATCGTTAGTAAGTTTGATGTCTCTTGCGCCCTTTTTCAGGCATCTCTGACTCCCGACCGATAGTCGGCTTCGGGCTTGCTTTCTGTACAAACTCCGCCCCCTTGCTCTTGATTGAGCTTGCATACCCAACGCAGGTCCGTCGATGCCGTTATGTTCCCGAACCTCGAGCTTACGACATGTAATAGCGGGGTAAGATCACTTCCATATACAACTCGAGTTGGTATGCCGGTAGCATGCTATCAGCATGGGTGCGTACTCAATACAGGCCCATTCACCTAGTTGTTCTGACTTGACAGTCAAGGTTTGCTATGGCGCGTTCGACAAGGCGCTCGGGCAGTGGACATGGCGCGTGCCAACTCTAGTTCAGGGAGTTGTACCGCTCTTGCAGGTGTGTTTGGTCTGGTAAGTCCCCTTCAACCTCCTGTAAAGTTGATACGATCTAATCCCGTAAGGTTCATCCCAGAAAGTCCTCGCTTCCTCGTAGCCAAAGGTTATGAGGGCAAAGCGAGAAAAATCCTGGCTAAATATCACGCAAATGCAGGCGACGAGCATGATCCCCTCGTCGTCTTCGAGCTCGCACAGATTCGTCACGCGATCCGGATGGAGGAGGAAGCCACTCGTATCACGTCGTGGCTCACCCTTTTCTCGACGCCCGGCAATCGAAAGCGGATGCGTCTCATCATTGCCATTGCGATCTTCTCTCAATGGAGGTACGTTCACGGTCAATTCAATGAATGACAGAAAGCTGACTTGATCTCGCAGTGGCAATGGGCTAGTATCCTACTACATCAACCTCGTACTCGAGGGCGTAGGCATACGTAGTACCGAGACGAAGGCTGCGATAAATGGAGGCCTACAAGTGCGTTCTCCGGGATCACATCGTAGTTACTCTCCCTCATCGCTCGCAACAGGTCTTCAATATGTGTGTCGCCTTCACCGCCGCCATGCTCGTCGACTGGGTCGGGCGAAGAACGCTCTTCATTGTTTCCACTGCTGGAATGCTCGTCTGTGCGTCAGGCTCGCCTGAGATCTGGCTCATCTGCTGATCTGTATGACAGGCTTTACTAGCTGGACAACCGTACGCATCGCCCCTCTGGATATATTGTTCTTACTGACGAGCAGCAGACAACCGCTCTTTTCGATGTTTTCCAGAGCACGGTCGCCGCGAAAGGTATGATATTTATTCGCACCCATCAACTGGCTGGCCTAACGTCGTTCCAGCGACCATACCACTGATCTTTATATTTTACTTCTTCTACGACGTGGCCTACACCCCGATGCTGGTAGCGTATACCTTGGAAATCTTGCCCTACAAGATTCGTGCTCGAGGGTTCGCTGTGATGGTAAGCCACATACACTCAATGCCGTCGGCGTGATCTGACATTGTACATCACAGAACCTCACCGTGTTCCTCACAACAGCCTTCAATCAGTTCGTAAACCCATGGGCATTGGACGCAATAGGTCGGTGAAGTCTAACCAACCACTGTTTCCCGCTCACAATTGGATAGGATGGCACTACTACATCGTTTACTGTGGCTGGCTCGTCCTCGAGCTTGTATTCGTGCTCGTGTACGTTGTAGAGACGAAGGGTGGGTTCAAAGTCCATTTGTTGTCTAGGCATCTTACCGATAATCGGGCTACAGGCAAGACGTTGGAAGAGACGGCTTTGATCTTCGATGGCGAGGAACAGCAGCGCGACCTCGCTGCATTCGGCGAGGAGGCTGCGACCCACACCATGACTATGCAGGCTGTCGCAACCCTCCAGCGCCTCGCGTCCAAGCCCCCATCCATCCACGACCATGACTCCATCACGGACGAAGGGACAGATAAGTCCTGCGAGCGCATGGTCAAGAGTCGCCTATCCGACGAGATCCGCACTGTCGCCCGCTCCCAACCCGCCCTCGACGAGGACGCGTTATCCTACCACACCAGCGACCCTCCACTGTACTCCTACGAGGCAGACCAGCATCGACACCCCTTCAGCTACCACGGAGACGCGCGCAGCGACTCCGAGATCAACCTCGACTCCGCGTTGGGCTACTACGCGCGACGAGCGTCCTTTGCCGAATCCTACGAGCGGCAGGTGTATTCTTTGGACGGACACGGACGCGCTGTATCTCCTAACGGATCGGACTTCAAGTTCACGGCAGTATAGCTGACGAACTTTAACCGTTGGCGTCCTGCACTGTAATTGTACCATTAGCGGCCATTGTGTAGGTCTGGTCATTTGGGTATACGGGGGATCCGCACAAAATTATCGAAGTACTGTAGTGTATTATACCAAATACCTGTAGCTGTCCTCCCCATACTTATCGCGGCCTGTACTTATAAATAACGACTATCATGACGACGAAACCAAAGTCCATAGATGCGAGCAAGAGATCAAGAAACCAAACTGCTCTGGCGAGCGTTGGTGAGCTTCACGCCGCCGGAACCCACACCTGTACGGCGTTGGCGAAGCAAGAGAACTCGCCCCACCCATGCGCATCAATTTGCACCTCCCCACCTTGCGTCATGTAGCTGCGATAGATAGCACCTGCTCTGGCCTATGGACGACGGTCAATACACCTGCACTTTATGACGCATACCCAAGAACACTCACTGGACCGACATTCATGCGAATAGTATGCAGCGGTCCGGCCCTGTCAAGCAAGGTGAGCACACCCCACTAACGACGGCCCCGGAAACGGGCTTAACGAAGCCACACTCACTCGTCCCTGTTGCTCAATAGCACCACGCATCCGGGGTGCCGCCCGGTGCCCCCGCGCACAAAGCCGATGCAGTTCTTCCCGGCGTTGTAGTCTTGTACGGGCCCGTACGCGTATAGCCGGCGTGCCTCGATAAGCCGACGCAGGTTAGCCGCTGTGTTCGCGTTGTAGCACTTCTTGTTGGGGTACAAGTCGCCGTAGAAGATGCACCTATGACGATGTGAGGTCAGACTGAAGGCCAAGTGCGCGCAAGAGACGCACGGGTATCCCTCGGGTCGAAGCAGGATCAGGGCATATGCTTGGATCTTGAAATTCTCTTCAACCTGCGAGGAGTTGATGAGGGAAGGACTTGACCGTAACGACAAGGTACGCACCCAGCTCTCTAGGTCCATGCCTTCCACCTATAGACAGGACATGGTCAAGTCAACACTCCGGGATCAGGATCAGTAGACCTACGGTACTGACGCAGTTAGCTTCGGCGAGCCTAATCAGAGAAAGCTGCCTACTCGTGGTTATCGACGAACGTCACAGCGTCACCTGGCCGGAGCCGGGCGAGAGTGCTGCTCATCAAGTCTCTCAGGTCATAGCGCTCCCTCTTCCGACTGGCTTCACATAGGCGCATATGCAGCGGCACGTCGAAGAACACAGCCTATAGAGCCGCAGTAACGAGGGGAGGCAAATCAGCGAGGCGCTCGACGCGCTCGGACCCCGAGGCACGTACCTCTCCTTTGAATGCCCGAATGTAGGGCAGAATGAGCTTGACGCTGTGCGGATGGAGCTCGTTAAGCCGGGCCACACATGCGGGTATGACGCACTCACTCTCCCGACCAGAATTCACCTGCAAGGGGAGAAGAAGTACGTTCCATGAGCGACCGCACACCCGCGGATAATGAACCGTTCACCACTCACAGACGCAGAACATCCGCGGTTCTTGCGCATTCCGGCGCGTCGCGGTGATCTTGGCCGCAGGTAAGTCAAGCCCGGGCGCCGTCTGGCTTCGCTCCCACACGCACCCACTGCAGCATAAACTTGTAGTCGATGTGCTTGGCGGCGTCGATCCGGAATCCGGCTGCGCCTAGGGTCTGCGGGAAATTGTGAATGGGGCGGTTTCGTGGGGATATTCGCGGGTGTACCTCCAGCATCCAGGGACCCCAGCGCAGGAAATCTTCCTGAACCTCAGGATGGCGGTGATCGATCTGCTCGGGATGAGTTCGCTTATACTGCCGGAGGAGGCGATGGACGTACATCCACGCCTAGAAGGTAGTCGTAGTTGCCGAACTCGGTACCTACGTTGCGGCTCCAGCCATGGTGGCCTTTGCCTGCAATGCGGTAAATCCCTTGTTGCTGTGTACGCTGGTCCCAGTCGAGACCTGCTACATGTTAGAAAGCTTCTGCGAGGTTATTCAGAACGTGAACGCGCCAGTGAAGTGCTCCTGGGTCCACTTCATCTTGCTGTACTGCGACCGGGGTCAGCGTTCAAGTTTACCTGTGTACGAGGTGAACCCCACCTTGTCGCCTCGTCCAGGGAAGTCGAAGGCTGTCCAGCCCTGTCTTATATAAGCAAAGAAGAGCAGGACGTGCACGTGAGAGCACACACTTCAATCTCGTGTACTTTGCTCAGCTCCTTTAGCCGGTTCTGAGTGTCGACGCGGACTGCGGGGAAAGTCTCCACGCGGTCAGCCCCAAGCTTATGCTATGGTGACAGTCAGTCGGCTTAAGAAAGCACCCATCAGAGGTTCAGCTCACGTTGATGACCGCGTCGACAATGACATCGACTTTGACTTGCTTGGCTGTACGGCATGCGCGCAGGAGCTCTTCCTTCGAACCCCACCGCGTCCTCACCATGCCCTTCTGGTCGAACTCTCCCAGATCCCACTGCATATCGTTGAACATGGCGCATAACTTCTTCAGACAAGGGACTCACAATGTCATATGCGTCGTATCCTCTGCCAGTCTGCACGGCGCTTAGCTGGAGTGTACAGGAAGTATGGTTGGCTGTGTACCTTCGCGGCAGCCTTGTTTGGAGGCGGAATCCAGACTTGTGTTATTCCCATGCGCGCCATCTCAGGCAGCTCTTGCTCTAGATGCTGCCACCAGCTCATGTCATCGCGCAGCGCGTCCCATGTGAAGAACTCGATCTACGCGACGCGTGAATGTGTATGTTCAGTCATGGTGAGGACCACGCACCATGAGTGGATTTTGCTCAGGATCATCCTCAGTCCCCAAGCGCATACGCGACAGCCCAGGACCCGCCGCATGATGCGCTGCAGGCGGCGGCGCTGCTGCTGCTGGAGTCGCGCCACCCCCGCCCGTAGGCCTTGCCGCGCTCTGCGTGCGCCGGTGCCCCGGACGAAATACGTTGGCAAAGCGCTTGTGAAGGTCTGAGAACATTTTCGGAGTTTAGTGACCGTCGAAAGCAAGGAACGTTGGTGAAGTTCTTGACGGCGGCTGGCGCACTCCGAACACGTATTAACGCGGTCTCCGCGGAGATGCGATCACTTGGGGCGTGACCGCGTGGCTCGTCAGGTGACAAGTTGAACTTCGTCACGGTGGGGTTGACTTCGACTTGGCCTTTGTGGCCCAGGACGCCAGATTCGATACCACGCTATATGTACTACGCTTATAGTAAGCTCTTGTACCACAAGCGCACCTTCATCTACATTTCCTGTATATGCATGCGTGCATAAGCGTCCCATGCCGTAAGGGGTACGAGCGTCAATTTTTCCAGAATCGATATGATAGTTCCGAAGGAGCATATCAGACAGATATCAGGAAACTAGCATTCTCTCACGCTAGCTATGAAACCGAGTTGATATCCAGAGCACCATACTCGTTAGCGCTCGACGCGTCCCGCTGGCGGTCGCGCTCGGCGTCACAGTTACCCTCCAATGAAGCGCCAATATAAGAGGCCGTTGCCGTGAATAGAGTGAGTCTGCCTAGGAATTTACACGAAAAACAAACCGGAAAGCAATGTTTTTTCACGAACTTCTTGTAACAAGAGCAATGATTTCCACGACGAGTTTACAATCTTTGCGGAAAGTTCTGGCACGGGTCTCCACGCTGCCCATGCTCTACACCCGCTGCTGGCAGCGTCAGACCTCATCGATTTGGCAGGTGGGCTGGAGACGACCGTATCGCATCCCGTGGTGAGGTTTGGAAGAGCAGAAGCGTGTCAGTCGTCCCGCCGGAGAGCGAGCGAGGCTGTGACGTCACGGGCGATTCGCGCGTCCAGAGTAATTTCTACCAACATGGTCAAAGATTTCGGGCGATCCCAAAGAACTTCCACCAAAATATAATGGCTTTTGAATTTGAAAAAGCGCTGTAAAATCCTGGGCAGGCTCACTCTAATGGCCCCGCGTAAATATTCATTCAGGTCCTTCAAAAGAGACACTCATTACGGATCGAGTTGTCCCAAAGGAACTTAGCAGCCTCCGTCGTGCTTCCTGCCGACGCCGTCTTGACTTCTACATTGTCGACGTCGAAATCTTCATCTCACCTGGGGCTGAATCTACAAAGCGCCAGTCCGATCTCATGGAGGTATAATTTTTCGAGGGAGAGAAATATTGGCAGCCTCCTGAAATTATTTTAATCGCCGTTGAGCGTGTACAGGCAACGATGCTTCTTGGATGATCTCCACCCCATATATCCCTCCCAACTGGGTAGATCTCGCATCCAGTTACATGTTCACATTAGATCGAGTCGTTGCTGACAAGCATACATACGAGCGCGGCCAATCGGTCTGGTCACACCCACCATTACATCCCAGGGCATCCGCCGGATGCGAGGGATCATTTCTGCGCGGAAATGCCTGGCTGTTCGTCTCCAAGCCGACTTCCATTGTGCAGCGGTCGCGCTGTTCGCCCGCACGAGCTCTCGCATGCGCTCCAAGGACGGTAAGCCCCGGAGGATAGCGTCCGCTCTATGGAAGGAAAGAGGTAGGGATTTCCGCCCGCGCACAAGGGGGACGAGCCCTTCATAAACAAGGCGGTTGAGGCCATGTAGATACACAAGATGTGTGCACATCGAGGAGTGTAAGGCATCCAATGCCAAGATCAGAGCGCCGATATCGACGAGGCTGTCGAGCGGCCCAAACACAGGGTTGAAGTCATTCGTGTCGAAATTCACTTTGGAAGACTCGTTCAACTTGAAAGAGTACCAGATGTGGTTGATTACTTTGTCGCACGCCGACGCCGCTGCAGATGCGTCGCTGATGTGCAATGACAGAAGGTCGGAGACCCGTCGAAACCTCTGCCAGAGGTCTGCTGCCTTGACACCGCTATGAGCCAGTAATTCGAAAACTCGAAAGAGTAGCTCGTATAACAATGAACAGCGATCGTTCAGTTCGGCCATGGGGTTTACGAGCGTATCTAGATAGGCCTAGAAAACAATTAACTTTCGTTTCGTTCAGACAGCGGCAGACATACCGCAGGAGCCGGTTGGGCCATTGCGCCTTGCGTATTGAGTGAAGCCCCCTCTTCGAGGACAAGGATGAAAAATGACGATCTTCACTGACCGACTGCCCGACGTGATACTTCCCTTTTTGCCTGAATCAAGGGTACCTTGGATAGACCGTGCGTCTGGTCTGGACGACAAATGCCTCCCCATCAGAGACACTGAGAAAACGTGGCGAATCCTAACCGTCGCCCGATGGGGAATTGCGCCCTCTCTGGCGCCGCGCTGCTCCTGCCCCAACGATCCCGATGACAAGCCACAGATTGTATACAAAGTACAAGTGTATAAGGGATAGAACGATACATCCAGCGAGATACGAGGAGAGCGTGCAAAGAGAGAGGGTGGGTCGACGCGGAAAGGGAGACCGTATAAGGAGGAGAGAAAAAAACACAGACTATGTGGGGAGGACACAGACCGTATGAGACCGCATGAAGGACCAGCACAAGACCGACAATAGGCGGGCGTATGTACTGGGTGAGCATCGTACGCAGAGAAAGAAGGGTAGAAGATAAGAAGGAAGAAAGGGGTAAAAACGGCGTAGTAGGTACGCGCAGGGTAGCCAAAAAAGGGGATATCGACATAAGATGAGACGTGAGGCAGGCGAGTAACGAAAGAGGAAGGGAGAGGGGATATGTTACGCAAGCGCCCGGCAGATGGAGGCATAAAAGATGTAATAAGATAGAACGAACGCCTGGGAACCCAAAAACGCCCCGACGTCCGTTCATCCGGCCAGCCAGCAAGAGAAGCGACGAGAGGCTCATCGCTTGGCGAACACCTTCTTCAAGAGACCGAGGACCTTGGGCACGTTGAGCTGGACGTACTCGAGGTCCAGAAGGTGCTTGTTGTCTTTTTGCTTCTCCAACAGGTCGTCGATCTTGAGGTCCATCTCGAGGATCGCCTTCTCCCGACCCTTGTAATGAAGGGCGATGATGAACGTCCCGGGCGTTGGCGACGTGATGTTGAAGTAGATATTCGGCCGCCTGCGTAATTATTGTCAGTCGGACTTTCTCACATGCTCATCCCCAGAGCACTCACCGATTATCTGGCACATTACTCTCCACGATGATTCCCTCCTTCTCCAACTGCGCATGTGTGAACCTATACGGCCCCAGCGTTACGGGCTTCGTCGGCTTCTTCTCCTTCCCACCGACCGTAACGACGCCCACACCCGTCGACGAGCCCTTATCCTTCGTCGCCGTCAGACGCACATTCTGCAGATACGCCTTGTACTGCTCGAGCTGGCTGCGCATATAGTTGTTGTGGTCGCAGATCGTCTTGTACACCGCCTCCAAGCTCTTCGTCTCCAGCACGACCTTCTCGCGCAGGTTGCCCAAGTGCGCGAGCTCCGCAGCGACCTCGTCCTGCATGAGCTTGTACCCGTCCGACGAGTCGATTACGTGTAGCTCCTCGAGCTCGCGCAGCATCTCCTTCACCTTGATGCCCTTGCGCACCAGTGTCGCGTCCTTCGTCGTCGCAGCGCGCTCCGCGATGGCTGCGAGGTTGTACGGCTTCTTCTCAGCGGCATGCGGGATAGAACGGAGGAGGTGGACGAAGATCGACTTGGCTTCCATGTAGAGCATGTCGCTTGATGATACCGAGTCCATGAGAGCGCTCTGGATGTCCTGCACCGGCGTCTCCCAGCGGCTGTACAGCGACAGCTCGATCGTGCGGTTCTCCTTGCGTGGCACCTGCGGAGGTGCAGGGCCAAGCTCGTCCGTGAGGATGCGTAGATGTTGCTTCTCGTTGGGTGACTAAGATAGAATGAGCGACGAGATGCAGATGGCCTTTTTGTAGACTGACCAGTGTTTCGATGTGTTGCAGAATCAATGAGTGGGTGTTGTACAACTCATTCAACGTGATATGGATCATCAGATCCTTCTTCGACAGCGCCATGTACTGGTCCATCTGGAAGCGAGATGAGCATCGGGGCAGACATGACTTCAAAAGAACGTACCTCCAAGGTGTCATAGAAATCCCCAACCTCACACAAATTATTCAAGAACTGATTGATGCGCGCCTTGTTGTTGTCGACGAAGGGGTTGAGCGTCATCATGTAAGCCTCCTTTGAGTACGAGGGCTTGTTGGCAAGGTTCTGCAACATTTTCGCGATCTGTGGTGGCGTAAGGACCACAGTCGTCATGCGTCCTGTGCTGACTCACCAAAGTCAATGTCCGTCTCGGGTGCTTCGCGGGAACGCCCTCGACAAGCATGTACGCCTGCGGTGTTACGATAGCCGGGTTGATGAAGCGAAGGAAGAAGAAGCCGCCGATCAACGAGCAGATAGCATAATCCGTCGCCTCTGGGTATTTTCGCTGCTGGACGTGTCAAAATCAATCCTTCGTGCTGGGTCAGGCCACTCACCCGCGTTAGACTCCGGATTTGCTTGCAGATCCACCGGATACCGTACGGCACGCTCTCCATGCTCTCGATGATGGTGAGCAGGAAGCTGTTCGCGATCTCCATAAGCATCGTTAGGCGGGGCGCGATGATTGCCTGGACGTCAGGGTTCTCCTGAGCGACTTCTGGGGGAACACCACGAGGGAGGTTGGGGGGTAGGGAGCCGGTCTCTTCTTCGATTTGGTTGATCATTTGCTCGTACACCTTGACAGGGTTGATCTCGAGGTTGAGGTCCTTATGCTCGATAAGGCTGTTGATACGTTCGGCGAGAACGCTCTTCAGGTAGGACTGTCCCGGCCCTCGGCGGGTGTAGGTGGTCATCATGCGAGAGACGGGCGTGTTCGCACGCAGGAGGGAGCCAAACTCAGTCGCGGTCTCAAACTGCGCAGAGAGGACGGACTGGAACATGGTAAGCAGCAGGTGTTCCTCGCGGCTCTCGTACTGGTTGCCGTAGAGCGTGAACATGACGGTCTGGAGGAGGGTGTCGATCTCGCTTAGGCTGACGAGGCGGCAGAGGGCGGCGACGTGGCGGGGTTCGGATTGGAGGAGGAAGAATAGGTTGGAGTACTGCTGCATCCTGCGGTCGTCGGGGTATTGGCCTTCTGTCGGGTCTACTTCTTCCAGCGTACGCTCAACCTCGCGTTGCTGCGGATGTATGAGTACTTTTATTGTTCATTGGCGGGCGATCGTGCGCACCTCGTCCAGTGCCATTCGATTTTGGATGAGCAGCGCGATACGCGAGTCGAGGTATCGGACGTCACGCTCGAGCACAAAGTTCTTCTTGGACTGCGCGGAGATCTTGCCCTTCAGATCCCTCAAGCGTTTCTGGGCTGTGCGCGGTTGTTAGTATACGCGATGGTGAGACAGTCGCGACCCGCAACGCACCTCGTGCGAGATCGTCCTCGACGTCAACGTCCTGCTCAGCCGCCATGCTAAACAAGGCGGTGACCGAGTAGCGGTTCGTGTTGCGGTTGGTGTGCCTGCGCGAGGACATGCTCGGCGAGCTGGGCTCCGGGTAGGACATGATGAGTGTGTTCGTTCAAGGGCGTCGCGGGCGTCGCTAAAGGCGATAGACGGGTCGCCGAAGGGGGGAGGCGGGGGCAGCGCAGACGTTCCGGCGGCGCGTGCGGGGAGATGGAGAGATAAAGGAAAGTGTCTTTGAAGTTGAGAGCGAGACCTGACCGCCAGAAACAACCTTGGGCGCACCTCCGTCGCCGCCTCCGTGATTTCCTTTTCCGGTGCCGCATTGATACATATCAACCGGCGTCGGTCGTTGCCAGCGTGCCCTTGCGGTCCTTACTTCGTTCCTTTATCCCGGCGCATGAATATCTTCGCCAACTAGAATTCTGCGAGTCATTGCCGCTCACCAGCTCACAGACACTGCACGAGGATATCAATCAACAACAACAAAAATCCGCAATTCTTCTGCTCGGCTATCGTAGAAAAACAACGCGAAGTGTACGCTAGAGATTATCTCATCATCAGTCGGTGCGACCGCAGCAGAGTCCGTCCAGGCGACCACCGTTCGGATTCAACGACCACCGCGTTGTTACCCCATAGCTATCACGTGCACCACGCGTGATATGTCAACTTCGGAGCACCCAGCAATGGATGCTCCCTTTCGTCAAGGTCCTATAGTAAGAGCAAGCCACTCTTTTCCCGCCTCCTTCAAAATCGTCGTGTCGTAGGGCTGCGCTAGTGTCTGGATGTGCAGGGCGCGCAGAATGCCTTTACGAGATAGCACCATGTTATCCAGCGTTCTCCGAGGGTCGCTCCAGCAGGTACCCAGGGATAGCTTCGCGAGGTGAGGGAGCCATCGCTTGGTATCATCGATGGTCAGCATGTCGGTGAACCGGCTAGGCACGGCCATTCTGCACGCAGACAGCTCTTGCAGATCATACAAGGGCTCCAATTGGAGGAGGTCAACGAGCTGCTGCACGCGCCCCGTGAAGACGAAGCGCTGTAGTTTAGCCCCAGATCGCACGAGCAGATTCCCAACAGAGGACCAGAATCGAGTCTGTATTTGAGACTTTGCGGCCGTGGAGTCATCGTTGAGCGCGAGATCGCGTAAGCATGGCACATCCCGGAGGCGTTCAACGAACTCGCGTGCATCCGAGACAGAGCTCAATGTCATGCTGAGAGTTCGAAGGTTTGGAGCACTGACAGTCAGTGGGAGCCTGGGTACCAGCTGTGCTAGCAGCGTTTCCGCGTCGCCGAGCGTCTCCAAGTGGAGGACCTCAATTTGTGGGCAGATATGCAGAAGAAGCAGAATGTGCGCGACGGCAGATGCGGTGTTACAGATGCTAAACTCGCGAACGCTACGCCAGGAGCCGAACGAGACATCAAGTGGGGGCAGTATTGCGAGAGCGGCACAGCGAAGAGCAGGCGATGATAAGGCCCATCGCCACGCCTCATCCTCCACTCCATAGGACGGACCATCGACGATTCTGGCAGACTGCAAGGATGGCACGGATGCTGACAGAAGGATGTCAAAGTGTTGTTGGGTGAACCACTTCGCATGGAGCACGAGTTCATGCCACCTATGCGCATGTGGCACGACGATGTGCAGCAACTGCGTGAACAATGGGTGCTTCTCACGCCAGAATTCGACAGACTTGTTGCCTTTGCAGGTATTGATATGCACTGTGAGGGGACGGTCGACGGAGTGCTTCACATGGAGGGCCGCCCAATGCAGTTCCCGACGTTCGAAGTCATCCACAAAAACTCTAGTCCAGAGCTCTGGTGCGCCCTCTGCAATCGCCTTCCATCGCCGACAGACCGCGATGAGAACTACGGGAGAGCGTAGGTATAGTGAAGCGTCCGAGGGAGGTACGGAATGAGGTCGGAATCCAAAGGGCGCGCCAAATTTCCAGAAAGCGTGCACATCCGGGAGTGTATGCTTGAATATCTCGATGAGAAGTTCCGCGGGAAGCAGAGTCGCTGGCGGACTACGACAAGAGCCAACATGTCGACTAGCCATGATATCCCAAGGCGAAACGGTACGTTTTTGGTGTGCCACCATCGTGATCTTCGCACTGTCGCACTCGTCCTCCAAACCGGTAGCCTTGTCATTCGGCGACGTCAGAGACGCTCGAAGCCAAGTATCGACGTCCACGTACCAAAATCATGCTAACCCTGCGTTTTCATAGAGAGAAAACTAGATGACTTTGACGAAGAAAGGGGAGAGAGGGTTTGCCTGATTTGTCGGCGCGCTCGGAATCATCCGTATCACGTGATAGCTTGAGGGCAAGTCAAAGCGCGTGCCGCGATCGCGTCCAGTAATCAGACCCAACTTAACATGAACCGCGACATGTCCGCCTCCAGCGCCGACGACCAGACGAGGCATTCCAGCGTCTTCGACGATGCCCCTGCAACGTCTGTTGCCCCCAGCAGCACGGCACCCTCGTCCCCGGTAGCGGATACCGACGACGACGACGACGAAATAGACAAGAGCAACAAGGTCCGCGCAGAAAGCTTCCGTTGACAATAACTTAGCCTTGTAGCTGACACCGCCTCAGGATGAGCCCGCCGATGATCCCGCCCCGACCTTGGTAAGGCGAACAAAAATTCAAAGCCCAGAACGCGTAGGTTGACCGCAAACCAACAGGACCCCGTCATGGAGGAGCGCCTGAGGAACCTAGAGTTGCTCCTGAAGAAGGCGAACGCGTACACGACGATCCTCCAGCAGTCTATCGCCCCACCTGCACCTCCCACTCCGCCACCAGCCAAGAAGGCGAAGCGCAAGCCCGCGCCGAAAAAGGGGCGTGGCAAGCGCACGAAGGCAGAGGCCAGCGAGGATGAGGAGAACGAAGCGCCTGTGAAGAAGCGCAAGACAGGGGAAGGAGAGGCAGTCGCGGAGGAAGACGAGAAGCCGGTGTTCAGTGCGCGGGCGCCTATTGCTCAGCCCAAGCTGATCACTGGCGCGACCATGAAGGACTACCAGCTGGAGGGCTTGCGATGGATGGTTGGCCTTGACAGCAATGGCGTCTCTGGTATTCTCGGTGCGTTATCAACTTTCCTGGTCCGGCTCGCCTGCTCATTCCCCCTCGCAGCCGACGAGATGGGATTGGGGAAGACACTACAGACCATCGCTTTCAACGCGTACATTCGCGAGCTCAAGCACTCCAAGCACTTCCTCATCGTCTGCCCGCTCAGCGTACTCCACAACTGGGTGGCGGAGTTCGAGAAGTTTGCCCCTGACGTGCGTTGTTTCCCCGTCTCGCGAGACTGCTACTGACTCTCTCCCAGATCCCCGTTTGCATGTATCACGGCACTGTCGATGAGCGTGCTGAGCTGCGACGTACGGTGATGGCGCCTATTGGCAAGATGGAGAAGCCCAAGAAGGAGCCTGCAACGAAGGGGAAGAAGTCGAAGGCAAAGGGCGCGAAGAAGGGCTCAGCTGGCAAGAGCGCTCAACCGTCCAAGTCTGGCAAGCGTATTATCAAGCCCAAGGCCCGTAGGAGCGGTCGTCTCAACCGCAATATGCAAGTGGACGAGGAAGAGGAAGAAGAGGAAGAATCCAGCGAGTCCGAAGCCGATGATGAAGAGGCCGACCCAGACTTCGTGGTCCGCAAGGACGATGATAACGAGGACGACAAGAAGAAGAAGCGCGGTGTGGGGCAGGTTGATAGGCTGCAGAAGACGCTCGGGATCGACCCGTCGAAGCTGAGCGCGGAGGATGATTTCGAGGACGATGGGGACGATGCAAGCGCGTTCCCGGTGGTGGTGACGACGTATGAGATGATCATTCGGGACGCGGCGCATCTAGCGGACTATGACTGGGGGTATATCATTGGTGAGTTTGACTTTAGTCGGAATAGGGGCATATCTGACGAGATGTGACAGTTGACGAGGGTCACCGGCTGAAGAACATCGACTGCAAGTTGATGCGGGAGATCAAGCGTTATAACACTGCGCACAGAATGATTCTGACGGGAACACCGTTGCACGTAAGCGAGTTTCACTCATTTTGGTCTGGCCTCATCTGACCGGTCACCCCAGAACAATCTCTCCGAGCTGTGGTCTCTCCTCAACTTCGTCCTCCCCGACATCTTCCAGGACCTGGAGTCCTTCCAAGAATGGTTCAACATTCCCTACATCCAAGAAACCCTCGGCACCGAGCGTTCCAGCAAGATCATCAACGACCTCCACGCCCTTCTCAAGCCTTTCCTCCTCCGCCGCCTCAAGTCCGACGTCGAGACGAACCTGCCGCCGAAGAAGGAGTACGTGCTGAACGCGCCGCTCAGCCGGCAGCAGCGCGAGACGTACGACCATATCGTGAACGGAACTCTCAGGGCGTATCTGATCGGGAAGGAGAAGGAAAAGGAGGGCAAGGAGAAGAAGCTGACGGAGGAGGAGCTGAACGCGCCGAGGCAGTTGAGGGTGAAGGGGAGGATGAATGGGAGGTATACGGTGGATGGGGATGATGATGAATATTTTGAGAATTTGGAGAATGGGACGTTGGATGGGCGAGGGCTGAAGAAGATCGAGCCGAAGGAGAAGACGGCGGCGGAGCTGGGTGAGGAGTGGCAGAAGCAGGCGTTGGGTGAGTGTGATGATTTTTGTTGTCGGGGGTGATAGTGTGCTGACATGAATTTTATAGCCAAGAAATACCGCAACCTTAGCTTGCAGAACACCGTGATGCAGCTGCGGAAGGTGTGCTCGCACCCGTTCTTGTTCGACTGGCCACTGGATCCGGAGACCCATGCGCCGGTGATAGACGAGTCGCTCGTGCATGCGAGTGGCAAGATGATGGTTTTGGAAAGGCTGCTAGACGAGCTTTTCCGCCGCAAGCATAAGGTGTTGCTGTTCAGTCAGTTCACGAAGATGTTGGACATCATCGAGGTATGTGCCATATATTCCTGTGACTTTCCTGGGGCTAATGCACGTCGCTTAGGATTGGGCTATCGAGTTCAAGGGCTGGAATCTGTGCCGGATTGACGGACAGACGCCGCCACTCGAGCGACGGGCAGAGATGGACCGCTTCCAGACGGGCGGTGATGCGCCGGATGCGCCGTGCTTGTTCTTGCTCAGTACGAGGGCGGGCGGCCTAGGCATCAACCTGACTGCTGCCGACACCGTCATCTTCTACGACCAGGACTGGGTATGTTCGCGTCCGTATATACGTCTTACTCTTTTGCTAACTTTACCTAGAATCCCCAAATGGACGCCCAAGCCCAGGACCGCGCGCACCGCATCGGCCAAACGCGTCCTGTGCTCATCTTCCGCCTCGTTAGCGCGCACACCATTGAGACCAAGATCATGCAGCGTGCGACCGAGAAGCGCAAGCTTGAGGCGCTGGTCATCGCCAAGGGCCGCTTCAAGGCGCCCACAGCGGCCGCGCGGGCGGCGACCATGGCGGAGATGGCTTCTGCGCTGCTCCAGCTTGAGGGCGAGAAGATCAATGTGGTCGCGGACACCAAGGAGGACCGGGCGAGCGTGCTGAGCGACGCAGACTTGGATAAGCTGCTCGACAGAAGCCCAGAGGTGTTCGCGGGCCGCCAGAAGGGCTGGACGTCGGCGACGGGGACTGGGAGGGAGGATGGAAGTGCGGCATTCGCGGTGTACGATGCGCCGGGGGTAGAGAGCGCGAACGAGGCGCTGACGAATCTGTTTGGGGAGCAGGTGGAGGAGTAGAGGGTATGGGGAAGGGGGTAATATCTATTTGCTGTCTTGCTTTCGTCTGGCTTGTTTTCTTGGTTCTGCGGATATATCGCAGATTTCTTGGGATTAGATTAGATAGTGTTCGGGCCGATATCCCCGACTAATGCAACTGAATACTCCTCGACGCGCTGACCTGCTTTCTACGACGGTCACCCTCTGTCTTGTACTCCCAGGATTTCGTAGCTCTCACTGGTGAACGTCTTGCTTGCTTCTTCCAGATGAGATAGTGGTTTGCCATGGACCTTCTTGAGCCTTCTCCTCAATCGCTGGCGTTCCGGGCCAATTTAGCTAGCCTGGTGTCACCCCTCCGCCGACTCAAGCCGAGGGTGCCCTTCTTCCGCCTGCCAGCACACCGTATACCGACATTATGGTCATGGTATAGACCTCTTCTCCGCTACGCGCCAACCGAGAATGTATGTGCCAGTGTTGCAAGACCCAGTGCAGACACTGACGCATCCGTTTCGTCAAGGAAAGATCAAGCAACGTGTGCGCCGGTTAGCAGATCAGAATCGAGCGCATGTTGGCGTGAAGAGGACGAGGGCAACGCTGCAGACTGGGTATAAGGTGTGTATATGGGCTGTCGTCCCTTGAACCATACTGAGGACATGGCCAGTGGCTCGACGTCTTCAAGCGTGCACATAATGGGGACGAACACTTACGTGCGGTGCTCGAGCGCTGGGACCGACAGCTTGGGTACAAGAACAAGCAGCGACTATGGAGGTTGCAAGAGCATAATGCCTTGGTACGAATCCATCCCCATCTCCCGATCATATACCAATCATACTACCAGTTCGATCTGGCAGAGAGCCAAAGACGAAGGCCATGGCTCACAGGAGGCTTCATCCGCCCCTCGTACTTCAACAAACCCCTCCCCCGCCTCAAGCCCCAGCCCATCAACGTTTCGGGCATGATCCTCTACCGCCGTCGCGCTCGTGAGAAGCGGTTGCTCCGTGTTGCGGAGCTGAACGAGCTTCGCCAGGATATTCGTCGCGAGCGCGACTTTGAGCAAGGCGTCCTTGCGTTAAACTCTAAGGCCGACAAGCAGGGACTATATACCGGACCTGCAGCGAAGGAGTGGGGTGCGTCGTCCGACGGCCGTCGATATTCCATCCCGCTGACCCCCTTCATAGACCAACCCATCAACCACACGCACAAGGCCCTCCACGTCTCCCTCCGCCGCGATGACGCGCGCGCCGCCACCCCCGTATCTCCCTCCCTCATGGCACAAGTTAAGCGCGCCCGCGCCGCCAAGCACGCCAATCAAGCTCGCGCCCACCTCCGCGAACGCTCCGGCGAGATCCTCAACCGCACGCTCGCGCGCCGCGCCTCACGTCCGCCGCCGCCGATCTGGGACAAGATGAGCGAGGAAAGGCGGCACATGGACCGGGTGTCGCGCAGCGTGAGTGAGGTCGGGTACGTGGCGAAGGTGAAGCGGCAGCTGGGGTTCAAGATGAGGGAGTCGGAGAAGTGGAAGGTGGAGGAAGGGAGGGATGAGGAAGAGAAGAGGAGGTTGGACAGGGTGTACCTGGAGATTTTGAAGGAGAATGGACGGAGGAGGAGGATGGCGGAGAGGGCATCGGACGAGCGCGATGCACAATGATATACACCAGTCCCAATAGGTTCTTTATAGCTTCGCATTTGAATTTCGCTGCTCATTGTCATTTGTCCAGAAAGTATCCGAAAGTCCCTTCACACTGATTCGGCTCCAAAAAGCTGCCACCTGTCCTTCGATGCGCGCACGGCTTGCTCATAGACCGCATCGGCACGCAATCATACGTACCTTGAGCAAACCTCGAACGCTCTGGTTCCAATCATGCAGTGACGTCCACATGGAACAGCAAGCAGTTTTTCTGACAGATTCGAAGTCAAAAGCCTAGGGCAGAAACCAGTCTGCCTCGTGAGAAAATACTTTTCTCATTCTTTGTCTCGTCTGTCGAGTCTCGCCGCTTCCCGCGGCTACGTGCAGACACGACGCCCTGCTCGGGTAGCTGACATACCCAAAGACTCACAAAGCTGGCTTGGGTTGCTCATCCGTACTCTATGGTGGTCACCTGCAAAAAATGTGTCAAAGGCTCTCTCCCACAGGTCCTAGGCTTGCGCAGGACTCGGACTCGGCTCGGCCTTGCGCTACAACACCTTGCGATGACGACTCAAGTTGGGCGCAGCAACTGCTACGTGTTCACGAATGGCAACTACCTATACGCAAGGGATCTCACTTCAACGTTGACATGAGTATTTCCATCTACTCTCAGCCGTAGCTGTCATCCTGCGAGTCCTGCACGGTGATTGGCGACCCTCTGCACACACGCGGCAGTCTTTGCGAATGCTCTGACATTTGCTCCACCACTTATCAGAACAGCCATATTGAAGGAGTACCTACGACGCTGGCGTGTACTTCGCCACGTCTCTCGGTGGAGCTGCCACTTAACCATCTGGAATGGCTATAAGGGCATGCGAGTACGCGACTTCGCCTCCATTGACGAGCCTTGCGACTGCAAGAAGCCTGCTCGCCCGGTATGCGCTACGCCCTAGCTCTTGCGCTTGCGAGCGCACTCGTGTCGGCTGCCCCTCGGCCAGCACATCACCAGCGTCAGGACACCCCGTCTTCAGCGACGGCCTCCTCGTTCCAAGCGTCTGACTCTCTTGTCGCAAGCGATACAGCAGCATCCTTCTCTGCGTCTCTTGCATCCCTTTCCGATGCTGTGGTATCGGGGAGCGTCACCTCTGCGTCCTTCTCTGTGCCACCTTACGCGGTCGAAGTATCGCCGACAGAAGGCCAGCCATCTGCGGCGGCATCATCTGCAGCGCCATCTGCCGCCAGCGTCACATATGGCAATTACTCAGGCTCTGCGTCTTCAGTCTACACCTCGTCAACTACCCCCGCTCCAAGCTCGTCCGGCCTCAACAGTTCAATCATACCGGTGACGGCTACCGTAGACCCCGTTAAGGGTGTATGTATCTCAACTCAACACATAGATCCGAGGCTAACCGCATTCTAGGACCCCGATGGACCTGCGTTCAGCATCGAAACCGGACCCGCGCAGCCCGTGAAAAGCGGCAAAGGCGGTGCGTTGCCTGTCATACACGATGCATATCCAGAAGCCTTTGACTCGTTGACCAACAGCCCCTTTCGCGGGCCCGACGAACGAGAAGATCGACCAGCAAAATCCGGATTTTCTGGGTATGGCACGCTTTTCTTTTGGTTGACCAGCCAACTGAACCGTCTCCAGCTCCTCCAAGCACTGACTTCGGATTCATCGGCAGCGCCAAATGGTCGATGTCGCTCGGGCCAATGCGCCTGCTCGCCGGAGGCTGGGTGCGTCAGGAAGACGAGACCGTGATGCCCTTGGCCGATGGTGCGTTCTTCGCCTTCATTTGTGGCAACGGATTCATGTTTCTGCGCTACAGAGATGGCTGGCGCTGTCAGTAAGTATCTGCGCTAACGTCAAGCTTATGGTCTTCAGCATGCTGACGTCTGTATCTAGTCCACCTCGAGCCGGGCGCAATCCGTGAACTTCATTGGCATAGCATCGCCGAATGGGTCTACGTCATAAATGTCAGTCTTCTCTAAGACGAGCGGTCACATAGTTGGCTCACATCGCACGCAGGGAACGACTCAGATATCTGCGGTGGACACGCAGGGGCGCAACACGTTTGGCACTGCTGTACGTCTCTTGCACATCTCGCTCTGAAATTGATGCTGATGAACTACGTCGCTCAGAACACCGGCGACCTCTGGTATTTCCCGCCTGGTATAGGTCATCATCTTCAGGCAACGTGCGTTGGCACTATGGGCACCAGGTGCAACCACTAATTGACTCAAAATGCTATCTGCAGTGGCGATGCACCCTCAGAGTTTGTGCTTATCTTCAAGACCGGCCTCTTCGACGCATCGAAAACGTTCTTGGTCACGGATTGTATGTGTTGCCGTCTTGTATCTATCTTCTGAGCGTTGACTTCGGCAACCAGGGTTAGCCCACGTTCCCTTTGGCGTCCTTCAGAAGAACTTTGGCGTCGAAGGGACAGACAAATTCACCAAAATACCATCTGAAGAGTTGTACATCTTCCGTGAGTTCATGAATCCTATTTCCTACCCGAATCTGCTAAGAATCACTCTCGCCAGCTGGCGAACGTACGTCCACCTCGTCCCATACAAATACAAGGCCCGAAGTTGACCTATCATCGCTCCAGCGCCTGCACTCGATGGCGCCTCCCTCCCAGACGCGCCGCAAGGCAAGATCCCCAATGAGTTCGTCTTCGCAATGTCGCAGATGGAGCCCGAGCGCTTTGATGGCGGGACGGTGAAAGTCGCGGACTCGTCCAATTTCCCCGCTTCAAAGGAGATCGCGGCCGCGGAAGTGACGCTCGAGCCGGGGGCGATGCGCGAGCTGCATTGGCACACGACGGCGGACGAGTGGACCTTCTTTATGTAGGTGGACTGTCTTTATTGTCTAAGATCTGCGTACTGACAGGGGAATGCAGCGAGGGCAACTGCCGGATGTCGATATTCAACTCGAATGGCGCGCGCACCTTCAACTACGAGCCGGGGGACGTGGGCTACGTACCGATCTCGATGGGTGCGCTAGTCGCGGTATTCTTTTTGCTTTCGCTTAGCTATCTCCAGGCCACTACGTCGAGAACATCGGCAACACGACAGCAAGGTTCCTCGAGATAACGGACTCCAGTACGTCCCAGCCCTCATGGCGCGTTCACATCGAGCGTGAAGCTGACTTTTCCTCCCCCCCTCCTAGCTGAATTCGAAGACATCAGCCTGACGTGCGTCGCACGCTTGATAACATCACTATATTGCTGACACGGTGTTCGCATTGCTCCTTGTATCGCTCACACCGTTTCCCCCCTTCCAGTCAATGGCTCGCCCTGACCCCGCCCGAGATCGTCAAGGCGCATTTCGGAATCGATGACGAGACTGTCCAAGGATTGTCGCAAACGAAGAACAGGGTCGTGCCTGGGCGCAGTGCCAGCGATGCAGCATGAGAGGCGATCTACGATGGCGCCCTTGTCACGATAGTCGATGCTGACTAGGGCATGCATACGGACATGTGCTGGCCTCAATAGCGTGGGGGCCGGCGACTACTAAACCGGACAAGCTGTACGACATGGATTATCTTCTCTTTTCCTCTTGTAATATAGCAGCCATCTTCCGTACCGAGCGGCAATGCAGAGTAAAATATATCATGGACTTCTAAACCGATATCGGTGCACCGAGGCCTTTGGATAAGCCCAAAAACAGCCCGAGACGACGTTCTGCATGTCTTCCCCGAGCAGCTGGACCAAGTAGCATGAGGTGCGTGTATGTCGGTGCCGGGCGCGAACCCATCAGCTGTCATGGAACTTATTCTGTATGTGTATGTCGCTTTGTTATGATCCGCTTTTATAAAGCTTCAACGAAAGTTACCCTAGAAAAGATTGAGCGAAGTCCGAAATGAGACAAGTACTCGTCTCGAGGCTCCACTTTATTGTCGGCCCTGGAACCAAACGCTTCGGAAGAGAGGCAAATACGCTAGGATGCATTGACCTATGCGCGTCAAAGTACCCGTGTCCTTGAGAAGGTGATCTCGCCTGACGAATCCTCTAATCAGTGAGCGTGCCGCATGGCTTGAACGGGTTCCCTCACCATTAGCCTGGCGCACTGGGCGGTCGTGGGGTAGCGCACGCAATTTAGTTCTCTCACCTGCCAGCTACCGCTTCCCCTCCACAAGGCGAGATACAGCGACCGAATAGGAATGGAGCTGGGAATATATGGCGTGCTCTCACCGTCTCTGCGCCCGAGCCTTGGGTCGGTATCGCATTCTTGTTCTGGAACCTAGGCAGAGTGATTCGCCTGTTCTGATTGGGTAGAGCGTACAGAGAGGTGTTTCTTTCACAAGTTTGCGCATGCAAATATCTGATCATCGGCGGAACTGGCCAACGAAGCATGGACGTTCGTGAGAAGGATGAACTTCAACCGTGGGAATGATTTCGGTCAGGGACTTGTTCCCACGACTCGTCCTCTTCACGGTTGAACTTCCGATTTTCGGGCGTACTCTCATCAAGCCGTTCGTGCGTCCTGGAATCGAGTCAAGGCCTTGCCCAGATAACTTGGCATATGCCAGCATGAATCCAGTGGAATGAAGCCGCACGGGAGTCGCGAGTCGAATGAGCTGTGGCGAGATACACGGCTGCATTGCTGCGTCAGCTGTCTCTGACACCGTGGTTCGGGTCTTCGATGACTTCCATCTCCCACATCGGTGTAACCAGATTGACACGGATGTGCGTTCCTGACTAGAGAAGGTACACCCATGCCGTGGTCGAATGCGACAACGTATACTGTCAGTTGGCCGAATAATCGCACAGCTCCTCACATTTTCACAGCTATATAAGATGCAAGCTCGACGGGCTATACTTCCTCAGGCGACTTTTCCGCTTCAGCCCCCTCCTCGGCATCGGTCATGTTTGTCCCCTTCGGCCTTAGTCTCCTGCTCGCCAGCAGCGTCATTGCTGCACCGGCAGCTACCAGCGACTCTGCCGCCGTCTCCTCGTCGTCCGTGGCTTCCACTGTCGACTCTGCAGCACCGTCATCAGCGTCTGCCTCTGCAAGCGCGGCATCGGCATCTCCGTCCTTGACATTGTCCGCCTCCGTGTCGTCCTCTGCCTCGCCATCGGCGTCGGCCCTGGAAGAGGATGGCAGCATAACACCAGTCTCCGTGACGGTTGACCCGGTGCCAACAGCGGCGAACGATGTGGAGTGGGATCCCTACGGTCCTGAGACTACAGTCGAGCCCGTCAGAGGTGGTCTTGGAGGTGAGTCGGGCCAAACATCTATCGCATCGATCGCTCATACCCATCGTTCAGCCCCCTTCTCGGGCCCCACGAACCCGGAGATCGACTTCCAGAACCCTGATCTTCTCGGTACGTCTACTTTTATTCTTTCGTACATTTCTGTCTGACGACCCTCGCAGCACCTCCGAACACCGACTTTGGTAGCGTCGGCTCAGGAAAATGGTCTTTGTCGCTGAGCCCCACCCGCCTTCTCACCGGAGGCTGGGTGCGCTACGAGGACGAGCTTGTCATGCCACTCGGCGATGGTACGCGTGCTTCGCTATCGTGTAGCGTATCGCGACATCGTTTCTCACGCTGCGTTCACAGAGATGGCTGGCGCCAACAGTGCGTATCTGCTGGCGCGCTGGCAACCCTGGGTACGGGACTCACGCATGCCACAGTTCACCTGGAGCCTGGCGCCATTCGTGAGCTCCATTGGCACAGTATCGCAGAATGGGTGTACGTGCTGGCGGTATGCGAAAGATTTTCTTGGTCCTGTGGTATCATTGACTTAACCTGTCGAACAGGGCGAGACGCAGATCTCTGCAGTCGATCAGAAGGGAAGGAACTACTTCGCGACTGCCGTAAGTCATGCCTGCTCGGCCTTGTCTGTCGTGCTCAGCCATCTGCAGAAAACCGGTGACTTGTGGTTCTTCCCTTCCGGCGTTGGTGAGTGATCAACCTGATTCAGTTTGTCAATTACCTGATCTTCTGTTTAGGTCACCATCTGCAGGCCACGTACGTTCAGTCGCGCGACACGAGCTCGAATTGTCCCTAACAATGTGGTCAACAGCGGCGATGGTCCGTCAGAATTCGTGCTGATCTTCAAGACCGGGCTCTTCGATGCTGCGAAGACGTTCCACATAACCGATTGTGAGTGCACCACCGTGCCCACCGAAGGTTAGCGCTCACACATCAATGCAGGGGTCTCGCACATCCCCTTCAGCGTCCTCCAGAAGAATTTCGGCGTCCAGGGTACGGACGCGTTTTCAAAGGCGCCCTCGAAGCAGCTCTACATCTTCCCTCACGAGGTGAGCTCCAGCCACGTTTACTCTCCCTTTTCTTCCACTCACACTCGCACCTCACAGGCCCCCTCGGACGAGACAATCGCTCCGGAGAGCCCACAGGGCGAGATACCGGATCCGTACGTCTTCAACTGGTCCGAGCAGCCGTACGAGGAGTTCGCGGGCGGGAAGGTCAAGACGGTGGACGCGTCGACGTTCAAGGTCTCGAAGGACTTCTCCGCCGCGGAGGTCGTGCTCGAGCCGGGTGCGATGCGCGAGCTACACTGGCACACGTCGGCGGACGAGTGGAGCTTCTTCATCGAGGGCAACCTGCGCTACTCGGTGTTCACGGTGCGTCGGGAGTGTTCTTGTTAGAACAGGACTTTGCTGATGTGAGTGACAGGAAGTCGCGGCGCGCACGTACGACATGTCCCCGGGCGACGTCGGCTACGCGCCCATAAGCTCCGGTATGTCTGTCTCTTTGCTGTGACTCTGATGACGAGCTCACCGGACACGCTCAGGCCACTATATTGAGAACATCGGCAACACGACGGCGCGCTTCCTCGAGGTCATTGACGCTCGTGAGTCACTCCTCTGCCCTACCTTTTCTACCTTCACTGACAATCTCATCAGCTGAGTTCGAGGACATTAGCCTCACGCAATGGCTCGCCCTCACGCCTCCCGAGATCGTCAAGGCGCACTTCGGCGTCGACGACGCGACAGTTGCGGGCTTGTCCAAGACGAAGAACCGGGTCGTCCAGGGTTGAAAGGTCCTCGGAAATGATTTCGCTCGATAATGACTCTGGGATTCTTGTAGTGCATTCCTCCTTCATCCATACCATTCACCGCTCTCTAGAGCCCACTGTTCCAAGACTAAATATCTACTAGACGAATATTGAATGAAAATAGCGACGACCATTCTTACCTAATGTTTCGGATGAGCCGCCGCCTGTAGGTCAAGCACTGAGGGTCCACTGAAATGTGAAATGGAGAACAGGTAAGGGAGGACGGTAGAAGTGCTTATTTGAACGTGCATGCTCTGTCGGGTATAGCCGAGCCTACGAAAAGAGCAAAGTCGGCGCTAGCGGTAAGCGCTGCCAGATTACCTGCTCGCCTCTTCTCATCATGTGGTTGAACGTCGCTCGCCTTCTGGCATGGTATGCGCAGATGATATATGGCATGGTGCGTTGTTGACTGGGTACGCGCGGTACTGGCTCGCGGTACTCACAAGCCTGGTCAGGTCGTAGGATACGGAAGGACTCAAATAGTTGAACGTGAAACGCCGACACTCAGCTCTCTTCCATCCGAAGTCCTCGATGAAGTGGCCAGCTATCTCAGCAGAGCAGACCTGGCATCTCTTTCTCTGGTAGATCGATCCTGCAGTGCTATCTCTCGACCCCACCTCTGGCGCACCTTACCTTCTTTGGCGCCTATAATAACCCTTCTTCCACGAGAATGTTTCGCCATAGATGAATTTGTAATGACAAAGTCGGAGGTGAGGCGCGGTAGGATGACATACTGCTCACACGAGCGACGCACCAAGATCCAATACTTGGTGAGTGACCGTCTCGTAGTATCATATTCGTCACTCATTTACACGGTGGCTTAGCGTGCACTAGACATCCAGAATGACTGCTGGAAGAGAAATCCACGCCTTTTGCAATCAGCCTCCCATGTACAACGGCTCTACCTGCGTCTTTCTCAGCGGAGCGCTACTCACAGTATATACGATCGGAAAGGCACCATTCACATCGACTTGACCAACTTCATCGCCTTTGCCGAGTCTCTCGCACAATGCGGCACAGCGTCCACCCTTTTCCCCAATCTAAGAACCCTTGAGGTTGATTGCAGCTCAGAGGACGGCTTGCCGGCGAGATTGTTGCTTCCCTTCACCAGCCCACGTCTCTCCGTTTTCAGCACTAACTGCCTTGTATCTGGAATGGACGACCATCCAAACTGGAACCATGTCACCGAATTCCGGTTTGCTGAACCGCGACTTGAGGGGAGGGTGTTGAACTCGAGCGTCGCCGAGATTCCTATGTTCACAGCAATACAGTCACGAATTCGAGCTGTAAGAACGCTTGATCTATGCCTCCATCGCGCGCGGGGCCTGCACGCGCTACTTTCCCAGTGCTCGCGCACGCTCTGCAGCCTCAGCCTGACGATCGCGAGTGGCCGCAACAAGCGTGTCGACAGCTTTGCTCTGTACCATCTGCGCCGTCTGACGCTTCGCGGACAGTCTGGCGCCTTCGCATCCGCTCTGCTGGGATCCCCCCATTTGCAGCTCGTCGATGTGCAGCCATCCCTTTCGCGAGGCGAAAGTGACTTCACAGGGATTGTCGATCGCATCGCCCGCGGCTGTCGAAATGACGCACTTCAGCGAGTCCGCATAGTGGGGAAGGCCCGCGTCGTGTGGTCGCTGGCTATGCACCACATCGACCCACTGACCACCTTCGGTAACCTGGTCGAGCTAGAAGTGCGCGCGTCGTCCCACATCGCCTTGGGCGATGCCGATTACGACTTGCTGGCCCAGCGCTTGCCGCGATTGCATGTCTTCAAAGTAAGCGATATAGACTTTGCCGCTGCTCCTCGGGAGCCCCCACAACGGCCCGCCACCCTGCATGCGTTGGTCTCATTCGCCACGCGTTGTCCCGACCTTCGGCAGCTGTCTCTCGAGATTCATGAGGCGGAGACCGTGCCCTCACTTGCGGAAGGGCTACTTGCCGTAACGCTGCCGACCAAGGCCAGCCAGGTCGACGAGCTGGGGGTTGGCTCGGGCGGCAAGGCCATCTCTCCCGCTGATGTGGCCAGTTTCTTACGTCTCCTCTTCCCCTCCCTCCGGCACCTCAAAGTGTCCCAATGTTGCGACCGAGAGGCGTGGAACGCGGTGGAGAAAATGGTCATGGCGCCGAAGGATGCTGAGCATTGAGGGATACGCAACTCATCTTGACACGTAGCATGAGATGTTGGCGACATGCTCCTGGGGACGATCAGTATTAGATAAGTCCCTTCGATAGACATCGACGACACTGGACTACATGCGCCCGTCCATTCACCTGTCATCCTCAGGCGGCAAGGCCCGCGAGTGCATGGGCACCGTCTGAAAGACGAATTACCACACATACGTTACTCACACACGCACCTATCTTGAACTTCTTGGAGCAGCCCCCACCGGAAGACACTCTTGATGATAGTACGGCCGTCCAATAGAGCTTCGAATCCTCGGGATAAATACACAACACAACAATCATGTACTCTAAGCCGCAATCGGCTTGCTATCTTTTTGTGCTAGAGTGATGTATCAGTCAAGTTACCTACTACCGTAAACATACTGAGGACTTACCCATCGTTATACGATCCCCCAACGAAAGCGCAATGCCCTGCGTCTTGCTGCGTATCCGCACATGGCCCGTGATCGTCCCGTTCTCCGTCCGCTCGACGCTTAAGTTCGCGAGCGCGTCCTCGCCAAAGAGGCTTCGCGCATACATGTTGGCGGAGAGGAAGTCGCAGTCGCCGGATAAGGCGCCCTCGGGCGTCAGACACGACATATTCGTCGCCTTCATGACGAGCTGGAGGTAGTCGCGGGGGTCACTAAGAAGGGTGTAAGTCAGAGTGAGATTGCTGGGGCAGAGGGCGAACGTACGACATGGTGGAGTTGCCAACGTTGACGCGGTTCTCCCACTCAAACTCGGTCCACATGCTACGGAACTGGAGCAAGTCCGTCAGACAACAAGAAATGAAGTTGATAAAGCAAAACCCGTACCTGTGCTTCGTTGCAGTACGCGGGCTTGATGTAGTCCATAATGTCGATGTGGATGTCGTTCAAGATCACGCATGACTCCGCCAAGTTCGGGCCCTCCCAGAGGATGCTACCAAAGATGACACCAGTTTCTGTCGAGGAAACCTAATGACACTGTCAGTTCTGAACCTCGATGGGTTATAGGCGTCGGTTGACCTTGATAGTCGCCTTGATGCTCTGGAAGCCATGCGGGCCGATGGTGTATACCGCAGGTCGCTCGACGATCTTGAGGTCGCCAAGGGTTGCGAAGTCAAGACAGAGGTTCTGCAACGTGTTGGCGGTCTGATTGACCAAGAGGACGTCTATCGCGGTATTTGTCAGCTCATTGCTGGCGGGGAGCAAGAAATGACTGCTCACCGAGGATGATGTCGAATCCGTGCATCTTGACATATGCCTCAGCGTATATGGGGTCGGAGAAGCCTACCGGGGCCAGTCAGCACAGAAATATCACAAGTCAACTCAAGCGGCGCACCAGTCAGCTGCGATATCCTGCTAAGGTTCGAGATGAAGTCCTCCTGGACATCGCCCGCACCCGTCGCCCGAATAACATCCTCATCATCCTGGTACAGAAGTTCAGCATATATCCCGACGACCGAGAGACATCACATACATCGATGATATCGTCCGCCGCCTTCTTCGAGAACTGGCTGAACGTGATCAGGTCGTCCACCTGCACAACCGCAGGCTTTGCCGACTCCGCCGCCTTCGCTTCCGCTGCGCGTTTCTAGACGTCACATGTTCAGCGACAACAATATACAACGATGCAATGACCAGCCATACCTCCTGCGCACCGAGCATGCGCGTATACGCCGTCTGCGAGTCGCGGAGGAAGATATCGTGCACGGCCTTCTCGTCCTCAAGCTCGCTGAGGGTCTGAATGCACTGCATGATGCGCTCGTTCGAGTCCTCGTCGATCTGTACGGTCACGAACTTGGACTGCCCGACGCGGATGACGGATGCCATGATGAGCATCGCCTGATAGTCATTGTTGGTATATGCTGCATACAACGACTTGAGAGAGCAGAACGTACTTCAGCGCGCAGCCCATTGAGCGCATCCTTATCTTCGCTGAGCTCGGAGAAGCGTAGGACGAGCTTTGTGAGCGCGACAGCAAGTACGGCGCCGGTGAAGAAGTCGCCACCGAGGATGAGAGCTGAGAAATACGTCAGCAACATAGTACAGACAATAATCAGGGAGAAAAGTTACACACCTCTCAACGGCGGCTTCGACTTAGTGCTCGGCACGCTCGAGGGTCCAGCGGTCGAGTAAGCCGTTTCCGTAGCATACGTGCCATCCGCCAACACCTTTGGCCTCGTCGACGTCTTCACGCCCTCCTCCGCATCTTCGCCACCCTCCGCATCCACTGTCCCCGCAGCCTCATCCAGCGCCCGCTGCTCCGACGCCAAAATCGGAATCTCGCCCAGCACCTTGCGCACCTCCTGCATCGTCGCCTGGATGTCCGGCACCTCCGCAACGTACTCGCCAAGGATCCAGAGCACGCCGCGGAAGACCTTGCCAGACTTGATGCTCGGGAGCGTCGAGACGAGGTGCGTGGTTATGGAGGGGCGGAGCGCGGGGAACTTCTCGACGACCTCGCGCACGAAGGCGACGACGTCGAGCGCGGAGGGGTTGTTGGTGTCACCGAGGAAGTCCATGAGGGAGTGCACGACGCTGGCGGCGACCTCGGAGAACTTGATGGCAGTGACGTGGATGGACTGGATGAGGAGCTGGCGGTATTCGGGAGCCTGGATCGCGAGAATGTGAGCGATGGGACCCAAAATGGGAGCGGGACTGCTTACCTTCTCGAAGTCAACCTCCTGCGTCTTCTGCAGCTGCTTCTTCAGGTACATGACTACCTCCTCGACGTTGCGGCTCGAAGTCATACTCAGGATGATGCTCATGGCTTTGCGGCGGACTTCAATATCGGTGCTACAAGAATCTGTGAGCTTTGTCTCGGCCCAAAATTCGAAGGCGGCGCACCTGCTAGAGAGGACTGGCAGAACGTCCATGACCAAGCCGTCAAGAACATGTCCATGTCGTGCGCGAAGATTGTTGAGACGGTCGAGCACGATGAGCTTGACGTTATTGTCGGACTCCTTCACGATGAGGTTTACAAGGCAAGAGGCGGCAGCTTCAGATAGTAGGTCAGCGATATGAAGAATCTGCGCGTCCGACGCTCGCACCTTTGATCGCGGCAGGGTTCTGGGTGAGAGTCGTGAGGGTCGTAGCAGCTTCGTACTTGACGGCGTGTGATGAGACGTTGAGCAGCTCGAATATACATCTAATGTAACGGGACTAGAGGACGTTCAGCATCCGGATGGGACATCGCAGGTCATTGACTCACCCTGTTTGCTGACTCTGACTTGCAGTCCAATCGTATGACCTCAATAATGGCCATTTGCAGTGCTTCGTCCAGCGAAGGAATCGAGTCGTATATGCTGAGTATATATTCGACCGCCTTCGGCATCGAGCAGTGTGCGAGGAAGACGAAGGCGTTGCGCTTGCACGTCGAGTCGGACTCGGCGACGAGGAAGGTGGACATGAGCTCGGGGGCATCGGGGATGAGGTGCTCGAACTCGTTGTAGATGGAGTAGACGGCGAAGACGGCGTTCTTGCGCACGTATGAGTGCCGGTGCTCGAGGCAGGAGCGGCATGTGGGGATGAGGGGTTCGAGGAGCTCCTGGTCCTTGGCGATCTTCTGCAGGAAGCGGAGGGTCGCGCCGCGGATGTATTCGTTGGGATGTTGCTGAGATGGTGGGTGAGCGCCTGCGCGTACATAGAGCGGACGCGTCGCGTACCAGGTCATTCCGGATCGCATTGCTATGAGATGTCAATACACTTCCCAGTCGCCAGGGCCTTTAGCACTCACACGACAAGGATCATCTCCTGCTTGAGCTTGCCGGTCTCGTCATATTTCGGGCATACCTCCCAATAGAAGTGCAGCAACTTCTTGAGATGCTTGTTCTTCGAGGGCAGCACATATTGAATGATGGGCATCAACAACGTCGGCTATACCGCGTCGTCAGCACCTCTCCTCCCAGCTGAACGTATGTACGCGCCTGTGGGTTGCCATTGATGGTCGATACTATGATCTTCTTCAAGGTGTCAATCTTGACCTCGTCCGAGCCCTTTTGCAGCGAATTGCGGAGGTCCGACGCGGATGGATACTCGCCAATCGCCTCATTGACGACGGTGTAGCAGGGGGGCTCGGCGACCATGATTGCAAAACGCGTCCTCAACGCGAAGTCCGACGACGTCCAGCGGAACGTGGCTGCTTGGTTCTGTTTGCCGCGTCTTCGGCATTCGCCGACCTGGACCCACAAGTTCGACTTGCACCATCAGCGTCTTATTGCCAGACTTGAGAGTAGGACCACCACCACAGAATAGTTGATAGGGATAACAGAATATTTCCTGCTGTACTGCCTGGCGAAGAGGCTTGGCTAATGGCTACATAAGGTCTTGTCTAAGGCATTACTGTCCTCGTGAGTCGTAATCTATGTGAATACCTCTATATCGCTCTAAACGTAAACCACGATCTTTTCTCTCTCACCCTCCATCGTTCTCAAACTTCCGAATCCTGCCACTAAACCTTTCCCATAGCCTCCATTTCCGCAGGCGTCGTTCTCGACAAGGGGTTCCGCTGTCGAAGCTTCTCCCCGTAGAACCACAAATATATTGGGAATGGTATGCCCAGGAGGATCGCGAGGCCTGTGAAGAGCTCTTAGTTGATACAATAAAGGAAGTGATGAATGTGTAACGAACCTCCCAACAATGAGTTTGCCCCGCCCATACCCATCGCTTTGAACATCTGCTTCCCGAACAACGGGAACGCGAAGCCAAGCATAGAGCGCAAGAACTAGGCACGGAAGATCACAGTCAGTACGAGCGCAACTGATTGATTGCATTGAAACGTACCGTGGCGGCTGACACCGCGCTCGCGGCGTACGTGAAGGTGTCGACGAGGTAGAGTTGTATCGGCAGGCTGAGGTGATAAACCGCGTCAGAGTATTTTCTTTCAAACATGCGCAGAGAGTACTAACAATGCAGTCATTTGCCCTGCATAGGAAAGAGGTCAGGGGCATAGCGCACGAGAGCGAATCATAACACGCACCGAAACCAAAGATCCCGGACCCAATGATCGGCATAATCCAATGAATCTTGGCCTCTGCTGACCACCCGTACCAGCTATAGAAAAATCCTTCAGCTCGCACTACTTGACGACAGCGTAAACAGGAAACTCACAAAACCCCAATAGGAACAAAAAACGACCCCACAATCAGTACAGGTACGCGGTACTCCGGCTTGCCCTTCCCGTCGTTGTGCTTCTTCGAGAGGTGGTGGTAAGCCGCGTCCCCGAATTTCGCGCCAAAAATGGCGGAGATTAGGAACCCGACGCCCAGCCCAATGTATGCAAGGCCGCCAATTCCGGTGGAGAAGCCGTAGGTGGAGTGAAAGAAGTCGGCAAAGGTGGCGAACATGAGGAAGTAGATGCCGTACATGCTGAGGAAGGAAAAGTCAGTTTCGGGAGGGGGGCGGCAGAGTCAGGGACGGACGAAGGTAGGGAGAGGAGGAGGCGAGAGACGCAGATCCAACTATAACGAAATTGCGGAAGGGCGAAGAACGGCTACTCACAACGCCATATACAGACACAACAACCCACAAATTGCACTCCTCGTCAACAGCACAGTCGGCCTACTCAAGCTCGCCCACAAGACGCGGCCCTTATCCATATAGGCGTGCGCGAAGAGCGGATGCGCCTCCGTCCAGCGCTCGATCTCGCCCGTGGCCTGGATGGAGTGTGAGTCGACGACAATTTGCACAGCAGACGATACCGTCACTGTGCTGCATAGATTGACTGCTCACCTTCGCTCTCCTGACCCTCACCACCGGCGCAAACGTCTCGCGCAGGAATGGCACCCCAAGCAAGAGCGTCGAGCCGTTGAGGCACGCGATGAAGACGAAGACGTACTTCACGCCTACTTGCTCGGTGATGAAGCCGCAGCAGATGGGCCCGACGATGGGGCCCATGAGGGGGCCTGGGAGGGGGTTGAGTTGTGATGCAAAGCTGGTAGAGAAAAGGAGGGAGGGAGAATGGTAGAGAAGGAGGAGCGGCAGGAGGGAGAGATGATGTGCGGGAAGGAGTCGCTCACCTAGTGAGTACGCTGCCATCGCGGAGGACCGCTCGCGCTCGCTGAAGATGTCGCCGATAGACCCAGGGCCGATGGCCACGGGGGCAGAGCCAGCGAAACCGCCTGAAGAAACGAAGTCAGACTGATGCAAAATATGACTACGGAGTAGCGCACGCACTAAGAAACCTCAGAGCGATGAGCGATCCTGCCGTCGGGGCATACGCGCACGCCAGATTCAAAGCTAGGGAAATGACGGCCGTAATGTGGTAGACCTACTCGCGAGATATTTGAGGAAGTGTTCGGATGAGAAGAGTGGGATTTCGACTCACGTATGTTCGCCCGTACATCTCAGAGATCGGTCCAATGAACAAGGGCTACAGCAAAGAGACATTGCGTGTCAGAAAACAATTCCAAGTACATGGCGCGGTCCACGGTACGACGAGTACAAATGTGCCACCTACTCACACCGATCGCCATGGACAAGAGATATATCGACAGACACAACGCCTCCACCGTCGGGTTCGTGATTCCATACCGCATCGCCAGCTCAGGTAAGCCCGACGAGATCGCAGAAGAGGTCAGAGGCGAGACGAAGGTGTACCACGATACGATGATCGCGGCGAGCCATTTCCGACCAGGAGCCCAGTTCCGAGGGTTGGCGGGATCGTCCTGCCAGTTGTCGTCGAGGTTTTCGACCGCTTCGAGGACCTTGTCTTCTGGGATGGCGGACTCGCCATGTCCGTTGGACACGACTTGCGCGAGGCCGAGCCCTGGCACGCTATGATGTGGCGAAGGAGCAATATGCGTCGCGGTGGACGAGGCGATGGAATTGACGCGCGTGAGTGAGGCGGTCGGGGTGGCTTCCGCCATCGAGCAGAACGGCGCAGAACGAGCGCGGCGAGGACGAGGACTGGGCAAAGTACCTCGCGAACGGCCGTTCGTATATACCTTTATACCACGGCACTTCGGTTTAGGCGCCCAGGACGACGCGAGGGGACTCGCTGCATGACGTGCCCAGGCGTCCGACGGACCGCTGTGTTTGCCTGAGGGCGGAGCGGCGCGTCGCGCTCAGGTTCCGGTTTCAAAGTGGCTGAAGATTTGATCCCGGTGCATCCATCTGCAAGAGGCCGACGAGAGCCGGACGCGGAGAAAGGGTGCCTCCATAATGAAGGGACGCTCATCTTCATGCTTTTGGACGTGCGGGTCGACGGGAAGCTCTGCGCGGGATGCCCTCATAAACGGGATTCGAGTCTAGTGTCGAATTCGTGGCACTGAAAGAAGAGCTTCGATTTTACTGCTCGCAGGTCGAGAGTCTCTGACTGTTCTCCCGGACTTTCAGCAGAAAGTCTCGTAGCGCACATTGTGCTGCATCGTCGGGTGCCGACCTGCGGCCCATGGGGAGCAGATGGGGAAGCTGTTGATGCGACTTGGCAACAGAAAAGGGCATCGACCAAATATTTGGTTGCTGGACAATGGACGCCACATGAGCCACGTGCACGGGCGCTTGAGTGCGCGATGCATATCTCCGTCAGCGATTGTTCTGCCCTTGTACTACGTGATGTCCACTCGTGCGCGCTCTCATATCGCTTGACATGCGGAAAGTTGATGCCAATTTACAGCAGCGGCGCGGCGAGCGAAGCCAAAGATCGTGCGTGCGCCTTTACTTTACCATCATCACTCCCTGTTAACCAGCAAGGTCTGACAGAAACCACCACGAAAGGTAAAGACAACAGAGACGTGCACTGGACACTCGTTCACCTCTACCCCAGCACGGCAACGATATCTCTATTGACCAAACATGGGCCGAACTCGCACGCAACATACGCGAGATTCAGAACAACAATGCCAGCAACCTCTCCTTCGAGCACAACTACCGCTTCGCGTACAACATGGTCCTCTTACGACACGGAGAGAAGCTATATAATGGCGTCAAGCAGCTCGTCGCAGAGAACCTCGAAACTCTAGCTCAAGAGCGCATCATCCCCGTCTTCCCCACGGGCATGGTCAAGGACGGCCCTCAACTCAGCCAGGAGAGCGAGATCCTGCTCAAGGCGCTGAAGTCAGTATGGGATGACCACACAAGCAACATGACGCGGCTAGGGCAGATCTTGCAATACATGGTGCGTGCTAATATCCTTCCCCACGTCTATATATTGACGAAGGCAGTAGGACCGCGTTCACACCAAATCCGCGAACGTGCCCCCGACGTGGGACGTAGGACTTGACCTCTTCTTGCGCCACATCCTCCGCTCGCCGATCAAGGATCATCTTGTTAGCGCCGTCCTGAACGAGATCCAGTATGAACGCGAAGGCTACATGATCAATCGCTCGACCGTCAAGGGCTGCGTCGACGTCTTCCTTGGTCTCATAGCCGATGCCGACACGCAGGAGACTGTTTACAAGAGAGACCTTGAGCCTCCCTTCCTCAAGGAAAGCGAGGCTTTCTACCGTGCTGAAGGAGAGCGATTAGCGGAGACATGCGACTCGCCAGAATACCTGCGTCGGGTGCGTCACCCTCAAATCATGTTTATACTACTTCTGACAACATAACGTCCAGGCGGAATCCCACTTTCTTGCCGAAGAGGACCGAATACACCACTACCTGCACCACCAGACCGAACCCGCACTACGAAGCATCCTCCAAGACCACCTCCTCTCCCGCCACCTAACACACATCCTCTCCGCCCCGACAGGCCTCGACTCCATGCTGGACATGGACAAGTACGATGACCTCGATCGGCTGTTTCGCCTCTTCTCCATGGTGCCGGCAGGTATCCCTTCCCTCAAGCGGGCGCTACGAGAGTCAATATCGCGGCGAGGAAAGGAGATTAACCAGCTGTCCCTTGGTGGGAGTGCCGAGCCCAAGGCTGAACCGGAGAAGGGGAAAGGCAAGGGCAAAGCCCGCGCCACGGCTCAGTCGGATGCGCTGTCCTCCGCTTTGCGATGGGTACAGGATGTGTTGAACCTGAAGGACAAGTTCGACACCGCGTGGGAGAAGTCCTTCCAGAGCAACAGGGACGTCGAGAGCACTTTGAACGAGGTAAGTCGCATCTGGATTGGCTTGCTGCAGCTCACTGACATCCATTCAGGCATTTGGCACGTTCATCAACATGAACGAGAAATCACCGGAGTTCATATCATTGTTCATCGACGATCATCTGAAGCGCGGGCTCAAGGGCGTAAGTATCGCTTCCCCCCTTTGTTATTTCCAGCTCTAATCGTCTACCCAGAAATCTGACGACGAAGTCGAACAAGTGCTCGACAAGACCATCACCGTCTTCCGCTACATCACCGAAAAGGACGTCTTCGAGCGCTACTACAAAGCACACCTCTCCAAGCGGCTTCTCAACGCACGCTCCGTCTCCGACGACGCCGAGCGCGGCATGCTCGCCAAGCTCAAGGTCGAGTGCGGCTTCCAGTTCACGCAGAAGCTCGAGGGCATGTTCCACGACATGAAGATCTCCGCGGAGCACATGGACAAATTCCGTGCGCACCTGCTGAGGGGGACGTCGTTGCAACCGCCGGCGGAGGTGTCGGTGATCGTGATGACCTCGACGTTCTGGCCGGTCTCGATGGTGCCGGTGCCGTGCGCGATGCCGGGGGTGCTGCTGAAGAGCTGCCAGGCGTATGAGAGGTTCTATATGTCGCAGCATAGTGGAAGGAGGTTGACGTGGCAGCCGTCGTTGGGGCATGCGGATGTGAGGGTGCGTTTCAATGCAAGGACGCATGATCTGAATGTGTCGACAATGGCGCTCGTCGTTTTGCTGTTATTCGAGGATGTCGAGGACGATCAGTTCTTGACTTATAAGGTGCGTCGTAGTGTACTTGACCTCGTAGGATAGTCACGCTTACCCAACGTTTGCTACAGGAAATCAAGGAGGCTACGGGCATCGCGGACGCCGAGCTGCAGCGACATCTGCAGTCCCTCGCCTGCGCGAAGTTCAAGATCCTCAAGAAGCACCCGCACGGCCGCGACGTTGACCCCTCCGACTCCTTCTCCTTCAACGCCGACTTCAGCGCGCCGATGCAGAAGATCAAGATCAGCACCATCTCCTCGCGGCCCGAGACGAACGACGAGCGGAAGGAGACGCGCGACCACATTGACGAGGAGCGCAGGCATCAGACGGATGTGAGTGCATGGTTAAAGGTCGGCAAGGATGGATGCACTAACATCTTATACGCAGGCATGCATCGTGCGCATTATGAAGGACAGGAAGCGGTGTGGGCACAACGACCTCATCAACGAGGTGACCCGGCAGCTGTCCTCGCGCTTCCACCCCAATCCGCTGGATATCAAGAAGCGGATCGAGAACTTAATAGAGGTATGGTCATCTTGGGTTTTGCTTCTTGTCAGATGACCTGACATTCTCGTTCAGCGCGAATACCTCGAACGCTGCGACGACCGCAAGTCATACAATTACCTAGTGCGTCTTCTGCTTACGTGCGCGTTGCAGCTTGCTCATCCCAGCCCAGGCCTGAGACGAGGATGTATGCCCTCATGTGTATCGCGTATATACGCTCACTGTATCACCAACATTGTTATATCGCATCTTTTGAGTTTCTTTGGCCGTATCGACGCGGCACCTCCACGCTCCGTCGACTGGACTGCATCACCGCAGTCTTTTGATGGGAGCTCTCTTCACTGACAGATGCAACACAATAAGCTCACAATGACATCTCTGTTATTGTGGTCAGCGCGCTCGCGCTCGGTCAATGTGAATACACGGCAACAGAAGGCGCCTTCGTGCTCAGTATTTCTAGGTGACCATACGTTGTCCTAGCTGGGACAGATGGTCTCAAGGGAAAGTCCAGCTCACATGCCCGGACAGGCTTTGAGCAATGAAACCTCCTCAATGAAAGCCGTGGTCGTAATTTAACTGATGAAAGGGTATCTAAGTATCACACGAGCATTGAGGGGAGAGACGCAACGCACCGACCGCTAGTGGGGGTTGTGAAACCTGTGCTTGCCAATAGCGCGTATAGCAGCCTGTTGGAGCACGCAGGGAGATCCTTGCTCAAGGAAATCGACAGTGAAGTCGAGCAGTAAGCCGCTCGGCTTTCAATCGGGACCATCTGCATGGTCTACATGGACAGGGGCGGGTGAGAAATTCGGACAGAGGCCAGCAGAGGGAATCAAACCCACCAGTTGCGCAGCCCGTAGCGGACCGCTGGCATCAAACCATGCTGGATGGGTCGGCCCGCGAGCGCGGACCAGACACACTGGTGAGAGGTCGGACCTTGTTCGACGATGCATAACAAATTGACATACCGTGGAGGACGGGGACTGTGACCTCAGATGCGCAGCTTGGCTGAGAGGGGAGTATAGTCAGGCTCAGAGTTAGCAAGTCGAAGGGATGGGTTCATACAGCGATCGCTCAAGCTGCGCAATGTCTGCGACTTCATCGATGAGCAATCGCACCCATCCTACGGCCTGCATGAACACATACCGGTCACAGTCCTCGTCCTCCGTCTCATCTTCCAACGGATCTTTCCGTTCTCAGCTGCGCGCGGCGGGGCTCATCAGAGCCCCGCCGCCGGATTATTGGGGATTATTGGTTGATATTTGTTCGTCGTTCGTACTCGCGACAGCGGGCGACTTGCGTCGCCGCTGGGGACAAGGGGTCCGAAGAAGCCGCCGTGCGAATATGGGCTAGTTGTAGGGCGAACTTGAGGGCAGACCATTTGGTTACCTAACGCGCGCCAGGGGACGGTCACGAGCGACGAGAGGATGCTTGTGGTGATTCTCGGGCTACATAAAGGACAAGAGACGGGGCGACGAATATACCCATTACACACAACACGTCGGGAAAGATACACGGGGACGACGTCGCAGCCGTACATGGAAGAATCAAATCTCGTCGCTTAGGCTGTACTAGCCGTCGTATTGGCCGTTCATGACATGGAAGATATCTGCACGCTCGAAGGTCAGCAACAACAACCAAACGTCGATGAATGGGAATTACTGACTCAAAGGGCGCGGCTTGTCGACGCGACCACGCGCCTCCATGAGTAGTTTGTCTACGTGTTGCCACGTCGTAGCTAGACGAGCTTGTGCGCTTTTGAGGTGTTTGAGTGCCGGGAAGAGCAAATGGAGGAAGCGGGCGACTTCGGAGACGGGCACCTCCAGACCACCGAAACCAACGGCCAGTTCGGAGACCTGACTGGGAGTATCCAGCAGGCAATCCCAGTCCTCGAGCGACGGTATGTCCCTCACGTCATGGATATTCAAGGAGAGTCGCTCGAGGTCGGGGCAATGATACGCGAAGCGGATGAGGGCGTTGAGGGTCGCGAGCTGCGGTGGTAGGATCCTTTCGCGTTCCCAATTACCGAAAGAGTACATGTCGTATGTCTCCACCTTGAAGACGCGGATATGAGGTAGGTGCTGAGCCAATAATGCGTAGTCGGAGTTGTCCAGCATGATTTTGTACGATGCACGGACCTCGAGGGTGATGAGCTCGGTAAAGGCCAGAAGTGAGTTTATGTGGCGCAGGGAGAGGAACCATTCCTTGGCGATAGGCGATTCATCTGGGCTATGCAGGCGATCATCCGGCTCTAACTTTCCTACGGTTTTGCCAACAATGCGAGCTGAGCGAAGAACGCTTGGTTGACAGGTCCGCGCGATGGCGGCGACAATATCCTCCAGATCGCTTTCGCCCTTCATGAACGATGTCTGCAGATCCACCTGCTGAAGATGCGGCGATCCTAGAAGAGCGACGGCGAATGCAGCAGACTGGCCTCGCAGGGTGATCCGGCGCAGACCTAGCAGGTTGAAGCTACCCACGGTCTCGCTGCAGTCACCGAGCGTCAGGGTAAGCTGGACGAGCGAGTCGGTGCATTCCTTCAGCAATGTACGCAGGCCGGTGGAGTGATGCAAACGTAGGTCGAGCGTGCGTAGAGACGCGAACTGGGGTCGCATCGCTGCGAGCAGCGGGATAGTAAGGGCGCTCGCGTCCCCAGCCTTCCCCGCTGAGCGTGGATCGGCGAATCGGAACTCTGTGATATTGATATTGTTCCAAAGCGGATCGGCGTCCATGTCGGCGATGAGGCAACGCGGGATGAAAGTCGACAGACGCGGGCCGGTGAATGGGAGTAAGAGCTTCGCAGGGAAACCGCCGTCTACGCCGCTGTAGACTTCCAGAGTTTGCAGGTTGTGGAATAGGGTGAAATCGTCGCGGCACCTCGCGAGGGAATCGGCCATGAGGGCATGAGTCGTCCAGTCGATGTATACTTTGCCCTGGCGGAAGAATGTGGGCAGACGGGAGTCGCGATCGCGTTTATCCTCTAGCAGAGGATGAAGGTATAGCTTCCGGACGTACGACGCCAGCAGTCGAAGGCGCGGGTATGAATCCCAATCACTGTCATCGATATCCAGAAGATGCTGTAATGTACCAGCGTGAGTTGCAGGGTACGAGCGGCTCAAGATAACGCAGCACACCAATAGCCAGATTTTTCGTTCAACACTATAGTGATCAGGCTGGTAGAGCATGAAGTGAGTAATTGGTCTGCGGGTTTGTCATAGGCCAACTCACGACTTTGATTTCCTCCAAACATAAACGCTCCTCAGGGAGAAGGAGCATGATAGGCACCAGTGAGGACAGAGTGTGCCAGATCTTGCGCTGAGCAATTGGATTATAGTGGCGGTCGACCAAGGCCAGAGAAATGAGGTCAGGTTTGCCGAGATGACTAGCTATCTCGTCAAGGGTTTCGCGAGGGAGGGTGTAAAGCGCCGGACGCTGAGCATATGCAAGACCCGCCTGCTATCATATTCGTCAGCCTTCATGTGAGGGCCTCTGGCACAGCATACCTTGTCAGGCATCGTGCTGGCGGAATCTCGTAAGGAGCGGGTATCGCTGAGAGCCATTATGGTAGGAAGAGAGAACAATTGGCATTCCTAATCGGGAATTCGGCCATCACAAAAGATAGGAGATGACTCTTCCGTTCGGCGAACGCCGGTTGACAACCACGGCGGTCTAGCGTTGTATCTTTCGGATTCTTTCCATCACCCTTGTCCTTGTCGCCATGGACTTCAGCGTTACCCGCCTACCAGTTTTCATCTACAATAGTATCTCTGCTGCTCTTTTTGGCGCACCAGTGGATAATTCGGCGGTACGTCCTTCTCCTGCCTCTCCAATGGCCCTTGGAAGCTCATGCATCGCCCAGATACAAGACCCAGCTCCCGTTAAACCGCCCGCCATTTATCGCCTCTCAGTAGAAACCCTTCACGAGATTGCGGAACATGTCGGACATAACTCCAAGGCGGACCTCGCATCTCTTGTCCGGGTGGACCAGCGATTTCAGGCCCTTGGCGAAGGCATACTGTGGCGCGAGCTCCCTTCCATTGTGCCCCTGCTTCGTCTTTTGATGCCGGAGTACTTCTATCTGAACTACGTATATGTGGTGAGTACAATGGCGCCGCCATTGGACCACAATTATTTGATTCACTGTTTAGCCGGATAACGATCCTTTCGTTCGTGATCACAGTCGCAATTTCTCTTGTCTGGTAAGCTCGTCTTAACGTTGACCACTGTTGTATGCTCACTGCATCTGCACGCTAGCGGCAGCACAAGCCGCTCCCCGATGATATATGGGAGCAGCATCCAAGTCTTCTACGCCTTGCATCCCATGTCACGACGCTTCTCATTCATCCCATTTCGAGTCCCACCTTGGATCACTATTTTGATACCTTCTGGCGTCAAGGAACCATTCTTGTAGACATGCACACTTTGACAGGGGTCTCCCGCTCGCTGTCTTCCGATCCGAGCCGTGCCGCCCTCTTCCCGCGCCTGCAGCGACTGGAGGTCAACAGTTTCTCCGGCATTCCTGCCGAACTTCTTCTTCCATTGTTAGGCGCCAACCTCAGCTCCTGTGTCGCCTACTGCACCATCTGGGGGCTTGACGAGTTACTCAGGCGCACGAAGATCGATAACTTCAGCCACTGCGAGTTCATGCTCTCCGACCTACTCGAGGAGATCCTGAACGACAACGACACTTCTGATGACGAGGACGACGATCCCGAGCCTTTCCGCCCGTATTCTGTGGTGGAACACCGGAGTGTTTTCGACATGCCCAATCTTCGGGATATCGCCCCCGTCATCCACTCGTTGCGCGCACTCAAACTACGCCTCATCTTCGCGAAGGACCTCCCTGCTCTGCTTCAACCTGCATACGACTCGCTGCGCTCGCTCAACGTGGAGATCAGCGAGCTCGACGACACGGAGACGGACTATAACCTTAGGTCACTCCGATCGTTGACGGTCCGAAAGCAGAAGGCTGCGTTCGCGCGCGCCCTCGTGAGTTCCGTAGAACTCGAGCATCTCGACATGCAGTCTTTGGATATCGCTGGCTCTGACGATCTCGACACCCTACTTACGAGGATCCGTCAGGAATGTCGACCGGCTACACTTCGTCGCGTGCGGATCGACGAACGTAAGGGCTCCTCTCGGGATTGGTCCTTCGCCGTCGACCAGCTTACCCCGCTTCGCGCCTTTCCTTGCTTGGTCGAACTGGACATCAGCGTCAGCAGCGACATTTCGATGACCGACGCTGATTACGCTGCGCTTGCCCCCTCCTGGCCGTCTCTCAGGGTCTTCAAGTTGAAGCATGCGCGGGATGCACCGGACACGGCGGTACTCTCTTCCTCGACCACGCTTGCTGCTCTTGTCTCCTTCGCCACCTCCTGCCCCGACCTCGAAGAGCTCGGCATCCAGCTTCACGTCAACTCGCTCCCGGACCTCGTCCTTCCCGCCCGCCAAAGTCGCATACACACGCTGGACCTGGGCTTCCGCACCGCGCTCGGCGTCGACGTTCCGCTGGTCGCTGGCTTCCTGCGCTCGTTATTTCCGGGTCTGCAGAAGCTACACGTAGTGCCGGCGCTGGGGGTCGCGACGATGTGGAACCGGGTGAGGTATTCGGTGCTTCCACCGTACTATGGAGCAAGCGCGCCTTGTGAGTGATACGCTTTCGATTTAGGACCAACGCTGACCGTGTCTTCCAGGGCTACCCGCAAGCAACTGAAGTCCCTCTGGGTTTTTAGGTTTGATCTGGTGCAGCGGATGACGTCTCTCTATCTTGATTCTACATCGTTTTGTATGCGTTCGATATGTTCTGGTCTTGTATCATCGACTCGCATTTCCTTTCGAGCCCTGCTCGCGTCGCCTGACGTTCTTCAAATGCAAGACAACAGCGAGGCGTCTAGCCTACCCTCAAGCGCGGTCTATATCCACGGTCTGTTCGCACGCTACCTTCTTCGGACCCCTTGTCCCCAGCGTCGACGCAAGTCGACCGCTGTCAGGCATACGAACGACGAATCAGCTACCATTCGATAATCCTCAATAATCAGGCGGCGGGGCCTCCCACGAGCCCCGCCGCGCACAAGACGAAGATGGAGAGATCCGTTTTTTGAATTATTCCCTGGACGGGAGTTGTGACAGTGCGTGCGTTCTGCCGATGATGATCTGCGTACGTTGCTGACCGGTGGACGTGTAGCCTTGCGCAGCTGGGGTATACCACTGTACGTTCGGGCTCTGGATAGACCTGCGATGAGGCTGATTGCGTGTTTTCCCTCAGCCATGCTGCCCGACCGGTGTCACAACTCCCGTCCTAGGTGTATGTCTTCCATCCATTCAAAGGGAGCTTGAAGCTTACCTGCAGACAGCGTCAAGCACGCCGCCAGCAAGCATGACCAAGATGCCCAGTGGTCTAGCGATCCAGATGCGCTTCATGGTGCGCTGCAGTATCTTTCCCTCAGGCTTCTATCAGCTGACGATGTTTTGCAGATCTTGCATGTTCACGTCGTGCCGGCTGGCTCACGATATCGTTTCGAATGTGTAACGAGCCCATGAACCAGCGCAGTCACCATTCTGCTTACTTATTCTCCTTTCTTGAATCCATCGTGCGTTTCTTCCTTCTTTTTCTTTGATGCCTGGTAATCTAACCTGTATGCACAGATCTATCTACTTACGAAGCCTACCCAAAGTGGAGATGTCCAGATCGACATCGCGCTGAGGGCAGACTCATCGTGATTCAAGAATCCTCCGCTGGCAGAGCCCAGAACGGAGGGTTCTCGAATCACCATTGTGTCTTGCTCGGGAAGCTTTTGCGAAGGCTTTCCCTAACCAGACATACGCTCATGCGTGTGAACTCCGAATGATATCACTTCGTTCAGGTGCACACGACTTGAGACCCTCCTGTATTTGCGAGCTAGCTTATGCATGGGGATATATACTAACTTATGGAAACGATGCGAGAGTGCTTGAGACTGTCGCCGAGGTTCGCGAAGCATGCTCCGACGGCCCGTACTAGGCAGACGTGATCATGATGTAGTACAGAAATCGAACTTGCGTCCTCCGGGTCACGATGCCTACTCCGCAAGAAATATCCCCCATAGTCGACGTTTGCGGGCTCCGAAACCGTCGAGTCCTGCTTTTTGGCACGGAAAAAGAGCAAAAAGAGCCCGAAGAATCCCCAAGGCGTTTCTTAGACAGTTACGAACGTGCATCACCGCATTGGCAACAGAAGTCGTTACACATCTGAGGACGCCGCAGCTCAACACGCCTCGCAAATAACCACTAATCCACCGACCCTTGTGATATGGCGTGCAGTGCAATTATTATATACCGCTCATGACCCTATCTTATTCGCTGTATTGTGCTGCCCTCGGTTACATCTGGCATCAGAGAGCGCTATACTGTGTCTGTTGCGCACGTTTTTGAGGTGAGAAATTGGGGAAGCCAGACTTGAGAAGCGGTGTTTTGAGAACAAAGCTATTCCCGATTTGGTATATATTCCTGTGCTGCTGGGCCAATCAGGCTCCCAGCGAAAGCGCTCATCGTCAGAGTCTGCCTTGTCTCAAAGCTTGATTGTGCAACTGCATTTGTGCTCATACGAAGCGCCCGATTATGCCACACGGGCAGCGGAGCCAGCGGCAAACGCTTGAGACGCATCAGCCCGGGCGCATTACGCGTCTGTCAGCGTCGAGCGAACGAAGCGCTAGACACCCTCGGAGAAGTGTCAGCTTTACCAAGAGATATACTGCTCTATTTCAGAGGAGGCATGGATGCATGCTACCATTCGCGCGCGTGCAGGCCTCAGTCATGGACAGCCTCAAAGCTATATTCCTCCACCTCGACCGACACTCGCAGCCGACAACTGTCATCCATTCTGGTCCTCCGGCGCGACCAAGAGCCCGATCGTGCCTCTGCTATAGCTTTGCCTTTGTATGGTCGAATCCGACCCAGTAATTCATGAGCATGATTTGGCTGCCTTCGTGGTCGATGAAGTTGTGCTCGTCGGGTTGCATAAGCGCCTTGTATTCAGGCGAGTCAAAGACCTGGGGGATGGTAAGATGTTAGTCGGCCATTTAGTAGGGGCAGACTCGGGCTGGGAGAATGGGATACAGAGCGTCAAAGAATCGTGGCACGCCGACACACCTGTTGCAAGTCCTCAAACGAGTCTGCCTCAAGCAGAACGACACCGTCGTAAGTCGCGGCCGGGAAGCCATACTTCTCGCTCCAAGCCTTCATGGCCGAGGGCGAGAGGTGCATCTGTGTGCCGAAGTCAGCGTTACGAAGCCTATGTGGATCGCGAACTTGAGGTGCCGGGCAAAGTGGCCGCAGCAGACTGTCCATCCAGATGGCTGCAACAGACCGTCCACTGTCCGCCCAAAAGGCTGCAATACGCTATTCACTCGTACTCACCTGATCATATCGCACCGTATACTGATGCGCGACGCGCGAGCCGGTGAAGATCTTCGAATGGACGTTCAGCCAGTAGTCCGAGAACTCCTCGTGCGTCATGCCCTTCCGTCGCTTGAGGAGGTATATGAGGCGGACGCGGTCCTTGCGCAGGGTAGGCTTGCTATCGGGCATCGTCAGAGCGAAGAAGGTCGCGCCAGGCAGCCTATAAGACGATAGAGTGTGTAGCATCGTGTGGCGTGCCTGCAATACAATCCGACCTAAGTGCGCCGACAGCGCAAGTGCGTCCATCTGGGGGCGACAGGTGGATTCATTCGAGGCGACATGCGCGTCGATGAGCGCCTGTGAACTGCAGCCGATCTTAGGCCAGCCTAAACAGTGTGAGTCCTTTTTGGCGCAATCACTTCGCTGTGCAGACGAGAATACGAGGACGTGTGGAACGCGGAATTTCTTCGATTCAAATGACAGCATTGGTACAGCCGACCACTGCGCCTGTCCTAGACCCGCGAGTTTGTCTACAGCTTCGCCTTCGTGTGGTCGAAGCCGACCCAGAAGTTCATCGGGATGATCTGGGAGCCGTCGTGGTCGATGAACTGGTATTCGTCGGGGCGGACGTGAGCTTTGTATTCCTCGGAGTCGAATACCTGAGAGACGAGGGTTAGTCATGGAATGGGGCGAGCAGCGATTTGCAGAAAGGGCAGAGAAAGTTTTCAGAGAAGCAAGGGCGAGTCCAAATTTATAGTGCGCGTACAGTGGACTCAAAAGACCGACTGCCAGAGCTCCAAAGACCTGCGTCGTAGCCACGTACCTTCCGTATGTCTTCGAACGAGTCTGCCTCGAACAAAGCGACACCGTCGAAGGTCGTGGCCCGTATGCCGTATTTCTCCTCCCACGCCTTCTCTGTCGCGGCAGAGGGGTGCATCTGCATGGAAGATCAGCTTAAGCTCAAACACTCTGTCAAGTCGCCGCTGAGGGGTGCAGCGATGATGGTCACCCTCCTTTCCGGAGACTGCATGTCCGACCTGAGTCAATACGCACCTGCTCGTAACGCGACATGTACTGATGCGCAACACGCGAGCCGGCGAAGATTTTGGAGTGAGCTTTCAGCCAGTATTCAGCGAACTCCTCATGGGTCATATCTTTGCGCCGCTTGACAAGATATATCAGGCGGACGCGGTCATTGCGCAGAGAGGGCGTATCGTCGTTGGCGTCCGACATCGTCGAGGTGAGGGCTGCTCCGAGGAGGTCGAGTGGATTTAATCAGGACGAGTACTTATTTGCGTAAGGTGACACGGGTAACACGGATGATTGCAGATAATGGGAGCCAGCCTGTATAGCCCAAGGTTCACCGCGCGGGCCAAACGTCGATGTGCACGCCTTCTAGCAATTGCATGTCCACCTAACGATGGAGCGAGGTCGTTCTTCATTGGGCCTTAGTTCGCTTTAGATGAGAGCCTGGCGGCTTGCGGCGCCAATCGGACGTCCAATTGGGTGATGTACATGGAGGCAAGAGACAAGCCGCACAGTCGGCGTTGGAACCACAAAAGGCAATATCCCACGTGTTGCCTTGCGGCCCGTTGCGCCGCTGAGCTGTCTTCATCTCCTGCCATGATACCCTCACAGTAATCCGTCTCAAGCACTCACTGACTACACTTGAGCGTATAAGCAACAATACAGGATCCCTCGCTTGCTGCTCCCTATCCACCCGACCCGCGCCGTATCTCCATCAACTGTCTAGCCTGTCGCCTAGTGCCGTCAAGCGCCCACCATGTCCACTATGGATTCCATCAACCGCTTCATCTGGGGCCCCACACCCGAGCAGCGGGTGCGGGAATGGCAGGCAAAGCTGCGTGCGGAGAGTCGTAAGCTCGACAGGGAGATGCACCAGGTACGTCTGCTAGCTGCGCGCCATCGTACTCAAGTACCGCTCCATGTACGCGACTGACTTGCCACACTACCCCTCCCGTGCACCATAACACTTATCTGACACCCCACCCACCCCAGCTCGATGTCCGCGCAAAGGACGCGAAGAAGACGGTCAAGCAGCTCGCGACGAAGGGCGACGTCAAGTCCGCGCGCATCCTCGCGCGCGAGGTCGTGCGCGTCGATCGGCAGAAGGACAGGATGTCCGTGAGCAAGGCGCGCCTGGGGTCCATTAACTATCAGTTGCAGCAGCAATTGGGTGAGTGACGGCGCTTCTGGGGCAAGGGGAAGGGGACGCGCCCATCGTCCCCCGCATCAAGGTGTATACTCACGCAAATGCTCCAGCTATGGCCAAGGTCACCGGCGCGCTACAGAAGTCCACCGAGATCATGAAGCTGTCGAACTCGCTCATCCGGCTACCGCAAATATCGCAGACGATGCGGGAAATGAGCATGGAAATGATGAAGGTGCGCCGAGCTGGACCTTGCTACAGTTCTCAGATACTGACCATTTCTTTCCTCGCGTTCCCCCTCCCTCTCAATTTGACTCGCATCGCCATTAACATCACCCTCACTGTTGGCCATTCCTCCCCACTCTGCCTCCCCTCCTCAATTAGGCCGGCATCCTCGAAGAAATGACCGAAGACATGCTCGACATGGACGCCGACGACGAGGAGCTCGAAGAGGAAGCCGACGCTGAGGTCGATCAGGTGCTGTTCGCGCTCACAGACGGCAAGCTCGGGCAGGCGGGGAGTGTCAGCACGGAGGTGCCGGTGAGTGGTAATTCCCATATTCGTTCTCAGTCCGGGGTTACTCTAGTCTCACTCATCGTACACCCCATGAATACTTTGGCCACATTCGTTGTGCATCCCATACATGTTACTCACCTACCTCACAGGGCGCAGCAGAACAAGCCACCGACCCGGCCGAGGACGAGCGTATATTGGAGCGCTATCGGCAGGAGCTTGCGAGTGTGTTGAGTTGAGCCGAAGCATCTACCTTGACTTTTACTGGACATGTATCGACCTACCGACGAAGCCCTCATCCCCCAGCTAGACACCCTACCCACGATTATTAAGACGAGTTGGGATGAACTGGAAGTATATGTACACTACTTATTGACGCGTTAGTATACGCCGACTCAGAGTCCGGTTCACCCGGAATGGCTTCGCACTACTGCATTGCCCCTCAAGCCGAAAGTGACGCTGACCCAGCCTCAATCTACATCACCGCCTACCACCTTCTCACTCACCCCTTTGCCCTCCCCTCGCACATCACTCGACACGTCACCCTCATCACTGAACACATACTCCCCCGTCACCTTCTCCCAGAGTGCGCGCGTGTCGACGGTCGCGTCCAGCCGGGCGGCGAGGAGGAAGGCGCCGGAGAGTTTCCTGAAAGGAATGTCAGCGCGGGCTACTTGCAGATGTCGATCACTGACCTGTTCAGACTATACGTCTCCCTCGGCGGCGGCGTGAGCCTGTGCTTCAGCATCGTCGGGATGAGCGCGCGGATCTCGTTCGTGATGTCCGCCCAGGAGGACGTGGGGCCGAAGGAGACGGGCATGGGGGTGGTGGACCTAGAAAAGGGGGTTGTTAGTAGGCGTACGTCGGCACAAGAGCGATAATAGGAGGCGGAGAGCGGACGAAGCTAGGCGTCCGTCGCGAGCAATGTCCTTTGCATGCAACATCTCCTTGAGACCCTGAAAAGCACCCGGCACAATCACCAACACGTAACACAGAAACTCACCTAAACGGCGTCGCTAAAAGCGTCATCGACCGCACATGCGCGTCCACCATCACCTCGTCCTCCGCGCCCGTCAGGTAGCCGACCTGCGTGCTCCAGCGCACGCACGCGTCGCGGTCGCCCGAGGCGGCGGCCTGCAGGAGGCGGAGCCAAGAATCCATGAACTCCTTGCTGTACTCGCGCGTCGCGCCGAAGTCGACGAGTTGGATCTGGGAGAGGGTGATTGGTACGGTCGCTTGGTCTTGGGTGTAGTCATGTAGGTATCAAGTAAAGACGCGGAGGGGTCGAGCGATCGCTTGTAGAAGTTAACCAAACACGTCACATACCTTGTCCTCCGTCTCATCCCACAAGAAGTTGCTCCAGTTCGGGTCCGTCTGCATGGTGCGCCAGGTGAAGAGCTCGCGCAGGCAGAGCTCGATGACGCGGGCGGCGATCTGGGGTGAGAGAAGGTCAGAATGGGCTGAGCGTAAAGCGGGGCTCGGGAGATTGCAGGGGCTAGCGACACTCACATCATCCCTCTTCTCCTTCGGCAACCTCTTCACCCGCTCTTCGCCAATGCTGATCCCGTTTACGCGCTCCATGACGAGGACCTGGCGATTGCTGTTCGTCAGCATAACACCCCGGCACTATCATTACGACTATCGCACCTCCTTCGTACTCCCTGACCACACCCAGGGCACCATAAAGCGAGAGTCAGATTCACTGTACAAAGTTAGTTCTCCATTGCAGGGTCAGTGTAGGGCGGAGGTATGTGGATGGGAGGCGGCAGGAAGACGTCAAGACGCACACAAAACCGCTAAACTTCCTCGCCATGCCAGCCTCGCGGGTGTAGTCGCATTCGTCCGCGAGCTCGCCCTTCATGACTTCCAGGGTTTTGTTGAGGAAGAGACCTGTGTGTCATGTCAGCCTCGCTCTCCAAGTAAGGTCGAGATAGTCCAAGGGCAAGCAACGGCCACCGCGGACGAGAAGAACACATTCGACGCAGCGAAAGGCATCGACTCACCCTTCGGCAACAGCCTCCCTGCGGTCAGCAGCGTTCGCAGGTACCCCAAATCACTCGCTATGGAGCGCGCAATGTTCGGGAACTGGACCTTGACGGCGACGGGGATGGTCCCTTCGGGGGTGGCGCGGTGGGCGAAGGAGGCGTCTAGGATGCGGAGTTAGCGTTTCTGCCGACTCTCAGCGTCAAAGGGCAAGCACAAGACAAGGGAGATTGGAAAGATGAGAAGCAACGATACCCACCTGCCACACTGGCCTTCAGCTCTGCCCTGTGCACTTGCCCGATACTGGCCGCTGCGAACGGTACGCGCTCGAAGGAGGCAAAATTGGACATCCAGTCGTCTCCAAGAGCTTCGCGCATGACGGTCTGGGGAAGGGCTGAGTGATGCATTCCTTTGACAGACCTCGGTTCAGACGAGCTTAGTGGCGCAGCCTACCTCAAACTGAGCATCCGGCATATAATGCGCAGAATCCTGCACTCGTCGGAAGACGGCGTCGAGGTCGGGAGGTAGGACGTGGGTGTCTGACACGACGGTCAACATCTCTCAATCGATTTCTCGAAATCAACGGTAGCCGGAGCACGCACGTACCCTGTATGCTCATAAACTGTCCTAACTTCAGGGCCGCGCCGCGCATTTGCGACAGCTTGGAGACGAGCCGCCCAATGTTAGCCTCCGTCATCATAAGGGAGGATGACTGATTCTCGGAGCCTGCAGATGAGGTGAGTGAGGTCGAATATGAGTGCATGCACGCGTGCACCGAAAGGTGTGTTGACGCATACACCAATCACTATGTGCATGCATGCAGTCAAGCGAACTGACCTGACGTTGTCCGGCGAATCATCTCGGAGGCGGCGCCGTACCCCAGAGACGCGGCGAGACCTGGAAGTATGGATGAGAAAGAGCTCGTTCAACGGACGAAGGGGAATGTATATATTTACCTCCATAGTGGAACAACCGTCCGATCCGCGAGGAGGGGACTCTGGACGACGAAAGTTGACGCGCAACCGGTGGAGGAAGTTGCTCGGGGACGGGCTGCTCTACCAGTGTCTCTGCAGCTGGGGGCTTGACAAGAGGCTCTGCAGATGTCGTGGTGGGTTCTTCGACCAGAGGTGGCGCGGGACGTCGTTCAAGCTCAAGAACGGGTGCGGCTTTTGGAGCGGGGGAAGGACGGACCGGCGGCAGATGTGAGGGAGTGGGGGGAGGAGGTCGCGGTGCTGGCGGAGGGAGACTAGTACGAAGGTCTTCTCGAGAAGAAGCTGGAGTAGGCGGTTTAGCACCCTTCGGGGTCGAAGGCTACGGACAGCGCGTCAGCGTTAAGCACTCAGAGGAACTGCGTCACGCACCTCCTGCGGGGAAACAGGGGACGCTGTCGCCAGCGCTGGTCTGCTCTTACTTGGGACGACCTCGATATTGTCTGTAGGTCGTTCGGCCTGGATAGGTACGCGACGCGCATTCGCTGCCGCGTCCGACGCGTCTGCTGCCGGTGCTGGAGTAGACTGGACATTTTCGGCAGCTCCTGGAGCCACAGAGGGTTGCGCATCACTAGTTATGGAGGGCGCAACATCGTCCGGGTGGTCTGCACTCCACGGGCGCGCCGCCGCTGCCGCGCGAGTCGCACCGAGCTGAGAGGCACGGATGCGTGCGGCATTCCCGACGATGTCAGCAGCGCCAGCGAGTACGCATAGCCAGTTGTATGCAGGCCCAGGGGGCATCCGACGCGGTGCACTTGAACGACGAGCGCGTCGATGATGAGCGCGTCTGCTAGGAAGTCGGGTCCGGCCCGAACGCGATATACTTCCGGATTAGGATGCCAATTGACCATTGTTCTCGACGGTGGTTTGTCTGCACTCATCATCTCTTACTGTCCCCATCCTCTATAGATCAAAGGAGATGCGCAAGGTCGGCTCAGAGCAGACTGAAGGATCGAAAGGGAGCGGCGTAGGAAGATAAGGCAAGTGCAGGAGCGCTATATAGTGGCTGCGCGGGAGCGTCGCTAAGCGAGTGTCAGTGGTGCAGCGGGTTACTTGGGTGGCCTTCTGACCTGGGCGGACGGGATTTATCCTGGTTAACGCGGCGACGCTGGTTCGTTCCTCGCCAGCACACACGGCTTGTGGTTCCCCTTTTTGTTTCTGCCAAGACGTGGTTTCTGATCTCTTTTGCTCAGCGCATGATTGGTGTAGCCTTTATAATCATCTCGTCGTCGTACTGAAGCCCAGGACCGCCTTGCGCCAGGTCGACTGGGGACGGAGGGACACCCAGTGGAGGCTCACTGCGCACGATGTTTCCCAGGCTGCCGCGGCCGCATCTAGAGTTCGGTATAAAACTCGACGAGGCCGATGTATGTAAGTAACATGTAACTAGTTACTTACAGCTGTAAGTAACGATGTTATTAACTCGCGTGTTATTAACATGAAGTTACATGTAAGAAACTGGCGTGTTACATGGTATATAACCCTTTTGGGTGTTAATAAAGCTCTACTCTGCATCATAGGCGTTATCAGCTGCTCTGGTGATCCTGTACCATCCCCACCGCCTAGATCCAGAGCTTGATTTCACCGCAATGATGACCTACTGAAGCTTCGAGAGCACCAGCGGTATATAAGCTTCACGTGCCAGAATTGCTGCCCCTTTGACCTGGTATGTCATAGACAGACTCGATGTGCTGCCCTTGTGCTAAGGGCACAGACAGCAGCGCCCGAAGACCTGCAGCGTGTGACCATAGGTACTCAAACTTGGACCAGCAAGTCACATCTGGCTAGTATGCAGCAAAGCAAGTCAGTCCGCTTAGGCACCCTCCACAATCTCTACTACTCGATGCCTCTTGACTCTGCCTCGTCCCGGTGAAGCTCCCAATGTCATGGAAGTCGAGGAGCAGCCCGCCGCGGGAGTTGCCGAGTCCTGTCACGCGGCGGTCACGGTTCGGATTCCGACAGGGCCGACGCGTTGCGCGAACGGATTTTACTCTCGTCTCCCATGATCCTTCGGGCGCGCTGACCACCCACGTCGCCGGGAAGTTTTTAACAGTTTCTAACATGGCCTCCCAGGCCCTCATGTAAGTAACAGTTATTAACATGTTACTAACACGTGTTTTATACATATGTTATTAACATCCCAGTTACTTACCGAACTCTAGCCGCATCAGCTTCTCGTCCACCAGAACAATCACAAGACCAGCTTTTCTCTTCGGACCGCCGTTACGTATGCTATATAAGGCCACAATGACCGCGCATATCTTCCTTCCTGTTCCCCTCTTTTCCCCTCTCTCAAGGCGTACACGAGCGACCCCTCGCTGATCACCGCCATCATGTAGTCTCGTAAACCATCCTCCAGTAAACTGGAGGATGGTGCAGTTCCTGGGGTAGGTCGCAGAGTCGGCGCGGAGTTTGAATTCGATTTTGAGGCCAACGTCCCGCGTTCAAACCCGCTTGAAATCAGAGGTCGCAGCGGGCGGTGGGCGGTCGGCATCGCTCGGCACGCCCAAAATTTCAAACTCCGCGCCCACTCCTTGACCCTGTATATCGGGCCAGACTACCATCATGCTCCGTTGGGTTTCAAGCGCTCTCTTCACCTCTCTTGGTTGCGCCGTACGTCTGACAAGACCATCACGATACTCTCACACTAATGTGGCGCTTACCCAGAAACTCTTCGATACCCCAACATCCATTCAGCACCTTCCCAACGAGATGCTCACCGAGGTTGCTTGCTTCTTGAGCAAAGCTGATCAGGTTGCACTTGTTCGTGTGAATCGGCACTTCCATGCTCTCGTCGAGCCCCTTATATGGCGCGAGCTCACAAGCATTGTGCCGTTGCTACTCCTGTTGCCAGAGTACTTCGAGTTGGAGGATGTGCCGCTGGTGAGCCTTAGGCTCATCGTCCCTCATTTCCGTCTCTCACATCATCTATCGCAGCCACCAAGGTCTCCTGCCGGTCGGACAGGGATCGATTTCAAGTGTCTGGTAAGCCACTTCCCTGCTCCGTCCTTCTGTCGTCATCTCACCTACACACAGCGTCGGCTATGCGACCTTTCGCCGGACATGTGGCGCGACATTCCTAACGTCAAGCGCCTCGCCGGACACGTCCGCAAACTGCTCCTCCACCCTTGCTCCGACTTACACTGGGACGTCAAGCACCCCACCTTTACCCAGTCAGGTCGACTCGTCATCGACTGGACCACCTTCAAGGCCGTCGCGAAGTCATTACAAGGCGCTCGCAACGTCCAGCTCCTCCCGAACCTCCAGTGCCTCGAGGTCAACAGCTGCTGCATTCGCGGCCTGTCGACGCAGATGCTCATTCCCTTCTTCACCGGCGGTAGCGTCACCACCTTCGAGTCCCATTGTGCGCTCTCGTGCTTCGGGCGCTGCTTGGCGCGCGGCGAGCTCAAAACATTCGGGTATTACGAGCCCTCTCCGGAAATCGTGGGATGGCCCGACCAACAAGACGCACTCCTGATACCGGCCCTTCGAGACCTTGTGCCGAAAATTCATACCCTGGACGCTTTGCATCTGCGCCTGAGCTATGGGCAGCAACTCCTACCCTTGCTCCACCCCGCCGCGGAGACGCTCAAGGTGCTCGACATCGAAATCAGACGCCTCATCGGGGCTACACCTGACTACGGCCTGGCTAGCTTGCGCGCTCTGACGGTGAGAAGGCAGAAAGCGACGTTCGTGCGCGCGCTTGCGGGATCCCCGTATCTGGAGCACGTCGAGCTTCAGGACGTAATCCTCGCGAACGCAGACGGGATGTCCATGGCTATGGAACGGATTGGGACGGGTGCGCTTCGTTGTCTTCGCATCGAGGAGAAGATACCGCAACGGTCGGACCCGACATGGTACATTGAGAGGCGTCACCTCGATGCGCTGTCCTCCTCTCATAGTCTGATCGAGCTTGACATCCGCGCCTCGAGCGGGGTCTCACTGACGGACGATGACTGGGCTACGCTCGTCCCTTCGTGGCCCTGCCTGCAGCGCTTCAGACTTCAGCTCGGTCGACGCCGCCGTTCTCGTGATGTCGTCCTACACGTCCCGCAAGCCACACTCGCCACCCTTACTCACCTCGCTCGCTGCTGCCCCAACCTTGGGGAGCTCAGCATTCCGCTGAATGTGGATGGTGTTCCACCACTCGCAAGCGAATCCGAAGTCCGCAAGAATTGTCTTGTCAGGCTGGACTTGGGTTATTGCTCGGCCATTCGCGCGGACGTGGACCCGACCCGCGTCGCAGGCTTTCTGCGCACGCTATTCCCCGTTCTTCGCGAGCTGCAGGTCATGGCGGCATGCCCTGCAGATATAGACACCTGGGACCAGCTGAAGCAGGCGCACGTCGCATAGCAGGCTTGTCTCGCAACGTTCTGTGTCAGACTTACCTTTGCTTTCGCTACAAATCTGTATTTTGTGGTATTCCACGATGTGCGATAAAGAGTACGCACAAATCGATGAGAACCCCTTTACTATGTCAATGAAGCTATGGATTGATATCGACCAGGAATCCAGGAAAGGACGTTCAAGCCAGGTCTAGGTCTTTGCGCGTTTGATATTCTCCTACGAACTGTGCACATCTTCCGATGTCACTGCGTGGCGAGGAGCTGGCCCACCGACGCGCGTCAGTTGCGTGTGAGACCGCGGCGATGTCAGCTATGCCAGTAATTCGAGGTAGAGCCCAGGGGTCATCCGACGCGGTCCACTTCGACGACATGAGCGATATTCTTCCAGAAGAGGATGATTGCCCATTGCTTTCGTGAACGTCGAGCGTGCACCCGCTTGACTGCCTCACCCCCATTCATTTGAAGCAAATTAGATGCAGAGGGTGATTTTAGAGACGAATGACGGCTTCAAAATGAACGGTGCAGCGGAATAAGGCGAGTGGGCAGGCGGTATATATTGGCTGCGCATCAGACCTACCAAGCGGGCAAGATGGACTATCGGTTACTTGTGTGGCAGGTGGCTTGGTACGGGGCGAGTCCTAACCCGGGGGGACTTGTACGACGTCGAAAAGCCTGTCCGTTTCCGAAGGACCATTGGCCCGTGGCTCTCTTTTTCTTCTTCTGCTCATTCTTCATCTTTGCTGACCGTTTTGCACCTCTGAAAGCCTCGCTGGGCGAAGAGGAATATTTGTTTGCACGACAGGCAACAAAGCCAAACAGCGTGCCCAGAAGGTCACAGGTTCAAATCAAGCTCCTCGCCCTCGCCCAATCTTGGCCCCCCACCTTTCATCATGATCATCCAATTCACCGTTGTTACATCTTGGCTACATCGTCGCCTCTTCCTTTTGTCGGCTGTGTCTATGCATGCATTGAAGATAGACTCGAGGAAGGGGATTCTTGAGAGCTCAATCGCTCGTCGAGCTGGTTCACGCTCGTCATGCCAGTGGATTCTAAATCCTATGTATCATAGCAACCGGCTCTTTCCTTCCATATGTATCGGTACCGTACCCTTGCTGCATGAGTCGCCGGAGTACTTTGAGTCAAACAAAGAGAACACGAGATTTTGAGGCTTGAGTATAAGACAAATGAAGCGATAGAATCGACGTCAACCAGAAAGAACCTCTGACGGAGGTCCCGGCGCGTAGATCCGCCAATGTACATCCCGAGAATGCTGGACGACGAGTGGATGACCCGCCAAAGTCATTGCTCTGCTCGTCCTTGGACATCTCAATCTGTCCGCGTCCGCCCTTTGCGCCGCTGACGGTGTACACAAGCTCCAAAATGGGCGAGGGTTGCGCTGCGAGTATCGAGTTTGAGGCGGACTACTTCGAGTTCGAGACTTATGGTGACCACAACTTATGGTGACCACAGTCGAAGCGGGGGATTCTCCTCGTAAGGTGGCGCGTAGAACTGTTTAAGATCGAGGACAGATGCCGCGTTCGATGTCTAGAAGGTAGAAAACGGCGGAGAGGGGACAGGAGTTTGCGGTTCCAGAGTTTCTTGGGAGGGCGCCAATAGAAAGCCTCAACGTTTCTCAAGATGAAGCGTATGGAAGGGGCATCAGCAGAGGAAGGCGAAGTAGTGTTCTGTGACACGTACCTCCTGCAAGGTTGACCATCGCTCTCGTTAGGCCCCGACGTCTTTTATATGTCGACAGCAAGGAGGCGACGTGTCTTCTTCGCGGCAGTGATTACTATAGGTCTGTAACTATCAATGGGCTCAAAGTTTGTGAGAAGCTGCGCAGGAGCAAGAGGAGACCGTAGCATCTCCTGCATTCGCATGAGATGAGGGCGACGTTGACGCCTTGTGCAGCACGGTGGCGTAGGGACCAGGGTTCGCGACGATGCAGATGTCAGCAATGCCAGCAAGTTCGAAAGTAATCCCGGGCGCCGTCGGACGCGGTGCCCTTCGACAACAAGCGCGAAGAAGATGAAGGTATCTGCCAAGATGTCCGGCCCGAACGCGATATTCTTCCAGAATAGGATGATGGCGAATTGTTTTCGCGAACGTCGTGCCTGCATCTGCTTGACTGTACCATCCTCATTGATTCTGAGCGTAAATAGACGCGGATGATCATTTCGAAGACGACTGACGGCTTAGAACTGTGCGGTGCAGCGGAATAGGGCGACTGGGCAAGCGGTATATATTGGCTGCGTATCAAGGCTTTCAAGCCGGCGCAATGGCGAATTGGTTACTTGTGTGGCAGGTGGCTTGGTACGGGGCGAGTCCTATCCCGGGGGGACTTGTACGACGTCGACGATCCTGTCCGTAATCCAACAGACCATTGGCCTGTGGTTCTCTTTTTTTCCTCCTCATTCTGTATCCATACTGGTCCTTTTTCCCCCTCTGAAGGCCTGCCAGAGCGAAAAGGAATATTTGCTTGCAGGGCTGGCGACAAAACCAAGCAATGTGATCCAAAGGTCACAGGTTCGAATCAGGCTGTTCGCTCACGATCAATTTCTGCTCCTTCCCCCAGACCATCACCCTGCATCGTCGCGCTCATCCCCCTAGCCCTTCCATCTGGCGGCTATTTCTCTATACCCTCATCAAAGATATGGTCCTGGCTCTACGAGAAACCTGCGAGCAACGGCATACTTGAAAGCTTCAATCCGGGTCTGGCCAAACGTCAAGTGGTACGTGTTTACCATACTACTGGCAGGACTTGGATGCTTGTGAACGTTGCCTGTCAAGGCTAACAAGCTTGCTTTTCGAGGGCATGCTCCATGTCTACCTAGCAGGATTGACCATTGTTTCCCATCCCGTCCGTATTTTCCATCTTGAGAAGTCGGCCCTTGTCCCGCCAATCAGAACGAGTAACGGCAACACCATCAAGCTTCTTCCGGACCGTGGTAGAGTACAAAAAGGACGGGGAACGGAATGCTCTCCTCCGTCCCTCCTTTCTTTCCCTCCTTCCCATACAGCACTTCGACATGCCGGTCAGTGTCGCTTGTCTATATCAGTCTGTGCTTCAGGCGATTTCAAGAGCCCTCTTCGGTTCTTCGTCCAGTCCGGTGAGTCATAGTTCCCTTGCCACATATGTCTGCAGCGACTGACTACTCCCTTAGAGCGCGCCAAGTGAACCAGTGTCACTCCTCGATCTCCCGAACGAGACGCTCGTTGAGATCGCCTTCCGTTTAGACAACCGCAACCTATACGCCTTTTTTCTCGTCAGCAAACGCCTCCATGCCGTTGCGGAACCCGTTCTTTGGCGTGAACTCTCTTCCCTGGTGCCGATATTGCGTTTACTGCCTGAGTACTTCGAGCGTGAGGCATTGCATCCTGTATGTCCCCATGCTTCCTCCCCCTTGAGAATATCACTGATGATTTGTCAGGAAGTAAGACTGTCATGGGCTCGAATCCTGGTGAGTTCAACCTTCAGGCTACTACGCGCGATGCTGACGAGCAGGCGGAAATGGAAAGGCACAGACCTCCCGCACGATATCTGGGAGCGCAATCCCAACATCGTTCGCCTCGCCAATCACGTCCGCAAGCTACTCATCCACCCCATCTCCGACATCAACAGGGACCGCAAGCATGCGACCTTCTACGACGATGCCAACTGCACTTCCGTGAGATGGCATGCTCTCCAAGCCGTCGTTAACTCGATTCCTCCTTCGTCCGACTTTATCCTCTTCCCCCGCCTTCAACACCTCACGGTCAACACCAGCTTCCATGCAGGCCTTTCCGCCAAGATCCTGCTCCCGCTTGTTGGGCCCCACGTTAACACATTGGAAGTTCACTGTCCCATGCGCTCCCTTGACCACCTCTTCCGTCGCTGCGATATTCGTTCCTTCGCATATCTCGAGCCTTCGCCCACGATCTATAGAAGGCACCCGCCAGTGGCCCCGCATATGGCGCTGACTATACCTGCCCTCAACGACATGGCCCACGAGATTGAAAAGCTGCACACCCTGCGCCTGCGCTTCAACTACGGGAACGGACTCCTCCCGCTGCTGCGACCCGCACAGGCTACGTTGCGTGTTCTCGACATTGAGATCGAGAAGCTTGCGGAGTCGGTGACGGACTACGGGCTCGTCGACTTGCGCTCGCTGACCGTGAGAAGCCAGCGACCGGCGTTCGTGAGCGCGCTTGCGGGGTCGACGCGGCTTGAGGTCGTCGCGCTGTATGACTTGATCATCCGAGACGCAGACGACTTCGCGGATGTCATGAACAAGCTCGACAAGGACACGCTGCGTCGGGTGTATATCCAAGAAAGACCACCTCCGCAGGGAAGTGCTCCCTGGAATCTCGAAGCGCGGCACCTTGACGCGTTGACGTCGTGCCCCAACCTGCTCGAAATCGACATTCGAGCGTTGAGCGTCATCTCGATTACAGACGAGGAATGGGAGGCGTTGGTACCGTCGTGGCCGCGCCTGCGATACCTCCGCGTCCAGCCCTGCATGCTCCCTCGCGACCTCGATTTTTGGCGCGAACCTCGTTTGCCCGCATCGCCCACGGCTACCCTCGCTGCCTTGATCCCCATCTCTTGCTCCTGCCGCTACCTCGAAGAGCTGAGCATCCCAATCAAGATGAACGAGCCGGTGCCGACGCTCTATGACGACCTCATCCTCGATCAGTCGCATCTGACGAAGTTCGATTTGGGCGAGCGGGAGATTCGCTTGGTTGGCGCAAGCACCTGGGATGTAGTGCAATTTCTGCTCGCGCTCTTCCCTGAGCTGCGCCACGTCAAAGCTGTCAGGACAGATGTGTCTGCGAACGATTTTATTTGGGATGATGTGGTGGAAGCGCTGGCCTCCGACGATTTTTATAACGGATGGTACGACATGAAACGCTTGGAGTATGGTTCTGAATAAGATATTGTATATACCCTGAACGATTTGTGAATGACCCAAATGTACATCGACTTCAGCACACGAAATACTCTTCAATGTGCTCTGGACGCCCTGGAGCAGTGTTCACCGGTATGACATATGTTGCCATGACTTGGAAGCTTTTTTTTGTCCTGCAACGATGTCTTGACTGTCCGAAAGTCGAACATACTGAACGCTCGTGACTGCTGCGTGACCTGGCACGTGGCTTCGACATTTGAGGATCGACCACTGAATTTCACCCTTCCCCTCATCGTTCGTGACGTTCCCCAGCCCCTCCTAGATCCCATAATATAGCCGTTGCGGCTTCTGCGTGTGCGATGGACGTCGAACTTCAACAGGTCGTGCAAGCTATCAACATCGCTGCAGATCCCACACAGCAGGCGTCTGACGTCTACCAGCAAGCGCTCGCGTACCTGCAGTCAATCCAGCAGAACGGGGAGTCGAGCTGGCGGCTTGCACTCCATCTCTTTGTAGACCAGAATGCGGATGGCACGCGCAAGTATCCCACGCAGGCGCGTTTCTTCGCGTTGCGCGTGCTAGATGACTTCTTCGATGAAAGGTGAGGGATCGTCCAAAAAGCCCTGCAATCCATTCGAGCATCCCTCAGAAACTATCCCCCATACGACGCGTACTGGGCAATGAGCTGATCGCTTGTGTTTACAGGCTAGTGCCGTTCGATCAAGAGACGTTCAGCACCCTGCAACAGGCCATGCTCGCGTACATCCAGTCAGAATACGTCTTTGGAGCAGCAGAAGCTAGTGCAACGTGTGCGTGCACCATATCTCTCTGTATTCCCCCACTGACCCCATCATTCGCAGTCCTCCGCAACAAGTTCTCCCACACGCTCACCCTGTTCTTCCTCTGCACGTACATCGACCAATGGCCCTCCTTCTTCACCGATCTCTTCACCTGCATCCAGCCTGCTGAGGGCTCCTCAGAACGCACGTTCAACCGCCACGTCTCCCTCCTCTTCTTCCGCGTCATGCTTGAAATCTCTGGCGAGGTCGCGGACCAGTTGATCAAGACCGCCCGCACGTTCAACGCGGAGCGCCACGCGCGCGATGGTCGTGTGCGCGATGCCGTACGCGAGCGCGACGCGCCGCGCATCAACGAGGCTGTCTTGACCATCGTATCGGATGCCGCTCGCCGGATGGAGACCCAGCGCAAGGATGGGTCGGCGTCCCGAGAAACGGAAGAGGTGGAGGAGATGGTGGACCTGGGGATCAGGACCTTCGGCTCGTACGTCGGTGCGTGCGCCGTCTTCGATATGCGATCACTGCTGACGAGCCTCGACAGGTTGGATCGACATCAACCTGACTGTGACGCCGACGACTGTGCCCCTCTTGTTCACTTTGCTTGCCGACTCCTCCCTTCCCATCCGTCTCGCTACCTCCGTCTCTTTGTTGCGCATCGTGTCAAAAGGCTTGAAGGAGCCCGGCGACAAGTTGCAGCTTCTCAAAATTCTGTCCCTTGGGCAAGTCATTGATGCCCTAGAAACGAAGACACGGGAACAACAGGTAGAAAGGGGGACCGATACCGACGAAGGCGAAGAGTCCTATCGAGAAGCCCTCGGCAAATTGCTCAATGTACTCGGGCTCGAGCTGATGAAGCTCATCGAGGCAGGTCTACTTCAGCGAATACGGGATTATTTGACTGACCTTGACTCGAGGACAACACTGCCACCGATGTCGTCAAAGCAGAGGCGAATTCCTACCTAGAACAGATTCTGCCCGTCACCTTGAGATTCATGGCCGACGAATACGACGATACTTGCAACACCGTCTTCCCTTTCCTGCAAGCCTTGTTGACTAATGTATGTTCATCCGTCGCTTCATGCTTTCGCGTGCATCTGACTGTTCGAGCAGTACAAACGCCTGCGCCGTGCCTCCACCGACCCACTCCCGGAAGAGAAGCGCGCTTTCCTGGCGTCCTTGGTTCAAGTCATCCTCACCAAACTCAAATGGGACGAAGATGCAGAACCAGAAGACCTGGACGAAGACGAGAACACAGAGTTCGAGAATCTGAGAAAGGTGGGCAGTAGTGGATCACGGGTTGCGGTCTTGATTGACGCCCCGGTCGTAGGATTTGCGCGTATTCATGGACTCCGTCTCAGTCATTGATCAGCCGCTGGTTCTTGATGCGGTGCGAACGCTTGTGCTGGGCACCTTCACTGCGTATCAGGAAGGGACACAAATTAAGTGGAACGATGCGGAGCTGGCTGTCTACCTCATCTACGTCTTCGGCGAAGTCAACAAATGCAAGTGTCGTTCTCTACCGTCGCTGGCAGGCAACTGACCGGTCCCTCGCAGCCACCTCGAGCAAAGGCAGAGCAGCATTCTGCGAAGCGCCTCCCGCTGTGAAGGGTCAGCCCCACGACTACAGCCAATACCCTCTGACTGCACATGGCGCGGTCCTCTTCGCCATGGTCCAGTCCGGCATTGTCAGCTACCCTCATCGCGCGGTCTCACTGCAGTACTTCGAAAGCGTCGCGCGTTACCCGGACTTCTTCAAGGTCAGGAAAGAGTGCATACCGCCGACGCTAGAAGCAATGATTGATTCTCGGTAGGTGGCCTCTTTGCTGAGTCACCTCTGGATGCGTTGTGCTTACGCTACCGTGCTAGCGGTGTCCACAACGAAAACCAGAACTACCGCCTGCGCGTGTACTACCTATTCTACCGCTTCATCCGGGATGGGAAGTCGGACATCTCTCCAGAGCTCGCCGTGCGCATCATCAACAGCATCCGCGATCTGCTGCCCGTCGAGGTCGCGCCCATCGAGACAGAAGACAAAGACGCAGATCCGCTCGCAGAAGCCGTCAACAACGCCGCGTTCAACTCGCACATCTACCTTCACGAAATCGCAGGCATGCTCTGCTCTCTGCTCTACAAGGAGCCGCAGGAACAGAGCGCGCTGCTCATGAGCCTCGTGCGCCCCATGATGGACGACCTCAGCTCGAGCTTCGAGACCGCGAAGGCCACGCAGGACACGGTGGCCATCGTCCGGGTACACCACATCATCATGGCGCTGGGGAACATAGCCAAGGGGTTCCCGGACATGCCAGCGCCGCCGCTGCCTGAGGGGTACATCGTGCCCCCGCTGGACGTCTTCACGCAGACGGCGCAGGCAATCCTGGTGTGCTTGGAGGCGATGAATGTGTTCAAGATCATCCGGGATGCGGCAAGGTTTGCGTTCGCGCGGATCCTGGCTACGACGGGGCCGAACGTGACACATCTCATTCCGCCGCTCATGACGAACTTGTTGACGCACTTTGAACCGACGGAGCTGGTGGACTTCCTCAACTTCATTGGCTTGCTGTTGCATAAGCTGAAGGTCAGACGCCCCTCGATTCTGCAACGCGGTGCATGGGCTGACTTAGACTTCTTACAGCGCGATATCTTCGACGTTCTCGACGAGTTAATTGGCCCGCTGACCGACCATATTGGGCGGATTGTCTCTCAGCCTGTCCAAGGGACAGATGAAGAGCGTGACCGCGTTGAGACGCGTCGTGCGCTCATCAACATGTTCAATAGCACCCTCGACTCGGACCTCCAGGGCGTCTTCACGTCTTCTCGTGCGTGCAATGGGCATCACATCGTTGCCTTAGCTGACTGCCCTACCAGGCAACAACGCACGTTTCGAGCAGGTCATCGAGATGATGCTTGGCTTTGCGACAGATGTCTCCGATCCGGTCACGCAAAGAACAGCGTTCGCGTGGATGAACCGAAGCGTGCAAGTGTGGGGTCAGCCTGCTAGTGGAGATGGCGCACCAAGCACCGGCATCCCCGGCTTCGAGCGCTTCATCTACGAGCGTTACGTTCCTGCGGCCTTTGCGGTGCCCGCCAACCCCGCCTTCAACCCGAAGGACGGCCAGTCAGTGGTGGTAAGCAGTTGCTATTACGCTCGGACTTCCTCGACTGATTATATGCGTGCATAGGTCCTCCACGAAATCGCCAACCTCCTACAAAAGATATGCAAGACCCGCGGCGACGAGGCGTACAACTTCTTCCTCTCCGCGTTCTTCCCGTCGCAAAACTGGCCAGCGGACACTGCCCTCGAACTGACGACAAAGATGCGCGATCTCGAGCCGCGGGTCTTCCGCAAGTACTTCCACGACTTCGTGCGCTCCTCGCGCGGGCTGTGAATAGAGGACGGTTGCTTGATGGGTGGCGGCTTAGCGCGTCGACCGCGGCTTGCTCCTCGCGGCGCAGTCCTCTGTATAGATGCCGGTTGCGCGGGCGTCGCTGCTGCAGATCTACCTAAAACTAATCTTATTCTTACGCTCAGCACATTGTACTCCTCATTGCATATCTTAGTAGCATAGTGTAGGCTTTAAATCAACCAGATTGTATTGCGCAGGGAAGACGAGACTTGCAGGATGGTAGAGATTGATAATAAGTATATGGTGGGTTGAGGCGCGTCTAGCGCACTCAGTGAGTCCAATACATCTCGTGCACATAAGATAGGTAGTCGGGAAATAGATACAAGGAAGGTAGATAAGGCAAGTTATAACTTGGCCTTGGTAGTGAACCTGGTGTGATCGAAGCCCAGCCACAGATCCAGAGGAAGGACTTGGGATCCCTCGTGGTCGACAAACTGAAGTTCGTCGGGGTAGATGACAGTCTGGTATTCTTCGGAGTCCCACATCTATGAGACGATCAGAACTATGCTCTCGAGGTAGCAGAACGACGGCGCACCTCCTGTATATCTTGATATGATTCCGCCTCGAACATTGCAATTCCGTCGAAGCCGGTGATGGGTATGCCCTTCAGCTCATTCCACGCCTTCGCGGTTGACGAGGAGATATGCATCTGAAGTAGTGTGGGTGAGTAAATGTGAAAGAGGCTTAACGCACGAGATACTCACCTGCTCGTAACGCAGCAAGCACTTGTGCACGATGCGCGTGCTCATGAAGACCTTCGCGTGGTGGTTCAGCCAGTAGTCGGCAAACTCGTCGTAGGACATGTCCTTCCGACGCTTGACAAGGATGGCCATACGGACCCGGTCCTTGCGTAGAGATCCGGGGGCGCTCTTCCCGTCGGACATTGCAATTGCGAAGGACGAGGTGAGAAGGAGCGTAGAGGTAGAGGTCAAGGGCGAGGGCGAGGGGACGGTGGCGGGCGAGAGTCAGTCGGTCGGGTATGAGCAGCCTCTCCTGCGACTTATACCAGCACACGTTGTGCCTGGGCGCGCCTTACCCCGGCTGGATGTGCGCTTGTTCACAGGATTCTAGTGGACATCGTCGACGCAGGCTCCCATTGTTAGAGGGAGCTTGTTCGAAAAGGTGACTTTCTTGACGTAGACGAACCACTCGAACGCCTTGGATACGTGAATAGAAGCTTGTATGTCGAGGTAGCTGAGAGGCCATGCTGGCGCAAGACAAACGATCGCGGGTAATGACTCGGCTGTTGCCGTAGCGCATACCTCCGACGACCCTTCCGAAAGAGGTAACTTATGTCTCTTTTACGTGAGGACGTCCCAACGACGCACACTTCGCTAGGAACGTCCGGATTCAGAGCGAGGGTGCGATAAATCAACAGAACGCTGAAGAGAGGTTAGATGAGAATCATTCGAAGGAGAGCAGCTGTGCGACCGTTGAGTCATCTTGCTCGTGCTCTAACGTGTATCGAGGGTCTCGGCAGAATCATTGGAAGTACGAAAAATGCGGTACAAGCACTTGAGTAACAGATACGCGTGCCATCACCACTGAGTGCAACCACGCCTCCATCTACGCATAGTAGCAAAATTTGGACTTTGGCCACGCATCCTGTCTCCAACACGGTTCTGCGCCCAGCAGCTCCACTAACTTGTCCATCTGCTCTCTTGTCGGCCGCCGCAATGAAAAGGGCCGACCATCAGCATCCTCAGAGGGCGTGATCATCAGGAAAGATAGGCCGGGGAGCGGACGGCGGAGGCTGGGCAGCGGGCCATCCTCTTCGTGAGGCTGGATGTATGTGCAGTATATGGGTTCGAAGGTGCTCTCGGACTCGAGTCTGAGGGCAAGCATGATAATGGTCTGCAGGTAATGTGTCGAGCCAGGCGGCTGCCCGAACTTAGACAGGAGCCTGTCGACCGTGGCGCCGGTCAGCGGCCAGCCGTAGAGGTAGTATTTGTCGGATCCCAGAGCTCCCGCAGGAGGAGGCGGAGGCTGCGTGAGTTACCTTAGCCATGAACTTGGATGGTTGTCGCACAGACGTACCTCGAAGAAGGTCGGCTCAGCTGCAACGTTACAGTCACCAGCGGCAGAAGACTTGTTAGTGTCGACCTCTGGCAGACGAGGTGTATCTTGCCCCGAAATACAGCCTCCAACATCGAGAGTGTGTGCCATGCCTTCACCACGAGGCGAGGTTGCAGGAGAACGGTGAGGAGGATCGTGTATCAGCACGCGCTGCTCGTTATATGGCTCACCAGTGTCGCGTCACACGCGTGACAGTGCGTTTTCTCCAGCTTGCATCAGCGGCTTAGCTTAGCTAGAGGCGCGGGCGAGTACACACGGATGTCCTCCGCGTCTGGGCACTCTTCCGTTCCGAAAAGCTCGGAGGAACGTCGACCCGTCCCTACACAATGTCTCCATCCGACGCGACGCGCTCGTCCGAACAGTTTTGTCGATGCGCAGCGCGTTGAACTTGCGCACGCGACCGTCACACGCGAGGCGGTCGGTCGTACTTCAGTAGATCACGACCTCGCGAGAGATCTCGAGCATGACGCAGAAGAGGACGAAGACATGGTGGTCAGAGGTGCATTTTGAGGAACACTCGGCGGGCTGGATGTGGTGAGAGATTGTTAAGCGACGAAGAACAAACGCGAGTGATGGAGGGGTTGCTGTGTCCGGTGTAAGCTTAGATCCAAAGGAGGAATAGGGTGAGCGCTTGGGTAAACTTGTTGCGAATGACTGCAAATGGTGGCGTCAGAGGGGGAATGGAGCAAGCTAAGGAACGCGCGCACGTCGCATTTGCTTCTGTCAAGCCGCAGACGTATCCTGCCCGGACATGAGCGAGCATGGCCTGCGTGCCAATCGTCCAGCACGCGTCGTAACAGTGACAAGTTCCGGTCTCCGCAGAGGTGAAGTGTAAGTGGCCAGCTCAATTCCCCGACGACGAACCCCCGTTTCGCTAGATCGACTGCAGAGACACAGGTTGTAGCTGATAGAGTTCAGACATCTTCTGGAAAGTATTTGCAGTAGTGTCCCGCAGAGGCCGCAACGGCTATGTTATGGGATGAAGGCTGACGAAAGAGAGACTTCGGAACGTCGCGAGGATTCAGGATGAGCACGTGTCAAATCACACGGATGTCACGAGGACATGTTCAACTTTCGCGCCTTTCGCTATCACCGCTGACTGAATGCATTCTACACCCCGTGTCTCCGTGCATCGATATTACTTCGTATCTTCCTCTGAGAAAGTTAGGGCGCGTACGCTATGCCACCTCATATTCAGGCGGTGCCCTAATAGTCGTATCGAGCGCGCGGTCGCAGATTCGGAGGCCGGGGGCGGATGGCACACCCTATTTGTCGAGCTCAATGGACTGTAAAGTCTGATACGCACACGATATTGTGTGTCGAGGAGCGGATAAATTGATCCACGAGGCAAACCCCCGTTAGGTCACGGCGAATAACCTAGGCTGACAAGCCCAGCTATAACCTAGCCAGTCCTCAACAAGCCCAACTGTAACCTAGCCAGTCCTCCTTACTCTTAGCGTCCTCCATCCACTGAGCTGGATTCCCGAACCATTCGTCGGTCAAAATCCTCACCTGCTCCTGTGTCGGCCGTTGGTCTTGAAAGGGTTTTCCGCATGTGCCGACGAGGAAGAGGAAAGAAATGCCGGGCGCTGTTGGGTACAGCTTGAGTGGCAAATCCTTGTCTTCCTTCCCCGCCTTGACAAAAGCGGTTCGCAATGGGTACCGGAATCCCAACTTGTTCTCGAGCATGAAGGTCATCTCGGGAATCATGCGAGGGATGGGTACGCCATCAAGATCATAAGATCGACAAATGCGTAAGAGAGCGCCTTTCAGTTGCCAGATCGACAATGGCCACCCGTAATAACAGTAATTGGTGGTAGCGGGCGGCTTTGGTATGAGCGCGTCGGATGGACGGAGGATCTGTCATGTATACTTGTGTCAGGTATTTCAATAGTTAGAATGTTGGAAGCGCACCTTCATGTACAGCGAATCGTTCAGTTCCGTCGATGGATCTGCTGGTGTGGAAGCCGTGGCAGCACTCGACATCGAGGGATCGGGGTATGACTCTTCGCAGCCGGTGGTAGCATCATGAAGAGCGTCTGGCGCGACTGTGCCGTGCAGAACAGCCTCAGCGCCGTCGTCCGAGTCTTCACGCTCTGACATGAGCCCGAGTGACGATGGGAGACTTCAAGTAACACGCCGTGGACACGCCGAGGCGGCGAGCCTTTATACGCAAGTCAACATATCACGGTCGGAGTCGCATGCTCACCAGCACGCACTTGTCACAGTGTCGTCATCAAGAAGCGCTGCTCGAACAAGTACAGTTCTCGGGCCAGTAAGCGGTCCGACAAACGGGACGATGGCGGAAGACAACACGCAAGGAACGCAGGGTGTTCGCCACTTCTCATGCAGACCGGCTGAATCGAAGCCGAAACCTTCGCGTGACGTCGCTTGTCTTCCTCCAAAACAATATCTCTCCGACGGCCTCCTGCTTGTTTCTCGCGCGTGAAAAGGTCCTGAAGGTCACAGAAAAAGGTATAACAAGCAAAAGGACGAACCACGAGGCGCCTCCCGTTGTCGAGCGCTAGCTCCTAGACCTTTTTGAAGTAGGTGCTGTTACGGTGGCGCCGCTATCGTTTCGATACCATGTCCGTCAAGAACACGTTAAATTCACTGATATAGCTACTCGCGCTTGCTGCCAACATCGACACACACCTCCCCGTGCATTTCAAAGACCACATCATCATAGATTTATAGTACATAGTTAGGATACAGATACAGTGCATATTGCGGAGTCCAAAGGGTTGATATCGTTGTAAGTTGAGAGAAGGGATCCATAACGCAGAACAAGAAGAAGCATGATAGAGAGCATACCAGAGACGATAGAGAGCAAGAAGAAAAGGGAGAAGAGAGGAAAGAGAAGAGAAGAAAGGGGAATGGGCGAGCGTCGCACCACGCTACGCCACATTCTCCTTCATGGCCCGGGCCCTCCGACGCGCCATCGCCACCCGGTCCCACAGATGCTCTTGCGCGTCCGAAACGAGGCGCAGGCCCTGCTCCTTGAGGTGTCGCGCCCTCCCCTTCGCCTTCTCGTTCCTCGACGCAAAGTGCTCCTGCCCAGCGCGCACGAGACTGTTCGTCCCGCGCAGGATGAGGTCGCGCTTCTCTCGAAGGCGCTCGTCGACGACGTTGCCGACATCACTAAGCGTCTCAGAGACGTCTTCGAAGGCCTGCGTGAGGGCAGTGCTAGCGTCGCGGACGTCGCGCTGGACGGCGCCAACGAGTTCCTCGAGGCGGAGGCCGAAACCGGCGGTAGCGGTCGATTCGGAGAGCAGCGATGTAGGGGAGACGGCGAGGGTACCGGGAATGCGGACAGCGACGTCGGTGGTGGCAGGTCGTTTGCCAGCGGCCTTCGCGCTGAGGAAGGGATACGAGAAACCGGAGAGCGTGGGCACGGTGGACAGGGAAAACGTGGATGCCGAGGACAATGATGAGGTGGCACTTAAAGACGAGGACGCTACCGCGCTAGACGATGAGGATGCAATGCTCGACGAGGACGCAATGGCAATCGCGGGGGCGGCCAAATGCGACCACGCCGTAGACGGCTGCACACCTGGCGGCAGGGTCGACGGTAAGGCCTGTTGCGCCACCGCCTCCCTCACTGAGGTGATCGCCGAGTACGACGCCGGCGACAGCATCGTGTGGTTCGTCGACCCAGCCCAAAGCCCCATAAGCGTCTTCTGCACCTGTGCCACAGGCGCGGCCCGCTGGACCGACTGCGCCGACTGGTATCCGACCGCCACGCCGAGGATGATGGTCAGGATAGTGAGCCTGGTGATCGATTAGTTAGTACAGGTGCCTAGTCGCGATAGCATGATAGAAGACATACAGAGTGAACGCGCGCCCGAAACCCACTGGAATGAGGAACTGTGGCTTGTCGATAAGAAGCGCTTCGAAGGCCTGGGCGACCGACGTGGCGTCGAGGTCTGATACGTCGTCGATGGACGTGCGACAGCGCAGGTGAGGAAGAAGCTGCCCGTACGCAAACCAATGGAAGGTTTTAGGAAACTTCTTGCCGTCGGTGACGAAGTGGTAGTACTTGTGCTGGGGCACGTTGACCTTGGGAGTAGGCTCCGGATAGCTGGGAAGAAACACGATGGCGAGCGAGGGCAATCCGTTGGATGATTCATCGAACTGCGCAAGATGGGCATGCCGTAGAAACAGATAGAGCAATGGCGCTTACCTTGTTGTCTGCATTCGCATCTACATCTGTTCTATCGTGGACGGCGATGCAACTGACGACACGATTGTCGCTGTGTTCACTGTGCTCAAGAGCGTATACCCTAGTAGTCTCATCGACGATGTCGGGAGGGTTGTTCAGCTGACTTGTCTGACCCGCGGCGAGCTTGTTCACAAGGCGGTCGATGAAGTGCCATCGCTCTGGCATCTGTATGCCGTACATGAACAGCTCCACTTGAGGAGCCGCAGTGGCGAGAGCCTCCTTGGGTCCTTGCGTGTCCTCGATGACGGAATCAACCGTCGAGTCAGAGTGATGACTGAAGGACAACTGTCGGGAGGGAGACTCGAACGGGCATTCTGGATCGGCGTCGGGGCTGAGGGCCTCGGGCGTGAGAGCAGCGTCCGGACCCTCCAGCCGCTCCTCGATGGACGAGGCGACGCTCCGGGTGTCATCGTCGGGCTCGGCCACGCCCTCGTACGAGCTATCGAGGTGCGACGCAAGCGCCTCCCCGGAGCCAGCAAGGGGATCGGGGAAGGAGAGGCGCAGGTCGCGATGGGAGGAGTGGACGGTGGAGACGCGGCTGGCCGAGCCCGTGCGCGAGCTGTTGAGCGTGCTGACCATGCTCTGGTCGAGCGCCTCGATGACACGCTGGTCCTCCGCGGGGTCGCCTGCATCTTGCGGCGCCGCGCCCGCGCCGTCGTCGTGCGCATCGACGGGTGCCGCACCTGGCGCCGCATCCGCGTCGTGGTCCGCGATGCCCTCCCAGGCGTCGACGTCGCCTCCGCGCGAGGAGCTGAGGCTGATCGAGGATCTGCGGGACGACGGTGGCAGCGAGAGCGTGCCGTCGCGGTCGCTAACGAAGCCGTCGTCGTCGTCGCTCGCACGATTAGAGGCGATCTCGAGCCAGTCCGAGTCGCTGAGGCTGTCGACGTCAGACGGCACGGCGTCGGCGGGGTCCGCAGCGGGTCTCATTGTTACGGCCGAATGAAAGAACGAGAACGCCTTCCTCGGTAGCCTCCTTTATAAGGCGCGGCAGAACCGGCCCGCGATCCGTCTCAGCCGCAGGCGCCCACAACTGGCATGTTCCGGACTTCCACCATTGGTTTATGGTCTTCATTCTTGCGCTAGTGCTAGTAGCGCTATGCCGCGCTCAAAATCATCTGTAGCAGAAGCGACAAGCTCCGACCATCCCTCCATGGCTATGCCTTCCAAAGTCGCGACTGCGTATGCCACTACATACTATACATCAAGACATCCGCCAAGACATCCGCATCATTGAATACCTTCAAAAACACAGTCGGCACTAAGTCAGACAGATTGTCCCTCGCCCAATCCGCCTGGTCATCGTCCAGATACAAGCCAAAAATCAAAGTCCGCAACGACCCTCCACCATATACGGACCGCACCTGCAGCATCTTCACCAGCTTCTCCTCATCGACATCGTACCGCGTCTGCAGCCCAAGCTCGCGCAGCAGCGGTGCGCAGGTACCGCCCTTCGCGGACTTCGACACTGGCGGGGTGAGCGCCTTGACGACGAAATTCGTGGTGGACTTCTCCCCGCCGCCGTCGGCGACGCGAAGGCGCTCGAGGGCAGGCAAGCTGGTGAGTAACGCCTTCACATCCGTGGTCTTGATGTCGACGAAGGAGAGGGTGAGAGAGGTGAGTGACGCGCCCGAGCGTTTGAGCAAGTCGGTCAGCGCTGCCGTGCTCGTCTTGGACTTCCACGCCCATTGCCCGCTCGTACTGGGTGACCCGCTTACATTGTAAAACCCAACCTCGAGGGAGGTGAGGTTGGGCGCGGTGAGCTGGGGGAAGACGAGCTCCGCGAGGGGCTTGACCTTGTCGAGAGTGAGGAGGGCGAGGTGGCGGAGGTTGGGAAGATGGAGCGCGGGAAGGTCGACGTCATTTGCGAGCACGCGGAGGCGCTCGGCAGTGAAGGAGGTGGCGCTCTCGCATCGCTTCAGACAGTCCAAGAAATCATGCAGGCCGTAATATTTGGCGACCAAGTTCACCGTGGTGAGCTGTGCCCATGGCAGAGATACACCAGTAAAAGGCCCCTTGTACTCCCGGAGGGCATGGGCATGCTTGAAGCGCAGTGGTGGCAGTACTTGGCGAAACGCGCTGGGGATGCAAAGGCTGACAAGTGCGCCCAGTTTGCAGTCAGGATCGCTCATGCGCACGAGCGTTTCCTCATGCTCGATTTTGCAATCCTGCCAGCGGTCGCTGTCTGTCAGGAGCGGGGCGAGGAGCAGCTCGTAGCTGGTATGTGGGCCTATCCTGAGCTTCAATGGGTAAGGCGTGGACTGCAATCGATGGTGCTGAATTGCGCGTTTGATACGCTCGCGGAAGGGGAAGTCGTCGGCCGCCGTAACGGGTCGCCGGATGTCGAGAGATGCCCAGAGCCGCGGACTGCTGCGCACAACGGAGCGCCACAGGCTGCACACCTGTCCTAGCACGACCGGCGTTGAGGACCGATCACGGAGCGCGTACTCGCGATCGGCAACAACGAAGGTGAAGATGCGGAACAACACGTCGGGGACGAGACGTCGGTAGGGGGCGTGTATGTTGCGTATGCGGGACATGTACTGCTTCATGGAGTCGATCTCTTCGTCGAGTTTGTGAAGGAGAAGGACGGCCTTTCGGCGCTCTTCATTATATTGGTGGTAGACGCGCTGGACGTCGGTGAGGTGCTGATCTACACTGGATTTGTCTTTGAGGTAATGTGGTAGTTCTGAGGGATCTTCGAGAGTCTCTAGGGCGTGGAAGAAGTCGTTGGGTGGTAGAGATGTCTGACAGTTGTCGCATAGGATGAGGGGAGCCATAGTTCCTACGAAGATGCCATATTCTGAGAGTTCATCTCTACGAAGAGACAGCCACGTACCTGTAGATGTACCAGGGCACACGAGCAGCTCTGGGCTAAGCAGTCAAGCTGAGGAATCGCGAATGCGCCGGAGGGGGGGACTCGGAGGGTGTACGATAAGAGCAGACGAACACGCGACGCGTCGCGTGTGCGTCGCGCGCAGCGCGCTCGTCACGCGTCTTGTCACAAGTTTCCTTCCCGAACCACCATGTCCTCCTCCTCGCGGCGGCCCCAGTCCCCAATGGTAGCCCTTCGTCGCCATCTCGAGCCTCGACCCTTGTCTACCCTCCCAGTCCGCCTCACCCATCTCGCGCATCGGACGATTTCTTGAATTTCTTCGGTCTCGCGCTGATCATCTGGCCGTTATCTTATCGGTGCCGCCCCCGGTCGGTCCGCACTCGGCCGATCTCCGACATGAGGTGCTCGGCAAGTGACGAAGTCGCGAAGCTCTTCAATCCAAAGTTCAGGGCCACAATGCACCCTTGCGCTTTCCCCACTATCCTCCGAGGCGAGACTATCGAGGACGGGACTCGCTGGAAGCCATCGTGAACACACTGAGCACTCGCCACCATCCCCCTTCATCGATGCATGCACGCTCATGGTGAACCTCATCGACTTGCCGGAGGACGTGATCGTGTGCATCTGCTACTGGCTTCGCGTCGAAGATGTGCTTCGCCTAACCGAGGTGCGCCACGTCCTTTCCTTCCGGGCCTCCGTACTCAAAACGTTCAGACATGTCGCGCGCTGCACACGCTCGCGTCCAGCGACTACGTGTGGCACCAGATCCCCCTCGATCTTCCTCTTCCACTCCGTCCTGATACCCCTCGCTCGTCGCTACCCGCCCGCGAGCTTCGTCACCTCGCAGTCCACGCCCTGCGCCTCAACCGCAACTGGCGCCGGCCCGTCTTCGCTCGCCCCCGCATCACCCACATCGAGCACGGCAACATCGTCTTTCGCTCCGAGCTGCTACCAAATGACCGTCTCTGCACTCTCTCGCGCTCGCTGACCAGCATGACATACTTCACTGTCTGGCTGCTCGCCAATAATGGCTACAGACGCGAGCACTGCTTCGAGACACCTGGCGCGCTGAACTTCGCCACAGGCCTTGTGAGAGACTCGGACGACGCGCTTGTTGCGATTATCGGCAGGGCGCCAGGACGCTCAGAGTGAGCCTCTACCAAATTTATTATTGTCTTGTTCACCGGCAACAGATTTCTGGATATATATCGCGTTCCCGCCAGCAAGAGCGCAGACGAAATCGACCCTCCGCAGGTCTCTTTAGTGGCGTCAATATGCCGACCTAGCCACGAAGGCACATTTTCCGAGGTGCACATTGCCGACTACATCGTCGCCGTCAGCCTCGCGAAATTCGAAGGGCAGCAAGTGCCCTCCTACGAAATTCTCCTCGTTAACACACGCACCTGCGTCCATCTGCTAGTCCATCCGAAACTACCGCAGGTACGCCTCTTTTCTTTCATCCCATCGGACGTTTATCGAACCAACCACAGACCTCCGACCAAAAGCACTTCCGGCTCTGCGGCGCGGTCGAGCCGCGCCACATCCTCTTCCTCAGCACCTCGCCTGGCCGGACTGCATCCCTAACCACCCACATTCACGCCCTTCCCACCGAGCTCTTCGACGCCGAGGAGCCCCCAGATGCGGAGAGCATCCGCGCCCACACGCCCATCCCTGCCCTACGCAGCCGCCGCGGCTCCCCACCTCAGTCCTCGCCCTCGTCCCCGCCGCCACCTACCTCGCCTGCACCGCGTCCCGTCGAGCTCGGCCCGCTGGTACATCGACACGAAGTGCCCACTGTGCCCATCCGGCTGCAGACCTACGCCTCTGACGTGCAGATAGACCCGGCGAGCGGGCGGTGCAGTTTCGCCCTCCTGGCCTTCCATGGCGCATATGTTGGCTCACGCGGGCAGGCGGGGGCGCGGGCGATGTTCTTCAGCTTGCCGACGAGGCGGCGAAGCACGGCGGCGAGTACAAGCGCGCAACTCGCGTCCACCGACATCCAGACCTTCCGCATGGATCCGCTCGTTGGCCTCGACGCCGTGTGTCTTGGGCGCACGGGGCGGCGCGCGGTGTGGCTCGAGCGCAACTGGGAGAACGACATCTTCGCGCTGGTGAAGGCGGATTTCGGGGCGCCGGCGGTGAGCAATTTCGGGGCCTCAGCGATATCCTTAGAGGCAGATGGCAAGGCGTTGAGCACGTATGGCAAACTGGTATCCCCTGATACGAAGGCTTCTGCGAGCCAGACGACAGTGGAGAAGCGACAACCGGTGATCGCGCCGCTGCTGCCGCCGCATCTGGCGCTGCCCTTCGAGGCGCACGCGTGTCAGTCACTGGCGTTCGACGAGGCGAAGGGGCGCGTATGTCTGGCGATGCATACGGGGGATGTGTACGTCGTAGATTTCTGATTATGCTGAGGCGCTTGGTAGAGACGACTAGACATAGATGAGCAGACTCCGTCTCAAAGCCAGCGGCGTGTGAGGATCAGGTATGTGATTCGCATGCATGCGTACCCCAGCAGACCTTGTATGTCCTGCGAGTATACCCATATTGGCCCGCTAACATCGTGCAGGGTGGTGCTGGTCGACTGAAGGTGGTAATGCGACCCGCTCCGCCCCCGCCTCAGACTTCGAGGTGAGGCTCTGGGTGCCCTGAGCCCTTCGACACGCGGATATTCTCACGTACGAACGTACGAACGCAATATAGTCTCGCAAAGAACCCGTGGGGTCATCGTTACCACGGGAATTGTCGCAGTCGTCGCCCGAGTCATTCCGGCCGTCTCGCGCGCTACAACGACATGGTTCGAACTCCCTCTCAGACTAAGGCTGCTATTCGTGCTCGGGCGTTCCGAGAGCTGCACAAGAATGACCCGGACTACAGACGCAGGAATGCGGAACGGTCGGCAAGGTGCGTCGCCAGTGGGCTTGGCATCCGTCGCTCGCTCACCTCTAGCGGCGCAGGCTCCGCAGGGCGGCAGGTGCCAAACCACGCCCTCGCATACAGATCCCATCCGCTATCGAGCAACAGCGTACACCCTCACATGCCGACGTCGCTCTCTGGGAGGGCGACATCCTCCCGGAGCTGCATCTTCCGTCGGGCACAGAACTGCCCACAGCCTTTATCCAGCGGCTGCAAATGGTCGATATCCGTCTTCGAACACTATCGAGCACAGCCCCTCTCACCGAAGACCTCGCGCTTGCTCTGCGTGACCCCGCCCGTGCGGCCACTTCCCTGCTTGAACGCGCGCACGGTCACATCTCATCCGGGACGTACATCGACTACTGTGATATACGCTTTGCAATCCGAATGTTGCGCGCAGTTACGGATGCCCTGCGTCTTGCTATAGCTGACGCGGACAGTGCTTCGTCACTATGCCCGCCTTCATACTATCAAGTCTTCGGGGACTTCAGGCTACTGCTTAGGAATGCCACGACAGCACTAGACCTTGCCTCCATCAACATAAAACAAGCGTTGCTCTCATTCCCCGTTACACCAACTTTGCTCAAGGAGGTATGCCGTGACGCAGGATGCTATGAGTTGATAAAACTGACTGGACAATCGCATAGGCTGTTACCTCCTCCGCCAAATGCCATGCTCGGTCTTGCGCTCAACGCTCCGAACTGTCGACTGGCATCAAGCTGCACCCAGAGCATGTCAATTGTCTTGGCCCCGGGGTATGGCTGTGCGACACAGTCATAGATTTCCTCAGCGAGGCATGGAATACGACATGCACCCTTGACGACTGTGTCATCATGCCAGTCGATTTCTCTTTCCGCTGCATAAGGAATCAGACCGACAAGGCGGTCGACATACTACGCAAGGTAAACCTGCGCTACGTATTCACTATCTAGCTGACAGCACGTGCTGCGTTTTACATTTATGCTCAGGTTGCGCTTCGACAACCTCGCCGTACCGAATTCTGGCCACGCATTGTCATTCCAGTATCACACAACAACCATTTCTTCGTGCTTCATATCGATAATGACGCCCGAATCTCGACCGGGTTCGATAGTCTGGCATCGCACGCGTGGAGTGAGCAGCAGCTTACCGCGCTGAATCAGGTACTTACTCGCTGCGCTTTAGCGTGGATATCATCTTCTGACTGTACATCGGCAGCAAGCCTTGACGGCCATCAACACATTCTGCGAGGAGAAAGGGTGGGATATAGTCGAGGAAGACGATTGGAATGACATTAGTCAAGGCTTCAACGTGAGCCCCAAAGCACGCCCTACCGTCGTTCCTTATTCACGGACTTTCAGGTCCCACAGCAAACAAATAGCGTTGATTGCGGTGTCTACACGCTGCTATTCATCAGGCATCTCATCCGCTCGTCTGCGGGCACGCTCAAGGATAAGAGTGTCCCTACACAGTACCATTTTCCTGGACAACAGACGAATCGCGGCGCAGATCGCACGCTTGGTATCACTGGAGGAGATTGAAGAGATTTCAGGTATTAGACCAACCGGATGTTGACGACAACTGTACGGCCGATTCCGAGTCTTCCATGGCTTCCTGAGCTTGCTACGATGGTGGCCGATCATCCGGGAGTCTCGAACACGACTTCTGTATCCGGCTTACCCGCCGTGATGCGAGAACGGGAAAGAGGCGGGGCGCACAAATCATCGGATTGTCCGCCAGCGTGATGGTATGCCCGCTACGCGCTTTGGTCACATAGCTAGTATGTCCCAGGAAACGCCAGGTCATCACGGCGTTGCGAGGGAGCGAGCGGTGGTCCAGAGGATAAGGGTGGGGACAAACATCGACAATGTTGTGACCAAGAGACATAAAGTGCCTCTTTTGGAAAGTCGCCGGCACATGCCGCAAGCTCGCGTCTTGCCTCCTCCCGTCATCTCGTTAGTGTCTTCCACCAGCGACCGACGCACGAGCAGCTAGACATGCTCATGCGGGAATTTTTTGAAGCGAAGAGCCTCGATGGCGCGAGGATATCAGAAAGAGGGTAGACTAGTGATCATGGATCTTTCGACGAGCCGTACGCGTATGGACATGATGATTGTGTGGCACTACTGGAATGTATGATTCAGATTCATTATCCCTAGCCCTGACCGCCTCACAGCATTGGCCGCGTTGCGGGACGACGGGAAAACGTAAGCGAGCCCGTGCTATGCATGCATTGCGGGCGTGGTCTGCTTTTATATAAGCGAGTCAGCGCTGAGCGCGAGACTCACCACCGTCTACAACCCTTTGCTGGTACCCAGGAAGGTGGCCGGGGAGGTCACCATCACGTCTGAGGATGCCAATGGACAGCTCAAAGACCAGAACCTGGAGCAAATCGCTACTGATCTGTCGGCGCATCCGACAGGTTGGCAGACGGTAGAGGAAGTCATGGCCCTACGGCCTGAAAACGGTATACTTCCGGTAGGCGGCCGACGTATCTCAATGAGCACTGCCAACGACTGACAGTCAATTTCTGTAGAGACTTAAACCTGATCACGGAGACATCCCCATCCCTCCGCCGCGATCCGCATCCAGCACCAGGGTATGGCACTATGGATGGCCAATCGGGCTCAATTTCGTGCACGAAACCATCCAGCATTCTATCCCCGATTACAACACGAACACCGCCTTCGCCTTGAAGCTCCCATTGATGACGATAATGGTGAAGCATTATTTCGGCCTCAGATTCGAGGTGAACTTCGCCTACGTAGAACCCGATGATGCGAAATGGCTCCCGGAACCTTTTTACCCTGGGGCTCCTGGCCTTGGCTTCATTGCGTTTGTCAGCACACACCCTCCCAGCCGCCTTCGCAAGCGGCTTACGCAGGAGCAGTTGGACAAGATGGTTCGTACAATGGCTGGTGAACCTCCGCACTGGATGGAAGAAGCAAGGGAGAAGGACGGCATCTATGAGAAGCGGCCCACGCCGACCGAGTAGATACGTGCATATATCTCATGTACTCTCCATACGCTTCAAAGCCTGGTTCTCGCTCTTCCTGCCAGAACAGCAAACGTTGACTGTTGTGAGCGCACTGCGCACGTTGGAAGTTGAACTTGAAGTCGAACATGCGCACGTGATCGTGGGTCGGCATTATCCGAAGCTTCAGTCAATGTCGTCACGTAAACAATATCCATCACTCTGACTTCCATCCCCGCGCACAATGAACGCCCGAGATCGCGTCGAAGATACCTACGAGCGCCAGAACGATGAGCGACTCGACAGCTTGCACTCCAAGATCCGGACTCTTCGTGGAGTAACGCTCGACAGCATCGCTGATCGTAATCCCAGTACTTACGCCCTCCCCAGATCACGACTGACATTCATGGCGACGTCGAGAGGCAGAACTTGATGCTGGATGATACTGTGCGTGCTATTTATCTACAGTAAGAGTGGGTGTTGATGAAATACTTTCAGAACGACCGCTTCTCTTCATTTGCCGACTCCCTAGCAGCCTCATCGCGCAGGGCCGGCCAGGCGTTCGGTATCGGCGGCCAGGGCGCAATACGGCCATGGCGAATAGCAATGCTTGTGGTAGTCGTATTCATAGCGTTATGGTTGTCCTTCAAGATCGGCTACTGGTTGTGGGGCGGCCCTGCAGCGGGGGAGGTTTGAGGAATGGTCATATCTGGGTTGGCTTCATGGTGCGTACTTTGTCTGGGTCATGGGCCATGTCCTTACCAATCATGCAGGACTTTCGGCTTGTATACAGACTATGCAATGGATCTTATAATCTTTGATACCCCACGTCGCCCTACCGCGTCTATCCTCACACTCGGAAGCTCTCACAACGCACCGTACAAGGATCCGCACAGTCAAATATGAGTGCGACCATAGCCGGTCTCGACGATGCAGTGAATTAGCTCTAAACCCGAACAGTGGAGGCCCCCGTCCGCTCAAGGATACAGTATCCATCATACTGCCATGCATAAATACCTGACATTCCAGATACATAACTGAACATACCCAGTCCATACATACCACCGTCATCCTCCTTCACTATCGCCCACCTCTCAATGCGCCGGACACCCCCCACACATCCCATGCCCGCACCCCCAACAACTAGCCACCCCCACCCCGCACGTCCTCAGCACCAGCGACACCACGCTCACTACGCCCTCGCCCAGCACAAACCCACTAGCGACAACAATCAACCAAATATCCTCGCGTCCCCTCGCGTATCGCGTGCGGTAGACATGCTCGATTATGCCGCCGATGAGGCGCGCGATGGAGAAGGACGGCGTGTTGAGGAAGCCGATGGCGAAGGCGACGCCGGAGGGGACGTATTTAGCCCAGGGGCGGGAGGCGCGGGTAGCGTAGGTCTTGAGGGCGGCGATGAGGGCGAAGAGGAGGCCAAAGGCGAGCATGAAGATGCCGCTTTTGACAGGAAGGGTACCGTCGCCTGGGATGAGGGAGGGAGGAGTCAGTGAGGGGTTGTTGGAGGGGTTTGGGATGTCACTCACGCAGCAGCCTCGCCAGGCTTAGCCAGACGTATGCTGTCGGCGCCGGAAACGACGGTCCGGGAATTTCGTACGCGCGTGTGTACAAGCTGAACGCCGTCGTCGTGACCAGAATCGAGACCGTCGAGCCGATGAGTTGTCCATAAAACTGCGCTCTCGGTGACGCGCCGCAAAGGTGCCCAGTCTTCAAGTCCTGCATGAGGTCACCCGCTCTGATTGGTTGTCAGCCCTTGCAACTGACATCGAGGCACCGCACACAAGAAGGGCGATACTCACTGCTGCGCGCCTGCCTCCGCTACACCGCCAGCGATGATGTTCGCGACGATATTGCCCGGCTGCACCCACGCGAAGACTAGCTGCGAGATCTTGCCTAGACCGGAGACAGGATTCAAATCGGTCTCGCCGAGGGCGCGGACGCTGAGGATGGATATTAGCTCAGGTTCGATAGGATCTGTCCTTGGGTCAGGGGACTGTACACGGTTCTCCACTCACCCCAGCACGCTCAACAGCCCACCCAGCGCGAACCCAAGCAACGTAGCCCACGGCTTAATCCCCTCGTGCCCAAATACGGCCCACACGAGGATCGTGCCGAACAGGACGCTGGCCCCAAGGCCCCAGAGCACCCAGCTGTAGGGCACGAGGCGGTCGGGGGTCTCGACCTCGCTGTCTTCCTTGTTGTAGCTTCCGTTTGAGTAGCTTGCATTTGAGTAGCTTGCGTTCGGGTGACTTGCAGGGTGGATGAGATTTGGGTAGGCACCGAAGGGGTGTCGGTCGGAGGAGACAGAGCGACCCTGTGCGCCTGCAGAGGCTGAACGACCGGATGAGGTGGGAGTGTAGCCGTCGGCGGATGAGCGGTGTCCGCGCGAGCGAAGGCGGGAGTAGACATCGACGACATATTCGTAGATGACGGGAAGGAGGGAGACGAGGCTGTCCGTGCACATTATGGCGAGGGAGGTCCAGAGGATCCTAAGAGCCGGAAAAGAAGGAGGGAAGGGTTAGCATGCGGAAACACAGGGAGCGATGAATGTGCCCACCATCCTCTGGCGCCTGTGGTCATATCACCAACCGGTCCCGGGGCCCAGCCGTTGTGTTTGGATATTGGGGATAGGATTGCCCAGCCTACGAACATGCCCTGTAGAGGATCAGCACGGTGTTGATAGCAAAAATGCTGAGGTCAGTCAGGCAAGAGGTTTAGACGTACCAGATTCATACTGAGCGTCGTTGGGAACCCCATAATGATTCCTGCGCGGCCGCAGTGAGTCTCTAGATCGCAAAGATGCTCTGAACCACGCGTACCTTGTCCGACGTAGGACAAGCTGGGGGTGAAGTACCAAAGCCAGTGGCTAGCCAACGCGGTGCCAAATAGGGGCAAGGCGAAGGTGACGGGGAAGAAGTATGCGAAGAGCTGGGAAGACGATTAGCACATCGGCTTGCGATTCCCCTTGCAGGCGCATGACAGTAGCTTCGCAGAACGGTGGAGGCATGATGGAGGAAGACGAGAAGACTGAACATACAGTGAGCGCGCTTGACGCAAAGAAGCTCCATGTGAGCGTGCGCCAGCCGTCATTTTGTACCGTGCTGGAAACGTTGTAGAGAGGTGTCTCCTCATCGACGTCCTCGTCTTCGATTTCCACGGACGTCGCTTCGTCGTGGATGGTTGGGTCCTCCGCACTGATGTGCTGGTACCCTCGGCGCCTGTGCAGTCCTTCGGTATCTGGCGGGGGTAACTTATGAAGGACCGAGATGAGCTGCGCCGTAGCCGTGCCGGACGGGAAGGCCAGCTTCTCTTCTATGATCTGCGACCGAGGTCACAGGGTGCCACAAAGGCGCAGAGTACTGACGTACAACTTGCTTGCGAATCGGCGGGGACAAGAACACTCTGGGTTGGTCCACACGAACTCAGCTGTTACTCGGCGCAGAGTAGCGAGCGGACGTACCCGAAGAAAGCCACGGAGAGGGACCAGGCTATGGCGTTCCACCATGAGAGGTGTATGGGGGGTACGCCGTCCCGGTCTTCTGAGAGGAGGCCTAGCGCAGGGAGGATGCCCACGAAGCCTGCCGCGAGCGGCATAGTTCCTGTCTGGGATACGCGGGCATGAGGGAGGGACGGGTAGGGGGGATGGCGCAATCACTGACTGCGACTGCGGTGGTCTGGACGACTATGAGCTCCTGCGCGCTCAGGGGTGTGGGGAGCAGACGCGAGATGAGGAAGCCTATGAGTGCGGACTGGAGGGACATCCTAAATGGAGGGGGGAAGCGTTGGTATGCGTTCGGCGGATGAGGAGGCATGCAACTCACATACTAATCCAGCCGGTCTGCAGGCCGAAGTACAGGTTCGTGAAGCATAGCAAGCAGCCTATGGCGAGGCCAATGACCACCGCCTTGCCTGTGAACTCGGGAGAGGCGCGTTCGCCGTCAGGGTGCTCGTCGCCACCATTCCCCCGAGGTCCCCATCTGCAGTAGGCCGTCATGTTGCGTTCAGAACGAGGGGGAAATCACTGCTCACTGCGTCCATATATCTGAGAGGCCCATTGGCACGCGGCGGGATGAGGGGAGGAGACAAGCCGCGGTGGAATCTTATCGGCGGCCACCGCGCGCTGACTGAGCCCGACGGGCGCTTATGCTCACGCTAATTGATGGATCGCATCATCACCGAGACGAGTCACCTTGTCCCTCGCCACCATGGCCCAGAAAACACAGAAAATCCGTCAAGCGGATGGTATACTCAGAGATGTGCCTGATCCCGGACATCCTGCAATGTGCGTGGCCGTCATTGTCACCGGCCCAATTACTGAACTCAAGAGACAGTCTCCCGAAGGAGGGGGAGCGCAACATCCTGATCACCTCTGCCCTACCGTACTGCAATAACGTCCCTCATCTTGGTGAGCTGAATGATAGAGCGTCCTGGGTAGCACTGAGAAGGATTAGGCAATATCATCGGGAGTACGCTCAGTGCCGATGTCTTTAGCCGGTGAGTACACCGGATGATCGACGCGACTAGTGCTCACATGTCCTCAGATACAACCGTAAGGCGGCTGCTTGTAACACGGAGCGATGCACTGAGAGATACCCCAAGGCACTCGTAACCGGAGAACCCTCTACGTTTGTGGTACCGACGAATACGGCACGGCTACCGAGACGCAAGCGTTGAAAGAGGGGATCACCCCCAAAGAACTATGCGACAAGTACCACGCCCTTCACGTCGCCACGTATGAGTGGTTCAACCTTGGGTTCGACTACTTCGGTCGCACATCTACCCCCTGGCACACGACGTGAGCGATCAGCCCGATCGTATATCCTTGCGCCTGCTCATATAGCCCAGCATCTCGCAAGAGATCTTCACCAATCTCTACAAGAATGGTTATCTTGAAAAGCAGGACAAGGAGCAGACATATTGCGAAGGCTGCCCGAAGTGCGTGATCAGCTTCATTGTTGGTTCACCTCACTGATTCCCCGCCAGATTCCTTGCCGATCGCTTCGTTGAAGGCACTTGTCCGCACTGCGGTTACGACGTGCGTTTCCTCATGCCTTCCACACACTCCCGCTGACGATTCTCAGGACGCCCGCGGCGATCAATGCGACGGCTGCAGCCGCACCCTCGACCCCATCGACCTCATCAAGCCGCGCTGCCTCGTCGACAAAACGCACGTCGTCACACGCAAAATCTCCTCCCACATGTACCTCAAGCTCAACGCGATCCAGCCCAAGACCGAGGAGTGGATCAAGGCGACGTGGAAGAAGGGCAAGTGGTCCCCGAACGCGGTCATCAACAGCGAGGGCGAGATCATCGACCCGAGACTGAAGAACGGGCTGGTGCCGACGGCGATTACGCGAGATCTAACGTGGGGTGTGCCGGTGCCGGTGGTGGACGAGGCGCTGGAGGGGATGAAGGATAAGGTGTTGTGTGAGTGGAGACGTGGTTGGCTTTTTTGTGGCGAGAAACTGACCCCTAGCAGATGTGTGGTTCGATGCGCCGATTGGCTATCCGTCAATTACGGCGAACTACACGCCGGAATGGCGACAATGGTGGTTCAACCCGGAGCATGTCAACTTATATCAGTTTATGGGCAAAGACAACGTATACTTCCACACCGTTTACTTCCCGTCAGTGGAGCTGGGCGACGGCAGGAATTGGACCATGTTGCACCACTTGTCGACCACTGGTATGCTCAGCCTTCTACTTTCTGTAGACATCAATCTGACTGTCATTCTGCAGAGTTCCTGAACTACGAGAATGGCAAGTTCTCGAAGAGCAAGAACCGTGGTGTCTTCGGTCCTGCCGCAAAGGAGACTGGCGTGCCCTCAGATGTCTGGAGATATTACCTGCTCTCCACTCGCCCAGAGACCGGCGATGCTATGTTTTCGTGGTCAGAATTCGTGAGTAGTGACCTTGGCAGCCATGACTACCGTCACCAACTTTTCCTCTCAGATCGCCGCCAACAACAACGTCTTGCTGAACAACTTCGGCAACTTCGTCAACCGCGCCCTCAAGTTCGTCACCTCACAATACGACTCCATCGTCCCCGACGGCGGGGACGCGCCAGGGCCCTACAGCCCCAACGATGTCAACGACGCCGACTTCATCGCCGACGTCAACAACCTCCTCGCCGAATACACCGCCAACATGGAGGCCGTCAAGCTCCGCGCCGGCCTCCAGACCATCATGGCCCTCGCCGCGCGCGGCAACGGCTACCTCCAGGCCTCCAAGCTCGGCAAGGCGCTCATGATCGAGGACCCGACGCGCTGCGCGCAGGTCCTCGCGCGCGCGGTGAACCTCATCTACGTGCTCTCCGTGCTCGTGTACCCGTACATGCCCGCAACGAGCAACGCGATGCTCGCGCAGCTGAACGCGCCCGCGCGCGTCGTGCCTGAGGCGTTCGGCAACGACATCCTTGCGGGGCATGTGCTGGGCACGCCGGAGCACCTCTTCAAGCGCATCGAGGAGAAGCAGGCGGAGGCGTGGCGCGCGCGGTTCGGCGGGGCCGAGGCGGACGGCGGGAAGGAGGAGGAGGCGCCGAAGAGCAAGCGCGCGGCGAAGAAGGCGGCGAAGGCGGACAAGCAAGAGAAGGCGGCGAAGACGGACGTGCCAGCGGCGGTGAAGACGCCTGCGATGGAGGCGCTGGAGGCGAGGATTGCGGAGCAGGGGCAGAAGGTGCGCGAGCTGAAGGCAAAGCCCAAGTCGGCGGAGGTGGATGCGGAGATCAAGGCGGAGGTAGAGACGCTGAAGGGCCTGAAGGGCGAGCTGGAGACGCTGGCGAAGGCCGCGCCGACCATTTGAAGCGCCAGCTATCTGAAGGAACCCGTTGTTGGATAAGATGCAGTCATTTCGAAATCCTCGACAACGATGATCACCTGTAGCATTAGGTTGTAGACCTAGCTGTTGTACTCGCGTCGACTCAACACGATGCTATCCCTCGAAACTGTGTGCTACAATTCAGAATAGTCCATGGGTATCGGAAAGTGTACAACCAGGATACAGCGGTGATGTGCATAGCTAAAGAACTGTCGTGGGATCAGCCAACAGGCGCTCGACAGCTGCTTTCACGCAAGCTACAACGCGCTGGTAATCAGGCTCATCCCGGCGTGAGTACCAGATCATAGGCCCATGTCCCTTGCTTAGCTTGACCTTGTCCTGTGAGGGCAGGCGAGCGAGTTCACCTTCCTCTAGCTCCTGAGGTTATGGTTAGCGCGATAGTCTTGGATGCCTTAAAGTCTATATGGTCGAACGTACCCGCATGCCCACTTCTCCTGCACTTTCCAAGAAATACTGACAGCGGTACTTCACGGGCAGTCCAGCCTCGTCGAACTTAACGTTCGTCGAGCCTAGGAAGAGGAGGTCTTGCCGCAAGGCGCGCATAAGAGGCGTCTGCGCGGCATCGTCGACTTCTTCGGTGGCTACGCGCTCGTAATCGCGCACGTAGTTTGAGGGCACGCCGAAGAAGAAGGCGGTCGCGAGTGCATTGCTGATGGCGTCGTGCGTGTCGTAGGAGATAGCTAGGGCCTGCGATACGAGGAATAAGTAAGACGAGTGCACGAGGTCAAGAGCATAGCCTGAAGCGGACGTACGCTCTTCAGTAGGATACCACCCAGGCTATGAGCAATAAACAAGATGGGAAGCATTTCTGTCTGCGATGATGTGAATGAGTCGGTTCAAGAAAATTAGATATGCATGTTCGATTTGACTTACCTCTGTATCTTCCCGAAGGTCGCTCAGCCGGCGTAGGAAATCGTGCACAACGTGCTCCATCGGCTTAGTCTCGTCCACCGACGTGTCGTAGCCATACGAGAGCAAGCGGTAGGGCGTGCCTGGAATGTCTTGAGGCAGTAAGTCGCGCAGCCAGCAGACACCGGTCTCTCGGTCAGTGTAGGAGTCGAGTCAATGTGCGTTTAACCCGTGAAGGAGGACGACGCTGTGTGGCGCACGGGCGGTCAGAAATTCCTTGTGTGGCGAGTCAACAGTACTCAACTCACTCAAGCGCGCGGTCCCCATAGGGAGAGTCAAGCAAGATGTGCAGGCCTTCTGACTTAGGCTTGCTAACGTCGGGAGCAGGAGGAGGAGCCGCAGTCTTCTGCGCGCCAATGCCCTTGAAAAGTCGCGCAACAGACTTCTTCATAGCAGCTGGTCAACCTCGGCGGACCTGAAAGCATCTTCCAGATGCAATCCACTCAAGTGCGAGACCCGGGTTGGCGGTTTGATTGCAGTGATTGGCCGGTGGTAGTGATTGGTAAAGTTCAACTTCAGGTGTTGCGGGCGGAATAAGCGCCCGCAATGTCGCGTGCGCCGCACGTGGCTGACCAAATTCCGTCGATCATTGAGTTCCCCCGCAAGAACAATGTCCTCTCCTGCCCCCGTGCCCGCTGACCTCGTCGACGCGAACGACGCTCTACCTACTCCTCCAACTACGGTCGAGGATGCGGCGGAAGATGCTCTCATGACACAAGGTCCAGAACCTCAGCCAGCAGAGGGCGCACCCTCAGACGAAGAGGACGAATCCTCGGACGACTCTGATGATTCCGACTCTGGTTCTGAGGACTCTGACTCTGCGTCCAGCAGTGCCGCTAGCTCTTCGTCCTCATCATGTCCACCCGAAATGACGCTTGAAGCACTTGAGGGCTTGTGGAGGAAAGCGCGAGACATCGCCGCCGCTGCAGAGAAGGAATCATCATCGCGGGACGCGATCGACGAGCAGGAGGATGTGATACAGCTGGACACAGAGCCGGGCGCGGAGGAGTTCAAAAAGCAGTGCGTTATCATGCCTTCAATTCCCTCCCTCGCCCTTCGTTGCCTGTCCCTCCTCCCTCACTTGTCCCTCCCCTCCCCTTTTCGCGCGCTTCCCATCTGTCCTGTCCCTCCTACCTTGCTCATCCTCCTACCGCTCCAACCTTCTCACCCAATCTCTCTCCCATTCCCTCCCCACTTTTTATCACACCCAACTGAACACCTCCTCCCAGACGCCTCCCCCGCCTCGAGCTCTCCACCGCGGACAAGTCCTACTTCACCTTCGACCGCATAGGCAAGGGCAAGGTCCCCCTCTCCCTCCGCGACCCCGAGATAGAGCGCGCCGAGAAGGCTATGGCCGACTTCGCTGCGCCCGCGCCGCCAGAGGGCCCGCCAGAGTTGACTAAGTCGGGCAAGCCGTTGACGAAGAGGGAGAAGAAGGAGGTGTGTGGCCTCATTTCCGCAACATCCGTGCGAGTACGACACATGCTAATCCAATCCTTGTAGCTCAAGAAGCGCACCGCAGGCCCCGCCTGGTTCGACCTCCCCGCGCCGCCCGAGGCCGACCTGCCGCGGCTGTATCGCGAGGTCGAGGCGCTCCGGCTGCGGAACCAGCTCGACCCGAAGCGCTTCTACAGGAAGGACGAGGGCGAGGGGAAGGGCATCAAGGGGCTGCCGAAGCATTTTGCGGTGAGTGCACGCGTCTGACTTGCGTTCATTCTGTACCTCTGTCCACTTTTGCCCCCTCACCCCCCTTCACTTTCACCTTGTTGGATCATGCCTAAGCAAACGCTGATCCCAACCATCTCCCCCAGATCGGCACCATCGTCCCTTCCCCACTCCCCTTCGGCGGCGCATCGTCAGAAAACCTCACCCGCGCGGAGCGCAAGCGCTCCCTCGTGGACGAGCTTGTCGACGACGCGGAAGCCACACGGTATGCGAAGCGCAAGTTTGGGGACCTGCAGGGCAAGAGGGGGGCGGCGGGAAGGAATACGAGGTTTGGGAAGCAGAGGAGGACGAAGTGGTAGGAGAGAGGCGTGGAGGCTAGGAGGAGGGGGGAAGAGCATGTACATGTTGTACTACCTGATGCTGTGTACTGCGATATCGATGCGCGCGGTCATTCGAACCTACCGTTGTGCATTCAGGTCGAAGTCGGATTCTGGTGCGCCACCACGACGGTCAAGACGATCCTGCAAAGTACAGATGATGCGTTGGAGAGTGCTGACAATAAAAGTACAAGTATCTAGTCCATTCTGGCCTTCAATGTGCGGGTGATGACCTTGTCTTGTGTTCTGATGAGACCGTTAGCCACAAAAACAGACAGTAGAGGCCCGGTACGTACATGACATGCACAATACACCCCCACCCAGAATACGCATCCCGGTCCACCGCATTCATGATAGTCTGCGATATCGTCTCAAACAAATCCTCCGGCTCCAAATCCGGCTCCCACAAGCTCTCCGCCACACCGAACAGCTTCTCGCTCGCCGTCCCCGCGAGCACAAAGTCCTTCGCGAAGTTCAAGCACCCGATCAGGTCCGCGGCGGCGATGAAGGGCTTGTATCCGCCGGAGGGCGTCTTCTGCATGCCCGCGATGACGGGCTCGATGAAGTACGGCCCGAAGCGGTGCTCGTAGAGCGTGGAGGAGGCGAGGTGGGCGAAGGTCTCGGGCTGGATCTCGCGCTCTTCTTTGATGGTGTACATGTTTACGCGGAAGCGGAATTTCTCGCGTCTGGGGTCGATGTGAGTTGAGGGGGAGAGGTAGGTGAAGATGGGAACGCACAATGTGAGGACATCAGAGGCCAATCCGGCGAGCCCGACGTAAGTGCGATCTGTGACTGGGAATATCTCGATGCAGGTGAGGAGATGAGCGGTTATGAAGGGCTTGCAAGACGAACCTTCTCAAAGTGCGTGGAGATACCCTGCGCCTGGTTCCCTAGACGCAGATCGGACGCAATGGCTACGCAGTCCTTCCCCACCATGGCTATGACGGAGCCACCGTTGTATTCCATGATCGACTAGAGGACACGCATTTAGCATAAATCCATGATCAGGACATGTATGCGCACCATGTTGGGCAGAGGACAGCGGGGAACAGGGATGGATAAAGCAGTATGAGGGCGAAGCCCAAGGACGTTGGACGCGTCAGATCTCTAGACGCGCGGCGCGTGACATGCTGGCGGTCACGGTCCTGTACGACGCGACGCCACAATTATTCGTACTTCCAGTTCTCCACCTTGGAATTCTCTGTATAACCGACATGCATATAGATGTTATAAGCACAAGGCTCATCGAGGCGGGTACAGTAACGAACGAATGTAACGAGAGTGTAGCGATACAACTGGCGAGGCGGTCTATAAGATAGATAGATACCACTGACCTGGACGACTTAGACGCAGGTATAGAGTAGGCGTGCGGGTATGTTATACAGGCGAGACATGAGCGAGATGGAAGAGTTCTAAAAAAGAGTGTAAAAACGAGTGTGAATCGCGAACAGTTCGCCCGAAAACAACGCCGCAGCCCCTGGACCTACGAGCGATTTTGGGGCGCATGAAGGCCCTCTATGCGGGCATCAGAGGGCGCGCGACAGCGGCGACGGCTGGTGAGGGCCCGATTTCGAGCGCGCGACGGTGCCCTCGCTTCGACATGAGTGATGCAGAGGAGATGGCCGGACCGGTGACGGCGCGCTCATCGTCCGCTGCCGCCACGAGGGGCGGCTGCTCTCTGCAGCGCCAAGCCGGCCGACGTACATTGGCACCGGCGCCGCGTACATGTTCTCAGCCCCCTCGTCCGCCCACGGCTCTACCGGCAGCTGCGCACCTACTCGCCCGCGGCGCACCTAAAAAAGCAATTTCGGTCAGCCATCGGTGCTATGCGCGCGAAAGTGACGCCTGTCGAAACTCAGGACGCAGGACTCACCATGCGTCGGGGGAGGCGCGCGTTTGTGAGCTCCACTAACGAGGGCGTGCGGCTGCGGGAGTCGCTACCACTTTTCATCGTCGAGCGGGCTAGGATTTGGGAGGGAAGCGCCACCGAGGGCTTCGGCGGAGGTGGCGGGGCGTAGTAGGATGCAAAATTGTCCATTTCGTCGTAGTACGACGTTTCGGGCGATGCAACTGGCGGTGGGGGCGGCGCGAATGGATCCTCATCGAGGAAGTCCGGCAGGGGGGACGGGGGCGCTTCCTCGTCCGGGCTATGCCCTGATGAAGACGAGGAGGACGAGGACGAAGAGGCGTATGCGGAGTCCGAGGCGTCTGATTCAGCGGATCCCTCATCAGAGGACGATGAGCTGCGTCGTCTTGAGCCGTCCGCGAGCCCCAGAGGGGTCAGCGCGGCGAGTAAAGCCTGTAATGAGCGTCGTCGCCCCATGGGCATCTGAGTGTAGGACGGGAGGGCCAACCGGTACCGAGACGCGCGCGTCCCCTCTTATACCGCGCTTACCACCCCCCCATGACGGCATGCCTGACATGGCCATGCGCGTCGAGGGGGCGACGGCGCGGTTTCCATGGCGCACATTCCGCCGGAATACAAGTGCGCAGCAAGGAGGTGCAATGTGTTTTGCCTCCACCCTCGCGAGTCGCCCCCCCCCTTCCTTCGCTTTCCTTGACCTCCGAAATGAACACCGTCAGCAACCCTCGATTTTCTATCACTCACCGACTTTCACCGAGCGAATCGTGGACGAGTCTTTGGGCATCCTGCGTGCAGAGGCGTATGCATTGTCAAGTATACCTACCGGTCGAGAGGCCTCCGAACTTCGGAGAGCGGCTCTGCGAGGTTGTGCGGCTGAGTGGGCGGGGGAGAAACGGGGGTTCCGTGGGGATGTACAACAACTCCGGAAGGAGTTGGAAGCAAAATGCCTCGTGGCGTGGAAAAATTCACAGCCCTCGTAAACCCTTCGGGACAAAAGGCACCATAAACTTTCTTCCTTCCGTCCAAAGGGTGTCCCAAATGCTGGAAAGCACCCGTCTCGGGGATCGGGAGAACTCCGAATCTCCCGCAAAAATATTGCACTGGAAGAGCAGCGTGGCCATAGAGCATTTGTGGCCGCAGTCAGCCATGCAATAGTCAAGCAGCAGTCAGTATGTAGTACGGAGTAAGTTACTAATGGATACAGATGTTTCTCTATTCTTCAGCCTCGCCAGCAACAATCACATCATCTGGTGAACCGTTAGTTCAGGGAAACTAACAAGGATGCACAACAGGACGCACCGATCTTCAGCACCGCCCGGACGAGTTGCGTCGCGAGCAAGTACTGCTGCCGCTTCGACACAAGCGGGTCATATACGAACTGCTCCTTCATGTCTGTATATCGAAATCAAGATGAGAAAAGAAACCTTGAAGCTACCGAATATAATTCGCACCGTTGTTGCCCTTGCCCGAGCAGTCAATGCCCAGCCTCGAATTGCCCTCGTTGATTTGTCGGCTGCGGATCTCTGCGAGTGTCTCGATGGGCGAGAGGCCGCTGTTTTCTGCCAATGCCAATGGCACGGACTCGAGTGCAGCAGAGAACGCGCGGACGGCGTACTGCTCGATGGAGGGAATCTATTGCAACAGCGTGGTCAGCGCCGGCTTCGGCATAACATTTTGGTCCATCTGACCTCATCTGCAGCCTTCGACACGGCGATGGAGGCGCTGATGTCAGCGGCACCACCACCGTAGACGACGCGGTTGTCTACGACGAGGTTCCGGACGGCACAAATGGCATCGTGAAGAGCGCGCTTCGCCTCGTCGACGATCTATGTAGCAGTCAGCAATTCTGCTCAGTGTTCATGGAATTCTAGACACACCATCTTGTTGCCTCCGCGCACAAAGATCGTGACCGCCCGCGTGTTGGCGCACTCCTCAATGACGAGCATCTTGTCGCGCGTTGTACCGAAGGTCACCTCACGCACAACTCCCGCCCGACCGAGCTTCTCCGGAGTAAGGTCCTCGAAGCGAGGAACAATCCGCCCCTGCGTCGCAATCGCAATCAACTCAATCTCCGGGCCACCCACCCATCGCACAGCGGGCAAGTCGTTCTGCATCAGCAAGTGGTTCGCCTCGTCGTCGAAGCCCCACTGGCAGATGACCAGGTTCGCGCCCGCGTCCTTCACGCGCTTGATCATGTCCGCGAACTTGCCCTGCTCGTACTCGCGCAGGTGGCGGTACTCCTCGACGCTCGTGATGTCCAGCTTGTGCTTCGTCTTCGGGCGCGGGGGCTCGAACGGGCAGGTGAGGATCGCGAGGCGCGCGTCGCGGACCTGGGACGGCATCTGCGAGTGCGAGAAGTCCTTGTCGACGAGGACGCCCTTGATGAGCGCGGTGTCTGCGAGCGAGCCGCCGACCTTGCCGTCGACCTTGATGAGGTCGAACAGCACGTCGCGCCGCTCGAGGTCAGCGACTTGAAGCACGGCGTCGACGGCGATCTCGGCGAATTGACGGTGCTCTTTCGAGACGCTGCAGAGGGTATGTAAGTGAGGTGCTGGGTGGGAAGTACGGCTGGTGAGCGCACATCTTGCTTCCTAAGGAAGTCATAGCCGTCTTGACGAGGTTCTCGGTGCTGGATCGCGAGAATTCGACGCGATCGGATATCCGGTCGAGCTCCTCGCAGGCGACCTGGCATGCGCGATCGAACCCGTCAGCGATGCGAATGGGGTGGATGCCGCGGTCAAGCAGCGCTTCGCTCTGCTCCAAGAGCGCGCCAGCAAGGACTATCAACTGTATTAGCAAGAATAAACATGGTGGACAAGCCACACACCGACTACACCAGTGGTTCCATCACCGATCTCGTCGTCCTGCGATTTGGACAGCTGAACAAGGAGCTTTGCGATCTGGTGCTCGACCTCCATCTGGCCGAGGATCGTCGCGCCGTCATTTGTGACGGTGATGTCTCCATCGGGGGAGATAAGAATTTTGTCGAGGCCTGGAGAATGTTAGGCAAAGACTGATGGGAGGGGAAGACGCGTACCTCGCGGGCCCAGCGATGTCCGTATGATGTTGGCGACAGTCTTGGCCGCCAAAATATGCGACTAGGACACTTGTCAGATAGGGAACCTCCCCTCGATGAACGATCTGACCTTAATGGCTTCTACACCATGCGTACGCGTTTTCTTTGCTTGCTCGCGCAAGATGATGAACGGACGACCGTACTGTATTTGTTCAGTATGGGCCCCAGCTTCAGCAGTCATGACGCACCTCATCCGTCGCGTACTGCGCCTGCACGTCTCCTAGATTTGCTGCAGACATGGCTTTAGATGAGAACGCGTACAAGTCGCGAAATTGGGCATCCAAAGTCACATCCCGCCGTGACTTCAGCGCGTCACGCGCCTTCCCGAGATCTCATTCCTTGTTCAATACCCTCATCTCCTCTTCCCGAAAAACCGCAACAATGGAAGGCGAAGTCGATGCCTGGATCGAGCAGCTCAGCCAATGCAAACAACTCTCGGAGGCCGATGTTAAGAAACTCTGCGACAAAGTGCGGGCACGCGATAACCGATGACTGCGCGCAAAGGATTGACTATAGCCTACAGACGAGGGAGATCCTCATGGAGGAGAGCAATGTGCAGCCCGTGCGCTGCCCAGTAACCGTCTGCGGAGACATCCACGGCCAGTTTGTGAGCACCCGCGTCCCATCCGCGCGCTTTCTGGCGTCTCATCATCATCACCGCGCCCCAGCACGACCTATCAGAGCTCTTCCGCATCGGCGGCAACTCGCCCGACACCAACTACCTCTTCATGGGCGACTACGTCGACCGCGGCTACTACTCCGTCGAGACCGTCACCCTCCTCGTCGCGCTCAAGCTGCGCTACCGCGACCGCGTCACCATCCTCCGCGGCAACCACGAGTCCCGCCAGATCACGCAGGTGTACGGCTTCTACGACGAGTGCCTGCGCAAGTACGGGAACGCGAACGTGTGGCGCTTCTTCACCGATCTCTTTGATTTCCTCCCTCTCACCGCCCTCATCGACCAACAAGTGCGTGCCAGCCGTGGCGTGGTAGGCACCCGCTGATCGCATTGCCTGCAGATATTCTGTCTCCACGGTGGGCTGTCACCGTCGATCGACACGCTTGACCACGTTCGGTCTATCGACCGCGTGCAAGAAGTGCCCCACGAGGGCCCCATGTGCGACCTGCTCTGGTCCGACCCAGACGACCGCTGCGGTTGGGGGATCTCGCCGCGCGGCGCCGGCTACACCTTCGGACAGGATATCTCAGAGGCGTTCAACCACAACAACGGTCTGACGTTGGTGGCCCGGGCGCACCAACTTGTCATGGAGGGTGTGTGCCTAAGCCCGGAGTTTGCTGTGATGTCACTGACAGCGAAACAACATCGCAGGCTACAGCTGGGGGCAGGATAGGAATGTGGTCACCATCTTCAGTGCACCGAATTACTGCTACAGATGCGGCAACCAGGCCGCAATCATGGAGATCGATGAGAAGTTGTCGTACAGCTTGTGCGTCTCCTATCCATCCTGCCGCCTTTTTCGTCACCTCATACCTCTCCACAGCTTGCAATTCGACCCCGCGCCGAGAGCAGGCGAGCCGCTCGTGTCGCGTCGTGTACCCGACTATTTCCTCGTGAGTGTCTCAGAGCTAAGCGACCCTTCCGCGCCATGCTAACCCGAATCCAGTGATGTTAGAGCCGTGCCCATAGTGTAATTCTCATAGGAAGATCGATTGAAGATAATCTGTGCACCTTTCGCTCAGCTTTACAATTGTATTTACCTCGCATACCACAATCGAAGACGGACGAGTGCGCTGGAAGACTAGAGCACAGTGACATTCGAGCGACTGGCAAGAGTATAGTACATGGTAAAGGTAGGTAACTTGTGCATGCGAAGGTAAGTCCTGATTTGACTATGGTACATGGTTAATTCGAGGCTTCGTGCGAGGATGATACAGATTCAGCGACTGCTCCAACTTGACGCTACCCGCTCCAATCCAACGTTCTTCGACCCAGCTCATAGATCTCCCCGGTCGGCCTTCACGAACTCCTCGGCCATCGTCGGGTTGAAGTTCTTATCTTTGACAACTTCAGTAGTCTCCTCGTGCACGGTCTTTTTCACGAACTCCTTGGCGCCACCCTGCGACAACGGCCCCTCGACGGAGTCGCGCGAGAAGGAGGCGGTGGTGGGCTCGGAGCTGTCGTCGTGCATGTGGCGGCGCTTGATGCCGTCGATGGTCTTGCGCTGCATCTCGGCGGGGTCGCCGTGCGGGGCTTGGTCGGCCTGCAAGAAGGTGAGTCTGGGTAGGATGAATGGGAGAGGTGATCGCACCTTGACGGACGCTTCCGACGCGGATGCGAGGTGCTCGTTCCAGCCCGGAGCGTGCTCTTCGTGTGGGGCGGACGCGCTGTGGTGCTGCTTGCCAGCGAGGTTGCGCTGCTTCTCGAGCTCCAAGGTCTGACGGCGCGCTTGGCATGAGCTCACGGTCTCACAGGGCGACAGCGGATGTACACACCTTCGGGTCGTTGTCGTGCATGGTGCTGGTGCTGTCATGAGCTTAGGTTGCAAGCTGGAGGACTTGCGAGTATCTTACCTGCTGTACCTGCTCGACGCGTCAGCATCCTCCTCTCCGTCTCACAACACGCGCAACTCACCTCACACCCACCGCGCCGCTCCTGGTCGCGGCAGCCCTCAACGCAGTGCGCGCAGAGGCGCGGGTGGCAGTCTGAATGGCTTGCATGATCGTCTGGTGTGTTGTGTCGGTCGTGGAATGAGGTGTATGCGGAGGAAAGAGGCAAGATGGTACGTGCACATCCGCCGCCGCGCTTTATGAGCGCAGGCATGACTGGGGCCTGACGTCACGTCGGGCTGCTGATGCCCACGTGAATTAGCGTAATGCACCAGACTTTATTGGGGCCTCCACCAAGCCCGCTGCCGAGCGCGCTTGATAGCGGCGAGGAGGGGATTGGCTGAGGGCTACATTGAGGAAGTTCGTGGGCTGAACTTTGGGCGCGACAACAGAAAGAGTTTGAAAAGCAGGGCTCAAGCGTCTTGAGGTCGTGCAGCGAACGTGAGCGAAGCTTCCAGTACGAAGATGTATAGAGGATGTCAAGCATTGGCACATCACTGCGTGGGAAGCCCACCCGCTGTGGTCCTCCAGCGGAACGCCTCCCCGCAAGGCGTGCTCAAAGTTCAACAATGAAGTCATAAAGCTATCCCCGAAAGGAAGCCCTTGTTTCGAGTTTGCTTCCGGTCCGACCCCCGGGATCAATCCAGTCTTGTCCTCTTCCTTCATGTGAGCCTCCTGGTCGCTAGCCATCCGGTTCACCAGGATGCTCGAGAGTGCTGTGAGCGGCCCAAACGCGATGGGAAACTGGGTATATGCTATGCTTACATGAAGGTCAGACGCGAAGGAAGCGCAAGCGTTCCATCACCGTCGAGCCTTCCTGCATTTTCGACACGAGTCCAAGTCCGTCGCAGCGCCCGTACAACCTCAGAAGCTCTCGGCGTGACAACGCCACTCGTATTTCCAGGTCACCCTCTTGTCCGCCAATTGCCTACATCGATGTCGTAGCTTCGGAGGACGTCGAGGGGAAGAACGATACCTCAGTTGCCGTCGAAGATGAGGATGGACCTCTGGTCGACGAGCTCGCTTCGCCCAAGGACTCGGACCCTCTCACTATTGAAGCCTTCTTGCAGCGAAGCTCTGCGGCACGGACGAAGACCTATCGCGGAAAACGCAAACGTCGACGGGTGCATTTCGCGGAAAGCGACCACGACTACGCGCCCTCGGAGGATGACGCCGGCGAAGCAGAGGACCAGTTGTGTCTAGCCGCCGACGATCAGCCCGACAATGATGATGAGCCTCTCGCACTCCTCGCCAGCTCTCCGCCGCGGTGTCCTGCCACTGCTCCGCCGCGCAAAAGGAAGACATCCCTCTCGCACCGTCTCACCATAGCTGCCCTAGAGTGCGGAGGCACAGTCCCTGTCGAACCCGAATTACCGACTACGCCTCCCCGCATCCCCCTGACTTTCGTCGCTGCCAATGGCACCACCAAGCCTCCCAAACGACCGAGGAAGACGGGCCACCTCGTTGATCCCAGACGGCGTGCCGGGTTCGGAAGGTCGATCTCACACTTCCGGGCTGCTGCGGCTCAGAGGGCTGTCAACGCTGCCTCGCCATCTCGACCTGCTCCCGCTTCGTCGTCTACCGCTGCACCCAGATCGAACTATCGCGCTAAATGGCGCACCCACGCTCCGCCGATGCTCCCGAAAGCCTACCTCCCTACCTGCGCTGCGGACTCAATCCTACCGCCTCTGGGCAAGAAACCTCACAGGCGGCAACCCGCGCAGTTGTCGGCTACGGTCCCGCTGAAACTGGTGCCGCTGGAGGAGTCCGTCGTAGGTGCGAAAGCTAAGACAGCAACGGGAAGGCCAGGTCGTCGGATGGCGAGGAAGAAGTGCGTAGGCGCGCATATATCCTGTCTTGTTTGCTGATGTATGCGGAGGGATGCGGTGCTCACTGGTCCAGGACCGCTTACTTTCGTCTCCGTTCTGACAAAGAAGGTGCCACAAGCGTCCTCGTCCCTGCTTCATACAAGCCGTGCTTCATCTCCAGCACCGACGTTCTGCATGACCAGCGTCCGCGACCGGCTACTTGGCTCTCGCCAACCTCCTATCGCTGCGGACACTGAGAATGTCACCGAAGAAATTCAGGACCACAACAGGACTACCATCTCAGATTCTGTCGACGCACAGAACTCTTTTTACGCTGACCGCTCCTCACCGCTTTCTTCCAACGCTGCTTCGAAAGCGGTGTCCACACCGACTAGCAAGAACGCTCTTGCGTCGACTGCCAAACATGCTCGTTCCTCCTTCTCAGAACTAGCTCCCTTCTCTGCCTTCAAGACGCCCTTCTCCATCAACACCAAGACGCCGGTCACATCTCACGTCAACGCAACCCGCCCGTGTACCGCTCAGACGACCCTCCCATCCAGCACCAAGCCCCTGAAGCCCCTCGCCGCCTTCCACGACCGCCTCGCTGAGACTGTGCGTACGGCGTCGCAGCTAGTGGATGCAGCGACTGGGGCGTTGCGGACTCCCGAGAGTGGCCCTCGGCGGAGGAAGAGGGCTAGTGAGGTGTCTGGGCGAAAGGCTGCGAGGGTCAGTCTGGCGGATCGCCGAGGCGAGTCGTCGACGCGAAATAGTGGCGAGTCGTCGACGCGAGATAGTGGCGATACGTCCTCTACGCGCCTTAGGTTGTCCTCTACCCGACATAGCAAGATTCGCTCGTACCAGCCTCCTATAACGTCTATGCTGGCGCCGTCTGCTCGACCTCCGGATGTCTCTGGTGCTCGTCCTTCGATTGCGTTGCTCCCGCGGCCTATCGAGATTCATTCGCCAAAAGTCACTCCTCCGCACTCCTCTCCTGTATTCCCTCGCTCTGGCTCTCCTCATCCTTTGCGCGCATCTCCAATTGACTCGCCTCTTGCTCACTCGCCGACTTACCCGCTATCTCGCTCTCCGCATTCCTCTCGACCTCAACCTTCGCACACTTCCCGTCAGATTGAAACTCGAATCTGCATCGACCTCTGCTCATCGTCTCCTCTTCTGGCTGCTGCTGCTCGTTCTGCGCTCTCGTCGCTCCCCGTTCTGTCGTCCTCTCCTGCGCTGCTCATTGATATGGGACCTCCGCCCGCTCAGGCTACCACGTCGTATTCTCCACTACCGACAACGACTTCTCGCATGTCTCTTTCCCGTTCTGAGTCTTCGCAAGCTGTCCGCGCTTCTCCCCACTGTACTCCTCGTTCGACTCGAAGAGACGCCGTTACTGCGACTCAAATTCGTGCTTCACCTGCGACTCGGAAGCAACCACCGCAAGCTCGGCCTGCGAGCGACCCTTCCTCTGATTCCATCCAGTCCTCATCGCCATCCTTCGTCATGCACAGCGTCCGGAGGTTGCAATCTCGGAGTACGACGGCCCGTGAAGGTTTAGAGGTGGTGTGGAGATAGGTCAGGATTGGCTTGGAGGTAGCAACAGAAGGTAGTCCAGGGCGCGGGGGAACGGACAATCTTGGGATCGACGCTCAACAGATAATCGTGTCGATTAGCTTAGCGCAGGCTGTACCACAGCGAAACACCTCTATCTCCCAGCGTGCCCGCCTGCCGACCATGGCACGAAGGATGCAAAGTCCGTCTCCTTACGTCGCTGACCTCATGTCCATCTCGTGCCCCCGGCGCTAGTGGCGATCAAACCCTTGCCACATAACGCCGTCACTTTACTTCTTCACCTAAACGTTCATGGCCCTCGCACGATCCTCTTCCCTCCCACTCTCATGAACCAACTCCGACTCTCCTTCGTGGCGCTGTGTTTAGTGGTAGGCGCGACCGCTGTCTGCGCGGCGCAGTGCCAGCTGCGCGCCGTCGAGAATGGCGTGCAGGTGCCCTTCGCGGGCGTCGGGGATAATGGGACGCAGACCTCGTCTAGTGGAGCAACAGCGACCGCAACGGGCTCTGGAGCGTCCCCCTCAGCGTCCGCGACGGCGCTGCCGGCGTTCAAGTATGGGACAGACCCGATACGCGGGGTGAATCTGTGAGTGGTGTGAAGTGATCGGGCGGGAGCAGATGCTCATTCAATGTTGTGTGGCGCCACAGCGGCGGATGGCTGGTCCTTGAGGTGAGTGGGGAGGCCTTCTTGGATTTGTTAGACGATGTAGTGTGCTGATGGATGCTGTAGCCGTGGATTACACCAAGCTTCTTCGAAGAGACGGGGAACGACGACATTGTAGACGAGTATACGCTGGGACAGCTGATGGACGAGGACGATGCGCGGAAAATGCTCAAGGTCCGTGGGCCTTCTACTCTGAGGTCCATCTCGCTTACTCTGCGTAGAATCACTGGGAGACAGTACGTCTGCGTAGCTCACACCTGTACTCCTTGTCTAACATCTCGCAGTGGATCACAGAACAAGACTTCAAGGACATTGCAGCAGCCGGCCTTACGCATGTTCGGTGCGCCTTCCTCGGCTAAATCACCCGCCTCCCCCACTGACTCTTCCCAGCATACCCCTCGGCTACTGGTCCGTCCCCATGACCTCCGCCGACACCAACTACAGCACCTCCATCTCTCCCTACCTCGACGGCGCCTGGCCCTACCTCCTCCGCGGCCTCAACTGGGCCCGCGCGCACGGCGTCCGTTGCATCGTCGACGTCCACGGCGCCCCGGGCTCGCAGAACGGCTACGACAACTCCGGGCAGCGTACCGGGAACCCCCAGTTTGTCTCCGGCGGCGACAACGAGAACGTGGAGCGCACGCTCGACCTTGTTCGCTTTCTGGCGGATAATATTGGGGGCATGGTCGATGTGCTGGAATTACTTAACGAGGGCGCGGGGTTCCGTGGGGACGACTGGGCGCAAGCGATTCGCGGGTTCTTTGAGGACGGGTACGATGTGGTGAGGAATACGGCGGGGGACGATATCAAGGTCATGATTGGGGATGCATTCCTTGGCGTGAACTCATGGGACGGGTTCTTGGGGTCCGGGGATGCACAGGGGGTGATCATGGACTACGTGAGTAGCTTGCTATATCCACGGTGAGGTTGCTAATTCTGCCCTCATTTCTCCAGCACATGTACCAGATCTTCAGCAACGACGAGCTTCGGAGGTCCAATGATGAACATATCGAGGTATACAATATCCAACTCACAACTATCTAGACTCATTGACCCTCCGCCAGTTCGCGTGCACCAAGAAGACCGAGCTCACGGGCTACGCGTCCAGCAACATCTGGACTGTCGTCGGCGAGTGGTCCACCGCGCCCACGGACTGCACCAAGTGGCTTAACGGGCGCGGCGTCGGCGCGCGGTGGGATAACACCTACACGACGGACGGCTCGGGGGAGTACTTCAATCAGTGCGGGAACTACACGGGGAGCTACAGTGGGTTTTCGGATGATTATAAGGACTTCTTGAGGAAGTAAGTGGCTAGGCGTCCCACGATAAGGATAAGGTGCTGACAGAAGCACCATCGCAGGTACTGGGAAGTCCAGGTCGACATTGGTGAGGCCGTGTCGGGGTGGGTGATGTGGACGTGGAAGGTGTGTTGCACGCTGTGCTCTCTTCGGGGACGTTCTGACGATACCTTCAAAGGCGGAGAACTCGGATGATTGTGCGATTCTCTTCTTCCCTTCCCACTCATTCGCTGACAGACTTCACAGGGAGCTATCAGAAGGGACTCGAAGGCGGCTGGATTCCGTCGGACCCAGATGATAGGCTCTACCCGAATATCTGCTCATGAGAGCGCAGTCGTGTCGCCCGTCGGGACTTTGTTTAGCAAAACCCAACACGGCCTTCGACTTCTTTGCCTCCCGAGCTGATCAATTGCTCTGAGCTTCTGACTGCGCTGATTCGACTGAGCACTCGTCCATCCCATCTAGAGTCGACCGCATATATGTAGCATATTTATGATGTACCCGCGGACGAAGCACCTCCCCGAGCGGACACTGTAGCAAACCTGATGACACGCAATGTTTATAGACGACCAAGATGACCACATTGTTTCCCTCGTCTTCGACAGCATGGCCAATGGGCCATGCAAAGCTGATATCTTACGGAGCGCTCAAGCGAAGACGCAGAGGTATCCTCATTCCCAAGTGATAGTACAACACTGATATTACCCAGACACTTTCCCCTCGCCACCTACGCGTACGGCAAGATTGCCTGCGGGTAGATATCCGACAACGCCACACCGCTGGGCGGCTCAATCGACGTGAAGTAGTCGCCCCACCAGGGGCCCGCCGCCCACCACAGCGCGCCGATCCACGTGCCCTCCTGCTGCTGCAGGTAGCACAGCGCGTCGCTCACCGCGGAGATGCAGTCCGCGTTCGAGCCCGCGCCCATCTCGCCGAGGAAGCCGCGCTGGTTGTTCGCCTTGAGCCACTCGGTCGCCGCCTGCAGGCGCTCGGAGCCGATGGTCGCGGAGACGCAGGTCTCGTTGGTGCCCGAGCCGTCGGAGTCGAGGTACTGGTGCATCTCGATGGCGATGTTGTCGTTGGGGTCGGTGAGCGCGGCGAAGGCGTCCGAGTTGCCGGAGGTGGTCCAGGTCCAGGCGCCGGTCCATGCTGGTGAGGGGTGAGCAAAGGGGAATTAAGAGACGGAGGAGAGGCTTACAGGTGCCCTCAACGAGGATGAGCTGCTCAGTGGCGCCAGCAGCGCGGATGGCGTTGACAGCGGCCTGCATGTGCTCGTAGACAACGGAGGCATCGATGTCGTGCGGCTCGTTCATGAGGTCGAAGATGACATTGGTGTTGTCGATCTGCAGCCGAGGTTAGCCGCCTAGTCGGACACATAGAGGCTCAATCATACTCACAAAGAGCGTGGCGAGGTTTGTCCAGACTATATTGCGAGATTGGTCAGTTTCTTTCTCAGAGGCGTAGATTATGCTGCTTACAAGACGCAAACCTATAGACATAGTTCAGTATAAAATCCTCTCCGCTGGCAAACGATATTACTCACTCGTCAGGCGAGTTGATTGTCGACCCGTTGTAGATCATGAAGTTGTGCGCTGCAAACCTCCTTCAGTCCGTTTCCCTGCCTTCCTCCATCTTTGACACTCACGCTCAATGATAGCGTACCCGCCCTTGCCGGTGATGTATTCCACCGTGCTCTGCAAGTCGGCCAGATACGTCGAGTCGAAGTCGCCCGTGATCCCTGAGGCGGGCGGCGCGAGACGCTCAAGGAGGAATGGGATTCGGAACGAGTTCAGGCCATCCTGCATGAAGTAGTCGATGCTGCTGGGGCTCGGCCAGGTGTAGTCGGTGTTCTTCACGCCTGGGATGTTTTGGTTGCCAAATTCGGCGCAGGACCTGTAAGAGGGAGGGTTAGTGGTTCATAAGAGAGTGCGAAGAGTAGAGGAGGGACTGTGAGAGGGAAAGAGGGGAGCTGCACTTACTCGTTTACACCGAAGTAGTCAAATTTCGTCGCGCCGGAGCACTCAGCGGCGGCAGACGAAGCTGTCGCGGCGGGCGCAGTCGCGGTCGACGAGGGCGCCTGCCCCTGCGGTGCGCTGTTGGACGCAGAGGCAGGCGTGGCAGCGACCGCGGCAAGGGCGGGCGCCGCCGCCATCGCCATGAGGACAGAGAAGCGCGTCAGGGCAGCGTGCATAGTGAAGCCTGACGCTTGTTTCGCGAAGAGGGAAAATGTGGGGTGAGGGAACGACAAGGAATGAAACCCCCTGGACACCGCGCCCCGAGTTATAAGTGCGGCGGGTCGGGGAAACCGTTGCGAGCAGAAACCCCGAGGATCATCAGGCGGCGGGCCAGGTTCATCATGCGCGGAAGGAAGGGCATCATGCGGAGGGCGACGCGTGCGGCGAAAAGGGATAAGGTCGGCACTGCAGGTGAGTCTGGACGGCGCGTGTAACGACGGTGATCACAGTGCGTTGGGCCATCAGGTGACTGTGTCCTTGCTTATGCTTCTTCTGGTCCAGGTCGAGTGCTAGGTCCTGTTGAGGCCTACCTTCACGGTCAGAGTCGAGGTGCTGAGAGTCCCCTGAGGAGAAATGGGTGTCCAAACCCCATCCCAGCCTCCGTTCAACCCATTCAGAGAGCCTTCGGCATTGTTTGTCTTCTGAGAAGCATCGTTGGACAGCAGACTACCGAGATCGACAGCTTCGCTCCCAGCCCTTCGCACCCTCGCATCTGGAAAGTACAGCCAACCGACAAAGAACCGAGGATATAGTATGCACGTAACTTACACGAAATACATGCCTTGAAGTCCATCGACTATGTCCTTCCTACACAGGCTCCAGTGTTCACCGTATCACCGATGCTAGAAGCAGGCCTTGAGAGAGCTGAACAGTCGCTCGGAGGTTTTCTCGAGGTGACTGCCCGTGCAAAGGAGCACCTTCCGCACGCGAAGCGCAGAGCCTGTCTAGGACACGGTCACCTGAACCTTAGCGTCCTTCATCCTCCCGCGCTTCCTTCCCACCCAGGAATTCGCCGGACGTTCTCCTTGTACGTCCGCCTTGGCGTTCGATGAAAAGAATGTCCGTGTCCGTGCACAATGGCTGGCCGAGGTGCCCGAACGAGGGTCTCGCAACTGAATCCTCGAACCTTGAACCCTGTCCGCCTTCCATCCCATACCACGTCCCAATCTCCAGAATCCCAAACCGCCCGGCCCTCCATTGCGCAATCATCGTACATTCGAGCCTCCCAGTCCCATACTCGACCGCATCGCGCCCGTCGAGGAGCCCTCGCCCCGGTCGTCCGCGTCAAACCGCCTTCCACCTTCAAAACCTCCACCACCTCCAAACAACCCTCCGCCACTTCTCCTGCCTCCATACGCGCTGCTTCTTGACGGAGCGCCGAATAGCCCAGCAGGTCTCGGCACCTGCACACGCTCCCGCTCCCAGTCCCACTCTCTCGCCCGCTGCTCCTGACCCCTTCGGTTCCACAGCTGCGACGCCAGACCGCCAACGGCGGCGCCCGTGAGGAAGGAGCCCCAGCCTGGGGCACCGGCTGCTTGTTGTGGGATGCCTGAGGAGGTAGATGGGTACTTGGAATACGGCGGTGGCGTGTCGAAGCGGTTTGGGTCGGGGGTGTCGTCGAAGTGGGGGAACCAGCCGCCGGGGCCGCCCGCGCCACCTGGACCACCGCCAGGCCGTTGTGCGCCTGCGCCGGCTTGCCGACCGCGGAGGCAGGAGGATATGATGCCGTACAGAATCCATACGAGGAGGCCGAGCCAGACTATGTTAAAGAGAATGGTGAGGACGTCGGTGGCTGTAAGGTCGGAAGGTCAATGAAGAGAAGAACAAGAAAGGGTATAGATGGATGTACGCACACTCGCTGAACGTATTCCAAGAGTCTGCCCAGCCTTCATCCTCATTCCTCAATGCACCTGGCACTTGCACCAGCTTGTACTGCAATCCGCAGGATCCTTTGAGGACGTACGGATCGCCTGGTCGCGAATAGCCCTGAGAATACACTCGATCAGCACTCGTAGAGTAGACGCTGCCTTTTAGAGCGTACCTCGCACGACACCTCTACCCTCCCAAACCTCAAAGCCTCTGGCAGATCCGCCTTGCACTGCAGCATAGTCGATCAGTCTCTACCCAGTCCCCCATGCTCCACGCCGCACCTTCCACTCCACCTCCGTCCCCGTACCCCCAGTATTAGTACATCTAACGACCTCCGGCTGGTAGATCTTGCACGGCTTCCCGATGCACGTCAGCTGCGGGATGGGGTCAGAGCGCCGCGCGACGGTGTCTTCGCCCGCGTAGAACGTGAGCGCCGGGATCTTTTCGAGGAGGATGCGATCTCGAGCCATCGTCGATGGAATTCGTGGTTAATCAGATTGTTGCTTAAGAAGAAGGTGAGGGTCGAAGGCAAGTACTGGTTAAGAACAAAGGTAACATTCGAGGTCAACGTGGAAGGACGTGGAGAATAAGCGCCCGTGCGTCATCGACGCCCCCGGCGGGTTCGGTCCGGCAGACCGATTCAAGACGTCACGGTTCATGCTGTGACAACGTCACACATCCGCTACTCTCGCGGGCTCCCTGACAGGGAATCCGTCAGCCTTGCAATAAGACCTAATGTAGAAGTAACAGCTTCTGAGATGCATACTTATAAGAGCGCCGATGATCCGAAACGAAGTTCAGCGACACAATTGGCGGTCAGCCGAGCTGAGTAGTCAAGGGTATAGTCCCCCGCTCACTCAAAGTATACAGCGGCGGCGCTTGACTTCTTTCATCTATACCCCAAGCTCGCTTGTTGCTCTCAATGTAAGCAGGTACTCACCATGCCGGCGGGAAGGGCTAGAGGAGCATCCTCGGCCGTTCTCTGGAACGTGTCTTCTTACCCGAGTCTCTTTCCCCACCCCCATTGCCTCCTCATGCTTGCGTCGAGTCGCATTCAATCAACCTCAGGGTGGGACCGGGGGCTGAGCAGATGGAGGTAGAGGAGTGCTTCCACCAATTGACCGCAAGCGAGTTGGCGCGCCGGAGCTGCGGCCCGACGCGCGCTTGTTGTACTCCGATCAGCATGTGATTGGCCGTTTTGTGCTTGCTCGCGACTTCCACCTCCCCGCGCGCGGTGCTGAGCTTCGTGGTGCTCTCCTCGACGTGAATTTGACTGTACGCCCACTCTGCGCCTTCCACTCAGCCACCTCCATCGCAACTATGTTCACCCACATGTCCTCCGCCTCTACCCCGGGCGTAGCGAGAAGACAGTACGGCTGGACCTCTTCGTCGAGCTGGTCGCAGCATACTTTGCGGCAGTTGCGCTTTATCTTGCCGGGGGGAGCGGCGGCATACTGGTTAGACCTGGGAGAGATGCTCAGGAGAGTACTACTGGAGAGTGTAGAGGGATGGGGGAGGACAACCGCACTGGCAGGCGTCGGGCTCGGGCTCGTGACGGTCGTGCTGTTTTTGTACGTCCTCATCGCGCCGTGGATGACGGGGTCCGAGATGAACGTACGTGGCTCGCTGGCGCTCGATACGCCGAGCGCTGACGGTCTTGCAGTACGCTTCGTGGCAGCAGGATGGGACGCTGTCCACGGTTATACCAGTGCGTTTCTCCTCTCCTATATCTCTTTCCAGCCTGACCACTGGGTGCAGCTCCTGACAGTGTCGATTGCTTTTGGATGGTCAACACTCGCCGCAACGTTTTGCGTCTGGTCAGATCTGGGGTACACGAAGGGCATCATAGGTGGTACGTACTTCCGTTCTTCCGACGCACTCACGAGTATTTTCCCTACGTTACTTGCATTCCCCTGTCCCTCAGCCTCCTCAATCACTGTATCTGACGCACCCCCAGCAACAGCAGCGTACATGCTGCTCTTCGGCCTACTAGGTCTCCTGCCATCCATGAAGGCGAGCAGGTTCCGGCATGACTAGTAGCTGACACGGCTTCACGTCGCCCCGACCTTCGCGATGCCCGCCGCAGGTGCTTGGCGTTACGACATTGCATCCCCTCGATGTCCTCCGAGCTGCATGACGCACTCATGACCGGGGGAAGATGGGCAGCGGCGGGAGCGTGGAAGGAAGGGAAGAGAGGACCGAGACCTGATGAAGACGGACTTAGGGGAGTCACGAGGCATAGACAACGCAGTCATATTCCGGCCATCTTCACTTGCAACTATCTTCTGTATATGTACAATGGTAGAGCGCGCACAGACACTTCTAAGACCAACAGGAGCTTTCAAGTTCACTCGGCTAAGTCCGCGGAAAGGCGCACACATGGATCCATACATCAGCTCTGCATCAGCTTGTCATCGGCCTTCATGTGCGGGGGCGTGGTGGCTTGCGCGTCTTCTCTTCTCCCCCTCATCTCCCGCAATAATCCTAGATGCTCTCGGGCTCGTACATGATGAACAACCCATACGCCCCCGACCCAATAAACTCAGCACAGAATCGATACCCCGATATGTCTTCCCCCCCGCCGATCAACACCCAGTATGGCGGCTGGGGCGCACCAGGCGGCATGCAGCCTCAGCAGCAGTTCCAGCCGCAACAGTTCCAGAGTCCACCTCCCCAGCAGTTCCAGAGCCCGCCACCTATGATGCAGCAGCCGTCGTACGGCATGGGCTACAACCCGACCGGGATGCAGAGCCCCGTCGGGTACGGCCAGAGCCCCACGGGCTTCCAGCCCCAGAGCGGCTTCGGGCAGCAGCTCAGCGCCGCGATGAGCGGGAGCAGCTACAACTACCTCGCTGGGCAGCCACAGCAGCAGCAACAGCAGATCAGCCCCGCCCAGCAGCAGCTCCAGTCCCCCGGCTACGTCGCGCAGTTCGATCCCTATGCCTCGCTCGGCGCGCTCGATCCCGGGCCCTCCCAGCAACAACAACAGCAGCAGCAATACCAGCAGCAGCAGACGCAGAACGCCACGGGCCTCGTCACCACCGGCGCGTCATCCACCTCGCCGAAGGGCGAGCCGCACCCGCGCTCCTTCATCCGCGCGAACCGGGACGCGATCGCGCGATGGGACGGGGGAACGTGGCTGCAGCTGTTCTCGACGTTCGACGCGCTGCAGGACGCGTGGAGGGCGCGGAAGCGGGATATCGACGGCACGCTGGCGCAGATTGCACAGCAGACGCAGGTGCAGGGGTATTATTACGCGCAACAGGCGCAGCCGGAGATTGCGAGGCTGCAAGGGGTGCGTGAACCGTCTCGAGATCCCGAGCTTGGCTAATCACGCGTGCACTACTAGTTGGCAAGGGATTCCGAGTCTCAAGCCGGTATGTAGTTACAGCTCCCTTGCCTATCACGAGTCTGACGGATTCCTATCTAGACGGAATCGCCGCGGGTCTCTTTCAGATTAAGGAGGCTTTCGCAGGTTATAGGCAATCCGGTGATCAGGCCAGCAAGCTACGCGTACGCGAGGCCGCGAACGCGGCGCTCAACAGCCTCCCCGACTGGCCTCCCCTCACGTATTGAGGCGTCTTCATCCCTTGAGAGACGGACTTGTGTGGCGTTCATTTGGGACTTCAAGGGTTTTCACCGGTACCATCCAATGCGTGCTCTGTATCATACGCTATAACCTACTTGCTGTACTGACTCGTCCTTCCCCGCATTATCGCCGCATAATCAGGCTCATCAGCATGCTGTTCATCGGACTCAAACCCTCCCCGTGTTCCTATGCAAGACCCTGGCCATTCACTCTCATCACATTGTCAAGCGTCAAGCAGCCCTCGGGAATCCCCATCGTTACCCTGCTCTCAACCGTATTGCTCCCGCTAACGTGTCATCAGCGGACTCACCGTCCCAGCGTCCGAGTTACAGTCGGACTTTCACCCGCTCCGTTTGTTTGCACGCTCCCCGCGGCATACGCTATTGTCCACCTGCTATTGTTCTCCGTTCGGCATTTGCCGGCTCACCTCCGAGCGTTGCCTGGTTCCTCCCGTCATATGCCTGGAGCACACTTGTTCAAGCCGGTGCGTCGCCTGATACTCACGCTGGACAATAGGGCCTTCGTATTCGTTGTACGTGTGCGGCACACGAGTATGCAACCGGCGTGACTGGGTATGGGGACCATTCGCAGGATGTGAAAGGTGCGCGCGACGCGTCGCTAACGGTAATGGGCGCGATCCGGTGGATGGCCGGGCCCGCCTGACAATAAGACGAGGGTGAGAAGCTCTTGTTGCGCGGTACATAAGGGTGAGGGGCGGTGCGTCGACCCGTCCATGTCGGTGGACGAGCAGTAGGTGTTGTGTTATACTTGGAGCGGGACTATACCGTTCTGGCGCGGCTAAGCGCCGTCCATTTTCTTTCCTCTTCTTATTTCTGTTCTTTCCTCATCTTCTGTTGCGTGCCCTCTGCGTTTTGCTTCTCTTCTCAGCTTTCCCCCTAATTCTTCCTCCCATTTTCTACTCGACTGACGCTTCGTAATGACCTCCCGACACCCATCGAATTACGACACAGAGCTGCCGCCCTACTCGCGCAGGCGCCCGAGGACGGCAGTCCCTTCTACATCTCATCATCAGTCGCACACTCGCGGACTGTCCGACCCACGTCTGCCCACATCTAATGGACGTCTACCTACATCCGCTGGGCGTCTGGCTACATCTTCTGGACGCGCATCCACTGAACACACGTTTGCCCTCGACGACGGTTCGGCCGTCCTACGGCTATGGAGCAGTGCCAGGTCGACGCGGTCACATCCGACCTTTCACGAAAAGGACAACATCGTGGGCGCCCTTGAAGTGCGCGCGGGAAGGTTGGACGGCGTGCATGAGATTATAGCGACAGTGCGTATACCTTGTTTACTGCCGTCGACATGCCATACCTCGGTACCCAACCTCGTCAATCAAGCTATCGATCCGTGGGGCAAACTGACCGACTTCTCGCAGGTAACAGGCCGCGTCATCTCAGGCTCCCGACCAGAGGATGCCTTCACCTTCCTGGACGAGCGTCAGTCCTTGTACTCTCGCCCACCGGGCCCTTCGCGCCGCATGTCAGTCGCGAACATCGTGCGTCCTTCCACGTCGGGTGCAGGGCGCAGTGGGCGTAGTCTGCGGCCTTTGACGTCGGCAGGTGCTGGCCCATCAGTGGCGAGCATGGCTGAGTCGGAAATGACCACTCTTCTCAATCAGCCCACTGGCAATGTCCGCACATTCCCGATCGACATCTCGCTACCCCGTGAAGTCGTCGTCGGTGGTCAGCACGTGAAGCTACCAGAGACCTTCGTGGAGAAGCGCACACCTGTCAGTGTGCAGTACGAACTCACGATCACGCTCTCGCGCGGAGCGTTGCGTTCGGTGCAGCAGTGAGTCATCTTAGACTACGATTCTATCCCTCAGAGACTTGATTTTCGACATCGCAGAATCCGCACATCCATCGTCTACGTCCCCATTACTCGCCCAGGCCCACCTTCCCTCGTACGCGAGCTAGCAGAGGAGCAGGGGCTCCTCGTGCCGGGACCAGCGGACGACCCTGGCGGTTGGATCTCCTGTGCACCGACGATCGTGAAGGGCAAGGTGTTCAAGTCACGGAAGGTGCAAATCCAGTGTACAGTGAGCTCGCCCCATACGCCTCTTGTCGTCAACTACTGATGTGAGCCACATCTCAGCTATCTCTCGCGAAGCCAGTAAGCGTCCCGTTCCAGCATGTCCCACCGGTGCTGACGTTCGTTCTTCCAGCTCGCCTACACGCGTGGCAGCGCTCTGCCTGTGGCCGTAGAATTTCGGTCGGGCGATGCGCAAGCCCTGGACCTACTTGCCGCGCCTGGTGCCATACCCCTACGGCTTCGTCGCCACGTCCGCTACTGGGCGCCCCCTGCCTCACGTCCGAGGGAGGTCGCGTGGAGCGAGGTAGTGGATGATCTCGCGACGGCAACGTGGTGGCATGAGGTTGGACCTGCGCCCTCTGGTACGCGAAGACTTGCTGGAGAGATCCTGCTGCCTCGCGATCTTGCACCGACAGGCGGCGTACATACCTTCAGCGTCAAGGTGGATATCCCTTCCACCGAAATGGATATCTGGTGCTCATCCTCACTCAGTACTCCGTCGTCCTACTCCCTTTCGAGGCCACGGGCTTCGTCGCAAAGCGTCCCGATACCATCGCAGTCTCTGAGACCGTAGAAATGTGCGCCTTGCTTCTTCTACGTCTCTAATCGTAGGCTCACCGTGGTCTCGCTGACTCCCAGAACGACCAAGCACCCGCGCGGGCACGGGGCACGTCAGCAGCAGCAACCGCCCGCTTACGAATGAACGATTCGCCGCTCCGGTAGCGGTTGTTACGATCTGGACGCCGCTGGTACGGTTATGCATGCTTCGTTTCGTTCTGTTTGTTTTGTTCTGTTCTATCCTGTTCTCAGTGTAATAGTAGGGTCCCCTGTATCATTAGATGGTGACTTCTTGGATGTCATGCTGCTCAAGTGAACGAGCACAACGCCATCCGGGTCAAAGCTCTGCAAGTCGCCGTACACGCTTCCGTCAAGCCCGAGGATTTCATGCAAAGTCCTGTGCCCATCGAGTACAAATACATATGTCGAACCTCCGGACCTATATGACTTACATTTGAGTGGTCAACCCAAGTTACAGCTTCGCCGTAGCCTCATCCGCCACCTTCACCACCCTGAAAACGAGGTCAGCTCGACGTCCTAATTCATGCCACGAAGCCTCGCGCAGGATTCGCAAGATATGAGTAGAGATCCAACAACGACTCACAACTTCCCCGTATTCCCCCCACTAAACAGCATCGTCACCGCCTCCGGGCACTTCTCCAGCCCCTCCACAACGTGGAACTTGCGCTTGATCTTCCCCGACGCGAGCCCCTCGGCGAGCTCCGCGCGCGCGGCGGCGAACTGCTTGGCGTAGTCGAAAACGATGAAGCCCTCGAGCTTCGCGCGCATGGCGATGAGGGTGAGGTAGTTTTGGAGCGGGCGGGGTTTGTCGTCTGGGGAGGGTGAGCTCACTTATTTCGAGGCTGGCATGGGATGGGATAACTCACTATAGCCAGAGATCGCGCCACAGAAGGCAATTCGTGCGTGCAGGTTCAGCTGCAGGAGGACCATGTCGAGGATCTCGCCTGTGCATCAAGATGAGCTTCAGACCTTTCCAAGGAGAGAACAAAGCACTCACCTCCAACATTGTCAAAGTACACATCAATGTACCCGATACTTCTCAACTGCTCCTTGAAGTTTGCCGCCTTGTAGTTGATCGCCTTCTTCACCCCCAACTCGCCCTCCAACCACTTGCACTTGTCGTCCGCGCCAGCAATGGCGTACACCTCCGCGCCCATGCTCGTGCCGAGCTGGCATACGAGCGAGCCGACGGCACCTGCGGCGCCCGAGACGAGGAGCTTCTCGCCAGCCTTGAGTTTGCCGACGTCTTTGAGGCCCTAGGAGTGAGTGGATGAGTATCCATGTTCGGGGGGAGGTACGTTGAAAGCGAGGATGCCAGTACAGTAGAACTGCAGCAATAGAGGGAGGAAGGCGATGCCAACACGGCGCGGGCCGCTATCACTAGCAGCGAGATTCCTATCCATGGTTTTGCTCTGCCACGTCTCCCACGATACTCACAAAGTACGCGGTCATCCCAGGCATGCCGAGCGTGTTGAGGTAGTCGAGGACCTGCGCGCCCTTGGGGAGCTCGATCTTGGTGCATGTGTCCGCCTTCAAGATGGCGTACTCGGTCCAGCCTGCTAGGTGTCAGCTTCAGGTGAAGAAGGAGGGCTCAGAGGTGGGCGCAAGTGGAAGGGAAGGGAGAGAACGAAAAGAAAGCGCAACGCACCTGGCGAGCACTGAACGGCGTCACCGACCGCGAGCTTGACACCCTCGCCTGCCTTGACAATGACACCGAGGCCTCCGGAGCGCATAGTCTATGATTGACACGAAGTTATGTGATCATGAGAGGAAGGTAGGAGGAGGTGAAGCGGGATTGAATAAAGCGGAAGGATACATCAGCGTCCACTTGAACACGAAGGAATGTCCACTGCGTACCTCGCCAATTTGGACAGGGGGCAGATAGCTGCGCGTATTGTTGAGCCAGCCGCGCATAGCGGGGTCAAGCGAGAGCCAAGTGACCTATACGAGGGAGTCTCAGCACGCGGACTCATCTCGCCCTCCGTCCCTCCCATCATGGGCGCCCTAGAGCAATCATAGAGTGCTTGTTCTCTTCGTCCCCCCACTTGCCTGCCTCCCCTCGTGGCTCTCTCTCCAGCATACAAGAGCACAAACACTCACCTTCACCAGAACCTCCCCCTTCCCTGGCTCGCCCACAGTCCGCGTCTCCTGCCTGAACGTCCGCTGCGGGTCGATGTCCTTCGCCGGTCGCTCGTTGAGCACGATGGTCTTGCTGGTGGGCATGGTGAAGGTTTACTGGTAGATGATGGAGGTGCGAAGCAAGTCAAAAGCGCGGCGATGCGGGGCAGTGGGTAACCGGTATGCGCGTGCGAGGGACCTGGTGATCGAGAAGGATCGTCGTTCGTTCGTCTTCTGCTTCGTCCAGTCGTCGTCCGTGTTGGAGGCAGGTCGTCCTGGCCGTCATTCGCTGCCCTTATACCCCTCGCCGCGGGTACTGCCATCGTCAGCGACCGGAGGTACCGACACCGTTCCCCACACGCATGCTTGGGAAGACGCGTCGGGAGAGCGCTTGCCGGATGCGGGCCGGTTATGATGGGTACCCGGTCGCCGGTGCCATTGTTCTCCAGAACAATGGACGCGTCGCATCGACACTGACAGAGGACCCATCTGTACAAACTCCACGACAACAATATATCGCGCTTCATTCATGGTAACTATTCCCCAGACATACACAGAAATAATAGCCCGTGAAAGCTGCGGCGTCGACGTTAGTAAACCCTAGAGTTTTGGCCTCTCCAGGACATTGACGCACCCTTCATTCCCGCAGACTCTTTTACGTCCGGTGCTCAGTCCTCCCGCTTAAAGCAATTCGCCTTTTTGCACCCGTTCGCGTCGGCAGTGTCACGCTGGACCGCGACCTTGTACCAAAGTCAGTGACCATTCGACCGGCCTCAATCGCGATAGCGTAACGGTACGACTACTCCCGATGAGCAATAGAGCAGACCGCAACATCCTATTCCACAACTCTGTGAGCACTCACTTCCGCAGGACCACGACTTCCAGGAGCGTCTGCGACAGGCGCGCCCATGGTTGCCCACGCGAAGATGAGGGGTAGAGCAAGGGTGTAGATGGCGAAGCGCATGTCGAGGATGGGTTGGTTGGTGCTTAGAAGTCTTGAGGGCTGAAGGATACCGAGTCTGTACCATCGTCTGGCCTTATATACCCCGTCCTCCTGCTGGGCGCAAGTCAGCAGCTGAAACGCATCTCGATGTCAGCGCTCTTAAAGATTGTATCTTGCTTCGGCGCTGAGAGGAAACGGGCGGTTACAGGCCGGACATTACCCAGAAACCGCTCATGCATCTCCCGGTTTCGTCTCGATGTTGCGCGCCCGTCAACTTCACTCCACCCTTTCGTGCCCTTCTGAAATTGACTGTGATTTTCCCAGAAATATATCTTGGCTGCAACAGAAATGCTGTTACCGCTCAGGAGGAAGACACTTCGAATTCATAGCCCTCCCAGTCGTGATGGTACTGATTTATACGGACTGAAGCAAATTTTTGGGCGAGAGTTAAAGGTGAGTTATGTGCCGTTATGGATTATCGTATATGATACACTTGCGATCAAAATGATTGCAAGATCGGCGGTCCAAATATGGAAACTCGGACCGCTCTCCGAAGGCAGGCGCGCGCACCGCGCTGAATCCACGCGTTCCTTGCTTTCTCCCCCCATCATCGATGCCGCGCACTCGAGTACCATGCACCCCCACCAAACGATCCCTCATTGTCCACATCCGTGACCGTGATCTCCTCCCAAACGGCAGGCCGAAGCCATGGGATGCAATCGGACAGGAAGTCGGAGTCGACGCGTCGACTGCTTATCGTAATTACGCAAAAATGAAGATACTGAGGAACCCATACTTCAACAACCTCAAGGGGAGGGTCGGAAGGAAGCGCCGATGGACTGGAGAAGAGGCAAAGACCATGCAGGCCACCATCGAGCAGGTCCTCGATAGCGGAGAGGCCAAAGACGGCGCAGACGTCCAGCGGCTCGTCTGCCCTGATGTCCCGAAGAGCACCGTGCGTCGTTATCTGAGGGAGATGGGTCTGCGGGGCTACGAACGGTGGAAAAAGCCAGCGCTGAGCCCCGTTCATGTTATGAAGAGACTGGCCTTCGAATACTACATGCGTAACAACGTCCCCAACCCTCGTATCATCATCTTCAGCGACGAGAAGCGCTTCGAAAACCAGCCAGACGGTCCCTGGCGCTATTGCAGGAGGCGGAGGGGTGAAGCGCTGCTGCCACGCAACGTGAAGATGCGGCGAAGGCATCTAGGAGGGATCATGGTGTGGGGGTGCTTGACATCGAAGGGTCCTGGCCGTCTAATTCGGGTGCGTGGCAACTTGATTTTCCCTGAATCTGCTAATACTCGTGCAGATCGACAACATCATGAACAGCGAGCGCTACATCCGAATCCTCGAGGACGGATTTCTCGGCACTCTCGCCGACTATGGCCTCGATCGTGCATCGGTCATTTTCCAACAGGACAACGACTCCAAACACACGTCGCACGTCGTGCAGGATTGGCTGCACGATGAGCACATCATTGTCCTCCCCTGGCCCCCCAACTCACCCGATCTGAGCATCATCGAGAATCTGTGGGATTGGATCGATAAGGCGGTCCGGTCTCGTACCCCTGTCCCATACACCAAGGACGAGTGGTGGAAGGCCGTGCAGGAGGAGTGGAAAAGGATACCCCAGCACTATATAGACAGCTTGTACGACTCGATTCCGCGGCGGCTCGCAGCTGTTTGCGAGGCTCAAGGTTACTATACTAAATATTAGGTTATTCCTAGGAGATTTCGGACTCTATCTATTCTCATCATATGCTAGCTTCATAGATGTCGCATATACATTATAGTGCAGCAGTGACCACCCCTGCATGGAATGCAGAGCATTAGTATTCACGACGCGCTGAGGCAGTTTCCATATTTGGAAGGCCGCCGATCTTGCAATCATTTTGATCGCAAGTGTATGACTGCCTACTTCACGCAGGAGAAGCGCAGCTGCGAAGGAGCACCTTGAGCCAATTCAAGCGTCGACGTTGTGGGTCCAGAATGTGATGTGATGGCCTCGAAATTGTGACAACATCACATCGGACCGGCAAGTCGATTCACACACGTGACTCACTCTTGGCGAACCGCTGGCGAACTCTGAGGCAAACCGACAACGTTGGCGAAGACAATCGCTCTGTACTCTACATCCACGGAATTACCAGGTATACATCATATATGAAGGTACTGTAAGTCAAACGTCGTTAGTGAAGCTACGAAATCTATGTATATGGGTAAGTAGTCGATTAGAAAGTACGGCTCTGCTCGATGTCGGCCGCGGTGATGTTGCTCTCCTGGCAGAGGCTGCGGAATAGGCTGCCAGGGTTGTTGAAGAGGTTGATGGGCGTGTCAAATTCCTGCGGACGAGATCAGCATGAATGTGCAGTGTGTTGGGGGAGGAACGCACCTTGATATTGCCCGAGTCCATAACAAGGATGCGGTCGTAGGAGATGATGGTGCGCAGGCGATCTTGGAGAGCGTCAGCGAGTATTCGCGTCTGATATAGAGATAAGACGTACGAGCTATGCACAACAACGTCCGGTCAGCGAACTGCGTCTGGATGGTCTTCTGGATCTTGGCGTCCGTAACGAAGTCCACCGAAGCCCTATGAAAAGGCTTGAGCATCGTGCAACAGAGAACAAAGAAATCACGTACGTCGCCTCGTCCATGATGACCACTCGACTATCCTTCACCAGCGCGCGTGCCAAGCTGAGCAATGACCGCTGCCCCACGCTCAGGTTCGCGCCATTGGGCTCAATGAACGTGTCCAGTGTAATCCGGTTCTCGTTGTGGTGCTCGCCGTCTTCCTTCTCCTGAAGCGTCGCGCTATCCGGCGTGGCGTCCTCGGGCCTGACGAGGTGAGAGCGACGCAGGGCGTCCCAAAGGCGAGCGTCATCGAACTGGTTGAAGGGGTCGAGAGCGGTGCGGACGGTACCGCTGAAGAGGATGGGCTGGGCACTTCGTTAGCCGATGAACATGGTTTCGGTAATGCTCACGCACATCCTGCGGAATAATCGCCATCCTCGAGCGCAAGTCGCGCAGCCCGAGCGTCGAGATATCGATTCCATCCACAATCACCGAGCCCGTATACTCCACGATGCGCAACAAGCACAACGACAGAGATGTCTTCCCGCTCCCCGTGCGCCCGACGATACCAATCTTCTCCCCTCCGCGGATGCTCGCATTCAAGCCGTGCAGGACGTTCGGAAGGCCCGGGCGGTACGCCATCTTCAGGTCCTTGAGCTCGATGGCGCCGGAGTGCGGCCAGTGCTCGGGCGGCTTGACGTCGGACTTGACGTGAGGCGGCTCCTTGTCGAGGGCGCCGTCGCGACTGTAGGCGGAGACACGCTCGACGGAGTTCATGTAGTTCTGTGTCGACGAGATCAGGAACCGAAACCATGGGTGAGCGCACCAAGCTTACCTCGAGCTCGGCAGATTGCCTCGTGAACATGCTGCTTAGCTGCGTGAGCATGCCTTGAATGTTCGTTAGACTCTACATGCCGACGAAGCAGAGAAATATCACGTACTTCCATAAGTCAGGATCAGACCGATCTGCGCTGGGTTAATTCCACGGACGCCTACGACCGCAAGGATGGCAATCTATTCCGAAGTGGTCAATCTCCGTTCATGCAACAAGTCCAGAACAATTGACTCACAAAGAAGACCAAGATCGCCCCTAGTGCATCCAGCCGAATCGCCAGCCACCGCTGGTTCGTGACAGTAAGCAAGAGCGCGCGATCTTCCAAGTCGATGTAGAGCTTGTTCTCCTCGATGAAGCGCTCGACTTGCCCGAAACTGCGGATAGTCGGGAGGCCAGTGAGCGACTCGGAGAAGTGCGCGTAGAGCATGGAGCGAAGCATCTATGTCGATGTGAGCATGCGTGAACTTGGGCTGGGGCTTCGGAAAAACGTACTGCATCAAGACGCTTCATTTCCAAGGCGCTGGCGCGGTAGAATGCAGCGAAGTACTGGTACCCGCAGAATATGACGAACGCGGCGGGGAGGAAGTAGGGCTGGACGACGGAGACGATGACAATGGCGCCGAGTAAGCTGGACATGGCAAGGGCGACTGCAACCTCCGTTAGTTTCCTACACAACTGTAGCTGACGTGGCCCAAGACTTACACATGCGAGCGGATTCTGTACAAAATGCGTCAGCGAGGACAATAAAGTGGACAGCTGGAATACACACGAGGAAGCTGGTCATCAACAATGTCGATATCCTTCCCGAAGACACCCAAGATGCGGCCTAACGGAGTCGTGTCGAAGCAGGACATCTTCGCGTAGAAGATATTGTTGATGGATGCATGATGCAGGTTCTTCGACGCCCATGCAGCCATGAGATCCATCGACATACCCCTATTGGAAGCTCAGCACGATTCAGGAAAGCCAATGACAATACGCCTCACAGGAGGAGCGTGAACAGCGCCTGACCGATGCCGAGGACAGCATAAAGCATCTGATAGAAACCGAACGACCGATGGAAGGAGCTGCGAAGAGTCAAAAAGAATATCGTGGAATGTGCCGAAGACACTCACTCGGCCTGCCACCAGACCAAGGTGTAGTTGTTCATGACTTGGAAGCCTTGCATCAGGGCCATGGTGATGAAGATCAGAGGTACAGTAACCCAGCCCTTTCCGGCTTTCAGGTACTCCTTGTAAACTGAAATATATCATCAGCGCCTGTCGATGACTTGATGAGCGACAACACCCACCTTGTGTGGATACAGAGCCAGTCGCACGCTTCTCCTTGATGATGAGCTGAACCAACAGGTAAGCATAGAGCAGACCTGTCAAAAACAAATGACTAACCTTGCCCTGCATCTTTCCCGTACCCTTGCCCGCCTTCGAGATCTTCGCCCGCACCTCCTCGGCCGAAATAGCCTGCCTCTTCTCACGGTCCTGACTATCCGACATCCCCTGCGACTGCTCGCCGCCAAACTCGGTCACCAGGCGCGCAAAGTCGCCGTCCTTGGCCAGCAACTCGTCGTAAGTGCCCGCCTCGCTGATGCGGCCGTTGGTAATCGTGTAGATGAAGTCGCAGTGCGAGAGGAAGTGCAGCGCGTGAGTGACGAGGATGACGGTCTTGCCCTTAGCCTTGAGCTTCATAATAGCGCCGTGGAACAGCGCGCGGCCGACGTGGGCGTCGACGGCGGAGAGCGGGTCGTCGAGAAGGATGATGTCGGCGTCACTGTAAAGAGCTCGGGCGATGTTGATCTGTATACGTATCAGTTACTGCTGGCAGCAGGAGCGGAAACAACACACCCGTTGCTTCTGACCGCCGGAAAGGTTGATACCGGCCTCGCCGATCTGCTCATGGTTAGTGGGAACCATAACGCATATGCGAGGCGCGTACCTCAGTGAGGTCACCATCAGCGAGGACTTCCAGATCCGGAATTAGGCATGCATCGTTCAGCACCTCCCAGTACCGATCCTCGTCGTACTCCTTGCCGAAAAGTATGTTATCCCTCTGGGCAACAATGTCAGCATCCTATTCCCATGGATCACAGTCCACATTCACTCACCAGCGTCGCATTCTGCACCCACGCAATTTGCGGGCAGTACGCCAGCCCCGAGCGGAAGTTCACCTCGCCCGAGACCTTCTTCATCTCCCCAATGAGACCCTGCAGCAAACTCGACTTCCCCGAGCCCACGCTCCCCACAACCGCGACAACATCGCCGGGCGCGATCTGCATGTTCACGTCCTCGACGCGGAAAACGCGCAGCGGGACGCCGGCGGGCTGCTCCTGTTCGGCCTGAGCTTGTGCTTGGGCATCGGCTTGCTTCTCGGTGGTGTGCTCCTCCGCAGCGAGGGCCTTCTTCTCCTTCTCCGCGTCCTTCCTCTCCTTCTCGTCCTTCTTCGCCTCCTTCTTGCTCTTGTCCGGCTTTCCCGACGCCAGGGACTTCTCCCACTCGAAGGTCGCGTTGCGCACGTCGACGGCGAGCTTCAACTCGGGATCGATGACGAAGGGCCGCGCGGGCATCGTCTCAGCGTGGAAGAGCTTCTTAAGGCGGACCAGCGCGTTGCGCGCATCCGCAGTGGCGGAGATGGAGCGCGGCAAGAAGAGCATCGGTTGGCGGAGGGCCTGCAATACGAAGTTAGCAACAGATCCCGGGTGATATACGAGGTCAGGAAGACAGCCAGCATCACGACTTACATTGAACAAACTGAGGGACGCGAAGATTACACCGGTATCGAAACCGTCGTGCGTGCTTGTGTACGTGACGAAGGCGACCGTCGCTGCAAGCACGGGGATGGACCATGCAAAGGCGAAGCTGAAGATTGGTCAGCAACAGGATGCTTGCCGTCAGCATCACAATAGAACGCACTTCGCTGACCGCAAATTCTGAATCCGGCGGATGCCCTTGATTTCCTGGTTGCGAATCTTCGCGATGCCTACGCCATCGTCAGCCCTCACACTTAAGAAAAAATATGAATCCCACTCACGACTCAAGAACGGCACCTCATAGCAAAAGTACTTCACGATCCGCATCGAGCCTAACAATAATTCAGCTTATGTTGCGCGCTTACGCCCGTCAAATGACTACTCACTCAGCACCTCGAGGATGACCTTCGCTCGCTGCTCCGTGAACTTCACCGAGGCCTTGCGCATCTTGATCTGGAAATGCATGGTGCGCTCCTGGATGGGCATCATGAAGAAGAACAACACGAAGCCGACGAGCGCGCTCGGACCGAGCTGCACGAGCAGGATGATCAGGCAGACGATGACCTGGATCGGGGCGGTCCATGCTAGCGAGGGGGTCAGTCAAGTATTTCGCCGGAGCCAGGAGGGAATTCGCAGGTGCATACCAGCGTGCTGTGAGGGCGAGTTAGTAAGCAATGAAGACTGGGAGAAGAAGGGGGGCACTCACAAACCACTGCGCCGCCTGGTCTACGCGACTGACGTCCGTCGAAATGTGGTTAACGAGGTTGGAATTCGGAATCTCGACTCGGGCCTTGCCAGACAGCAAAACACCTCGCTTGTAGATCGAGTTGATGAGAGTGGCCCTCGACAGCGCACCACTATGCATCGAGCGCCAGAAGAACTGTACCAGGCGTCAGCATCCTTGCTTCCTCCCCAATCATCCACCTCGCCTCCCACTCACCTGATGCGTGCACAAACTCTGCAAAATAATGCAGCACAACAGCCCAATCGCCATCCCCACCCCGTTCCCAATCCCCGGCTCCGGCTGCCCCGCCGCCTTCGCCGCCTCCTTACCCCTCGAGAAATTGATGATCGCCTTCACAATAAGCGGAATCATCAGCTGCGCCGTGTCGCCAACCACTTTGAAGATCCCTCCCATCCAGAACTCGCGCCCCAGGGCATCGTTGAGCGCCCACGCGAGGCTCGCTTCCTTCTTTCCTGTCGTGGTTCGCCACTCGTCTTCGAACGCGGCGCGCCGGGAGGCGAAGTGGGAGGGGGTGGAGAGGGAGCGGAGGGTCCAGGTGAGGCGTTGGCGGAGGGTGGGGGAAATCTCGCCGGCGGAGAGGCGTTTGTTGTAGTCGGCGGCTTCGAGGATGCGGCGGTCCCAGGAGGCGTCGAAGACGGCGGAGAGGTGGCCTGTGGGGTGATAAGAATGGGACTCAGGGTTGAGATGGATGACGGCGTACCGGACTCTCGTGAAGGGTCAACTTTCCATAGATCCGACGCTTGTAAAGTGCGCTGGTACCCCAGGACCTGAGCAGGGTGGTTGAATGAAGGATCCGAGTAGAGAAATCGAATGAGTCCATACCATGAGTGGGGTGATCCATTGGTACGTGAGCTGCGAGAGGAAGTTGGCATGCGCGAGAGGGATGATCTGTCGGTGAACGTCAGACTGCTGAGACGTACGAACCGATGGTTGGGCAACGCACCGGAGCATCGTCGATGTTCGCTGGAGGCGGGGGAGGTGCTTTGCCCGGGATCCTAACAATTGTGCATGTTCAACTCGTGTACTCCCCACACAACTTCCCCACGCACCAGAGTTGCCACCAATGCTTGCGGAGGTGCGTACGTTGCTCCCCCTCGTCGAGCTGCAGCTTCTCGCCCGGTCCCGCTGCTGCGATCCCTCTATTCGGCTTCGCTACATCCTTCGTGCTCTTCGCGTCCTTCATGGTCGGAGTCGTCGTCTGCTTCCCAGCATCGTTCGCCTTCTCGTCAACGCTGCTGGAGCGGGAGGGCTGTTTCCCAGACATAGTGAGGGGTGTAGTCGTGAGATCCTGCGTTCAGCCTTCGTGTCGTGTCGTCGCTTATAACAAGAGCATCTCTCAAGCCAGGCTACGTGATCGACGGAAAACTCGTCGTGAGTCCAAAAGGCAAGCCACACGGTAAACTACTCGCTATCGGAGTGACATGAGTGGGACGGGTGAAATGCCGCACGATCTGAATGAATGCGTGCCCACGCAGGACCGAGGTCTTCCCCCGCTATACTTAGCCTGCAGTACCGCGCGATGGTCGACCGGAGTTGTGCGCGTGTCGAGCTGGCATTGACTGCTCTATTCGGAGACACCTGGCCCTCCTCGAACCCCTGCGAGCGTGCTGGCGAAATGCGAGGGAATATATTGCGGGCGTCTATCAGGCGTCTATCATTGCATTGATCAGGCTCCGGTGACATCACGCGAGGTCTTTGGCGGGGAACTTGCGGGGAGGTAACCGCGTTCTCGTAAGCAGGAACGGCTTAACCGTGCGGCTCTCTGAGCGTCGTCGGACCACAGCCAGGCAGCTCGAAATCGGTAGATGAATCTCGGAGTCCTTCGATGAATGATCTTGGCAGGAGGGACGCAATGACGGAAGGAAAACCTTACAGACAACAAAGCCTTCCTAAAGGAGGTATCATGTCACGGCGTAGTCACACTCAGGTTGAACTTTGATTTCAATGTTGGCAAGTTGTGAGATAAGTCCTGCAGCAAGAGTTTACTCGGAATAAAAGCTGCCCTTCCAAAATTAAATCAGACAATCCTTGCTTTTTTCAGGCAACGGCCAAATACTTCTTGACGGTCGATGCAAGGAGTGACCGCGTTACATTGTCACTCACGCTCGGCTTTCTTCTTACCATGACCACGCCTTCTCCTCATCCTTCGTGAGACAACTCCTCGACGCTTTCTCTGTCTCTCCTGCATGTTGCTGTACCGGACTGGACTCAAGATCTACTGTGCTAGCTGTTTTGACCTCCTCGGGTAGCAATTAGCCGCCTACATAAGCAGCCGCTCTGACGCGTCAAGTCAACGAAGGTTCAGATTCAACGCCCAGTGATAGAGACCTCTGCTTCGTCTTACCAATCTCTGGACTTGCCTGTCGGACGCGTACTGGGCCCTCTCTGTCAGACGTATCTTGCATCTCGGACGCGTACTGGGTCTAGCTCTCGCTTCCGCTGTATAAAGGGGCGACGATCTGCACGAAGATGTCTCACAACACTTTGCGATACCTACCCATCCACTTCAGACCTGTACAGCACGCAGCCAAATAGCATGCCTACCCCCTCAGCTGCCCGCGCCTACAACGCCTCAGAGGCGCCCAAGATCGACAATCCCGTCGCGGTTTTCGTTGGCGGCACGAATGGTATAGGCCGCGCTATGGCCTCCGCCTTCGCTCACCACACCAACGGACGCGCGCGCATCGTCATCATCGGCAGAAGCCAAGAGGCCGCCGACTCCCTGCGCGCCTCCCTCCCCTCCCCCGCTCGCGAGCAGATGGAATTCATCCCCTGCGACATGCGCCTCATGCGCAACGTCGCCGCCGCAGTGCGCGAGATCGCCAGCCGCGGCATCACCAAGATCAATTACCTCGTCATGTCCTCGGGCGTCCTGCCCGCGGAGGGGCGGAAGGAGACGGACGAGGGCATCGACGCAAAGCTTGCGATCGTGTACTACGGGCGGTGGAAGTTCCTGTACGACCTGCAGCCGCAGCTCAAGGCGGCCCTCGCAGCCGGCGAGCCCGCAAAGGTCATCTCCGTGCAGGCCGCGGGCGGCGGCGCACCTATCGACGTCGACGACCTCGGGCTGAAGAAGAAGTACGGGCTGATTCACACCGCGCAGACGCACGCGACGTACAACGACCTGATGGTTGTCGTGAGTGCTCCCCCTCATCATCGGCCTGACCTCGGACGCTGACGGCATCCTTCCAGAAATTCGCGGAGCTCCATCCCGAGATGACCTTCGTGCACTCGTATCCGGGCGTTGTGCGCACAAGCATTTTGGCGAATGCACCGTCGCTCGCGCTGAAGGCGCTCTACTACGTGTTGTACCCGTTCATGACGCTCATCGGGCACTCGGCGGAGGACTGCGCGGAGCTGATGTGGTATGCGCTTTACCACAGCGGGCCAGGGGTCGAGAGAATTAACCCGGAGGGCGAGAGCATCGGGATGACGAATTACTTTGGGGACGAGGAGAGCAAGGAGCGCCTTTGGGAGCACACCCTGGAGGCGACGCGGTCGAAGTGAGGCGCAGAGCTGTACTGTTAATTTACGATAGCTGTGTATTAGGATACGCTTGGCAAGGACTCTGGATCTCTTTTTCTGCGAGTGAGACTCGTTCAAGACGTGTTTCCGGCGCGCCACCACCTTGCGCTCGCCTCGGACGACGGCGAGCACGCTGACGCGGCGTCGACGTCGACGTTGAGACCGCCAGGAACGTCGCGCGCCGCGGTTTCGAAATGGAAGGCCCACGTGTATTTTATCACGTGCGGTGATTGGTCCGTCGCAGGCAGCCGACCTTTTTCTTTCCCGACCTCCATCTTTCGCTGTGCGTCGCCGGCGCCAGCGCTCTCCCGGCTTTCTCTGACTTCCCGGCCTCGGCGCGGTGCTCGACAGCCATGACGACTCCACACGTTATCGCCTCCTCGTCCGGCCATCCCACACAGTCCTCCACGACCTCCAATGGCGTCGTCGGCAACCAGTACAGAGTCGGCAAGAAGATCGGCGAGGGCTCGTTTGGTGTCGTCTTTGAGGGTGGGTGGACGTGTGCTTGACGCGGGCGCGGTATGGGGCGGTCTGTGCGACAACAACAATGCAAGCGAGACGCCCGAGGGGTCGGACAGGTTCGATCCCCCGTACCGCTATACTGCCGCCGCCTCTTGTCTGCTTTATTGTCTTCAGAGTTCTTACGCGTCTCCAGGCGCCAAACTAGTCTCCAACACGCCGGTAGCCATCAAGTTTGTGCGTGACCTTCTTGTTAGTCGTGTAGGCGCCTCTAACCCTCCTCAAGGAACCCCGCAAGTCGGATGCCCCGCAACTTCGGGACGAATTCCGCTCGTACAGGACATTGCACGGCACTCGTGCGTAACCACATTCCCAACTCACTGACCGAAACTCACGCCCGCGCTTAGCTGGCGTACCTCAGGTACACTACTTCGGCCAGGAGGGCCTGCACAACGTCCTTGTTATCGATCTCCTCGGACCCAACCTCGAGGACCTCTTCGATATGTGCGGCCGGAAGTTCAGCATAAAGACCGTCTGCATGGCCGCCAAGCAGATGGTATACAGCTTCAATTTTGCGCGTCATCGAACATCGGGCTCACGTTACCGCAGGTCACCCGCGTGCAGTCCATCCACGAGAAGTCCTTGATCTACCGTGACATCAAGCCGGACAACTTCTTGATCGGTGTACCGAACACCAAGACCGCTAATACCATCCACATCATCGGTAGGCACCCTTTTTCGCCCGAGTCGTATGGGAGAAGCCCTGGCGCAATAACTGCCATATCAATCCGCCCGTCCCGGTGATGGAAATTAACATTCCTTCACAGACTTCGGTATGGCGAAGCACTACCGCGACCCGAAGACGAAGGTGCATATACCGTACAGGGAGCGTAAATCGCTTTCTGGCACCGCGCGTTACATGTCCATCAACACGCACTTGGGACGCGAGCAGTCGCGCCGCGACGACTTGGAGTCCCTTGGCCACGTCTTCATGTACTTCCTGCGCGGCGGGCTGCCATGGCAGGGTCTTCGCGCCGCGACCAACAAACAGAAGTACGAGAAGATCGGGGAGAAGAAACAGACAACACCTATACAGGAACTATGCGAGGGCTTCCCGGGTATGTCAAGCTTAGTGTCGGCGTTGGCATTGGACTGACATTCGTGACAGAGGAGTTTGCTATATATATGAACTATGTTCGCAAGCTTGGCTTCGAGGAGACTCCTGACTACGACTTCCTGCGTGAGCTCTTCACCAAGGTCCTTCAGACCTTGAATGAGCCGGAGGACGGTGTGTTTGACTGGATGCTCTTGAATGGCGGTAGAGGATGGGAGGCTAGCACCGTACGTCCCATAGTACATGAAGCACGTCGTCTGTCTGACACCATACACAGGCTGCTAGTGCCCACGCCAACGCCTCTTCGCCACATGCTCCCAGAGAGCATCGCAGGCACCGCGAGCACAGGGAACACCGCGAGCGCGAACACCGCAGCTCCCGTGCGCAGGGTCAGGACGGCTCTTCACCCTTGGTGCTCAGCCCGACGCCGGCGCACGTTCGCCCCAGCCAGCGTCGGCCAAACACCGGCGAGCGCAGTTCGCCACGGGATATCAGCAGCGTGCAGCCGCTCGCGCCCAACAGCCGCCGTGCGAGCCACCGCGATACGAACTCGAACCTTGTCACGCCGCACCCGTACGCAACGGCGCCGAGCCCGACACCGTATCGCACAAGCACGAGTGGCGCGCTGGGGCGGCAGTCATCGGCGCTCGCGATGCCCAGCGACGGGCAGATCGATGGCTCGGCGTCAAGGGAGGGTACTGCGAATGGCACCGGCCCGCGCGAGGTGGCGGGCAGCCGGGGCATGGGCGTATACGACCGCGACATGAGACGGCTCAACGAGGACGAGGACGGCGGGCACGGGGGCCGCAAAGGCTTCTGGGCGTCGCTCTGCTGCAAGGCATAGTCGACTGCGGGGCAGTGATGCCGTACCTTCTGGGTAGGTGGTCATTGTCCTTCGTCGTCGTCTTGTCAGCTGGCTGACCGGCGCCCGCGCAGATTGATATCCCCCACCTACCTGATCGTATTTAAGCGCCACTTTTAATCACTCCGACCTTGGTTTCGTCCTGCATTGTTTTTGGTTCACGGTCCCTTCCATTGTGTTCATGGCCTCATCCCTGGCTCGCCTATTCTATCCTCGTCGTCATCGTCTCGTCTAGCGCTCCGCCGCCCGTCGCTCCCTGGTCCGGTCTCCATCTCCACGGTGCCTTCGCGGTACCCGCCTGTCCTCTACCCCATACGCTCGTCCCAGCACCCGCCTCGTCCCCACCGTCCCCTACGCCTCCCTGCACCGTCGCGGCCCTGCGCCGCCACGGTCTTTGTGCATGTCCCGCTCACGCTGTCCTGCCTGTGGTTAACGATAGTCTCACGAACGTCTCGTCTGCGGCATCCAGTATATTATAGCACGCACACCCTTATTCGTAGCTCCATATCCCACTTGGCTCGCGCTCGTTTCGCATCGTGTTCGTAATTACAGTAGCAAGATACTTTTCGTTTCTACGGATACAGTATCGCTGGATTGAAATCGGACTCAGGAGTAGAGGAGCTCGAGTAGTGAAAACAGAATCTCAGCGTGCCCGTACAGGTGAGTTGTAACTCGATGGACAATTGCAAGTGCGACGATGTATATGAGGGGGGACATCCAGGAAGAGTTGGTCAAATTGAAGCCTTCGATAAGTAAAGCGCGATAAGAAGTATGTCGTAGATCTGTACATGTCATCTCCAAGAGTTGGGAGCAAAGCTTGACAGTGGTCAAGCCAGCGTTGGTAACAGAAGCTCGTCGTCCTGTTCGACATTATTGGTTCTCTTTTTCGGCACTGCAGTTGACTCCTGCTGTATTTCGCGCGACGTGCTTTTGGCGATTTCCTCCGGTGGTTGCAGCGTCGCAGTGCTAGGTGCAGCCGGTGGAGTCCTTGCCGCCTTCGGTGTGCCAGTCTTGCCAGGCGAACCCTCTCCAACGTTGGTAGAGGCCCTGCTCGAGATCCCTTCGACGTTTTCACCCCTCGTCTTATCGCACTCCTTGCGCAAAGTATCCTCGTCCGGCTCGACAACACCTTTGACGTTGTGCTGGACTTCTGACATAGTGCAACAGACGAGCCAGAGGAATTGTAGTAAACCCAGGGAATCGGGTACTTTTTCCTTCCTCTTTGGACCCAAGCGCCGCGATAGTAAGACGCAGGTCATTCCGAGTATTGTCGAGACGACGAGACCAATGCATATAGGTAATTCGTTGAGCTGGGCGGAATGTCAAGCGCTGATGCCGGAAGGACTTGCAGCCCCTTACCTGAAGTTGTGGAACTAGTCGAGGAATCGAGATAGATACGGTCGCGGTGCGTTCTATGCCGTATCGATTGTTGGAGTCGATTTGGTTGACTGTATCGTGGATTAGTTGGAGGATCATGACGCCACAAGCAAGTAACCGCACGTACACGACCAAAAGTAGGCGGCTGCAAGTCGTCTGAGCGAGTTCTCCATATCATGGAGCTGGACACGACCCCGTGCTTGCAGATGCGGCACAGAACTGACGTATCCCTCCGAGTCGGATTCCTGGAGGTTTAAGATGGCCATCACGAAGCTGCACGAGCTGATTCACCAAGTCGATTACCGAGCTAGTGATAGTCTCTCACCTTTCCATGAAGCCGAGGTGAGAACTTCCAGTGACGGAGCTGGCGGCTGTTCCAGACAACGAAAGGGAAGTAGTGTACTGCTCTCGAAAAGCCCTGGTCCACTGAATATATGATGAGCATGACCTGGGTCGGCAGTAATCAATTAGTACGAACCAAGTCCAAGATGTTCAGCCCAATCGGAGAGATGAGCGGCTGCGGTTCCCAGCTGAACCATCTCGAGGTATTGCGAAGGCTCGGAACTTCACCGGATAGCGGCAAACGCGTCTGCGTATCGACCTTGATTGTATGATTGTAGCTGTATATATTGCAACCAATCATAGAGATGTTCCTTGAGTGATTGAACCGCTGCGGTAGCTCGAGATGAGGGAGGAGTCGCCCTGTCGAGTCCTGGATGTCGTATGTTCCGTAGACGTAGAAGCTGCGATTCTCCGCGTTATAGTGCCTGTTTGCCGAAACGTCATGCTGGGTGAATATCATGGTATTGTTCTCTGGTCGATCATGAGTGTAGCGTACAAACAAACCTCAAAAGGGAGCGTACGAGCTAGGTATGCCAGATCGATGTTGCGTTGCCGAGTGCCATTGGGATAGACATGCGAGACACTATACGAAGTCACCTCGCCGCTGTGGGGGTCCGTATTGTTGCTGACGACGCGCAAAGACTCAAGCGCTCCGCATGTAACGTCAAAGGTCGTCGCATTCACGGTGGTGTTGAGCGCGCCACTGTTGGCAGCGAGGCGATCGTACATTGTAGCGTTGACCAGCCCAATGGTCGACTCGTAGTCTTGAATCGCGAGGAACGGCAGCAAGCTCGATGCGCCACCGAGGATGCTTTGCGCATCTGAGGACTGGGCATGGTATCCTTTGCTGCGCGGTATGATCAGTGGGCGTTAGGGAAGCAAAGGCTTAACACTTGCTGAATCAAGCCATAGACGTGCGGATAGGCGAGCCGAGAGGTCACCGAGCCTGGCGAGTACAATGTGCCAGTTTTCACCGTGAACATCGCCGGAATGGACACGTGGAGCACGGATGTATTGACCAAGTAAGTCGCTATGCATACCACCCACTCGGCGGCAGTGGGTGTCGAGAATTGCTTGTATAGCGTCAAGAGGGCGGAGCCGAGGCCAATCCACGCATTGAACTCATCGTGTATTCCCGCTGCCTTTTTTGTAGGGGCCAAAAGCAGACACCTCATCGCGTGCCGCTGTGCGAGCCACACTAGCAGCGCTATGTAAAGCTGCAGAGTAATCAGCTTGGTCGGACTATCCCAAAATATAAACGCACTGTTGCAAAGCCTGTCGCCACGACCGTCATGGCAGTCGACGTCCTCCCAATCCAATGTTCCGACAGTGGGATGAAGATACGCTCCTCGATATGCAACTTGCATATCACCAAGAGCGTTATATGAATGAGTATAAGAACGGCGTGCAGCGCATATAGCATGGGTTTTGAGACCAAAATTGTCCAAGAAAGTTCTGCAGGACAGAGATCTGTCAGTAGCGAAGGCTACGGCACGTGCAATACAATCCCTGACCTTTGACTCTATTCCATGGACCTCGAAAGGCTCTGTTACGGTTCTGTCCATAGGGAAGGTTGTTCATGTCGAGCAGCGCGCGATCACACTCACATTGTGAAAGGGAGCGCGCTTCTTATAGAAAACAAGGCGCTGTACTTCCCGCGCCAGACAAGGATCAGAACAAACCGGAGGATCCGAATTCCGAGAGGCGCCCCGCGAGCGCCGTCCTTACTAGCAAACGCGGGAGCAGCGCTCAACGCCCAAGATGCATGTCATGGCATCGACCTAGTACACCTTTGAATATCCAGAAGCATCGCCAAGGTTGATGTACTTGTTATCGCTCTTGTAGGGCGCGATTATCTGGAAGAATGGGTCAATAGCTATGTTGTTCGATGACAGGCCTCACGACCGCTTACCAGGATGTAGAAGCAGTCCATGGCGCTGGCACTTGTATTGCTGGTCGTACTCATGATACGAGGCCCTGATGCAAAAATTCAGTGAACGACGACCGAAGCCTACTAGGACACTGCGGACGTGGTTATCTTCCGTTCTCATGATGCTCCTCTTGACCACTTTCTATTAGGCTGTAAACTTTGAATTCTGTCCTCGTCATGCGGAATGCTGACGAGACTGTATACGACTGGGTGTCCGATGATGATGTATCCGTGGCTGCCCTTCCCTTATTCGAGCACGAGACTGGAGTTCCTGCGGGGAGGAGGAGGGCGAACATCAGGGACATCGAGCAGATGTGGTTTGTCCTAGCAGTGGTCGACCTGACAAGGTATGTAGGAGGTTACTGAGCAAATCACGTACCCAGAAGTCATGCGGGGCGATCGGGAGGGGGGCTGAAGAGCCATTCAGGATCTACTAGTGTGTCAACGAGCCGGGCATTGCGTGATGTCCCAGACAGCGCGCTGAAACAGTGCATAACTGGCGGACGACGGAAGTGCCAGCAAAACAGAACCAAAAAATTAGCTCCGCAACCATTCCTTCATCTTGGGACGACGTCCCGAAAGGAGAAGAATCGTCATGTCGGAATATGAAGCATTACCAGATCAAGTGTATAGTTCAGGCGTCGCGCAATGGTTCTCTTCGCTCTCTAAGGGCCCGCAAAATGAGAAGATCACGGTGGTATGAGGCAAGGCACAAGCGTGCGAATCATTGTGGGCGACCACACGTGAGGCACACCGGCATTTGCCGTATCGATGTTCGTTTGCCCTCCATCCGAATCATCGCCTTTCGCAAGTTCAATTCGAAGGCTCAAAGATGAGCTTATTATCGAACTGAGCGACCCGGGTTAGAGTTACATGTGACCTCGCATACAACGCTCTCCGTTGGCATTAGGTCGATCTCTCTTCCCCAAGTCTACGATATCAGACTTGAGAGGTGGCGCAAAGGCGTATACGAGTGGCGTGTGACGCCCGAGTAGTTCTTTGCTATGCCGCTTGACCGGAGATCACAAATTTCTGCTCTGGAGATATAGCATAATTATCGACTGAGTATTACCGCCTGTCATGAAGACACTGTTCGAGTCCGAACGCGCGACGTACAAGTACAGGTATTTCCATGTGCTGTATACATACTGCAATAAGCCTACTAGAGCATTCACTGACTGCATAGAGGGAGCGTGAGATAGGATAATTTATGTGTTAGATAGCGATGTGCGATGCGAGGGGGACCATGCAAAGTAACAGAAGGTATGCGAGGAGTCGATGCAGAGACTACGTCGTGTATCTGGTCGTGACGTGCGAGGGAAAAACTATGCGCAGACAGGGCGTTGAAGTCGAAAGAGATGTGCGAGGCCGAGGGTTGAGAGGGTATGACCGGATAGACGGGGAGAATGGGACCACCGCTTCATCCTCTAGTCAAACGTCCCGACAGCGGAGGACAGGTTTCCACCCCAAGAGACGCTATGTCTGTAGCGCTTCTTGCGCTCCCTGATAGTGTCGGGCGATGGCTTGTGGTCATTTGCCGCTGCGCCGGAGGTCGCACCGAAGGTCACCGCATGCTGCACTACCGCCTCTTTCTTTGGTGCGCCATCGAAGCTAAGGCTCCTAGCGCGCGAGCCAGGCCGAGCGTCGGACTGGTCGCGCGAGTCGGCAGCTGAATCGACGCCTGCCGCCTTTAGGAGGTCGGCAAACGGCGAGTGGTCGCGGGTGTTCTCCATCCGATGTGCGTACTTGCAACGAAGAGACCTGCAACGGGTAAGTGTCTGAGCGAGAAAAAGCGGCAGCTACACAACGCACCCTTCCATGGTCACATCGAAGACGAACTGGCCGCCTAGCTGGTTGATCTCACCGCTCTTCGCTGATGACGACGTTCCTCGCAACGCGCGCAGGACGAAGCCCACAAACCCAGTCTTCCTGTCCTTCCTCGCGCGAGGCACATCGTCCACGCGCGTCTCCGTCGCCTCCCTCATGCCGAGCGTGCTATACACGAATCGCGCCTCGTCTGTGTACATATGCACGCGCACGCTAACGCGCCTCCCCGCGCCATATACGTGGCCCTCTGGGAACCCGAGCACGCGCATGTACTTCGCGATAAGCGAGTGGGCCCCTGTGTTCACGAGAACTAGGTCCACGTCGTGCTCGGGCTTATCGATGAGGGGCGTGTCGTCGAGGCGCTCGAGGGAGGCGCGGACTTTCGACACATACTCCTGGTCGAGCGGGCACCAGAAGTGGCGGAGGAAGAGGACGATCGTAGTGCGAGGGCGGTCAGGTGACGTAGAGCCGTTGAGGATAGCGCCGAGTGCGACGCAATTGCCGGAGGACGAATGCAAGGGGAGGGACGATAGTCGGTCGAGCAGTTCGGGCTGAAGGAGGTTAGGATCGATCGCCACGTCTGAACCGGACGCTGTGCGTTGACTATCATCCCGGGTGGCGCGGGGCGTGTCGATCGTGTCCTCGTCCTGCGCTACGCGGGGTGTCTTGTCACCACTCCTGCCCGCCTTGTCCGACGATGATGCGGATGAGTTAGAGCGTGTATGAACGGACGAGGGGGGAGTAGACTGCGACTCGGTCGAGCCGAACATTGACGTGCCATCCTCCGAGATGGGCGTGATGGGACCCTCCGCAGAGCGCTGTGGCGTCGGCGTGCCGAGAACGAGTGGCGTGGACACCGCACGCTGCTTCACTTCAGCGATTGGTATGAGGTTCCGCGTTGCGCCGGGAGGCAGCTCCACGGAGACGGGTAGCGAGATGGAACTCTTGCGTAGACGAGCGTGTCTCATTGAGTCGGCAGAGGTTGAATGACTGATGCTTTCCGGTCGTCGCTTGGATAGGAAGAACAACCGCGAGAACTTCGTTCTGTTTGACTGCGCGTCAGGCACTCGAGGGGGCGTCCTCAAGGAGACGTCGCTCTCGGTGCCGTCCTCATCGACGGGATGGAGGTTGGCGGAGGGCGTGCTGGCGCTGTAATGATGACTAGAGCCGGAGCTGGCACTACTGCTGCTGGACTGGCGCGAAACGCCAGATGGGGGTGTGAAGAGGTGCCACGCTGACCCGCTGGGGGAGGGGCTGCCTTTGGCCGTGAGGTGGGAAGTAATGGAGGGGAGTGGCGAAGCTGGGGCGTCGAGTCCGAAGGTGTTGGAGCGTTTGCGGTAGTGGGGAGGGGAAGTGGGTCTTGAGCAGGCTGAGACGTCGGGCTCTGTCCTGAAGGACATCATGCACTCTGGCGGGGGGCTTGGTTGCAGTTCGAAAGCGACGATTGGTGAGGATGCGTTGGTGCCGCGCAAAGACATACCCAGGCCGACGTTGTCATCGGAGGGAGGACTGATGCTCCAGACATCGCGCGGGACGGGCACGGGAAGAGAGGCGCGCTTCTGGCGGCGTGGTGTAGGTGTAGGGGAGTCAGAGAGTGGGGTCAAGTCGAGCAAGGCGGAAACGTCGATGGAGGGGACTGGCTTGCGCTTGATGCGGTGCACGCCTGGGGTGCTGGTCATGGGCGGGGTGACTGCAGCGCTAGCCATCGTTGGGGACGTCGGCCGGATGTGTTGAGTGCGTCTGAGCGCGTCCTGATCAGATTTGCGTCTGGGCGAGATCTAATCAAGGAAACAAAAGAGAGCGAAGGCAAGAACAAAGGGCGGGGAGAGACTGGAAGGGGTCAAAAGGAAAGGCGGGTGCTCTGCATGAGGCTGTTTATCAAGAAGCGTGCTCGGGTTGCGGCGCGCACCATGGCGACTACCTCCGCGCCACGTGAAGGCAATTGATTGAATGGCTCCGCGCCGGCCGCTTGCCGCACGCCATCCGCACTTCAACCGTGGATATGGCGGACAGGCGTGTCCCTCTTGGTTCCCGGCAAGTAGAGCTGTATATGCGACCCGTGTTCCTGTAGGATAACTGCCGTTGCCAGATCTTTTTTCGGAGGGAAATCTGACAGCTTTTGCCAGCGCTCTGCCGCGATTTGCTGACAAGCCTCTAGCCCTGCTCCAGCGACTATGCAACTGGTGCTAGGTGGCGCGGGGATTGACTGGGCTTTCACCGCTGGCACATGTCTGAGCTTTGGCTTGTTCAAACGTACGCGGCGCACGCCAGTGCTTGAAAGCCGTACCAGCCACCGCAGTGTCAAACATGATGGTGGACTACGAGAGCTGATAAGCGATGGAGCTTGTGAAGGACAGTGGAGAGTATGCGGCGTGTCTGATGCTCACCTTCGACCGGAGGTAACTGTTCTTAGTTGCTCACAAGTCATCGCACCCCTACATCGCGCAGGAGGATCGTCGCCCAACGGAACTGGTCGGCCTGGGAATCAGCAGTCAGCTAACACAGGTCAGTCTCGCCATGTTCGAAGAGAAGTACGACACTGGCCACTTTCGTGAGCTTCCTTGTTCTTAGCCAAGAAACTTCGGCCAGCGAACACGATACTCGCCCAACGTCGGTGGCGCACGCCAACGTCTCGGAATGTCCATTAAAGCAACTGCCGAGGGTCGATCTATCAGTTGACGCCACCACGTAGTACTCGCATACTGAATATCATGGTGAGTACCTTTGACGCTGCACTTCTCAGGTGGAGACCTGAGCTGGCGAAACCGGAACCAGAGTGGGGAGCATCGCCCAAAGACGCATGGCAAGATGATAGTTGACGAAGCCAGGACTCCTCAGTAGGTCTTGATGTAGGTCAAGTAGCTATACTACAACTCTTTGTGCGCTTTAAGATGTTGAAACCAAGGTCTACGTGCAAATCCAGCCCTTCAAAAGCCGACGGTCGAAGAACGGATATAAGTTCGGCAAGCGCCGAAGCGTCTCGTCTGCTTCCGGAGATGATCATAATCTTTCGCGATACTTGTGGCTACCTGTAATGAGCATCACAGCTGTGATTCTCCAGGATTGTATGTGCTGAGGACTACACGAACCGAGCAGGCGTCGAAGTTGAACTTCGCGTCACGTGGGTGTGGGAACGCAGAGTTTACTTCCGCTTCGGCAATACCCGCAAGGCTTCGCACCTTGCTGCCCGCCATCATGAGAAGGTCACCCTACGCCTACGAGGGCACGCCAGCCGCTCGACGGAACCGCTACATCTCACAGAGAGGAACCCTAGGTGCTCCTCTGCTTCTTTTAGTCGGCGGTTTCCTGGCATTCTACGTCCTAGCGAAGATCTTCTCCAGCTTTCTTCCTGCGGACGCCGTCCCGGACTCCTCGTGCGTTGTGGACGTCGGCTACGCGCGCTACGAGGGTATCTGCGAAGATGACATGACGCGCTTTTTGGGCCTGCGCTATGCTGCAGCGCCGGTAGGTGAGGCGGGACGCGTATATACATGACCGTCAAAGTTGTCTGAATTTCGCACTCAGGAAATCTGCGGTGGCGTGCACCACAGCCTCCACCATCCTCTTCATCAGTTATCAAGGCGGATGCCCAGCCAAAGACTTGTGGGCAAGGTAGTCGCGGGAACAACCCCATAGTGCCAAGCTGGGCTCAAGGCCGGCAGCATGCCGCTCGTGCACCTATAGAGGACTGGTCCGAAGACTGCCTCTTTCTGAAGTATGTGTCAAGTCATTATCGAAGTCCAGCGGCTTCATAAGTGTATATCAAAGTGTTTATGCTCCCGGCGAGCTGCAACCTGGCGCTCACTTACCCGTGCTGGTCTGGATCCACGGCGGAGGCTACATGCGTGGAGACGTCGCCAGCTACGACGGCATCGATCTCATGCGACAAGCCGAAGGAGGACTTGTCGTTGTCGAAATTCAGTACCGACTAGGCGTGTTCGGCTTCCTTGCGGGACACGAGATGCAGGCGGACGGCACTGCGAACGCTGGCTTGCGTGAGCCGCGACATTCTGTTTGTCATGTCCGCCGACTCACATCTTTCAGTTGACCAAGACTTCGCTTTGAAATGGGTCAGGGAGCACGTAGGTCTGGATTTGAGACCCTTGTTGTGATAATACTCAAGTGCGAGACAGATTGCAAAATTCGGCGGGAATCCGAGCGACGTTACGGTGTGGGGAGAATCCGCTGGTAAGCTTTCTTGCTCATCGTCCAATTTCGCTACTGCTACTCACGTCGTGACTCAAGGCGCCGGATCCGTCTTGCAGCACCTGATAGCCAATGACGGGCGTACGACACCACCGCTGTTCAAGAAAGCGATCGCAACTTCGACCTTCTTGCCACCGCAATATGCATACGACGATGATATTCCTGAGGTGCCGAGCTTGCTCATTTCATTTCTTTCCCTACTGATCGGGCGCAGGGCATATACAACGAAGTTCTCGCTCAAACAGGGTATGTCGGAACGGCGATAGCTGTTTCGCTCGCGTGACTTTTGCTAACGACTTTCCACAGATGCTCGGCCGCTCACGACCATCTCCGCTGTTTGCGAAGCGCAGACGCAAATCTCCTGTTAGCCGTCAACTACGATATGTCCGACGAGGCTTTCTACGGCACCTTCCTTTTCGTTCCTGTTGTTGACGGCTCCTTCGTGCGCGAGCGTCCGTCGCAGGCCTTGTCACAGGGGAAGCTGAACGCGGTGAGTACTGCTCCTATATGATCAATGAAGCAAACCCTTCATTTTTGACGATGTCATGGCAGCGGGAGCTCCTCGCTCTCGGTATCACTTTCGAAGGTCTCAATTTCGTGGACCCCGCGCGTCCTGAGCCCGACTCTGCGGCCTATATCCGCAAGATCTTCCCAAAGATGAGCACTGCTGACGCTCGCAGGGGGGCGGAGGTGTACCGCGACGTCGGGGATGCGACGGAGCGAGCTGTGGCAATCATGGGCGAATGTGAGTTTGATGCCTATTCTCCTGCCAAATATTCCCTTTGCGTTATACGCGTCGTTGCGAAACCTCGCGGCTAATCGACGCGTTGTTGATGCCGCCAGGCGCTTCCCGAGGATGCTGAAGTTGACTCTCTTCAGCGATCTTCATCTGTCCAGGTTATGCGCTCATGGGCGCTTTCGATGCCCCGTATAAGGTGGGTGACGGTCACCTACAAAGAAGGGCACCACCTAAACAATATTCCAGGGCTCATTGGCAGTACCACCAGGGCGACATGGACAAGACATGCCCTACTTCTTTCCGTCGTGAGTGTGATCGTCTCTAAGCTCTGTTCAATGGACCGTCTTGACGCTAATCTCTACGACGCTCGTTAACATGTATTTTCACGTAGCCGAAACCCTTCTTCTTCTGAACGCTTCGACAATGCGGTTTTCCAACGCGCGTTCGTGGGCTCCGTCTTCGACTTTGCGCGCACAGGAGACCCCAACCAACAGTATGCTGCCGGCCTCGAAGATATCAAGCCAACTTGGCCGACATGGTCGCCTTCAGCGCCGACAGAGATGCTCTTCAATCGCACAGGGGACGAACCTGATGTGCGAACCATCCGTACACAATCTGACGTCCAGGAGCGATGCAAGTGAGTTTTCGTGTCTATTTGCGCCAGTCAGAACCCAGGCTCATTTTTGAATAGATTTTGGGAGAGCGTCAGCGAGGTGGCAGGACAGTAAATCGCACCACACGTAGGTCTCAATATTCCCCAGCGCAAGGTGTACGGATATTGTGAGCCAATTTGCAAATAAGCGAAGAATAAAGACAACGGGTCGATTGAAAGGGCAAACCGTGGCCCAGCCAATCGGAGGCGGTCGCGTTCAATATGCCACCCAATCCGCGCGCCGTCCTTATCCTTTGCTGATTCACGATCCGGCTCACAATAATCGTGCACCTTGCACCTGTGAATATTGAATCTCAGGTCTGGTGTCGATCCGCAGTTGAAGCCCTGTAGCTTTGCGGCTGAATTGACATTTGTACCGTGCTCTACTCCCCAAGCAATACTTGCGAGCAACGTCAAGCACGTATGCTGCCAGCATTTCCTTGAGTCGCGATCGAAGGCCGGATGTGGGTGAAGGGATTCGCGGTCGCGTGACATGGAGGAAGCATTCATCAATTGTTGACGCGTCGCGTCGCGTCCAACAACCTCTTTCGCGCGGATCATTCGTCATTGTCTTCCCGATTTGGGCCTTTTTCGACATTTGAGCACCGCCACCATCCTCTCGTATAAGTACTCTGGCTACGCGCTTTCGCTTCTTGTTCCTTCCCCCCATCTTCCCCTCCTTTCTTTCCCCTCCGCCACGACGCGTCGCCCCAAGCCAGTGCCTCACCGTGCTTATCCCGAGTGAGCTTTTCGTCTGTTCATCCTCCCTCGACCGCTGACCACCTTTTGCACGCTGGCTCGGCGTTGCAGTGGTCCGGGATTTTGGTGCGATCATAGCATATATATGCGGTCAATATTCGCACTGATCCCTCCCTTCGTAGATCTGACGAACGTATCGCCTGTGTGTACGGGATTCGCAACTACATCGAGGCGTTGCGCGCCGCATCTCGCATGGTGAGTACGCCGCGACCTTGCAGCCCGTTCGACGCTTTTATATACATGGCAGGTTGGCTGATGTCTCTGTGGTGTATGCCCCCTGTCACGTCCCGAGCCATGATCCACTTCATGTTCTGCACTGAGCGTCGAGTGAAGGTTGTCAGTGAGCCCTTCTGTCATGTCGTTCATGGTTGACTTACTAATGAAGTTCACTGCAGCGAAGACGTCGACAATGGCGCTCCACCACCCCTTGCGCATTCATCATTCCTGTGCGCGTCGATAAGTGGTTTGGTCTACGGCCTGAGCGAATTGAATCGCCGCCGGCTTCTGATGAGCCACTGCAGTCCAATACACAACGAGAACCGCGGACGTCCGCGTGGGCCTGGCGTGGACGCATCCTGCCAGTCAGTCCCGCTTCTTCGAACCAAATGGCACCCCAACTGAACCACTTACACGTGTCGCGCACCGATTTACGATCCATTGGTCCTTGTCTACTTGAAGGATAGACGCGTAGGTCAAGCCTTCCGTAGCTCGAAGCAACGTGAGTATACATAACAGATCTGAAGACTAGGGGATACTTAAGGTAAGTAAGATATGGTGATATACATAGGTAATGATTACTGATACAGAAAGGTAGGCATGTCGATAAACCCCCACTGACAGTCCTACTCCATGAACAGCTTCTTCAGATAGTCACCCGCGACCTGCTTGATAGAGGGATCAACCGCCGGATTCCCTAGTAAGTCCTGCTTTTCGATCAGCACCTAGCTCTTTCAACAACTCACGATACTCACAATTGCGCGATCGCTCTTCTGCTTGACGGCGGCGACCTGCTTTGAGTGCTCGAGCTCCCGTTCCTCGCGCTCGAGCCGCATGCGCTCTACCTCGTATCGTTCTCGACTCTCCCTCTCCTCGCGCTCCTCTTTGCGCCGCAGATAGTCCAGCTTGAGCTTATTCGTCTGCGTCTGCATTTGAAGATGCTGCGTCTGCGTCTGCAGAAACTGCAAGTATGCAGTAAGCATCGGTTGAGTAAGGGTCACGTTGACCGCGCCGGATTCGCTCTGGGGTTGCGACGACGAGGCGTGTTGTGTTGAGTAAGATAGGGTAGGCGGCGCGGGAGCGGGAGCTGGCGCTGGCGCTGGCACGGGTGGAGGCACCGGCGGCTGGGGCTGAGCTTGAGGTTGCGGTGGCGGCTGAGCAGGGGCGGAGACGGGCGTGTGCGAGTATTGCGGCGTCGACGAGGAGACCTGGTGCGAAGAATAGTGCGGCTGGGAAGGGGGAGGCATAGACGATGGCGGTGCGGCTGAGGGGGGTGGGCCCATGTTAATGAAGGAGATCGTCGGGTTGGCCGTTGTCTGCTCCTGATATTCAGGCCCATCGTCGTCTGGTTGTTCGGGGGCGACACTGGCACCGCCGCCGCCCGAGTTGCGGGTGGTTACAGGCCTTGTCATGGCGGGATCGCCGTTCCAGCGACGGTAGAACAGGTCGTACCAGCCCATGCGGCGCCAGTGGTCGATAGTGCGCGCATTGATGTTACCGACATCGCACCCGGCCCTTTTGGCGTTTTGCAGTCGACGCTCGTACTCGCGGATGCGGTCTGTCTCTCCGTACGCAGACAGATCGCCTAGCCCGTTCTGCGAGCAGTAGGTCTCGAACGCGTAGATCTGGCGAAAGATGTTGAAGTTCCGCTCGTAGCAGCCTTTCAGCGCCTGATATGTTTTCTTGTTGTCGAAGACTTCGCTCGCGCAATCGCGCAGACACGAGTTCTTGGTAGCGCGAAGAGAACTCCAGTGGTCGTCCTGATTGACACCCATGAGCCAGGTGAAAAGTTTGGTCTTCTCGTCGTCGGTCCAGTGCTTTGCACCCTGGCCGCCTCCATCTGGGTCGTAGGTCTCCGGCGTGTCATCCGTCGTGTCACGCCGTCGTTTAGGCGGGGCATGGGTGAGCAGAGCCTGCTCAGGCTGCTTGCGCTTCAGGGCGGGGGACGTGTGCGCGGCGAACGAGACCTGATGGTGGGGAGAAGGGGGCTGGGGGGCTGGAGGTTGGGCGGGGGATGTGATGCGGGCGTAGGCGTCGGGGCGCGGGTAGGGAGGCGGCGCCAGATGACTGGCGAGCGCCTGCCCGAGGCCAGGATGAGCCGCATGAGCCGCATAGGTCTGTGCTTGTCGTGATCAGCAAATGCGAGCCGGTTTGAGGGGAGCGCTGTGCGCACCGAGGCCGACGAGCTGCGGCGCTCGTGCATGGATTGCATGTGGCCATATTGAAGATCTCTGCGCGACGCCGTGAGGTGAGCGCCGACGACAACCAGCGAAAACCGACTCACCCGTGCTCCATCCGATTCGCTTCGTCCGGTTCTTGAGCTGGCCTGTCTCCTCCCGATTTGGTTTGCCCATAGGCTTGTTTGGTCGAAAAGGGGTAGGTAAACATGAGCAAAGATGGCTCATGATCAGACGCCACAGGATTTCCTTTGTTGTTCGGGGGAACCTTGCCCCTTCATCATTTTTCTTGCGCTCTCAAGCTTGCTTCGGGCTTTACAGAATCGTCAAACGAGGGCTCTCATATTATGTGCTCTATGAAGCTCGAGGTCTTTGTCCCCGCTGATGGCAGCTCGAGGGGTTGCTTCTGAATGACGTTCGTGGACGTCGATCGTCGCGGGTGCCCGCTCGCGGTTTGCCGCCGATTTATGGCCGCTGCGTCGTTCATTTGAGCACGACTCGAGACGCCGAGCCCGACTCTATCCCGTCGCCCGATGGGCGAGTCACCCTCGCGAATCATGCTCAAGGAATTCTCTCTGGCAACGCACATGGTCTAGGCCTTCAGGGCACTCAAGGGCTCCGTTTCCGGATATGGATCTCCCCTTCTTTCTTTCTTCTGATTTTGTGAGAAGGAAACCGACTTGCTTTCCCGCCTTGGCGCGTACCAGTTCGCGACTGGCGGTATCTGACCGGACGTGGAGCTCTCGCTACTATACAAGGGACCCTGGCCTGCAAGGGGTCAATGTTTTGCGAAGACCCTCGTCAACCAGTCCTCCGCCCAGTATAACACACTATGTGCTATTGCAATAGAGCTGCAGCGCGAGTCATTGGTCTCAAAGTGGCACGCGCTGCGCGCGACGACCCTGAACCTGCTCGTCGGTGTCAAGTCTACGAATAGCAAGGACTAGCTACTGTCTGCAGTCCCGATACGGTGCGCAAGCTTCCATAGTTCCGAGGAATTCCTGAAATATCCCTCGGTCGCTCCTCCAAGCAAGGCCGCCAGCTTTGCCAACCCTCGGGAAGGTTTTGAGGCACAGTCAACAGGGTAAATGGCGCTTCTCCAGTGGTCTGCCTACAGAAGTACACGGACCTCGTCAGCAGCGCCCAGGACGCTGTCGTGCCATGGTTACTGTGTTTTCCGCGGGATGGCGCATCAGGCGGCGGGACAGAAAGGTCAGGATCACTGATTTCTTGCAAGTCGAGCGTATCCTGTGACTGACCATTGTCACTGGTCCAACTATGACCTGAATATCGCAGCAATGCCGCGCCATGAGGATAGCATACAATGCTCGCCGATGCTGAGCTCACCCTCGGCCAACACAGACGAGCGCGGCCGACATCGAGTCTCACGCCGCCACGTTCGGGAAATCGACCCGGATTGAACTTTGAAGTTGAACCAGCACACCCATTCTCCCACGCTGTCGCGTGACCTCGGCGATTACCGAGATCGCATCCCCGAAGACCGACGCGAGTTCAAGTTGGAAGTTCGAACTCGCGAAGTCGAACATGCGTTCTGCCCGTCGAGACATCGCGAACTTGGATGAACTGGCTTGGCGGGGCGCTAGAACACATCTGCAGAATGTATGTGTTTGTGTGTTACGCCTCGTGACATGCCAGCAATAATAAGATACAGAATAAGTTAAGCGGGATAGCATGCGACGGTAGGCGGGCGAATACGAGGCCAGCTCGATTCGAGGTGTAGTCGATTTTTGTCCGAGGCAGAGATGACAGTACAACATGCATGCACCAATCTTATTCCCTTCACATGCCTCCAGGCGGACGATCCGCCGTCGCGGAAGGTGCGTATCGCCGGGCCTTTGGGCCGACGGGCGGTACCGTCGCGATCTCGACAGGTTCTTCCAGCAGCACACCTTTCTCTTCTGGCACATAGAAGCTCGCCGATAGCGGCAGAAGCACCACCGAGTACTGAAATTGCATAGCCTCAGCGCTCAGCAGACCCGCGCCACCAATAGGCTCGCAAGAAATGGAAATGGAGGAAGAGATGATGGTAGACTCACGTCAATGCTGAAATAAGGGATGGCGAAGGAAGGCTTGAGGTTTCTTGGAAGCCAAATTTCGCCGCGGAATGTGGCGCGCTGCCCTCCGGTGGCGGTCGCGGCAGGCCACCAGACGGCGCGCGAGATGGGCGCGGTTTGGTCGGCGGGCATTGGGGGTGCGGTAGGCATGATGCGGCGGTGGCCAGCAGGAGCGGCTACCCGCATGCTAAGGCGGCGCTGGAGGTGAACAAAAAGGTGGGCAGGACGAGCAAGGGCGTCAAGCGCCGGCGCGTCCGGACAAGAAATTGTTAGGCTGCACGGAATGACGGTCCCGCGTGTGTACGAGAGCTGGGCGGTGCGTAAGCATGACGCTTAGAAGGGCGATAAAGCCGCGACACGCACGGGGAGCGCCAGGGAGAGCTGCAAGTCAGCGTAAGTGGGTCGAGCGCATGCCGAGCGCGAGGTGCACAACGCACAGAAATGGACGTGAAGACATCGCGCTTGCCATAGAGCGTTCCCCGGGTCTTGACCTGCGCGGGGCGCGTTAGCAGCGCGCGGTACCGGACAAGGGCCTAGGTGCGCACCTTGCGGGTGAGGTAGCCCGAAGGATCCTCCTCTGGTCCTAATATGGAGCTCCTTGTCCGGTAGGCCAATTGTCGAAGTTCGGACGCGGGAGGCGGCTGGACGCGCGGGTGGTAGAAGAACATGGTGCTAATCCTGTCAATGAATGGGTGAGGCTTCAAATGGCACAGCCGCGAGTTGAGATGGATTCTCACTTGTGATGGTGGCGAAAGAGACCACCACGGACAATAACGGCCTCGAAGTAGTAGTAGATGGATGCCGGCACGTCCTTCTCTAGGAAAGTCGGTGGCAGGCGAATCGCCTCGGTTGCTGGCCCCGACTGAAGGTCGTGCGGCACGGCCATCCTCGTCGGCAGTTCGACGGCGAATGGCCACCGATAGTAGCCTTTCAGCTTACCACGAAAGCGCTGGTCGCCCGACTGATTCGGATCGCCATCACTACTCGTCCATAAATTCTGCGTCAACGACAGGAAGGTAAAGTCCTGCCGGTACGGGTAGCGGTCATTGAGATAGCGGCCCGATATCTGTCGTAGGTCAAGCACACGAGCATGCACGAATACCCTTCTGTCCGGCTTACCTCGATGTACACCTTCGTAATCGGCTCTGCAGAGTCTAGGTCGAGCGTCATGGTTCCCTTGATGGGATTGCCTTCCATGAAGGCGGGGGCGTCGCCCGCCGAGCGCGACGCTGGTGCGTGGCTGACGAGCTTGAGCGATGCCCAGACGCGCTTCTTGTGGGTCATGTGCAGAGTGTACTCTCGCGGGGCCGAGTTGAAACTAGGCGGGGGCGTCGGCGCACGCTCGGCGTATCCAGGCAGACCCCCTTGGTCCTCTTCATCGCGACCATCGACATCCTCCTCGGCGTCATCGTGCAGGCCAGGGGGGAGAGGGAGGCCATGCGGACGCCCCGGGCCGCTACGTGAGAAGAGACGCCGTACGTTGTTCGCTCGGCCGGCGGGCGCGGTTGATGGGCGCACAAAGCTGACGGAACCCGAGGACATGGTGGTTGCGGGCAAGGGCTTGCACTCATCAGAACTGCATAGGCCAGCACTGGCAACGCCTGGTATTTATACCGATTACGCGCTGGTCCACCGCGGCGGTTTATAACCGCGAAAGGTAGGCTCGGATCAAATTCGAAGACACCCTCGAGAGAACTCGCCACACGCCCGAACGCGGGGAAGCGTTGGAGGGTGATGTATGTGGAAGAGCTTGCCTTTCGTCTATTCATGTTGAGTTCGAAGAGCGGTTCCGCTCCCGGCGACGTCACGAGAATGCTGGCAATCTACTAGCGGCTTGATTCTGGAGAAGGCAAGGAGAAGGTTCGAGTTCTACCTGCTGCACGCCTATACGGCTGTCGAAGCCTCGGTCAGCGCGAGCGTGACTCGAAGAAGGAATCTCATGGCCACTCACGAAGCGATCCGGGCGCGATCGCTACCAGCATCGGACCACGCCTTGCGCAGAAGGTGGACACAACAGACAAACCCTCTCCAGACTGGACGAGGCGCTCTCATTCGCTCGAGCGGTAAGTACAAAAACATGCACAGCTAATGTACAGCCAAGAAATACCTACGATAAATTCGCTGGCAAGAAATAAACGATACACCGGGAAGCAGCTCGTTACAAGTCGTCATCCGACTCACCCTCCGCATCCTCCTCGTTCTCAGGCGATCGACGGTCATGCCCATCCACCGCGCCATTTGTGCCCTGCACGCCGGGAAAGCCAGCTGATCGCCCGCGTAGCTTCCCGCTGTCGCGTACGCCGTTGACATGCACAGGTGGCAGCGATGACCGCGTCTTGCCCGCCTTTCGGACCGAGGCCGCGTCGCCGAGTCCAGCGCACGCATGGGAGTCGGCCCCCGGGCCTGGAGAGCGAGAAGCTTCCTCCGGCGACGGCGTGAGAGGCGCAAGCACCGGTGGAGGCGTATGAGCAGACGCACTGCAGCTGTCTGCCGTCACTGTGGGCGCCCCCGAGGAATCGCCGTTGGTCTGTGCAGCCCGAGGAGACGTAGCCTCGCGCGAGCTCGGCGCAACGGAGGTGGACATGAGCGCATGCGCGACATCAGCCTCGTCGTCATCATTCTCGACACTGGGCGCGTCCGAGCTGGACTCGGGCGAGGGTTCCCGCCGAGTCGTTCTATCCTTCCGCGCGAAGCGACCATTGACGGTGCGAGTGTTATGCCAATTAGTCGAATGACGGACAGGAGTTCCCCCGGTGGCTCTCGATGCCGAGCCGCGGAGGGTCTTCCTGCGCCTATCGCTCTTCTGGCTCGAGGTGCGCTTGACTGGCGAAGGCGTCGAATAATTGCGTGCGTGGTCGTCAACTTCGCTTCGCGAACGCAGGGAGCGTTTGTGTGCGGTACGCTGCTCCTCCTCCGCCAGCCTCGCCGCGAACTGCTCGTCCGACTCGAAGACGTCCTGGGAGTGAGCGCGGTCCCGCGGTCGACGCTCTTCATCCTCACTGTCTTCGTCTTGTACTCGGCGCCCGCTTCTGGCCCTGCGCCTTTTCGAAGGGGTCTTGTCGGCCTCGGTGACGTTAGGCGGGCCGGGAGAGCCGCCACCACCATTCGCCGCATTCCGGCAGTTGCGCTCGCGCTCATCAGCCTCGTCATCGAACAGATGCAGTAACGCGTCGTCGACCCGTGGAACGGCGCCCTCGCCCTCGACTGGACCGGGCGTCGACATGCCGCGCCCCTCCAGCCTGTTCGTGGTCACCAAGTCAGCTGTCTCTGCTGCCTCCGCCGCTTCGGTCTTCCTGGTGCGCATGACGATGAACGGGCTCCATTTCAGCTTCTCCGGCTTGAGCGTGATGTAGCCCTTGGCTTCCCACTTCGCGAGATATTCCTCCACTTGCTGCTGGTCCCAGTGAATATCGTAGTGCTTCGGTGGTACGAACGGCTCGTCGGAGGGCAGTGGCGGTGGTGGTGGCGTTGAATGGCTGGTGTTCGTCAGGCCACGCTGCAGCGGTCGGCGAGATGCGCCGTGCTTCCGACCTTTGGGAAACTTGATGGCCTGCCCGGGCGATGGGCGGATGGATGGTGGCGTAGATGGGCGAACATCAATGAAGTCCAGCAACTTGAGCGTGTTGTATACATCCTCGATGGTCATCGAGGTGGCTGCGCTGATGTCTGCAATAACTTTAGCCAACAGGTCAGGTCTGTATTCAGAGTTCGCACCCTCGAGACGCGGGTTGTCCGGTGCAGTCGCAAGATACCTATGCACGGCGAGCTTCCAGTAGTTACGATACCCGAGTGCGCCGAGCCCCGAGAGCGGTTTCTCCGGCGAGCCCAGCCGTTGCTCTCGTTTCGACAATAGGTAGCCTGGCAGTACAAACATCAGTCAAAGACGGCAGAGCGATACTGTTCACTGACTGAAGTCGATCAAGAGGTTCCCAAAGCCCTGGCGCTGGCGTACTGGCAACGTCATGATGCAGCTCAGATTGTAGTCCTTATGACTACGTTTCTCCTTGCTGAAGTAGCCAACGAAGCGCGCGCCAACTTCGTCGACTTCCGTCATGACGTAAAATAGGAAGGGCTCGACGTCGTAAAAGAGTGACTTGTGGTCGAGAAACATCTTCGAAAGAAGGCAGAGGTTCTGGCAGTATATCTGCATAATATGTGAGCAGACCGACAGAGGGAAGAAAGCCGAAAGACGTACCTTGTTCCGCCGCCCGTCTACCTCGAAGATCGACACCGCCCCATCGCGATATATCTCATCGCCAGGAGGATGTCGCATCTTGCACTTCAGCTAAAAGTTCGTGTCAGTCCCCTTGCTCATCTTCGACTGCAAATCACGCACCTTGTGCCTCCCCGCTGTCAACCGACTCTTCATATACTTCAGGCAAAACTCGCACAACCAAAGCCTCCCATCGGGAATATTCGAGTACTCTTCCGGGAACGGCGCATCGTACCACGTCTTGATATCGTAGGGGCCAAAGCGGATGCACTGGATGCGCTGCCCAACTCCCGGCGGTTGTGCCTCCACGGGGGCGGGCGACGACGCGACAGGCTGCGTCTGCGTTAGACGAGGATGGATTCGGGGGCGAAGGCCAGAGGGGCCAGCTTCCGGTTGTTGCTGCTGTTGGTGCGACTGCCCCGTATCCCACTCGGGTGGCTGTGCTGTTGCGGAGCTGGCTAAGCGCGCCTGGATGTGATGGGAAGGTGTCAGCACTCCTTGGTCTCAACGCTCATGCTGTGAGGACGCAGCAAGACGCAGCTCGAAGACGCACCTCAGCTCGCGTGCGTGCCGCCTCAAATCTCCGCGTATCCTCAGGCGTGATCTCCGTCTTGGACGTATCTCGCTCCTCGGGCGTGAGGATGTCGTCGAACATGCCTTTCTGCTCCTCCTCGTCCTCCTCTCCCTCAACATCGATGTCGTCGTCCTGGAAGTGCGCGCGCTCTTTCCCCTTGTTCCTCTGCGGCGGTAGACGTATACGAAGGGGTTGCGGGCTGGACGGCGCTGCGACTCGGCGACGCTTATGAGACCGCGAGTCGTCGGTTATGGAGATCTGGCTGGCGGAGGCCTTCAGTTTGCCCCTCTGCTCCGTTGTCGAGGCCACGGACGCCGCCATCTTGGCTGACAGGCGCGACTTCCTCTTGGGCAAAGTGAGACTTTCGACATCGACTTCCTCCTCGTCTGAGGATACTACGGCGCGATGCTTCCGCTTGTGGCTCCGTTTCGCGGGCGTGGGAGGGGGTAGCTGCGAGGTGGATGCGACGGGCAGTTCTGAGGTGCTCTGCGCAGGCGAGGAGAAGAGGTCCTGGACTGAAGGCTGTTCTGGCTGTTCTACGGACTGTGTCATCTCCTGTTCTGGGTGCACACATTCTTGAGGATAATCTCGTTCGCAGCCAGGGCAGTACCACTTCCCAGTGGGCATCTCCGCTATAGGGGGGTCGAAGCAGTCCATATGGTAGCCTAGGATGGAGTTAGCCACTGCACCTCCCGGAGAGGCGATCATGGACGTACCTCTGTCGCATCTGTCGCAGAACATCAAGCGATCCTGCAGAGTTCTCTCAGTGAGCGAGCGAAAGAGCAAACGAGTCACGCACATCCGCGCCCTTCTCATGACAGAACTCGCACTTCTTGCACTCTATGCAAACCCAGGCATACGAGTGCAAAATCTCTGCGACATCCGCGAGCTGCAGGCAGGATGGATGACCTGTACGACTGATGAGCTGTATGCTAGGATGGGATGCGCAGTGTACGCACCGACACGGCCGCATTCGCTACAGCCGACCATGGACTCGGGAACACCGTACTTATTCTTATGGTCATCCCCGCGGCAGAAGGAGCATCGTTTGCGTCGCTTGGGACCCCTAACCCTGCGTGTCATCGGGGGAGGCTCCTCTGGATGGGGGGCGGGAGGGAAGAGTTCCTGCTGCTGGAAGAGTGCCGGATCGCCCTCGGGGACCTGCGAGTACGCGTAGTATGTGTGCTTGCGTGGAGTGGGCTCCTCTTGGGTGTCTTCATGGGGTGGGACGGCCTCCTGTATGCGTGTTAGCCGTGTATATTGGATTTGATCTGTCCGACGCGACGCGTTCTGTACGCGACCGCGCCGGGTCGATCGCACTAAGAGCGGACCCTCACCTCTTCTCCCTGCTCCTTCTTTGCCTTCTCCACCAAGCTCGGGTCCAGGGGAATGGCATTGAGGGCCGGGTCAATCGGTATGTCGTCCGTGGCGTTGCTGGGCGAGCCGCACTCGTTTGACGTCTCGCGGTCGGCCTGGGGGTCTGTGGGAAACGCTAGCCCCCTCATTGTCGATGGCGGTGAGGACCCGCGGAATGGCGGCGGGAAGGAAGGGGGTGGTCCGAGGAAACGCTCGTCGTCGCCGTTCAATGCAGCGCTGGGCGTTTGTTATTTCCTGTTTGGCACAGGCCTGGCGCCCACAGCCGGATCTCCGGCCCGGTGCGAGTGTAGGCGCGCCGCCCGCGCGCCACCTTTTCAGGTGAAGGATCCGCCCTGCACCTCTGCGAAGGCCCAGAAAATATGAGAAGGGTAATCATGGCGAGGGGATGACCGTGTGATGGTGTGTCGAAGGCCTCGTTGTAAGAGAAGGTCTATTTCCCCGGATATGATGAGGCGCGTCCTTTGCGCGTCTTTCGGAGGGCCTGTCGGGTGCCTTTCAAGTCGGATCAGAGGTAAGGCAAGACCACTGGCTCCATCCATCCCTAGGCGAGCGCCGGGTTGAAGGGGAGGGAGAGCATGAGAAGAGGGGAGAGCGGGAGACGGTGGCAACGTCGAAGTGGTGTCTGAGTTGATTCTCTTGTCTTCATCGCGAAGATGGACGTGCGGGAAGAGTGATGATGGGCCTGTCCAGAAGACAAGACGCATATGTTGATACGTATTTGAAGGTCATCTGCAGGTGCGTCTCTTCCTCCGACTCACAACTTCCTCGCTAGCTCCCGAGCTCTCACCGATACAAAGCTCCTCGCGATCGCCACCACACATTCAAGCAAGTCCTTTTCAAGCTTTATGCCGCCTGGTCATTTTGCGCTTCTGCTAGAGAACTACGTAGACTACAGTCTGTTCGTCCTACACATACGCTCGAGGGCACATACGCCCCAACCAAGACCATCCTTCGCGTCGAGTGCGAGGCTCACCAAAGTTCATCAACTTCAAACTTCAGCCCTGCGACCTACTTCCTCCCCTTCCGCTTCTTCCCCTCCGCGCCGCTCGTCTCCCCACCGCTCAACTCATCCCCACTAGCTGCACCCTTCCGCCCCGCCTTCGTCTTCTTCAGGTGATGCTCCGGCACCCACTCCTCCTGGTAGCCGCCCGCGCCGGTCGCGGTCACAGAGACGGGCGTGCTGACGGAGGACTTCTTGGTGCGCTGGCGCTTAGGCGGGGGCGCGTAGGAGAGGTAGGTGAGGTAGCCGGCGGTGCCGAGGATGCCGGCGACGATGAGGTAGGTGGTCCAGCTGGGAGGAAAATTGATGAGGGTTGGACAGTATGGGGAGGACTTGAGAGGGGAGGGAGTATCGGGACAATGCTCACAGCTTGAAGTCGAAGAAGGAGAGCTCAGGCTCGACGACCTGAACGATGTCTTCGAAGGCAGAGACGCGGTAGACGGTGTCCTAAAAGACATGATTCGTCAGCGTTCGAACGTCTCCCCACACTATCAGGACTCACATCAGCAGCGTAGTCGAGCCAGACATTCAACCGGATGTCGCCAGTCTGGTGTGTTCATTCAGTCGTTGCTCCGATTTCTGAGGTAGCATGTTAGGTACCTTGAATCTGACGATGTGCACATGTCAGTCTCGAGTTCACCAAGCGGAATAAGAACGCACTCGCTGAAGAACTCATAAGGCAGCTTGAGGCCAACGCTCTCCACCAGGGACACGCCATACGGGAAAGTCGTAAGCTGCCGAGAGCATCAGCGTCTGGTTACACACATTTCTCCCTAAAGAGGCGGTTGCCCCTTTACAGAAGACTGACAGGGTAAAGTTGAAAGTTATGCACTCACGTTCCTGATCAACGCGCCAGAGTCGGGCTTGGTCACCGAGCCAGCGATGTTGAGAAGCGTAACGTTCTTGTCGGACTTGTTCTCAACGTTGATGACGAGCAGATTCTTCTCCCCGTTGACAATTTCTGTTGCAGGCAGGGTATAGAAGAGGGAGTAAAGCAGGGGGGCATGCAGCAGCGCGAGATTTAAGGGGAAGCAGTAAGGACAGCAACACGAAGCAGACCAGAAAGATGCGAGTCAGTCACTGGCAAAATGCAGCAAGGCTTAGCTACGCACGTCCGAAGGGGTTTTCCTCTGGCCAGAACGCGCTCACGGCGACGAGGGGTCCAGTAACAGTGAAGGTCTTCTGCTCCGTCTCCGTCTCCGCGGCTGGAAGTTGAGCATTAGCAAACCTGCTCCTTTCCCCACACTCTTTCCCTTTCCCCTTCCCAGTCCCCTCCTTCTTCCGTGGCACATCTCTCCCCTCCCCTCACTGCATCCTCCATACGACTGGCTCTTTTTCAACTGATTCCACACATGCACCCTCTCCTCTCAAGAAAACGCGACTCACACTGCGCGAAGACGCCGAGGGTCAGGAAGGACAGAGCAGCACCGAGGTAGAGGTGGAACCGCATTTCGAGGGTAGCCGACCGGGGTAGGGGAAAGACCTGTTTATCGGGACAGAGACCGGATAATGAAGGAAGACGGAGAAGAGGGTCGCGAGCGATGCGCTCACCGACTGCGAGCGCCACGTTAGCGCGCGTCAGCCGATAGCCGATCATATGGTCACGTGTGTGGACCTATGGTGGACCTACATCAAGTTCGAGACTTGGTAAAGGCGTCTCCATGGTCTTACGAGCAAGCGTAGACGTTTCGCATGGACTGTGGATCCGTGTATATCTCTGGGATATGCCTTGATCTCCTCAAGAGGCTGGATCCTGGGGAGGAAATTAGGAGCACGAGAACCGCGTGCTAAAGGCAGCCGCTCATACGTTGTGATCACGCTGAGCACTGGTTAGAAGGATAGATATAAATCACTGGAATTACTAGACTACGTGCAGTAGGTAATACAAGGGAGACATACAAGATGGCTATAAATATAGGCAAGGGCGCTCGGGTCGTAAAGTACAGTAATTAAGGCAGCCATAGGCGATACAGTAATAATCTAGCAAATATCGACCATGGAACTTAGCCTTAGATGCTCTCGAGGTCGGAGTCCTCCTCATCCGACGTCGGCTCGCGAGGGCGAAGCTTCACAACCCGAGTGCGCTTCACCTCGAGGTGTTCCTCGCCGAAGTAGCGCGACGTCTCAAAGCTCCAGCTAAAAGTTAAAGGTCAGTACTAGAGAGTATGAATGATTGCCGCATCACGCACTCAATGTTGCCGCGGATCCAAAACCCGACGGCATCCGCATAGCGCGCCACCGCCGCGTCAATCTCCGGGCCCCAAGATGGCAGATTCGCCCTGCCGCGGGTGTACTGGGCCATGAGCTCCTTGGTGAGCTCGCCCAGGTAGTCGGCGACGCTCTGGATGTCGAGGTTGCGCTCCTGCATGAGGACCGTGACGATGTTGTTGCCACTGGAGGAGACGTTAGAATCTGGCAGACAGATCTCATGGACGCCACCTCCTTACCTTAGCCCCTTTGCCTGCTCCATGTTGTAAGAGTACAGATCCTGTTGACGGCACGGTCAGTAAGAGGCAGTGCCGGGTTAGAAAGATACGCACATTATGCCAGCAGACCAGATCCGCGCCGGCCCAGTAGATCTCCTGGAAGGCAGGATCTTCGAAGACGTAGTCCGGTAGGTCGATGCCGAGGCAGTACTGTGATAATTGTTAGCGCCTAGGTCGTCCCTCGTATGTGATCGGCTATCATACCTCGAAGAGGCCAAAGCAAAGGCGGATGGCGCTGTTCTCGCGGCGCAAGGGGACGAAGTCCTTGTGGGACAGGACGCGGCTCTCCTCGCGCAACTGTGCCTCAACGCTGACAGCCTCAATGTAGTCATCGCAGTGCTTGAGGAAGCGGCGGAAGGCGCGAGGGCCGAAGCGGGCGGTGAGGCGGTCGCGGAATCTGGGGAGAAATTAGTCGTGTTGGATGATACCACTGAATCTATACGCACTCCTTCGTCATCTGATAGAGCGTAGTACCCTCGTCGACCGTAGAGCCGTGCATGGTGCGGAGGTAGACGTTGCCGGTCTCGCGCGCGTCGTGGCCGTTCTGCTCGTCGCTGACCTCATCAACGACGAAGAGGAGGTTCACCTGAATCATGATGAGGACGAAGAGGGCGCGAGAAGGACGGTGCGAGGGCTTACAAAGTCGCAGCACGTGCGGAACTCTTCGTAGCCCGCATATGGGTAGCAATGAGCAACGAGAAGCTCGTTCATGCTAAGCGCGCGTCAGTAACAGTCGGACGATTGAGTGGAGTAAGCACTCACCCCTGGACGAAGTAGGCGCGCTTCTTGTCGGTGAAGACGTCGAAGCTGTTGATCCAGTCGCGAGACTCCTTGGCAGCCCCCGCGTAGTGAGGGTTCATTGCGCCCTTGATGGCAGCGCACGTCGCATCGAGGTCGGGGAGAACAAATTGAGTGGCCATTGCGATGAAGGTGAGACAACGAGAAAGAGAAAGAGAAATGAGGCTCGAGAGAGGAACTGGAGAGAAGTGAAGATGGGGGTGAAGGACTCATTCACTGTCTTTTATATTGCAGGGATAGCCGCCGTGCTGACTGGATCTGAAGTTGGCCTCCATTCCTGACACTGCGCCAGAGGGCGAATCTGAGATCTGCGTAGTGCGGCACCGCGGCGTCCGGAGCAAGCATCGGTGGGGTCACGCAGCAGGGGAGTAGGGTTCGGTGAGTATACCGCCGCGGTGCGAGCTGACAAGCAAGTTGATGCCAATAACCGCCATTGAAAAAAGTGGGCTAGAGCGCCGGCATGGGGCTGCAGATGCGGTGAAAGGAGTGTTATTCCATTAAACATTGCGCCTGCTGCACTCCCCTCCGTCCGGAGCGCGCGCCGACACACGTAGGATCCGCGCAGTGCGCGTCGCAGACGGGCTTGAACGACGAGTCGGCGCGTGGCGAGCCCAAAAGGCCGCCCGCGTGGGCGTCTCGCCGACCGGTGATGATCGGAACTAAACCGGAGATCAAAAGATGTTGAACTTGACGGCAAAGACGGTTTAGCGCTGCGATGCCATGAACTGCCAGCTGTGGGAGCAGGACCGATTGGGATAGATCTGCATAGATGCATGTATCAACCCATGACCGCATATTTGACAGAGAAATACAACATACCGCAGACATGGGGTGCCTGGGATGAACATTTGCGAGGGGACTGCAACTGCAGTCTGGCTGTACTCCACCGGGCACGGAGTGATGAATGCTGGATATCGCAAAATTGTAACGCCAACGCGCTAGCGCTGGACGATACTGCTTCAGGAGGCCGATGATTTTCGGCGGACTGGCGCGGGGCGAAAAGTATCGGACGCCGGGCATGAAAGCTTCGTCTGTCGCCATAACCTTGCCCGCGGTTTGCTAGACGCAAATCCGCGATTACGCTCCGAGTTTGAGCTCGACCATAGATACCAAATTTTATCTGGCACCGTTTCCTGGACACAATCAAGACTCGGGCGTCGGGTCGGATACGGAATCGCCGCGGGCGCATCCTCTGCTCCATCGGTCGCAATGACTTGTATCCTTTGCAATGAACAGCACGAGTACGCAGCGCTACCGAGGTTGTGAGCATGACATATTTGCCGACATGATGGGGAATACTGCAGGAGCGCCGAGCGCCTACTTACCTGTGCAGTAGATTGCTTTTTCAACTTGATTAAAGTCCATTTACAAACGAACTTCTGCAAGACAAGAACATGTCGACATGACTCACCTACTAAGGACACAGCGTTTCGACATACCGAACCTCCTCGAGTGCCGCCGTATACACGCGCTCACCAGGAGCGGTCTCCCCGATATCGTTCCAGACGCGCGCCTTTGCATCATTCTAGTTCGACGCCACTCGAACTTCGTTGTGGGTGTCCCTTCACATGATCACCGCGATTATACACAGAGCGCGCCGGCCCGAGTGGATGTTTCGGATGAGCTGGGATGATTCAGCATGTCGGGACAGGGCAATTTGGACATGGATCGTATGAATCTCAACTGAAGGCGAACCTGGATCTGTGCAAGGGCGTAAACGCCCAAGGGCAGTCCAACGCAGATTTCGGCGGTATCTGCCGTGTCAATGTCCATACATTGCTTGGTCAATGGGGTAGAAGAACAGGACTGATGAGGCCTCACCGTCGGATCCTACCTCGCTGAGTCACCGTTCGTTCTGCAGACCGCATACCATCGCGGCTGCTACAATGACAGCAATCCCGAACCTGATGACGCGGCTTGCTATGCGTGCGGCAAATGAGAAGTTCGCTGGAAAAACAAATGTAAGTTCTCAGCCAGGCTTTCTGAATGAGGCTCACATCTACAGTATTTGGGGAGTAATGCTTCTCCGGCTCCAGAGAGTAGTACTATTCCCGGCCGAGGTGGGAGCAACGGGCTGCTGGCCAAACCTCAGCTTCGACAAGGAGTCGGCAATGCGGATAACGTACCTCAAAGCCTGGCCGAACTCGATGGCAGAATCTGACGGCGAGAATCATTTGCGGCGTCCTGGATCTGGCAAGCAACTATATTCCTTGGGTGGCGCCCAATGTCATACTACTTGAATGGGTAGTATGAAGGAACGTGATAGGAGCAGATGAAGCAGGCAGCGGTAATCTCGACCGAGATGTACAAGATTCGGGGGACAACATACCGGGAGCGCCGCCACGTAAGTCGCACGACCACCCCCTTGGCTAAGACTGGAAGCAGTGCATTGCGATGTTCTAACAATACAGAAGGACGTACACGACGATGATACCCAGAAAGCGCTCAGAAACAGATACGATAGCTAGCATAACGCCCGCTGGTCTCGCTTGGTCGGATAATTTTGACGACCTGCCCACGGCGCAGCCCGAAGTATCTTGCGACCGGATCGGCTATTTGGATGCGCGGCAGTTGTGTTTCTTTGAGGCGGCTAGAGGACCAGCGTCAGACGACGATACGATGATGGTCCGGGCAAGCGCCCCGATGCGTCCGGAAAATGATGACTCACTAGCGCTCCAGGAGTTCCCTTTTCTCCTCAGGTTTGAGGACGATGTGTTGGGGTACAAGGGTATGATGAGTAATGTTGACGAGCAGGTCGGCCTCGGAGAATTCCTCGAGCCTGTACTGCGATTGCATAGCTACGATGACCTACATAAGATGTGAGCGAAGAGGGCAGTGGAATAGAAAGTGGCGAACGCACCTTTCGTGCCGCAGGGGTCATATTCCCAGGGAAGATGATGATCCCTCTACGTATCCCCTTCTCTTCCAGTATACCCAGCAATCTGACGGAAATGAGCAACCATTACTTGAGGATTCGCCAGGCGGGACTCACTTTCGCATTGTCTTCACGCCAACACTCCTCTCATCTGAAAAGAACACAAAGATCTGGTCCGTCGTGTCGTCTCGGTGGTTCGTGAAGAAGTTGAGCTGATTCCGGCTGCGAACACGCTCGTATAACAAGGGGGATTGCAGGGCGCAACGACTCACTCACTCGACCGATCTGCTTTGCGAAGCATACTGGCTCTTGAAGTCGTCGAGGCTCAGGTTGATTTCGTAGTCCGCGACCTGGAAGCCCTGCATAACATGTAAGCGACATTGTCGCGCCGTATCGTTCTGTCCTCGCGTACGCGGTCTTTCACCAGCTCGTGGATGGTGCGGTTGACCTTCCATAGCCGCGGGACCTCGTCGTCTTCGTTGCTGGCCATGGTGGTAAGAAACAAAAGTTTTACGACGCCGATCGCGTCGCGTCTGGCCTTGTCCGCGCCTTGTTCCCAACCATCATCATCATGTCGCGTCCCTCTACTAGTTCAGGTAGTGCAATGCAAGTTACTCAGGAGCTCTCGAACCCCCTCATGGTGCGCAGGAATGCCACCCGAGTAAGCCCCCCGTTGACGTCCTTGCGCAAGTAGATGAAGTTGAAGCCTGCGCGAATATTCAAAGGCGCCGTTGAACCAACCCCCGCACCATCTCCCGGCGCGCCACAGAGGGGCCCTGCGGGTCCTAAGCACATCACTGGGCTCTCTTTTGATGACCAGGGGAACCAGCTGATTACGGCGGGCGAGGACGAGACGTTCAAGCTCTACAGTTGCAAAACTGGCAAGCGAGTTCCCTTTCCGCCGTGACAATGCTGCATGCTGACTGTGGAGTAGACAGCTGAAGGTCTTTTACTCGAAGAAATACGGTGTTACACTACCCCGCTTCACGCACAAGAGCACCGCGATCGTGCATGCGTCAACGAAAGAAGACGACACCATCCGGTACCACTCACTGCACGACAACAAGTATCTGCAGTACTTTCGCGGGCACAAAGGAACGGTGACCTCCCTTGAGGTCTCACCAGTCGACGACGGCTTCATCTCTGGCTCCATGGACAAGACGGTCCGCATGTGGGACCTTCGCGCACCGACATGTCGTGGCCTGCTCCCCCTTCCCTCCCCTCCAGTATGCGCCTATGACCCCTCTGGCATGGTCATCGCCGTCGTCATCAACCGGCACGCGCGCGTCCTCATGTTCGACCTGGCGAACTACGACAAGGACCCCTTTCTCGTCGTCGAGCTCGTCGACCCCACGCTCTCACGCATCAGCTATCCGCCACGGCCGATCTGCGCCACTTCACTTTCGTTCTCTGCGAACGGCAAGTTCATGCTCATCGGTTGCTCCGGTGACGCGCACTACATCGCGGACGCCTACTACGGGAACATCATCGCCAAGCTCGAGGGGCACGTCGGGCTCGAGCGACGCTCGACCAACGCACAGGTGACGATCGAACCAGTGCGCGGATGCAGTGGGGAAGAGGTGTCGTGGACGCCGGACAGCAAGTATGTTGTGTCGGGCAGCCTAGACGGCAAGATCATCATGTGGCACATGGAGCCGTTGAGCAACATGATGGAGAAGAAGAACGAGGACGAGCGAAAGACGATGGCTATGATCCAGATACCGCCACTCGTCAAACTTGACGGTCATCCGGGGCCTTCCCGATGTGTCAAGTTCAATCCTCGGCTACTCATGATGGCTTCGGCCGGCCAGGAGCTGGTAAGCGTTCACTTGATGTATACCACAAGTTGACCTGACTTTCCACAGGCGTTCTGGCTACCAGATCCCGCACCGGACAGTGAGGAAACTGCCAAAGACATCTTGAAGAAGATGTGAGGGGACTTGGCTTTGCTTGTACTGTATCTGGACTCTCTGTCACTTGTAGCCTACCATATCCCTTGTCGTCTTACAAATGATTGCATACGAGCCTCCGGCCGAAAATCACTCTGATAGCATAGCAAGTAGGGATGATTGACGGTCCACTTGCAATCAAAGTAAGCTTTAGGTGCGCAGCTTCGTTTGGTCAACCGCCTCTGCTAGAATTTGTCTTTCGGTGTCCTTGTCCGCGAAATAAATAGGGTATGTACATGCAGAACGCGGTATTGCAAAAGTCCGAATCCTCGAGCGAAGGTTCATTGTGCACTGGCCAACGCCTCCCTGACCGTACTGCGCTCCGCCAGAAGTGCGACCGTCTGCCATCGCGGGTCATTTACCTCCCTATCTCGCAAGAGCGGGATGTTGGCATCCTCGTCGTATTTCTCGGTGGCGTCACCGACGAACAACTCCGTTGCCGCCGCGCTCTGGTTGGGGAGCGTATATGGTGCGACGACGAAGAGGGCACGGAACGAGTCGCGAGTCAGCACTTTGCTAGAGGATGACTGAATGAAGAGACCGGTTAATTACAATTCGAACTTCTGAAAAGCTGGCCCACTTACGCGAGTAGAGGGTTTCGAGGCATTAATGGAGGAAATTGCATGCGAAGACGAGGTGAGAGATAATGCTCGCGCAATAAGCTGCTTCAGCTTGACCTCGCAAGCTAGATTGATCAATAGTGGCACTTGTCGTGATGGCGGTCCTATGTTGTTCTGGGCGCAAATCAGGTTGACACGATCTGCAATATGTTGGACTGTCGGCGCTCTAGACATTGAGGCCAAATTGACGGGCAGACGACTTCCTGGAGGGTCTGCGGGCATATATGTAAGCGCGTGAGTTCACGACCAGCTCCCATAGTCCTACCTCCTCGCTCAAGTAAACGAATCACACCCCGCTCCCTGGCGATTTCGTCGGTGTCAGGTCGCGGGCGAGGCGGATCCAGCGCGGGTGGCAGAGTCGGGAGTTCACGCAGGCGAGCGCGCTCCTGATGTCCGATACCAAGAGCCCATTTCTTCAGACGTGCCGAGCGATAAGTAAGATCCTCGTCCGGCGTATCAGGTCCTTGGTAAGGCAGAACCCGTCGCCGCTTCCGAGGCGGTGGCTTGGGTGCATCGCGCGAGGGAGATGGTGGCCGCTGTTTATACGCTATCGCATCGAACAGCGAGATGACCAGGGAGTTGTGGAGTTGTACTGTAATCACAGGTTTTATGAGACGGTCAATATGCGGCAATTTCCGCTAAACTTACTGAGGTAAGGTGTATCCAGGATTTTGCGGACTTCCTCCTCGAATTCAGTGCGCGAGATCTTCGCAGAGACATAAGCCGAGAAGAGCTCAAAGTATGACCTTGAGCGGTCGCCGAGATGGGACGTCAGCTGAGCTTTGAGGTTGGGTGTCGAGTCTAACGACATGGTTGGAGGTCAAGTTGCGAACAGCGCTTGGTCCATCATGTTGATTTCGGGAAGTACCGACACGTGATTTGCCACATCACCGAGACCTTCTCCGAGTTCTCGGCGTATGCCGAGGTGGTTTCCCTTTTGTCTGCGACGTTCACTGGTGACTGGACGCGAAATCGAAGTACCTCCTCTTGTTCCTGAAAGCTATCTGAAAAATGAGATCCTATGGCCAGGTGACCTCACGCACTCGAAGGAAGGGCGGCCCGCTGAGTATCTCACGGGAATCCGATGTTACTCCAAGGCCCGGTCTCCCTCTTGACAAGACAGCGTGGTCCCGAGCTTCGAGCCTGCGTACCGATGCACACTTCTGATCCCTCAATGATGTCTTCCACGTAGTCTCGGCCGCCCAAGGCTTTCCCGAGCATATAAAGCATGGTCACGTCGACGAGATCCTTTCCATCCGCATCCCTCTGGCGCCATGCGGAGTGCACATATCCTCGGGTTCCTATGCTTGGGACCGTCTGTCGCGTTGGCGAGCTACTCTTTTGACGATGAGTTTGCCGACCTTGGGATCTCGCTGCACTCACGCGCCGAGAATGTTGATGGCTCCCTTCCTGTATACAAGGACCCTACCGCGGACATCGAAGCTCGCGTTGAGGATCTTCTTCCACGTATGACCATCAAGGAGAAGGTCTCACAACTGTAAGGGAGCTTACCACGATTTGGCTTGTCATGCTGATACTGTCATACCTCAGTATTCAGGGTGATATGAACGGGTGGATGAACTTCTCCGACCCCTTGGACAACACACTTGTGCACAATGAGACGGGCGTGGTGAGTGCATTGCATCTGACCTTGTCTGCGTGCCGACAATGGGCTAGGCAGAGATGCTGGACGCAAAGGGTGGGATGATATGGGTTGGATACCAGACGCCGTACGACAAGTTCGTCTATGGTGTCGAGATTGGGCAGCGCTATCTGATGGAAAACACGACTCTCGGTATCCCGGCACTTGTGCAGTCAGAAGGTAAGCCTTACGTATCGCCCCTCGTCCCCCGCTCATGCCGCCATAGGTCTGCACGGCTTCACGAATAACGGCACGATCTTCCCCTCGCCGATCGGCCTTGCCGCGACCTTCAACACCTCTTTGATCTCCGCGATTGCGAAGGTTATCGCTGACGAATCCGAGCCCTTGGGTATCAACCACATCTTCGCGCCTGTCCTCGACCTTGCCCGCGAGCTTCGTTGGGGCCGCGTCGAGGAAGGCTTTGGCGAGGATCCCTTCCTGACCGGAGAGCTCGGTGCTGCCTTCGTGGAAGGGCTGCAAAGTGGACGCCGTCAGAATGCGAGCGACACCGCTGTAGCTCGCGTTGCAGCTACGTGCAAGCATTTCGCGGCCTTTGGATCGCCTCAGGGTGGACTGTAAGGCGTTGCTCTTGGTTCAGCACATGACCCAAGCTGACCTTGTATTGGCAGCAACATCGCTCCAGTCACCGGTGGCGAGCGCGAGCTTCGAACCATGTATCTGCGTCCTTTCAAACGTGCCTGCTTGGACGCTCTGTCCTTTATGACTGCGTACTCAAGTTACGATGGCGTGCCGACGGCTGCTGACCCGCGTACGTCAACTCAGCGGATGTCTCCTTTCATGGCTCACTGACTTTGCGACATCAAGACATCCTCATAGAGATCGTAAGTGTCCTCCACAAGGACCGCACGAAACGTCGCTGACACTACGACGGGCAGTTGCGCGAAGAATGGGGCTATCCGTACTTCGTCGTCTCCGACGCTGGATCAGTTGACCTCCAGATTACTACGCACGGTACCTGCGAAGACCGGGCTTGCGCGGCGCGGAACGTTCTCGTAGACGGACGCAGCGGCGAGATGGGTGGCGGAACCTACACGTTTTTTACCTTGGAAGGTGAATAGACTGCGACTGGGTACGCGCCACTGCTCAGGAATGCAGACCAGGTGAAGAACGGCACAGTCGCAGAGAGCGATCTCGACGAGGTCGTGCGTACACTGCTTAGAACCAAGTTTGCCCTCGGATTATTCGAGAGTGAGTGACGACCCTTCCGAAATTGATTTCACTAGAACAACGCGTGCTTCTCCAGATCCATACCCCTACAAGGACTACACGTCGCAGATTCGTACAGAAGAGACGCTGGAAGTGCTTCACCAAGCTGACCTCGAAAGCATCGTGCTTCTCGAGAACCGCAACGATGTATTGCCGCTAGATGCGGGCTCGCTGGGCTCCATCGCCCTCATCGGGCCTCAGGCAGGGCGTGTTTCGGTGTGTCCTGCCAGCTCAACCCCTCTGTTTATCCTGATCGTCTAACGATTCTGTGAAGATGGGCGACTACGTGTTCCTCAATGCCTCCGACAACGGTATCACGCCTGTCGACGGGTTCAAACAATATCTCGAAGGCGTTGGGTCCCAAACAATTGTGAACTACGCAGAGGGTTGCAAACTCTGGTCGAATGACGAGTCCGGGTTTGACGAGGCGGTCGCTGCTGCGGAGGCTTCCGATGTCGCAATCGTGATGGTAAGACCTGGTGTTCATCGACTCAACTCTGTCAACTCACTATCTGTTAGGTCGGCACCTGGACACTCGACCAGACGAACCTCTGGACACCGGGCACGAACGCAACAACCGGCGAGCACGTCGACATCTCTTCCCTTGCCCTCGTCGGTGCCCAACTCCGCCTCGCACAAGCCATCCACGCCACCGGCGTTCCCACCATTGTCGTCCTCGTCAGCGGCAAGCCCGTCGCGGAACCCTGGATTCAAGCCGAGCCCGCTGCGGTCCTGCAGCAATTCTACCCCGGCGAGCTTGGCGGGCTCGCCCTAGCGGAGATTATCTTTGGGGAGTACTCGCCCTCGGGGAAGCTTCCGGTGTCGTACCCGCGGAGCGTGGGCACGGCACCGGCGTTTTATAATTATTTGAAGGGCGCGAGGCCCATAGATGCGGGCAGTGTGCTGGAAGATGGCACGCTGATGTTTGGGCATCAGTATGTGCTAGATTCGCCCGTGCCGTTGTGGTCGTTCGGTCATGGTCTAAGTTATACGACCTTCAATTAGTACGTGCCCCTCTCCTCGGAAGTACCTACTATGCGATGCTGAGGCCCTTTCCAGCACGGACCTCGTCGTTCCCAGTACCATCGGCACCGCGGACGATTTCGAGGTCGAGGTCACCATGCATAACACAGGCACTCGCGACGCAGCGGAGACCGTGCAAGTCTACATGACGGACGTCTTCAGCTCTGTGATGACGCCGAATCAGGAGCTCGTTGGCTTTGCGAAAGTGTTCCTTCCGTAAGTCCTTGAACCGCCCCCGCGCAACCTTGTAGCTCATGAAGCAATGCTTGCAGCGCCGGATCGTCGCGGACGATCACGATTCCCGTTCACAACGACCAGCTAGCGGTCTGGAGTGCACGGGGGACCTGGGTGGTTGAGCCTGGGGCATTCACGATTAAGATTGGGACGAGTGAGGAGGCCTACCTGAGTACCACCTTGACGGTCGTTGCTTGATGGGATGTATGTAGGTGGCTGACCGGAGGCCTCGGAGGGCCGGCGCCGGGAATGGAACGAACGATGCGTGACGTCACAGTTCGTGTTCGACTCAGGTGACGAGGCGCCGAGGCCCGTGTTCAACGCTTCAGAGGCCCTTGCATTTATTCAATACCTGAACTTCAGGATACTGGTCCTCACAGGCTGTCTCTCGACGATGCGCGCTCTTCTGACGGCGCCGCTTTCATGTAATCGGAATGCTTCCGTACGACAAGAAAAAGTCGGCGCTCCCCTCTTTTTTGCCCTCACCTCATCATGAGCCCCAAGGATCGCAAGCGCGCCGCGTCGGTACAGATTCTCACGGACAGTGTAGGGTACGCGCCCTCTGCCCTTGGCGCCGCTCTGAAGCCTGATTTCGCGCCGTAGGAATGACCGGCAACACCACCTAACGAGAGGTTTCCAGCCGCAGACGTGCGTCTCGTGCTTGTTCACGCGTAAAGTGGTCGTGCCTTTTGGAGGCTTACACTCCTTCAGACCCATAGGCATTGGTGACAACACTCCGCGCTCAAGCTCACTCACGTACTTCAGTCGGAAGAAGCCCGCGCCGTATGAGCAGGCGTCCTGGTTCATGAAATGGGTAACTGACCCAGGTGTGTGCGCGTGCCCCTCCCCTTGTGCGCTCACTGATGACCTCTCACCCAGTCGCCGCCTTCAAAGTGCTCATTACTCCCGTCCTGGGCTACGTTGCCTACGAAGCGATCCCCCGCGCTGGTCTATCCCTCCCCTTTCCCAACCTCTTCGCGCCGTTCCTCTTCGTGCAGCACCGCGTGCCCAGCTCGCCAGAAGACGATCCGCGGTACCAAAAGGGTATACTTGACATTGTGCTGATTTCATACTACATTGTCTTCTGGTCACTATGCCGCATCCTCATCGCGGGCCGTCTCTTCCGGCGCATTGGGCGCTTCTATGGGCTCAAGAAGGGGCACAAACTCGACCGTGTTGGCGAACAGGGGTATGCGATAGCGTACTACACTGCGTCTGGTCTCTGGGGCTTGGTGCGCGCTTTGTTATCTGAGTTATGTGGAGGAGACAATACTGACAACAGCCGCAGAGAATCATGGCGCACCTACCCATCTGGTGGTATCGCACGGAAGAGTTCTGGCTAGGTACGTTCGCTCGCCTCACTCCTTCATGTGCTCAGCCTGACGCGTTCAACGCAGGCTACCCGCACTGGGACATGATACCCGAGCTCAAGCAGTTCTACCTGATGCAGTCTGCGCACTGGCTTCACGAGCTTATGGTCATGGTACTTGGCTTTGAGAAGCCCCGCAAAGACTTTGCCAAGCTCGTTGTGCATCACATTGTCACTTTATGGCTCGTCGGGTACGTGCATGCCACTCGGCGCGACGTGAGCTGACGCCGGCCTAGCTGGAGCTACCTGATCAACCTTACCCACATCGGTATCTCGGTCTTCGTCAGCATGGATATTTCTGATGTTTTCCTGGCCGTACATCTTCACCTCCCTGTACCGTTGCCATACGTCCCTGACAACGCTTTCCAGTCGTCTCTGTTGCTCGACTACTTGCAATTCTCCCGTGCCAAGATTGCCGTCTTCATCGCATTCTTTGGCGTATGGACGTAAGACATCTTATGGTACATCTATCTCTTACCAGTGACTGATTCCCTCCCTCCAGCTACTTTCGCCACTGGCTGAACCTCGTCATGCTCCACTCCGTCTGGACGGAATTTGATCTCATTCCGTGCGTACACTCTACTCCCCGCCCTTCCGCCTCACTATCTGTGTTTCATGAACCAACATATTGCTGATAAACGCCTCCTCACAGCGAAATCAACCGCCGCTGGGCGCCCTCGACCGGCGCTTGGCTCACCTGGTGGATGAAATACCAGATCTTCACGCCGATCCTCCTCCTCCAGTTCCTGAATATATTCTGGTACTATCTGATGTGGCGTGTCCTGCTTCGCGCCATCCGCACTGCGGGCGAGGCGAGTGATGTGCGGTCGGATGATGAGGATGCTGGGGAGGAAAAGGCGGAGGAGGCGAAGAAGAAGAGAAATTGAAGGGTTGGCATGCGCTCGGTAGCTTTCACGATACGGGAATGAGCGGTGAATCAGTTGACGTATGCATTTCGTAGAGCGGTGACGGAACACAAAAAGTCCTCGATGCTTTCAAGCAGTAGAATCTGTTGGTGCAGTGTCCTGCATTTGTCCACCCTGCGCCGCGTACAGCCTCTCCCGTGCTTGCCGAATCTGCTCCTGGCGCAGTTGTGCGAGTGCGGTCTCTTGGAAGGCCTGTAGATTACGATAAGTGAGCTCCTCAGTGATTGGACGAACATGGCACAAACCTCTGTGAAGAAGTACCCGGACAAAAGACCAGCGGCTATCCGGGAAAGTTGGGTCTCAGCATATAAACGACTTGTTACGGTCAAACGACGTACCGACACCGCTAAAAAGAGATGTCTTGGGCCCAAATTTGAAGAGGCGGCTACCAAGGAGAGCTGGAGACGACAACAATGTGATCAGCGAGATGCCCTACTTTTCGGGTTCAGAATGAGTCGAATACTTACAGGATACAAGGCCGCCAGTCAGCCCAGCAAAAGCTCCCTCTTTCTTCGCTTCCTAATTAACGGGAAGTAAGTCCCCATAACTCAACCAAAGTTAATGTATAATATGGAATTCCTTTTGCGGCACGCGTTGAATCCATTCCTCTCACCTTTATCACCCGCTCAGCCGCATTGGCAGGCAACGGCTCAACAGGCTTGTCTGCGTTAATACCCTACATATGCAATCAGCAAGGTCAGTGCTAGTTATTGATGAAAATATCATTATCAGGACTTGGCGAGGGGGAATGATGGACTAAAGGAAAAGAAAGACATACAAAAATGGTAGGGCGCTCGGACGGCACGTCGCTCATCTTGAACAGTGCTTGCTGGTAGCTTCGAGCAGACAAAAGAGCGAGTAGGAATCGAAAGCCGTGAGAGGTGTCCCCGGTGGTGGTGGTCAGAGCCAACCACGAAGCCGCGGTGCGGCACGGGACGGTTGTTTGCGGAGTCATGTGACGCTTTCTCGGATGGTTCCGAAGTTCAACTTCGGCTCTGGGATGAACTGTAGACGCACACGTTTTGGTGTTGCAGGACGAGCGGGAGATGGCGATAATTATACAGACATCCCGCGGACCGGTGTCTGATCCCATGACCTACACCTTTCCCCTTGTAGCACAAAGTACCAACACGCCCCAAGGCGTTTATCTCTCCTAAACCTGTTCCTCACATTGCACACCAACAAATTCCTTTTCCAATCCTTGCATGGTCTATTGGTATACCTAACGCCCAATTACGGTATGCATATGTATGCGGATAAAGATATTGTAGTACATGATGAGTTTGCGATGAGTAGATCGTCGTCACCAGCGCTGCCGCGGGCGCCGGAGTTTTTGTACGGCAGCGCATTCGTTTGGTAAGTACCCAAGGCGTGCAACCTCGGTAGTCATTAGTTTCCCCGCGTACCCCGTATTCCAGAGTCCTATAAGTCACATTCTCTTGCACCAGTCGTCGCAGTCGACATGAGAAATGTCTATTGCGCCTTCTTCTCCTCCTTGATATCTCGCAACGGGTCGAACTTGTAGTCCGGGTGCATGTACGAGCCGCCAGCACGGTCCGACCAAGTGAAGTACTGGCCGTAGTTCACCGTGAAGTAGACGTGGTGGAGGGTATGGTGCGCGGGGCCGTTGATGATGTTCTCGAGCGGGTGGCCGGTGATCATATCAGAGTCGTGAATCTGAGCGCCTGTTAGCTTGCGAAGGGGGGAGTGATGTAAGGTTAGACTCACGAAGATGCTCCAGAAGTTCACGAACACGAAGAGGCCAAGGTAGAGATAACGGTGGAGAGGGAAGAGGAAGATGAAGATGTGGTAGGGGAGGGACTGGATGTAGCCGTCGCAGGGGTGGAAGGCGTGCGAGGCGAAGGGGGTGGGGACTGGGAGAGCGGTCAGTACGAGCGGAGTAAGGTGAGGAGGGGAGACGTACTGATCCACTTGTGGTGCGGCTTGTGCAGCCAGCGGTAGATCACGGGGATGTGCAACCACCGGTGCGCCCAGTAAATGCAGTAGTCCGTGAATGCGAGGAAGCTGAGGGGGATTATTAGCACCGTGCTACGCGTGAAACCAACCGCTACTCACAAGAATATCGAGAACAGGAAGTACGGCCATCCGTACGTGCCGACATTGTCATACAGCCGGCTGTAGCCGTGCACCTCGGCCAAGAACCACGGCAGGGTAAGCAGCGTCATCATGGGGAACGCCTTCAAGCTCGTCACGATCTCCAGCCGGACCTGGTCCTTGAGGAACTTCGGATGGCGCATCATGCGCTTGTCGAAGATGAAGTTGTACGAGAACCAGGCGGTGGAGAAGTAGAGGAGGTGAATACCGAGGAGGGTGAGGACGGTGATGGAAATGGACTCGCGAAGGAGGTAGTCGCGCGGCCATGCAGAGACGGCCTCGTACGCGGCGACCTCGGGCAGCGGCGGGTGCGGGAGGTGGGACACGAGCTGGGTCCACTTGGAGGGGACGAGCGTGCTGTTCAGACCCTCGTACGCTTCGGGCGTCGCGGCGAACGCGGAGAGGGGAATGAGCTTCGCGTAGAGGGAGTCGAGTAGGTACTCGTCGGCGAGGGGGAGGATAACGTCCATGGCTGCTGCTGCTTCTGGCTACCTGACGCGCCCTGTGATACGCTGCGTGCGATGCGCTGTTGTGGGTGCCGGAGGGCGCTCGCCGTTGTAGACAACGTTGTCGCCGTTGCGTTTCTTATATTTCGTATGAATGTCAGGCCACTTTTTTGTCCAAAATCTCGATCGGGCCGGGGCACCGGCCAGGCTGGCCCATCTGTCTCAAGAGGAGAAACAAACCGTACGACGGTCATTCCTTGCAAGTTTCCTGAGTGTTTTGCATGTCTGGACGCTCCCCACAATGCGGAGAAGACAAGGGGACCCCACGAGCGTGGTCCAATGCCCATCCAAGCATCTGTCGTTGACGGGATGGCAAGTTAGGCTATAGGTCTATAGCTTCGAGCCTGGTGAGGGCAGCATCGACGGAAGTTACCACCCGCACCCGATCTTGATATACGCCGGGGGAGGGATGAAAGAGAACGACAAGGCCTGTAAACCTTGCAGACCGGAGCATCGCCCAAAATGGAATCAGCCATTGACATCACATCAATTTGATCGCAACTGGACATTATCTTATCTAATCTATACCAGCTAACTTCATAATTGAACTTTGATTGAGCCTCAGACGAAGTCCGTTAGGCAGCCCGAGTAATCGGCTTCCACCCCTCCTCGCCGCGCCACTCCTCAAGAGCTATGCAGTCCTGCGACGAGACCCACTGCTCGGGCATACGGGCTCCCGCGACTGTCGCATTGTCTACCACCTCGCGAAGTGCCTTGCGGTCTTCCTCGGGCAACACGATCTCCGCGCCTTTAGCGTTCTCTTCGGTGCGCTCAATGCCACGGCTGCCTGGAATCGGGACCACTGCAATGATGTGCAGTCAGTATCGATCCAGTGAGGAGCTAAAGGGAGTGAAGGGACACGCACTGTCAGGATGCTCCGCTAGGATCCACGCGAGCGCAATTTGCGCGGGCGTCGCGTTCAGCTTGCGCGCAATGGCGTGGAACTTATCGACCAGCTCGAGATTCTTGGGGAAGTTCTCAGGCGAGAAGCGAGGGAGGAAGCGACGGACGTCGCCCTCGGGGAAGTCCTCAGCGGACTTGTACCTAAGGGGAGGCGTCGGTTCAGTAAGAGTATAAAGTAAGCGAGATAGTGATTCGTCCGCGCGAGGTCAGAGAGGAGGTGCACTCACTTGCCGGAGATCATACCGCGTCCGAGAGGGGAGTATGCGACGATGCTGACGCCGAGGCTGCGCGCATAGTCGATGAAACCATCCTTCTCGATCTCCGTTTCTGCGAATCGTCAATCCTTTTTTTTACTTCCATCGAACGCCACCCCGCTCACCAAACGGACTGAACTCCATCTGCGCACAAATCAACTTCTCCCCCACCCCCTTCACGCCCTTCGCCCTCCTCAGCACCTCCTTACTGCACTCACTCAGCCCAATCCACCCAATCCTGCCGTCCTCTACATACGGCCGGAACACCTCCATCACCAACTCGATCGGCACCTGCGGGTCGACGCGGTGCTGGTAGAAAAGATCGATGCGGTCGGTTTGGAGCTTCTTGAACGCCAGCTCGATCTGCCGCTTGAAGGTGGAGGGCCGCGAGTCGAGCTGATCGAAGTTGCCCGCCCATTTGGTGGCGAGGAAAATTTCGGAGCGACGGCCTGTGGCGGCGAACCATTTGCCGATGAGTTCTTCGCCTGGGAGGGGTTAGGAGGGGAAGGGGGAGGAGGAAAGGAAGAAACTGCGTACTTGCGCCGTAGAATTCGGCGGTATCCTGGGTAAGGATGAGCGGTGCGGATATGGTTCTGCAAGGGAAGACAACATACCCAGAAAGTGAGGCCGCGGTCGGCGCAGTGGGTGAGCGTCTCAAAGGCTTCCTTATCGGTGGTAGGGCCGTAGTACGAGCTGAAGCCTGTGAGGTAGAATTAGACAATGGTGGTCAAAAGGGCATATCACGCTTACCCATTGCGCCGTATCCAATGGCGCTGACTAGAGGACCGTTGGAACCCAATCGGCGCTTAGGGTAGGAAGTGTTGACGGGCATGCTGGTCTGGGGAAGCCGAAGAGGTTTGTAAATGTAGTAAGGCCTAGGGATCGTTTACGAGCCGTTGGTGAGTATTTTCCAGTGGTCAGGGTGGCCTTATATATGGCATTCGTACCAGCAGCCAGAGTTCCATAGTCAGTCCTTCCCTCCGAGTCGCTTTGCTGAGGAGAATACAAAACGCTCGGCAATGATCATCATGAGCGTGCCGCGGGGCCGCGTACGTTCACCAGTGCATGCCGAAGGAAAGAGAGAGGGGGAAGTTACTGCGTTAGGCAAACGAAAGGCCATTCACGTTGTCCGAATCGGACCCTCGAGACATTTCAATGACCACTGGCGGTTTGTTGGTGGGGAGGAGTGCGATTCGGAGGGCTGAAGACCCTTGCGGACGTTTTGAATGCTCATAATAGCTGACAAACCCGACTCAATCGAGAGAAGAGCGGGGCAAAGACCTTATATACGAGGGGGAAACGAGTGATGGTTTTGGACAAGTTCATAAACCACGTGAGGCGTGACGCACGTGGCAAAATGCGTCATGCACCGATCCGGCTTCGGTCCGGCTCTCGAGTCGTGCTCGCTGTTCACGCCTTCCGTCCTGCTCCCATCTACGTCTTCGCTGTTCCTGCACGCTCACACTCTCGCAATATCTCACACTACAGACGACTCTTGACGGCTGAGCTACACATTCTATCCACTTCCCCCAACCATGACGGATAAGCAGGCTTACCTGGCCGCGAAATACATGTCTGGCCCAAAGGCGGACGCCATCCTCTCCAAAGTCGGCAAGAAGAAGAAGAGAAAGGCACCCGCGGCAAGTGCACCAGCACCCTCTGGTGGCGTCGTAGTGCACGATGACAGTGCATGGGGCGAGCAGCGCGAGGAGGAAGAAGAGGACCTCACCGAAGCCGTTGTCGCCTCCGACCGAAAATTCAAGAAGCGCAAGGTCGCGCGCGCGGAAGAGGGCTCAGGATGGACAACAGTCGCAGGAGGTGAGGGTGGGAGCACGATCAAGCAAGAAGACGATGGCACGCCCCCACCCGCCGAGGACGAGAAACCGATGGTCGTGGACGCAACAGCGCCCTTCACCGGCGGCCTCGTCTCCGCCGCGCAGTTGAAGAAGATCCTCCCGCAGTCCGCGCCCGCGCCAGAGGAGTCCCCCGAGGACATCGCGCGCGCGCAGGAAACCGTTTACCGCGATGCCTCCGGGCGCAAGATCGACACGAAGGCCGCGAAGGCGGAGGCCGCGCGCCTCAAGCGCGAGCGCGAGGAGAAGGAGGCGGCGAAGATGGAGTGGGGGAAGGGTCTGGTGCAGCGACAGGAAAGAGAGAAGCAGAGGGAGGAGCTGGAGAAGAACCGCTCGCTGCCGTTCTCGAGGTATAAGGACGACAAGGAGCTGAACGAGATGCAGAAGGAGAAGGAGATTTGGAACGATCCGATGGCAGCCTTCCTATCGGTGCGTGGCTTGGCTGGGTATATGCGCGCATATACTGACGTTTTGCGACTGCTTACAGAAAAAGCGGACGAAGGGGCCACGGAAGCCAGAGTACACGGGCCCTCCACCACCACCGAATCGGTTTGGCATCAAGCCAGGGTATCGCTGGGACGGTGTCGGTGCGTGGTCTACTCGCTATGCCTCTGCCGGTGATGCTGACTGCATATATGCGCCTTTCCGCAGATCGAGGAAATGGGTTCGAGAAGAAGCTCTTCCAGGCACAAAACTCGCGAAAACGAACCGGATTGGAAAGCTATCAATGGGGCGCAGAGGATATGTAGGAGACGGATTTGTAGTGAGCGTCAATCTATGCACGTTTGGTGCGACCTTCGACTTGATATCGCTCCGGCCCTCGCGTGAGTCTCCAGCGCCAATACCTGCATGCGCTTGTCTTGGAGACATACTGACGCATACTTTACCCCTTAGATGCAACTTCTCCGCCCTGAATTATGGTCTGACTGATGGCGAGTTGAGGGTGGCACACGACTTGCGCTTCAATTGTCATTATCGAGAAGCGTAAGGTTGCAAGCTTCTCACCACATTCCTTTCCCGAGATCATCTGCGAAGAATCTGTGGTCATTGGCCGCATACACTGTCGCCATTCAATATCGGCAAGGCGGCCTTTGATTCTCGTTCGGTTATCCACAATGGATGCACGTTCGTTGTCGGCTACGCTCCAAACCCTCTTCCGCCCCTTGCCAAGCCAAGCATGGGTGAATCTTATGCCCAGGACGCTGGGACGAGGGCCTCCAGATGCCGTCCGGTACCTCGATGGCCTTGAACCGCTCGCGTTCGCCCGACGACGGCCAAAGCCATCGACGAACGTGCTACGTCCTGCGCTGATATCGCGGCCTATATTCCCTATACAGCGCATGCAATAGACCGTTGTCAACCCTATAAAGCCTCAACGTGAAGGACTGGACCCGTGAGCTGCCCCTCGCTTCAGTCATCCTCGTCAACCGACATGTTTCTGGTACGTGGCTTCTTCGTCGCCTCCGCGCTCTTCGCCAGTGCGCGGGCGCAGTACTACAAGCGCCTTGGTGGCTGCCCGACGCTCGGCTGCCTCTTCCCGCCGGACCAGTCGGATTTCCTTCCCGGTCAGCTCTTCGACATCCGCGTGGAGGTGCACGCACCGGTCAATGGGAGCGAGGCGTTTAACGGCGGTGTTCCCGACGAGGGCTTTGTGCTGTGCATCCAGGAGCCAGACGGGGAGTGTGTGCCGGTGGAAGAGTACTTTGGGAAGGAGGCGCCGGCATTGGAGAAGTGGGATTTCTCGTATGTGCTTGCTTCCCATCGGAATGTGTAGGGGAGTTGACCATGCGACGCACAGGTACTACGAAGATCTGTTTGCGGAGGACGCTGACAATCTGACCGGGGTCAATGTCGCGTCGAAGGCGTGGCGCGCGGTACGTAGATGGGAGTCTCGTGATCGTGTTTCTGACTGAAGTTTCTTTCGTATGTCAGGTGTCTCTTCCCAAGGTATGTCCAGCACCCGACCCCACCGTTCCTATACAAGCTCATCATTGTCTATTAGCCCGGCGACTACATCGCGAAGCTCAAGTACTACGATGGTATCGAGACCGTTGCCAACTGGACCGTCCGCGCACCGTCCACTGAACGCAAGGCGAAGAACGTGCTCCTCTTCATCGGCGATGGTACTGCCTGCACCCTTACGCCCTATGTCCTTCCTTATCTTTACCCCCCTCCTTGCTTCTACACCGTCACGGTTGACACCCTACAACAGGCATGACCCAGTCTATGATCACCGCCGCGCGCCTCATCGGGCACAAGTCGATCAACGGGCGGTACCAGTCGCTCATGCAGATGGACCAGATGGACGCGCTCGGCCACCAGATGACACACTCGCTCGACTCGTTCATCACGGACTCAGCGAACTCGGCGACGGCGCTGTATACGGGGCGCAAGAGCTCGGTAAATGCGTTGAATGTGTATGCGGATAGTGTGCGTTGTCGAGGATGTTGCTGAAGTTGATGTTAACTTGCATGTAGTCCGCCACGCCCTTCGACGACCCGAAGCACGAGACGATCGCGGAGATGTTCAGGCGGGAGACGAATGGCGGGCTCGGGATTGTGTCGACGGCGGTCATCGGAGATGCGACGCCTGGTGGGTGTCGGCGATCGTTCCTCCGACGCAAGTCTTTGCTAATAGCCCATGGTAGCTGCGCTCTGTGCCCACACGAGGGATCGTGAGTATTGTTCTTTTTCGATTAGTAGACGACTATCGCTGACACAAAACAGGTGATCAACTCGCCGCGGTAGTGTACGAGTACCTGTACAGCCCGGAGGAGCTGAACTCGACGCTGGCGTGGCCGACGAGCTGCAAGAGCCCGGATGTCATCTTTGGGCAAGTAGCAAGTTGTGGGGCTTGAATTTAGCATACTTACTGTAGCCGACAGCGGAGGCGCTGAACTCTTCCTTGCGGAGGAGGATGCGTTCGAGGGCCGAGACATGTATGGCGAGTTTGGCGCTCGTGGGTACAACGTCGTCTTCAACAAGACTGCTTTGGCGTCGGCGCCGAATGATACGAAGACGCTGGGGATCTTCTCCAGTACGTCGCTCCAAGTTGATGGGGATTGCGCTTCAAGCACAGCTCAATGTGCTATCCAGCGTCCAACATGGCGAAATGGCTCGACCGCCAGGTGTACCCGGACAACCTCAAGGACAAGGCCAACTCCCCCACGGGTGACGGCAGCGACGCGACAGACCAGCCGGGTCTGAAGGATATGACGCTGAAGGCCATCGACATTCTGAATGCGCAGTACAAGGAGGAAGGGTGGTTCATGATGTGAGTCTGATACTCATCATGTCGAGGTCGGACTTGACCGTATTTCTTCTAGGTCTGAGGCTGCTAGCATCGACAAGATGATGCATGTGTTGGACTACGACCGTGCGCTCGGCGAGCTCTTGGAGCTTGACGATACGATCCGTGCGACCTTGGCTCGTGAGTGTTCACACTTCGGAGAACGTACTGCCGGCTAACCTGGAGCAGACCTCAAGGCGATTGGCGAGGACGAGAATACGCTGGTCGTCGTCACTGCGGATCACGGACACGGCTTCGTGAGTTGCACTCCTGCGCGATCCTATGCCGACTCTCACCTCCTGCAGGACGTCTTCGGCGGCGCGGATACGATGTACATCTCAGCGCAGGAGGACGATCGCTCGAAGCGTCGGGGCGGTGCGTTCCGCAGTTCCTTAGGTCGAAGCTGCGTAGCTCATAGTCTCATAGTTGGCATCTACGCGAACTCTGGCTTGAGCGGGTACCAGGTTGCGACGGAGTCATTGCCCAACAACGACACTGTGGTGTATGGTGACCAGGGTCCCAACTTCCCTGTTCAATGGGCCCCGCGCTACGCGTATGCGGTCAGTACATGGTCTTTGTGCGCAACCCAGGTTACTGACTCAGTGCGCAGGCAGGCTTTGCCGCTAACCCTGATCAGTGCGTTCATATGTATGGCTAGCCCGCCGTACATGCTCACGTTGTTACAGTCGTGAGGACTACTCCGTGAATACGACTGGACCTCGCCTACCCGCCGTCGCTATCAGCGAGGATGATGAAGACATGATTGTGAACGAGTATGATAATCCAGATGGGTTTGTCGTCAGTGAGTGGCTACGCGTACGCATCTGTGGGGTAGAGCTCATCAGCATCGTAGACGGCACTCTCCCCACTGCCTACGATCAGGGCGTGCACTCCCTCACCGGTATGACGCGGAAACATATTGGCTGCCAACTTTATTCTCACTATCGCCAGACGTGTCTGTTTTCGCAAGCGGGCCGGGCAGCGAAGCTTTCCGTGGCGTCTGTAAGTTGCTGCGCATGACCCGCGAAAGTCTGACAAGTATCTCACTCGTGAATTCCTCCAGACAACAACATCGACATATTCTTCAAGATCGCGGGCGCGTTGGCGCTCGGCTCCTCCGAGGTGGACCAGGCGAGCTAGGTACGCAGCGCGCGCATGATGTCAATTGACGACGCGTCGTCGGAGCGCAGATAGCTACTCTCGAGATGCAGCTCGCCACTAGGAATGTTCGCTGTAGACGGCTCTTCAATGCAGAATGTCTTCGTCATGGCGCGCACTGTCTTACACCCATTGAGGCCTTTGACAGCCATCCCGCCGATCGGTGACATCATGCTCGCCCGCCGGCTTGGAGGCGCGGGGATGCGCGCGCGGGTGCTGTTTGCTTCCGCGGACCTCAGACTCTTGAGATAGACACGACCCTGCTCATGACGCAAGGCTCAAGGTTCGACATATATAAGGGTTTTCCCCTTACTTTTGCAGCTCATTACTATCCTTCCCCGCGCCAACATGTCACTCCCGCAAGCACCCAAGGATATTTCGACCAAGCCGAAGGTGCGTTGTCGTTTTCCTCCACTCTGACCGCGAGCTGACTGTTTTATAGGCCGGTGCGGTCACTGACCCGGTCAACAAGCAACTCAAGAATGAGGATATCGATAGGAAGGTGCGGCGCCCCTGATTTGCCCCTTGGGCTTTGCTGACTTACATCTGTAGGTTCGCCTCTACGGCGTCATCTCCGCCTTCCGCGAGGGCCGCATGCCCTCGAACAAGCAGATCGACGCCGCCTTGAAGTACACCATCAACAACACCCCCTTCCCCGTTGAGAAGCTCTCGCCGGAGGGCAAACGTCTCGTTGAGGATAGCCGCAGCATCGTCGAGACCGCGCGGCTGATTGTGCAGGAGAAGAACGCGGACGAGATCTTCCAGGAGTTCGTTTGGAACACCCGCGACGTCGATGTCGCGAGCAAGGCGCGCACCACGGACGCGCCTGTTGGCAAAGACCAGGTGAAGGAGGACAGCCAGACGGGTAAGCACTTTCATTGTCTTTCCCCCTAGCGCTCACTGACGGTTCTTCAGCCGCGCACCACCTCCGCACGCTTATGTCGCTCATCCTCACCAACTCTGAGGTCCGCAAGCTCCTCAGCGACTTCGGTACCATCGGCCGCGACGTCCTCGCGAAGGGCGCCTCCGAGGCTGCCGGCAAGCTCCGCCCCAGCGAAGACGAGCTTGCCCGCGTCGATGAGCCCGCGCCCGAGGGAGATTTCAAGTCCCGCGAGCAGCTCGAGGAGGAGAAGCAGCGCTTGAAGGAGGCGAAGGAGCAGGCGAAGGCGACCGCGAGCCAGGCTAAGGCGTCCGCCGACCAGGCGCAGGCGCAGGCGAAGCTGTACAGCCACGACGAGCGCCCGGTGATGAACATGTCTGCTGGCGCGCCGGCTGACTTCGAGACTTACGAGGAGCAGACCTTCTCTTCGTCTGACTCCAGGTGCGTTTGCCTCTTTGGTGCGCGCTCGGGGGTCTGAGCTAACGCACTTCCAGCGAGTTCTCGCCCATCACCGATGCCAACGGCACCCAGAAGTCGCGCGGCATGATGAACAAGGCGAAGGGCTTCCGCGACGGCATGCTCGCGAAGATCCCCGGCCAGCATAAGGACAAGGCCCGCGAGCAGGTCGACCGCGGCAAGGACTTCATCGACGACTACTTCCCGCAGGAGCGTCGCGACCAATACGTACGTTCTCTGCCCTCCCTTCGCACTTCCATTTTCACCTACCCTTCCTCCAGATCTACCGCATGAAGAAGGTCATCGTCGAGTGCCAAAGCCACGACGACTACCAGGAGTCGATCACCTGGCTCCTCGACGCCATCTCGACCTACTTCCAGCACAGCAAGGAGATTGGCAAGCAGCACGCGAAGCACACGGCGAAGGCATCGAAGAACGACGGGTCCCTCAACGAGGCGTGGGGCCAACTTCGCCTGCTCCTCGAGCGCTTTGCGAACGGCGTCAGTATGGACATCATCTTTGACGCGGCGAACGCGCTCGCGGAGGATGCGCGCAGTGACCCGGCGCTTGAGCAGTGGTTGGAAAACGCAAACGCGTACATTCGCAAGGTATGTTTGTTGTGCTGTGAAGACGGACGCGATAACTGACTTCCAGTTAGTTACTCCTCCAGCCCGGCTTCGTGCTCAAGGACGAGTGCAATGAGGAGGCCGCTGAGCTCCGCAAGACCGGTCAGGTCTTCTTCGAGGATAAGTACAAGGGCCACTTCGACAACTTCTTCCAGTCGATCGCCACCTTTGGCCGCGGCATGGGCGAGGACCCGCTCAACGTTCGGTACGCCTTTTCTTCACTTCCTTCCGCGCTTGTACTGACCTCATCATCAGCTTCGGTCAGGACTGGGCGCGCCTCACCAAGGACCTCCTCTTCGACTCCGAGGGCCGCCTCGCCTTCAAGTCCGAGCTCTGGGCCGACATCCGCCACACAATCCTGCCCAACGTCGTTGACAAGATCGGTTACGTTCCCATCCCGCGCATTGAGTACACCGACGACGCGTTCGACGTCGTCATTGAGAACCTCGTGCTCTCGGGCCGCAACCTTTTCCCCAACATCATCGAGGTTCGCGCCAACAACTACTTCAAGTACAGCCCCTATGCCAGTACGTCCCTATCCGCCTGCTCCGTTCCTCAGTAGCTAACACGCTCGCAGGCATCAAGGATGAGGGCAAGCACGAGTTCACGCTCGGCTTCAGCCAGGTGCAGGCCGACCTCCGCGACGTCGCCTTCTACTTCAGCAAGAAGTCCGGCTTCCCCACCATCTCCGACTCCGGTCTCGCCGACATCGTGCTCGGCGGCGAGGGCCTCAAGGCAACAGTTGTCGTCACCAACACGAAGGACAAGTCGTCGGTCCTGAAGGTCAAGTCCGTAAAGGTGAAGGTCGACAGCCTGAAGTTCAGCATCCGCGACTCGAAGCACGACCTGCTGTACAAGACACTGAAGCCGCTGGTCATGGGGCTGGTGAAGAAGCAGATTCAGAAGGCGGTGGCGGACGCGATTCGCACGGGAATGGAGTACGTCGACGGGCAGCTCGTGAGCGTGCGCGACCGCATGAACGAGGCGAAGGCGTCTGAGAACGAGACGCGTATGGATGCGCTGAAGGAGGTGAGCTATGACTATTTTCGCGTCGGCGTTCTGACGCTGACACGCTCTTGCAGATGGTGCAGACCAAGAAGCAGGAGGCCGATGCGAAGAGCACCGCGACGAAGCAGAGCAACGCGCAGTTCAAGATGCCGACAAGCAAGAAGACGTCGCTGTTGCCCACGAAGGGCCGTCCCGACGGCATCGTCAACGGCATGGACAAGCGCGAGGAGCTGGCCAACCGGGGCAAGAAGTGGCGCTCGGACGCGTGAGTATTCCGTGTTTTCCGCCTTGTACTTTCTCGCTAACCCGTACGCAGGTTCACCATCGCGTAGGGGCGAGAGCGTTCAGGTGTGAGGCTGTCGTTTAACATATGTTGGAAAACTGCTCTCCGTACCCGTATTTTGCATGTTGTCACCCTATACTATCTTCCTAGTCAGCTGTATTTGTATCTCCCCGTCCTGTACTTGTACTTCACAATGCACTTCTTGAGCACTCTTGTCGTTCGAGGGCCACTTGCAATTTTTGAATCGAGAACAGTGAATCTGGAGAGACACCCATGATGATTCAAAAGCAAAGAATTACAACCATTGCAAACCATCAGCTTGATACCGTCACACAAATCGTACTAAGAAAGGAATTGCAGCTCAGGCTACCTTTCAGCCTACAGTCCTGCGGCCGCTAACATCTTGCTGAAGAGGGGCGTGCCCAAGCCCGTCACAGGGTCCCATCCAGAAAGGGCCGGGAAACCGTTTGTGCCGCCTGCAGGAGATATTGAGAAAAAGTTTGACATTGTTGGAAGAATGGCCACTCACAGCCGGGGTTGCTCCCACTCGTAATATCGGTGAACATCTGCGGGTTCGAGTACAGCCATGGGTTAAGGAAGCCACTGGAAATCGATCAGTACACAGAACAGACGAAAGTCGTTCACTTACAGGGGCGGTAAGCCCTTGGCGGCAAGGCGATCGTTGATGAGAGCGATGTTGCTCGCGACGATGGGGCAGGATGCGGACGTGCCGCCGATGTAATAACCCTGGCCGCCGTTGACGATGACTATTTTCTCGCCCTGCGCGGCAACATCAGGGAAAGCGCGACCAGTTGTGTTGAACAGGCCAGCGTTCGTGCCACCAAGCTGAGCGAGGTACGAGGAGACAGCACTATTCTGCCAGCTGGCTCTGCCGAAAAAATTGGAGAACCCGCCGCTGCTGAAGCCCACGGCGACCTCGGGGACATTGTGCGTGCCACCGATGGAAGTGATGCTGAATGGTCATCGATCAGTGTCGCAGCAAAAGGGTTCATCAGTATGGAGTACGCACTAGGGACAAGTTCCCGGGAAAGTTGGAACGAACTGTGTGCAGTTGCTCGCTTATGGAGTGTTCAGGGGTAGTCAGACGGATTGGACAATGGCTCACATCTACTCCCAGCAACACCACCGTCGCCAGAGGCGAATATGAGCGATATACCGCGGGCACCAAGCGGCATGTAACCGTTGCAGATACGGCTACAAATTTATCAGTCAAGGCACATGGGAACGAAAGGAATGCGTCACTACTAACGTTGCCAAGGTCGGACCTAAGCCAGGTTCGTCAAAACCATAGCTCGTCGACACCACCTTTGGCTTGAATCAGCAAGTATACGGATCTGTCGGTGTTGACATACACTTGGGGGACTCGTTTCGTTGTTGATGGTCTGGAAGACATCCAAAAATCCGGAGACGCCGTCTGGGTTCTTATTACCGACAGTGTAGAACGTGTTGGTTACGTTTGTGGCGAGGCCGCACGTGTATTGCTCGTCGAGGTTCTGTACAGTCATTCGGTCAGGGTTTACCATCCCATCATAACACGTGGACTCACCGCCTCGTTGCCCGCGTACTGTTTGCCCTGAGGGTTGACGCCGCCGTCCACTGACTTCACAGAAAAATTCGTATAGGGGTTCACGTCCTTGCGAAAGTTGTAGAGGAACGTGTGCAGATCGTCCAATTGCGCCCACTGTCCGATGAACCCGGTGACGCCGATCCTGTTCGACGGCACCGTGGCCGGCGTCGCGGGAGTCTCGTACAAAGCCTGCAAGCACGAGGGCACGACGGTTGTGTTGCAAGAGGCGGGGACTGCATCGTCGCCTGGGACGGCAGCAGCGCTGAGGTCGACGAAGCTGGGCACCTCGGTCACGCCAATCGGGCCACCGGCGGGAGGAGGCACGATGCTGGTCGTAGGATAGACGGCGTCGATGTGCTCGAAGAGGGTCTCGGGGATCGAGAACTGCATCGTGCGCACTTGCGTCGAGTCTGAGTGACCGTGCACGAACGACTGGTACGATGCCGCGAAGATCTGGTTTGCCTTCGAGACGGGGATGCTGAACGTGAGCCAGTCGCCGTAAGCCCCGCCGACGTCGTAATGAATGCCCTCCGCGCGAAGCCAGTCGCCCACAGCGCGTACAGTGTCGGGAGACGGTCCGGCGAGGGCCCTCGCCTGTATCATCGTCAGCACTACAGCATACGGATCATTGACCATGGGCATACCTCTTCGAGCGTCAGGTACTTCCCGTAGTTTGGGCTCGACGGCGTGCTGACGTCGAGCAGGGTCGCCTCAAGCCTGTCCTTGTCGGCCATCGCTAGCGCAATGCGCATGTCGAGCATCGTCTCCGGAGCGGCGGCACCATGGTTGGTGAAGCCGGCAGGAACTGTGTGGCGCCTCTCGAACGGGCGGAGATGGGGCCGAGAGGAGGGCGTTCCAAGCACGCTGAGGACAAGGGTCGCAACGACAGCAGCCCTGAGTGTGCAACGCATGACTGGACCAGGGAAAGACGGGGAGCGTCTTGGACTGCACAAGCTCGACCCAGCTTCTCTTATAGGACTTGCGAAGAAAACGCGCAACGTAAACAATGATAGCTGCTCAGCATGAACCGCGTGAATTCGGGCAGCTTCTTGCAAGAAGGCATGTCGCACGATGGAGGTAACCGACTTGCAAAGCGATAGATGAGGTTTGAGGCGCCTATCAAAATCGTAAGAGCGCACCTTACGCGGCTGCATGGAGCCTCATAAAAGCCTCTTCGTCACGGCCTCCGGTCAGAACGGAAAGTAGGCTGTGCGGACCATTGGTCGCTATTCTCCACGTCGAAGGGAGCGACGAGTTACACGGGTAGATCGTGATCGTAGGTCGACCTTGAGCTCGCACAGCTGCAGGACCTTCCGCGATGTCTTGTTCAATCTATGACACGAGGGCGCTAACGAGGATTTGATCACCCTGCGGGGACAGCGTTCTACGACTGTTGCGGTTGGATTCGCAATCAGGATTCACAGGTACTTTCTGCAAGTCGCCCAGATTCAGCATATTCGTCGTTCAGGGCTGCTTCAAGAGGTCTGCGATAGCCGAGACGTTATTCGACACTGGGCGGTATGCTGACCGTCGTCCATATGGTCCTCCCGGCTTGCTGTCCCCGAGAACGCCTTGAGCTGCTGATGGAAAAAGGCTTCTTAGTAAAAAGAACCTGAGGGAGAACGTCCACCTTGAGCGGGATTCGAGCGCCCTTGCAGCTCGACGGGGAGGATGAACAGGCTAGAAAACAACCAGAGGAAAGTCTCCGAAGCCATCAACGTTATGGCCCAAAAAGAGGGGCCGGAGATCAGATGCCCGCAATTTAGGCGATTTTTGCTAACAGCATCCTGTGTGCAACTAACAGACAATAAGTACGACACGCCTAAGATCTAGTGCGCCTTCGTGTAAACATTCTTCAGCCTCTCCAGCGCCGCCTGCCAGCGTCAATTAGTGAATTGTGGACGGAAAGAGGGGATCAAGAACTCACCGTGTAAAGCGGCCTCAGCTCCTCCATCTCCTTCCTGTCCACCTTAACCTTCTTCAAGCTGGGAAGATGGTCCGCCTCCTTCATCATGTTTTTGAAGTAGCGCGCCTGCAACTCCGTAAGTCCCTCATTGCGCAAACAAAAGCAAAAGACCCACCTCCTGCTCCTCCACCAGCGTCCACGCGCTGCCGGCTCGCCCCGCTCGCGCCGTACGCCCGACGCGGTGCACGTACTTCCTCACGTCCACCGGCGCGTCGTAGCTCACCACGTGCGAGACGTGGCTGACATCGAGCCCGCGGGAGATCAGGTCCGACGCGACGAGGATCTGTATCTCCTGCTTGCGGAACCTCTCCAGAATCGCGCGCCTTTCCGCCCCGCCGAGGTCGCTCGAGTATGCGCTGATGGTCACCGGACGCGAATCCCCCGCAGGTGACCTTTCCGCCCGCGCCTTCTCGAAGAACTCGAACAGCCGCACGAGGCGCGTCGTCGACTCCGCCGACTTCGTGAAGACGAGCGCGTTGCGGATGCCGTGCGATGTGATTAGGTGGAAGAAGGCCAGCGGCTTGTCCGCGGGGTCGCAGACGGCCATGTGTTCCTAGTATCAGCGTCAGCGAGGTTTGGGAGAGAGCGGAAGCGATGTTGTAAGAGGGAAGTTGGGTTCGTAAGAGAAACGAGGGGTCGTAAGAGAGATGGGAGAATAAGCAGGACAAATGACACTCACGGTGAGGCCCTCTGGCATGGAGAATCGCTCCATGACAACGTCCGCGACGTCCGGCAGGATACCAGACGTGATTGTCTCGCGCTTGGCCTTGCTCCGCACGATAAAGTATTTGGGGTTGTGCAGGTTGAGCGCGGCAAGCTTGCCCGGGTCCTGCGTGAGGGTGGCGGAGAACAGGAGCTTTTGGCATGAGGAGCGGGGGCGCTCGGGTTGGCGGGATAGGACGTTGGGAAAGCCTAGCGCGGGTACGACGTGCGGGGCGGCGGCTTCCGCGCGGGGGAGGTTCGAGTCTTGTGAGGAGGTTGACGGGACGGTGGATTGGGTTGTTGCGGCTAGGACCGTTGATAGCCATCCTTGGAATGACTGAGCCAGTAGGCGGTCAGCTTCGTCGATGATCTTCGAGCGCATATATGAGCACAGAAGGTACATATAGGTGCAGAAAGCATACCAAGAATCGGAGATGTTGAAGCGTGAAGTTCGTCGTCCCATTGAGGTGATCAATCAAGCGCCCGGGCGTACAGATGAGGATGTCGACTTTGCTTGTTCCACCGGCGAGCCTAGTGAGATGTCAGGATTGAGCTAGTTATCTCAAATTCTGCTCAACCTACGATGTCGTGCTGTCACCAACAATCTGCGATTGCTCATGAGAGAACGAGTGCTGCCCAGTCACAACCCCAATCTGCGTGAATTGAGCGAGGGTGGCGTGCCATCAAGAAGGTGAGCTTACCTTCAGCCCCCGCCCTTTTCCGACAGCCTCGAACGTCTCCTTCACTTGCGTGACCAAGTCGCGTGTTGGTACAACGACGAGCGCACGAAGCCTCGTCGTTATCCTCGAAGACAAAACCTACACAATCAGCAAAGGACAGTATTTGAGACGCATATACTCACCTCGACGATGGGCGTGACGTATGCCAAAGTCTTCCCGCTTCCTGTGGGGGCAGACACGCACGCGTCTCTCGGTAAATTATATGGGGTATACACAGCGCGCGAGGGATTGGCGAGTAGGAAAGGGAGTAGGGCGGTTTGTACTGGGACAGATGAGTCTAAAAGACGCATATATGCGGCCAATATTGCGCACCAGCGAAGAGCTCCGTGATGCCAAGTTCATGCAGCCGCTTTCGCGTTCGCTGGGAGAGATTGGTGCCGCCGTCGTCCTCCTCGGCTGGTATAGGCAGGATCTGCGTCGAGTCGACGAGCTCGGCGTTGACCAGGGCTTTGTCAAGACCTTGTAGCGCAAGGTCGGCCTTAGAAGGGGCATCGGGCTGAGTGGGTATCGGGAAGGAGGGGAGGGCGGCTGGTGGCGTTGGCGATTGTCGCGGTACGTCCGGGGTGACTGCCCGTTCCTCGACATCCATTTGCTCGTCCGGATCCTCCGCAGCATCTGCGCCCTCCATATGGTCGTCCTCGTCGTGTTCGTCATCATCGTCGTCCTCTGCTGCGACCTCGACCTGACTTTCGACTCGTTCTTCCTCGTCGATCGAGAGTCGGCGGCGTTTGCGCGGGGGCTCCTTGACCTCTGCCTTCTTGGCAACCTTTGGTTGGGAGGTCTTCACTACCTCTTCCTCCCCATCGCTAGACTCTGATTCAGACCCCGAAGTCTCATCGACGCGGACGACGTTCCTCGCAGACTTGGGCTGTGCCGCCTTGCGGATCTTTCTTCGCTCCTTTTTCTTTTTCAGATATCTCTTTTTTGCCTTCGTCTTGCTCTGATATGATTTCAGACGATGAGAGAAGGAAGCAAGTTGGGAGAAGCCGTACCGGTGTAGCTGCCGCGTCCGCCATTGTTCTCGAGAACAAAGCCAGGCAAATTTGGTGATCAGGCTTAGTGACGTCACGCGTTGACCGGCTTAACGGACCGATACAGTGGCACGTGCACGTCCACGCGCATCTATTCCCACGACATCGGGGAAGAGCGAGGGCAATATCTCTCGTCTTACCACCATGCACGAACAGTGTCCTCTTTCTATGCAAGGCACCGCTGACCGCGTGGAATACTGACCCCGGTATGGCAGGACGCCGGAATAACAGGATCGCGTGCTCGAATACCGTTAGCAGGCCGCAAAGGCAGACGTCAGCGCACAAGGTGGCAGCATGAGTCTCTCAAGACGTCTCGTTGCTATCAGAGCTGTCTCTATTCACGGCCAGGGGAATCCGCCAGAGGCGCCTGACGGAGCGAAGAAGAACCTCCTTCGGCGCATACGGTGCACCTATGTGCTTATCCGGACCGATTCTGTTCAGTGTTCCTCGTGGTAACCAGCTTCGGGAAGACGAAGCGCGGCGGCCTTTATCGTGAGCTATCCCATTCATTGCCTGGCTGAGGTAAGACAACCTTGTTCGTTGTTTCCTCGATCTTTTCTTCAGGGGACTATACTCGGCAGAAGCTAGCATGCCAAGCGCGAAGCTGCGAAGAGCATCGGCCGTAAAAGGCGTGCATTCTTCCCAAAAGCGAAGTAACTGCGGCAGGAACTCTTAAGAGCCGTATGCAACCGCGGAAGATGCGCTCATGCGCTTCTGATGCAGCGCTGAGGACCTCCTCGGTACGTCGTCTTATCGCCAGCATCCAGGTCTAGTCATACCGGCGGGCGCATGTGTTCCTGCGAGAAGTGTTCGCCTCTGCATGTCCGGCGGGCATGCCGGCTATTCTCATATACGTCCCATGCGCTCGCGCTGCCGTATAAGAGCGCGTCGCTGGCTGCATAGAAACCTCAAGACGCATCCTTGTCTTGCCCCCAAGCCAACATGCGTCTCTCCCTCTCTGCAGCCGTTGTCGCCGCCCTGGTGCTGAGCGTGCTCGCTACGCCCACCCCTCGGGGAGGCCTGCGACTGTTTGAGAAGCGCGATGAGCTGCCTAGCGACTTCGTTAGGAACGGTGCCGCTGCGCCCGACACGAAGCTCGATATGCGCATCGCGCTCAAGATGGCGGACCGCGACGGCCTCGAAGCCGCGTTGTTCGACGTCAGCACGCCGTCGAGCGACAACTACGGGAAGCACCTATCGCAGGATCAGGTATGACTTAATTCACTCTTACCGGCTTGTACGTTTTTTTGACTCGCATTACGAAGGTTAAAGCCTATGCCGCTCCGTCCGCCGAGACCATGAGCACGATCAGCGACTGGCTCAAGTCAGAAGGCATCAACTTCGACGTGAACGGGGAGTACGGCGACTGGGTCTCCTTCAGCATCCCCGTCTCCCAGGCGAACGACCTCTTCGGCGCGTCGTACGAGAACTTTGTGCACGTGCCCAGCGACACAACCCAGGTCCGCACGCTCGCCTTCTCCCTCCCCGAAGCGCTGCACGACGTCGTCGACGCCGTGTACCCGACCACGAGCATCGTCCGGCCGCACACCGGGCCCGTGCGCATGGTTGAGGCGCAGCTGCAGCCGACGAGCGACATCGCCCCGGGCTCGGACGCGAGCGTGCCCTCGTCATGCAACTCGCAGATCACACCGGCGTGCTTGCAGGCGCTTTACGGCATCCCGACGACGGCCGCGACGCAGTCCAGCAATGTCCTCGGTGTCACGGGCTTCATTGAGCAGTACGCGCAGCAGGCGGATCTCTCGCAGTTCTTGTCGCTCTTCCGCAAGGACCTGCCTTCGAACACAAGCTTCACTCTCCAGACGCTGGACGGTGGCTCAAACCCGCAGGGCAGCCGCTACGCGGGTACTGAGGCTGACCTCGACATTGAGTACACCGTTGGTATCGCCACGAAGGTCCCCACCACCTTCATCTCGGTTGGCGAGAACAACGCCGATGGCGTATCTGGCTTCCTAGACATCATCCAGACCCTCACTAGCGAGAGCAACCCCCCGCAGGTACTGTTCGATCTGCACGACACAGTGAATAGTCACTGACCGGCTTTAGGTTTTGACGACGAGCTATGGCTTCAACGAGCCTGACCTTGGTTCCTCTTTGGCTACGTGAGTCATTGCTCTTGCGAGCTTGATCTCGGAACTGAGCATAGCTCAGGCGGATTTGCGATGCGTACATGACCCTGGGAGCGCGTGGCGTGTCATTGTTGTTCTCGTCCGGAGACGGCGGTGTGTCCGGCAGCCAGTGTAAGCTACTTCTTAGACAAAGAGATCCATCTGACCCAGTATTCAACAGCCCAGAGCTGCACTACCTTCATCCCTACGTTCCCTGGAACTTGCCCTTAGTATGTCTCCATTGCTCCCCTCTGACTCGTACTTGCCATTGACGAAACTCAGCATCACGTCTGTCGGCGGCACCATCAACGTTCCCGAAACCGCCGTCGACTTCAGCGGCGGAGGCTTCTCCCGATACTTCAACCGCACCGACTACCAGGCCGACGCTGTTGAGGCCTACCTCTCCACCCTCGGCAGCACGAACTCGGGCAAGTACACCTCCACCGGCCGCGCCTTCCCCGACGTCGCGGCCATGGGCGACAACGTCGCGATCGTGTACCAGGGCGGCACGTACCTCATCGGCGGCACGTCGGCGTCGTGCCCCATCTTTGCGAGCGTCATCTCGCTGATCAACGACCGCCTGATTGCGGCGGGCAAGTCGCCGCTGTGAGTGGTGTGTTTGAGTGATGTGGGCGCATTGCTAATCTTGACTTGCAGTGGCTTCCTGAACCCTTGGGTCTACGAGAACCCTCAGGCTTTCAACGATATTGCTACGGGAAGCAACCCTGGCTGTGAGCATCTCAACTGACTTCAGTAGAGCTGGTATACTGACGCGATGACTAGGCAACACCGACGGTTTCCCGTCCGTCGCCGGCTGGGACCCCGTCACCGGTTTGGGCACGCCCAACTTCGACGCTATGCTCAGCGCCGCAGGGCTGTAGAATATGTAACGATGGACATGAACAATGTATAGGGTTGTGTTTGTTGTACATTTTGGGTAATGAGAATTACACGACGGACTCGCCGTTCTCTGTTCCATCGCGGTCGTTCGAAGACAGCTTGACAATCCTGGTGCGCCTCACCTCGAGGGCGTCTTGACCAAAGTACCGGGGGGTCTCGAAGCTCCAGCTGCACGCAAATTCAGAACCGTATGAAGGAGCGCGGAAATCATTGTACTCAATATTGCCGCGAAGCCAGCATCCGATACCATTCACATATCGCGCCACCGCCACGTCCGTTTCCGGATCCCAGGATGGCAAGTTCTTCCGGCCATGCTCGTATTGGCTGAAGAGTCGCGTGTAAACCTCGCCAACGTAGTCCGCAGCGCCCTGAATGTCAAGGCCTAGCTCCTCCATGACGACGGTGATGAAGTTGACGGCACTGTAGTGGTTGTGAGATAGAGACGAACATGTAGTGGGTCAAAACTTCCTGACCCAATCCCTTTCGCCGACTCGACACTGTACGAGTATAGATCCTGTCGACAGGGAATCAGCAAGCTCGAACGTGGCACAGACAGGATGACTATACATTCTGCCAGCAAATCATATCAAGACTTGCCCAGTAAAACTCCTGGAAGGTCGGATTTTTGAAGACAAACTCGGGCAAGTCAATGCCCAGGCAGTACTGGTGGCGGATGTGAGCCGTTGAAGAATGTCACTTCATTGGGACCCTAACCTCAATTAGATCAAATCCTAGGCGTACGCCGCTGTTGTCTCGCCGTACAGGCAAAAATTCCTGGATAGAGAGGATCTTTCCCTCGTCGCGCAGCTGAGCCTCCACAGCGCAAGCATTCACGTAGTCTTCACTGTGCTTGCTGAAGCGTTCAAAGCATCGCGGGCCGATGCCTACCATGAGACGCTCCCGGAACCTGCAAAGAGATGTCGGTCATGTTTGACGGCTCCAGATCGACACCCACTCCTTAGTTGCCTGGTAAAGCTTGTCTCCTTCGTCGACCGTGAGCCCGCGCATAGCACGAATGTAGACATTCGCTGTCTCTCTTGCATCTGGGCCATTCTGCTCGTCGCTGACTTCATCGAACGCAAAAACCAAGTTCAACTGGAAAATCGCTCAGCGACACGGCAAAGCGTGAGATAGGAATGGGTTACCCAGTCACAACATACGCGGAACTTGCTATACTCCGCATACGGAAAGGAGTGCGAGGCAAGGAGCTCAAAAATGCTTGTAGGAGTCAGTGTGTGGGGGTGCGATCTGTCTTGGATCTTCTCACCATTGCTGGAAGTACGCACGCTTCTTGTCGGGGAAGAAGGAAAAGGAATCGAACCATTCGCGGGACTCGTCGAGGACTGCGCCATAGTGAGGGTTTGTCGCCTTTGGAAACAGCGCGCACACCGGCGACTCCAGGTCGGGAAGGATGAAGTGGGGAGACATCGCAATGTAAGTGAGGGTGAAGCTCCACAAGCCACAGTGAAGGACAGGAGGCTGGGGACATCAGCATGAGTGAGAACGTACATATACTGCCGCACCACGAATAGATAGACCCTGGACGTCGCTATCTGCATGGGATGGGGTCACCCGCAAGTAATCTGCGCGGTCTTCGGGAGGGCACTCCCTGCTAGGAGTTCAATTTGGGACGGGCACTAGGCCTGGCGTACCAAATTGGGTGACTAGCGCATCAAAGAGATGGGCAACATGGTACGCACACGATATGACCTTGTATCCGCACCTGCGCATACATGTCTCAGTACCAAACCACAAGTTGGTGCAAGTTAGTCCACGCCCCATTAAGACGAATCTGACAGGAAAAGAGATCCCATAGGTCAGCCTGGTGGATAAACAGATTCGAAAAGGACAACCTCGCGGCGGTATATTGATCATCGAGAAACTGCTTCTGGCGTTTAGGACGTGCCTGAGCCGGATGCATTGGTGTACCAGCGCTTGAAGCCCTGGAGCGAGAACGACGTCTTGAGACGTACTTCTTGCGCGGAGATAAGCAAGGAGTGTCCAAGAACAGATGAAAGATATCGAACTCACTGATCGGAATTGGAACGCACGATATGGCAATGTGGCACTGACTCGGAAGTAGTAGGCCTTGCATCCTGAAAGCGCCACGATGGTCTATCGCGGGTACAGCTCATGAGTACCTACAAAAGCCGGGCCAGTAGTGAGTCCTAAATGTACTGCGTTGGGTCAACATGCCGCATCGGACCCTACAAACCGCGACTGACGGACGTCCTGAGACCTGAAATAATTTCATAGCGCGTACGTCCGGCGGTCAAAGGTCCTCGCCGATGCCAAAGCTTGTCGTGTGGAACCCCGTTAGCGTCGTCCCAGAAGACGGGGCTGATAAGTGCACATTGTGCGGGTAGATGCTCACTGCACTCGCTAGAACGAACTGCCCTGCGAGCGGTGACCGCTCGACCAAACACCAGGGCAGCGTACTACTTGCGCTTCGTGAATAGATGCTACATTAGATGCGTGTTAGTAAGATGCCTTAAATCCCTCCCGTGTATACAGCCCGAGAAATGATGATACAGCCGTGGATCAATATCCTCTATGATCTTTCAGTCGTAGCAATGGCGTAGTATTCATAAATCTTCGTCGTTTATTCGACTCTTCGCGGCCATTTTGATGTCCTCGAGGGTGATACTCGAGCGCTCGCACATGCTCCTGAAGATGCCATCCGACTTCTCGAACAGAGCGGCGGGGCTGTTGAACTCCTGAAAGGTCATGAGCGACTGGAAAAAAGCGAGGGTTGCAAGGACACGTACCGCTATCTGACCAGCATCGAGGACGCATATGCGGTCATACCCAATGATAGTGCGCAGACGATGAGCAATGCAGAGGATGGTGCGGTCCCTGAACTCGCGTGCGATGGTATCCTGGATATTCCTATCTGTCTCGTAGTCGACGGACGCTGGAGAAGAGATAAGCACATTTTACTCTTCAGTCAGGAAGAAAGGCGGACGTACCTGTAGCTTCATCGAGGATGAGGATATTAGTGTCCTTCACGAGCGCACGAGCCAATGAAACCAGTGACCGCTGCAAAGGAATGAGTCAGTGAGACGGTTGGGCCAACGTAGACCGACGTGCCTGTCCAATGGATAGGTTGTTCCCCTCATCCTCAACGATAGAGTCCAATGAAAACCGGTTGACTGGTGTACGAGCGCCCTCAGGGCCATCATCCTCATGAACAGCCTTCTCGGACTCAACCAGATACGATCGCTTGAGCGCATCCCATAATCTAGCATCGTCGTGTTGGCCGAAGGGATCCAGGTTCGAGCGAAGGGTTCCGGAGACTAGATGAACGTTAGCGGACCGACGTCACAGATAGGGCCTTCAGAGACGTACATAGCAATGGGTCCTGCGGGATGATGGAGAGCCCACTACGAAGGTCGGCCAAGCCAACAGTGGAGATATCGACGCCGTCGATGACAATGGACCCAGAGGTGAGCTCCACCAGACGGAAGAGGGCTGCAAATTGGTCGTGGTCAATGACTCGTCATCGCGGCGAAGGAAATCAACGTACCCGTCATGATCGACGACTTTCCAGCACCCGTACGGCCGACAATGCCAATCTTTTCGCCGGACGCGATCTTCATCGACACACCCTTCACCACCGCAGGCAGCTCCGGGCGATACTTCATGACGATGTCCTTCATCTCGATCTCGCCCTTCGACGGCCACGGCGCGGGCGGCTTGCTCTCTGGGATGTAGTGTGCTGGCTCCTGCTCGATCTCGCGCGCATAGTGCACAAGACGCTCTACCGAGCTCATGTCGTTCTCCGCTTCAGCCCATTGACGGACAAGCCATCCGAACCTACACATATGGTCAATACACGCAGCGGAAAAGGTGAAGAGAGACGTACGCTTGCTGGACGCTGAGGATGTACGAGAGCACAACACCGGTCTGCGAAGGCGATATCGAGAAGCGAGTCCCAACGGCAAGCATCGCGACGACAAAAGTCAACGTCGCACCCATAGCATCAAGACGGATACCGAGCCAACGCTGGTTCGTGACAGTAAGCCAGTACGCCCTGTTCTCAATGTTCACGCGCTTCTCGTTGTCCTCCTTGAATCGCTCGGCCTCGCCATAGGCGCGGATGGTCGCCAGACCGGACAAACTTTCCGAGAAGTGGGCATACACGGAAGACCGCAAGACATTGTCCAGGCGCTATCATATCAGATGAGCGAGCGACTCATCATGGATGACAGATTACTCACCTTCAACTCCCGCGCACTCGCCCTGTAGTACGTCGCCGCGTACAAATAGATGATCAGGATGACCCCAACCGCAATCAAGAACCACGGCAGTACAATCGCAATCAGTATGATCGCGCCCAGGATGCTGGAGAACGTGTTCGCGAACATACGAATGGACTCGCCGAGGGTATTGTCGATCGTGTCAATGTCCTTGGAGAAGCGGTTCATGATGCGGCCAAGTGGTGTAGTCTCGAAGAACGACATAGGCGCGTGAAGGACGGACTGGATGGACCATTTGTGAAGGCGTTGCGAGGAGAAGTAGGTGAGCATGGCGAAGCAGCAGCCCATGAAGAACATGGCAATGGCCTGCCCGACACCAAGGCCAGCGTAGATGCCCATCTAGGACACATGTCAGTCAGAATGCCGGTGTAACCCACATCATTGCAACTCACGTAGAACCCTGCGCCCTGCTTGAAGGTACTATAGACATAGTGTTAGGAAGGACATCGCAGTGAAAAGTCAAGCACGTACTCCTGTTGCCACCACACAAGCCAGTAAGAGCCGATGACCGTGGCGCCCTGGAGGAGCACCAACGACGCTAAAAGCAACGGGATCACGATGTACCCATGCGCCGCCTTCGCATACTCCGCATAGATCCCCGCCGACACCGCGCCCGTTCGCCTCTCCTCCTCCTGCATGATCCCCGGCCCCGCTACATTCTTCTTCGGTATCTTCACCACCGCCGCCTCCGCTGGCTTGCCCTTCACTGCCCCCTCCGCGCCCTCCTCGATCCCCTCCTCTTCTTCTTTCTCCTTCTCCTCCGCCTGCGTCCCGAACTCATTGACGAACCGCGAGAAGTCACCGTTATTGGCCATGAGCTCGGGGTAGGTACCGCGCTCGACGATGCGCCCGTTCGCGACCGTGTAGATGTAGTCGACCTGCGGAAGGAAGTGAAGGGCGTGCGTGACGAGGATGCGCGTCTTGCCGAGGCGGCCGTTCATGAGGACATTTTGGAAGACGGCCTTGCCGACGTGAGCGTCGAGGGCGGAGAAGGGATCGTCGAAGATGGTGATGTCAGCATCGGCGTAGATCGCACGGCAGATGTTCAAGCGCTGCTTCTGACCACCGGAGAGGGAGATGCCCTACGAATATGGTCAGTATGTAGTGTCGACAAGCAAACATGTGCGCTTGCCTTCTCGCCGACTTCCGTCATGTCGCCGTTCGGAAGCATATCGAGATCAGGCTCCAAACAAGCGTCGCGGACCGCAGCCCAGTACTTCTTCTCCTCGAACGGTTGGCCAAAGCAGATGTTCTCCCTGATCGTGGCGTTCTGAATCCACGCACTTTGCGGGCAGTAGCTGATTGATCCACCCCAGATGACAGTGCCCTCCGTCTTGCGCATCTCGCCTACCAGACCTTGGATGAGGGACTGCAACACTCGCGTCAGTGAATGTTCAATAAACCTTGAAAGCACCACAAACCGTCTTCCCCGACCCCGTCAAGCCCACGATGGCCACAAGTTGCCCTCTCGGAATCGACATGTTGATATCCTTCACCTGGAACACCTGCTCCTCCTTCTCCTTGTCAGTCTTCGCCTTCTCGTCCGCCGCTGCCTCGGCCGCCTTCTTCAAGTCCGCTGGCGAGGTTTTCTTCGCCTCCTTCGCATCCGCCTTCCGCGCCTTCTTCCCCTTCGCCTGCTCTTCCTCCTGCGGCGGGCTGTCCCATGAGAAGCTCGCCTTCTCCGCTACGAGTGCCTCCTCGATATGGTGGTCGTGGATCTGCGTCTCGCCGAAGGTCTCCGCGGTGAAGACATCGGTGAGCCGGTTGACGGCGTTCGTGGCGTCGGCGATAGTGCTGAGGGACATGGCTGGGGGGAAATATCAATGGGTTGTTAGGTACGAAGGCGAAAGGAAATGAACGTACGCAGCATCATGAGCGGCATCCGAAGAAGTTGGAAGAGGGTCAGCGAGGAGAAGATATTCGCAGCGTTCATCGCGTGACCCGTGAGGCCATACCTAGTATCCCGTCAATTCGCATTCCAAGTTACCTTGAAAAATACGCACGTCACAAATGCCAGAACCGAAGCCAAAATCGGCAACGACATCGCCGCCGCATTGTTGGCCGACCGCGCGATCAACAGCGAGCGGATGTACCCCATCTCGCGCTTGCGGTACTCCTCGATCCGGCGGAGGAACGGCACCTCCCAGTTAAACACCTTGATGACCTTGATACCGCCAAGGAGTTCCTGCAGAAGCTTTGCGCGCTTGTCCGTCCAGCCCATGCTCTTCTTGCGAAGCTTGAAAAGCGCTTTCATGGTCTGGGTTTGGAGGGGCGAGGCGATGAAGAAGAGAGCGAAGCCGGCGAGGGCGCTCGGTCCCAGGTTGATGATGAGGAGCGCTAGACAGATGGCGAGCTGGATTGGCGCGGTCCAGGACTAGAGAAACGTGAGTAGGAGCTCAGGTAAGGGGAACCTACGAAGCTCACCATATGGAAGAAACCACAGCAGAAGTCGATGCGCGACACATCGGTCGAGATGTGGTTGACGAGCTTCCCATTCGTGAGCGTACTCCGGGCCTTGTTCGTGAGCTTGAGCGAGCGCGAGTAGATCGCCGTGATGAGACCACCGCGTAGCAGCACGCCGGATGATGCGGCCCGGTAGAAGAAATGATGGGTGCAGAGCGACGCCACAACTTGCAGAAGGAACAGTCCGACCGCAAGCCCGACGCCCTTGCCGATCGGCGGAGCGAGGCTGTTGTCCCCTTGCATGTGCGCCGCGTACGACTCCGTGCCGAACTTGATGATCGCCTTGACGAGGAGGGGACTGGTCACCTGGGCCGTGTCGCCGATGACCTTGAGGATGCCGCCGAGCCAGAACCACCAGAAAATCGAGTCGCTGAGAGCCATGGCGAGGCTGGGGGTGCGCTTGCCGTCGACCTCCCTCCACTTGCGTTCCTGCTCCTCCCTGTGTCCACGGAGGGTCCATAGTAAGCGCTTGCGCAGCGGGGGCTTGATCTCCCCCGCGGCGAGACGCCTGTTGTACTCCTCGGCCTTCACGCGTCGTCGCTCAAAAGCGTCGACGATACGAGAGGCTGTATGCTCAGACATGCGGTGGTCCTGAAGTTTCCAGAGATCCGAGGGCTCTAGCGGACGCGCGTAGCCAAGGGACATGATCGGTGTAATCCATTGGAAGAACAGGAGGGACAGCCAGGACGCTGTCATCTCAGGAATGGGAGCCGCATTTTCAATGTCTCCAGTCGGAGGCGGCGGAGGCTTGCTCTGCAGAATTCGTCCGAAAAAGCTGGCGAGTCCGTCAACACGCATACGCGCCACAGGGCCAGACAACGTACCCCTTCTTCCTGCCCACCTCCGTCGTCTTCTCGTCGCCGACGGGCTGCTTCTCCACCGTGGTGAGCTCCGACTTGAGAGAGTCTGCGCGGTCTGCCATGGCGGTAAGAGGCAAGGGCTGGGATTTGACATGTTCCTAAGTATATGAGCTGAATATTCTGCGGATAAGACGCCGGGGTAATTGCCCTCGCCGTTTGAGAGCCGTTACTCATGATCGTGACGTCAGCCCCGGCATCCGCGGGCAGTATCCGGCACAGCCGATCAGCTTCCGGATTGCCTTTTTCGTCTCAATGGCATGACTTGCCTTCTTGAGATCCGCCCCCACCATGAGACTTGGAGGAGCGCTTGCGCTTGCAGTAGTCCTCGTCTGTCTCTGCAACTCATCCCGTGCCCTCTGAAGCGGCAACAACTTCTGGAAAGCGCAGGGACCCCTCCTCCCTGCTTATCTATATCTATATCTGTTCACGTAGAATCTTCTCATTGCATTCACAGCGTCCACGACACTCTCCAGCCACCCCTCCTCATGGTTCTCCGCTTATCTACTATGAATCACTACCTTCTACAGACCTTTCATTGACTAGCCATGCCCCCGAGGTGCGACAGTGTAGCTTTTGACCCCCTCGAGCTCGCAGGTCAAAAGAGCCCGATGAAGGTCGGCCACTACCCCGACGGCCAGATTCCAATGTGCCTTTTTCGATTCGTCCCCCACTTCCTCCCTCCCCCATTCCTCGTGGACGATGCCTGGTAGATACCTCACGAATACCTATCGTAGACGGAGCATACCACGCGCACGCGGTCTATGACTCACCCCAGGTCACTTACTCTACACCTTCGGAGCCTGTTCGCCCTCTTCCGCCGCCGAAGTCCGATAGACGCCTCATACCGAACGTTGACCGCACGACCGCGTCAGTCGTCAGACGCTACACCGACGTCCATGACTACAATGCAGAATGGGGCGTATAGCACCCGACTCGTCGATGGAACACCAACGTTGACGGTCAGAGACATCTGGTCAGACCGCCTCTGCATCCGACTGGGTTGGTCAGCTTCGACGCGCGTCCTTGCGTCGTTCCACTCGAAGGCAACGCGTACACGGAGATGAAGCACCAAAATACCCGAATTCGGAATTCCATACAATACTTACTAATACAATAGCCTGCCGCCCTCCGTCCACTGTCCCACTGACGCGTCCTTGCCGTCGTAGAGGATACAGTGCTATATCTCCAGGTCGGCAGGCTCCGTCGACCGAGGAGACCATCATGCAGTACCTCGCAGACCTAAAGCCCATTCAAAGAATCGGCGGACAGCTCGCTAGTTTCCCTCTCGGGGGTCGTCAATTCATGTGCAGGCTCGACTTCTCACACCGCTCGAAGGCCTTCGATAAATCGTAACGGTGCCAGGGTGCGATAGGCCAGACGGGTCCATTCGAAGTCGGCAGGTATGGGGTTTTGATTTTGTGCCTTCATGGACAGAATCAGCGAACGACCACCAGGTTTGTGTGCAAACTACTCACCTCGTCTTCAGATGGAAAAACATAGGCAGGTCATCCTCAGCCTTGTCATCGTCGGATTCATTCTGAGGATCCTCGTCTGGATTGATCTGGCGGTTCAAGACGACCTTGCAATGCTTGCATCGCGCTTTGCGGGCGAACCCCAGGTCGTGCTTCCACTCAGTGCGCAGGAGGTCTCGCGAGCCACAACCGCGTCCTTCTCTTTCACCAACTCAAGATTGGCGACCGGGACGCGGGGTGGAGTATACCTGTCGAGAATGATCAGCCTTTCCCATCGACTCGACAAAAGCCCACTCACCGCCTCTCGCCACCATATCACCGACCGCTCGCACCCGTGCTTCCTCTCCCTCTTCAATAACCAATAATCCTTCTTCTCCATCTCCTCCATTGTAATCGTCTTCGGGTCTTCCCCAATCATCTGAATCAACTGTTCCGCGCGACTATGCACCGCCAAATCGAAGCTCAAGTACTTCGCCGTCCAGGAATCCAACACCGTATCTGCGACTTACAACTCCACCCCGCGCGTTACCCGATACGTGTCGAGGATCTCTGGGTCCCCGTAAATCTTCCGGCACGCGCCTGGCGCCTTCTATGCGAAATGTGTTGTCGCCACTTTGAGGGAGGCTCGGAAAATAGGCTTCTCGAGAGTATCGCTCATTAATTTGACGGGCGCCGCGTCGCAGGACTCGCGCCACGCCTTGGCCTGCGCGAGGTTATGCTTTTTGGAGAAGGCCTGTACGTCTGCCGCCTTGATCGGCCGCTCAAGCAGTTGCTTGTTGACGACCCGCTGAACATCCGGCATTGCCGCAACGTCCCCAAAGCGAGGGAGGATCGCCTCCTCACGAAGGCCTGCCACTTCTGCATGAACCCGAACCGCGCGCGTAGGGACGCATCCATCTCCCTCTCTAGGCGCTATGCTTTTGCCTATCTGCAAGAAGCGGTCGACGGCGTTCTCGATTTTGAGCCGGGCGTCTTCGGCGAGGTAACGGTCGTTGACGATCTATTTCTTCTCGAAGATGTCCATGTTCCGAGTCTCTGGTGACTTTGTAGGTCGATTATGGTGGCCCGAAGCGCGCCCCATATACCATATCCAGCGGAACTTCCTTGAAGACGGATACTCGCGGTCTTCTCCGGCGCTACTTCACTTCGCAGGAGCTTGCGGAGGTTACTGCTGCTTCTAGTACTTACTGGAGCGGTGCATCGCTTCTGTCATTTCTTGGGTGGCGCGCTTCGCGATGAGATCTTTGCCCGTGCATTCTTGGTGATAGCCGATGATTTCGCACATGCTGGGTTATTCTGTCTCTTTGACTGTCGCGCAGACTTGCGCTGTGACGAGGGGCTCATTGCTTGCGGTTGAATTCGGTTACAACACGGTCATGTGGGGGGTTCTGGCTTGCTGGGAAACCAGACTCGCAGCACGGGTGCGTCCTCAGCTACGTGGAGCCGGCGAACGAGGGCGGGTGTTGATGGTGGTGGTCGAAGCTGAAATGCAAACAAGGTCGCGTTGTGATTTGGGCCACGCCATGTGCGTCGGAGAAAGCCGAGCCAGTGCTCCTTTTGATTGCCGGAGCACATGGCGCTCGTGACCAAGTCGTGACTACGCGACTGTTTCTGCATCTCAACTCCAACCTTCATCATCTTCCAACGCTTTCCCGCTCTGTCCCACCGCCACCTCCCTGATCACTAACTACAAGGCTCATTTCTGCAGCATCACCGACCTTGCGCGTGCCTTATTTTACACGTGACCGCGTTTGCGCCACCGACCCCAATACTTTGAAAGCTGGCGAGAAGAGGAAAAAAGACAATATCGATAATGAGCCGTAAATCGACTGCGAAGAATGGTCGGAAGACCTCGTCGCGAGGCGCGCCCACGAGGAAACGACAGAAGCGAACTGACGATCATGTAGCCACTGGCACGAGGCTCGACGACACGAACAAGCGCCAGACGAAGATGCGACTCTCCACGTTCGAGCGGCTTCCATTGGATGTGCTATATGAGGTGAGTCTCATCCCGCCAAGACTCAGTGTGCCGTTTGTAACAATACCGAAGATATTCTACCTCTGCCATCCCCATGCGCTGCTGCAGCTCTCGCGCGTGTCAGAGGGCTTCAGACGAACGATACTGGACCCTAAGTCTGCAAGGATCTGGCGAACGACCCTTTCAAACATCGACAAACTACCTTTCAAACCTCCCAACGTGAGCCTGCCTCGCTTCGTGCATATCCTGTTCGATGATTTCTGCTTTGTGAGTGTGCTGCTTGCTGTGATCGCCTGTCGCTTACCAGACGCTGCAGTATTGCGCGCGGAGACCAGCCACACACTTCGCTTGGATGGCGCTTCAGAAGATGTGCGAGACGTGTCTGCCAGTACAGTACGCAGCACTCACGACGTCACGTATACTATCTAACATTGCGCCAGATTTCCCAACGGAGATGACCTGGATGAACGATGCGACCTGGTCAAGGACAAGTTCGTATGGCTTAAATCGATCATCCCTTCCATGCCTTCCAATACGAGTGTCATCTGTAAGTCGCTTTACCTCTTTGACACACTTATGCATGTCCTCAACTTTCTTTGAGGCGGGAATCGGTACTCTCTCGATATGCTCAAGAGATGCAATGCAGCGTACACAATGCTCAAGCCCAGGGATGAAGTTTGCAACCAGTTTCTTTTTGAGAGGCAATGCCGTATGAAGGAAAAGAATGAGGTATGCTTTGACTGGTATTTGACGAAGGTTGCCTCACTACAAGGTATATTGTAGGAACGGTATCCCATCAAGAAGTGGCTGGAAGCTCAAGCCGCTAGTCGTGCTGCAGCGCGAGCCGAAGAACTCGAGGAGATCCATCATCAGCGGAGTCTATTGTGAGTGCCGTCATATCGTCAGCCTCGAGGGCCGCAAAGCTGATATTTGTGCCAGCATCAATCATAAGATGTTATCCAGTAACTGGGGCTCCACGCTCGCCATGTCGCCGGACAGCCTCAAGATTCTCGAGCGACGATGGATTCAACAGGATACCGAACTCACGGAATACGGTTGGGACAATATCAAAGACGACGTCAAACGCTTCATGCAAGAGAGCACAACAAGATCCCCTCTACAAGAGGAAGATCGCGCCCTGCGCAAGAGGTACGAGCAAGTGGCGAGTGAGTATGAGGCATTCCTACGCGAACAAGAATTTCGCGCCATCCTGCCCCGTTTCGAGGATGTCGCGGCTATGCCCGATGTTCAGCGCCTCGTCAACGAGCGGCCACTTGACCGCGACCTTGAGAACGCCGACATTTGGGCCATCTTCGAGAGGCGTGATCTCGCGCAAGGCAAAGTGTGGCGCAACTCCTGCGACGCGGCCCTCCTCGGGCTGATGAGGGAAGCGCTCGGCATGCATGTCTCTGCAAATGACCTGAGGCTAGCAACGACACATTTCTCGTGGAAGGCTCCCGGCGCCTGTCGTGAGCTGCTCGGGTATCCCGAGGTCCTCGACACCCACAGGGTAACGCGCGGGGTGGAGTCCTACGGCGCTAACACCGTTTTGGATCCGTGGACCGCGAAGTACTTGCGCTTCGACCTGACGGCGCACGCCCGTGCGGAGCAGCTCATCAAGATCGCCGGAGAGGACCCGAAGACGATTACGACGCAAGAGCTGGACGACAAGAATAAATGGTTCGAGAAACGCACAGCGAAGACGAAAACTCCAAGTGAGCGTCATGTGATGCGATGGCGCGAAGCGGTAGGAATGCTCGTGGATCAGTCGTAGTCCAAGCTCATTGCGCCCACAGGTCTACTCTACCCGGATCCGAGTCGCCAACCTCGTCCTCGCCAACGCAAAGGACGCCGCCACGGCGCGCCATACTCTCCTTCGCACCGAGTGGAAACCCGACCTGTCGTTCTGCCGTCGAGTGCGATGTACGCACTGCGACGCAATCTTGACCCGCCAGAACTCGCCCGACCACGAGCTGCACATTATCCTGCATCTGCAAACGAGGTGCGTATATCTTTGTCTGTGGCAAAATAGGAACATCGAGCTTCTGACCTTCTTTGTAGGCATCGTATCAAGGTCCCCACGCCGGTCGACTTCGAAGTGGATCCCTTTGGTCCGCGGCCACCTGGCACCGTCACGATCCAGTCGAAGTGTTTAAGATGCGCACAAGACGCCCGACCTATGCATGAATCGGTGGCCGATGACGCAAGACATCGAGCACAACTGCCCACTTTCGTTACGCGCAGCACAGCGCAATGACAACCTCGGCAAGACGGGTAATGATATCGGACGCTGTATACGGTGAGTGATCGTTGATAGACGGTGCTTACGAAGGACAGAGGTGGTCACTCCATCGTAACGGCAAGTGGTCCTGTATACAGAACATTTGTTGGAGTACACTCGGAGTGTGCCCTGTAAACCTGCTTTTGAATATCAACTAGACAACCTGTGATCAGAAACAGTTTAGACAACCACCCTTCGATGGCATAAGATGATCCTACCTCAAGCAGAGGACGAGCCTGAGTTTACACGGGCATGAAGACCGCCTCTGCATGTGCTATTCAGTCGAAAAAGGAAATCGGATGGTTGATTGGCAGCGCCCGTCGATCACCGCGGATCAATGCTTCCGCCGAGTCGGAGCGCCAGCGTCGCTCAACGTGTTCCTCAAGCAGCGAGCTCGTCTACCCGGTCCCCAGGCTCTCATGCACAGAAATACGATGCATATACATAGGAACTTCTCGAAGGCCAGCCGTTGCCTCTCACCGCCATGGCAGACCGCGCGGAGTCTCTCAAGTCGGAGCTCACCACGGTGGAGAAGCAGCCCGACGCGGCTGCGATGAAGACGGCGGAGGTGGGCAGGAAAGGGTGCGTCGGCATGCTTCATGATACGGACGCGCCCTAACGTTGTCTTCAGTTTCCTCGGACAAATATTACAGAGCAAGCCTCCTCCGCCTCCGACGGGCGACATCGAGAATGCGCCTCTCATACCAGAGAAGACAGCATCCTGGCTGTCCATCCTGTTCTTCCAATGGATCACACCGATGCTCGCCCTTGGCTATGCGCGTCCCCTGGAGGCCTCCGATCTATGGAGGCTTCAAGAGAGCCGCATGTCTGCGCACACGGCGTCGCGTATCGTTGAGTCCTTCGAGCGACGGCGCGCGAAGGCCGAGGAGTACAACAAGCGCCTAGCCGCAGGCGAGATCAGGCCACCATTGCGCAAACGGCTGCTATGGTCTGTCCGCGGTCAGCGAGAAGCGCAGGAACGCAAGTGGAGGGAGGTCGACGGCAAGCGCAAGCCCAGCCTCGCTCTGGCGCTCAGCGATGCGATCTTCTGGTGGTTCTGGATCGGCGGCATCCTCAAGGTCATCGGCGACACAGCCCAGGTTACCAGCCCCCTCCTCGTCAAGGCCATCATCAAGTTCGGCACGGATTCGTACGCGGCGCACCTTCGAGGGGACAATAGCGCCGCGCCACCCATTGGCAAGGGCGTAGGCCTCGCGGTCGGGCTTTTTCTCTTGCAGTTCGTCGCGTCGCTGGGAACGCACCACTTCTTCTATCGGGCTGCATCGTCTGGTGTGTTGTTGCGCGGCGGACTCATCACGGCTATATACTCGCGCTCGCTTAAGCTCACCAATAAGGCGCGAAGCACTCTGACGAACGGCAAGCTCGTGAACCACATCTCGACCGATGTCTCTCGTATCGATATCTGCGCTAGTTACTTCCATATGGTGAGCGTTCACATACCCTCTTGCCGCACTCCTCTTATCACCTTCAAACCAGTCCTGGACCGCCCCCATCCAACTCGCCATCTGCCTCGCCCTCCTCATCGTCAACCTCGGCCCCAGCGCCCTCGCCGGCTTTGCCCTCTTCTTCCTCGGCTCCCCGCTCCAGACCCAGACCATGAAGGCGCTCTTCAAGCTCCGCAAGAAGAGCATGGGCTGGACGGACAAGCGCGCGAAGCTGTTACAGGAACTCCTCGGCGGCATTCGCGTCATCAAGGTGTTCAACTGGGAGGCGCCGTTCCTGAAGAGGATCGAGGAATACCGCAAGCGCGAGATGGGGTATGTGAGGTCGTTGTTGATTGCGAGGTCGGCGAATTATGCGGCGGCGTTGTCGCTGCCGGTGCTGGCGTCGGTGTTGGCGTTTGTGACGTGCGTATGCCATTCTTTTGTTGCTCAAATCAGCTTGAACTTACTCTTCACAGTTACTCACTCACGGGTCACGCCATGGACGCCGCCAATGTCTTCTCGTCGCTAACTTTGTTTACACTCCTCCGGATGCCTCTGATGATGCTGCGTACGCCTTCTACCCTTCAGCCCGCTCACTGCTCACTGACCCTCTCATCACTTCCAGCGATGTCCCTCAGCACCATCGCGGACGCCACGAACGCCGTCAACCGCCTCACGGACGTATTCACCGCCGAGACCTTCGGCGAGACGCAGATCCACGACCATGGCATCGCGGAGGCTCTCATTGTTGAGCACGCGTCGTTTTCTTGGGACGCTCCGCCGCAGGAGGAGGAATCCAAGGGCAAGAAGTCGACAAAGGGCCAGCCTGCTCCAGTCAAACGACACGCGCCTGCTGAGAAAGCGGCCGACCCGAAGCAGGAGGAGCCGATCTTCCAGGTCAAGGACATCACCTTGTCTGTCTCGCGCGGCCAGTTGGTCGCCATCGTAGGATCGACGGGGTCGGGGAAGACGGTGAGTGGCTCCAGGCTGCCAGCATGGTATGGTGTGCTCATTGTTGTGGTAGTCCCTCATCCAAGGTCTTGTCGGCGAGATGCGCAAGACGGAGGGCACGGTTATTTGGGGTGGGTCTCTCAGCTACTGCCCGCAAAGCGCTTGGATCCAGAACGCCACCATCCGCGAGAATATCTGCTTTGGCCGGCAGTTCGAGGAGAAGAAGTACTGGGCCGCTGTTCGCGATGCATGCTTGGAGCCTGATCTTGACATGCTTCCGAACGGTGACATGACGGAAGTTGGAGAGAAGGTAGAAGCATAACTTAACTGCGAATCCCACATCGTACTCACCACTTCTGCAGGGTATCTCCCTCTCTGGCGGTCAGAAGCAGCGCCTGAACATCTGCCGTGCCATATACGCTGACGCCGACATCACCATCTTTGACGACCCCTTCTCTGCCCTCGACGCTCACGTCGGCAAGGCCGTCTTCCAAAACGTCCTCATGAACGGCCGCCTCGGCAAGACGCGCATCCTCGTCACGCACGCGCTTCACTTCCTCCCCCAAGTCGACTACATCTACACCGTTGCGGACGGGCGCATCGTCGAGCGCGGGACGTACGCCGAGCTGATGTCTAACAACGGGGACTTCTCGCGGTTCGTGAACGAGTTTGGGACGCAGGCGGAGGAGAAGGAGAAGGAAGAGGAAGAGGGGATTGTTGAGGACGCGGAGGGGGCAGTGAAGGGGAAGGCAGCGGAGGCGGCCGTGGTGAAGACGCCGAAGAAGAATGTGGCGGGGCCGGGGATCATGCAGGAGGAGGAGCGAAGGACGGGGGCGGTGTCGACGGAGATCTATGCAGAGTATGCGAAGGCGGCGCATGGGTATATCGTGATCCCGTTACTGCTGGCGTCGTTGGTGCTTCTGCAAGGCACGACGGTCATGTCTTCGTACTGGCTTGTGTGGTGGCAGGAAAAGTGAGCGTTTGGTCCGTATTGCATGTGGAGTCACGTTAACCTGTTCTTTCAGTACCTTCAACCAGGGTGCGGGATTCTATGTGAGTCCCGCCGCCATACGTCACTTTTACCGCTTGACTGACACCACATAGATGGGCATTTACGCCGCCCTCGGCGTCGCGCAGGCCGTCACTCTATTTTTCATGGGCTGCTGCTTCGCCATGCTCACCTACTTTTCCTCGCAACGTCTCCACAAATGGTCCATTCAGTCTGTTCTACACGCGCCCATGTCGTTCTTCGAGACCACTCCGCTTGGCCGCATCATGAATCGCTTCTCCAAGGACATCGACACCATCGACAATACCCTCGGCGAGTCTATCCGGATGTTCGCCAACACGTTCTCTGGCATCTTGGGCGCAGTCATCCTGATCGCTATCGTTCTTCCGTGGTTCTTGATTGCGGTGGCGGTTGTCATGCTCATCTACCTCTATGCGGCGACGTATTACAGGGCAAGTGCGAGAGAGCTGAAGGTTCGCGGACTCGGAAAAATTACTGAGCCCCTCACTGAAGAGTATTTCTAGCGTCTCGATAACGTCTTACGGTCCTCGGTGTACGCTCACTTCTCGGAAAGCTTGTCCGGCCTGGCGACCATCCGGGCTTACGGTGAAGCGGAGCGGTTCAAGAAAGACAACGAGAAACACGTCAACATCGAGAATCGGGCGTACTGGCTCACAGTGGCGAATCAACGCTGGCTCGCTATCCGCCTGGACGCGATGGGAGCGACGCTGACCTTCGTCGTGGCCATACTCGCGGTGGGAACCCGCTTCTCCATCTCGCCCTCACAAACCGGTGTGGTCTTGTCGTACATCCTGAGCGTCCAGCAGTCGTTCGGTTGGATGGTAAAGCAGTGGGCTGAAGCGGAGAACAACATGAGCTCGGTCGAACGCCTGGTACACTACGCGCGCGAGATCGAGCAGGAGCCCGCGTACTACATCCCGGAGAACAAGCCGCCTGCGCCCTGGCCGTTGAAGGGCGAAATCGAGATGAAGGACATCGTCATGAAGTACCGCCCGGAGCTGCCGGCGGTGGTCAAGGGCGTGTCGATGAAAATTGCCTCCGGCGAGAAGATAGGCATTGTCGGTCGCACTGGCGCTGGCAAATCGTCGATCATGACGGGTACGTTCGCTCTCCTTTCACATGGCACGGGTTACTGATCATCTTGCAGCACTCTTCCGTCTGGTTGAGCTATCGTCCGGGTCCATTGTCATCGACGGCGTCGATATTTCCACTGTAGGATTGGCCAACCTTCGTAGTGGTCTCTCCATCATCCCTCAGGATCCATTGCTCTGTGAGCACTTTCAAGTCTTGTCATGGTAGACGCGTGCTCACACGGCTTCACAGTCTCTGGCACCCTTCGTTCGAACTTGGATCCCTTCGGTCTACACGATGATGCGAGACTATGGGACGCGCTCAAGCGTTCGTATCTCGTTGAGACTTCGAAGGCTGATGACGGCAATGATATCCCCGAGAGCACTCTCACTCCAGTGAACCGATTCACGTTGGACTCCGTCATTGAGGATGAGGGCAACAATCTGTCCATAGGACAGGTGCGGAGGCTTACTCTCTTCCTTATGGTCAGTCCGCTAACGCCATCTGCAGCGATCATTGGTATCTCTGGCTCGCGCTCTCGTCAAGGACACCAACATCCTGATCCTCGACGAGGGTACCGGTCTGTTCATTTGTATTTTTCACGGGCAGCCAGTGCTCACACAAACACTAGCATCCGTCGACTATGAGACCGACAGGAACATCCAGGACACCATCGCGCGGGAGTTCAAGGATCGCACCATCCTATGCATCGCCCACCGTCTACGGACCATCATCGGCTACGACCGCATCTGCGTGATGGACGCTGGCCGGATAGCGGTATGCCTCTTCTTACGCTTGACGCCATGGTCTATTCAACTGCTTGCAGGAGTTCGACAGCCCCGCCGTCCTATTCGAGAAGTCGGACGGCATCTTTAGGAGCATGTGCGAGCGCTCGAGTATCACGCTCGAGGATATCAGGCTGGCTGCGACAGGCCGTGCTGATGAAGAGCTCTCATGAACGCACAGCGCTGCATAGCTACGTTTATTGGAGAGGACAGGGGCGGACATTACCTTTTGGAATGGACATTATAATAGTTACGCGACTAATACAGCACTACCTGGCGAGTCCGCCAAATATTTAAGCACACTACGTAGCACTCTTAGCGTGTCTCTCTGTCTTTCACTTACCCGTCATTCCCATTACATCTGTGCACATCGTTGTACATGCGCGAGTGATCGTGGGAGCTGCGACACATGTGCATGAGGCCTGAGGCAGAGAGCATAAGGGCGCACCAGCTTTGCAAGTTCGCAAGTGGGCATTAAATTGCCAGACATGACTTCTCGTGAGTAGCAACTGCCCTGCTGACGAGCACAAAGCTAGGCGAATTCAAGTCAGGCTGGGCTTCTGTTGAAGGATGAATTGAGGTCACTTTAGGGATGCAGACGTTACGGGGAGAGCGATGAATCAATGCAGAGGATGATAAATATGGTACATTATCCATACATGCGCCGCGCCGGCAACTACCAGTCAGTCACCAGAACCTCACGCCTTCGGCACCCCACCTGTACCGAAGAGCTCCAAGTGAATCCTTCCCTCGTCGACCCCCAATTCCTTCAAGCCCTTTTGCATATCCACCATGAACTGCTCCGGACCACACACGAAGTACTGCGCAGTCGCGTCCTTCGCGTGCAACTGCTTCTCCGCGTCCAGCTTGCCGAGCTCGAGGCGGCCTGGGACATCGAAGTCCTGCCCCTGCACATCGCCCGCGCCCGGGTGCGAGAGGAAGAAGACGGGCTGGATGCGCGGGTTGCGAGCAGCAGCCGCGCGCACGTGCGGAGCGAAGGCCCGCGCGGAGGTCGTCCGCGCGACGTGCACCCACGTTATGGGGTGCGCGGTCTCGGCGGCGGCGAGGGAGTTGAAGATCGAGAGCAGGCACGTCAGGCCGACGCCTGCGGCGAGGAAGACGATGGGCGCGGTGGGCGCGACGGCGGACTCGTCGTAGAAGAAGTCGCCGTAGGGGTGCGAGACGCGCAATACGTCGCCGGGCTGCTTGTGCTTGTGCAGGAGGTTGGAGATGTAGCCAGGGTGTGCGGGCGCGGCGGGGTCGCTCATGTTGAGCCCATCCTCCTGTGAGACAAGTTAGCAAGCCGCGTATGAGGGGTGTGCGGAGAAGCAGATGGGTAGTGAAAAAGAGTAAGAGAAGACGATGGTACTTACCCTCTTCACGCTGATGCGGTAGTAGTCGCTGCGAGGCGCCTCGCTGAGCGAGTATTGCCTCGCCTGCAGGTGCGAGAGGTCTGGCACCTCGGTCTGCACAGAGATGTACTGTCCGGGCTTGAACTTCGGGAGAGGCTTCCCATCGAGGGGGACGAGGTAGAACGACGTAATCTCATCCGACTCCTTCTCCTTGCGATCGATCTTGAACTCGCGCCAGTCCGCCCAGCCGTCCGCGCTCTTGTACAGGTCCGCCTCCCGCGCGATCATGATGTTGGCAAGCTGCCAGTACGCGGCGGCCCACGCGTCGTGGATGTCCTGCGTGAGCGCGTCGCCGAGGATCTCCTTCATTGCCGCGAGCAGGTACGTGCCGACGATGTTGTAGTGCTCCGGGCGGATGTACAGCGACGCGTGCTTGTGGCAGATGAGCTCGACGGCGGGACTGAGCACGCCGAGGTCGTCTATGTTGCTCGCGTAGGCGTACAGCGCCATCGCGAGCGACTTGGGTTGGTGGCCGTTGTGCTGGTTGGAGGTGTTGAAGATATTGTTGAGCTCCTTGTTCTCGCGCAACATGTTCGCGTAGAAGCGGCTCGTGATGGTCATGCCATGCTCGGCGAGGATGGGCACAGTAGCCTTGATGATTTTAGCCTGCTCCGGAGTCAATGACATGGTTGTGGCTGGCAGAGTAGTGGTGATGGGTACGATGAGGGGTGAGGTGGAATGTAAGTGTAGGCCGACGCGCAGGCTTCCCTCTTATATGTGGCGCGCATACCCGGCGACGGCCATGCCCCCGCCTCGTCTTTCATACCGAAAACGGAAGTTTTTGTTCCTCGATATCCCGCATCGTTGTAAAAGCCCGCCGCTGATTCGCCAGAAAGTGGCGAGGCCAGAGGCGAGGACCGAGCGAGAACACTGCTCCGCGCGCGCAGCGGGACCGGAGAGGTGGTCGAGCCTCTGAGCGAGGGGCACGCGGTCGGGGCAGTCGTTTGCATGTTCGTAAACGATCCCCGCGGCGAGTGGGGGAGGAGAGGTCTGACAAATGCTCCCGCTTCGAGAGGAGCAAGAAAGAGGGCCCTTCCCTTGGCAATATTGCAGTCTAGTCTATTCTTTTGTCAATCGAATTCGCCAGAGAGGGTCGAACCAATTGTGGCCACTGGATTTGAAGTCCTGCGACGGTGCACCCTGTCTGAAGAGCGTCAAGAAGGACAGCTTCCCAGCAAGTAATCGCGAGGTAGGAAGCTATCTCTGACAATAGAACCTCATATGATGGCGACAGAGGTGGTTGTCGGCCGACGAAGGAGGCCGTACCCGTAAGAAAACATGCAGTGTGTGCAAGCGCAGGTTCGGGATGAACCGCGTCAGCATTTCGGAGGGAATAGGAGCGAGCCTTCCCGTCTACACTGCTCATGGTCAAAGGACAGTCAGCATCGTTCGCCCGGGCGAAAGGTGGTGATCTTCGGAGGCGTCGAGAGCAAGTTGAAGTTCAACAGGGGGTGGCGCCATCGCCGCGTGAGAGCGCCGCCGCGCTTTTCGGAATAATCCGAAGTTCAACATCGATTTGAAGGGTAACAATGGATCGCCCATAGAAATTACTATGCAAGCCTACAGTACCTAAACCCCACAACACAACTTCAACGAAAGTACGAACTAGAATGCCGGTATCCTAAGGCAGAGGAGGAAAGAGAGTAATGATATGAATAAATACGGTGGCCTGCTCACGCATGCACTGGACCGCGGTCATGTCCCAACCAGCCTCATCACTTCTTCCCCTTCAGCCGATTGAGCATCCGCTTCGCCGTCGCATACTCCACCTCCTCGTCGCTCGAGTCCTCCCAGAGGTCCTTATCCCTGTTCGTCCTCGCCCCGCGTGCCGTGCGCTCGTTGACGACCTCCGCTTTCGCCCCCGCATAGCCTAGACCCCACGGCGCGTGGTCGTCATCCTCGATGGCGGGCGGCGTCGGCGAGAAAGTTGGCTTGAGCGAGACGCGCACGGATTTTCGGCGGCGCGTGGGCGCGTCGCCGCCCGCGCTCTCGTCGGACGCGGGAGCTGCGTTCCCGTTCTCCTTTGGTGCGGGGGCAGGGGCGACTGTGGCAGGCAGGTCTGTGACGGAGGCAGAGGGCAGGGTCGCGGGTGTCGTGGGGGTCGGCGGGCGAGGCGTCGACTGCGTTGGTGTCGATGGCCGTTCGGGTTCCTCTTTAGGACTCGGGCGCTCGACAATGATTTCCTGCACCGGCCTTCCAGGCAGCGTCGCCGTGCTCGAATCAGATTCACTGCCCCAGGACTCATGCCCGGTCTCGTACGACTCGATCGAGCTAACGTCGTCATCGTCGTACGGCTGGCTATTGCCATTCGCGACAGGCGGAGGTGGCGGCGAAGGTGCGGCGGGCTTGGGCTCTTCGGGCGGCACAAACTTGGGCGCAGTGGGAAGGGAGAGCACAACAGGGGGATCAGGTGGAGGCGACGTTGGGTTTGGCGGAATGCGAGTTGAGCTGTTGTTGTTGCTGGCCTTGGGAGTCTGCATGCTGGGAGAATCATTGCGAGGAGGGGCAGGCGAAGCACTCCGACTGCTCGGCGATTCGCCACGACCCGCTGCACCCGACTTCCTCAGAGCACTGCGAAGCGGGGTCTTGGGAGGACCCGCACTCTTCGCCGGCGACGACGTCCTCGAGTGCGAGGGGGTCACCAAATGCGTCTCCGAGTACGACTTCAGTCCCGAGTGACGCGGCGGTGTCGTCGTCAGCGCCTCCAGCTCCTTTCTCCCCAGGCTAGGCGGCGCCCTGATGGCCGCCAGCGGACTGTCCGCAATCTCGACCTTAGGCGCCGGTTTGGCGACCAGGCTCTCCCGGCGCTCGCCCTCGCGCCGCTCCCGCGCGACGTCCTCGACGATGCTCATCAGGCTCGTGCTCGCCCCATTGCCTATGCTATGGGGGAAGCTCTGCACCGTCGACCGCCGCTCCTGCTTCGCCCTGCGCTGCTCTGCCGAAGCCCGCGACGTGCGCAAATCCAAATCATCGAAGCTCCCGCTCCTCTGATGACTAGTCGCCGTCGACGTAGAGCGCGCGAGCGGGGAGGACACGGACGCCGACACGGTGCGCCGGCCGCTAGTAGCCGGTGCACTGGCGGCACTCGTGAGCGAATCGTTGCGCGAGAGCGATGACGTGCCGGGGCCCAGGATCCGATCGTCGATGGAGGTGCGTAATTTGGGCGTAGCGGATACGGATCGCCGGCGCGCGGCAGAGGGCTTGCGTGAGGGGGTCGCGGGGGCGGGGGCCGGCTCGTCGAAGTTGGGGGCGGCGGCGCGATGTTTGCTCTTGTCGCGCCTGAGGCGACTGGGCCTCCGGACGTCGTCCTCACTGTCGTTGGAAGCGTTGGATGCACGACTAGAACCGCTGCTGCGGAATAAACCGCGTATGCTACCCAGGAAGCCGCTTTTCGGAGTGACCGTTGGGGATGCGGGAGTAGACGAAGAAATTTTGCGTTCTCGGGGGACGTGCTCCTTGGATGCAGCCGCTGCCGAAGGTGCCCTCTTGCGTGGCATAGCCTTCGAGTTGCCCGCCTTGCCGTTCGTGAAGCGGGGGTTCTCGACAACCTCGATTTCTTGACTCAGATCCTCGGAAGACGTTGTCGACGCGTTGTCTTGCAGCGACTCCTCTGTAATCCGTCGTGATAAGACATGCGATGACTGGCTGCCCGGGAACGACACCGGCGGCGAGGGGATGTACTCTGACGAGATAGCATGAGCAGGTGGGATGGCAGCAGGAATGTCGATTTGGGAGGCGGATTGCGAGGGCGAGAGGGTGGAGTTGGTCGACGACACATCCGAGGACGGACCTCGTGAATGATGTGGGATGGGGACATCGGCGGGTTCGGGGAGGGGCTTGTCTTGCTGGTTGTGCGCTGGGGTCGGGTTAGCTTGTGCTCGTGCGGGAGAGAATGGTGACGTACAGCCTGAGCCGAGAATGTTTAGTCCTTCCTTGCCCTTCTCCAACCACCAATAGCCGCAGTCTGCGAGGCCCTTGCAGCGTATGCTGAGTCCTTGAGTTATGACGCGCGTGCGGGATGCTTCCAGTTCGCGCTCCTTCAGCGCTAGTTGAGCCTCGCATGCTTGCAGTTCGGCTTGCGCGCGATTGAGCTTGGATGACCCTAGACCAGGTAGGTCATTTAGGGACGAGGACGGAGACGAGTTGGACAGGATAGAGTCGCGAGTGCTGCTAGACTTGGAAACCTTGATGAGCCGAGTTATTCTGCGCGCGTCGTCAGCGTAGTGCAGTAATAAGATAGCTCGTCACGCACAATATCTCCCTGTCGCGTATGGTGTTCGCGACATCGTCCTCGAGACCCTTCAACTGCGTGAGCAGGTCCTTCCATTCCTCCACCGCGTGTGCATAGTGCTTCAGCGCGTCTTGCGCTCCTATGAACACATTGGCGACCGAGAGTATGGTTGTCGATATGTGGGGAGGGGATGCAGCTGCATATGCGCTGAACGACGCGAGGGATGCATGTCCTGAGGAAAGGGCGGCTTCGAGAGATTTGCAATAATCCTTCTCCGATGAAATGAGGGCAGTAAGCAACCGGGAGTCTGTCGAGCGGTGGACCATCGGTTCCTCGCCCGTACGTATGGTCCTGCTGGATGCTTTCTGCCTGGTATTATAGGGGGGGATGAGCTAGGGAGATGAGGGGAGATGGAAGTTCAACTTCAGGCGTAATAAGTGCACTACGCCATAATATCCCCTTTCGGACACGCTTAATTATGCGGTCGCGTGCTGTCACTCCCTTATATGTGACAATTGTCACTCATTGGGCGCTTGCCTTTCTTCTATCAAGTTAGAATCCTCAGCCCCGAGTCTCGCACCGAAACCTACCCCTCTACACCAAGAAATTTGACATCTTCTGGCTCTCTAACTGATTCTGGATCAGTGACGAGGGAAACCAAGGAGTCCGTCAAGAAGCGCCCGTGAGAGACAAAGTCGCACTGGCACGCGCGTCAAGTCCGCAATGGACCGACGACCCATAGGGCCTGGAGGTAGCCGCTACCCCCCACCTGAGCAAGCGTATCGAGGTCGTGGTCGAGGGCATCCAAATGGTGACCGTGGCCCAAATGGCGGGTACAGGAACTCGAATGGTGATCGCGGTGGCTCGAACTTCGGCCGCGGAGGGCCGCCACCTGCGTCGAGCAGCAGGAGTTTCGGGAATGGTCGTGGAAGAGGCTTTCACAACAATGGCTACGACCAAAGCTATCATGCTGCAGCCGGACAACGTCGTAATGATACAAGAGAGGCCAGTGCGCGAGACGACGATCGCACGAGAAAGGTTTCCCCTGTCGCGCCGAACGAGCAGTTCCGCGTCCTCACCAACCACTTCGAGATCACCAGGTAAGCTTCAAATGCACGTAAGATGCCTCATCTCAAACGAGAACAGGATACCGTCGAAGGTCTTCATTCCATACGATGGTACGTTGCAAGCTCGGCGGATCGCGAGGCTTAAGAAACCTCTGAACGTCTGTCAACAGTTTGTAAGTAATGCACGTGATCGCAACTGCTCACGGTCCATTAAACTACGTTCAGCTTTCTCCCCCGAAGTCAAAGAGTTGCACAAACGTCACGCGCTCTTCCACAACCTACGCAGTGAAGTTGCTCCCAACGTCTTTCCCAAGCACGGCATCTATGACGGAAGAGCCCAATTTTGGACGTGTACTTCCGTCCGGCTCGTCAACGGGACACAACAGCAGGTGCGTGGCAGGTCTCTGCTCCCCCATACAGAAGGGACTCTAACGTGACTCAGTGGCAACTCTCACTCAATCGTACCTCGTACCTCATTACCATAACCCGCATTGAAGGTGCCGACATTAATACAGAGTGGGCAACCTTCTTTATAGCTGGGCGATGCGGCGCTGAATCCTCTCCGCCAAGGGTCGTGCAGAGGCTGACCGAGCGTGGAACATCCTCAACGGATGGCCAAACTCAGTCAGCCCTTCGTCTCTTACAATTGCTGGTCAGGCAGGCGTCGATGCGTTTCCCGAGCAACAGGCGTGCATATTTTCCGAGACCTTTGGATCGCAGATCACGAGAAATAGAGCTGCAGGCCAGTATCCACGGCATCGCGCTGAGGGTCGGATACTTCCAGTGCGTACAAACGACCACTTGGACGAGCGTTGCCCATCTCATACGTACATAGATCCGTGCGACCGACCGTTGGCCGTTTGGTGCGTGCAAATTGATTTATCGATATCGCTATGGAGCGTGTTCTTGACGACCGACAGCTCGTGAACGTCGATCAGGCGCTGGCGGCCTTGTAAGTACGTCGCGTAACTCCTTGAGTGTGTCTCATCCGTTGTAGCTATGCATCGGGACCTCTGATTGACGTGTCCAAGAAAGTCCTTGGCCAAGCAGACGTATCCGGACGTGCTTCCGCTGACCGTGCCCTTCTTTCACGACACTTTCGTAAGGTCAAGGTCAATGTACCTGCTCTCGCGAGAGCGAAGTCTACCCGCCAGCACATCCGTCAAATACATGACATCGTCCCAAAGGCGGGGTATCTCACATTCGACCTAAATGGCAAATTGACCTCGGTCAAGGTGCGTACTCGTACCGGCATGCGACGCATCGGTTTTTGCCGTCTTCAGCTGATTCGGTGCAACGACTGCTAGGATTACTTCGCGCAGACGCATTCGATCACGCTCATCCATCCGGACTACTTCGGCGTTGTCGTGTCTCCTCGCAATAGCAAGATGCAGGTTGTCATACCTGCAGAGCTCTGCGTCGTATGCGAGGACCAGTTCTACCAGAGGAGACTGACGGAAGCCTTGACGACCAAAGCGCTGGAGTTGTCGAAGAAGAAACCCTATGAACGCCAGCAATATATTTGCGGCATGGACTATCGCGACAAGAAGATGGACTTGCAAACGCCGGTTTGTCGGCTTGACAACAGTTGAAGCACTGCGACTGACCATGCGTCCTTAGCTATCCTCGTACAAGGAATCCCCGTATATCTTGGAGGCGGGCATGACAATTTCTTCCCAAATGGCGGAAGTCGAGGGAAAGCAGCTTGCGCCTCCAACCCTCCTGTTCAACGGGCGCCAGGAGGTATGCTCACTTGTCTCGGTACGCATACAAAAGCGTCTGATGCCGGCTTGCAGGCACCGAGGAATGGGTCCTGGAACTTCAACAGCAAGCAGACGCACAAGCCGGCGCGAATAGACCATTTCATCTTCATCAATTTTGCCCGCGTCGAGAGAGGTTTTGACCAAGAGGATTTCCCAAAGGTATCCAGCGGGATACAGAGAGCGTGCAGCGATATCGGTTCGTCCGCACCTCTCTTTCGATCAGCGTTTACTCAACTTCACCTGCAGGAATGCGTCAGTCCGACGCAGTGTTTTTTTTTCGAGCTCTACTTACATGTTCCCTCCTCAGGCATCGGTGAATACACGCGTGAATATTCCGGAAATATGGCCAATGTGGAATCCATCTTGGAGACCGCTTTCGCGGATATCCCTCTGGACAAGATCATGGACAACGTTTCGCCCGAGGATAGGAAGAAGGCGCCGGCACCTAAACCAGAAGATCACGACGTTGACGTGAAAGGGGACCCTATCTTCAACTTCAGCAGATACCGGGAGCGCTGCCTTACGCAACACCCGGCGCAAATTTTCGCACTGGCGCGACACAGGACGATATTCCTGGTCTTGCTCCCAGAGAATGCGCAGCCCCAGTACGATGCTATCAAGCATTGGGGGGACATCGTTCGCGGGGTTACGACGCAATGCATATGCATGTCTGGCGTGCGGAAATGGTATCCTAATCGTTCTATGAACGACCGCTTCGCCAAGAATGTCGCTATCAAGTGAGTGGATGTGCTACTTATTTGTCACACGTGCTAATCGCCCAGGATCAATGTCCGTCTCGGTGGCATCAACTGGCAGCCCAATCCTATTGCCCTAACTTCGTTCGACAGCGGTTTTCCGCTCATCATAGGTGCGTTGAACATCAATAGCTCAGAGCATATACTTATCGGTATCGCAGGTGCTGATGTCGGTCACCCGGGTCCTAATCAGCTCCGTCCTTCGATTGCCAGCGTCGTCTTCTCGCGCGACAAGGACGCCATGCAGTACGACGCGCTGACTTTCGCACAACCTCCCCGCCTCGAGATGGTCGAACAGCTGCGGGGCAAGGTGTTGACAGCCCTTCGACAATTCCTCGCGCACAACAACCCCAATGTGGCGTCCAAAGGCGTGCAGATTGTACCAACGTCTGTTGTCTTCTATAGGGTAAGTGCCAGTCCGGAACCGTGGCACCTTCTTACGGATTGCGTAGGACGGGCTGAGCGAGGGACAGTTTGAGGTCTTCGCCCGACAAGAGATCGCAGAGGTTGAACGTGCGCAAACAATCCTTGTTGTGACCGACTGAGAAATAAGTCTGCTTCAGAGGGCATTTCGGATGCTTGGTCTATGCCGTTGCCTCAGGATCAACAAAGCAAAGAGCTCCAGCTTCCGCCTTCGACACTGACAAGTCTTTGCGTGCCACGTCCACCTTTGACGTACATAGTTGTGACCAAACGGTAAGCTCCATGGGTGCGCTGCTATATCACGTCCACTATTGACTCCCTACAGCCACCACGTCAGGTTCTTTGCGACCGAAGATGGGTGCGTGGAAGATCCCGTTCACGAGTCATGTACTTTCGGGCTGAAGGTCCCGCAGGCAGAAGGTCGACTTGCGCAACGGCAACTTACGCGCTGGTTTTGCGACAACCAGTGGCATTGATAACCCTTACTACCACGACTTCTACCTGCAAAGTCATCACGCTCTGCAAGGCAGTAAGTTCTTGTCTGTCTTAGAGCGACTGCATGCTCACTGAAATAGCTGCTCGTCCTGCGCACTATACCGTGCTGCAAGACAGAATACTCGACAACAGGTGACTGCATTCAGACGGATACTGAATGCCCACATACTCACGTCACCAGCGCCCAACGCGAAGCGCATGCAGACCGCCTGGACCTCATCCGCGGCATGTCCTTCTATCTGTGCCACGCATACTCGAGGGCGACGACGTCTGTCTCTATACCGGCGCCAGTCTACTGTAAGTCCTTTGGCATATACCTTCGTTGGGCTTTCGGCTGACTATCATCCTGCAGATGCCGATGCACGTATCCTTCATCTTTCATGGCAAGCGCACGCTAACGACGTTCAACAGATCGCATGTCGCCGCGGTAATATCCACCTCGACGTCTCTCTGCGGTACGGTGGGGACCCATTCTCGGATGATAGCAGCGATATCAGCGAAGCAGCCATCGAGCTCAAGATCCAAAACTGGTGCCAGAGCTTCAGGAGGATCTTCAATGGGCATTCCCCGATGTACTTCATATGACCGACGTATGTCAGTGGCATTCCTTCGGAAGACTGCCGTATGCTGACGTTGTGATTCGGCGCAGACGCAGGACACGTTCATTTATGGGGCCGCGATCTATGTAGACGCACATATATCTTGACCATCTTGTTGTTTGTATACTGATGCTTCGTATGTGTACGACCCTTCTTGGTGGTTGTAAACCTGTCGATGCCCCGCAATGTTCGAAAAGCAAAGCCGAGGATACATCTAATCGTTGGCGTTGGCGCTGGACGCGTTCGAGTCTCAGCTGTATAGGTGACACCGGTATCGCTGATGCTCGATATTCGCCTCCCTTCGCTGGAAGCTGTATCTCTCCACGAGATGACCACTGAATAGATATATTCCTATTATGCTGTTCCCTTGCTACAGGTGATAATGATAGTGATAAACCAGAAGCCCATGCGAAATAAATTAGACACCATTTCTTCCTGCACACTGCACGTAGCGAGAGTGCCCGTTCGACATTTAGGCGGAGTCGGGAAGCTGAACACCGAGCGCGGTGGGCGTCGGGAACCAGGGAGAGCCGTCGGAGTTCCACTGGAACTTCTCGGCGCGGATCGAGCGACCGTCCCAGCCAGCATTGGGATCTGCGAGTCATTAGAACCCAGTCTAAGTAAGGGGTTATACAACGCGCTACTCACCGGACATGCCGTGGTAGACGATGTAGGGCGTGCCGTTGCGGTCGAAGGGGAAGGACGCGTGGCCGACACCGAAGGTGACGTCGCTGCTCCAGAAGACCGGGCGGTCGTCGACGCGCCACCAGTTGGAGGGCACCATCGGGTCCGCGCCGCCGTCGATACCCATCAGAGCGAGACAGTAGTCGCCCGTCCACGAGCCGGCGGCGGAGTAGACGAGGAAGGTGCGGTCGTTGTGGACGAGGATCTCGGGGCCCTCGTTGACGCCGCTGCTGCCGGAGCGCTGCCACGACGGGTCGGGGCTGTGGAGGAGAACGCGGTCGCCCTCGAGCGAGGTCGGGCTGGACATCTTGGCGATGTAGAGGTACTGGTTGGCCTGGTCGGCGTTCGAGGTCCAGCCAGACCAGATGAAGTAGTTGGTGTTGCCGTACTGCAATGACATGAGGCGGTGTACAAACAGATGATCAGCGATCGGCGTACCTTCAAGACCGTGCCGTCGATAGCCCAATTGTCATCAGGGGTGCTCAGCTTGCCGACATAGGTGAAGGGCTTGAGCGGGTCCTGGGTGTCACCCTGGAGGACATGCATGCGGTGGCCCGCGTTGTCGCTGTCGGTGATCGCGACGTAGATGTAGTAGCGGCCATCGATGTTGTGCAACTCCGGTGCCCAGACACCCCCCTGCGAGCCCGTCGGCGACCACACAGTCGTTGGCTCGGCACCGTGGAAGTCGGTGAGCGAGGTCGAGTAGCGAATCTCGACGTGGTTGCCCGACGTGTAGGTAAGGTAGTACCCGTCGTTGGCGGCGAGCATCCACGGGTCAGCGCCCATGCCGGGGTCCCATAGCGCTAGGGGTAAAGTCAGGCACAGGAAAGTGGAAAGGGCGGGATCGACGCACGATTCGTGTAGGCGACGACAGTCGTAACGAGCGTGGAGGCGGCGAGGAGGATACGAGACCACATCTTGGTCGTGCTGGCCGTGGTAGTGGTCGTGCTTGTCGGTGCTGGGCAATACAGTAACTCAATGGGGGCTTTTATGTTGGGATGACAGTGGGTCGACACCGGATAATCCTCCTAGAGAAAGAAGGATGTAACGGTGCGCGAAAGGGAGGCTGCATGGTCATGAAGTGCCCGCCGCGGAATCGTCACGGAATGGAACAAGCCCACGACTCAAAATGCGCTGGGATTGGGCGAGCCTTAGCGCCCAGCGGGCCCAAGATGGCGATACAAGCTCAAACGCTGTCATGAGGACCAGTACGGCCGCTTCAATTCCCGAGAACGCCTGGCAACAGCGTAAGCAGGACACTGCCTAGAAGATAGACAGGGAAATTCTTACGAGAAGCGACGTTGAGGCTTATAACTTGTCCAGTGCTTCAGAGATAGCTCAGAAAGACGGCGAGGTAGTGTCTATATCCGTTCCGTTAATTCTAGGACGCCCCCTTGCGAGGTCGAGAAGGCCAGGCACATTGCTATGGAAAACCTACTGAATGGGTCCACTATCGGGCGAACTTCCCAATCAGGCCTCATATTCCGCGCTTTGCCCAGGTATCTCCGATCATATGACCAGCCAAGGATACGGGCGCCAGTAGCGACATCGAGCGCCTGTCCGGACGACAATTCAGTGGCAAGGTGCCCGCTGGACTGACGGTATACACGCACCGGCAGAATTGAAGTCTCAGAGCGACCGAACGCTCAACGACTTTGGCTGTGTCGCCGAGGAAGGCAGTTCGACGAGAAATGAACGAGAAGGCGTGATGCGGAGGCGACGCCCGCAGACGAGGACTTGCGCACGCAGGCACGGAGGAAGGACGGGCTGTTGCAGGCACCGAGATGTCAATCCAGGTCGAGCTTCGACTCGGAAACCCATCCCGGTTCCGAGCTGTCCGTCGCAACTCGGGAGTCCAAGCAACGTTTGGGCATATCAAGGACTTTGCTGCTACGTATACCAGGCTGCAACTTGACCGCCAGTCTACTGCTTACTCGAGAAAAAGACCATCATCCGACACCGTGGGTGGACTTGAAGGCGCCCTGCGCAGGTACAGTAAGCCCCCGATTGTGCACACTGTGCGCCCAAAACCGGGTTACGTTCACCCGAACTTTCACCCATAAATACAGTTGATATGTCTCGGAATACGGCTCAAATTCACCCTGTGTCACCCGGAAAATGGGTGACTGGCCACGGGTGAATGTGTGGTTGAATTTGGGTTGAATACACACCGACTTTCGGGTGAATTAATCTGGTGAAGGTCGGGTACCTACATATGGAGGCCTTGACTGGACAAAAGTCAGATTCGAACCGTGAAAGTCAGGATTTCGTCGTGAATCACGCGGAAATCACCGTGATTCCTGATGAATCCCAGTGATTCCTGATGAATCCTCGTGATTCCCGATGAATCACGATGATTCCCGGTGATTTCTCCGTGAAATGCCCGTGAAATGTCTGTGAAAGCCGCCATCCGGCTATCTAGATCCCACTTCAGCGTCGTGAATCACTCGTGAATGTCCAATCCTGTCAAACCTCTGTCCGTCACACTTTCACTGCTACAACCAAATACAATCCACCTCAATTATTGAAGCTACGGGGGGCTGGCTCTACAAAAATGGCAGGTTTCGGAATATCAGAACAATATTCGACATAAACTTGTTTGATGGCTGCCCTGCCGCCGCCGCCTCGGGCAGGTCGGTGCTTGCTGCTCGCTGCCCCCGCCCCCGTCCCGCGCGAGCGGGCGGGATTGATGGGAAATTTGATGCGTTGCTCCCGCCCCTCGCGCCGGTGCCGCCGTTTCTTCCCGCCCCTCGTGCTGCTGCTCCTTCCTGCCCTTCGCGCCGCTGCGACACCCGGTCCCTGCGCTGCCCTCATATCACCCACCTCCCCTCTTGCTTGAACAACATGATGCTAAAAACGGTGCTGATCACAAATTTGCTCAGGGCGCGATTCTGTTCCTCCCTCCTTCGCCCTCCATGCGTCCCGCTCGAGGGTTCCGTCTGATAAAAGACGTAGCGCAGGGTGGCCCGCTGGCACTGGTGCGTGATCAGCGGCCGCGCCACGTGGTGCTTGATTCCGATTGACCCCTCCCTCAGCGCTCTCACCTCCTCCCTCTCCTTCCCACCAACCCTCGCACCCCTCGCAACATTTAATCCTTCTCGCCCTCTCCCCCTTCTCCCCCCTACCTATCCCACCCCCACTCCCTCCGAAGCCCAACGAAGAAGAAGGCAGGTGCGCGTGGAGGGGGAGGGGGAGGTGCAATTGAGGGGGGAGCGCGCAATTGGGGGGAGGGGAGGTACGACTGAGGGGGAGGAGAGGCAGCGTCGAGATGGAAGGGGGGAAGGGGCGCTATCGCGAAGATGATATGAGGTGGGAGGGACGCAACGAGGGGGAAGGGAGGGATGCCACGAAGGGCAAGGGTCTTGCGCGTCGTGGCCAGGGGTCTGGCGCGTACGGCATAGACATCGATTCGCACAACGTGGTCGCTGATGCTCACGACGCAGACGTTGGCGCTCGCGACGTAGTCAGCCATGCTGACGACGCAGCCGTCGAAGCGCACAATGTCCAGGGCGGCACGAGCGACATAGACTGCGGCGCTCACGCTGCCATGTCCCAGTCATACACGTATATAGCAGTTAACTATGAATGAATACAACAATTCAGAAAGCTAATGAACACAGACATAGTCCAGGTAAATAACATAGACAACGAGTCCCACTAAATAACGAAGAAATAACGAAGACCACAAATCCAGCTCTTTACTGAAGACAACAAGAACAGCTAGCTACTGAATCCCACGAGTTCGAGTTTATCTAGCTACTAAGCCCAACGAGTTCAACTAAAATACATATCCACCGCGCACACCTACATAACCAGTACAAGACCTGCAGAGGACAATCAGTAAAAGGGGTCCAGGACGAAGGAGAGGGTGACCTACGAGACTGAAGGCGACATGTAGCTGCCGTCGAGAGGGGGCGCACGGGTGATGTGGTCAGTGTATGTGCTGGGTGATGCTGCAAGTGTACGCACGAGCGGCGCAGAAACCGTACATGCGGGCGGGGCAGCAAGCGTGCTCCCTGGCAACGCTGCAGGGATACATGCGCACAACGCGCAAGCACCATGCCCCCGACAACGCCGCGAAGGACCGCCTATTAACAGCCTTCGCAAGCGCAGAGGGCGGGCTGCGAGATGCGTCGTCCACAACATCCCGCGTCGTCCGTGATGTCCCAGCTTGTCCGCAGCATACCAGCCCCGTCCTCGACGTCCCATTCCGTCGCCCCCGCCCCCTTTCGCCGCCGCCGCCGCCTCTCGTCAACGCACCGCCCTCGCCTCGACATCTCAACTCGCCGCCGCCACTGCCGTCTTCTCATATCCCGGCCGCCGCCCCTGAAAAGATAGCTTAGCAGGAGCTCGACGTGAAGAGATGAGCGATGCACCTCACCAAGGGTGGCAACCTGCACCTCTGCGGGTGGAGCGCGAGCGCGACAAGGCGGATGTGGAGGGCTTTGACGGCGGTGTCAAAGGCGTTGAGGGCGGCAAGTAGGAGCGTCGAGGGGGTCGCCAAGAAGTGCGGGGCTGCACTCGTGCATCGGCGTGATCGTCGGCGGCGTTGAGGAGGTCCTCATCGACGTCCCGCGCGTTCTCAACGTCAGCACAGAAGAAGACGGGCATCTGTCGTGTAAAGGTCAGTAAACGACAATGAACACGGCGGGGAGGACGTATTTGACAGCGGCGATCCACTCGAGAATGCGTGGTCGTCGACGCCAGTGCATGGGTGGGCGGGGCGTGGGGTCAATGCGCACGGCACGAGGGGATCGCTGCGGAAGGGGCCGGCCTGCGCGTCGCTTGGATGGTCGCGCGTCACCCTGGTCGCTGTAAAAGGCCAGCGACTGCGGGGGAGGGTGAGAATACATATGATATAGCAAGACTGAGAACGTACCTGATTTCTCTCGGCGTGGCCGGGCGCACGCTGCTGTTCGTTGACCAGAGGTACGGAAGTCTAACCAAATTCATTAGTACCGCCCGACGTCAAGAGCGGCAGGCAGCGTCATTACTGCTAAATGGCTGTCTGGTAAAGGTCAGGTTATAGACCTTGAAGAGTGGTCGGTAAAGGGAAAGAACGATAAGAAAGGGACCCGTACCCCCTCAAGGGCGTGTCCTAGGGCGATCTGAGCATAGCAGTCAGGGAAGTACTATTCAAAGAGGCACACAAGACTTACCCCACACTGACCTCGGCGCGGTCAGCATCGCCAGCGCGGGAGACGGGGAGGAGGAAGGGGATGGGGGAAAAAATAAGAAAAGAGCACTAAACTCTGCCTGAAACTTCCCCTCCCTTCGCCTTATGTCCCTGCCCCGCGTTGAATAGCCTTTCCAACCGCAGCAGGCTCGTGCGCAGAGGCGACGCGCCCCCGAATACAAGCCACGCGTCGAGGTTGACTAACGAAAGCGCAGAAGATTGCCGTGGTGCGAATTTGGCGCGCGCGGGTTGTATAGCGCATGTCGCCTGCGGAGTACGCGTACGTGCGATAAACACGAAGGTTAAGTCGATTGGGAGTTGGGGATGTCAATCCTCGGGCGCGGATCCAGGGTAGAAGGAGGGTGTTGGTGGGATATCACCGCGGCGTGTTGACGCGTATGCCGTGTTGACGCGTTGATCAGCTGTATAAACGCAGGAAAGTGTTCCGAATAGAAAGAGGAGACATTTTGTAACGTGCGACAAGAGCGAGGGCCACTACAAGCCAGGGGGACGAATGTCGACGTGGTGGTTTGGGAAGACGCGTGCCCTTCCGTTTTGGGAAGGCATTGAGGGCCGGAAAGGCAGCGCGCTCGCGCGCGCGGGTCAAGCAGCAGCACGGCCTTGCACTGGCTGCACAAAAGTTCACAGATAATATTCAGTATGTTTCTGACATACCATTCGTGAATTCTGGCGCGTCGGGAGGCTCGGAGAGGGATGGAATTCGCCAAGGAGCGCGGAAAGCGTGTGGGAGAGCGCGAGGGCAGCGCCAACTTCCAGCCTTCGAGGGTGCATTTCAGCGTTACGTGTACACTGTCAGCATCCGAGCCGAACTGCGTAATGGCAGCAGAAACGAGCGAAGATTGAGTCAAAGGTGCGTACTGTTCAGGAGGGTGGTTTTGCAAGTGTGAGATTGCGAGCTACGCGCGCGCCCTTCGGCCAGAATAAAGTCATCCGCGTGTCAAGTACATCCGACCGAATCGCTCCCTAAATTGGGTCTGGTCAGCTGGAAGATTGGGATCGAGAGGAGGTTGGGAAGGGGGCAGATGGGCGCAGTGAATAATATGGCATGCAGATGTCGAGAGCGCACCGTACTTCCTGTGCGGCTTTCAATAGTATAGGGGACCACGGGAGTATACTTTCTCGCCGGCGGGAAGCACATGCGACGACGCTGTAGGCAGAAGAAGAATGACGCCACATATTCAAATCACCCTTCGTCGCGCTATAACACCCGAGCGAGGGCGCGCAGGGCGGTGTTGGGTATACAGAACATGTTCAGAATCAAAAATTGCATCGATTCATGTTGATTCATATTTTTGGGGGAGGGTGCGCGGAAAGGAGGGAAAGGCGTTGAGCTGCACATGCAAGCGTCCTCGACCTCCCAGAACGATAAGCATATTCGCAGATCTCGCCCATCGCAAAACCGGCGATGGGTTCAGGGCTCATGGGCGAGTGCCCTAGGCCTACTGCGACCCATCGCTGGTGCTGGGATCGCGGCGGAGGCCGTCCGAGATGTGGGAGATCGCGCCGCCAGCATTTTCGGCGTATATCAGCAGCCCAAAAGAGGTCAAGAGTGCAGGAAGTTCAGGTTTAATGCTGATGATAGTATCGCGTACTTTGATGTTCATTCCAAGGCGGCGGACGGACGCGATGGGTGAGAGTCGAGGACAAGACACAGAACGCGGCCGCGCGGACTCGACGGGCCGACCGCCGGGCCCTGATCGGCGGCGCCACAAACTCTGTCTTGTCCGTGACCGTCATCGACGACCGACAATAGCCTCCCTCTACGCGCTGGATCATATTACACCCTCCCAGCTCCAAACACGCAAAGTCAAGACATGTCGTGCTCCGCTCGAACTCACGCGCGCTCTCAACTCAACGATAACTCAAGCCCCGGAGGTGGCGAAATAAGCATTACCTCCGTCATTGCGACTCAAACGGAACTCTAGCTCTGTGCCTTGATAGAACGCGGGGCTGGTTATCGAGTTCAATCCGGAAGGTGGCTGCTGAAATCCTCGTGGCATAGGCGCGCGTGTTCCCTTCCGTCGAGCATCTCACGCGCACGCCCCCACAACATTCCCGCAACTACTTGTCGTGATGACGTGCCTTTGCACGTCTCACAGGTGCGTCCTCTCGCTGGTGTACGTTCTAATCGCACAGAAGTTGCCCTACCACGAGCCATGAGGGTATTCCTTAGCTGTGAACTCCATTGACCATGTCGCGCACGAAGAAGCACGCTGCATGAGCGGTGAGATGTTTACAGCTGCGGAGGTACAAATTTTCCATCAGACTCCGTGCAACTTACGAGAATGTCAAAGCATTGACGGGCGCGGACTTGCCCGGCCGTGGCGCGGGAGACGAAGAAAAAATCAATTTATCCGGTCGCGGTGGGAGCCTTGACGCCGCCCACATATACTGGTGCGTGCGAGTTGTCTCCTACCTTTCTCATCCATCCCCCGCCCGCCCCCGCCGCGTGTCTTTTCACCTTCCTTCGCCTCCCCTGTGGTCCTCAACTGCGCGGCTTTGAAGTCTTGGTGAGTGCTCGTCCGGGAGCGCATCACGTTCGAATGCTGACCGGCGCGTGCAGAGACTACGCTCGCGTCGCCTCCCTGCTCACCCGCTACATCCCCCGCATCAGCAACGTCGTCAATGCCTCAACGACGTGTCAAACACCCCCGACAACTCGCCCGACAATGAGAAGGAGGTCGCTCCGGGTGCGCTCCGGGTGGAATGGAGCTGGCTCAACGCGCGACGCGCATCTAAGCCGTGGTCTTGTCCCAGGTGCGTCGGCAGCTTGGCCGAGTATATCACCGATTTCTGACTTATTTTCAAGTGATTTCCGACGCGCCTGAATGCCCGAAAACGCATCTTGACGCGAATGCGCCGAGGTTCGCGCTGGAAATCATAGATGAAGGCCATGACAGTTGGGGAGGGGGGAGGGGGAGGAAGGCAGCGCGAAGCGCTGCCCGCAGCGGTGGCAACGCGTGAGGTGCGTGTATAGGATGTTTGACTTTGGCCTCTTCTAACAATATTGTAGACATTCTGTCGACGAATCAACGTCATTCGCATCAACACCTGCGCCTTGAGGTCGTGCTGAGCGTCACAAACGTTGGGAAGGGGCAGGGAGCGATGCGTCGTTGGCCAGAGGATAGAATTGGGTAGCCGCGAGCTACGGCACGTACGCAGTGGGAGCGCGGTCGCAAGCGCGCGGGGATGGAGGTGTGAAAAGGCGGGAACGAGGGTTTGGGCTAGGAGACGAGAGGTAGTGCGGGTGCGGGAAGTTGCGTGTGCGCGAGAGGTAGTGGTCGGCGGCCGTGGCATGAGCAAGCACGTGAAGCGTGTACGCAACCAGTGGGCAGCGGGCGAGCGAGATCGAAACGGGGCAGCGAGCAAGAAGGCGGGCAGGAGTAGGAGAGCGGGGCGGGGAGCGGGAGCAGAAGAGCAGGACGGCCCGCGAGCGAGAGCGGATGGGCGGGGCGGGGTGGCCTAGCACAGGCCGCGAGGGGGCTCGACTGAGGAAGCACGGCGCGATCCCGTGCTGGGCGGGTCGCGCTGTGCAGTGGTAATCGCGTCCGGGCCTCGTTCAGAAGGTACCCGGCGGTGTCGGCAGCCTATTTGGACGGCAGGCGCGGGCGGCGGCCATCAGGCATAGCGAGTGCGTAGTCAAGCTGGGCGGCGGTCGCGCAAATCGTGTCCTGACCGTTCGACACGCGTACTCTCAGGTCGCGTGTCAAGACAATGGCGGACGCGCAGGCTACCACCCACACGGTGCGGGCTTTTTCAAGCCTCGTGGCACTTTCCATACCCTTTTCCAGTAGTATATGCTGATTTCCATGTACTCTTTTCCCAATAAAGCTGTTTTCTTGCTCATAAATCGATATCTCATGCCCACAAGCAACACAAGAAGTTCCTACAAGCCAAATGACCTTGAGAGGTCAACAAGCCAGGCCTTCGCTCCCACCTTCTTTCCATAGTCCCAGCGAACATCAAAACTCGTCCGAGCTTGCAGCAACTGGACTCACTCCCTCTTATGATCAAGCCGCAGGACTTCCCACCAACCCATGTGAGCTGGCAGACACCCGTTTTGGCAGGTGTCCCCGGGGAGCCCTTCCTTTCTGGATTTCCTGCAGCCCGCGCGCGGGTGGTTCACGTGATGCGCTGAGGCGACGCGTTTGCGCCACATGCTCCAGCCCGATGCACTGCCGGCGCGTTGGCCGCTAGTTGTATCGAGCGCAAAGATGGAGAATATGATAGATCATAGGTGGGCATAAAGTACCCATGCATATATGAGGTCGAGGGGACAGGGAATTATGGAAAAGATGGAAAATGCGCGAGCATGATTTTTGCTCGCCCTGATCACGCTGATGCCGCAATCGAGAGGCCCAGCGAGCACGCAAGAAGAGGAGGGGACAGACTCACCCCGAGCTACGCGCGCGCATTCCGGATGTGACAGACGCTGATGGCAACCAACATGAGATCAGTAGCTAGTGACAGAGTCACCACTACATATACCACCTTTATGGTCGAAAATGAGGAATTTTGGTCAGGGTGTGTGACAGGTAAAGCGGGAACTCACATTCACGGCGGATTCACTGTCAATCATGGATGTAGAGAGTAGGTGTTTCCCTGATAAGACCTTTCACGAGCATTTCACGGGCATTTCACGGGCATTTCACGGAGGAATCACCGGGAATCACCGGGAATCATCGTGATTCATCGGGAATCACTAGGATTCATCAGGAATCACGGTGATTTCCGTGTGAATCATGACCAAATCCTGACTTTCACGGTTCAACTCTGACTTTTGTCCAGTCAGGACCTCTGTACCTACAACCCGAACTCCTAGGCGTGATTCACCCAAAAACGAGCTGATATCAGCACCCGAAAGACTAGTGATACTGGTCCTTGTTATCTCACTAGGTTCCCTGGTTGTATTTCATTGCGGAACGGGCTTCACGCACTTGGTTGAAGGGAGAAATCATATTATTGCATACTGTATCTACAAGGACTACTACAATGTACCACGACAAAAGACACGGCATGAACAGACGTGTGCCTACGACAAGGGACGAGGGCAGGGAGCTGGCCGCGAAAGGGCTGTCATCGAGTCGATCGTTGCGTTAGGCAGGAGGAGACCTGTTGGCGGGGAAAGGGCATGGCGCTGGGCAGAGCCTGTAAGAATGCGGCGCATGACGAAGGTACACACAGGACCGACGGCGACCTGGTTCCGCGGTGTACAGAACGCGGCTACGACGACGTAAGCTCAGGTCGGTGGGCTGTGTCAGTGACGCACCTGGTATCGCAATACATAGCGCCAGTGCGCTGAAAGGGTGTCGATGTCGCGACAGCAGACCAGTACCGCGTCGCAGCAATCCGAATGGCGAACCTCGCGCGCGTCGTACGCGCGTTATAGAGCGGTGTGCGGCTTGCGGGTTGGGTCTATGCTTGATGGCGGCCAGTGTCAGTAAGAGGGAGGAGTACGGGGCACAATATTGTGTGCGATGCGAGACCTGCTGGAGGTCGTGGCCGTCGGGGATGATGGTACAAGAGAAGACGGACTTAGAGATTTCACGGAGCTACGTCACGCCGCGACGCGCTGTCACACGCGTGACAGATCACGGTTGAACTCACTTTTGGATGTCCTGGCGCTTTATGCTCCGTTGTCAAGGTGGATTTAGGGATCTTCTTCACATATTTCAAGTCTTACTCCAACCAAGCCTCTTATCTTCTCTCGGAGATCTGCATTAACCGACGTTTTGCAGATTTCTGGATTTATCCTGCTTTGGGCACCTTGTAAGACGGTCACAACGCTTATGAATGCGCCCAAGGAGCATCTGTAGCATGAAAAATACCATCGAGAACTGATTAGCAGACGAAATATACGCTCAGAACCTCTCGAAGGATCATATACTCGGACACAGCACCCCATAGCGAGCGGGTCGAGAAGCAGATGACTGTGGCACATCGGAGTGATGATATATACCCCAAACTGCCCAGTAACAAGCAATACAGCGTTCGAAAGGCGCGATTCGGGGACGAAATTCCTCAAATCAGAATCACCTAGCTGTAACCGTACCGCCACCCAAAAACCACCCGGAAAACTTGGCATTCGGTGCATCAACCAGATCTCCTGGTAGTCGTAGGGTGATTGTAACCCGGTCTCGGGTGCACAGTGGCAAGGAAGCAGGCAGACTGACCAGGGACTATCTTGTGACTCTCCGTTCATTCTATGGCCTTTGACTGGGGTTGCTCGTTCTTGTCCGTCAGCAGACAGAGATCTTACGCTGCTTCGGCTGAGGGTCTCTTCCCACAGATACTTGCCTTACTCTCAGACTTCATCCGCATCTTGTGAAATCCGAAGATCCATGTCCCGGTCGTGCAGAAATTCGTGAATAACTCAAAATGGCTTCATAGAAGATATGGCAGCAGAGCGTCGCGCAGAGAGTGCAGCTCGAAGAATGGGATCGGTCTGCAAAGACATGACGGCAAGAACAATGGCCCGGCAAAAGCCGTGAATTGTCTGTTGTTTACTCGCTCGGCGAAATGCGAAGGTGTCATGCTCTTCTTGCCCCTCTGCTTTCACCGTCACTCGCGCTTGTAAGCTCTTCAAGCTCGTCATACTCATTGCTCGCGAACGCCTTAGGAGACCCCCCGAGCTTGCGAGGGAGGGGAGAGGCGGAGCGAGCAATGTGCTATCACGTGAGTCAAGGAGGGGCCCGTTCACGGGCCAAACGGTAGTTTCGCCTCGTCATCGCTGTTTTCGCTCTGCTGTCCGAGCATTTCTTCGAATTTCGCTATGGTCAAAATATGAATTTGGGTCTGCTCTACGCTGGCTACCATCCTGCAAAGTTTCGTCCCGAGCACTCGACTTTTTGTATTCGACTCCCAAAACCGCCGTTTCGCGTTCGAATCTCGGTCTTTCGCTTCGCTTGAAAGCCGAGCGCCTTCTTCCCATCCATCACCACCCTCTTCTCGAATTTGAGCGACATAGGTTGAATAGCTCTCATGCAACATCGCTCGTGCACCTTCGCGCTAGGTTACGCCTGGCCTTCGGGCAGCGCGTACGATGACGTCGCATTCACAGCACGTATTTTCGGCATTTGCCGCTGCACATTGCTCGACCTACGGAGTAGGTTTCCTAGCGAGCACCCCGCGGTCCTGCCGCACGCCTATGTTAGTCTTCTCGCGTGGAGTCGTTAATCGATGCCCCTTTTTGCATTCTAGTGGCCTTGTCACCTCGAGGCTGCCAAACTGATGTGGAAATTCCACCACTTTATGGCGAGCACCACCAGACGGAATGACTGGCGACCCAAGCATGGCTGATGTCAACTCAAGAAGCGCCTGCTGTCCGACACATGCAATTATTTGTATGTGTTGACGAAGGTGTGTCCGCAGACCCTTTCCTGGAGCCGAAGCCAGGTTGCGGGTTGCCGCCTCCTACCATCTCGTACAAGTCGTATGACGTTATTCCCGCTGTCCCACGCCTCTTTCTCAACTTCTCGCCTTCTGTACTTGCCTTCTCATTAGACCACGGATGTCCGGCAACGTCAGACTCTCTTATGTGTTGTCCTCGCTCAAGGCAAGTCGCAGCTCTCGGGTTCACTCATCTCCAACGCTGATTTTGAATAGCTTTTGCTCTCGGCGGATTTGCATGAATGCGTCCTGGGCAATATAGCGCCGTCGTCGTCGCAGGAAGAGACCATCCGTCGTCTCATTAAGGCCACGCAAAATCAACTACAATCCATCGGCCAAAGCACTGCAAATGCCCCTCACGAAAAGAACATTCTTGCTGCTTTCAGGCTGGCGCACGTCTGCAGGCAGTGGCGTGGTGACGCGCGTTTCTGGACACGACTTCGGCTCGCGGGTAATCAGGCCTGCGGCGCGGAGGCCTTGCTTCAGGTCGGAGCGTGGTTTGAGCGTGCGCGTGCATTGCACGTGTCCCTAACTGTCGTCTGCACCGACGAGGGCTGCGAGCCTGGATCAGAGCACCTGCTCATGGAGCCTCGTTTTGGGGACCTGGGGCCCTAAATTGGAGAGCTTAACGTCGAGGGCCCTCCTTGGATGGCGGCTGCTGTGCTCACCCATCCTCCGTCTTCATTGCTCGCGAACGCCTTAGGGGACCCCCCGAGCTTGCGAGGGAGGGGAGAGGCGGAGCGAGCAATGTGCTATCACGTGAGTCAAGGAGGGGCCCGTTCACGGGCCAAACGGTAGTTTCGCCTCGTCATAGCTGTTTTCGCTCCGCTGTCCGCGCATTTCTTCGAATTCCGCTATGGTCAAAATATGAATTTGGGTCTGCTCTACGCTGGCTAGCATCCTGCGAAGTTTCGTCCCGAGCGCTCGACTTTTTGGATCCGACCCCCAAAGCCGCCATTTCGCGTTCGAATCTCGGTCTTTCGCTTCGCTTGAAAGCCGAGCCCCTTCCTTTCACCCATCACCACCCTCTTCTCAATTTTGAGAGACATACGTAGTGTAGCTCTCATGCAACAATGCTCGTGCACCTTCGCGCTAGGTTACGCCTGGCCTTCGTGCGGTGACGTCACATTCACAGCACGTTCTGTCGGCATTTGCCGCTGCACATTGCTCGACCTACGGAGTAGGTTTCCTAGCGAGCACCCTGCGGTCCTGCCGCACGCCTATGTTACCCCTCTCTGCGCAGACTGCGTATCGCCGCCACTGGTGACGAGGCCTCGTCCTTTCATGCTCAGGACCTCGTCAGACGAGCTTCAGCGTTAGAAGGCACTACTGCGCTGCACTCACTCGCTCTCGACTCCGTAACAAGAATGACTTGCGGGAAGCTCGGCGACGTATTTCCAGTCCCCTGGTCGCAGCTGAAAGTCCTCAACCTCAGTTGCCTCAATCTCGTACATGACTTCCCCGCCATCTTTCCCCATCTCACTTCCCTCGAGCGCCTGAGCATCGACATCATGCGCTTTTACGATTTCCCTTCACTGTGGCCGGCCTATACGCCCAACGTGACTCTGGCGTTCTTGAAATCATTCAGCGTCGTATGCTCGGACTCAGTTTGGCCCTATGAGTGGCTCGAGTCTGTGCGCTTTCCCGCGCTGAAGGAGTTTTCGCTGGAGGAGAGGTTCGGACCGACGTTCGATTGGCCTCTCCAAGCTGTCACAAAACTCGCGGACTGCGCGCAAGGACTGGAGGAGCTCTACCTGACGCGGATAGACTTGAGCCCATTTTATCGCGAGACTCGCAGGATCTTGAGTCTCATGCCCAACCTGCGAATCTTGATGCTCGACGGCGTCAGCACCAATCCTTACAGTATCCTCCAGATGCTTCTCAAGCCTAGCCACGTTCCGCAGGAATCTTCCAGCTTGCCGCTGCTCCCACGACTGGAGATCCTGCGCATCGACGACCACGACTGGAATGCCATGGACGAGATTGACGCCTGCCATGTATATTGGTACATCCTCACCTTCCTCATACAGCGCTTACAGACGACACCTTTCCGAGAGTTCTCCCTTACCTGGTCTACCTACCAACTCAGCATGAAGGAGATGCCGATGGAAAAATGTCACGACGACATACGGAAGTTGGCAAACCTGATAAAAGCGTGCAGTTCCTACGCGAGTGTGGAGATCACGGAGCTGCAGGAAGCGAATGAACTGGCGAAGCGGTGGATGTTCGAGAATGGAATATGCATGAACTACATTCACCATCGCAGCTATTGACCCATTGTACGGATTGGACAGATCCGTATATGCATGTAGCTCACAACGTAGCAGCGCAGTCGACGAGGGGGTGTTTACATGCTTGTTACGTTCGATACGTGATGCCGATTGACACAGACGACGGATGTCTATATGTACCTTCCGACCCCGAGAGCTTACAGTGGTACAGGTTGAATGTCACCATCAGCATAACAAGGCCATCCGAGTACCTTTGGCTTTGCGTTGAGGTGTAAGGAGAATGATATACGACAGACAGAAGATCCATTACAACGGTACCAATATTTTATCCACTAGTTTGTATTTTTGATGATCCAAGCTGTCAGTGACGCGCCCACCCCGAGGCGGCCAATCAGCATTTTCGCACTATACCCTGGCGTAGCTCCTCTTCTCTGCAGTATAGTCAGCAAGCCCGGTCTCATCGAAAGACATAGAATTGAGAGCGCACGCACCTATACTCAAACATGAGCTGCACCCCCACGAACAAGCACGCGAACACGGCGGCAAGGAATCTCAGCCCTTCCGGCGAGCCGACGAGCTGGTGGAGGAAGTACTTCACGCCGTCGATGCCGATGACAAAGCCGACGAGGTTCGCGGTCATCATCATGAGGACGTTGAGCACGCCGCCGAAGGCGCAGACGTGGCGGTACCATGGGCGGTCGCCGAACTGGAAGGAGTCAGCGTGCGGTTGGTGGAGGTGGAAGGCGAGAAGAGTTGACGGATAGCAGAGGCGCAACGAAGGACGTACCCGACTTTCTGGCAAGAGCTTGCGCCCTATGATTTCCGGGACGACGAAGAGGGTAACAAGCCAACCCCATGCGAGCAAGCGGAATGTCAGGTCATGCCAGAGCGCCACGAAGGAGAAGACGAGGAGGCTGTTGAGGAGTACCCGCTTAGAGCCGCCGAGGGGAATGTAGATGTACCTAAGCGCCGTAATCAGCATGATATTGTCCAAGAACGAGTTTACTCACCGTACGATCCAAAGGTTATAGCTGCGATGCCAGCTGCGCCAGAACCCGAAGGTCGAGTAGTTGTTCGCCATGCACCGCACCATGTTTTCCGGCGGGTCGATACCATCGACAAGCGCCCATAGGCGGAAGAAGCGCCAGGGGAGGAGCAGCTAGGCAGGCTTGAAATTGTGGCGCAGTGGTAATCACAGTGAGGCTCACCTTTAGCCAGACGATGATGAGGTTCCAGAACCCGATCATGGCGATCTCAGCTGGTGTGTCGCCTGGCCATGCTCGCGCGTCCTTAATCGCTACAACGTACATGCAGTGCAGAATGACTTCCATGGTGAGCATGCAGGCAACCCAGCGGAAGATGTAGTTCAAGAGCGCGCGCCGTGAGGGTGGTATCGGTGTGCGATGCTGTAGTAGCACGTCGGTCTTTACTTGATCACAAACACAAACCCACGCACCTGCCACATGAAGTCGTTGAACGTCATGATCGGGCCCGCGATATACAGCGGCGCGTACAGGATGTACGTGAGGTAGTTCACGAACCCATACATCTCACGCGGATGCGAGACTCGCGTGCGCTGCCTGTCATCGAGCGGCGACGACCTGTCAACCTGTTCCGGTCACCACACATAGACTGAGCAGTAGATACGTACGCACCTGCTGGGACTCGGCGCCTGTGGATGCCCAGTGGAGGTCCATGTTGTACGAGATGATGCGGAGCATGGTAATGTTGTAGCTGATGTGCCAGCGGGGGTAGAGACCGTCGTACGAGTCCTGGTGAGATACTTCAGGGGCTTGGACGGTCAAGAGATGTGTAGAGCTTTACCAGTATGTGTAGGGAAGGGAGGATCTCGCCGTAGCGGTACCCGTTATAGTAGTCGTTGAGGAAGAGGACGGCGAGATTGAAGATCCAGGTTAGAACTGGTCCTAAGCGGGACCCTCTGCACGTCTTCGCAAGGTAGTAGTTGGAGGAGAGGATCAGGAGGATCTTGAATGTGCTGGTGCCGTGCAGTACGAACACCATGATGAGGGAAAGCATCAAGCGGAAGGGGATGAGGAACATGTCCCCCTCGCCCCGTCGCGGTGCTATTCGCGTCCATGCTACCTTGAGGACAGCGAACAAGAGGGTGGCGGCAGTCAAGTGGGGCACATTATCCCGGAACGATCGGTATTGCGCGTCGCTGTTGTCCTGTTCGACTGTTAGCGTGACGGAGGACGCTGAAGGCTGTGAAACGCACGATCTTACGCCCGGCTATCCACCCATTTGTCAGCCTGTGCTCGTACAACACATAGTTGCGATGCCAGGCTATGGACAGCGCGTCAATTGATGCGGCGTCTACATGCATACGACCACTCACGATGGCTCAGGCGCATTGGTATGTACGCCATCAACGGCAGCACAAATAGGGCGACAGCATAGTAAAGCAGGAACTCCTTCGTCCTCCATCGCGGTGGCGCGAGCTTTTCCTGAGGGACCCGCCGCTCGCTGGAAGGGATGTCGACCGTGAGATCGACGAGGCGCATTCGAGGATGCGAATGAGTGGAGGAAGTTGGATGCTGCAGCTGGTTGGGCGAGGGGAGACTGAGGTCTATGTATTCGAGCTCGTCGTCGTTGGCATTGTGCTGAGGCATCTCCTCGTCGTCGCCGGCGGCAACGACGCGCGTGGCGGCGTCGGGGTCGATCACATGATGGGGCGGGGATTCACTTCGGCGTTTGCCGGCTTGAGTTCGACGGTGCGTGTTCATTTTCTGCCCTTGACCTCGTCCTTCGTACTGTCTCAACAGCGATGCAGCTTCCTTATAAGCCTCGGTCCTCGAAACAACAAGGAGAGCGAATGTCCGTCGGCTCTGCTCTGTATGCTCGCTCTTGACGCGCCCGAAACTTGGCTGCAACCCGAGAGTCCGTATCCCGAAATCTCAGGGAAAAGCCCGACGACATCGCCATCGTCAACCACCCTGACTCGAAGCTATTCCTTTGCTGCCTTGCCTACTTCTCATCTCGGCGCCCGATGTCGATGCTGCGCGACTCTCGACATTGGGCAGTGGGCACCCCTAGAACATGGAGCTTCAGCATTTCGTGTCCTTGCAGATACCTCGCTCCTTTGGGTCCCTATCGACCTAAACACTGCTATAAGAGCCTGCTGACAAGGAGGCGCTGTACAGCAAACAGCAACACTGGCATGCCCAGCGCCGAGACGCAGTCGAAACGCCTCGTGCTATGAGCCAGAGAACGTAAATCTCCACCCCAATTCATATTTTGCTGTGGGCGCGCCGAAGTCGAAATGAACGGCCTGCCTAACTGTATAAAGGGCCTCGACGAGATGCGCTCATATTGTCTACGCCGTCCCCGAGATGTTTTCCACCATCCTGACGATATCTGCGCTCATAGCCTCGGTGGCAGCGTACACGAACCGTATGTCATCTTCCGCGCTTCCCTCTTATACCTTCTCACACCTCTTCAGCTCTGTGGAATGATGGCAAGGGTGCCGATCCCTGGATGTTCGCCGCCAACGACGGCTACTACCTCACCTACACCGCCGGCAACCACGTCGAGATTCGGTACTCCCCTACCCTCACCGACTTCCACACTACAGACCCCGTCGTTGTTTGGGAGCCTTCGAGCGACATGGGCGGCGTCTGGGCGCCCGAGATGCACTTCATCGACGGGAGGTACTATGTATACGTCGCGGTGACAGAGAATGGCGACAACTCGGGGCATCGGATGCATGTGCTGGAGGGAGATGCGACGGACCCGCTGCAGCCCTACAAGCATGTCGGGAACGTCAGTACGTCGGACGACAATTGGGCGATCGATGGGACGGTGATGCAGGTGAGCTTTATGTGCGTATGCCTGCAGAACGATAGTTCCTTGACACTCTTTTTCTCAGTATAATGGCACGAACTACTTCATCTGGTCCGGCTGGACATCGAACGACGATGTGCAGAACCAGCATCTCTACATCGCACGGATGGATGGCCCCACGAAGCTTACCGGGGAGCGCGTTCTTCTTCATAGTCCTACCGAGAGCTGGATGCGCTCGGGCGACTCGGGCGTGAACGAGGGACCAGAGATCCTGGTGCATGAAGGAAGGACCTTCCTCACGTATTGTGAGTATCACACATTGTTCATGCCGCTGTTCGCAAAGCTCAATCATGTACAGCTGCCGCTGGTTCGTGGACGGAGGACTACTGCCTCGGCCTCATGGGCATAGACAACGGCGCCGATCCCATGAATCCCGAGAACTGGTGGACCATCGACGACCGCCCCGTCTTCCAGAAGAGCAATGTAACTTTTGGTGTCGGTCATGCCTCATTCGCGCTCGACAGGGAGGGCACACCGTACATCGTCTACCATGGCATGTCCAGTGAGCATATTGTCTCTGAGCTGAACTCCCATCGCTGACAACTAGCAGAGCCCGACGGCGGCTGGGAAGGTCGCACTGTCCGCGCGGAGGCCTTCAAGTGGAACGAAGACGGCTCGCCCAACTTCCCTGCGCCTTCCGCTCTCGGCGTTGAGCTGCTCGACTCTGCCTAGAGGCTCCCAAATCTCTCCCACGTCCCATTGTCGGGCAGGCAATGACATTGTACAATACAGGACCACATCAACCTAATCACCACACCCATAGACAATATACATATAGTAGTACAGGTTCCCATTTAGTAGTAGTTCGTGTATACGATAGCGAAAGTAGTGGGTTAGATCTCTTCCAATAATAAGACAACAGTCTAGTTGCTGTGCGTCATAGAATAAGCAAGTTAGAAGGCATGCTGCAACGCGAACGAAGTCGAAGCGATAAACAAAAGCAGCAGCAGATGCTCATACATAGTCAACGAAGGTCAACGGGGAATATAATCTGACAAGTCCTCACGGAAGCGAGATCCATACTCGCGTTCTCCCGGTCGCGGCTTGGAGGTATGCCTCGACGAATGATGCCGCTTTGACGATGAGCGATGGGGCGAGGACGTGATATGCTCCCGCTCGCGATGCCCGTGATCGTGCGATCGGCTCGACTTGTGTTTGCGTGGCTCTTCCCTACTCATACCAGGATATGGGACATAGGTGACAGCCTGCGGCGGAGGCATGGAGGCTGGCGGAAGCTGAGGCAAAACGGCCGGAGGCAATCCGCGACGGGGCTTATCATCGTATGCTTTGGGCTTGTGCTCCGTAGGCTCCTTCGACTCATGGCGTTTCCGGTGAGACGAGTGGTGTTCGTTCTCAGTATCTTTACGCGAGCGATGGCCTTCACGGTGTCGATCGCTGTGGCGTGAAGACTCCTTGTCGCGCGAGGTGTGGTGCCCCTCAGTGCGAGAATGACTCTCGTGCCGTCGTTCTGTGTGCGAGCGCTCAAGCTCTGGCTTATCGCGGCGATGTGAACGCTCCTGAAAGGTAGGTTCAGTATAAGACGTAGCTCGATGACGCTCATAGCACACCTTGTCGCGCGTCTCAGGAACCGTCGACTTGAGTGCCCTCGAGTCGGAAGCATGTCTGCTCATCTCCTTCGGCCGAGATGAAGTCTTGCGTTCCCTGTCGGTCGCAGAGGGCCTCTGACGCAGGTGAGAGCCTCATTCAAGCACTAAGCGGCAGCACTTACCACAGACTGCGATCTGGATACCCTTCCTGGTGCCTCCTCCGTGATGGGCGTCATGGGTATTACCGGCAGTGAGTCGTTACGATGGTGCTTGCGGGATGAAGAGCGGGACACGTCGTGCTGACGGACGCCGCGCATCAGCGTTGGGCCTGAAAGGGCGGCGGGATACGTACTTTGGACTTGGAGTTGCTTCGCCGTGGCGGCTGAATGTATACATCGGGTTGCAGACGCTCAGGCTCGGAGGGGAATTGCGATAGGTACGCCTGCAGGGGGAATGTTCAGGAAGGGCAGATACCGGGACGTAAGAGTACACGCACCTGTACATCCGCCAGGAGCGTGCGCGCTTCGTTGTTGAACTGGACGGGATGTATACGGCCCTTCGTGATCTTGCGCAGGACAGGCGCCGTGCTGTAGAGGCTGCAGAAGCACAGTAAGCGACGTACACCTGGAGCGATTAAATGCACGCACACCGCCCAGCGGTTGTCCAGGTCAACGATCTTGTCCCCTCTCCACCGGTTCTGCGCGATGAGGTCCGCAGCCTGCCCGAGAATGTCGTGGCCCTCGACGATCAGGCGCGAAAGTTCCGCGGAGTCTTTTGACTCAGCGTCCTTGGTGCTGTTCCGTCGGAGGAGGGCTGGAAGGAAGGGCGGGTCCTTCAGGAAGCTCTTGAAGTCCTTGGGTTTCGGTGAGTCTGCTTTGACGAGCTCCATCGACGGTGATGGTCAAGAGCAAGGTGCGGGAATGCATGCAGGCGAACATGAGATCGCAGATGGAAGAAGCGTGCAACGCGACACCACGCGCCTCGGTCCGTCGAAACCGGTTGCGTGCGATCTGCCGGAAGATCTCACGCGTCGGGCACATTCGAGTTCGAGTCCCATTGTCCGCAATGAGGGAAACCCATGAGACCGACGTCTTCAAGGACGAATTCCGGTCAGGGAGTGTAGTGACAAGTCTGGAAGGAGCGATAACGAGGCTTTGCGAGGTTGAGCGTTGTGTGAGAGTGGGCGGCATGAGGCGGCGCAAGGCACAAGGTGTAGCAGCGCTGTATTGCACACGATGTGCGCCTACAGCCACCGATTGCTATGTGCTCGATATCAGAGTGCTGGGAAGACGATAAGAGAGAAGTTATGAGATATAGTAGCTTCGTCGAGGAGGAATACCTGTCAAAGATCATCCTTCCTGGTGCGGGCGCGGTGGCAAATTTCGAGGCTAGTCACAGAGGATGAGCGACAACAATCTGTGGGACACACAAGGGCACTTGATGTTCAGAGGAATCGAGGGTCTGTGAGTGTTAATCTCCGCGCGTACCCATAGTATAGCTTCTGCATTTGTGGCACCTATCTGGAAAGAAATCAACGACTTTCCCTTCGACTCCCTGTGCATAACTTGTGTACTCACGAAACAGACCTCCATAAGTCGTTTCTAGAGACTGTGCAGTCATATATGGCTACAGAGGAATGGCGTAGGGCGTAGCGCTTCATAGCGGTGCAGGGTCCAAGCTGGGTATATGCACTCCAGAATCGTGAAGTCGGGAGTATTGAACTCGGACGGCGTTAAAGGAAAGAGTGGATGAGCCTCTGAGTTCACAAAAACGAAGATCATGCCGAACTTGAAGGAGCCCTAAAGCGCGAGTGACGGCGAGAGCAGAGGAGCGATCGACCCAGCCTGCTTTACTTCCGCGTGACCGTGACATCTCGCAACTTGCCGAAATATGAGCCAGCATCAAACAGAAAGGTCAACACCCGAAAGCTATTCTAGCTATACAAGTAGACATAGGATTCGTATCTTTACACTTGCGTCAATTCGTTACACTTCACAATCTGATCCCTACATTGCGAGCCGAGTCCCCTGACTTTCATTGCACTCTGCGCCCTATACATGACATGGGCTGTCCCTTCAGTTCGTGATCGTGAAGTCCTCGCTGTCGTTGCCGGAGTCGCCGAAGACTGGAGGAGGGGTAAGCTTCCATTTTGCGAGGGATCGGTCCAGCCGCTGATTCTCTGCCGAAATACGAAGTCGCGCGCGCAAGACCAGCGACGGAAAAGTAGGAAGGCGAGGAAGAAAGTGAGATATCGGAGATGACAGAAAAGAGTTCGCAGATGAAAGTAAGAAATAAAAGAAGAGAACAGCACTCACGGACGATGCTGTAGTCGTTGGCCGGCGCCACGTTCGGGACGGTGACCGTCACGAAGCCTGCGCGGAGATCGAAGTCGGAGACTAGGGTCTGGAGGACTGAGAGCGTGTATAAGCGTCAGATGCCCCGCGCGCAAGCCGTAAAAAGCCAATACTCACGAACTTCCTCCCTCAGCACGACGCTCGCGCCGTTGCTGATGACGGGAGGCGCGTCGGAGGTGTCCCTGGAGATGAGGTGAGGTGAGCTCGGTGTCCACGATGCATCAAGTCCAGTCGACGGTCGGGGTGAAGGAGAACACCCACCAGGTCACATTCACCAACTGCCCAATGACCCAGACCGTGCCGGCGTTGGGCGTCAGGATGTGCGGGCTCCAGACGTCCTCGGCAGCGCGCTTGACCAGAGTATCCCGCGCGCTCTGCTCGACCGGGCTCGCCGAGGCAATGAGAGCGAGCGAGGCAGTGACGAGAGAGGAGATGGAGAAGAACATGCTTGCTGCTTTGGAGGAAGGTGAGGTGAGGAAGAGGAGTCGAATGTTCAGATCTTCAGAGGAGCTGAGGATGAGGATAGAGGCACACAAGGGCCCAGCTTATATATCTTAACAGAGGAGGCGATGCCAGTGCCACAAAATACAAGATGCCTTTGAGCGACCTTTTCGGTGGTACCGAAGTCATGCGCACCCTCGCAATGTCCTTCGTCGATTGTGCCGCGTGCCGGGCTCACTTCGAGGCCTCTCTTCGTGCGCCACCCCAGTTCTCTGCCGGCGCGGCGCACCATCAGGAAAGCGACATAGGCCGTGTTGTTGACCAAGATATGTCTGCCGATGGCGAAGGCCAACGTGCTGGGCAGAGCGCCTGCACTTCAATACATGTCAGAGCCCACGTCCTTGAATAACTCCTCATGAGTGCATTGAATGACTTCGGGGACGTATGAATGGCGTCACAGGCTGCTTCCGTCCCGAGGGCCGCTCAGACGCCCGTTCATCTCGGTAAGTGGGCCATGGGCGGGGAAGAAAAACGCGCAGACTATACGAACTGCAAAAGAAGCCATCAATGAGCACTTGCAGTGATTTCGACGATAATTTGTCACATACTTATGCATATTTCCAAGAGGACGGGCCACAGTGTTATGGCGTAGCTCGTACACAAGTCAAGTTCCTAGTACCACGTACCACTCAACAGTGGAATCTGACGCTCGAAGACGCCCACCGGCCGCTGACTTGGCCAGCGCGGCCAAATGGGCTGAAGGAAGACAGTCGGCGGCTAGAATCGTCCCCTCAAGCACCAGCGCTCGCACATTCCATGACGGCGGACCAATGATTCAGATGCCTCGCCAGTTAGCGTTCGTATAGCCAATGACATTAGGATGCGACCAATACATCAACTTGCCTGTGGCTATACGAACCCTCTTCGTCGGGGAGGGACGGAGGGAGGGAAATCGGCGGAGGAAGTTAATGGCGGGAGGGTGTTAGGATTCAGTTCACTAGAGGTACGTCGATAGTATGTGAGGGACCAGAGGGCGTGATGCTCGAGGGTCTGACCTTCAGCTCGTCAACGAGAGTCTAAATTGGGTGCGCTCTACGAGAATAAACTGAGGGCGAAAGCGCTGTGATTGTCTTGCTGCTTTTCCTCCTTTGGTGAAAGTGTATGAGGAGGTAGTTCGCCTGAGCACCACAGAAGCGGAAAGCCCGGTGTCGCATTCTCGGGAACATGGTGATCGAAGGCAAGCAGTGGCGCCCCGGCTGTGACGCATTCAACTCACCGGTCTACGGCCCGCGCCTCTCGCTCCCCACTGTCAGTGTCATGATACCAGCAGGCGCCTCCTACCTCTGAAGACATCTGGAGCGCCCAAAATGCCGCCATTCAACGACCCCACGCCCCTCATTTCCTCATTCAAGGAGAAAGTCGAATGCGCGACGGCTCAAGGCGCGTGGTGGCGAGCACTGAGCTGATGGAGTTACTGAGGCTCCGTAGGCGACAGGCTTTACTTGGGGACCGCGAGTGGGAGCTTGTATGTGTATGGGGTGGACTATGAGCCAGGTAAGGCGCTGAGTGGGTGTGGAGATGTGAGTGCTGAGAGTCCGAAGCTGAGGGCAAGGAACCGGGGACCCTGGTCGAATGCAAGAAGAATATCTCGCGACGAGCGATAGAGCAGGTCGCGTTCATCAAGGACGTGAACTCGGTCGCTATACTCTCAGGTGCGTATCGCAGTACGACCTCCCAAAAGCCATTCACTGATCATGTATTTGCATACAGATTCCACGGTCACTCTCCTCCCCCTGCCCTCTTTCGCCCCTCCTACTCCTCTCATCAAGGCCAAAGGCGCGCTATCCTTCGCAGTCAACACATCCATACAACATCTGCAACCAGATGGCAGGCCGGTAGACTCGGACGCGGGCAAGAGCCCGAAAGCCATACCCACCCTGATCACCCAACTCGTCATTGGGTGTAGGCGACGCGTCGTCATATATAGCTGGAGGGACGGAGATGCGCAGGACACCAAGGTGAGTAGTGCACGCACGAGCTCAATTCTCCATGTTCACACAAGTACAGGAACTTGTACTTCCCCACTCTCCGCGAGCTATGGCCTTCCTGAACCCCGACGTCGTCTGCTTCGGCTACTCCCCAACGGAATACGCCACCTTCGACATTCCCAGAATGACAGTCACCGACATCTCCACGCCACCACCTCCACAGCCGTCGACTACTACTGCTATGGGCGTCGGCGCCTTCACCGGCTTGTCGGGCTACATGGCGCTCGCACTGGGTGCAAGGCAGAAGCCAGAGGTCCTACAGGTAGCGGAGAACGAGGGTTTGATCACGAAGGATACAGAGGGCATCTTCGTCGGGCCTGAGGGCAAGGTGACGAGGCCATCGACGATACAGTGGCCGACGTCGCTGGAGGACATCGCCTACGTCAAGCCCTACATCTTCTGTGCATTTCCCGCCGGCACCGTCCCCGACCGTGCCTCGCCACCCAATACGACGCAGCAGTTTCATCAGACCTCCGTCGTACAGCTCTACTCCGCGCTCTCTATGCAAGCCGTGCAGACCGTGCCCTATCCGTTTACCCAACCTGATTCCACGTCCACCGCTACTCTCGCCTCTACCTCGACTTCGCCGACAAAAGCACCGTCCACTGCTACCACGGTCCCCAACGCCACCCTCCGACTGCTCACCGCCCCGCCGCAGCCCAAGTCCACTTCTAAATCCCCATGTTTGCTCGCCCCCTCGACGCCGGCCGACAAGACCGCGGCAGCAAACGAGGGCAGCACGACCGCGGCAGCGAACGGGGGCAGCACGACCGCGGCAGCGGACGAGGGGAGCACGACCGCCCCTTCCTTCGCCTCCTACTTCTTCACCAACCTTCTACTTCTTCACCAACGACCACTGGCTGCACACCCCGCTCTCCGCGTCCGCGTCCGCCTCCACGCCCGCGACCTCGCCCCCCGCCTCGGCCTTCCTGCCCGCCCCCGCCTCCACGCCCGCGACCTCGCCCCCGCCTCCGTGTACAAGCCCGCGCCGGCATCTGCGTACAAGCCCACGCCCCCGCCTCCGCGTACAAGCCCGCGCCCCCGCTGACGGCAGGCCGGCTCGCGACTATCTACGCCCCGCTTGCGAAGCGGCAGCTCACGGTGGCGACGACCGCAAATGCACTCAACAAGCTCGTCGAGGTGCGCTTGTCTTGGTTTATCATAGATAGTTCCCTTTGTATTATGTAGTCGTGCAATACATTGTGTTGTCCCCTACCGACCGACCGACCGACCGACCGACCGACCGACCGACCGAGACCGACCGTCCGAGACAACGTGAAAGGGAGTGATTGCTATTATGAAGGTCGGCGAGGGAGCTACGAAGGGGTGGGAACTCGCGCGAAGGGGGAGAAGGTCGCGCGAAGGGGGAGGAGGTCACACGAAGGGGGAGAGGGTCGCGCGAAGGGGGAGGAAGTCACACGAAGGGGAGGACGTTGCTCAAAGGGGGAGAGGGCCGCGCGAAGGGAGAGAGGGTCGCGCGAAGGGGGAGGAGGATGCGCGAAGGGGGAGAGGGTCGCTCGAAGGGGAGGAGGCCGCGCGAAGGGGAAGCATACATACAGAGTTGGGGAGTGAGGTACAGCGGCCTGACTGAAATCGACACCGACGAAGAGAACGAGAAGGGAGGACGTGCGAGATGAGATTGAGCGAGAGCGCGAGATGAGAACGAGGGGAGGGGCGAGATGAGATCAAGAGAGAGCGCGAGATGAAATCAAGAGAGAGCGCGCGAGATGGAATCAAGAGAGAGCGCGAGGCAAGAACGAGAGGAGGGGCGACGTGAAATGGTGGGGGAGGGCAGTTGTCTAAGGAGAGAACGGACGACATGGGCTGGTGGGGGAGGGCAGTTGCGTGAAGGAGAGGGAGCGCGAGGGGAATGACGAAGGCGAGCGAGATGAGGCGGTGAGAAGGAGAGGAAGGAAAAGATGGGGTGATGGGGAAGGGCAGTTGCACGCGAAGCGCAGGCAACGACGCCCGAAAGGGAGGGGAGTAGGTGAAGACAGGGAAGGGGGAGGTGAGAAAAGCAAAGGGCTCGAAGGGGGAGGAAGAAGGCAGGGCGAGTGAGGACGAAAGGGGGAGATATAGAACAAGATACGGCCGGGGAAGGGGAGGGGGATGCGCACGAAGGGGAGGGAAAAATAGGTAAGGTCAGATGTACCCACCTACCGCACGAACCGGCCCATTGCAAGCCTTCGCGCGGGGGTTGGTATTTTTGAGGTCTTCGTGCGCGGCGCAAAGTCTTTGAGGTCGGAAAGGGTTATTCACACTCGAGATGCACGCGAAAATCGTTATATACAAGGTAGGGATGGCAGAACTATACCTTGTAATGGAGTAACGAGCCCATCCTTCGCACCTGAACCCAGCTGGCGCCCTTCGCCTCGCGCCTCAACACATCCTCCCGCCCTTCGTTAGAGTGCGCATCGCACCTCCCAATCCCCCCTGCCTGAAGAATCTCACCCGCGCGCAACCAGCCTCCCCACCCCCCCACTCGACGATCCGGCACCCCTACACCGCCGTGCGCACCCTTCAGACGACCCGCGCGCACTCAGCGGCACGTCGAAGGGACCCCCTGTCCGTGCTCGCACCCTCCCCCGTCACGTCCCGCACCCCCACGAAAGAAGAAGGCGCACCTTCGATGCGCGGACCCGCACAGCCTTTCTCTCGGCGCGCTTAGCACGGCACTCCCTCCGCTTGAAGGTATGGGGTCGGGCAAGCCTGCCCCCCCTCCATGTCGGTAAGCGCCCTGGGCTCCCCCTCCCCCAATCGCGCTCTACCTGCCTCATCCGGCCGCGTCACGCACACCCCTCTCGCACTCCTCGCCCACTCCCCCTCCTCATCCCTCCGTCGACCTGGCAAGACCCCTCCGCGAGAATGACTGCACACCTTCTCCGGGTGTAGGTACTCTCACCCAGAAGTCGGGGGCGATATCAATTCGATGGCGCGCGGATGATTTCTGCTAATTTGTGAGCAGATTCCTCTCCTCGCGCTCGAAGTGACGGCTTTCCGCGCAGAACGATGGGATCCTCGTCACTCTACGACGAGGAGGGCGGGTCAGCCTAATTTTGGTCCATCATAGGGGGCGCCCCCAGGCAGCCCCTTCTCCTCTCGCGCACTCCGCGACTCGCGCCCCACCCCCTACCCACCATCCCACTTCTGTCTCGTCGACCCGAAGGGCCGCCGCTCATTGCTCACCCCCCTCGCCCCTTCCCTCGTCGATTTAGCTTGACCCCCCTCCCCTCATCGCGCCCCCCGTCGCCGAGCCCAAACCTGCAAAGAAAAGCGCACCTTTTTGCAAGGCGCGAGTACCCCCACCCCTTCTCGCAGAAATCGGGGGCACCGTCGATGTCAAAGGCGCGCGATGGTTTCTACCAACTTGTTAGCGCGTCTACAAAGGACCCTCCCGCGGAAGAGTGCACTTACCTGGAGAAGGTCAGCGAAAACGATTGACCCCTTCGCCAGGGGGCACCCGTACCCGCTCGCGAAGTCGCCGAAGGGCCCCTGCACCCCTCCCCACCCCCTTCCGGACATTTTTTCATCGCATGAGCGTACCCTTCCCCTCGCCAAATGCGCGCAAAGTCGCACCCCCGTCGCCCGCGTGCAGAAAAGCGTCGACAAAAATGTTTCTGAAAGGGGGTCAGTATCGGGCAGATAGGTCAGCGAAGGTGCACTCGACGAAGGGGGAGGGGGTAGGGGGGTGAGGGGTAAGGGGAAGATGAAAGTAACCCCGGATAAGTTGTGCATAAGCTACGAAATCACGGTGAGGCGATAGAAGGATAAGTACAAGGAGGGAGGGGCAGCGGTAGGTACTGCCGCAGGAGGGAACGGGGCCGACGAGCGAAAAGGTATCAGTGGAATGATCAGTAAAGCGACGAAAGGGTAGGTAGGGGACAAGGCTCAGCGGAGGTAGGGATACACGGAATCAGCGAGGTGGGGGAAGTCAAGGGAGGGGGAGGGGTAAGCCATGAAAGGGAGCGCTAAGCGATGAGATAAGGTGGGAGTAGGTGAATAGTGATGGGTCAGTAAGTAATCAGTGATGGGTCAATAACGAGATAGTGATGGGAGTCAGTAAATGATTGAGGTGGTGGTGTACCAGATAGTGATGGGGGGAGGGGGAGGGGGGACAAGGTGCTCACCTAAATCGCGCGGTGCGTACGCTCACAGAGTTAGCCGTCCCGTCGCGCGCGGCCGTTGGCGACGACGAGCGCGCGTAATCGTTGCATACACGCGTCGAGGTCCGCGCGTCGGGTAACGGTCAGCGTGGATTCGCCCGAAAGCCGTCAACAGGGCTGACGCTCGATGCCATCGTCAAGCGCATGGGGCGCGGGCACCGCTGGTCGTCGTCGGTGTCGCTGCGCACGATGAGCAGGCGAAGGGCAGGAAAATGACTGGACTCACTCTTGTCGACCTCGATGCGGCGCACTCGTCGTCCACTGCCCGTCTTCTCCTCTGCGCGAGCAGGCCATGCCCGACGCTCTCCCTCGTCGTCGTCGTCGTGGTCGCCGTCGTCGCCGTCGTGGTCGAGCGCAAGGAAGCTCTGCGGGGGATAAGCGGCGCGGAAGAAGTAAGGGGAAGAAGACGTTAGAGGATGACATTGACAGGCGCCCACAAGAACCAACTCACGTCATATGTGGGTGCGAATGGGCGCGAATGTAGGCCCGATGGCGTCCGTGAGCTGCAGGTGGCTTTGGATGGCACACGAGGACTGAGGCGGCGTAGACCGATATCTGTGGGAGGGATTAGCACGACGACGAACGAGATCAGTGAAGGAATAGAGAGGCAGAGAGATGTAGTAAAGCCCGTCGAGAATGCGGCATGGCGAACGGACACGCACGGTCACGTAGAAACAGGTCAGCAGGGCGGGTAACCGCGCTAGCAAAGAGCGCGTCGCGGGAAAGTGGGGAGGCCGGCGTCCCGATAGATCTGAATACAAAGTAGAATCAGTAAAGAAATGGAACACAATGCTTGAGCTAGACTTACCAAGAATGAAATGTGCGCTTGCGGCGTCCACAGTAGGTGTCGAAAGCGCTAGGAAATGCGGATCAGCGAAATAAATGAAGCCTTGGACAGGCTTACCTCTGCAGAAAATAATCGAGGTGGTAGACGGATCTGAAAGGCGTGGTCAGCATAGGTATCGAGGGTAATAGCAAGCAAGGCACGTACAAGAAATGGGAAGGACGAGCGAAGGATAGGCGGAGGTAACTGCGAGTGAAGGCGTGATAAAAAGGCGGAGAGGGAAGGAAGTCAGGCTAGCTGATGTCGCTACTAACCTCCCCGCCCGCCTTTTATACTCAATTTCCCTGCCGTCCTCCGTCTTCCCCCGACCTGGGCTCTTCGGCGAGCGCTCCCATCGCCCATTCCACGCATCCAAAGCGCAGCCTAAGCCCATTCAAATGTACGTGAGCGGCGACCGATTAACTCACCGCAGTCGAAACCGAAGTTTGCGCGCGCCAGGGCGGAAGATTGGGGTGCAATGCTCCCCGAGGCGGCATTCGTTCTGCCAGTCTTGCATTGCGATGAGCGCCCGCATCGCGTCGAATACACGTACCAGATGACCTCCGCAGTCAGGGGGTGGCGTTGTTGAGCGGCGGAGTCGGAGACGCAGGAGCTGCCCGCTGAACTTTGCCGGGCGCGTTTTCCAGCGCAAAGGGCGTCTCCTTCGCCACCTGTAAAGCCCAGCGTTCGCAAGAGAGCAGCAAAGCAACGGGAAAACATACATAGAGTGACCCGTGACGCGTCACAAAGCCGGGGCGCCCGCCAAAAAGCGCCAGGAAATTCGGGGTGGTGGTTGAGTTGAACGCGATCAGGCTGTAGCTCCATTGGGAAGGCCTTGAAGGGCTGGAAAGTGCGCGCGCCAAAGGCGCGCCTCGCTCAGCGTCGTCTCCGTCGTTCCCTACCTCGCCGACCCTCGGGAACTTTACCGACGATACTTCCGCCCTTGAATACACGTTCTGCCAGGGAGTCTGTGCGGGATACAATGCAATCACCTTGTATGAGCTATCCTGCTCGCAGGAAATCGTCTTCGAAAGCGCGCGCTTCGCGCTTGCTGTCACCGCAGCCTGTCAAAAATAAGCTTCGAGTATCAGGGTACATTCTTCGGAAGAATTCCGAGCGCAGGAACGTACGAGACAGGGTGGAAGATGCAAAGGGAGTTTGGGCGAGAGGGCCGAGAGCTTGCCTGCCCGCGATTGCGCACTCCGCGCGTAGGAGATCATGTCGTGAGTCACATACCTCGAGGCTGAGACCAGAGATGAAATCGGAACTCCGGTAAGCGCAGGTGAAGAGGCAGATAGGTGGCGAAGTAGGAGTGAGGAGGAGAGGGTATGCATATCGAGACTTGTAGTAAGCGCAGGCACGTCTCGCACCCGAAGCATGCTAGGACACACTCACTGACAATGTTCGGGTACTTTCCGCGCCGCACACCCTCGCTAGGACAATGCAGGAGGTGCGCCGAAATCGACGCCACATATTCAAACCACCACCTTTTGCGCCGTGCATAGCGTTCGCATGTGCGCGAGGCGATTCTGAGTGCAGAGGCTTTGTCAAAAACATCAGTAGAATCGATTTTGGGTATAATAGTTCTAACCGAATATATTTTTGTGTAGGGTGACCGTTTGAGGTGGTGAAGAGCTCGAGTTCCACATGCAAACCTCTTCGACCTTCAGAAACGATAAGACAGAACGCAGATCCCGCCCATCGGAGACTTGGCGTCGTGCTCTGAAGCGAGGAAAGTGGTCTTTGTTGTGTGCGCGACCCATCGTATCTATTCGTTCGGCGGCGGACGTCGTCCGAACGGTTCTCGAGCCTTACTGCGCGCCACCGCGTGAACCTTTAAGGGATTGTGAGTGCGATGTTGCGCGGGCGGATTTGGGTAGCTCAGGATGGGTATAGATTCACTGAAATATTTGTTTCGCGCTCTTCCCGACGGTGCCCGTGCATGCGATGGGTCAGAATTGCTGGTGGCGACGGGAGACAAGGGAGTTCGGCAAGAGCCGCGGAGGTTCGTCCCGGTTTTCCGGCGGGCCACGCCGTTGTACTTCTTCGACTGGAACCATCACTATGATTTGGGGCGCGCATTCTGAGCTTGCTGTAGCGCCATGCGGTGTATATAGATATCCTCAAAAGTCCCTCAGGCGTGAATTCATGCCTTGTATTCGCCCACATCCGCAAGACATCGCCCGCGCTCGCAGTCGAAATGCTCCAATCCCTGCTTCTGAGGCGAACTCGAATTGACCTAGTTTTCCGCCGCGCAAGGTCACGGAATCTGCATAACCCACAGTCCGCGGCGTACACAGACACCAGCTTCTCATTCGAGGGTCACGGAGAGCGCCCGAAGGGGCAACATCTCAGATACTAATAGGCTCACCCCGCACGCGATCAGTCGCCGGTGAGTTTGTCCATGCTTGCTTGTTGATACGTCTGCCGTGCGGCGTTCTTCCTCATATATACGTATCCTCGGGTCGTTTCGTACCTCCAATCCCTCGCGTGCCCTCTCATCGTCTTGCCCTCCCGCGTCCTCCCCGCCTCACCCGCGCTCTCAATGCCTGTCCGCCCGGGTCGTCGATGCCCGTATCGCCCATCCGCGGGCGCTGACTAGCGCGTCGACGTTTCTAGGTGAGTTGGTCCCTTTGTTTCTTCTTTTTCTTGCTTTTCGACTGTGTTGTGTTGCGAGGCCCTCCATTTCCCTTTCACGTTCGACCTCTGCAGCCGTCTACGGCCTTCTTCACAATTTCCTCATTGATCGCCCACGCGTCGAGCGCTGCGCGTGCTCATGCTTAGCGCCTGGCGGGCGATCCACTTCCCCTCCATATTCAGTTATCTATTCACCTGCTTCTCGCCTTCCACTTCCCCTCCATGTTCTCATGCATTCCTTCATTCCTGTATTTTCATAAGAACCCGCTTCTTTTTCTTCCTTGCTTGTCTCTCACGAGCTTTTAGCTCGCATCTCATTTTCCCTGCGCTTCGGACATCCGCTGACGTTGTTGCAGCTCAACCTGGACGATGGATCGCTCGGCTTCTCGCGCAGAACAAAAACATGCGCTTTACAGCGGCAAGGCTCATCGGTGAGTCTCTCGGGTGTTCATTGAATCGTCAACGGGCTAACCCAACGCTTCTAGTCATGCTCAGAGGGCTCCGCGCGTCGCCGGTGCGAACGCGTCGACGCCTCGCGACGAACATCGCCATTTCGTCGTTCGACGCGCTTGAACCTCGATCAATACTCCAATTTGGTGATGATGTACGACAACAATTTCCCGCGGACTCCTCGCAACTCATACGATGTGCGTCTCGATCGCCCTCGAACTCGGCGAGGTAGCGGTGGTAGTCACCTTGGGGATGGAGATCATTGTCGCTGCTACGCGAACATGCTCGGTGAGTTTCCATTCACTCGTTTGTTTCATACGATATTCACTCTCATCTCTCAGCGTTCTGCCTTTGGCATCGCCCTCAATACTCAAGCCCTCGATCTCGCTTCTTAACGAGCACCAACAGCCGCGAGCATGTCGTGACGCAGCGAATCGCCGTCCGCCAATCAAGGAGTATCATTACTCAGGTTAGTTGGACGTGCTCACGCTTAGCACTCAGTACTGATTTGCATTCTAGTGAGACCACAAAGATCATTCTCGACGCGCTACTGCCGCCAAGCCGCGAAGTGAACTCGGTCACAACCCGTGAGACAACACATCATCGTCCCGCGAGTGGGGTGATAGTTGGGTACACGCGGGTCTTGGGTGAGTTGCGCAGCGTAGAATTGAACGGCTCGCTTACTCGTTGTCGTAGATCGCGCTTCACTTGTGAGGCAATGTGTTGCCGCCCGGCGAGCGGCGTCCTGCGGTATTTAAGCTAAGGACTAGACCGTGTCGTACCATCGCCTCACGCTCTCTCGATGCAGTCTCCACATCGAGCATCACCTTGTGAGCAGGTGAGTACATCCTTCGGATCTCTCCCTAAATCCGAGGCTGATCACTACGTAGTCTCTTCTATGCACTCCACCCTACGATGCTCGCCTTCAACATCGTTCAAGCTCCTATGCACCCCACTCTACGGCACGCCTATGCACTCTACTCTGCAAGGCTCGGCTTTCGATGACTCTTCAGCTCGATTTCGACGACAATCGGCCTGCGAGGATCCTTCAAGCCTCCCCATCCCTTCAAGCTCGAAGCCTCGTCGATTCCAGTGCGCTTTCGAGGCGGCGCACGCTTGACGGTCTCCGCGACGCGGCCGTCCTTCACGCCGTCGACGCACACGCTCAAGCAACATATCTTCGTCCGCCGAGCGGTGTCGTGCACTTCTAGGTGCGTTCGTTATTATGTGATCTCTACGATTTTGAGCTAACCTTGCTCATAGATGACCTCGCTATCGACATTCGCCTTTCGTTATCGACCTTCATCTTTCGCAAGCGACCTCCGCTGTCCTCTGCAGACCTACAGGCCACGCCACAAAGTCGCCGCGCTCTCAAGCCGTCGCCCTCGTCCGTCCGGCGCAAGATCATGTCCTCGTCAAGGCTCTGTCGAAGGCCATGTCCTCGTCAAGGCTCTGTCGAGCATCGCAACCTCGTCCCCGTCGAAGGCGCTCCGCGGCAAGCACAACGTGCATCGTATTCCTGTCCCTCATCGGTCGCTTGGCTGATGTATGTTCTTCAGGCGTGTCCTCGTTGTTAACAAGCACGACGAGGTCTGCATTTCACACGTCAAGTACAACAGTCGGGAGGTCAAGGTCACCCAGGTCTACAGGAAGAAATGGGTTATCCAACGCTCGTCGCCATCATCCACCGCTCGCTTGTCATCACCATCCCCATTCGCCGCTCGCCCTCGCCTGTCGTCTAATCAAGCCGTATAGTCCTCGAATCAGGCCGTAAAGTCCCCGGATCAAGTCGTGAAGCAACGTATCGCCGTCCGCCGAGCGAGGTAATGGACTTCTAACTTGACTCGTATCAGCCTTCTTAGGTGAGTCCTAACCCTTCTTCTCACCTCCCGCGCGTCGCTCACAGCTCCCTAGGTCGTAGATTACGTTGTACTTTGTAGACTACTACTCTCTAGCAACTTTGTACTGATCGCGCAGCCCGCCGTCTCCTGCCTACCCCACCATTCCGGAGATCTCAACATCCAAATCCAACTTTTCTCAACCTCCGGCCGTGCTTGCCGCCGTTACTGCCACCCTCGCCGACCCTCCCCGCCGACCTCACCGTTCCAACCGCTCACCCTCGCCTCTCTCGCTCACTGCCGGCCGCCACGTGTACCCGCGGCCCCGAAAGTTGAACACGTCACGTGACCCGCGCCGAGCGCTGAGGCAACGTATCGACGTCCGGCGAGCGGCGACGTCAGTGTCCGACGGGTGAGGGAAAGCGTCGCCGAGTGCGCACGATGAAGGAATAGGCGCTGGGTGGACTCGTTGAGTCGGCAGGGTGTTGTCGAGTGTTGAGCGGGTGTTGAGTGTGGTTGGGATTTCATTGTGTACGAACAAGTTACGAATGGCAGATTGCGACGGTCGAAAACTGGTATACTGCAAGGCTCTGGTAGGTAGGGCTAGATTACCTCCACACAGACGTACAAATAGTCGGGAGACAGTAAATACACCACCATTGAACATACGAGCTCCCAAATGCGCAGCAAAGTCTTACGATAACCCGTTCGATCTTCAGTCAGGCACAGAGCATCTACATTCCTCCAACAAGCAAGGAGACGAATGAATGTTGACAGGCATTAGCGTGCTCACCTTGTCAATCAAGGGTGCAAGCTTAAAGCATTGCTCACCGGTTACTTATGCAGGTGTACGGAAGTGTGACAGTCCAGAAAGGGAGGTACGGAGGAGGGTAGGTGGTTGGGGAGGTGCGAGAAGAGGTGTGGGCTAGCGGAGAGAGATGTAGGGTGGTGCGAGTGCAAGGAATGGGATTGTGCAGTAACTAACGGATTGGTGCAGTTGTTGTCGAGGACTCGTCGTATACACCCCTCGGCGATTTGGTCACAGTGCCGGTAAGTAGAGACGTAAGTCGGAGAGCGGAAGAGGAGGACGGAGAGAGGACAGTGGGTGAGGAGAGCAGAGGACGAGTAGAGTGTATAAACAAAAAGTGGGAAAAGTACAGAGAGCTATCTAATCCGCTTTACCCGACAACAAGAGGACAATCCCGAGGCCGTCCTGACCACACGAAAAAGATGAAGTTGGCGAACACCTCACAAACAACCATCCCTTTGTCACGCCGCGAAAGAGGGACATATGCGCGCGCGGTGCCATTCAACGGCCGTGACGTGTGTGACGCAATGACGGCACGGCGTCGACGTCGACGTCGACTAATCTGGGAGCACGCCAGCCCGGCAAGCTTGAGGCGGATCGGATGTGTACGGCACGCAACGACTCAGCTCGAACGACGCCACGGAAGGCAACTTGAACGCCCGCCGCTGGACGCGTCACCGGCTATCGGCCCGCGCCCCGCGCCTCTCGCTCCCCACTGTCAGTGTCATGATACCAGCAGGCGCCTCCTACCTCTGAAGACATCTGGAGCGCCCAAAATGCCGCCATTCAACGACCCCACGCCCCTCATTTCCTCCTTCAAGGAGAAAGTCGAGTGCGCGACGGGCCAAGGCGCGTGGTGGCGAGCACTGAGCTGATGGAGTTACTGAGGCTCCGTAGGCGACAGGCTTTACTTGGGGACCGCGACTGGGAGTTTGTATGTGTATGGGGTGGAATATGAGCCAGGTAAGGTGTTGAGTGGCTGCGAAAGTATGAGTACTGAGAGTATGCAGTTGAGGGCAAGGAGGCGGCGACGCTCGTCGAGTGCAAGAAGAATATATCGCGACGAGCGATAGAGCAAGTCGCATTCATCAAGGACGTGAACTCGGTCGCTATACTCTCGGGTGCGTATCGCAGTACGACCTCCCCGAAGCCATTCACTGATCATGTTCTCGCGTACTCAGATTCGACGGTTACTCTCCTCCCCCTGCCCTCCTTTGCTCCGCCTACCCCCCTCGTCAAGGCCAAGGGCGCGCTATCCTTCGCGGTCAACACATCCATACAACATCTGCAGCCATATGGCAAGCCGGTAGACTCGGACGCGGGCAAGAGCCCGAAAGCCATACCCACTCTGATCACCCAACTCGTCATTGGGTGCAGGCGACGCGTCGTCATCTATAGCTGGAGAGACGGAGACGCGCAGGACACCAAGGTGAGGAATGCATGCACGACCTCAGTCCTGTATGCTCACAAAAGCACAGGAACTTGTACTTCCTCACTCTCCGCGAGCGATGGCCTTCCTGAACCCTGATGTCGTCTGCTTTGGCTACTCCCCCACGGAATACGCCACCTTCGACATCCCCGCGATGACCGTCACCGATATCTCCACCCCACCACCTCCACAGCCATCTACAACTACTGCCATGGGCGTCGGCGCCTTCACCGGCTTGTCAGGCTACATGGCGCTCGCACTGGGTGCGAGACAGAAGCCCGAGGTCCTGCAGGTCGCGGAGAACGAGGGACTGATCACAAAGGATACCGAGGGTATCTTTGTTGGGCCTGAGGGCAAGGTGACGAGGCCATCCACGATACAGTGGCCGACGTCGCCGGAGGACATCGCCTACGTGAAGCCCTATATTTTCTGCTCATTCCCCGCCGGCACTGTCCCCGACCGCGCCTCGCCAATCAATACGACGCAGCAGTTTCACCAGACCTCCGTTGTCCAGCTCTACTCCGCGCTCTCTATGCAAGCCGTGCAGACCGTGCCATACCCATTCGCTGCGCCAGAGTCTACTTCTACATCCACCCTCGCCTCTACATCTACGTCCCCCACCAAAGCCTCCGCAACGTCAACTGCCACCATCCCGAACGCCACCCTCCGCCTCCTCACTGCCCCGCCGCAGCCCAAGTCGACATCCAAGTCGCCATTACTGCTTGCGCTCTCGACACCCACGGACAAGGCCGCGGCAGCGGCTGAGGGCAGCACGGTATGGCAGTTCCGCATGAAGCCGTGGGCGCAGCAACTGGACGAGTTGGTGATTGAGGGGGAGTATGCGAGCGCGCTAGCACTGTTGGAAGAAGTCGAAGATGGTGTCCTGGATGACAAGGTGAGCGCGGCAGTGAGCTTGAAGAGGAAGGCGTGGCTGTGACGTCACGAGGACGGTTCAACTTGGCACGTGGCTGCTTTTGTTTGTTTGTTTGTTCGTTCGTCCGGTTTGTTAGGTCGAGCAAGTGTGGCAATGATCAAGCTGCCAAGCCCTTCCTTCGTGTCCTTCTTTACTTTTCGGAATTTTCTCTAGTAGTCTGCCTTACTGACATCGAAACCAGCCTCAACGCTGCTCGCTCATCAAAGCCCTCAACGCCGTCGCACAGTTCAAGGCCGGCCAGTACGATGATGCGATCCTAGCCTTCCTGAGCCTGGACGTGAACCCAGCGAAGGTTGTCGCACTGTACCCGCCGGAGATCTCTGGGCGTCTGGCGGTGCCCAGAGAGGAGTGGATCCCGCTATTCGGTGGGCCGGAGAGTCCGTCGTCTAGCGCTGGGGAAACGAAGTCGACAACGGGGGACGCAAAGTCGATGACGGGGACGACAGGGTCGGGTGGTGAGGGTACGACTACATCGACGATCCCGCCCACGTCTTCCTCGGAGTCTTTGGCGCAGCAGGCGGCGGAAAAGCAGGCGCCTGCGGGGCACGCGAGGAAAGCAAGTGTGGCGACAGAGTCGAGGTTAGAGAGCGTGAAGAGGCGGTTGAGGCCAGCATCGATTCTGGGTAGTGACGATGATGACACGGCGTCCATCCGCAGTCAGAAGCGCGGGCAGCCAGGCAGGTCATCTTCCTTGATTTCTCAGAACCACCCCTTGATAGATTCCTCTAGACGACCTTCGCCGCTCCGTCGATGCCCTCATGCGCTACCTCTCTGACCGCCGTGCTAAAGCAGCAGCAGCCCTTCACGCTCTCCACATCGACTCCCAGCAGGACGGCATCACCCCCCTCTCCGAGGCCTCCCTCGACGAGATTTTCTCCCTCCCCAACGCACCCTTGAGCAGCTTGACGCCTGAACAATTGGTCCGCTTTGCGCAGATCGTGGACACCGGCCTGTTCAAATCGTACCTGCTGATCCAGCCAGCGCTGCTGCGCCCGCTGTGTAGTCGGCCGAATTGGTGCGAGGTGACGGAGGTGGAGGAGGAACTGAGGGCACGGAAGGTGGGTAAAGAATATGTGAGGCTTGCGGGATGGCGCTGATGAGATGCCCAGAAATTCGTGGAGCTGAGGTCGTTGTACTACGGCAAGAGGATGCATGGGAAGGCGCTTGACTTGTTGCGGCAGTGAGTGCCAACCTTTGTGTCTTTCACGCTCGGACGCCTGACCTTGCGTAGGTTGGGCGAGGAGGAAGACGATATGGAGACCAAGCTTATGCCCTCGGTCGACTACCTCGCAAGATTGGGCCCAGAGTACATGGACTTGATATTCCGATACTCACGATGGATATTCGAGCAGGACCGTGACATTGCCTTCCAGGTATGCTCTTCAGATCAACCTTGCGTCCAAACAGGTCCTTGAAATCGTCGTGTAGATCTTCACATCGGAAGAGGTCGAGCTCCCTCGGCAGGCCGTTGCCGACTTCCTGCAGAGCATCGGACCCGAGGTTTGCGCACGGTTTATCGAGTACATCATCGACGAAAGAGGGGAAGAGTCGCCGCTATTCCACGACAGGCTGGCGGAGCTGTATCTGCAACTGACGATGGGCGCTCGGAAGCGCGGCGATGATGGTCAGTGTTTTGTCATGATGTACAAAGACACGCGGGCTGACTTTGTGCTTAGCTGCACGCTCAGAGGCCTATAACAAGCTGCTGGCATTCCTTGACAATACCCACCACTATCGCGTCGACAGGATATACTCGCTGCTGTCCGGGACTGGTAAGAACATTCCTGATATGCGTTTGCGAATGCTCATCTTGTCCCAGACCTGTACGAAGCACGAGCAATTCTTCTTGGCCGACTAGGCAGACACGACCAAGCCCTCGAGCTATACGTGTATAAATTACAGGACTACATCAAGGCAGAAGAGCAAGTCAGCCCATCCATCTTGAGTAATCCTTCGCTGACTGTTCACAAGGTACTGCAAACGGATCTACGCATCCAACCCCGGCAGCACCATCTTCCTCACCCTCCTCCGCATATACCTCCGACCACGAGATCCCAGCAACACGCACCTCCTTGCACCCGCCCTCGACCTCGTCGGTCGACACGGTCCCCGACTAGACCCGCTCGCCGTACTTGAGCTGGTTCCACCATTGGTGACTGCGCAGGACATTCGACCATTCCTCATCGATGCCCTCCGCGCGCCCTTGTTTGATTCGCACGTCGTGCGGCATATTCATAAGGCGCGCAGCGAGCAGGTGGCGAGGAAGCTGATGTCGCTGCAGTCGAGGAGAGTGAGGATAACGGATACGTGGACGTGCGTGAAGTGTTGGATCTCTGGTTGCTGGTGGCTGATAGCTTCGCAGATGTCCGAATTGCCACAAGCGACTGGGGAACACGGTCATCGCGGTACATTCGCCAAGGTGAGTAACTTGTCTGACTATTAGATACTTGTACTGACACGAGATGCAGAGGCGAGGTTACACATTATCATTGCAGGGAGGCATTCTCGAAGAAACTCAGAGAGATGCGACCGACGACATGACCTACCTAGTCCTTTATACCCACCCATTCTTCAGTCGTCGAATCAGGCCAGATTAGGAACCATATGTGACATTGGAAGCAGTACATGTGTTAGTATTTCGTGACAGCGAGATAGCAATATACACAAGCGAAGATGAAAGCGAGCAAGTAGCATAGCGGTGGTGGTGTAGGGTGTCTCTGGTGCCTGCCTGTGCAGGCCGTGCGTGTACATAAGAAGAAGAACATGAGTCTAACCCGTGATCCCAGCAGCCCAACTCGCCCGCCAACCGATAATGCGAGGCTTCTTCGTCTGCTCCGACACCAGGCGTTGCTCCTCGAGCCTCTTCCCCACCTTGTACTGCACTATATTGCATATGATTGATTCTTCGTCGGCGACCTTGTGCTTCTGCAGGTACTGGCGCGCCTCTCGCCCGTGCTTGACAATCGCCTTCGCCCTGCGCAGCTTGGCGATGGGGAGCGGACCCGGAATGAAGGCGTGGTAGTAGGAGTACGACTCTTTCGCAGACTTCCACATGTCCCACAGGATCTCGCGCCGGCGGTCGCGGATGATGTAGTCCAGCGTGTGCCGCTCGCGGTAGAACTGGCGGAAGTCGCACAGCTCGCCCCTCCGGATCGCACCGTCGACGTCGAAGTCGATGTTGACAATGGGGAGATGCCGCGTCGGGTTCTCGAGCTCGCGTTGCTTGTCGATCTCTGAGAGCTCGTCTGGCTCGCGCTCGCGGCGCTCCTTGTTGTACATTATCCTGAAGAGGTCGACGGAGGCGTCGTCGTCGTAGTAGCCGCGGGCGCGGATCAGGCTCTCGTCGTCGTAGTTGACCATATCGCTGGCGAAGGTCTCGGCGTCGAGGAGGCTGGGAGGGTAGTCGTGGATGTAACCCCGGGTGATCGTCGTGTCCGAGCTGGCGCAACTGCGATCGTCGTCTACCTCGGGTTCAGGCTCGCGCACGGGCGGAGGGGGAGGGACGAGGATGCCGAAGGGGTCGTAGTACCCAGAGTCGTCGACCTCGGGCGTCGGAGGGACGATGCGGATGGTGGGGTCCATCTCTCCGTCGGGCACGAAGGGCAGGTCCTTCTTCTTCCTCGGGATCCCAAGCTCGGGGGCCCACGGCGACCCCGGCTGATCCCACTCCTCCTGAGGTGCCGTCGGGGAGCCAAATGCGTCAAGGTCCTCCCCGTCCGTATCCGCCTGCACGCTGAACTCCCTCCATCGCGCGAGCTCGTTGGGAGGGATCTTAAACTGGGGGCGGTGGGGCGTGAGCTGCGACGCGATGCGCACTTTCGCCGTCTCCCCGATTGGGATCGACATGAAGGGCTGGGCCATGAGCAGGTTGCTCGACATCACGATGGGCTGTCGGCCGTGGAGGACGCGCTTGTTGGGAGAGATAGCGACGGCGCAGGTGTCGTCGATGCCCGTATTGGAGACCCTGCTGTGGACCCCTTCCGAGATGAAGGCGACGTTGTACAAGTCGGGGCGACTCGGCGTCACGAACGACGAAATCGTCTGCGAAACCGCGACAGTCAGCGAGAAGAAAAGAGCCCGAAGACAAGCACACGCACGTCCGTGATGCAGGCGAGGTACTTGCCAGCCGTGAGGCTCCTCGCAGACAATGCGAGCTTTTTGTCTCCCGTTTCCTCCAGCGTCTTGACCGGGTCAATCTGGATGACGCAGACGGTGCCCTTCTCCGGCATGGAAAAGAGCACCGGCGAGCGTGCTGCCGGGCTATCCATTATCTAGCCGAGACACAGACAAAGAGATAGAAGGCGGTGTCGGGGAGATATGAAGGGGCGAATGCAATCGGCGGTCCAAGCGAAAGAGCCGCGTCGCTGCGTAGGGAGGGGGCAAAGCGGCTCACGTGATGGGCACGCGCCTCACCTTTAAATACCATATGGGGACGGGACAAACAAAGAGCATCAAAGTTCGAACATAACATTGCACGCACGAATAAACACAGAACGTATCCCGTCGCATCATGGCACTATCGTGTCTTGGGGCTGCTGGCCGTCGCTCGTCTGCTGCTCCATCGTGCTCGTGCCGCCTTCGCCGCCGCTGCCGCCCATGCTGAGCAGGTCATTCAGGTTGCCCATGTCGGTGAAGTCCATCATGTTCATGTCGCTCATGTTGTTCATGTCGTTCATCTCAGCCATGTTCTGCATGTTGTTCATGTCGCCCATGCTGAAGGACTCGGTGCCAAAGTCAATGTTGGTGTTCTCGCCGCCCCCGCTGTCCCCAAACAGGTCGTTCGTTGAATCTGCTACGCTCCCGGCTTCGCTCGACTGGAACTGCGCCAATAGAGATCCTGGTGATGGCTCGTTGCCGTCTTTCTGTGTGCTCGACTCGTCTCCGAAGGAAGTCAGATCAAACATCGCTGTGTCTGGCGCATTGTCTCCTTGTCCTTGTTCTGCGTTTGCCTTCTCGCCGGTCGCGCCTTGCCCGCCCAGGATGTCCATGTTGATGTCCATCGACATGTCGAGGTCCATGCCGTCCAAGTCAAGCTCGATAGGCTTCTCAGCGGAGCCGCCGACCTCGCCCGGACCTGGTACGTCCAGATCACCAGTCAGGTCGATGGTTTCCATGGCCTGGGGAGGCGGCGGAGGCCCCATCGCGCCTGGCGGTGGGCCGCCCATAGCTGCTGATAGCGGCGCTTGCGATGGATCCGACGAAGACGATGTGAGTGCCGCCATCATAAGATCGTTCGAGTACTCCGTCGAGCTCATCGGTCGTGCAGACTTCGGTGCCAACGTGACTGGGGAGGACAGCCCACTTGACAGCGCGAGTATATCGTCTGCCGGACCGCGTACGGTCGACAGATCGAGCTTGTGCGGGAAGGGGGCGCGGTTCAATGAGGAGAGGGAGATGGTCGAGCCGCGGCGCGCGGCCGAGTTCGTCGGCACGACTGGGCTCGTTGCTGGCGTTGTCGGCGGCGCGCTCGCGCCAGATGGGGGCAACTGCTGATCGACGCTCATGGGGGAGGAGGGGGCGGTCGCTTGCGCCTTCGACATCCGACGCTCTTCTTCCGTGAGCTCTTGCTGTAGTACGGCGATCGCGCGCAACTGCAGGGACGTATGAGTGACTTCAACCATGACCAAAGTCCATAAAGCCCTCGCACCAAACGCGACTCAGCGTGATCACACAGCTGGTCGTACTTCGCCACTTGCGTGCCAAGCGCCGTCGTGAGCGACCGCGGTGGGTTCGGCGCATGCTTCTCGATACCTCTGCAGGTCCATGGAAATCAGCTCCAGTTCTGTCGGCCATAAAGTCTAACACGCACAACCGTCGCGCATCCGCGAAGAACTTGTATATCTGCGCCGCCTTCGCCGCCGAGCTCTGTACGTCGCGTTGAGCCTCCCCCACGAGCACACCTCACGCATGCATGCGGACCTTCAGGCAAGCAGCCATCGCCTCCGTCTCCGGCTGGAGGATAGCAGTCGGCTGGGGCGGTGGTGGCATCTCGGCCGTAGAGGGCCTGCGCTCTACGTCCGGGGCCTTGAGAGCCGGTTTGGGGGGCATAGTGACGTGCTAAGTGTGGGAGGCGCTCAGGGTGGGAGACGAGTAACACAGTCGCAGTAGAGGCTGGAGATGATATGTGACGCGTCTAGGACGCTGGGGACGTCGACAGCGCGAATGGCGGCGAATTTGCGCCCCGTGTTTCGTTCTAGCCGTCGGATTTAACGCCACAAAATCGGAGTTGAACTTCTTGTTTGTCCCCTTTTATTTGTTCTCTTGTCAACTACTCCTTTCGGCAATTTCTCGTACCATCCCACAACCCCCTAGCGCGTGGGGCCATTCGGCGACGGCCAATCACTATAGGCTGTAATTTCTCGACAAATACAGCGCTAACACCCTCTGAGGCCTTCATTAGTCGGAAAATATCCGAAGCTTGAGACAGTGTCCTAAATGTAGCTCGCCCTCAACCTCTCTTTCTCATCAGTCATCATGGGCTCAATACTCTCGGCCGTATATCTTGCTTACGATGCTCTGAGCTCCTTGTACACGTCCTACTCCCGCTTGACCTCCTGCTTGGCTCTATCACCCGGAATACCTGTCTCGAACCCGACTCTCTCGTTCTGGACTGTGCCTCCATCGCGCATAAGCAAGGAGAACAGCGGTGCTTGCCATTCAGATGACCTTGAGGGCACCCGCCTCTTGGCTGGCTTCAACACCAGCGACGAAGGCTCTCATGATCCTGACAACGCGCCCAAGCTGCCTTCCTACGCCGACGTCGTCATCATCGGCAGCGGTATCACGGGGACCTCCGTTGCGCGCGCTCTCCTCATGTCTGGCAAGCCGTTGCGTATCCTGATGCTCGACGCGCGCGACGCGTGTGATGGAGCGACTGGGAGGTATGTGGGGCGATAGTCATGCATCCCCTTCGTACACGTTACGCTGACTTGTCCTCTATTTTCTAGAAATGGCGGCCACATAACGCCGCCCACCTATCTCGAATGGTCCCAGCTCAAAGCGCGGGTCGGTCTGGAGACAGCATGCCAAGTCGTGCGCTTCCGCCTGCAGCATATCGAGGATTTACTTGAAGTTGCGCGGGAGGAGGACGCGCTCAGAAAGGCCAGCTCTAGTACGGAAGAAGATGCCACTATGAACGACAGCCTGAAACTTCTGACGAACAGCCCGATTTTCCTGTTGAACAGCCCGAATCTCCTGACGAACAGCCCGAGTCTCCTCACCAACAGCCAATGCCGCCGCACCGACAGCTACGACGTCTTCTTCGATGAAGGGCTCTTCAAAGCGTCTTGCGCGAAGTTGGAGGAGTACCTCGCCGACAATGATGACCTGGAAGAGAAGGTGAAGGCGAGGTATCGGGTGGTGGGGAAGGAGGAGTGCGTCGAGGTAGGCTCGCTCAGACAAGACCATCTCACAAGGTCGAATATGAGCATGACTGATTCTTTTCCCAGTCCCTCCACCTCGAGCCCAAAGTCGCCGGCGCCATCCGCATACCTGGTGGTGCGATGTTTCCCTATCGATTCGTCACCGGCATTCTGGAGAGGCTGCTAGATGATTACGCGGACTCGTAAGTAATGTCCTTTCCTTCCCTTCTATCTCTTCCTCTTCATCATTCCTCCACCGCACTGCCGAACTTACCTAACCCCTCTCAGGTTCTCCCTCTTCACGCACACGCCATGCACGGCTATCTGTCAGCTGAGTTCTGGGACAGGCTACGTCGTCGACACGCCCAACGGCCGCATCCGTACCTCCCACGTCGTGCACGCCACGAACGCGCATGCGTCGCATCTGCTCGAGTGCCTGCGGGAGCGTATCGTGCCATTGAGGGCGACGATGAGCCAGCAAGAGCTGTGGGTGGGCGGTGGTGAACCAGGGGCTGAAGGCGGACATGGAGGCAAACCGCCCGCCACACCTGAATGGTTCGGCACGCGCGCATTCACACTCTACCCGTCCGCGAGCACGGTCCAGTTCGACTATCTGACGCAGCAGCTGGCGGGCGACGGCGCGTCTGCAACCTCCAAACTCGACTCGGACCAAGCGACGTCTGCAAGTGTTGCGATTTCAAAGGCGACTGCGTCGACAGCACCCACAATTCGCAAATCACTCACCGCCTACCCTCCACCTCGCGGCGAGCTCATGCTTGGAGGCGGCTTCCTGCACCATACGGCCGCGCTCGACGGCAATGGTGTCCTAGACAATGCGGACCTAGGTTGCGCGGATGATAGTGGTGTGGGTGGGTGACGAATTATCTGTTCTTGTCTCTGGCGCAAGTTCCCGCGTCGTTTTGCGTCCCACATAATCCAAGGGTTGTGTCTGACCCTCGACATACTAACAGCCATCCTCCAGACATTGGCACCGCTGCATACGTTTCCGGCGCCCTGGGTGCGTACTTCAGAAAGTCGAGCGGGATCAAGGACAGGGTGAATGTCGAGGTATGGACGGGGATTATAGGCATTTCCGCTGATTTCATGCCGTGGGTCGGGAGGTAAGTGAGCAGGACCGTAGGCATTTTGACCACTTAGTAACTTACCACACTGCACAGGGTCCCTGCTGAATTAGCGGAACGCTCAACGAGTGAACTTCCGACGGCGAGCGAAAGCGAAACCGCTACAAAGAACACACTTGTCGACTCAGACAACAAAGCGCCGAACGCTCGCGCCTTGCTTGCACCCTCGGGCGAATGGGTAGCGGCGGGCTTCAGCGGCGAGGGCATGGTTCACGCGTGGATCTGCGCTCGAGCGCTTGCGCGCATGATCCTCCAGGAAGAGACGGATGATAACCTCAAAGAAGCGACCGACGACCCCGCGAAGTTATTGCCAGATGACCTTCCTGAACCATTCTTGTTTACGCAAGAGAGATGGAAGAAGGCAAGCTTGGATGGTATGATGGCGGCGTTGGCGGAGTAGATGAGCCCGAAGAAAATACGTGAAGGTTTTAACAATAGCGGCGTGGCATTCCAGGGTGGCATCGAAAGGATTGCCGATCAGACTGATTCGGTGTTAGTAGAAGGTATTAGCAGGTAGCAGATAGAATCAAAAGCCTGTATGTGACCAGGTAACAAGGGTCTAGCAAGCGGAGATGCTTAAGCGTCCTTTGAGGAACAAAGAGACTGGCTCGGAGAGTTGAACTTGGAAAGATGCACGTGACGTCATTTCACGTGTCGCGGCACAGCCATTTTTCGAGAAGGGCGCCGGCGTCTGCCGCGACCACTGTTTACCACTTACCACGATCTCGTCGCGCCGACGACCATCTTCGCATCCCAGACCCACATTCCCCTACTCATCACAACACGCGTAACGACCAGGCCCGCGCCCAACGCGCGCACCGCCCGCCACGACAACGACAATGATGCCAACACCAGCCGCGCCGGCGCCGCCGCGCAATCTCGCCAGCGCCACGCTGCGCAGCGTCGGCCTCGCTGGCAACAAGCGCAAGGCGACTGACAGCGAGGGCGACGCCAAGATGCGCGACGCGACGCACCACGACAAGCCCGGCGGGCGCAAGACCAACTCGCGCCTCCGGTCCCACCGCATGAACCCCATCGAACAGTACAAGAACACCGGCCCCTCGAGCGCTAAAGCGGTAAATACTACTCACTTTCCTCATAGCAATGCAGCAGCCCTTACGAACTCCGCCCCGCCTTGTCCCTCCTCCCTCTGATCCTGGTGTCTTGTTCGGTGATTCATCGCGCGCGCGCCCCGTCATCAGACCGCTGGCCGCAAAGCAGTCGCAGCCGCTGCGGCATCGGACTCGCTTTCGATCCGGGGCGCGTCCCGCGTCGGCAGCTCGCTGAGCTCGACGCGCGCGCGACGAAACGCGGTCTCGGAGTCCCCATCAAGGATACCCGTCCGCGCCTCCGTCAGCACCGTCGCCAAACTTAGGGAATTCGTGCATAGTAGATGGAACCCAGAAGCGCGCTTTTTGAATCTCGAGGTGCGTCCGCTAGGCCCTTTGAATTGGGGCGCTTAGCTGACCTTTACTCTCTCAAAGGCCATGTCTCAAGACCCCATCGTCAAGAAGAACCACCTCACCGTTCCTGGAGTCATTTCGCACAGAAATATGCAAGACGCTGCTCGCGAAGCCGCTGTCCTGTACAAGCTTGCCTCAGAGCTCAAGCCTGAGGTGCGTCCCCCGTCCCTAGAGCACATTCGTGGCCGTGCTGACAATGAGTCATACAGGTTCAGACGTTGTCACTGGCAAACAACAATTTGCGCGGCGACCATCTGAAGTCGCTCAACCACTACCTACCCAAACTCGAGAACCTGTCACTCGTGAACAACCAGTTGCGAGTCATGCGGGATTTGGATCATATAGCTGCTCGCAAGGGCAAGATGGTCCATCTGCGGGAACTCTTGCTTGGTGGTAATCCTGTACGAGAGACAGAGTACCAGCATAATCGTGGCGAGCAGTATAGACTGTGTGTTGACTCGATCAATCGTATAACTGGGGCTAATCAATGGATTCTTAGTGAGATGGCACGGCGCTTTACAACTCTTGAGCTGCTCGACCAGGAACCGATCATGAAGATTAGTTTCGACGTCCCCGAGGCGGCATCTTCATCATCTACCCCCGTGCCGGTGACCAAATCAACGTCGTTCCCGTTACCTATGGGTGGCTCGTTCATAACCGGTGTGGATGGCGTACTTATCAACAATTTCCTCATGCGGTATGCTTTTCGGCTATCGGACTTCTCTGATATACTCATGCTACTATCGCAGCTACTTCCCCACGTTCGACAACCAACGGGCTGGGTTGATAGACGTATACGACGACGCCTCCTACTTCTCCTACTCCGTCAACGCCACTATACCTATCCGCGCACGTATACAAGGCCTGCACTACAAGATGGCCAACAACAAGAAGCTGGTTTGGAACAACTGGTTCACGGCCGTCGAAGGTGGCTCAAGAAACCTTAACCGCTTACAAGGCGGGGAGATGACCCATCGGAGCCTGCACACCGGACCGCAGGCGATAATGGAGACGCTATGCAAGTTGCCGGGCACACGCCATGATATGGCGTCCACGAGCGAGAAGTTCTGCATCGATGCGTTCCCGGTCAAGCACGGCACGAGTATGGCCCTCATGCTCGTCGTGCATGGCGAGTTTACCGAAGGTGAGGCAGAATATCCCGGCAATATCAAGCTGCATGCTAACACGTGTTCCCCAGTCGGACCAGAGGGCATTCGTTCTTTTGATCGGACGTTCTTACTGGCGCCAGCCGCTGATGGCTCGCGGTACGTTTCCCGCGCTCGAGGCCGGAGAACGTGTCGAATTTTAATATCTTATTCCTTCTAGTGCGAAAGCCGCCGGCTGGGATGTCGCGATCCTGAACGATCAGCTTATGGTGCGCGCCTACTCGAGCCCCGAGGTGTGGGCCATGGGGCCGCTGCAAGTGCAGGCGCAGGGGCCGGTACAGAAGCCGAAGCCTATACCTACACCTGTTCTCCCGCCCGCGCAGCAGGCGGCGCTCGATGCCGTGGTACGTGCTCGGTGTCCGCTCTCGTGTCTGATCATGATACTGATACTTCTGTTAGCCGGAACTGCAGCGACCCATGGTGCTCGAGCTCTGCCGCCGTTCTGGGTTGACTGTCAGCTACTCCGTCGAGTGTCTGGTGGGCAATTCGTGGGATCTGGATAGAGCGTGGGCGAACTTCGAAGCGGTTAAGGTTCGTGCCTCCGTTCGTCGACTGAGTACTGGAATGACCGGTGACCACAGACAACCCTCCCGCCCGACGCGTTCACGGCAGTCATCTAGCCTTAATCGGACTACGCTGAATAGACATGGTGTATCTACAGACTGTTCCTCATGCTATCGCCATCGCGCCTCTGATCCTGTATTTTATTCGTTGGTATTGGGTTACGTGCAGGATCGCTGTCCGCGGCGCCTGCCTGGCTTCCCCACGAGTTCACGTCCACGCATAGCTGTTTTGATTGAAATATACATACTGCAACACGAATCTGTACATTACCTCACGCACACAACTACTATTTGCTGCCCGCGCTCGACTCGCAATTGATAGTGGGAAAAACAATGGGCTGGGGGTCTTTATGGCCGGTTTGGGCCTTGCACCAGACGGTCATGTCAGTTGCATGTCAGTGTTCCGGGGCCACGTTCTGCGTTCTGGTGATCCCAAGGCATCCCCGAAGGCATCTAATTCCGAGGATTCGAGGGATCCGGGCGGGCGCGTGTCGCCTCACCCTAGCGCCTCGAGGCGGTGAGCAGATGCACTTTTGTTACGTGCGCGCCTCATTGCGCGCCGAAACTCTCCATATGTATTCCCCGCCAGCTCATTTAAAGCGTACGTACCCCAGCGCACCCTCTTACTTCATTTTGCCCGATTTTCCCCCTGCGCGTCACCGCCCCCCTGCCGCCGACGGACGCGCCTGACTGACGGACCCTGCTTGTACCTGTACTCGACGAACCTTTTCTTACGAAGACTCACCGACAGCCGGACGCGCGACGCGATGCGCACCCTGGGTCACTATGCCCTGCACACATACGCCCTCGCGGGCGACCTCACTGGCGTCAGGCGCGCGTTGGGCGCGGGCGCCGACGTGAATGAACTCATGGAGGACAGCCGGACGGCACTGGTATGCGCGATCGGCGGCGAGGAGTACGTGCACTAGGCTCTCTTTCATGGTCGTGCGCTAACGCGTGCGATGTAGCTGGCACTCGGTGGACCCATCGAGCTCGTCTTTCCTTACCTCCGAGCGCCTGCAGATCATCGAACTGCTCGTTTCTCACCCAGACGCGACGATGTTTACTCTGAACGCGGCGCAGGCCCACCTGAAGGGCGCGACTGCGCTCGGACTGGCGGCCTGGCTGAACATGCTCAAGGTCGTCCAGATCCTCCTCGACGCGAGCGACGGTGCCGTAGCCGTGGACGGGAGGGACGGCCATAACGCGACGCCCCTGATGTGTACGTTCCCACTCCCTTGATCGCGTCCCATCCCCCGTTCTCATACGTCCCCACCCCTAGACGCCGCACGCGATGGGAGCCTCGAAGTCTGCAAATTCCTGGTAAGCCTGCCCCGATGTTCCCGGACGATGGCAGGGGTGCTTAATATCCGCTTTCCTTTTCCCAAAGCTCGAGCGCGGCGCGCGCCCGGACCTGCGGGACAGCAATCACCGCAGCTGCATCCAGTTCAGCGTCGGGGACCAGCCGCAGATCCTGTGGATGACGGAGATGTCGTTGAGGCGGCAGCGCTATCAGCAGCTGCAGGCCGCGATGCGCGCGACGACGCGCCCGCATAATGACCACCTCGTCGCCAGTGCATCAGCGTTTGTCGAGCGTAACTCGGGCCCGTTGGAGCCACCGGCGCTCGCACAGTTCGTGCCCAAGTGCATGCGACGCCTGACGGACGCGCTCATCTGTGCAATAATCTCGTCTGACATCCCGACTGTCATGTCGCTGCTCTTCCCAGATGCGGATGGCCTCTCGTACTCCCCGCTTCTCGTCAACCAGCCTGATCACGAAGGTTGGAGCCCGATTCACCACTGCGTATCTTCGGCGCCGTCCCTCGATATCCTCGATGCGCTCTATCTCGCAGGTGCGGATGTATCTCTGTTCACGCCAAATGAGCAGTTTTCGCCTCTGCATCTACTGGCTCTGAGCCAAGAGCTTCCTGAGGACCCCGAGATACTCTACAACTTCACCTTGCATCTCATTCGCGACTTGCGCGTACCGTTGGCGGTGACGGATCGCCTGGAAGAGACGCCCATTCATGTCGCGGCCGAACATGGCACGTCCATGACACTGCTGTCCATCTACTTGGAATGCGACCCGACAGGGAGCATTCGAGAGATGCGCAACGCACGAGGGTAAGTCCGCCACGTCGCCCATTATGCTTGCTCTGTTGCTGACGTGTAATGATAGATTGACAGCGCTCGAAGTAGCTCGCCCAGAGTTCCGGTCAGTCTTCGGCGTCGACATGGAAGGCCGCAGGGCTGCCTCTTCGCTGTCCTGCCGCACCGTGCGCCCCTTGCGCAGTATGGCGTCGAGCTCGTCGGTCATGACTGTCAGCAGCTCCTTCCCCCTCCCCGTCACCTCCGACGACGACATGTTTGCCCTCAGCACGCAGATGCTCTCCAACCTCTCCCAGCTCACGCGTCCTATGCCGAAGCGCGCGACGCGCGACGTCGACCAGCAGCGTGCTTTGCTCGGCGAGACGTCCCGCCTCTCGCGTCTCATCATTCCGCGCCTGCGCTCTCGCTGCACCGACACGGTGCGCGAGCTCCACGAATTGCGCGCGCTGTTCGACAAGGTCGACCAGTCGTTCTACGCCGTGTCGCGCGCGGTGGCCGCCGCGATGCGCGAGCGCGGGATCGAGCGGCGCAAGCGGAACCGCGAGTCCGAGGACTCGCAGGCGACGGCGGTCGAGGAGGACCTCGCGCAGCTCGCGATGTCCGTCAAGTCGAAGTCGCCGTCGCCGACGAAGGGCGTGGAGGGCCCTGCGAAGCAGTCGAAGTCTGCGAAGTTCAGGGCATGGCTGAGGAAGAAGGTGATGGCGGATCGGCCGAGTACCCCCACGACGCCGTCGCGCACGTCGTCGCCGTTCCCGCGCGCGGCGTCGGACGAGGGGAGGTCGTCGAGCTGCTCGGGGAGAGAGCCGATGTCGTGCGCGTTGGAGGCATGTAGCGCGGTGTTGGATGCGGTTGGACGGGATATGCATCGGATTGTGGACGCTTTGGCAGTGGTACGTGTATCACTTTGCCTCACAGCAACTCAGCTAACGTTGTGGCAGGCTCAAAAGTACATCGATCAAGCATCGCACTCTACCTCGCGGGCCGAGCGAGTCGTTGGTCGGTGCCTTAGGGTGCGCATCTTTCTTGATATCGTCCAGACCCTTTCTGATTCCTCCTCGCAGAGACGAAGCGAGCTCCTCAATCAGGGCTTCTCTGATACCGACGCCTCCTCCATCTACACACCAAACAACCTACGCTCCTGGTCAAGTCAAAACTCCCTCGCCTCCTCCAAGTCCGTCCTCTCCATGCAGACCATGTCTTCCGCATCATCCATCGCCGAGACCCTCATCGAGGGCGACGACGATGACGACGTGCGGGTTCTGCGGCGCCTGCTCTTCCGCAAGGTCGAGGTCGGGCTCGAGGGCGCGACGGAAGAGCTTCAGCGCGTGGGCGAGTGGCTCTGCATCATCCGGGACTCTGTCCGTGCGGTCAAGCATCGGACTTGTGTATAGTTCGCTGGCGTGGACGCTTGCTTTCTTGTGCATGCATTCGAACTTCTCTTGGTCTGCTTGACGTGGACTCTTTGATTGCTCGGACACGGATTCCTAGATTGGATACGCACATCGAGCTTGGTTGATGGATGTTCAGCTTGGTCGATGGCTCGGCTTCGATGACGGGCTCCCGCTTGGTTCATGGATACCCCCAGCTTGCTGGGTAGGCCCTTGACTTGGTTGGCGGGCCCTCAGCTCAGTCAATTGGACCTCAGCTGGACGGGGATCGCTGCTGCTTGGATCGGCGCGTTGATGATTGTTGGTCGCTCATTGGATGATGATGACATGTTGTGTGCATGTACCGCTACGATCCTGTAAAGTATTCATATGTACGACACGCCTGCTGCACTTATCTGTATCTGCTACTACTGCATTGGACTACATGGTAGCACTGTATATACTAATCCAACCTACTTACGATGACACGAAAATGTACATAAACAGCCTTGCTCATTTGACGATAGTTATGCAGTTGATTAGACTCGTTGGCTGAGGCGGATAGGTGGAAGGCCGGAGGCCGCTTGACGAGGAGCAGCGTGACACCCAAAAGTTGAACCGATCATGTGACTACGCACGTGTCAGGAAATCATGCAGTTCCCGATTCACAAATTCGCACCTTCCCACTCGCCATCGCCAGGCCACCAATCTCAAAGCTTGTGTTGACATCAATATTCCATCATGCACATGGCCTTACGGACGGTCGTAGCCAGAGTTATGAGGGCTACAAGGGCAAAGAGTCATGCGTGCCTTGACGACGACCGCCATGCAGCCGAAATCGGACCACTTTCCAAAGCCGGCTTGAGGTGCAGCGTAAGACATCCTACGAATGTACCCACCTCCTGGCCGGTTTTCCGCACAATTATGACCTGATGTTATTGCGGAATGATACGATGGGTACGCTCATAAAGGTGGATGACGGTGAACATGGTCTCCTCATCGCTCACCCTCCCTCGCCCACTCCTACATCTCTCATCCCACCCTTCCTCTCCCCTCCAACGCCATGCCCGCCGAGACCGCTTCCAAAGCTATGATCGTCCCTGAGAAGGATGGCCGCGTGGGCCAGCGCATCGAGAACTACACCAAGTTCTGGCAGAAGGACATGAACAAGGACGGCGAAGTTGACAAGGACAACCGCGTCGACAGCTACACGGACGTCGTGAATGGTACGCATTTCACTTGAATCTAGTCCTGTCTTTCCCGTGCTTACTCGTTACAGGCTACTACGACGGCGCGACTGAACTTTACGAGTACGGCTGGGGCACCTCCTTCCACTTCTCGCGCTTTTACAAGGGCGAGAGCTTCGCAGCATCGCTCGCACGGCACGAGCACTACCTCGCCGCTCAGATGAACCTGAAGCCGGGCATGCGCGTCTTGGACGTTGGCTGTGGTGTCGGCGGCCCCGCACGGCAGATCGCACGCTTCGCGGATGTGCAGATCATCGGCTTGAACAACAATGACTTCCAGGTCGGCGAATTGCTACTCAAGTATACTGCAAGCGTGTCCTAAAGATGCTTTCCAGATCGCTCGCGCGCGCAAGTACACGAAGGAGGCCGGTCTGGAGGGCAAGGTTTCCTTCGTCAAGGGCGACTTCATGCGTCTAGAAGAGCAGTTCGGCAAGAACTACTTCGATGCAGGTAGGTTCATACCCTCTTTCTTCTCCCTCTCGTAACTAACCTCCCTTCCTTCAGTCTACGCCATCGAAGCGACCGTCCACGCTCCCAGCTTCGAAGGCGTCTACGGCGAGATCTTCAAGGTCCTCAAGCCCGGCGGCACCTTCGGCGTCTACGAGTGGCTCATGACCGACCGCTGGGACCCCGCCGACCCCGCGCACCACAAGCTCCAGCGCGAGATCGAGTTCGGCAACGGCATCCCCGAGATGCGGCCCATCGCCGCCGCGCGCGACGCCGTCAAGGCCGTCGGGTTCGCGCTTCAGCACGAGGAGGATCTCGCGGAGCGCGACGACCCGGTGCCGTGGTATTACCCGCTGGAGGGGAACATCAGCAACGCGCAGACGGCGTGGGACTACTTCACGGTGTGGCGTATGAGCTGGAGCGGGATGCTGGTGACGCACAATGTAATGCGTGTGCTCGAGCTGGTGGGGATGGTGCCGAAGGGGACGCATGATGTGGGCGAGGCGTTGCGGGTGGCGGCGCAGTGCCTCGTGGAGGGTGGGCAGAAGAAGGTGCGTCAGTTCAGTTTGTTGTTCAATGACCATCATACTCACCATTTCCGCCCAGCTCTTCACTCCGATGTACCTTATGGTTAGCAGGAAACCAGAGCCTCGGACGGAGTTCTAGATGGCGTTTTCTCTCATATCCTTAGACTACCCGCAGCGCATCGGACATTTGACCTACCCATCGTAATATACCCACCACAATAAACTGGTACTTAGATCGCAGCAACGTTGGATGCGAGTGAACGTCTTAATAGCCAGAGCACTCGTCAAACTCAACGCAATCCATGCAGGCCGAAAGTCGGTAAATAAGAACGTGTCACAAGGGTCTCTAACTAATGAGAACAAAAGGCCTTCGAAGAAAGAGTGAAAGGCCGAGGATAATAAGAGGCCAGACAAGGAGCTGCAATGGTTGCCACTGACGTTCTCCAGCAGTCACCACATCAAAATACTGAGCAAACCTTTCCTTCCTGTGCACAGTATTCTATCCGAAAACCTACACAAAGAAACCGAGTATAACCATTAAATTCTATATCGGCAGCAACAGGAAATCCCAAAAAGCATCGACAGCAATAGGAAGTAGAAGTACAACGAAGCGGTACAGGGGAGCGACGTTTAATGGGAGGGGTGCGGGATATGACAAGGAGGGTAGGTGGGGCGCTGGAGGCAAGGGTGAGTGAGCGGCCGAGGGTAAGGCTGGATGCCAGAGGGTAAGGCTGAGTGCCAGAGGGTGAGGCTGAGTGCCAGTAGGTAAGGCTGAGTGCCAGTGGGTAAGGCTGAGTGCCAGAGGGCGAGGCTGAGGACGCGAGGAACCAAGATCACCAGTAAGGGTGGTGGAGGTAGCCACGACGATAGGCCGGTAGCGCCTATGCAAGACGAGCGGAAACCGGTATGAGAGTATGTACAGAAGGCAGTGATGTGCACAGAACACAAAGCCCCCGACGACAATGTATGTACGGAAGGTATCCCCCAACGCGAGACGTATGTACGGTATGCTGATATGATAAATTATGCAGAAGTAGGATGCGCTGGTCGTGAGCGTCGTGGGGAATTCGATATTGAACAGGCGATGGGGAGAAGGATGATGGACAGGCGAGAGGAGAAGGCCGATGAACAAGTGAGGGCGAAGGATGTTGAACAGACGGGCGGAGAGATGGATGAGTAGGAGGAACATATGCGAGGGCTAGGGAGCGTATGCGGCGCGCTGGCGAGAAGCACGGGAAGAGGAGGATGCGTAGTCCGTGAGGGTGATGTTGGGCGGATGCGAGGCTGGGGAGGGATACTCGAGGGAGAGGGCATTTGAACTCGGTGGACGGGCATTTGTACTCGGCTAGACGGGCACCTCAAGCTGCACCATCGGCTCATCGTAGAGCGGACGGTGCGCCTGAGGTGGGTGGCGATGTGTCGACGAGGCCTGGCGTCCTCGTAGCGTTGGCGGTCGGGGACGGCGCGAGCTTGAAGCCAGGCCTCTGCGTCTGGTACACAGGGCAGGGAGGGACGAGAGCGCGTAAGCCACCTGCAGTAGCTCGTCGCGCACACGCAGATCTAAAAGATGATGAGTTCCGCTTCGCATGTGAGAGGAAGAGACGACGCATCCTCAGGAAGAGAGGACGCATCCTCGGGAAGAGAACACGCACCGCTTGCAAAAGCTACGCCGCGTGGATAAGAAATCACCCGTGCTATAAGATGCCCGAGTCCTTGAGAGCGTTGTGTAGTATCGTCTCCTTCACCGCCGCGAAGACATGTCGCACGTTCTTCGTGTCCGTCGCCTGCGTTAAGCTGCAGCACAACGCATTAGCCCATGTCGCGCAAAGGAAAGCGGTTGTAGCGAATGGTGGTTGTAGCGAGCGGCGGTTGGGAGAACAAACTCACTGTGGATAAACGCTCAGCCTCGCCCGATTCGCCTGCATGAACTTCCACAAGATGAACTTCGCCGCCTTGTTGATGTCGTTCCCGCCCGTGTACTCGGGGAAGTAGCGGTCGAGGGGCACCTTGGGGAGCTTGATCTTGAACACGTCCGTCTTGTTGAGAAACAGGATGATCGAAGTCCGTAGGAACCACCGCGAGTTGATGACCGACTCGAAGAGAGTCAGCGACTCGGCCATGCGGTTCTAGGAAGTCAAGTCAGTACCGGCGACAACATAGACGCGCTCTAGCCGCGCGCGTCAACTACACGTACCTGATTCTTCTCCTCCAGCAGAACCTGATCGTACTCGCTAAGCGCCGTGCAAAAGATGATGGAGGTGACACTCTCGAAGCAGTGAATCCACTTTTTGCGCTCCGAGCGCTGCCCGCCGACGTCGAACATGTGAATGCTGGGAGAGCGTCAGCATGACGCACGAAACCTCGCCGAGGGTGTGTAAAGCAGAAGACGGAAGGTATCCGTGCACGCCAAGCATCGAGCACTGCCCTTTACTGCACGGCCACGGCACTGCACGGCGTGGAGGAAGGACTGTGGCTGGGCAGGCGAGTAGCTGCGCTGCATCCTAGCCAAGCCCGTCCAACGAAGTGATACGGCGGAAATACGCACGTCAGAGGCCCACACGCAAAGCGCGTCTCGCTGATGCTGGTAGTCTTGACTCGCGCACGGAGAATGTCCGTCTCCGTGGGTAGATACTTCTCCGCGCCTATTCGGACTACATTCTCAAAGAAGCTGCGAGAGGGAGGAGTCAGCGTGGGGCGCGATGATATGATTTGTGACGCACTACGCCGCATTATCCATGAGATAGAACTCGTTCGCATGCTCGTCGATGATCTTGGGCGTAGCAGGGTCGCTGGTTATGCGGCGGATAGCGTCTGCGAGGTCGGGGGTGACTATCCCATTGGCGTCGTAGTCGATTATCTTATCCAGTAGGGCCTGTGTGTGCGTGTAAGCAAGCTTGATAGCAACCTAATCGTGGGATGGCCAGCGTATCGCAGGAAGGGGCAGCCGATCGCAGGGATGGGGCTGCCTGCGCAGCGTCAAAAGCAAGCAAGTCTCTAGTATGGCTGCAGTTCAGGCTGGCAAGGCGGAGAGCCATTATATGGCGACAGACGCGCCTGCTGCGCCCAATGACCTAATGGAACTGCATGCAACGCCAGCCATGCTCTTCAACGAGCGCAGTGGTATGCACGCAAGCCCGCCCCGCTCGTTACCGCCCGAGGGCAAACAGGCCAGTGCCCTGTCCACTTGAGTGGCGTGCACAGCTCTCCTTGGGGCGTTCGGTGGATGGGAGGGGGGGACGTACAAGGTTAGGCGATTCCGGGTTCGCCTTCTTGATAATCTGGGCGACCGCCTGCGCCGAGTCGATCACGTTGCGGTAGACGGTGGGGCGGAAGGAGGCGAGCTCCTGGGGTGAGAAGCCGTTCTTGTGGATTATCTTCATCTGCTTGACGATAGTCGACTTGCCCGACTCGCCGGAGCCTGGGGGGTGGGTCAGACACGGCACCAGCGCAACTCGCTAAGCACGCACCTAGCAGCAGGATCTTGCACTCCTTCTTGAGGCGCTCGGAGTCGGCCTTGATCTGGCTGTCGATTTCGTCGGAGCGCTCCTTGGCCTGGACGTCGGCGACGGGCTGGGAGGACGATGACACGCAGGCGCCCATCGTGGGCTGGGGGTTGTGCTGGCCAGTGCGGCGGCGAGGCGGTGGTCGAGGAAGACGAGGAGGAGGGTGATGGGGGGAGCGGACAAGGGGCGCGCGTGGCCGCTGAGGGCACGCAGCGCCGGACAGCGTCGAGCGTCAGATCAATCTGCTTGACATGGGAATAACATACCTCTGATAGATTGCCTCCCTTAATTGCTCACATGACCGCCCCGGCCGCCGCGCCCGCCCTCTCCCCCGCCTCTCCCTTGTACACCGATGGGGCTGCCCTCCGTGCATCTCCTCCTGCCTGTCGCCCGCCTCGCTGCCTTGCACGATCCCCCCCCTTCCCAGCTTCCGCACTGCACCGGGGATTTCCTGACAGCGCGCCACCGCGGCAATCCCGATGCAAGCCGACCAGAGCCGCAGCGGGTCTCTGCCCGGACACGCTGACACTGACAGCTATCCATTCTGCATCGACATGGTACCCGTCGATTGACATCCACGCCTACAAATGCGTAGCGCTCCGCGAAACTCACTGCTCCCCCTCCACCGCGACGGACGTCGAGCACCCCATCAAGCAAGCTCTGCTCTAATCACCGACGCTCGTCAAACATCACTAAACTCGAGCCGAAATGCAGCAAGACAGAGCGAAGGACCCACCCTTCTCTCGTCGAGACAACACGCCCATTGATCCTACCCATGCTCTCGCACTTACCGTTCATCTACGAGGTCGTCTGCACTGCTCATCTGCGATTTATGAACACCGCACAGTTCATCTGCGCGGACATCAAGTTCATATACGGGGCTCACCACAGCTCATATACGGGGACTTTACCGAGACGAACAGTGGCTATCAGACTCTATCTCCCAGGCTTGATATCCCAGTGATGCTCTTGCTGGGTCCTCGCTAGTCCCCGCCACAGCAGCGCACTAGCTGCATTACTCTGGCTTGATCCCCGGGCTGCCGATCTGCCTGCTCGAGTTGTCGGCTTACCGCTGGCGTTGTACTTGTACCCCTCGTCCGCTCACGCTGCTAGCCCACCTCTTCATGACCCCCTCCTCCCCTTCCTGCTCCCCTTACACTCCACTCTGACCGGGCCGACGGCCCACATCGCTTTCTATACCCATCTTACCCTCCGGCTTGCTTGACCTCGCATAGGGTTGAATTGACGAGTCGATGGTCTTCACCCTTGTCCTCGACGGGCGGCAAGCAGCCCGAATTGCGCGAGCCTTTCCTGAGTTCTCCTGCGGGTGTGCTCCAAATTCCAGTTTCCCGCGCCTGCGCTCGCAATTACCCCGCGAAATTCCGTATACCGTTACCCTTCCCATCGGCGGAGCTGAAGGATAGTACCGACGAACGTACGCAGCGGCAGGACAAGCAGCACATCAACAACCTTACGCGTACCTCCATTAGGCTGCGCGCCTGTCGGTGAGTCTCGCCCCGCCGCCAACATCTCCTCGTGAGTCGTCACCGGCGCCTGTCCTTGCTCGTCATACTCTCACCTATATATCCCCTCTATACGTTTCTCCTCGTCATTGTGCCATTCCCCACACCCTCAACGCCTTCTTCGCGACAACGGCCTGCCTTGGGACAAAGCAAACGAACTACACACCATACTGTGGTTGGCGCGATATAGGTGTCGACGACGCACGTCGCTCTGGTCGATGTCCTGGAGTCACGGATGTCTTGACTCGCAGTTGACAGTGGCAAGCCCGGCAATTGACAGCGTACGGCGAGGCCATCCGCCCTGTCAATCTTTGCCGGGCTTTCACGAATCTTGTCAAAGGACATGCCGTGCCCTCGTCAATCTCGAGAGCGCTATCGCGCACCCGTGTCATCCTCGGGAGCGCGCTGTCGGCTGGAGAGCAACGTTCCTACATTCAGTGAAGGACGTAGAGTGACAGGTAGGTCAGCAGCGCTCATCATGATATTTGGAGACTACTACTGTAAGTATTTGTATAGAGTAGGGTCCAGAGATCAAAAGAGTGAAACCACAGATACGAGATAGAAACCTTGGTGAAGGTCTTGTGCGTGAAGGATGAGATAAGTGCAAGTTCGAAGTTGAGGAGCGCCCCCTCGGCCGCTGTTAGCGATACGCCTGCGCCACAAACCCATCCGGCATTTCGGTCCGGTTCACGAACACGAGGCACGCACTCAACAAACACGAGGCTGCTGGTTGCATGCGCTGGGCTTGCCAGGTGTTCGTCTCGACCTTCGCGTTCCCAGTCGAAAGTCGAACCACGTCCTTTCCGTCTGGCAGTGGAAGTAGGAAAGCACCGGACAACCCACACGGCAGATCACCCTCCCTAGAAACTAATTGCGATGGGCAACAAGTCCTCGAAAGCTAGGTTGGTATCTCTCGTTCGCGCACTCTCATCAAGCTGGCAGACTCCGTACTTGTAGCCCGCTTGACATGCGTTTCGTTCTCACCGCTCGTCTCACATATGCCTTTTGTGCGTTGAACTCCTGGCATTGACTGACGCACCTCCTCCAGCGGCGAGCCGTTCGACGAGTCCGCGCTGAGCACCAGCACGGCGGATGTCTTTGTGAGTATTCGCGTCCGAACGTCACCTCCTGACAAGTATTGGTGTCTCTGAAAGCTGTTGGGACGAGCGGCTAACCAGCCAGCTAACGGCTGTCTCCGCGCCACGCTCATGAGCTCGACGGTGGCGCGTGCTAGACTATCGCTTGTCGCGTCCCTTGTCGCGTGCTAGGGTATCGCTTGTCGTGACGCGCGGTGTCGAGGACAGCGGAGGGTGCTAGGGCGGCGTCTGTCGGGGTACGCTGCGACGTTGAGGCGCGCTATACTAGTCTCTACGCCGCTCACCGGATGTCGTGCGCTTCAGCAAGCCCCTGCGCCGTGCATCATGCTCGCTCGCTAGCCCGGCATATGCCACCCTGCCCGCTTTGCTTGCTCGATGTCCACCCAAGTTCACCCTCGATATCCACCCACGCTGACCCCATCCTCCCAGTTCGACATGCGCATCGGCAAGGAGCCTATTGGGCGCATCGTCTTCCACCTGTATGACGACGTGACGCCGAGGTGAGTTCTTTGGCCGCTGACTCTCATTGCGACAAAGTCTCCTGTGCGACCTCACTGACAACTGACCTTTCAGGACCGCGCGCAACTTCCGCGAGCTCTCCACCGGCTCGCAGGGTTTTGGGTACAAGGGTACGTTAGCTACTTCGCTGATCTTCCCGTGTTTTGCATCCAAAAGAATTCGCATCGTGTTCGGACGCCGCCTGCATTTGACGGACGTCCCTTCGCATTCAGAGTAGTTACTGCCCAAACGACGAAGGACGCTGACGCACAGTCTCAGGCTCCCACATGCACCGTATCATCCCCGAGTTCATGCTGCAGGGCGGCGACTTCACGCGCGGTGACGGGACGGGCGGGAAGTGCATCTATCCGGGGAAGAAGTTTCCTGGTGAGTATGGCATGGATTTGCGAAGGCGTTGCGAGTGTCCCCAACGACTCGCATATCTCGCCTGAGGCAGGCGCTAGTGCAGGCAGCAAGAGCTGGTTCCTGCGTCGGGCTCCCCAGATACAACGGCGAGCGGCCATGCACCGACATAACGCTGATCACGTCCTCCAGACGAGAACTTCCGCCTGAAGCACACTAAGCCGTTCCTCCTCTCCATGGCCAACGCGGGCCCGAACACGAACGGCTCGCAGTTCTTCATCACCACGGTCGCGACGCCGTGGCTCGATGGGAAGCATGTGGTGTTTGGTGAGCATCTCTTTCTCTGCCGGTCATCGTTAGCGCACTGCCACGCATCGAGGTGGAGTAGGTCGACGAGGGAACCGGGCGCTGATCACCCTTTCCAGGCGAGGTCGTCAGCGGCCAGGAGATCGTGAAGCGCATCGAATCCCTGGGCTCGCGCGAGGGAACGCCGAGGCAGCCCGTCTACATTGACGATTGCGGCACTCTCGAGTAAGCGAGGGAAAGACCCGAGTAAGCGCTGGAAAGACCCGAGAAAGCGCTGGCCCGGGCTGGGGAAGCGCGCTTCTATACCCAAGTTGCTGTCCCGATTATTTCAGAAAGACAGTGGATCATTCGAACCGGCAAATTCAGGCTCACGTGTGGCATGGGTAGAATTTTCAGTGGTACAGTGGGTTCACGAAGGACAGAGAGACGTCATTTAGCTAGTCGCGGTGGCACCTGAGAAGCGAAGGGTCCAGGACGACGATGATTCAAAATTTCGATTCAGGCTTCTTGCGTGCGCTAGGCAGCGCCAGCGATGAGAAGTCCAAGGAACTCAGTTTCGTGAGCATAAGAGGTGTCGGAGATATTGTATCGTCGGCGCGGCATGGTGGGTGACGCAGAGATCGGCGCGCCGCGGCACTCGCAGCACGTGCGGACCCATGCCAGTCGGCGAACCGATCGCGTGGCCTTGTTCTCCGGCGCTTATTCTGCATTGAACGTGCCTCAGCCTCGCACAATGGAGAAGTACAGCGCGTACAGGGTGGGTCTATGCCCCGGTCCGGTCTATAACTTACTGACATTGAGACTCAGGATCCGGGGACAGGAATACAGGTCAGGATGCTGCAGTCGCGCCGTTCCTCGTGCTAATCGTGTACTGCAGCCATTCCTCACTCCCGTTCCTCCCCTTACCTCCAACAACTTGACCACTCTTGCTGTGCCCCTTGTATACGCTCTTGGTGCAGTACGATTTGTATTGTTTCTCGCTCTGGTTCTGGTCCATGTTGTACTCGTAGACGGTCTTTGCCTTGTGTTCGTGAGTGCCTTTTTCCCCGCTGTACCGCATGTCACTAACCAGAACATCATCAGCGGATACTTCCACCACTTCATAGGCTCATAACCGGAATCTTGACGAAGATTACCACTCGCGCTATCCTCTTCGTATGCGGCTTCTTTTGGATCCCGGTGGAGGTCGTGACACGGCAGCGAGGGTGCGTGAACAATTGCCTTGCTTTCTAGACAATACCCTGACATCCGAGTACAGCCGCTTGGCTCAGAAGCCAATCCCATGGCGCCCCAGAGCGGGGGATATCATCGTCAGCAACTGGGTCTCTTGGATCGAGTTGCTATGGCTCGCATTCCAGTACGTCCCTACCCCTCCCCCACCTTTCTGTCAGCTTACGACCTCCCCGGTAGATTCAATCCTATCTTTGTCTACCCAACAGTTGACGCGCTACCAAAGACACCCGCGCAGACGTCTCCTCCCTTGCCCGTCTCGCACACGCCTGGACGTCGAACTGGAACCGGCTCCGCCGCGATCACTGCTCCAGCGACGCGCGATGCCATGCCGCGCGCACATATTACGGGCTTCCGCACCGCGTCGCTCCTGGAGATGGTGCGCTCGACCGGGAGCGTCCTGCCCCAACCAGGCCAAGGCCGCCCACTGGAGGACATCCGGAGGGCAGCGAACCGGCCGATCGTTGTTCTCCCCGAATGCACGACGAGCAATGGGAGAGGACTCCTTCGCTTCGCGGACGTGTTCCGGCGCACGACAACGCCGAAGAACTGCAATGTCTTCGTGATGTGTACGAGGTCAGTCACCCGCCGCTGATTTCCTTGGTGCTTTACTCATGAAGCGCGTTTGCAGATGCGACCCGCCGACTGCGTGGACGCCAACACCTACTTTGTCCATTCCGTCGACCACGCTTAATCCTCTCGCTCACGCTTTCAAGCTCTGCGCCACGTTGATACCGCCAACGCTATCCATTCGTTTGCTTTCGATGGCAGAGCTCCCGAGTACGGGTACCTTCATCGCGAGCGAGGTTCTCGGCGCCAGCTCCCCCGCGCTTGGGAGCGATGGACAGTTGACAGAAGTCTGCGCAACACTCATTGCGCAAATCGGGAAGATGAAGAGAGTGGGTTTGGGCTGGGAGGATAAGCTGGCGTTCTTGGAGTTTTATCGTACCAAGCGAAGATAGCACTCGACGACGATTAGCAAATGCCGCCAGTGCTTTTGGGTTCAGAAGCGTCATCTTGTGGTGGATGAAGTCAAGTTCTCTCTGTTTGTAAAGAAGAGCATCTTGTCACAAGCTATGCGCGACCGTTGCCACTGATACAGAAAGCTAAGACCAGGAGACCGACGTTAGGTTGGAGGAGCAAAAAGCTGCCCACAGCCAGGATCGAACTGGCGACTTTTGCATAATGTATCCACATAAGTACAACACTCTACCACTAAGTTATGCGGGCAACTCCTAAGCGCGGCCATTGAGCTTATGGATACGTCATGCACTGCACGGACGGTCCGGTCTCACCGACGCCGCTCGATCACCCTTCGATCCTCCGATCACCTCACATCTCCCGACCATGGTCAGGCAGCAGAGCCGTGGGATTCGGCTCCCGCAGAGTATCTTGGACGAGATTAATGGGACCTCAGGTGTGTTGGCTACACTCTGTCTGAGACGTGTGCGCTCACAATCCAAGCAGAGCAATCCCGGGGCCGCGGATACGGATCCAAATCCAAGCTTTCGCGCAAGGAGGCGCGCAAGCAGGAAAGGGAGGGCCGCAAGCAGAAGAAGGCGCAGTACTTCTCGAACGCGCATAACGTGAACGCTGTGAAGCGACGCGCGGAGGACGATCATCTCGACTCTCCCAGACGCAAGAGGGTGAAGACGGAGTCTGGCGCTGCTCCCCCTGCCCCTGCCGCGAGAGTGAGGCAACAGGATGCAGATGCGACATCATCGAAGGAGAAGGCATCCACGGATACGAAGACCACCATTACGGACAAAAAGCCTAAAGAGAAGAAGGCAAAGGACTTCAGGAAACCTAGCGCACTCGCCAAACTCGCCGGCGAGACGAGCAAGAAGTCCAGCAAGGCCACCCCTCGATCACGCGTCGAGGCGGACGAAGACAACTATATTGCGTATCTCGAGTCAAAGCTGGGCTTGAAGGGGGGCAAGAAGAAGAAGAGCAATCCGGAAGAGGACGATGGGCTGGACGACCTGCTCGACTTTGCGAGCAAGTTTGATAGTTTTGATGGTGCGGCGGAGGCTGAGGTGCGTTTTCAATGCATATGATCATGCTTTCCTTCTAAAATGTTAACAGGAACCAGAGTCTGAAGAACAAGAGGAAGAGGATGAAGAGAGCGACGACGCGATGGACGAAGACGGGGACTTCGATGACGAAGAAGAGTGGCAGGGCATCTCTACCAACGACACGCCGAATGATACCCCCGTGCCCACCGAAGCCTCTGCCGCAGCCGAGCACCCAACATCCTCCGCCCCTGCCACCCGCTACGTCCCTCCCCACCTGCGCAACAAAGCAGTAGCGGGCGATGGGCAGGACGCCGAGGTCATCGCGAAACTCACGAAGAAGCTGAAGGGGTTGCTGAATAGGTGCGTCTTACTACCCTGACGTTCACTCGAATCATAGCCTCTCCTGGCCCGAATGCTCACACCACGCAGGATGACCGAGCAGAACTTCGGCTCCATCATCGAAGGCGTCGAGGAGACGTACAGGCAGAATAGGCGACATGGTGAATGCCAATCCACCGCCTTGCTCCTCTGTTTGAATAGGAAACTGACTATTCCATCTCCCTCCCAGACGTTACCTCCACCCTCACCAAGCTCATCATCGAGGGCACGTCCTCGCACGCGCTCCTCCTCGACTCGTACGTCGTGCTGCACGCCGCGTTCGTGGCCGCGCTGCACAAGATCGTGGGCGTGGAGTTTGGTGAGTACGCGGGCTGCTTTTTTCAGTTTTCGTGTTTTTTTTTTCAGTCTTTATGGTTTCGGTCAACCTGGTCCTAACATCGCTGCACCCCTTATCCAGCCGCGTACTTCGTGCAAACACTCGTCGCCGAGTACGAGCGCCATCGAGCGGAGGCTGCGGGTGCATTTGCTCAACAGTCCTCCGCCTCTGCGCAACAGTCCCCCGCCGACGAGCCCAACGGCCCCGCCACCGATCCAGCCCACGCCGACCCCTCGCAACAAGTTCCTAGCAATCACGACCCAAACGACCCAAACGCCGACATAACCCGCGAAGGCGCCGGGAAAGAGTGCTCCAACCTCATCGTGCTCATCTCCGAGCTCTACAACTTCCAGGTGGTGTCGTGCGTGCTGGTGTACGATATCATCCGGTCGTTGCTGGGTGGGGGTGGCGGGGGGAATGGCGAGGATACCGGAATGGACGAGCTGGATGTGGAGTTGTTGCTCAAGGTTGTGAGGAGTGAGTATTGCCTTGTCATGAGCAGCCTGGGATTAGGCGATAGGGGAATGGGAGACTGACGACACCTCTTAAGACTCCGGCCAACAATTGCGCGCGGACGACCCGTCAGCGCTGAAGGACATCATCCAAATCGTGCAGGGGAAGGTGGACGGGAAGGGCGGGAACTTGAGGTGTGTGGTGCTCCTGTCTCTCTTTCCTCACCCCTGCTGCACTTACCATACATATATATCCTCTACTCCCCCGTACTCACGCCACATACCTGCCCTGCACTTACGCCACGTACATACATACTCCCCGTACGTACGGCGTATACTCACTTCCTCACCCACTCAGCTCCCGCACGAAATTCATGATCGAGACCCTCACCAACCTTAAGAACAACAAGGCGGCGAAGAGCAAGAAGGGCCAGCAGGGTCAGACGGGCGGGAACGAGGCGGTCGAGAGGATGAAGAAGTTCTTGAGTGGGATGGCGAAGAAGAGGCATGGTGAGTGTTTTGTTTTGGTTGGCGTTCGCGTGGTATGTAATATGACGCTGACGCTGACACACTCACCCAGTCCTCGCCCACGAACCCCTCCGCGTCACACTTGAGGACCTACACTCGGCCGAGAGCCGCGGCAAGTGGTGGCTCGTTGGCGCTGCATGGGGTGGCGATCCGCTAGTCGAGCGGCAGGGCGACGTCGATGGTTCCGGCTCCGGCCCCAATGGCACAATTGGCAGCAGTAACAACGCCACAAACAAGCCCAAGGAAAGCGCCGAGTCCAAGCTCCTCAAGCTCGCTCGCAAGCAGGGCATGAACACCGACATCCGGCGCTCCATCTTCGTAGTGCTGATGAGCAGCGACGATTACGTGGATGCGTGCGAGCGATTGGGGCAGCTGAATCTGACGGAGGTGCAGCAGAGGGAGATTGTGAGGGTGCTGCTGCATTGTTGTGGGAATGTGAGTGGCTGGTGAACTTGCTCCCATCATTGTGTTCGCACTCCAGCGTCCGGAACTCACGTCTTCACAGGAAGCCGCCTACAACCCGTACTACGCCCTCGTCGGCCAGCACCTCTGCCGGCAGTCTCATTCCTACAAGATCACCCTCCAATTTTGCCTCTGGGACTTCCTCCGCGACCTCGGCGAGACCCGCGTCGGCGGCGCCGAGGTCGTGAAAAATCTGGGCGACAACGATAATTCCGACGACGAAGAACGCGCCAAGAAGATCTCGCCCGCGCGCATGCGCAACGTCGCGAAACTCTACGCGTGGTGGATCGCGAAGGACGCGACCTCGCTTACGATTCTCAAGCCTGTCGACTTTACCGTGCTGAAGCCGCGGGGGCGGGCGTTCCTGAGGGAGCTCCTCGTGCAGACCTTCGTCGCAAGTCAGACCGCGTCGCCCGTGTTGGGGGCGGCTCCGCAGACGCGGAATCGAGGCGCGGTGGAGGAGGTGTTCATCAAGGCGGCGCGGGTGGAGGCGCTGGCGATGGGCCTGGTGTACTTCATCACGCAGGTAGTCATGAAGGAGGCTGGGGCGGACGATGCGGAGGGCAAGTTCGTCAAATGGGCAGGCGGGGTGGCGAAGGAGACGCTGAGGACGGGCCTCGATGTGGTACCTGGGCTGACGGATGACTTGTGAATAATGCTGCTCTGGCGAACACCGAGGTGTCCTTTGCAGCTTAGGTTTGTACGGCTTGGGTGTACGCCTGTAACGGCATGCATACGTATGGTGCAGCGCATGTCTTGGATATCGATAGGATTGACTGCGCCGCACAACAGGGTGGGGGCGCGCAGCTTTGCTTCCTGCGACGGAAAATCACAAGGTACTGCCTCGTCAATTATTCTGCTGCTGCGTGTACTGCCTCAACGCTGTGGTGCTGCGCGACTAGGAACGATTGACAGAATGCGGTCAGACCCCCTCCGGCTGTAAATGGCAGAAAAGACGAGGCAAAAGGGCCGGCAATAATCAGTTTCGGGGTGTCCAAGGGGCGTGGCCATAAAAGGGGGGCTGCCGAAAATGGCAACCACAATGGGATTGCCGGATTTGGGCTCAAAGCGATCGAGATCGCATCTGCCATCGCGTCAACTTGAACATTGACCATCACCATGGCCGCGCCACCGTCGGATGCTGAGCTGCAGCCGTCGAAGCTGGGGACGAAGGAGCAGTGAGTAGTACTCGACTGTTATGGGTTGAAATAGGTGGTTGAAGATGCATGCAGTTGGGACAATGTCTATTCCTCCGAGCTCGCCAACTTCAAGGAGATCGGCGATGAAGGTGAGATATGGTCAGGCATCATCCCTTGCACAAGTTGCACGATGGCTGACCTTGCCCCTCTCTACTCATCCACATATCTTGTTCTCCTTGCTCAGGTTTGGCGAAGAAAGCGTAGAAAAGATGGTCGATTGGGCCCTCGAGCACATTCCGCCGCCCTCCTCAGCTTCCCCATCCTCCTCTACACATCCCACCATCCTCGAAATTGGCTCCGGCAACGGGACCCTTCTCTTTGCCCTCGCCGAAGCAGGGTACGCACCTACGAAGCTATGTGGCATCGACTACAGCGCGGACGCGGTCGCGCTCGCGAAGTCGATTGCACAAGCGAGAGGGGGAGGCCTGGAGGATATCACATTTGAGGAAAGAGATTTTCTGACAGAAGAGATTGTTGGGTTGTCCGATGGTGGGAAAGACGCTCACGAAACGGCATCATGGGACCTTGTTCTGGACAAGGGCACGTACGACGCTATTGCGTTGGGCGAGAAGGACGAGAAGGGTTTGTCGCCTGCGGCGGGATATCCTGCGAGGGCAGCGAGGCTTCTGAAGCCGGGTGGATTCTTCCTGATTACTTGTGAGTGCGATGTTGTTTCGGGCCATAATACATAGGTCTTGAAGCTGAAATTCATCCTAGCATGCAACTTCACCGAAGAAGAACTCAAGGCGAGCTTCACGGCGGAGGGCACGATGGAATACCAGTGAGTTGGTCATCTGGTTTTTGCTCGCTGTACCTGATTGCAAACAACTACGCCAGCTCGCGCGTCAAGCACAGAACCTTCTCCTTTGGTGGGCAAAGCGGGAGCGTTGTGTGCACGGTGGCGTTTAGGAAAATAGACGGCTCGTCATAATGAACGTTATGCGATGCATCGGAATGCGCGAACTCGGAAGCGGGAGATCGGCAGGAAAGGTTGCGAACGGGAAACGGCAGGGGATTACGCGGGTTGAGGTCAGCAGCTTGCACCGGAGTAGGTACTCAAGTGCGCAGGAGCGGCAGAGACCTGCAGGCGAAAGACCCACAGGACCTCACGCGCACGAAACAGTCTGGGAAGGAGCGCGTAAGCGGTTGAGTACCCGTCGGTTGCGGCAGAGTATCCGCGGCTTGCTACAGGCTACACAAGGCTCGTCGGTTGCAGCGTTATATCAGCGCAGTTCGTTCATACACTACATCTTCATAGCCATGTTGGCTTACAGTGCACAGAGAACCACGCCGAGAAGTAGCTCGCGTGATAGCGCTTGTTCCCTTTACAACGTCCGAGGAGCCGTCCACGTACGTCCATGCTAGTAACAGAGCCGGCTATGCCAAGGCTGTACGCTACTACTCACCGAGGCGATTATACGCTACCAAAGTACCTGCCGAGAAGGCTGTACGCGCTCTTTTCCCGAGGAGGCAGTGCTTATCGGGATTCTTCCAAAACGGGGTGTTTCCTTGCCGTCGTAAGAGGCGTAGGAGGCGGCGTACTCGTCATTGCAAGAGAGCAGATATGCGGGCAAAGCCAAAAGGCGATGCACCGCGATACAGCCGTCATCGTCCCTGGACAAACATGGGGAATCAAAGCCTTCCGAATTAGGAAGTCTCAAGGTTGGTCGGCGTTTGCCGAGGCAGGCTGGCTAGCGCCCGCGATAATTCCTAAGCACGCTCCTTCTGTTCTGGGGTATTTGCCGATTCTCTACTCCGAAAGCCATTGCTAGTACGACATCACGGATGTTCCAGATTAACCCTCGGATTTAGGTTTTTCTCATCGAGCGCCCATAAACTCCCTGGGATCCCTTCCCATGACCTCTGCGTCGTCGGGCTCACCGACCCCTTCCCGAACAGTCTCCGTGGAGGCTGAGGCGCATTAGTACGTCTCGCAAACATCTCGAACCCCTTCCCTATGACTCGTGCTATCGCATGTTTGACTCCGAGGAAAAATCCTGACCAATGTTCAGCGTGATACCTCCCTCGAAAGCCCAGGCCCTCGAACTTCCATAACATGTAAATCAGAAGCCTTCAGCGTCCGACCTGTGCCATCAACGACAATGACTACTTGATCCTTGTCAGCTTCGATGTCGTGCACCGCGCGGGCGAGTGTCGTTACCCGCACGAGCGTGCACGGGCTCTTCCGCTTCGCCGTATGGTAGTTTGTCTCCACCCCATGGGTCTCTACCGCTTGTCCGTATGATCATCTTCACTCAATTCACAGAATGGACTCGACTACATACAATTGTACCTGCATCCCACCCGCTTATCCGCGCAAACGCTGTCGCATCAGTATACCAAGCTTCCGGCTCTGCCGTACAGATTTTTCAAGTTGCCGCCTCTACCGCGCGCTCCCTCCCGCCTCACACTCGCTTCAGCCGCACAGGCCTCACCCGCCTCCACCGGACGGGATCTCACGTCCTTCCCCCGACGCAGGGTCTCACGCCCATCCCGAGCGGCGCGGGGAAGCAAGACCGAAGGCATGGGATTTTCGTGCGGTCGTGTCTCGGGAGGGAGGTCGATCTGCGACGGAGGACGGTTAGAACGTAGGTATATTCAGTGGAGAACGAGAAGATAATGCGAGTCGTGCTTCAGAGCTCTGTATCGAGTGTCAGAATTCTACATCGAATGCCAGAGCCAGGTCGGAGCCTCGGGGTCAAGCGCGAGCGCCGTGCGGCGCGGAGGTGGTATGCGACAGGCGCCTGGGAACGATTTATTACACACGGTAAATCCCGAGTCTTTTTGCGCCGATGGAAGACGAATATCGGGCGCGTCGCGGTGGCGCTTCGAGTGCAATGAATCAAAGTGTTGCGAAGAAGGAGGAGAAGGAAGGACATCGAAGAGTCAACGATGGGCAATTTGTGAAGAGAGAAAACGTACAGGGGAAAAAGAGCATTCGGAATGAAGGGGAAAGTGGGAGTCTGCCTGAGAAGAATGAAAAGAAATGCATTTATGGCGGAGGAGAACAAAGATAGGCGTCCGGCGGAGAAGAATAGCACGAGTAATGCTGACAGGGAAATATAGCAAGGAATCATACAAAAATGGATCGGGGACGAGGGGGAGCGGAGCAGAATTACGAAGAGACTTGACTTTATGGCCAATGGGATTGTCGTGCCCGTGAATATACGGGTGCGGAGGCGTATCGGGGACGAGAGATTTCCGGGAACGAGGTCAAACAGGCAGGCAACGAGGACGAGCTGGCGGGTAACGGAGATCGGGTCTCGTCAATGTGTCGATCCTGACTTGCTCAAGGAAGCATGGCCGGCGGAGAACGGGCGGAATGAAAAGCACAACGGCAGCAATCCTGCGGAGTTGCGAAGGTTGGCCCTGAGGGTCGATCCTATTGAGGTTGCGCCATGCGTTCGTAGGTCGCTTGATCCTGCTGTGCGAAACATGGGGAATGAAATGCCTTTGAGGAAAGACCAACCGTTAGATTAAATTTGGCGGCTAGAAAATGAAGTGAGCCGTGTAAAGACAATAGCTTGCAATGAGGGGTCCGCGCGAGGCCCGTCCATTTGACGGAGACCAACAGGGGGTTATGAAGCTCGTCACGTTCACAGCGAGTCATGAATGGCTGACTTACGGACTGGATTTTCGAGATTAGTGCTCGAGATAGCCCTCGTTGCCAACGCACGGCTGCCTACCTTCATCCAACGGACGTTCGGGACTGACCTTATTTTGACGCATGTCAGGGTCCCCTGTCCAGACTCCCGTCCGCAAGGAGGCTCTATAGAGTCGTAACAAACAGCAACAATGCAGTCGTCGAGCGCGCATCGCAGATCTGAGGCTTGCCGTGTCCTTGCGTGTTTCACGACGATTGGGTCGCTTGACCGCTTCTGCGTTCGGGGTCGATGAGGCGTGATGAAGAAGGCCTGCCCTCCGCCGGGGTGATAGAGAGTTTACATGAAGCAGGCGTCGCGCCGAGGAAGGCGCAGGATTATACATACGCTCCATCCGGCGCTTGATCGTCGCCGGGCCCAGCGCGCTTCCAGGGTGTGCACGCCTGCTGGGCGTCGAAGCGCGAGTGCTCGCTGGGGGGCGGCGTCGAGTGAATCGAGGAGCGGGAGAGCGATGCGCTATGGGTGTTGAAGTTCGCGGAGCGGTGCAGGGGGCGGTGCACCGCATCAGCGAAGTTGAACATGGGAGGCTGTGCGAGGGGCGCCCCCGGGAGTTGCCAAATGCGGATGCCGTAATCAGCTCGGCACGGCCCGGCAGGCACGGCCGATCAGCGAGACCCCCTCGTTGTTCGCCGTCGATTCTTGTTTCTCGCGGCGAACTCAGGCGACATATCTTGCCTCCTGCGCCCATCTCCTCCTCGAGACCATCGCAGATCGGTATTCCTCGGGCATATAAAGCTCATCACTCCCACCGAGGACCAAGAGCTGCAGGCTGTGCGTACACGTGCGCGCAGTATTATCCTTACACGGCTTGCTCATCGCCTCCATCACGGTTCCCAGATTGCGTACAGATTAATTCGTGCCGCGCCGATACATATACCCTTGAACACAGCCGTCACCATGGACAGTGCCACGAACATCGACGCCCCGGCCGACATTGGCTTTGACCTCGAGCCGCCCTCCCCGCGTTCCCTCACCTTTGCCGGCGGGATCCCCTCCTCGTTCGACCACGCCACACAGCCCCTCTCCTACGACCAGCCCACCTTTGACGGCAGCGTGTTCGACCAGCACAGCTCGCCAGGCTCATTCCACGGCTCGCCCTCCTTTCACGGATCGCCGGGCTCATACCAATCCCCCTTCTCCGAGCACTCCGACCTGTCCCAGGATCCGTTGCTGGACCCTCTCTACGAGTCGGATTTCGTGACCGATAGGTGCGCGATTGCTTCCCCTCTCCCTCGCTTACCCATCACTCACCGCATGCAGGTACAATCCCACCGACTTCGGGCAGTCCAGCCTGCTTATGTTCAACGACGACTTCGGGGGAATTATGCAGAGCTCACTTGATCACCCATCGCCGGCCTCTTCGGATGGTCACTCCCACCACTCGCAGCACTCGCGCGCCTCCAGCGTGTCGTCTCAGCACCCACACGGCATTCCCTCAAGCCTCGGCGTGTCCCCCTCGCCGCGTATGCAAGTCGCGCAGTCCTTTGAGCAAATGTCCTTCCAGGGGAGTCCCAATTGGGGACCCTCTCCTCTTCCCAGTGAGTGCATATGTGTGGCGCTCAATCGTTGCTTAGACTCTTACTCCCCCTTAGCACATAGTCGAAACCCGAGCGGCCAAGCCCAAAGCCCGCCACGTTTAGTCATGCCGGACGATAACAGCCCATCGCTCAATATCGTCCCCGCCACCCCCGTCCGGACCGCAGCTGCCAATGCAGCCAATGCTTTCCATGGTGAGTCTCAATCTTCAGACATTCTCTTCTCCCTCTGGCGACGTGTCGTATGACCGCGGCGTGTCGGGGATTTTGTCCGGGACTCATCAAGAGCCTGCGCGCTTCCATCATTGCACCGAGCCTTCTGTGTGATGGGAGCTCCCGTTCGCCCTGCTTGTCGATCCTTCGTGCCCGCCGTTCCGTCCTCGGATGGCACACAGCTGTCTCGGGCACATGGGCCATCATCAAAAGGCACTGGTGCGGCTGATGAGTCACAACGATTCACGCATTGCAAGCGTCGCCTCAGTTCGGTTCTGGCACTACTGCGGCTTACATCAGTCGATGCTGTACCATGGCGCTTGTTGCTTATCCTCTTCTTTCAGGACCTTCACTCAACGCACCGCAAGAGCAGGACGAGTACGATAGCTCGTACGGTCAGGACTCCAGCGACACAGATCTCAATTCCCGAGGTCGTGATCCTTCATCATACACCTTCCCCCGTCGTCCGTCTCCGACGGGCCACAGCATCGGCGGTAGTGGTCAGAGCTTCGGCCTCAACAATTCAGGCTCTTCAAGCTCAAGCAACTTTGCTCTCGACAACATGAATGCCTCTTCCAGCTACGGCAGCCAGTCCTTCGGCCAGTCGAGCGACTTCCTCCTCCCTGGGCCCTCCTCGAAGCACTCGCGCTCCAAGTCGGACACGTCGCTCGAGCCGCCGACATGGGAGAACTTCCCGCGGAGCCGAACCGAGAGCGGCAACATGAGCGGGAGCGCCACGCTTGGCGGCAGCTCCCAGCTGGGCACGAGCGGCTCGCCAGACGACCGCGGCCTGCTCGGCGTGCCCCCACGCCCCGGGCACATGCGCCAGTCGCGCAGCGAGGACTACTCGAACATGCCGCACCTCCCGCCGGGCCTCGGGTCGGGCGTCGGCAGCAACCCGGCCTTCCTCACGCCCGACATGGACCTCCGCACCGGCCGCTCGTCCGGCTGGGGCCTCGGGCCGACGCACGGGCAGGCGCGCTCGCTCTCGCCGGCGAACCGCACGAGCTCGCCGTACGTGCCCGAGAACCAGCGCTCGTACACGCCGGACGCGCGCTTTCAGCCCATGGGCCCGCCGAGCGCGCGATCGCTGTCGCCGGCGGGGAGTCTTTATGGCCACCACCGTCGCGCGTCGTCCGAGCGCGGGTCGGCGACGTGGAACCCGCAGCCGCCGGGTATGGGTATCGGCATGGGTGGTCGCGGACGCCCGAGCCCGTACCCGTCGCCGAACGCCAGCCCTCGCTGGCCTACGAATGATCTCGACAGCGTCGACCCGATGATGGGTGGAATGGGCGCTGGGGATATGCACCTGGTCTCAGAGATGGGCATGGGTGGCCTTGGCGGTACGGGGATGATGTCAGGTTTAGGTGGCATGGGGATGTCCTCGGGCCAACAAGGTGGACCCGGGGACGGGTCTGGCGAATTCGCACATGTCGCGAAGCCCAACGTCACCACTGGTCGAACTGCGAATGCGTCGCATAGGCGGCGTAAGCAGGAGGCTACATTCAAGTGTCCGGTCCCAGGATGCGGCAGCACATTCACGAGAAGCTTCAACTTGAAGGGTGAGTGCTCCAGCGCGCCTCGAACTGTGACATGGTCCCTAACTATTTGCCCAGGTCATATACGATCACACAACGAGGAGAAGCCATTCCGCTGTCACTGGCCCGGCTGCGGCAAGGGCTTCGCGCGACAACACGACTGCAAGCGACACGAGCAGCTGCACACGAACTACCGGCCCTTCCAGTGCGAAGGCTGTCGAAAGCAGTTCGCGCGCATGGACGCACTCAATCGACATCGTGCGTATTTACGCAGGGCTTCTCGCTTGGCAGCGTTAGCTAACCACATTCTATACAGTGAAATCCGAGGGCGGTGTCGAGTGCGCCCGAATGCTGGAGTCGAAGGGGAAGATGCCGCAGTCGAGCGAAGATGGGGGGAGTGGGGGTGGCGGCGGTGGTGGCGATCCGCCGAAATCGCTCGCGGGCTTGGGCGATGTGAAGCCGAGTCTCGATCAGGGTATCGGCGTCAGCATGCTGAAGCCTGAGCCTGAGGCAGATGCGGATAGCTTGCTATGGGGTCCAGCAGGCGTTGCGTTATGAGACGCCTCCTTCGCTTGACCCCTGCTCGCCGTTCTGGCAGCTGTTACCCCTTTCGTTGCACCCTTTTCCTCTTGCTGCTAATGCAGCGCATCCAAGTTGACTCCATCCAGTATCATGTACTCATCGCGACTTTCTAGTCTGTCGTCCCTAGTCTTCAGTCATACGTACTGTATTTATTTCCCCTTCGTCGTGCGTTCCTCGCGTACTTTCTCCTCGTACACCTCGTTCTTCGCGCGTTCCCGTGTGCTCCTCTGCGTTTGCCTACATACATGTACAGCGTCTCGAATCTTATACCACGTCTAATCGGACTTGTAGGTATTGGGCTGCTAGAGGACTGTAGCAGTACCGGTGCTGCTGCACGCTGCCAAGTAAATATCTGTAGTAGTAGATATGTATCTATGTTATTCTCATCTGATTTATCTGAGTCGTGAATCTCTCAGGTGAGGAGGTCCTTACATGATGGACTCGCATTGGCCACAGTTTTGAACCTGACTGCGCGCCTGCCAGAGCCAAAAGAAAATATAGAAGGAAAAACTTGGACACTGTGGGATTTGAACCCACGACCTCACGCAGTCGTTGAATGCGAAGCGTGCGCGCTACCCCTGTGCCAAGCGCCCGTTTTTGACCCGAGAGGCCATAAATGGCCCAGAGCTACAGAATGTACGATGATAGAAGAGAGCGAAGGTACTTACCACTTGCGATCTCAAGCTACTTAAGACGAACAGACAGGCAGGAGGTATTTGACAGTAAGGTGCCCTTCGCAGGGGCACTTTCATCATCGATATGATAAAGAGGTGGGTATGAGTACATTGATTTCTTCCTTCGTATAACGTCCGTTCATATAGTTCGTGGGGTCATTGGATATGTACGAATCCGCGGGAAAAGATCCCTTCATGCGCCATACACGCCTGCGTAGCGGTCGCGCTTGGAGTTGAGGTTGGCGCGAACGGGCGCGCGGCGGCGCATGCCAGAAGGTCCCTGGCGCTTTACTTCGGTGTCTACGCGATGGGTCAGTACAAGAAACATCTTCCTGTAGAGGGAGAGGCTCACGAGTTGCGCCCATAGACCGCGGCTTCAAGGGTGGGAGGCCGCGAGACAAGCGCTGGGCGTTCGTCTCTGGCGTGGTTGGTGATGCAGTCGCGGGTGTTGGGTGGATTTCACGCGCGTTTTCTGCGCGGACTGCTGGTGCGTTCTCTCCGCGGGCAGGCATTGCGCCGCTGAAGCCGGCGAGAGAGAGGACGACGATGGTGGCGACGGTGGAGAACTTCATTGTGATTGAGTGGTTGTTGCTTGTGTGACTGAGGGATTGATGGTTGGCTTTGGTGGATGAAGGCGACATGAGGATGGGGGCTTGGCTTTTATACCTTTTCGCGCGCATCGCCTCCGAGTGTCTGACTGAGTGCGAAGTAAGATTTTCAGGTTGGTCTGAGTAGGAAGTTGCCTAGTCTCAGATGCAAGACTAGAACTTGAGGAAGCCCACGCTTGGTCGTCGCTAAGCAATCCAAGACAAAGTGAGTCCAAGGAGGATGTGCTTCCGCTGCGCTCAGACATACTGAAGTGTTGCCATAGTGTTTTGCCCAAGACAGTTCAAAGGCAATTTTAGGCTGTGCGCGTATCACACGGACAGCCTACCGACACAGAAAGAAAGGCGAAGTTCAGTCGTCCGAAGGTGACGAGTACTGCCGTGTGCAGATGACTTTAGATAATTCCTTCTGTAGTGCCGGACTTCGTAGCTTCGTCAAGAGAGCAAAGGAATTGCGCGGCGAGATACCGGGTTCAGCATAGACTCTGGCAGCGTACTCTTGAGCAGAGCTGAAAAGTACATGGGAGCGAAGTCCAACATCAATGAGGCGCCTGAGTTGATCCATCCTGATCGGCCGGGAGATGCCGCCGCTCACCGACGGGCGCCTATCTCCTGGGACCAAAGTTCGATCAGTGCCACGATGTCCTCTGTACCCTCACACAGATAGCGCGCAACGCATTCACACAGACGGCTCGACACCCTCTATCTCTCGCCGTCATGGCCTACGCTTCGTATGGATCCACCAGCAACGACTCTCGGGGCCTCCTCGGCCTTCAGCGCACTTTGGCTGAGGCGTCGAACCCGCGCAGGCCTGTAATTGGTGCGAGCTAGCGTACGCGCGAAAGTCTCTGGCTTACGAGGATGTGCTATAACACGAAGGCTCCTGGATGCAGCTTCCAGGCGCCTCCCTGGCGCGGATGATTGCCCAAATGGGCTACAACGTGAGTGTCCTTTGAGCTTTGTTGAGTGCTTGTGAAGCAAGTCAGCTCATCCTTGAGCTAGTTCATCGTCGTAGACTGCGAGCACGGGAATATTGCGGACAGTGAGATGCATGCCGTAGTGGGTGCAATTGCAGCGCAGGGCGTTTCTCCGGTCGTCCGTATACCTTCAGCCGTCGACTGGCTCGTGAAGCGCGCTCTGGACACGGGAGGTAAGATTGAGGATGACCCTCCATACACGCCGCGCTTACCGGGCTGACAGCGCATGCCATCCTCTGCCCCATGATGTCCACCCCCGAGGAGGCGCGCAAACTCGTTCAGTACGCCAAGTTCCCCGTGCCAAAGGACCGCCGTACCCCAGGAACCATCTCCGGGATACGCGGGGCTGGCTCCTCATTCGCCCCCGCCGTATTCCATCAAGGGATGGGGGAATACATCGCGACAGCGAACCGAAACACAGTGATCGCCGTGCAGATAGAGTCCGTCGAGGGGCTGGAGAATTGCGAGGAGATTGCGAAGGTGGACGGGATTGGTGCGTAGCCTGACTCTCTACTCTGCTCCTTCTTTTTCATACTCAGCCGTGACGTCGAAGACATGTTGTTTGTTGGGTGAGTGGGGGAATTTGAGGTCCGATGAGGAGCTGCTTACTTAGTGCTCATTCAGCCCGAACGACCTCTGCTCTTCGATGGGTTACCCCGCGCTCGAGCACGCAAACATTCCGGAGGTACAGCACGCGATCAAGCGCATCTTAGCCGCCGCGAAGGCTGCTGGCAAGTATGCCGGAATGTTTTGTGTGAATGCAGAACAGGCGCGGGCACGATATGAACAGGGTTGTAAGTCTGGCGGTGTGATATCGTTGATTCACAAAAATTGACTTCTCCTGCCCATCGTAGTCGACTTCGTGAACATCGGTGCCGATATTGTGGCCATTGGGATGTGGAACGCGCTGGAGTTGGCCAAGATCAAGGATTTACGGCCATGAAGCGCTACCGCATTTAATGGCTTCGCCGCAAGGGGTCTCACAGGTAGAGGCAACGCATATTGTTGGGCTTAGAAGAAGTCAGCTTGAGCTTCAGCGGCGTGAATCAGTCATGAATAAAGCCAACGTCCGAGTCGATCGGGAATTGTCGTCACGCAAAATCGGCAGTTGCCGAATATCCCTTAACGGAAGCATTTGCAACCATTGGCTCGTCTCCTCAACCACGACTTTCCTTCAAGTTGACGCGAGCTCAGGCATCATGCATGTCGACAAGGAGAGCGAAACATGAAATGTGGGGTTTTCAGCCTTCTTGATTGGCCATGCTGACGTCTTCGCCCATACAACTTGCATACGTGGGATGGCACCTCGCAACCGCCCAGCCCCATTAGCTGCCACTCCTCTCTTCATACGCATTCCTCAGAGGTCTCTTGATCCGAGATCTGCGCAGCACGAATTGCATCTGTTCCTTGAAGCGCCTGAAGTCAATGTAATGGTCCATTGACGACAGTATCCGCGAACGCTGAGTGAATGCGACCTAGAAGCCGGCCAACAAGTGGGCTCCGAAAAGACCGTCTGACTTGTCCCAGCCGCTCATTTGCGGTATCCGTTATCAGCCCTCCCTGGGAACGGGGTAATCACTCCCATTGATATGACCAGCTGACAGGATGTTGGCGAGCGCTGCGATACTTAAGAGCGCGAGCTGAGTGATTGCAGTCGGCTTCGCGTCGACGTCCTCTTCCTTGTACAGGTCTCACTTATCTATCAAGGCCTATCTCAGCGTACAGAGATCAGGATGGCGCCCGCAGCCTCGCCAGAGAAGAAGGCCCGGGAGGAGGTAACGGAGGCGCCAGTAGATTGGACGACTACAGAGGAGCGCGCACTCGTGCGCAAGATAGACATGCACTGTATGGTGAGTACGCAGATAGGAAAGAAGGAACTGATCTGACAAAGCCTATAGCCCGCGCTGATGATTGTAGGTCTCTGTCTGTCCTCAGATGCACGTATCCTGATCCATCTCGGCGCAGCTTTTCCTGCTAAACTTCATCGTACGCCACGTTCACGTGCGAGAATAAACTGACCTCATTGATGCTGGATTACTCTAGGATGTGCGTATTGCTCGCGAGCTCTTGCTCGTCGGTCCCGTCTGACCGTCCGCTAGCGCAACAACCTTGCGAACGCTCGCTTACAAGGCCTCCAAGAGGACCTCAGCCTCAACGATACCGAATTTGCTACCTGTTTATCCGTGCTATTTGCAGGCTACATCGTCGTAAGTACTTCTTTGCACTGCCTAGCGCGTAGCATCGCTCACCAAGCCCATCACCTAAAGATGCAAATACCGTCGAACATGGTCATGAACTCAATTTCGAAGCCGCGCCTGTTCATGAGCGCCGTCGTCGCTTTGTGGGGTACCATATCTGCGCTCACGTCGGTAAGTCTGGTTCATTCCTCTTGTTCATTTTTCTCTTCGTGAGCAGATAACAACGCTTCCAACTAACTCACGCCCCACCTTTAGCTCTGTCACGACTTCTCTCACCTCGTAGTCTGCCGCTTTTGGCTCGGCTTCGTCGAGGCGGCGTTCTATCCGTCATCAGTATACTACCTCTCTAGGTGGTATACGCGTAAGGAGATTGGGCTGAGGATTGCGCTGTATGTCGGCCATATCCCTGGATGACTCGCATTGAGTACTGACGTTTCCCAGCATGAACGTCGGGAATATGCTCGCACAGGGCCTTGGCAGTCTGCTTGCTGCGGGTATTCTGCATGGAATGGAGGGCGTGCGCGGCATTCGGGGCTGGCGATGGGTGAGTGAGCGTTCGAGCTTGGTTCGCGGCAATCGCAAACGGGTGAACTGATCGTTTGTTTTCTCAGCTCTTCATCATCGAAGGCTCCATAACCGTCGCCTTCGGCGTCATGATGCCTTTGATCCTCTCGGACTACCCGACGACGTGAGTTTCTGCGTTGACGATAAAGTCGTAAACCAGTGATTGACGAACTCGACTTATAGCACGCGCTGGCTCTCCGACCGCGAGCGCGAGATCTCGCAGGGTCGGCTGGCGAAGGAGGTCGGGATCGACGACGAGCCCGACGAGAGCGAGAAGTCGCGCAAGGGGATGTTCCGAGGTCTCACCCTTGCTCTGACGGACCCGAAGGTCTGGGCACTAGCGTACGTATACCTCTCCAATTATCGTTGCAACCCGCAAAGACTCACCATCGCCCCTCCCCAGCATCATGTACTTCCTCTACATCATCGGCCTCTCCTTCGCGCAATACATGCCAACCATCACCAAGACGCTCGGCTTCAACACCACCGTCACGCTCCTCCTGACGTTCCCGCCTTGGGCCTTCGGCACCCTCTTCGCTGTCGCGAACTCGTGGCACTCGGACAAGACGGGAGAGAAGTTCTTCCATATTGCGGCGAGCTATGGGTTTGCGCTGCTGGGATTTATTGTGGCGATGTCGAGTGAGTGAGGTCTTTGTCTGACCGAACGGAGGGAGGGGTTTTTGGAGCGGTCCGAGGCTGACGCAGGATGCAGCGAAATCCATCGCGGGGAGGTACATAGCCCTGTTTGGGATGTGCATGGGGTATAGTGGTGCGTCGAGCTCCTTCGGCTCTTGAAGGGCTGACTGACGCCAATCTAGGTGGTATCATCATCATCGGTTGGGTCAGCTCGTCCGTCCCTCGACCTCCTGTCAAGCGAGCTGCCTCAATCGCGTTCGTGCTTGCGTTCGCCAACTCTGCGCAGGTACGATCTGCCTCGTCGAACAAGACTTACGTGGATTTGACCTTACATCGCACTTCAGATCCCCTCCTCTTACCTCTGGCCTTCAAAGTGGGGACCCGACTATACACAGACCTTCATCAGCCAGATCTGCTTCCTCGTCACCAGCTTGGGGATAGGCTTCGGTAAGGGATATCTACACCTCGTCAACTGTTTCTATGATTGATCGTTGATCAACCAGGCTATCGCCAGTACCTCGTCCACCTCAACAAGAAGCTGGAGCGGGGCGAGTTGAACATACTGACCGATGGGACGGCCCCAAGCACTGTGCAGAAGACAGCGAGGTATGCGATTGGCTTAGCCTTGATGTTGCGCATCCGCTGACGAGGAATTCAGCGTACTGCGCACGACCGTGCAGCAAGAGGAGGAATTGGTCCAATCCTTCCGGTTCTTGTATTGACGAGTATATGTATCTAATCGGGGACGTATATCACATCTGTTATGCTCGTCATTATCAGAGATCCATGCAGTAAACCGCGTTCTTGGCCATTGAACCCCTCTTGTTATGCTTCCTATTCGAGAGGTTCGTCTTGTATTGGGCGCTTGGCACAGGGGTAGCGCGCACGCTTCGCACGTAACGACTGCGTGAGGTCGTGGGTTCAAATCCCACAGTGTCCATGAGTCTTGTTTGCTCTCTTTTTCCCCGCCAGTTTCGATTGCTCTTCAGCCTAGCATAGCGGTGACTCTCAATCGCTGTCATGCCGCATCCGTCAAAGATTCAGCGAACCGTACGTGTGGAAAGCAGTGGGTTTTCAACCGACGAATATCGCAGTCGACACTTCACTTCCAAAACAAAGCTTGTCTCTTCCTGACATTGTCACTGCAACTGCGATCTCGATATTGGATACACTCTTGGAAGGATTATTGCGCTCCAAGTGACACGGAAGGGTGGGCACGTCCAAGCTGTGTGTTCCATTTTTCTGCGGCGCACGCTCATACTACTGCTTACAGATTTCTCCACGCATCGATGGTCTACCATGCCCATTTTCCTAGCCCAGAGTAGTCGACGAAGTTTCCACCGTGCGTCTCCCTTGTCGCGATGTCAATCTGCTCGAGGATGCTCCGCGCACTCTCCTCAACGGTGATCATGTTCAAGGATTTCTGCAGCCCCTCCATGCCGGGATCTCGCGCCAGCGAGTCGTGGGCCATATCCGTGTCAACGCCGCCCGGGTTAATGGGGAAAATGACTACGCGGTATGTGAGCAATGTGAAGAAAGGTGGGAGCATCCGAGTCCGAATACTTGCTGAATTTTACTCACTAAAATCGGGGAAGTCATGGTGCAACTTGCGCGTCACCCAGTTGACAGCGGCCTTAGACGCGCCGTAGGCGTATGTGTTTACAGGCTGACTGGCGCCGAAGGTGATGCTGCCCATACCGGAGGAGACGACAATGAACTTCGGCTTGGCGCTCTCGCGCAGAAGCGTATACGTTGCTTGGAAGAGCACCAGGGGTCCGTTGGTGTTTATCTGTTGGACCATAGGTGGGTTGAGATCCTTGACAGACGGATATACATACGTACGCACCTCGACATGCCTGATAATTTCCTCAGGTGGGACCTCAAGCGCCGGCATGAAGCAGTCGCTGATGCCGGCGTTCGCGATGACTACGTCGAGGCGGCCGGCCACACGCTTAATCTCTTCGACGGCAGCGATATTGTTTGTCTTGTCAGCGGAAACGATCTTGAGGACGTGCACGCGGTCGGGGTGAGCGGCGGCGAGGGCTTGTAGGTCGGTAGCGCGCTCGGGGTCGCGAGCGCCGGCAAAGAGGATGGCGTCAGGGCGCTCTGCGATTTGTTTGGCGAGGCCGAGGCCTGGAAATGGATAGTCAGTCGTCCTGATCAAGCGTGGAGAACAGGCTCTCACCAATACCGCGGTTTGCGCCAGTGAGCAGGTAGACGGTGGGGGACATGAGGTGCCCGGATTATACGCTGCAAGAGGTGTATCTAGGTGTGAGTAGCGCCAATGATATAGCTCAGCTTTCCTATATACCGTACTTAGACTGCGACTCAGTCATCGTTGCGCGGTCTCTCGGGAATTCCAAGTCTACTGCTTACACGACGGTCTCGAAAGTAGGCTTGCTTGTGAGCTCGCGCCTCCCTCTTATGCCGAAATCTTCCCTCGGTGACCGACCTTCGCTGACTTCGACTAGGGGGAGAACAGACCGAGGGCCTACTCTTCTGGGACGAAAAGTCACTGGGGGACAAATAGTCGGATACGCTCGCTCGCTATCCCCGTCAATGACATCTTCGAAGAGTCAATACGAGACGAGTCCGACTCTCGGGGATTACGAAGCCTTCTGAATATCAGACCGACACGGCACATAGATCAGTCAGCATCCTTTGAGTTCGGCGCTTGAGAAGGGTGCATTCGGCTGCCGGTGCGACTGACTGTAAGTAGTAGCGTCAGAAGAGGTAAGAGGGCGCCGTGAGGTCGAAAAGCCGCGTCGAAAGCAGACGAGGAAGCAGCAGCAAGCCTGGACATCGAAAGGGAAAGACTCCCTGCATGAGAGTTCGAAGCGAGACGCGATCGGAAGTTGCCGGCAGCTGACAGGCTTGAAGCTTGAACTTGAAGTTGACGAGTATCGGGCGCGTCTCAATCGTGCAGGAGAACATGAAGAAACGTGGAATTCGTGAGGATAACTATGCAATGACATGAGATACGTGATAGACGTAGTACGATATACGGATGGATACAACTATAGATGGAGCGGGTACGTTACGAGTCCTAGCGAGAAATGTCTAATGGCAGCGAGCACAAGATGATACAGGTAAGTAAGATGATAGCAGACGTCTATGCGGCCTTCGAGGCCTGAGCAAACGCGATAGCGACAGTCTAAGAAGAGAGGTGAGTCAAGATCGAAAGGTGGATAAATCGGAGACGACGTACCTCGGAGTGGCTCAACGAGATCAAGACCTTCGACACACCCTTCTCCTCAGCCTTGGCCTTGGCATCGCCGTGCAGGACGACCGTCGGAGCGCCCGTCTCGGGGTCGTTGAGGATCTCAATGTCCTTCATCGCAGCACCGGCACCCTTCGACTTGACGCCGAGAGCCTTGAAGACGGCCTCCTTGCCGGCCCAGCGAGCAGCGAACGACGACGCAGGGGATGGCTGCGCCTGGCAGTACGACACCTCGTTGTCCGTGAAGTTGCGCTCGACGAACGTCGGGTTGTGCGAAGGCACGGCGGAGATGAGCTCTGACGTGGGCGTCAGCAACAAGCCGAAGAGAAGTGCACCTGAGACTCACCCTCGTCGACACCGACGCCGATAGCAGACTCGGACAGACCACCGCTCGACAGCAACTCGGACACGGCCTTGACGTTCGCGGTGTCCTGCTTGACAGTGGAGTTGATCTTGCCGAACTCGAACTTGCCAGTCTTGGGGTTGCGGATCGTGCGAGCCAGCGAGTTCATGAGGACCTTGCCCTCCAAGTCCGGCGTGTACGGCGGGGCATCCTTGACCTTGACGAGCGAGTGCTTGACCATCATGTCGCTCATGGCCTTGTACGACTGCAGAGCACGGACGCGGTTGCGCGCCTTGTACGCCTCGTAGTACGCCGGGTCGAGCGCGCCGAAGACGAAGCGAGGGTGCAAGATGAGGACCGTGCCACCGACTTGACCGAAGCCGAAAGAGGACTACAAAGCCGCGTCAGAAAGGCTCGCACGAGGCAGTCGGGATAGCTTACCATGAGACCGGCCTTGATACCTGCAGTGTAGATCGTCTTCGAAGGGAACATGAGGAAGTGACGGTCTTGGAACATCGGGTCGATGTTGCTGCAAATAATGAGCGAAGGAGTTAATATCGTATTCAAAAATACGTACTCGCTGTTGCGGTTGCCCGGGATGATGCCGTGGTAGACCGACTGGAGCAAGCCCGACATCTGCCACGCAGCAGAGCCACCCTTCGAGTGACCGAGAAGGCTCTTCTGCGCCATGATAGGGACAGCGTTGCCCGGCGTGCGCGACAGGCCCTTGAAGATGTCGTTCCAGATCTGGGTCTCGTTCTTCTCCTGTTGACTTGTTAACACCTACAGCTAGCGTTCAAAAGAAGCACGAACGTTGGCTCCAGTGCTCGTGCCATGAATGGAGAGCACGCCGACATCGTCCGTGGTCAAGCCCCAGACGGCAAGTGCGCGACGGAGCGGGGCGACGCGAGGGTCAGACCCTTCGAGCATGCCGAACACAGCGAGCGCGTCCTTCTCTTGCCTGGCCGCCTCCTTCTCGATGCTGTCGACGCGAGCGGCGAGCTCTTCCTCGGTGACCTCGGCACCCTCCTGCTTGCGGAACTCGATCTCCTCCTGCAGCTGGTAGTGCTCGTGCGTGAGCCACTGCGAAATTTGCTTCCGACGGAACTCGAGCTGGCGGGTGCGGTACTTGATGTCGAGGATGGGCAACGGCTGCGTGGAAGGAACTTCGCGAGCAATTGAAAGCGCACCACGACCCGGCGCGGGGATGGAGCGACCAGCCTTGTCGCTGCGAAAGAGATTAGAACAGCTCGGCGCAACGAGCTCGTAAGACCTACGTGGACGTCGACGTGAAGGCAACGATGCCGCGGATAGGTGCGCCAAGCTCGAGAGCCGTCCTAGCGCTCATGAGGACGTGCACCCCAGAGCCCTGCGACTCCATGAACTGCAAGACAGTCAGTTGTTAACTTCCAGGACCGTAGGAAGCACGTACGCCTGAACGCGTCGACGTCGCAGGACGAGACATCTCAGTGGGCTCGCGACCCATGGCGAACTCCGTTTCGGCATTGCTCGTAGCCTTCATGTTGGCGAACTCGTAGGAGCCCTCCTCGCTCAGATCGTCGAAGCCACCCGCGAGCATGACCTTGGCCTTGCCTGACAGAATGGTGTCGCATGCGATCTCCACAGACTGCAGTGCCGTTGCGCTGGAGATACGTCAGTTGAGGGGAAAAACAACGAGAAGACTGCAGACTTACCAAGCGCCGACGGGGATCTTGACAGGACCAGACGACGACAGGAGAAGCAAGTTGACCCAGCCGGCCGTCGTGTTGATGAAGCTGAAGCACAGTCAGTATGCAGCGTGGAGAACAGACAAATAGGGCGCACGTCTCCTGCAAGATGTCGTTCTGCACATCCTTCTCGTCGCGGCGGTCCTTGAACATCTTCGCCATGCTGACCACACCACCCATACCGCTTCCGAGCGACGTGCCGATCTCCGAAGGATGGATGTGCTGGTAGAGCTCGTACGGGTCGGTGATGCCGGACTGGTTGAGGGCTTCGGCAGCGCACACGAGCGCCCAGAGCGTAACGCGGTCGGTCTGAGCGACGATGTCGTCGGGGATGCCGTAGCGACCGGCACTCCAGCCAGTAGGGATCTGTCCGGCGACGGTGCGGCTGAACTTGAACGCCTTTGGGACGTACACGCAGGCACCCTTTTTGAGCTTGGCGAACCACTGCCCTTCCTCCCCGGCCCAGATGTCGCACTTGTCGCCGTGCTGGAGCTTGAACTTCTGCGCCTCCGATTCGGCAACCTCGATCGGCTCGAGATCGTGCGTCAACTCAATCTCCTGGTTGAAGACCTTCTTCTTCGGGTCGTAGCCGCGGAACAGCTCAGGCTCTGCGAATGAGGTCAGTCGTGGTGATTATCAAAATAAATGTGAAGCCACGTACCGATGAGGCGTACACCAGCGTGCGCGAGGATCTCCTTCTCGTAGCGGCCCTTGACATCCTTGTCGTCGACCGGCTCACTGCTCTTGCTGTCAACCCAGCCGACGTACAGCGTACCATCCTTGAGGCGACCGTCGAAGTGCTTGATGAAGCCCATGATCCACGCCATCTCGATGCAGCCCTCGATCGTAAGTTCGCCCCTCGCCTCCATCTCCCAGCGGGTGCGCGAGCTACCCCAAGGGCCAACTTCGCCGAAACCGGTGACGACGATGACCTTGTCGAGGTCGAGTAGGCCCTGCATGTACGAGACATCGGCGAGGCTGGCAGTGCTCTCAAGCGCCGGGAACTCGTAGCGGTGGTTCGCGCGAGGGAGAACGTTGACGGTCTGAAGGAGACGCTCCGCATCCGGGCCTTTCGTGATCTTGAAGTCGGCGGATGTGTCGAGGGTGATGGCCCGGCGCAGCTCGGCCTTCTTCATGAGGCTGGTGCGGATCTTGGTCGTGATCTCAGCGAGGTCGGGCAAGCGATCCATGCCGCCGTTCAAGTCCGCCCAGATAGGCTCGACCTGCGTGATGCTGAACAGGAGCGGGTGCATGAGGCCGAGAATGTTGAAGGCCATCTCCTTCGCAGAGAACGTGCGCACTCCGTAGGACTCGAGCTCGTGAGCGACGATGTTCGTCGGACCCATGAGACCCGTACCACGGGTCCAACTAGAAAGCATTCAGCATGGCAATCCGCGATAGATGAACCACACTTACCCGATGACCGCACCGGCAAGGCAAAGGTATTCGCCCCAGCTCTCGGACGCCCAACGCTGGAACAGCGTCTCGAGGGAGATCTTCGACTCTGAGTACAGACCGTCGTTGCCGAAGAGACCATGGTTCGGGGAGAGGGGAAGAATGACTTGCGTCGGGCGCGTGACGAACTGGCGGCTCGCCTTCTTGGACTTGACAGCGCCGAGGATGCGGAGCAGGTTGACCAGCATGATGCGGTGAGCGAGCTCGGACTTGTCGTCGATGGAGTCGATCTCGCGGCCGTTTTCCGGAATACCCGCGAAGGGGAGGATGTAATCCAGATCGAGGCCGAGGTTCGCGTAGATGTAGTCGACAAGCGCCTCAACGTCCTGCTTGGAGCCCTGGTTGAAGGGGACGACGGTGAGGGCGGAGCCGCGAGCACCATACGTCTGGTAGATGTCCTGGTAGTACTCGACGGTCGAGCGACTGTAGCGCGAAGTCGTGATGACGACGTGGGCACCGCCGGACAGGAGGCCCTTGACAACCTCGACGCCGATGGAGCCCTTGCCGACACCGGTCAGGAGAGCGTTCTTGTCCTTGAAGGTTGTACCAGATGTCGCAATCTCGTGGAGAACGTCGAGGTAAACACCGGTCAGGTTGCTGCTGTACTCCCACGTCGAGCCGGCCTTGCGCTTAAGGTGCAGGAGGGGAACATGGTCTGCGGATACGTTCGCCGCAGAGACCTGGGGACGCAGAAACTGCGAGGACGAGCGACGCGTTCGAGGCGTAACACGAGGGCGCGGAGAGTCCGGTCCTTTGCGGAGCGAGCGTACAACACCTTCGTACAAGGCCTTGATGCGCTTCTTCTGCTCCTCGGTGATGCCGGGCTGCGACTTCACCAAAGTCCAGAGCTTCGCAACGTCGTCCTGGACCTTTTCGATGTTGACAGAGCCAGAAACGGGGTCGGTGCTGGCCATCTCCTCGACGTAGGCCTCGAGCTTGCGGACGCCTTCGCGCACGACTTCAGTGTAGACGATGTCGCCCTTCGCGGTGACCTCGGTATGCGGGGCGGTGGGGAAGGTCACTGAAAAAGTTGTGAGCAGGGCTTTCACGTGTACTGACGTACCACTTACCATCCTTGTACAAAGGCTCCTTACCGACGACTTCGCGAGTGTTGTCGATCAGCTGCTGACCGAAGTGCTTGGCCAACTTGAAGGTCTCGCCTCTTTCCGGGTCGCACTTGTCGATGTAGTACTGCATGTAGGTGATGAGCTCGGGGTCGGCACGGTTGAGCAAGCGGATGCAGCGCGCGGTGATCTCGCGGTCGACAGTCGTCAGGCGGCCGAAGATGATGTCGTAGAACATGAGAAGGGCATCTTGACGAGCCCAGTTCCACGACGAGTTGAAGTGGCGCGCCTTGAGGGGGTCGAATGCGGGCTGAATCCCGTCGATATAGGTGTCGCCGTGCTCGCGGAGGATGCTGTCCAACTTGGCCTGGAGAGCCTGCGAGTTCGCCTTCTCCTGGTCGAACGCAAGCTCGCCAGCACGAGAGTCGCGGCCGAGATAGCGCATATAGAGCTCGACGTGCTGGGCAGCGAACTTTTGCTGATCGGCCTGGAACTTGATGAACTCCTCGCTGTTGATCGTCGGACCCGCGCCTCCACCACCACCGCCGGATGCCCCGCCAGGAGCCGCGAGTGAGATACCCGCACGCTGAGCGTAGGCGGAGACGACGCTATCGACCCATGCGCGACCTTCTGCCTCCGAAGCCAGACGCTTCGGCGGCTCCATCGTCGTACCGAGGAGAAGAACTGCATCCGCGCGAAGGGGTCCGAGACCCCAGGTCTTGGAAAGGTAGGACTTGATGGCAGACGCGTTGAAGCCACCGGGCATCTTCCCGCCGATGAGTCGAGAGACCAAACCAGACGTGTGCTTGCCGAGGCCGCCGCCAGACTGCAGGGACGAGCCGAGTTCCTCGAGCGGCAACTCCTCGCCCTTCTCCGGAGCGGACGTGAACTCGAGCTGGAGGTCACCGAGAATCTCGTTCTGAAGGGTGGACTTGCCCCCGACGAGGTCCTTGATAGACTTGGAAAGCGGGATCTCGTTCACTGTCTTCTTCAGCTTCTGCGCGACGATGACGGCGAGGACGTCGACGGGCTTGATGGGCACGTCCTCCACGCTCGCGACAGGACCAGAGGGTGCGGCAACGGGGGCTGGCGCGGCAGCAGCGGCGGGCGCTGCAGAGGGCGCAGCGGGTGCGTCGGCGGATGCCGGCTCCTCGGCGGGTGCATCCTCGGGCTCGTCCTCGAACTGGTAGTAGATCTCCTTCGGGTGCTTGGCGTGGCAGAGGATGGCGCGCTTCCGGCCCACCGAGTCGTCGGACGCCTCGTACTTCGCCTTGAGGGTACGAGTTGCCATGCCGATGAGCGTTGGGCCAGGCCCAAGCTCGACGAGGCGCTCAAAGGCGAAGTCGGTGAAGAGAAGATCCTGTGTCTCGATCCAGCGAACAGGCGATGCGAACTGGTAGGCGAGCAGCTCGACGAGGATGACGTACGCCAGCTTCTGGCGATTCTCGGTGCTGCCCCATTTCTCCTCCTCCCAGTTCTTCAGAACCTTGTCGAGACGAGGCGACGACGTGCGATCGTAGATGATCTGGGCGTACTCGCGCGAGATGTCGAAGGGCTGAGCGATCAAGTTCGGGATATACTTGCCGATAAGGGTGTCAGGATTGAGATGAGCAGGGTTGATCTTCTTCGACAAGTCTACAGAGTGATCAGTATGCATGCAAAATCGTTTCCCAGCAGACACATACAGGTGCGGAAAGGCATGACACCGGCCCAGAGGTAGCGAGAATGGAAAGGCACGTCGATGCCGGGGAGAGGAATTGTCGCAAACCCGCGCTCAAGGATGATGTACCCATCGCTCTTCTGCTTCTCGACGGCGGAGTCGTGCGAGGACTTGATGATCTCGCCCAGCATTTCCTTAACCTTCTCGACGCTGAACTGCTGCGTCAACTGTAACACATCGTGAGCTTATTACGCATCATGAGTGGTGGATTCCATACCTGCACGATGTCCACCTTCTTGACCTTGAGGTAGTTCAAGACGTTGGTCAAGGTCTGCAGAGCGACCAGCTCGCCGGCGCAGACGTATTGTTGACCCTAAAACATGTCAGTACGATGTCAAGGACGAGTGGCAAGTCAGCGCACCTCGACGTTGAAGTTGACGATTTCGAGGAGTCGGTTGGTCGAGGAGGCGATGCCGTCGACGACCTCGCGAAGTGCAGCGTCCGTAAAGGTCTTGGATATGCGCGAGGGGTTCACAGCGCACATCGCGTAGTTCGAGCGGTTGTGCTCGTCGCGCTCGACCGCGCGCTGCATGGTGATGCCGCGGTAGAAGACGACGTCGACGAGGGCGGAGATGTGCAGCACATCGGCGATGGAAGCCAGCGCGGAGTATTCACCAAGCGAGTGGCCGGCGAAGGGACAGTCCTTTTGCACGAAGCCCTTGACACGCATGTCCTCGAAGGCAGCCTTCTCGGTGACGACGAGGGCGATCTGGGCGAACTGCGTGGCGAACAGGAGGCCGTTAGGATGGCTGAAGGTGTATTTCGCGGTGCGGATGTCGATGTCGGCGAAGAGAGGGAGCGTCTTGACGTTTCCGTCTTTGTCAGTCGTGTCGTAGGTCATGTCCATGTAGCGCTGGCGGATCGCTTGCCCCTTGATGCCACCGAAGTGGATGGTCTTCTCCTTCGGGTTGTTCTTGACGATGTCGACGATGGAGAAGCCATAAACGGCAAGCAAGTGGGCGTCAGCGCCCTCCCAGACGGCGCGAGCGGCCGGAGAGCTGTTGTACAAGTCCATGCCCATGCCCGGCTCTTGCGAGCCCTGACCGGTGAAGACGTAGGCGGTGGGCGGCTGGGCGACCTCAGCGGAGCCCTCGAGGACCTTCTCGTCGCGGTCGTTGGTGGTCACGATCTTGACGACAAGGTTGCCATCGCGCATCGCTACGTGGCGGATGTTGACCTTGAGCGAGTCGCCGGGCAGGACCATGCCGACGAAGGACACGTCGTACCTGTAGCCCGTTCGTCAGCATGAGAAGGATAGAAGGCAGGCCATACTCACGAAAGCACACGCTCCGGATGACCCTGAGCGACAACGTTCTCGACATAGCGACGCGTCGCCGCACTCGACCAAAGACCGTGCGTGATGGTGCAAGGAAGGGAGGCAAAGCAGGCGAAGTACGGGTTGATGTGGATGGGATTGAAGTCGCCGGAGATCTTGGAGTACGGCTCGTTGGTGAGGGGCGCAGAGAACGGAGTCACCTCCTTTGACATGGTGTACTCAGTCGCGAGAGGAGTCTGCGCATTCAGGACCTTGCCATGGCGCTGGAGGTAGGCGACGACAGGGTTGCCCTTGCACTCATCCGACTCGAAGGACACAGTGCCGACCTTGACGAGGGCCTTCAGCTGGTTGCGGACGAAGATCTCACCAGAGACTTCCATGTCGCTGAAGGAGTTCTTGTCCTTGTAAGACACCTGAGTGCGGACGCGGAAGATGAGGTTCGTGCCGGCGAGCAGCGGGTGCGTATCGTCGTCCCACTCAAACCACTCCTTCGACTGCAGGACACCGACCTGAGCGTCGTTCTCCAAAGCAACCTCATAGTCGGGCTCCTCCGTGGTCTCGAAGGTGTTGCCGAAGTCGGTGAACTTGCCGCGGTAGAGGAATGCCGAGACGACCTCAATGACGGGCTTCCCAGCGCGAAGAACGTGGCCCTTGACCTTGACGATCTTGCCGGCGTCGGAGTTGACGACAGACAAAATACGAGCCTCGGCGGTGCAGACGTCACCAACGCGGAGAGGCGACGCGCCCTCAACCATGCGGAAGCCGTTGGAGAGATGGACCAGCTTCAGGAGGTCTCCATCGATAGTCGAGGGGAAGATCGACTTGATGATGGCCTGGTATACTTGTTAGACAATGCTATTGATGGTTTGTTGGTGGTGCTTACCTGCCATCCAGTGACAATGGCGAAGTCCATGGGGGCCATCGGCGTCTCCTCACGGGCGCTCTTGAAGGCCTCGCCCTGGTTCCCGACGACAGCGCAGAACTGCTCCACGTCCTCGGCCTTGATGGTAACCTCGGCACCCTTCAGAACGTCGCGCACGTCGATGTTGGGCAAGGCCTCGTCGTCGCCGTACCAGAGCTTCCAATAAAATGCCTTGATGCGGTCGTTGCGGCCTTCCGCGACCTCGTGGATCGGCGCGAAGCCCTGCTCGGGCTTGTAGACGAACTCGAGATTGAGCGGCACCGAAACGCCGCGGCGCTCCTCGAACAGGGTCAGGCTGATATTCTTCGACGCGGCGTCGTACGCGATGTCGACCGCCTTGAAGTCAGGGTCGTGGGCACCGTGCGAGCGCATGGCGCCGAACGCGGAGAGGTGCGACGGGACGTCGCCGGAATAGTCGACGACGACCTTCTGATGCGGACGGGGGATGAGGATGCGGCGGAGGGGGTTGTCAATGTAGGAGCCGCCTTGGACGATGGTCTTCGAGGTGATGAGGGCGCGGAGCCACGACAGCTCGGGACCGGCGAGGGACTCGAGCCAGCTGGTCGTCGAGGGCACCGTGGCACCGGTCTGGAAGACGAGCTTGCCGTCGGCCTTGGCAGAGTGCAGGGAGGGAACGGACTTGGGACGAGCGGCGAGGTAGTCGACGACGGGGACCTTGCTCTCGTCGTTGTTGTAGCTGCGCTCGAGAAGGCGGGTAACGAGAGTCGAGTTAATGCCGCCCAAGAGCTCCTTGATCGGCTCGTCCTTGACCTTCGACCACTTGACGGCGACCGGGCCCTGGAGAATGCAGACGCGCTGCGGGTCCTGGTCGAAAACAGCGTCGACGTCCTCTGCAGCCCAGAGGGAGTCCTATAGATGTGTAAGTAGCTAGACACTCAATGAACTGGAATCAACACACCTTCTTGAACCAGAACTCGAACTGGTTGTCGAGAACAGGGATGAACGGCACCGGCTTCTGAGTCGGGCGGCGGCAGATAGCGAGGAAGTACGCCGCGTCATCAGTAGCGAGGAGCTGCTCCTTTGCCAGCGGGTACGCGGCGAAGAACTCCTCGACGAAGGGCATCGGGTCGTCCAGGCGAGTGTAAGACTGAAGCAGCGACGGCTTGTCACCAGTCCCGTTGACGCCCGCGAAGCGCTCCTCGACGCGACGGATCCAGTCGCCAGTGAGGTTGCGCAGGGAGATGTCAACCCAGCGCGACTGATGCGCCACGTACATGAGACGGAGCATACGCAATACGACCTCCTCGTAGGTCATGTCAGAGAGATCGGCGGCGGCGCTGTCGTCCTTCTTCCACGGGAACCAGGGCTTGTTGAAGTCGCGGTTGAGCTTGCCAATGATCTCGTCCTTGCGCTCAGTGAGCCACGCCTCGCGCTTCTCGCGCGGCAGCTTGAAGACCGTGTCGTCGAACTCCTTCCACAACTTGACGGCGCGGGTGGCGACCTTGTGGATGGGCTCGCCGAGCTCGGAGCGGACGGTGAGAATGCCACCGGCGGGCTTGACGTACGTGTCCTCCCAGTTCTTGTCGTCGACGCCGGACGCAGCGACGATGAGGTCCTTGACGCCGGCGGAAGTGTGCGCCTCCTTGGCGACCATGACGCGCGAACCGAACAGGAAACCGTCGAAGGGCATCGGCTGGAGGCCGAACATCTCCTTGGACCAGTCACCAGTAAGGTACGGCCAGACGTCCTCGCCGCTACCGAAGCCAGATCCGCCGACGAGAATGAGGTTGTCGTGAGCACGGATGGAGCGGTAAGTCGCCAGGATTGGCGCATGGAAATCCTCGTACGAGTGGTGACCACCAGCGCGGCCACCCGTCCACTGCATGATCACAGGGAAGTCGGGGTTCGCGGCGGCGATGGCGACGACCTGGCGGATGCCCTCGACGGAGCCGGGCTTGAAGGAGACGTGCTTGATGCCGGAGGCCTGCAGCGAGCTGATGATCTCCGCGGCCTTCTCGACGGTCGGAATACCGGCGGCGACACAGAAACCCTCGATGGGAAGGCCCTCACGGCGCATCTCCTGCCAGAGCGGGAGCTGGAAGGTGAATTGCGCGGGGTTGATGTAAAGGGCGTTGAGAGTGACACCAACACCGGGGGCGACACGCTTCTGAATCTCGGCGACCTTGGCGCGAAGCATGCCAGGGGCGAAGTGACCACCTCCAGCAAGCTCGATGTGGTAGCCAGCGTTGAGGACCGCGCTGACGAAGCCGGCCTGCACGGTCGACGGCGTCATACCGGGAACCATGATAGGCGGCTTGCCAAGGAGGCGAGAGAAGGGCGTGTCGAGGTGAATGGTGCCGTCGCTGTTCATGACTGTCAGCCAACGGCAGTGAGATGTGGACATGTTACTTACCTGGTCTTGACGAGCTTGGGCGCCCACTTCTTGCTCCAGCACTGCTCGGTCTTGATCTGGGTGGGGTCGAAGAGCTCGGCATCGCCCTTGCCCTTGTCACCAGCGACGATGACACGTACACCCCGACCGTCGAGGTTGCGTGCAGTGAGGGGGCCGATGCCGGAGAGACCACCAGGGCCGAAGTCGACAGCATGGGTAGCAGTCTCGGGGAAGTTGGTCGCACGGTCCCAGTGCAGAGCCAGCGTAAAGATCTGGTCGCAAAGTTCCCGCGTAATGCTCGACTTCGACTCCCGCAGATCCGAACCTGAAACAGGGTTATGAGTTGCCGGAATAAGCACAAAAGAGGATGACCAAAACGGGGACAATAGCCACGACGTAATAAGATGTGATGGATAAGAGACGTACCGTTCTCCGTGTGATAGACGGGCACCTTAAGATCGGCGGCTTGCCAAAGCTCTTCGCCAGCCAGGTCCTCGCCCGCGACCTTGTCGGTGACGCCGGTAAGGTACTCGGAGTGGTAGGGGGCGTTGACAACGAGGAAGCGGACGGAGAACACGGGCTTGCGCTGAGAGAAGGGCACCTTGCTCTGGTCGAGCCCGCTCGGCGCCTTGACCTTGCGCAAGTTCTGGACGAGGCCGTAGAGTGCGCGTGCAGGGCCAGTGATGACGAAAGCCTTCGGGCCGTTGTAGAGGGAGATGTGTAGCTTAGAGTTGGAGGGGAGGTGCTTGTTCGTCTTTGCGAGGTGCGTCTCAACATCCTTGAGCAGGAGGCCGGTCACGAGCAGCATGGTGCTCGGCACGCCCTCGCCGCCTTCGACGGAGTCCGCGACGATCGACGGCTCAACGGCGACAACGGGGAACGCCTGCTGCGCGCGCAGGCCCGAGTAGAAGAGCCAGCGCACGGCCTTGAGCGCGTTCTCCGTGTAGGACTCGAAGCTATCCGAGGCGGCAATGACGACCGCGGAGACGATGCCCTGCGAGTGGCCGGTCGCGCCTGCGATGCGCGTGCGCAGCTCGCCCGGCGTGAGCCCGGCGACGCGGCACACGACCAGATACTGCACCAGCTGCGTGAGGCCGATGAGCGGGAGGGAGAGGGGGATCGAGGCGAAGTACGGGACGCCGGGGCGGGAGGAGGGATCGAGGAGCCAGGAGATCACGTTCAAGCCGTATGCATAGAAGCTCGACGCGGCCTCCTTGTCCGCGAGGGGGACGAGGACCTGCTCGGTGATCGTGCGGATGAAGGCCGCGACGAAGGGGGTGTAGATGTCGTAGAGCGCCTGGAGCTCGTCGAAGTAGACCTCGTTGGTGCCCTGACCGCCGAAGATGGCGTAGACGGACGCGCTGCCCTCGGCGGCGGCAGTCAGAAGCGCGGACTGCGGCTGCTTCGGGATGTCGGGGACCGCACGCGCCTCGAGCGCGGCGTACGCGCCAAAGTACGCCTTGAGGACCGTCTTGCGGACATCGGTGTCGAACGAGGCGGCGAGGGAGTGCACGTCCTTGGAGGCGAGGTACGCGGAGGTGAAGTACTTGAAGACATGAAGGAGGACGGAGGTGCGAGCGGGGCCAGACTCCTGGTCCGCGTCTAGGTTTGCGGTGATGTATGCGAGAAACTTGGCGGCAAGCTCGACAGCTGCCTCGTGTGGGTTCTCGAGCTCTATGGTGGTCTCTATCGCGTCCTCCGCGGCCTGATCGTGGGTAAACTCGTCCCGCAGGACCTCGGCGGCAATCCACGCATCCTTGTCAGTCGAGACGGGAATGGAGAGCTGGAGGAAAAGTCAGATCTTCCGGGGGGATGCGTTTTGCGCGCGGGACGCACCCTTGCCGAGCCTAGCGCGACCACGATGGGGCGCTTGGAGATGGCGGCGGCGCTAGAGGAGACGTCTGAGCCAGCCATTTTGGTAGAGATGCAGGGGGATGGCAAGGTCGACGGAGGCGGCGTACGCGTCGCGCTTTTATCCTGGACCCCCAAAGTCCCCAACCCCAGCCTGATCGGCCTCGCGCGCGCCTGCCTTTTCCGGGCGACGCGCCTTTTTCAAATCGCCTCACGGAGACGGAGACGGCATCGAGTTTCTTCCGCTCATCAACTTCAAGGCGCTCAGTGATCCCCAACATGAACCCAGGGCCTCCCCATCGTACGCAACGGAGGGGGCAGCTGCGTACTCTCCCTCGCGACCCTGGACTCTCGCTACGAAATTCTCCTGTTTTTCCTGGTGCGCGTGTACGCTTCATCGATCCACGCCAAAGCAACGTTGTCCTGCACGCCGTCTGCCGGTCTTCGTGATACGTCAAGCCGGGGTGCTCTCCATCTGATACGCTGGTGCTTGCGTCTTCGTCTAGTGTCCCTGTGGTTTTGTCGTCTGTTCGCTCGATCACTGCTTCAGATCACTCGGCGAGTCTCACAAATTCTGGCCGACCCCAAGAGCTTCTGATCTCTCGTTCGCGACTCGTATACGTGCAGTGACCCCAGAGCAACAGTGTATGCTAGCGTCCCCATTGGTCCTTGTTCGTAAAGTGCTGTGCCTCCAATGAGCAAGTCCACCTCATCGCGTCCGACTGGGGACTCATCGCATCGTTATGGGGAACTTATCGTGTCACAATACTGGGGCGCCTATACCACGCTGGCTAGCGCGCTGGGGGAGTTGAATCCGCTGAGAAGAACTCTGCGGATTGCCAGGGAACTCAACTGCACTTTGCTGAACTCCAGCGATTACGGGGGAATTCGACTGCACTTCCTGTCGTTCAAGCTTTTCTTCCGGCCCGATCACCCCTCCGCGGCTTCCATGGGCCTCTTCACCGTCTCTTCGCCCGTGTACTGCTGGTACCCCACCGGTATGGCCTGATTTCTGCTCATCTCTGGTCGGTGGTGCCACCAGAGCGTCGCTACCGATCTGCTTGTCAGGGGGCCCCCTTCACATCGGTCTAGACCGTCGAAGTTCGGCCACGTTTGAAGCAATACTTGGCTGATCAGAATCACCTCTACCAATCGCCTTCGTGCCATTTGTTCCTTGAGTTGTACCATTGTCTGCGCACCTCAGGCTCCTCCTCGCCTACGTCTCTGTCCCGCTCGTGGGTTAGAAACCCTCAAGTTCCCCGCAGACGATCGCCGACGCCATCAGTCACCTTGTGACCGACGCGACTGTGACATTCGGACTTCGCCGCAGATTGATTCGAGGTGCTTTGTCGATCCTCGTCTTCCCCTCCCTTCCTCTTCTCCTTGTCAGTATATATCTTCGAATCACTATACAAATTGAATTTACCCCTATAACGTGTGATACAATATCTGTCAATCTGATTACTGGGAAGTCAAGGCCAGGAGACTCGGCCTCGTAAAATAGCAGCTCGATGCAAATATCGAGGGGCCTTCACGCAGCCAGATGGGCTTTCTTCTCAAGCTCTCGAGGCGCATAAGCAAGCGATTTACTCACGGCACCCCTTCACGAACTATGTATCTGTTATCATATCGACGAATCTGCCAGTGATTCCTTATGTCCCCGTCATCCTTACAACACATTTTGAGGATCTGCACGATGTTCTGGCTTGCGAGGAGCTCACGTGTACTCCGGAGAACTTGCTCTAGCGCAGAGACAGCTACGATGTATCTCTGCCTCCTCCCTCGACGGCCATCGACGCTGGCAGTTAACGTTGTGGGTGCCACCACAAAACAACAGTCAATTCCCATCGATCTTATTTCCATCTGGGCACCTATAGAGCCCTAAAAAGACAGCCATTCGCAGGAGTGGTATTCTCACGCAAGATTGTCCACTGCTATCCCCTCAGGCGCTGCAGCTTCAGCAAAGTTGAAGTCGAACCTGCGCCACATGCCTCTCACGTGCGATCTTGCAGCTTTGGTACCGAGCATCATCATCGCCGATCGATATTCCATCATCACACTTGACCGCCATGGCTACCCTCAAGAAAGACGAAGACGGATGGGTGGAAGGAGGTGCGCCGCATATCTTATCGTGTGCTGCGAGATCTGACCAGTTGATCTTTTAGAGGCGCCGGCACCTGAGCCTCAGCAGAGTACGTTCTGAATTACCAACGACCGACGGGGGACTGACGCGACGGCGCTTAGCTGACTTGCTGGAGCCGACGCACGATGTTCAGGTGCGTCTTCCGCTGCTCCCCTCAGCGATGAAGGCGCTCATACAGCTCCCCTATCTAGGTCACTCTCGCCGATCCGACCCTCGACGCCGACAGCCCGCTGTACAGCGTCAAGAACTTTGAAGAACTCGGCCTGTGCGCATGCATTTCCGCTGCCCCTCTCCCCTCCTCCTCATTACCCCCCTCCCAGACACCAGAGCCTGCGAGACGGCCTGGTTGCAATGGGCTTCAACCGACCATCCAAGATCCAGGAGAGGGCGCTACCGATGCTCCTGCGTGATCCGTGCGTCTGCTCTGACGATCCGAGTTTGCTACCTTCCCTGACGCGATGTACAATGCATACAGACCAACAAACTTCATCGGCCAGTCGCAGTCTGGCACGGGGAAGACTGCCGCGTTCGTCCTCACCATGCTGAGCCGCATCAATCCGGACCTCCAGTCTACTCAGGCCATCTGCATCGCGCCCTCCCGCGAGCTCGCGCGCCAAATCATGAGCGTCGTCACCCTCATGGGAAAGTTCACCAAGATCACGACTGAATTCGCGATCAAGGACGACAACGGACCGCCCACGAAGCACAAGGTCAACGCGCACCTCGTCGTGGGTACACCGGGGACGATGGCGACGTACCTGCAGAAGCGGGTGAGTGGCTTGGAGGCCGGTAGAACGGAATGGAGGCGGATTGAGTGATGTGGACGCGTCTGTACGCTCGAGAGGGTGTCTCTAAGCTGTCAACGGCGCCAGACGCATGCAGGAGCGTCTACGCCCGTGCAGCCGTCTCTACGCTTGAAACAGCGACTGATCACGTCTTAGATCATCAACAAGGACACGGTCAAGGTCTTCGTCGTCGACGAGGCAGACCAGATGATCGCGCAGGATGGGCTCGGCGACCACACCACCCGGGTGAAGAAGTGTGTTTTCCTTACCCCCCTCCCCCTTTATCCCCTTCACCTTCATCCTTCCTCTCCCCTCCCTACCTCCTTCTTCTCCCCTCACATCCCTGCCTCACATATCTCTGACCCTAGCATGACTAACCCCTCCTAGCCTCCTCGGCTCCCCCGGCCAGCCCGGCAACCTCCGCTACCAAACCATCCTCTTTTCCGCGACCTTCAACGACAACGTGCGCGGGTTCGCTGACAGGTTCGCGCCGCACGCGAACAAGATCGAGCTCAAGAAGGAGGAGGTAAATGTGGGGACGATCAAGCAGTTCTTCCTGGACTGCGTGAGCAAGCAGGACAAATACGACAAGCTGGTGATGTTGTATAACATCTTGACGGTTGGGCAGAGTATCATTTTCTGTCAGGTGAGTGGGCTGGTGAATGTGGAGATGGAGGGGGAGAGCGGAGAGAGTGCGACTGTGTGCTAACGAGCGACTCATCGCAGTACCGGCAAGAGGCAGACCAAATTGCGCAGCGGATGATCAAGGAGGGGCACAAAGTCGCGGCGTTGCACGGTGCGAAGGACGGCTCGGAGCGAGATCAGATCATCGACAGGTTCCGCGAGGGACACGAAAAGGTGCGCATTGAAGAATCTATGACCATCTCAGCTGTCCACCCCTCCTTCATGCGTTGACCTCCCCCTTCGACTAGGTCCTCATCACCACGAACGTCATCGCGCGCGGCATCGACATCCTCCAGGTCAACATGGTCGTCAACTACGACCTCCCGCTCATGAGCGAGCGCGACAAGAACCGGTACGGCTCGAACAACGACAAGCCGGATCTGGAGACGTACATCCATAGGATAGGTACGTGTCTGTTGGTGCTCCTCGTGTCACTGTGCGCCCTCGACCGGCCCTGTGCATTTGAACCACCTTGCATACTTGAGCGGCGTTGTCGCACGGACAACTCTGTCTGTCTGACTGAAGCAAGGACTGACCCTCCCCCCCTTCAGGTCGAACAGGTCGCTTTGGCCGTCGTGGCATCTCAATCAGCTTCGTGCACGACCAGCAGTCGTACGACCTCCTGAAGGTGCTGGAACGCGAGATGGGCCGCGAGATCCAGGCTATACCAACTAAGGGCAAGGACGAGGGGCAGATTGAGGACGTGAGTAGCTTGTTTTCGTGCTGCAAGGATGGGTGTGCGCCTCCGCGAGCGGCGTACCGCCTGAAAAACATTGTCCTGCTCAGCTTGCGGTCTAATGAGCCTGGCGCTCTCTTTCTTTCACCTTACTAACCAAACCACTCGAACAGTACGTCAAGGACCTACTGAAGAAAGATACCACAGTCGGCAGCGCGAAGTAGGGCGGGCGATATACCTTGGACCTCACACGTATTATTTCTGTGACTGCATGTATACCTCCGTGTACCTGCGTGTATGCCTCTGACTGCCGACCGATGATGGCCTGAATGTACTCGACCATGTATTGCATCCATCGTCTCTCCGGTCTAGGTTGCGATGATGTTCGACGAAAAAGCTTGCGTCGACATAAGATACAAACCTTCAACGAGTTTCGTGATCTGGAAAATGGCCCGCAGCCACAAGTACAATTGTCCATTCAGTAGCGTATTAGAACATCGGTTGGTACAAGCCACAAAAGGGCACGGATAGTCTGTATGTAAGTACCGATAAACAAGAAAGGTCGTGAACAGTTCGTTACAAGTATCGTAAACAAAGATGAAGCAACTGAGTGATACACCAGATGAAGCAAGTAGCCGGGTGGCACAGAGGAGAAAGTCAAAGCGAATAAAAACGCACCAAAGAGCCCAACGACGACGCGTAAGAGTACAGAAGATCTATCTACATCGGGGTCGTCAAGTACAGTCTGTTCTCCGAGAGGGTAGGGCGAGATGAAAGAGGTGTTTTACAATGGCACGGCGGTGAGAGGCCAGAAAGAGAAAGGGCAACACGATCACGAATCGCCTGAACCCTTCTTCCCATGGTCCGGATTTGCCACGAACAGCGACCGCCTCGGGACGAGCCCATAGTCGACCGCCGGCGGCTTCGAGCGCTCCTCCCTCGCCCGCGTGTTCGTTGGCGGCGGGGGGAAGTCGGCGGCCTGCGACATCCGGCGCTCGTAGTCGCGCACGCGCGCTGCGACGCCGCCACCGCCGCCACTACTTCGCTTAGGCGGGGGAGGCGGGGGAGGCGGGGGCGGGAAGGACGAGTCACCAGAGCCGTTGGAGCCGGACTTGGTCGTCATGGATGGGGGGAGGGAGATGGGAGAGGGACTTCGGATGGCGGCGGCCATGGCTATGGGAGAAGTGACCGCCGTTGGTGAGGTGATCATGGGCGGAGAGGTGCTTATGTTGGGCGGAGCATTGAGGGCGGTCGGCGACGCGATCACCTCCGCATCTTGCTCGCCTCGATTTGCCAGCCACCGTCCATCCTCCGCGAGCGATGCCCCGTCCTCCGTGTCGTAGCTCAGCGAGCTGTCCCGCGTCTGGTGGCTCCCCGTCCGCACGCGCTGCGCCACGTCCATCATGCCCATATGCTCGATCGCCGCGCTGTCCAGCGTGCCCTGCGTGTGCAGCGAGCTCGCAGACTTGCCGTGCGAGCCATACAGCCGACGCACGCCCGCCGCGCTGCTCTTGCTCCCCTTGCTGCCTCCGCGACTTCCTTTACTGTCACCGCGGCTCCCTTTGGACCCGCCACGATGCGAAGGCGGCGACTCGTCCGGCGGACTGGTAGAGTGCTGTGACTCCTCGATAGCGACGAGACGGGGCGGCGGATTGGGGTCGCGAATATCTTCAAGCACAGCCGTATTGCGCCGCGACGCGATACTCCCCCTCCGATCTAGCAACGGCGTCCGTGCAAACCTCGCCCACCACGTATCGCTCCGCCGCAGCGGCTGCGACGGCGGCGGATTCGCATTGATTATCGACGTCGCACGCGGGGAGCCCAGATGGCTATACGAGGACGACGACAATCTTGATGAAGCGGTATCGTAGGGCGCCATGCCGTGTTCGTGGGACGAGGAAGACCGATCGAGGGACGGCGTATTCCGAGAGGCGGTCTCGCTGAGCGGGCTGAGGGTGTGTGCCTGGTAAGCCATGGGCAGGTTCGTGTACAGCGCGCCCGGAGGCGGCAACAGACGCGGTGGTAGCAACTTTGCATCCTCGTCCGCCACGTCCTTCTCGGCACCATACCCCGCGTACCCCTCGTGCACCGTCGCGCTGAGACTGCCGGGGTCTGCGAATGGGTCGACGTAGATCGACTCGCCAAACGAAGCCACCGAGCCCATCGGCGTGTGCGCGTGTCGAGGCTGGTCCGTCGTTTGCCGCGAGTTCTCCGTTGTCTGCCGTGAGTGCGGCGGCCTGAGCCCCGCCGCCGCGACCGCACCGGCAACACCCGGCGCAGCTGCACCAACGAAGCCTGTCTCCTCGTCGCGCAACAACGACGCGCCATCTCCAAATGGATCGCGGTCGCCCCCCTTCTCCCCCCGAGCCGTCACCGTCGAGATCGAACTGAAGCCGCTCGCCTCGCGCCGCATCCGGCCACCAAACAGCGTGCGCAGGGACCACGAAGAGCCATTGCCGGCTCCATAGGCGCTCCCGTTGCCGGGCCCGCCGCCCAACTCGTAGTTGCTGCCGTACGCACTCCGGTACCACTCCGAGAAGTCGCGCGTGTCCTCGTCCGCGAGCATGTCCCTCCGCTCCCGCTTCGGGCTGTGCGCGCGCTGGACGGCGCCCAAGATGCCGGCCAGGCCGAGCGCGCCGAGGACGCTCGCGACGCCGGGGGATGCAAGGATACCACTGGCGTGCCCGCCGCGTTGTCGGGGGGAGCCCTTCTCGATGAAGCCGCCCGCGATGGGGATGTTGCGTGGCGTGGTGGGGCTGACACTGTCCGCGTTCGAGGCCGTGTCGAAGAGCCGTGCGTTAGCCGTACCAAATAGGCGCGCGTTATCCGCATCCACGAGTCTGGCACCATCCCCGTCGTCATTGTCGCTCAGCCGCCTAAACTGCGCATTCTGCCTCTGGTGCCGCCACACCCAGACGACGACTATGATTGCAGCCGCGCACAGGAGGAAGCCCAGAATGGTGCCCACGGCGATAGCGGTGGTCTTCTTCTTATTCCCGCCGTCTTCGCCGGTTCCATCCCCTGGAAGACCATCGCCGTTGCCATTGCCATTCCCCGAACCACTCCCATCGCCATTCCCTGTGCCATTGTCGTCATCGCCTCCTCCCGCGGTGGATGTAGGGTGGACGCCGGTGTTCGTGCCAGTACCCCCGCCCCCACCCGTGGCTGTGCCCGCGTCAGTCCCGCCGTTGTTCCCGGTCTGAGTGGCTACGGGAATGGTAGCGGACGCCGTCTGCGTGTACGAGGAGGAGGGAGGGGAGTATGAGGAGCCAACGTTGCCGCTGGGGGGGTCGTAGACTTGGACAGGGGACTCGCTGATGGGGCCGCTATCGCTATAGCCTGCGAGACGACCGTGTTTGTTAGGGAGTAGTGAGAACAAGAACACGGGCTACCACGCACCGAAGCCGAAGATGACGCCAGACCCCGCGGAGACGGCGAAGTGGTCGCGCCGGGCACCGAGGTTGCTTAGGGAGTCTACCTGAGTCCACGTCCATGAGTCCCCTGAGAGATCGAGGATCCAGCCGTCGGACATGGTGGTCTGACCGGACTCGTCGCTGCCGCCGTGGATGAGGACCTTCGGGCCGTCGAGGAGCACGTATGCGAAGGCTATGCGCCCGCTCGGTGCTGATGATCCATCGACGGTGGTGGTAGACCACACCGGCGGATCCTGCGTAATATCGAGTACCCAGATCGTATTGAAGTCGACTAGCGAGGACGAGGCATAGCCCCCGAAGACGAGGATGTGCTGGTTCGGGAGGATGACGGAGGCGTGGCCGTAAATATTGCGGGGGGCATTATCGGTGGGGAGGGTGGTGAAGGAGGGTATGCTGGGATCGAAGACGTAGTTGTCGGCAAAGGTGTTGCCCGAGCCGTCCGCGCGCTCGCCGCCGATGATGTAGACCTTGCCCTCTTGCGAGGTGACGGCCGTGTGGCGCATGCGGCGCATGGGCTCGTCGGCCCAGCCGGTGGGTTCCTGATCCCATTGGAGGCTGGTGCGGTTGTAGACGTCGAGCAGCCAGGCGGAGTCGGTGCGCGTGACGAGGGAGGGCTCGGAGGTCCAGCCGGGCTGGCCACCGAAGGAGAGCCCCATGGAGTAGTTGAGCGCGGAAAGGGTGTGCCAGGCGACCTGCGGGCCATCGGTGCTGAGGAGCTGCCATGGGGGGTCGTTTACGTCGAAAGAGGAGGAGAGATCGAGGTAGAGGAGATCAGAGTTGGTGGGGGCGGAGGAGTAGCTGTACTGGTTGTATTCGTCGCTCTTGCCGCCATGGACGAAGAGCGCGTCGTTGACGACCATCGCTGCCTGTCCCCATCTGCAGAAGTCGAGTTCAGGAGGGTTTCTGCGCGCATCGACAGACACTCACCTGGGCGCGGGTGTGTATGCCCAGACTTGGGGGAACCGCAGCAGGAGGAGGGCCAGTATACATGTTGGACATCGCATAGGGGAAGGATAGTGGCAGTTGTGGATAAGAATATGTCGTGGAGCTAGTCGTGTATCGTGAAGGTCGTCGTGAGCTGCTCGACCGTGAAGTCAGCAGTGGAGAATCAGCGGCGCGGTGACGGTGGGTGACAAGCGGCTGACCTCCCGAAGGAGATCGAGCATGTGCCCGTGCCTGGCGTCCATCATCACAAACACACAAAAGCATGCCTCGTTTTGGAAGAAAAGCGCCAGTGGACTCTTGACAATCATCAACATATCCCTCACTTCATGATCGTACATAGAAAATGCTGGTGAACCAGGCGAGGGGAGAGTCGATTATTATTATTCGATCGGATCAGGGACTCGAGCTGGCGTGCCGCGTAGAAGGCCCGAAGCCGCCGGAGCGCACGTGTACCGTTGCCCTCAGGCTACGCGTAGGAGTAAGGATCGCCGGGTTGCCTCGTCTACAGGCAGCGACAAGGCGCATGGACTCTGGCAAGCCAGCGACACAGCGGCGGCATTATGTCACACGGTGACATCGGCATTCTCCGTGTCACTGTCACTGTCAACCTTTCGCCCTTGGCTTGACTGAGTAGTGTGAAAAGACACCTCCTACGTAGTGCATCAGTACAACTATACTCGCTCTCGAAGACCCTATTTGGGTGTATAAGGCTTGACGAAAGGGCGCAACATACTCGAATACAAATCCTGCGCGCACTTGTGCACGTGACATGTTGAACTGGAGCCGACTCAAATTGTGATATGCACATTGTTGTCGTCTCTGATGTCGTCTGTTGCGCATGTGGATAGTGATAGCACTCCAGTATTATTTCTGACACTCAAAGGGTCCTCCTGCAGTCCAGCACGAGTCCCGCGAGCCCTGCAGACTCCGGACTGTTTGGAGTGTGGCATAATGTGACGCACTGCTCAAGCTCTCCCGAAACCGAGCAAGGCATTTCGAACCCATCAACTTCTCCAGTCTAAGTCGAATAATAGTAATCGACTATGGACTCCGAATTCCAGGCTCTCTCGAAAACCTCAAGGGGCTTCGAGTCGCACGGCGGGCGAGCGAACGAATATTTTAGAGGTGCCCTCGAAATCTCCACCAGTCCATGGCGAGGAGAAAATTTGCAAAAAGAGGGACGAAGATGAGCGCTGCAACGATGAAGATTTTCTGCGAGCACATCTTGGAATTCTGTGGGAAGTTGGGTTTGCTACAAAGGTGAGGCAATGATAGATGTGAACGTCAGTCGCTATCTTCTGTGACCTGCGCACCCCATCCATAGCTCCCTCGTTACCACGTCTCTTCCTTCTCCTGATTCTAACTCAACTTTTCGGCCTCCCTCCCAACTTTTGGCTTCCCTCGCAACTTTTGGTCCCGCTTCTCAAGCTGACTTATCCCTATGTGATTCAAGAAGGTTCGCAAGAGTCCAACGAACCCTGACCGCAGGCTGCACCTGAGTCAGGGTGAGCTAGGAGCGCACAAACGGCTTAAACCTCGTGCCGGGCGTTCATCACGGGCAGGCCTATCGAGACCACCTTGTAAGCAGCGAACGTCGATATCCCGAAGGGACCGCGCAACGATGACAGTACACCCCAAGTTCAGCTGGTATATAGACCAGGCTCGACCTGCACCCCCTCTGAATCCCCAGTGTACATCCCAAGCCCACCATGTCCTCCACCATCTACCTCCTCACTGGCGCGAACCGCGGCATCGGTGAGGACCCTTTCCCTTCGCGCGCCGCCCTCCCCCCTCTCGCGCCGCCCTCCCCCCTTCTCGCGCCGCCCTTTGCAGTCTAACCACTCCTCCCTCTTCCAGGCCTCGGCCTCGCCAAACAAATCGCCGCCCGCCCCGACACCATCCTCTTCGCCGGCGCGCGCGACCCCGAGGGCGCCACCGACCTGCAAGCCCTCGCCGCTGCGCACCCCGGCCGGGTGCACGTCCTCAAGGTCGTCTCCGCCGACAAGGGGAACAACGCCGCCGCGGTGGAAGAAGTCAAGCGCTTGGCTGGCCGCCTGGACGTGGTCATCGCGAACGCGGGCATCAGCGACTGCTTCAAGCCTGCGCTCGAGGTGCCGCCTGAAGAAATGATTAGGCATGTGGAGGTACGGCGAGAGGCGGAACTTTGTGTCCGGCGGGTAGTGCGTAGCTCACCTCCCACCCACCAGGTAAACACCAACGGCCCTCTCGTCCTCTTCCAAGCAACACACGAGCTGCTACGAAAGAGCGCCAAGCCGAAATTCATCGTCGTCTCCTCCGGCGTGGGCAGCATCACCGTCGGCGCCACCCTCCCGGTCAACACGTACGCCTACGGCGCGTCCAAGGCCGCCGTCAACTGGGTGACGCGCAAGCTGCACCATGACTTTCCTGACTTCAGTAAGTCGATGATGGGTTGATCCATCAGTAGGAACAACCTGCAGCAAGTACTCACCACCACTAACCCCCCCTCCCAGTAATCTTCCCCATCAACCCCGGCGGCGTCGACACCGACCTCGCGCACGACTCGCTCGCGCGCGACCCCGGCATGAAAGGCCTGATGGCCGCATTCCCCATGATCACCGCGGAGGAGAGCGCGCAGGGCATGCTCGAGCAGATCGATGTGGCGACGAGGGAGACGCACGGAGGGAACTTCGTTGATTATACGGGGTTGGGGAAGTGGGCGTGGTAAATATACGAAGTGGGCGTGGTAGGCATCGGATAAGAGCAGCAGGTGTCGTGCAGACCACGAAGTAAATCCCCTGTGGTCGATAGTATGAGGCAGCTATAGGAAGGAACGGAGAGGAATAGGAAGAACCACACCTTTGCCGCATAGGCCGGAGCGCCATCTACCACGACCTTCGGGCGAGTCACGACAGAACACTAGCATGAGCGCTCTATCAGGAGTCAGAAGTCTCGGAACCGCCGCCCGTGAAGTGATGAACGTGCAATACCCGAAGGAATCGCGCAACGATTACATACCTTGCAAGTTGCAGTCGGGATATGGATGCGTATAAGTGAGCCGCCCACGAGCGCGGTGCTGTCAGCTTTTGAGCCCACCCTTCGATCACCGTCAGCAGGATGTCTCCCACCATTTATCTCGTCACTGGCGCAAACCGCGGAATCGGTGAGAGCTCATCCACTGTTCACCATCTCCCTCTTCCCACAACACGCGGACAACTGACCACCCACCGACACCAGGCCTCGCCATAGCTACCCAGCTCGCCAACCGCCTCGACACAATCGTCTTCGCCGGCGCGCGCAACCCCGCGCAGGCAACCGACCTTCACGCCCTCGCCACCGCGCACCCCGGGCGCATTCACATCCTCAAAGTTGTGTCCGCGGACCGGGTCAATAACGACGCCGCAGTCGAAGAGATCAGGCGAGCGGCCGGGCGGCTCGACGTCGTGATAGCGAATGCGGGCATCAGCGACTGCTTCGTGTCGGCGTTGGAGGTGCCTACAGAGGAGATGATCAGGCATGTTGAGGTAAGTGCGGACTTGAGTAGTATGATACAAGGTGGATTGCTCACCCCTCCATCGCCAGGTAAACACGAACGGCCCCCTCGTCCTCTTCCAAGCGGCATACCCGCTCCTGAGCGAAAGTCCGTCGCCAAAGTTCGTCCCCGTCACCTCTGCCATGGGCAGCATCGCGGACGGGACGACATACCCCATCTACACATACGCCTATGGTGCATCGAAGGCCGCTCTCAACTGGGTGACGCGCAAGTTGCACTTTGACTTCCCGGAGTTGGGTGAGTGCATGATCTTCCTGCCTGGGGGTCTCAGTTTGTGAGAAGGAATACAAGCAGAGGAACGCTCACCATGCACCGCAGTCATCTTCCCCATCGACCCGGGAGGCACCGATACCGACTTCGTCAAGAATGCCGTTGAGAAGGACGAGCGAATGCGGGAGTTGATGCAATCCTTCCCGCTCATCACGACGGAGACAAGCGCGCGAGGCATCCTAGAGCAAGTCGACGCCGCGACAAGGGAGACGCACGGCGGCCAGTTCGTCAACTATGCCGGCTTGGGGAAGTGCGATTGGTAGACGATGCGATGGCCCTGCAGTATCAGTGACGGGTGTTCAGTCCACGTATCACTTGTGCACCAGCATGAAGGTCCCACGAGCACTGTACAAATAAACATATCGTGTGTCAGTCACAGTCATGGATAAATCCTCATCTAGTAGTATACGCAAATCCTGATTCTATGGTACAAATCCCCTACCCGCTCGCCGCCGACAGCACCGCATTCGACGGAATGGTCTCATTCGCCAGCGGATTACCCGCAAGCGCGTCGCGCTCGGGGAGCACTTCTTCTAGTGGCTTCTCCGACTTGCCGGGTATGAGTTCTGCTGATACCGGGGTCTCAAGCGAGCCGTCGAAGGGTCCGGCGAGCTTCTCGAGGCGCAGGCGGCGTATGAGGTAGGAGCCAAGGCCGATGAGGGGCCAGTAAGCGAGAGATGATCGCCAGAAGGGAAGCTGCTTGCGGGAAGACATGACCTTGTCGTAGTCGGCTAGGTGGGAGTTATGGTCGGTTGAGCGAGATGAAGGGATCGAGCATAGCAAGGACTTACCAGCAAGCTGCTTCTTCAAGTCTATCAAGAGGTACGTCTTGTCGGTCATGATAACATCCGGCTCCCAAGAGATTGCCTAGGCGAAGATTAGCTGAAGGTAGACGATGTTGTAGCGGCGCGAAGTCACCTCAAGCATCATCTCCGGATCGTTGACCGTCCACACCATAACACGCTTTCCTGCCGCGTGCATTTGCTCAACGAACGTGCGCCCACCGTTGGAGATAATGCTCGCGAAGAGCAAGCTGATAGTGTCGACGTTGTCCCAGAAGTAGGCGCGAGCGTCGGAAACGCTGATGCCGAGATAGCTACGTCGACAACCAGGCAGTATCTCGCGCGCAAAAGGTATAAAGCGCGGGTGCCATAGACCGAGGACGAGGCGAGGGGCGAGGAGGGTTTCCCAGGATTCGTGAGCGACGATGAGCTTATGAAGGAGGGGGAAGAGTACAGCGGGGTCGTTGTTGGGCTTGATGTCCTGCGCGAGGTGAGGGACTGCCAGAATGGAAGCCTCGGTGGATACGCACGACATTGAATGTGACATGCTGGTTCTCGGGCTTGCCACGGAGGTCAGACGGGACTTGAACAGGCTGCCTGACGAGCGCGCACCTTCATGAGCAGCTCGAGCGTCTCAGCGAACGTGGGAATGGCCTGTTGCGGCGACTTCTTCGTGCGCGCATGTTCCATGCCGCCCTCGCCGTACCAATCACGCTCCTTGATCGCGCCTGCATTGTCTCAGTCATCGGCATAGCCATCGCGCATAGGCGAGGTGCACGCACCCGTCTGGTTCGTCGTACGATCGAGTGCTTCGAGGGAGGTCAGTGGGAAAGCTTACCGCTACGCGGAACACGCACTGGGGTCGTGGAACATGAGCACAACATGGTCCTTGGAGACATGGACGTCTGCGCGCCACTGTCAGTACCGTAATCACTCTGAAAGACCTTGTAGTACGCACCACTCTCCAGCCCGTCTACTCCATCGCGAATCGCGGCCTCAAAGCTCGCCATTGTGTTCTCTGGGAACCGCGCCGAGGCCTGTCCCCCATATCTTAGTACTTCCCTCCATTCAGCTTGGCCGCTCGATGCCTACCCCGCGGTGACCCCAGCATTCTGTGCAACGTCGGCGTCGATCACACATCCTGAAAGCGCGTAACACGCACCAGGAAGCTTGTAGGACATCGTCTATGGATCTGGGAGAGTGAAAGAATATGGTGGTGAGAAACACAAGTAAGCGGCCGGCGCCCCTCGAAGCGCGCCGGCTGCGATGCGTTCGGAGTACGATCATGACGTGAGCGGACAAACGTGGGCGAGCCACGCGGGACGTCATATTTGGCGAAGGCGTGGGAAATTCTCGATTGGACCCACAATTGGGACATCGTAAAGTAGGGTGGCGCAAGACGAATTAGACAAGTAACGCTAGGAAAGGTAGAGGAAAGTAAGCTGCAGTGGTGATACTGGGTGGCTACGCGCCGGATTCAGTCAAGGCGTGTCCGCTTGAGCACCCTGCGCTCAAGGACATGCCTATAGCCGTCCGCAGTCAACTCGCTATCGAGAAGGCGCGGCCACAGCGGCAGGGACACAGGCGGCGGAAGACACGATGAAGACGCAGCGCGTCGCCGGCCAGCCACAGGCCGCTCTAGGCGGTCGCGGTCGTCGCGCAAGGATACAGAGCCCAAATTCATCGGCGAGCGAGTAAAGAGCTGAGGGCGGAATCGTGGTAGTTGAGGACAGGGGAGAGACGATCTGGATTCCGCGAGATACTTGGGCTTGTCGATCGTCACAGACTTGGAGGTAGGCGCGAGGTAGAGGCTCCAGTCTTCCGTCGAGCGGTTAGACGTTGACAGGATCTTGACGTGGTCATTCCAGTAGGACTTGCTCGAGGGCGGTGTGCCGGGGATAGAGACGGAGGGGAGCGAGGAGAGCATCGTCCATGAAGATGGCGAGCAGTCAAACTCGCAAAGTGACATGTCGGACTCGTCTTCGGTGTCGGTGGCGTTCGCAGAGCGGGTGTGAGCCACAGGCTGGTCGGTGATGATGCTCAAGCATGCATCGCGAGATCCTTCGACTGGTACCAGGGCAGCGTTCGACGAGATCGACGCTCCGAAGCCGGCAGACGAAGAAAGAAGCGCCGCCTGGTAGAAGGAATCACCGGTGTCCATAAGCATAGTACGTTCCTTGTTGATCGAGGTCAAGTCCAGAGTCGCCGAGGACATCGTCGAGCTCGCCATCGAGTTCGTCGAGGTTGCCATCAGGTTTGTCGAGCAGGAGAGCATGTTCGTCGAGCTGGACATTGAGGTCGCGGAGGGTACCATCGGGTTCAGCGAGTTGATCTTCAAAACGGTGGTTGCTCTCGGTGTCGGTTCCGCTGTAGCTGTGCTTGCTGTCGATGTCGAGCGCCGATGCTGAGCCACAGTTGAGGACAATGCGGTCAGAGAGCGCGAAATCGTTGCCGGGGTAGGGTTCTTGCGCAACGTCTGCGACACCATCGCCGGAGTAGGAGCGAAGGTCATCGCAGTCGACATCCTCGGCGTCGAGGAAAGAGCAGCCTCCGCCTTCAGAGCCCGCACCTCCTCCTTCATCGACCGCATCTCCTCCGCCAGTGCGTCATTCTCCTCCAAAACCACACTCGCCGCCTGCCGAAGCCGCGCAACGAGCGCCTCCAGCTTCGTCGCATCGGACTTCGATTCGAGAAGCTCCTTCTCCTTCTCGCGCAGTGCATCCGCCATCTCATGCTCGCGCTCCTCCGTCTCCCTCGCCTGACTGCGAAGGTCCGCAGCGACGTCCTGAAGCTGCTTGATCTCCTTCGCCAGCACTTGCTTTTCCTCCTTTGACCCCTCCAGCTTTGCCTCCACCCTGCGCATTTCCTTCACCAGCCCCTCCATATCCCGCACCATCGTCCGCTTCTCCTCGTTCACTCGCCCATAGTCCTCCAGCAGATTCTTCGCCATCGCCTTCACCTCCTCCGTATACCGCTCTAGCGCGGCGTACTTGCGCTGCATGCGCGCGCTCTGGCTACGCGAGGCGTTGTACGCAGCGACGACGTCCTGGTTCATGTCGCGAAGTTCGTGATAGGCGGCGCGCCGGCGAGAGACATCCTCGCGGGCTTTGTCGCGGTCAACACGCGCTTTGTCTAGGTCGGCGCGCGCAGCATCAAGGCCGGTGTTCGCAGAGTCAAGTTCGTGACGAGCAGCCCGTAATTCGCTTTGCAGGACGTTGAGTTCGGCTTGAGTAGTGCGAAGTTCGCCCTTCCACGATCCCACAGCGTCTTGAATCTTCTTTAGCTCCGTCGTCTTTTTCGCCAGCATAGCGCTCGTGACCTCTGAGTCCCTCTTTACCCTGCTGAGCTCGCAGAGCGCAGCGCGCGCGTGGGCGAGGTCCCGGGAGAGCGTGTTGTTCTCGGATCGCGACATGACGAGTTTCTGACCGGCAGTCCTTAGAAACTGCTGGGAGTTACAAAGGGCGTCTTGAGCATTGGACAGAGCCGTCTTCAGTTCGTTGATTTCGCGTTGATGGCGTTCGGCGTACGGGTTCAAGGAGGCAAGGGTGGATCGGAGGTCGCGTGCGGTTGCAGTGAGAGACTTGATGAAGTCGCTTCGAGGTGCGTGTCGCCCAAGAAATCGTATAGCGGGCAGCGAAAAAGAGTAAACTGAGAAGGAAAGACCTGAGAACCAGTGCAACAGCGGGAGGTACGTCGGACGGACCTTGAGTGATCAACGTGGGACACATGCGCTTCAGAAACGACTCGGGAGCGCGAGGGGTCACCTGAGAGCCATACGCAGAGTCAAGAAGCCGAAGAGAAGGGAATCGACGCGCATTCGACGCGTCTCCACGCGCCGCATCTTCGTTTGCCCGAGTCGGGTGCGTGTTCGTTCGCGATTCCGCGAGCCAAGAAAAGAGTGTCAAGAGAATGAGCGTGAGCAGCGCTACGCCGAGCGCAGAAAGGATATCCATGGCGGGAAGAACGAAGGCGATGATCTTGATGAGAGGTCGGGAAGAGGAACGTTTGGTTCTTCGCGTCCGCGACGCGCTCGGTTAGGAGTTGTTTCTCACGCCACAATCGTTGGCAACTAGCCGTTGGTACTCGGACACGGACACAGGAGCAGTACCTTGATGAGATTGGGATAGAGACGTGCTAGGTAATGGTATAATTGTGATGCAAAATCCAGAAGTGCGACTATTGGGAATATATGCTACAGTGCATTGAAGTTGTGGGAAGGGGAAACAAACGGACAATAGATGAGAAAGAAATCGTAGTAATCCACCTTGCAAAGACGTTGACCCAAGATAGGATGAACGGGAAGAGATGAGCAGCGCAGCGCCAACCGTCAATCACCAAGGTGAGGGTAAGTTGCCGCGCGCCGGATTTTACAAGTTTGATGCCGTCGACGTCGCCCCGCGGATGGTGGAAATGATCCTCCCGAATAAGATACTTATATGCGCTCGAAGTTGAAGATCGTGGGACCACCGAGCCCTGTCTATGGTCGTGCGTATCGAAGAACGTGCCCGAGCGAACCACTTCATATGTGTCCACTGCATCTGATCCACACACAGAACTCGATGGAGAGACCAATTGAAAAGTAAGAGAACTCACCCTCTAGATAAACACGCAAACCGATATCTTGCCCAGGATGCCGGCCTTGACCCGTGTCAAGACGGGCACCCTCCACCTTCACAGTCCCCGGGCGAGGCTGAGTACCGAGTACTCGTGCTCAAGCCCGGGACCACCTTGGCCCTTTGGCCAAGTCTGCAACACTGTTGCAGCCGCTCGTCGCGCAAGGGTCGATCCGAGGGGGTTTGAACTGTGGGCGCGGTATTGCACGCGGAGGCAAGAGAAAAACCGCTGAAGCATACTCGTGAGGCGTGTATCATAGCTGTAAAGTAAGTCAGTTAATGGCGCAAGCAATATGCTATACGAGCACTCACCCTTCGTGCGAGCACGCGAACCGGTGCTGCTCACGAACGCCCACCCCGACCAAGAGGCAGGCGCCCGTCCACCCTTGCAGTCCCCGGGTCGAGAAGATCGACCCGGCGCCCACCCCGGCCCCACGGCCGGGTCTGCAACTTTGTGCAGCAAACGTCGAGCAAGGGTCGATGCGCTGGGGCTTTGACTGCGGGTGCGGTCGGTGACACAGAAGCAGGAAGCGGTGAAGCGTGTCCAGCGCGCTCTAAACTTGCGAGCGCGCCGTTGGCGATGAGGATGCCTTGGTCAATGTCGATGTGGTATAACACTCGGGTCCTGGCGCATGACATGTAGACGAGGGAAGGGTGTTCTCCTCACTGGCGATCGGCAAGCACAAGAGGTGGGAGAATGAGGCGGGGGGAGTGAGCGCGGCGGCGTTCGGTGGGTCTGAGAAGATGCAGGCCTTACGGCGCTGTCGAATGGGATCAGTGAAGATGCAGATATTATGAAACGCTCTTCTCACCGTCTTAAACGACGCCGGAAGCCATCGATAGGGGCCTAGGCGATGAGGGCGAGCCGGTCTGAACGTTGGGAACAGACGCAGCAGGGACAGCAGGGATAGCAGGAACAGCAGGGATAGCAGGGGCAGCAGGGGTAGCAGAGGCAGCAGAGGCAGCAGAGGCAGCAGGGGAAGCGGGGGAAGCAGGGGCAGCCGTCGCCGGGGGTTCCACTCGTATCAGCCTCTTCCATTTGATATCGTCTTGCAGCATCAACAAAAGGAGCTGACCAGCGTTCAATTTTTCAATGCCGCGCTGCAGGTCCTCGGCCTGACGGTTCAGGCTACCAACCTTCTGCTGAAGGCTGCGGTTAAGACTCTGCAGACCACAAACTTGCTTTTTGAGGTTCTGGTTGATCTCCGTCAAGCCATCGACCTGCAACAGGAGGTTGCAATGGGCGGCCGCCATCTGCAAGTTGTCGCCCGTGAGATTGTGGATCTCGTCGCGTTGGTCGTATATCTCGTCCTCCAGCGCAGCAATTTCCTCAGTCATCCTGGCGCTCTTCTCCTCGGCGTCGAGCTGCTGCTTCTTGAGATATTGCTGCTGCAGATGGGCTCCCATGTGTTGAGAGAGCCAATAGTCCCTGTCCTTGCGCAACTGAGCGTTGTCGGCGCGGGCAGCCGCAAGATCATCGTCGCGAGCACGCTTCTCGTCCGAGAGTGTAGCAATAATGGCATCCTTCGCGGCGACTTCAGCATCCCTCGCAGCGATCTCGACGTCCTTCGCAGTGAGCTCAGCATCCTTCGCAATAATCGCGGCGTCCTTCGCAGCGATCAGCTGGGCGTCCCGATTGCGCATCACAGCGAAGGCGAAGAGTGCATCTCTCAGACGGCGGACCTCCTGCTGGAGCTCGGCAGCGTTTGTGGCACGGCCGCGCTCAACAATGACGGGCTCTGGAACAGGCGCGGGCTCGGGAGCAGGGGCAGCGGAAGTAAGGACATCATCGACGGCGGCGTCCGACTGAGAAACTGATGGAAGGCGAGCGGTGGTCAGCGTACGATACGCGGGGTTGGCGATGCAGAACGCACCACGTGCTTCCATCTCGCCGATGTTGATGACCAGCAGCGTCTCCGTGGCATTGGGCCAGTCACGAGCGGCAGTGGCATTGCGGCGGAACCATGACCGAACGAACGCAAAAATCTTGACGATGCAGCGGATGGCGACGTCGAGAAAGAGGATGACGGAGAACCGGCCGAGGATGTAGATGACGGTCTTGAGCATGGCCTGAGTGTCGCCGAGGTTGGGGTGCAGGACCAGAAGGACGTGGCAGAGGATGAAGAAGGTAAGCGAAAACATCGTGGCAATGGTGCCCAGGCGTCGCAGGCGGGTCGCGGTTCACCTGTGGTGGTGGTTAAAAGGAAGAAGTGAAGGGATCAGTGGCAGCTATAAACCCAAGCGCTTATTGTCCCTACCAAAGGGGAATGCCGTGATGATGGCGACGGGGACCTGGCCCGACTCAGGGTCCTTTGCACATGGTCGTCACGGGATGCTGTAATATCGTGACAATAGAGTTTCCTTATTTGGACACACAAGCCTTTGCGAAGCCTTTCGGCGTGATGCCGGTCAGAGGAACCGGTGGCCGCGACAATTGAGGGTTCCCTGCGGCAACCTTGGTTTCACGAAGCGCGTAAGATGGAACCTACCAGAGGGAAAACGCATGTTACCATCAAGAACCTGGTCTAAGCACAATGAGCACCGTCGGCGGCGGACGGTCAAAGGCCAGCCTCATGATGATGCCCCACAGCGATGCAAGCAGATGGCGTGTTTGACATGAGGTAGATAGTGTACATGTAGGCCAGCGCCAAATATCCTAGTCACATCTGCGAATGATTCAGCGCAAGTCAGGGTGTGGCAGAGCAAGTCGGTACCGCGCACTCGACATGTTTCCGATATCCGGCGCGGTGGCCGGCAGTGCTCTGCGGAATTTGTAGACGCACCGAAGCCTCCTCACGACTCCTGCGGTGGCACGCTCAGGCGAGCATCCGATAACGCTTTACGTAGACGTGCGTTTTCCGCCTGAATATCCTCCAAAGCTGTACGCATTCGCCGGAGATCCTCCGCGTTCTCCTCGAGCGTCGTTCACCTCCTAAGGAGCCTTTGACAATCTCCTTCGACTCCCGCTCCTTCAAAAGGCCGTCCTGAGCATCATGAAGGGCATCTCTGAGGCCAGAGATGGTGTGATCGCGGGCGTCAAGTTGCTCTTGGAGCCCCATAGATGCGTGCTTCAAGAGCAGGACTGTTCACTCGAGTGCGCGCCGCTCCGCCTACTAGCAACAATCTGGTCCGAGGCAGTTGTCGAACCTGAGCGGAGGGATTCCCCCTTGTCATCTAGGCTGCGGCGTATAGTCTCGTTGTTCTGTCGTAAGTCGTCGTTGAGAGCTTGGAGGGCAGAGAGCCAAAAGTTTGAAGCATAGTCTTGCGAAAAATGATTCTCAGCTGAGCACTTGCGATAGAGCGATGGCACAGGGTTGTCGCCTCTCATGAAAGCTGGTCTATGGTCCTGCGCAGGTCGATTTCTGTAGACCGAAGGGATAGTATCTCGGCGTCGTGCTCTTGTGCAAGGTACTATGATTCTGGAGCTGTCAAGAGACGCAGGAGTTGTGTCTTGGTTAGTGCTTAATTGGCTAGAGTGTGCACGTCTTTGGCGAGGAAGCTAGTCTTCTGAGCCAACAACCGGGACTTTCTCGATAGACATCGTCGACCAAAGCCAGCCAAGGACGTCGTATAGAAGTGCATATAGAAGGTTGGAGAGAAATGGGCTGTTTTTGTTGTTTCTCATGCTGTTGGATGCACGGCGAGGTCCAGGAGGAGGCATAACAACTAGGCCTCAGACAAGAAACCTCGGGACGGGGGTACGTACCGGCTGTTGCCGACTGCGCGTGGAGCGGATCAAACGCGTGTTAAGCGCCGGCTGGTGCCCCGTCGCGGCTTGCTTCCTGCCACCATCTAACTGTTGTGACGCCCTAGTCGTCGCCGTCTACCCGGAGCATGACGGTCGACTGTTCGTCCCTAACATGTACGACAGTAGCGGCTTCTGCTGAGCCTATCTCGTCCGAATGCCCTCCAGAGCAGCAACTCCCACCCCGCGTGCTGCAAGCATCGCCTTTAGACGTGTATCCCCACACGTTCCTCCCTAACATCGATACGCGGAAGCTTCCATCACCCCCGGACGGTGACTCCGCCTCCGAGTACTCCTTCCCAAGATGCGTCTCGCCCGACCGATACTTCTCCCTCTTCCCTTCATGGCGGCTCGGCATCCACCTGCACGGCCAGCACGAGATGCGCCCGGTCGATCTCGCGTACTTCCGCCCCGACGCGGATGTATGCAAGGAGGTCTTTCTCATAATCTACACTGAGCAGCCCGAACCGCGCGACCGCCATTGGGGCTTACGCTGGGTGGTTTCCGCACGCTCGAACCCAGACCGCCTGGCCAACCGTGCTGCTCGATGTCTCGAGCTGTACGCGCACGTCCGCAGCAAGCATCTCGTCAACTGGGGACCGATCACGCAGCAGCACCATCTCTACGTCGCGCACCAGATCTCCTCGATCAGCCTCGGCGTATTGACGCTGGAGCAGCGGAGGCAGCTGGAGGCGATCGCCTGGAATGTACCGATATGCCTTCCGGATGGGGAGTGGAACTGCCAGAACTGGGTATGTGCGGTGCTCGTGATTGCAGTAGCGAGAGGGGTCCTGGATGGTGGGCGCGTACGCAGCGTCCTCGATCGAGCGTTGCAGAAGGAAGTCCGAAGTGCGTCATACGTCCAAATCTCAAAGGCCTCTTGCTGATACCTTGTCAGGCGATCCGTCACCTTTCGAGCGGCGTAAAAGCAGCGATGTTGCTTCCCTTTAAAGGTGTTCGCTCATTGACATGACACTTGGTTACGGTAAGTCGACCGAGCATCCGAGTTATCATCGTGCTGACTTATCGAAGATCTATAGGTACGTTACGCATGATATCAATACCCTCGCACGACCCGACACGCAGTACATATAGACTGTATAGTACCGACCAACCGTAATGTACGATTAACTCATGCATCCATTGTTCCTCATCTTCTCGCGCGCTTCGTTATCTGTTACAGTGCGACGGTAAGGTTGCTTCGCGCACTTTGTTTTATACTCATGGGTGCGCCCTCAAGTTTTGAGTACCGCATCTGGCAGCCCTTCTGGTCGCCCACGCTTCTGGTAAGACGATTGTCCAGTTCGCGCCATCGACCAAATATTTGTCCCCTTGGTATTTTCTCACGGTACGTTTTCTTTTCCTGCTCCCACCGTGTGCTGATGACGGTCCGGACTGATGACCATTCCCAGGATGCCGTGGGCACTGATTAGGCTGTATCGATGCGTAGCTCTCTACCGCCCCCTTCGCTGCGCGAGCTTGAGCGCTTACCACCCCCAGCCCCCTCCGCCGTTGAGGGTAACGAGCTCGGCGGCGAGGCCCGATGTGGATAGGACCGAGAAGTGAGGGCATTTTGGGGACAGGTATGCTCTATGTTCGACCCCCTTCAGCGCCTAACCAGGGGTTGCCTGCAGCGTCGAGTCTAATTCCACTGCTTTCCGACGAGTCTACCTTGAAAGCCCCTTCATCACTCACTACATCGCGCTTATGGGCTCCCTCTCCCCACCTCGTCGAGCGGAGGATGCGCTGCAGAATCTGAGCGGTGGAGACCTCTCCCGTCAACTTCTGCAGACCGCTGAAGAGCAGCTGCATGCGCTCCAGCCCGGCGCCGACTCATCAGCTGCTCGCCGCACCCCCATCTCGCGCATCGATCCCCTCAGACGCGGAAGGATACTCTCGCCGATCCACGAGCTCCCGGTCGAGGTTCTCTCGATCGCGTTCCATTTTTACGTTCTGCAGGACCGCTTCAGGACTGCCTCGACGAGTGACAGGCTACAATGGTTCATGCAGCGCGTTGACCACGGACCTTGCGTGCTACTGCGCGTATGCTCCCGGTGGCGCGGGGTCTGCAGATCATGCCTTTCCTCGTACTTCATGACCCTGATTATGTCCATCTCATCCCTTGTCATATGGCATAGTACGATGAGCAGTCTACCAACAGTTGATGGCCCTATGGTCTGGACATGCCTACGACATTATATGGACCTTTTCACCGGGGGCTTCTTCGTGCTTCCGATGGCCCACGGTCCCCATCGCCCTGCTATTGTCCCAGGTGTCCCAGCTCTGGAGAAGACAGATCCACAAGTCGAGGTTTCCGACTCTCTTCTCGCCTCCTATTCCCAGCGTTGCTCAGAGCTGATCATGTGCGATTGGGGAACCAGAGCCTCCCAGCGCTCGTTGATGCGTTTCGCCAGCATGTTTGTTGCACTCCATCCCGCGCAGGGGCGGCTGCAGCATCTAGAGACGCTTTCGATGGAATTCACAGATCCTAGCAATTTCTATGATGGGTTTTTCAATCAAGGCACACTCGGGATGGCGATCGCGCGCTGTAGACTGTTTGCGCATGCGCCCCAGCTACATCGGCTGAAATTGTGGAAGAAAGCAATTCATATTCTCGACGCCATACTCCCAAGACTTGCTCTTCCATGGCACCAAATCGATGATTTTCGATGCCAATACGATAACCCGCGCAGCTGTCTCGCAGCTTTACTATCCCTTCCATCGCTCACGACCGCGACGCTACTCAGATTTGTCTCGTACGGTCCACCCCCCGCTGGCGCCAAGATCGACTATGTCGAATATTCAGACGATCATTCTCAAGAAGATGAATGGCTCGGAGGCCCAATCAGATACAAATCCGCACCTTGGCCGGGGTATCGCGTCAAGAAGCCCATCTGCCTGGCGCGGCTATCGCAGCTCAGCCTATTCTGCCAATATGGATATGTGGCCGGTCATCGGGAGGGCGATGGTCCCATGATCGCCTCCTTGCAGGACTATCCGGGCGAGATCCTTGACTTGCTCCGCGCACCAGAGCTCGAGCGCTTGCGCATCGGATTCGCCTCTGACGAGGCGCCGCGCGGCTTACGACCTACCACCGTTATCCCTACCATCGTGTCTTTCCTTCGCCGCTCCGAGTGCGCGCTCGTCGAGCTCTACATGTTCCTCCAGACGCAGGAGACGGACGAGGACATGGTTGAGCTCTTTCTCACCGTCCCGTCGCTCCAGAAGCTCACGCTCTGCATGCCCTCCGACGTCCGGCTCTCCGCGGAGGCCCTCCTGGCACTCATCGTCAATCCCTGGAGACCGCGCACGACGCTTCTCCCCTGCCTGCGCTACCTCACACTCGTCACGGACTGGTCGCCCGACCCCAGTCTCGCGGAGGGAGACGCGCTCGCCGTGGCTATCGACTCGCGAGTGACCGCTCGTCAGGACACGGATGGTCTAGTGGATAATCTGGAGATATTCCGCTTCGCCTGCCAAGCGAGCCACCAATTCGTCTGGTGCGGGTGGACCAAAGAGCGTTTGAAGAACTGGATGAGGCAGGGGTTGAAGATCGGGAGGGCTGTGGTGGACATGCCGACGGAATGGATTGATGTTCGGGATGAAGGGCACTTTATTATTGACTGGGAATGGCTGTGGATTGACACCATCGACGACTGTTACGATTGACTTATGCTTACACAAGCGGGAGAGCCCGTGTCTTCGCCACGGGTCCATAGACTATAACAGCCTTACTGATCGCAGTAGCCAAAGCTTACTCGCAGACTCTCCTTGAATATGCCTCTATCCACGGTCATGGTTTATCTCGGCCTCACTGGTTACTAGTCTGGACTGCACGCACGTAGCCTCATCTGCAGGCCGTCCGTCAATATTCCTTGCCGTTAGCTTTGCTGTCACACCTTTTCGTACACGAATCATACGAACAACCGGCCTTTCTTCTCGTCAATGTACTCTGCCAAAGTGGCCTTACTTTGAGGACGCGGCGTCCAGTGGCCAGTACGACAGCCTCGATTTTGCAACTCAGGGACTCCAAGATGATTACCTTACCGTCACCTTCGTGCTCATATGTCGTCCGAGGCAGTAAGAAGAGGTCAATGCAATCTGCCTTACTGCTAGCTGAGTTACCATGGTGGATGAGCCTCACATACTTTCATCGCGCGGAATGGCCGATGTACGCGTTAGGGTCAATGGCAGCGCGACAGCGGACGCATCTTCGACTGTGGGGCAGTTCCGCTTTGTAGGCTTGCCTCCGTGGTGCGCCAAGTAATCATTCTCGCCAGTAGAGCATGGAAGTCGTAAGGTCAGCGCCTTCGTCTCGCTCAGCGCCGTCAAGTCGGAAGGCCGTTATCCTCATGCTTCAAACCTGCGTTGCGCGCAACGGCTTGTTGGCTACGTATCGGCCTTACTCGTAGGCAGACGATGTATGAGCGACGCTGTATTGAGCTGTACGGAGGCGTACAGGCGTCGCTAGCAGGCTGGCATGACGGGCGGACACAACTTATGTGCGCGCCGCTTGTCGCCACGTGCTGGGTTGATGGGGGCCGGCCCCAGCTGTTGCTCCTTTATATTGTAGATGTAGATATAAACGTCTCTTTTACTGCACCACCGTTCCATCACGCCCATGCCGCGTAATGCGCCACCCGACTATCGACGCTCTTATGCGCGTCTTCCAAAAGCTTGACAACTTCGTCTGGTAGAGGGCCCTTCTCGCTGCGAAGATATTTTGAGCACTTTAAGAGTAAAGGGTAGCTCAAACGCAACATACCTCGCGCCCATCGACTGCTCAAGCTGAATCAGCTTGCTCGCACCGATGATGACCCTGTCCTCCGGCGTCAACTGGCTATGGTGCTGCAACCACCGCAGCGCCGCCTCGGTGAGGGTTATGTTATGCTTTTCCTGTAGTATATGTCAGCTCCCTCTGACGACAGATATGGATGCTGGCGTTTGACGGATAACAAAATGATGTACGACGCCATGGTCGCGACAGCGGAAATTTGACTCAATGAAGGCAGAATAACCCCGACAAAGGAGAAAATACCGCACAACAAAGTGATGAACTCGACGACGGAAGATCCACGCACCAGCACGCCCTGCAACTCCGCAAAAATTGGGACCAAGGGAGCATATCGCTCCTGCAGCTTGGCCACGAAGGGGTTGCCCGAGCTGGAGTCCCAGCGGGAGCCCTTGGCGTCCTCGCCGCGCATCTGATCGACGGAGTGGAACTTGCCGGTGAGGAGGCCGCCGCTGGAGTGTTGATGGTGGTCAGATGAATCTCCTGACCGGAAGACAAGGTAAAACTCACGCAAGCGGGCTGTAGACATGAATTCTCATGCCATGGGCGCGCAAGCACGGGAGGAGCCTATAGAGGAAGCGTCGTCATGAAGGCAATGGAAAATCACAGGAAACGCGAGCTCACTCAGGCTCGATCGTCCTCTCGATGACGTTATATACGCCCTGGTAGACGGTGGGCACAAGCCAGCCGTTCAGTTTGCAGATGGTGTAGATCTCGGAGACCTATGTCGTCCAACGTCAGGCTTAGACTCTTTCGGATTAAACACTCGCAGACATGCGTACCTCCCACGAGTAGAAGTTGCTCAGGCCGAATTCCGTGCTGTGGGATTTGTTAGGAACACATATGCTCTTGAGGTATTATATGGGGGGCCCCGGAGAGAAGAGAGAAAGAACGCACAAGTATCCCTCCTTATGCAACTCATTGATCGCGCGGCAGGTGTCTTCGAACTTAACGGACCTGTCCGGCGAGTGGAGGTAGAACACGTTGATCTTGTGTGGCGCGAGGGTGCGCGCGGAGGTTTCGACTGCCTCGCGCAGCTTCTCGGGTGAGTGGTCACCGGGCTGGGCGGGGAAGCACCTAGCATATTTTTGTCAGTCCAAAGGCAGTATGATAAGTCAGAATGCACATACTTCGTATCCACGAGACCGCCGTGGAGGTCGAGCTTCGAGAGCGCCTAGGAGGAATGTAAGGTGAAACTTGGGAGTGATACGGAGGAAGGTGGTGAGCGTACCTCTTCAGCGGTCCCTCCAGAATAGCGTCTAGCAGTATCATAGCGCGTATACCCATGACCCGCAAAGAGGTCAATAACTTTCTGGGCGCTGTCGAGGTCAGGTATGACACCAAAGCCTGGCAGACCTATGCTACGGCTGGTCCCCTGGCGGCAAACAATATTAGCACGTTGTAAACAGTCAAAATCCTGCGAATATACGCACGTAGATGAGCGGAATGCGACTGGCAGGCATAATTGACTGGCTATATCGAGGAGGTGATGGGACAAAAAGAAGGGGGCAGAGAGGGGCTGTCTGAGTCTGGAGACATCGCCAGACAGCTCGCGCCTTTTATACCTGCAGGCGTGAACTCCAAGAGTCAAAATTTGAGGGTCATGGATACGTCGGACGTGGGTCAGAGAGCACAGGAAACGAGCGAAATATGGGCGATGGCGCAGATAAAGTGAGAGACTTGCGTGTACGTCATGAGTCAACTGCCGCTTGCCGCGTCCGAGTCGCGGGCCTGTTGTGCTGTAACAACTCGACTTTCCTCTTACCACCAGCAGTGTACATTCATCTGCATTCTGGCGGACGCATACCTGCATACATTTCTAGCTCAACCATAACGCGCATGGGCGGCAAGAACAAGATGAACTTGAACGCGTGGCGTGGGAGAATGCCCCTTGCGACAGGGTCACGTGAGAAGTGCATGACATCTGGGCGCGTTCATGTTGCATTGCTCTTGCACTTGACCGTCGCTGTAGCCTCATCATCATGTCCGGCATGTTCAAAGGCATACTTCCCCACAAAAGAGTCGTCTCGACAGACGAGTTCACCATGGTCACGCCGCCGCTGGGCGACGTGAACGGCAAGGAAAACCACCCGGCGCAACACCGCAAGGCAAACACGAAGGGCAAGAAGCAGGACATGCTCAAGGGGAAGGGGCAGCCATCTGCCCCGGCTCCTGCGAACCCTGCCGACGAGGCAGTAGGCGAAGACTTTGACAAGCTCATGGTGCGTCGCAAAACCGGTGGAGCGTCGGGGCACGTTGCTGACGCCCGCGCAGGATGACCTCCAGATCCCGCCCACCCTCCGCCCCAAGCTCGCGGGCATGGATGCCACCGTCAAGGCCGCCATGGTTAAGTCTTCGCACACTCTCGCGATCCGCCCGCGCCCCGAGCCCCCGCACACGCCGCCACGAGGCGCGAGCCTCCGCCGCGCGCATAGCATCGAGTCCATCAGCTCGCCCGCGCGGCCGGGCAGCAGCGATCTGCAGGACATCTTCACCCCGCCGAGCGCGCCGTACATGCACATGAACGCGAGCCCGAACCGAAACACGCACTCGCGCGGGAAGTCGTTCGACACGTCGCGCATCTTTTCGAAGAGCCAGATCAACCTGGCGAGCGCGAGCGCGTCGACGGTGGACCTGACGACGGCGGGGAAGGTGAACAAGGACAAGGCGGCGGGCGTGGCAAAGACTCAGAGCCCGAACCGGTTCTTGAGCATACTTCTCGGCTCCTCGAGCACGGAGTTGGACATCGAGAGCGTGAAGAAGCTGCGGTTGATGTTGAGGAATGAGTCTGCTGGGTGAGTGGCAAACGCGTTCATTGTGTGAGCCTACGCTTACGTCGTGCGACAGGTGGACGCAAGAGTTCCTCAAGATCGGTGGCTACAACGCGCTCATGCTCCGCCTAAACGAGATCCTTGAGGTCGAGTGGCGCGAAGAGCAACACGACGACCAAATCCTATACGAACTCCTCCGCTGCTTCAAAGCCCTCTCCACCTCCGCCATCGGCTGCTTCGCCCTCCGCAGCTCCTGCCCCAACCCCTACGTCAAGCTCGTCGCGCTCATCTACAGCGACAAGCGGCCCGGCGACGTCCCCTCTCGGCAGCTCATCATCGAGCTCCTCCTCCTCCTCTTCGACCTCTACCCGCCCTCCTCGCTCCCCTCCACCGGCCGCTCGCGCCCGCCGCGGCGCGAGGCCTGGGAGACCGCGTCGACGACCTCCCCGCAGCCGAGCGCGCTCATCATCCTCCCCGCGCCGCACAAGAGCGTGTTCTCGCTCGTGCGCGGGATGCTGCTGACGCCCGCGCCGCCGCCCGCGGAGTGCCCCGCGACGCCGGTCTCGCCGCACGAGTTCATCGAGAGCATCCACAAGCCGAGGATATACAAGACGTACCTGCAGGAGCTGAGCGATGTGTGCAGGGACTACTTTTGGGTGTTCTGCCACGGGGGGAATGTGATTTGGGTGCTGGCGGAGACGGATGAGAGCAAGGTAGAGAAGCCGAGGGCGCCGGGGGGCATGACGGGGGGTGTGGAGTTTGAGGCGATTGGGTACTTTGTGAGTGGGGTTGAGTGGTTGGAGAGGTCGGTGGCTGATTGTGCACAGACAACACATCTGCGCTTCCTGAACACGCTCGCCAAGTGCGCGGCGGACCTGAACGCACCAAAGGAGGACGAGCTATCCGCATGGAGATTCCACCAGGACCTCTTCGACTCCGGCTTGGAGCGCATCCTTTTGGTAAATACCTGCACGCTGCCCCCTCATCTCTCTAACTTCCTGTCCCTTAGATCGCCCGCAAGGCCTCCACGACATACTACCCGTCCCTCCACCTCGAGATCGCGCGCTACGTCGCCCACGCCATGCGCGCCGGCTACGAGCTGCCATGGACGGTCTCGCGGCTCGTCGGCCTGCCGCCCGCGGCACTATGCAAGAACCAGTACGTCGCTCAACAACAGTCGTCTCCATCCAAGCGGGGCATGCCCATCCTGCCAACGCCGAAGAAAACCGAGCCCATTCGCATGACTTGAGTGCTGATTACTGAATGTTTGCTAGGAGGTATCAGGGCCGCTGAGCTGACTGTGGGCCTTGAGCTGGCTGTCGACCTTGAGCTGACGGCGGACGTTTCGCCGTTATGTGCATGGGCCATGGACCTGGTGCTCATTATCATCATATTCATGTCCTCTATGCCGCTCGCATGCCCTCAGAACATGCTCACCCCTCTTCCACCATCACTGCTGTAAGTACATAACTACATATAGACTTACGACTCGGACGCTGCCATGATCCTTTTCTTGCTCGTACCCCCTCTGTACCCTGACTATCTACCTGACCACTTGAATCTCCCCTGCGCTGTACGAGTACCCTTGCTTTCGTGAATAGAAATTCGTGCTGGCATGGTGTTTCTACCTGACCTCCTCCTTCAAGAACCAGAGCTTTCTGGATGGATTCATGGAAGGGAAGGATAGAAGGGAGAGATAGAAGTTCAACTTTCACGTGCCCCCCACAAACGTGCGCACGTTCGTCATTTATTGAATTGATCGGGGGCGCACTTAGATGGACCTTCTTCGCATACCACCCCCACGGACGTCCGTCCTCCCCATTCCAGTGTCGCCAACATGAAGTTTGGGAGAAAGATTAGCGTGAGTCGCGATGTCGGTTACGGCAGCCAGAAACTCGCTAACCCGGCGCGCAGAATGACATGTACAGCGAATGGCGGCCGTTCTATCTGGACTATACGCTCTTGAAGCGCAGGTTGAAGGTGTGTTTTGCGGTGTGTTGTGTGTGGGTGATGGTGGCTGAGAAGCATACGTAGGACGGAACGACGAATCATAGCTGGACGGCGGAAGATGAGCAGGACTTTACGAACCTGCTGGAGAAGGAACTGGACAAGATCTATGAGTTCCAGGTGCGTGATCATCCTGTCGTTCTCAGGTTCATACTGATACGTTCTCGCAGAAAGACAAGGTGCGGGAGGTCTCCTGATATGGTGCAGAGCTTGCGACCTAAGTGCATCGCCCCTGGCAGACTTCGGAGCTGGCGCGCCGGATCCGCGACGCGCAGAAGCAGGTCAACAGGCTTGTCGCAGAGGAGGCGTCTGGCTCCAGATCCCCCTCCCCCACCCACCGCGACGTCGAGTCCCAAGAACAGCCCGCCGAGCACCCCCCATACTCCCTCGACGACGGCTCGGACGACGAGGACGACATCGAGGGCGAGTCCGACGACGACGACCAGTCCTACGGCTCCCTCGAGGACCGCTTCCACGAGCTCGAGGAGGAGGTCGCGACGCTCGTCGCCGACGTGCACGACCTGGCGCTGTACACGAAGCTGAACGTCACTGGGTTCATGAAGATCCTGAAGAAGCATGACGTGCGGTGACCCGCTTTATGGCCGTGACGCGGGGCTGACGGGAAGTGTTGCAGAAACAAACGGGGTGGCAGCTGAAGGCGGCGTTCATCCAGCAGTACCTGGATAAGCGCCCGTTCTACAAGTACAACTGGGATGCGTTGATCGTCAAGTTGTCGAAGCTGTACGATCTTGTGCGAACTCGGGGTCATCCGGTGCAGGGCGATTCGAGTGCGGGTGGGTCGCAGAGCGCGTTCGTGAGGCAAACGACGAAGTACTGGGTGGGTAATGCTATCTTCTTGTTCTGTACTGTGCTGAACTGTCTACTTCAGGTCCACCCAGACAACCTCGTCCCCCTCAAGCTCGCCATCCTCCGCAACCTCCCCGTTCTTGTCTTCAACGCCGAAAAGGAGTTCGAGCCGAAGGACGCAGCTATCACATCTATCTACTTCGACAATGAAGACCTTGAGCTCTACCTTGGTCGTCTCGAGAAGACCGAGGGCGCTGAAGCCATCCGCCTGCGCTGGTATGGCGATGTTGACAACCGGACGGTAAGTTTAACTCTCGAGCACGTCAGATTGTCCTATACCCACTCACCTCCTCCCCATAGATCTTCGTCGAGCGCAAGACTCATCGCGAAGACTGGACCGGCGAGAAGTCCGTCAAGGCTCGCTTCCCTCTCAAGGAGCACCAAGTCAACCCCTTCCTCCGTGGCGAGTACACGGTCGACAAGGACTTCCAGGAGTTGGTCAAGAAGGGGAAGAAGACACAGCAGGAGGTGGATTCGATGATTCAGCTGGCGAATGAGGTGCAGTATGCGGTGTTGACGAGGAAGTTGCAACCAGGTGAGTGCGCGCCAGGGTCCTCTCAGCCGTAGACACTTTTGGTGGGTGACAGAGAGTTTCGCTAACCCTTCTTCTATCCAGTGATGCGCACCTTCTACAACCGTACCGCCTTCCAGTTGCCCGGCGACGCGCGGGTGCGCATATCACTCGACACTGAACTCACCATGGTTCGGGAGGACAACTGGGACGGCAAGATTCGCAGTGGCGACAATTGGAGACGCACGGACATTGGCATCGACTTCCCCTTTCCGCAGGTGGAACCGGATGACAAGGAGATCTTCAAGTGCGTTGACGAACTTGCTTCTGATTGTTTGCTGACCGGTGTTTACAGGTATGGTGTACTTGAGGTTAAGCTGCAGACGCAGTTCGGGCAGGAACCACCCAAGTGGGTAACGGATGTAAGTTGTTTGCTTGACAGATTCCAGCGGTATGCTGACCGCACATGCAGCTTGTGCAAAGTCATCTAGTCGAAGCTGTGCCCAAGTTCAGCAAATTTATCCACGGCTGCGCGACCCTTCTGCCTCATCGCGTCGACCTCGTACCATTCTGGCTGCCTCAAAGTACGGTTGATAAACTTCCTCAGTGACATCCTGACTGATCTTTCGTCTCCAGTGGACACCGACATTTTGAAGCCCGACACCGGCTACCTCAGCGTCATCGAGCGTCCTCATGGCTCATCGTCCGCTTCGCCGCTTACCGCGTCGAAAGGCGGATCCTCACAAGGCTCTTCCGGCGGTTCCGCCGATCGTAGTCCTCCCGGCGAAACCTATCACGAGCCCGTCAGCGAGGGCGAAGAGGATGATGAACGTGACCTTCAGCCCGCGAAGGACGAGGACAAGCGTACAGGTCTCAGTGGAAAGGACCTGGAGGAAGCCATCGCGTATCGCGAGCGCATGCTGAAGGAGCAGCGGGCTAAGGAGCGCCGTGAGGAGAACGCGAAGCAGCGTGACGATGTTCAAGACCACCATGACCCCGACCACGCCGTTGACGACGAGGACGCTGATGAGGCAAGGCCGTTGCTGCGCGGTCGCCGCCTCACCAACGAGACTGGCCGTTCGCGGGCGTTGTCGATCGACCCATTGGCACCGTCCGCGGCGTTCGACGAGACGCTGCGGGATCGCCTCAGCGAGCACGAGCGAATGAACGGACATGGCAATGGGCATGCGCACGATCAGGGCGCACCGCCAAATGGCAGAGGCCCCTCTGCGGATGACGAGCGACTGCTCGAGCGCAGGTGGCACGCGCCAGATGGCAAGAGGATCGCGGTGCCCGTTCGTATTGAGCCCAAGGTCTACTTCGCAGCGGAGCGGACGTTCTTGGTACGTCTCTTTCCCATTTCCTACGTCTCCTCGCCTAACACCATCCCTCCCTCTTCAGAAATGGATGAACACCGCGGTCGTCATCGGCACTATCGCCACCACCCTGCTGAACTTCATACCCCCGGACGACCGGCGCGGGCTTATCAGCGCAGGGGTCTTCACCCTCGCCGCGCTGCTCGCGATCGCGTACTCCGCGGGAATTTTTGTGTTCCGTGCGCTGAGGATACGAGAGCGGCGGGCGGAAGGAATGTACTACGATCCGTATGGGCCGACGGTGCTTTGTGTCGTTCTGTTGGGCGCGCTGGGGACCAATATTGGGTTGAGGGTGGCGGAGATGATGGAGTGAGAGAGATGGTGGAATATGGTGGAGGATGGCTGCAAGGAGATGACTGCGATGATCTGTAAGCGTATGGTCAAGCTGGCGATTTTGATTCACCGAATTGCTGGGGTTCGCGCTAGCGCGTGCCTCCACGGACACTCATTCACCTGATGAACTTTTTCGTGACTGTCTACCTCAGCAAGCAACGTTATACGTATGCAGAAAGCAGACCGGTTCGACGTTCGGTGAGCCTGCGATGACCTATGGAGGCTTGGCCCAAGTCATACCAAATCCTGTTAGACTCTGCATAATACACCTTTCCCATCTCTTCCCCTCACCATCCACTTTTGCGCAAGCAATCCTCAAAACGCAGCAGATGCTGGATAGGCTTCTCGCGAGTGACTAACTCTGCAGGGGGCGCAGGTGGCAGCACGACGCGCAATGAATCAATGAATCACCGTCCTTCATGTATTTCATGGATAGGCATCGATGGAAGGCCAACAATCAGATCCGCTAGCGTCTAACGTCGTAAAACAACCTCCCACTTGACCTGAGCCTGGGGTCAAGTCACTCCGTGAAGCCCCGCGCTACGTGAAGCTAGACCCCACCTTGCGCGAAGCGAGGGCAAGTCCCGGGTATTGTTCTGTGGCACGTAGGCTTCGTCGGGATTGATGCCGCCGTGCTGAGGGGATGCGCCACAATAGCAAAGAACCCGGATGTTTGGCGACTTTGCGTGCGGTGAGGGCTCAGGTCGATGTTGGCAGGGAGCTGTTGTCGTTATCCTTCGACTAGATTGCGAGAGAGTAGGCGCAGAGAATCAGTGAGAACCGATGGGTAAATCGTACGGTCAAAAATGGCCTATTCGACAATATTGGAGCCTATTCAAGCACCTCGCTGTACCTCGTAGAGCCATCCTCGCAGATCCAGCTCCCTAACGATAATGTGGAGGAAACACGGGCTACTGCTACCTCTCCCCCTTCCCCTGATAGGAGTAAGAGGACATCAAGAGCAGTATGGAGACATCGAGAGGGGTAAGGGGACATCATGAGGGGTATGGAACCATCACGGAGAGCCAGATCGTTCAGTTCAGTTGCAGACGATCCCAGTTCAGTCGTATACGATCCCAGCTCAGTTGCAGATGATCGACTCGAGTCAAGCGAGTTTGAGGGACTGTATGCCATCGGGCGAGGGGGTCCAGGAGATATACGCGTATGGCAGCGTCGCCGCGAAATGAACATCCGAACGTCATGCACGTCGGAGCCGAGCGAGTGGCGTAGATAGTCCTGAGCCCAAGTCCGAAGTTCACGCAAGCTGACAAGGCGTGAGGTCAAGAGGTCGATGCACGCGGAGAGGTCGATATCTGCAGGCCGTCCAGTCTAAGGGGCCAGGTTCAGAGACCATCGTGGACATTGCTCCTTGGGGCAGCGAGCGTAAGCGACAGCCAGAAAGGGGTCTCGTACGTCCTTCTCGTCGCTGAGAACAAAGCAAGCGGTCGCAGAATCCAGAAAAAACATGTGAGGGGTTCGCGCGTGTGAGTCATAAGCACCGAGGTTGCTTCAGCCTCGGGCTCGTGGTCGCCATCTTCCGTCGACCTGTTCCACGTCCAGGGTGTCCTCCAGAGCTCCGCGCCAGGGTCCTTTCTGACGATGACCACCGACTCGGCCCCTTGCGATGAGCAAGCAGCACCGAGCCGGCGATATCAACGCGAAGAGGTCGGTGATGTCCTCGCGCAGCCGTCGTAATGGACGTGCTGATGGCGGCGAAGACGACGGAGGAGCACCGTTGGGTCCTTCCCGGTTGGGTTGCCGATGCTCAGGTTGCGGGACGTCTTCCGTCGATTGACAGAGGTGGATGACGCTGCGGTTAGCCACGCGAGGGCAACGTGAAGAGGGTGGCATGTTTGAGCAAGCGTGAGTCACCGCGGTAGCCAATAGTCTGAGAGGCCCAAGCTGAAAGGCGGGTCCAGTCTTGAGGCATCGTGAGCGAGGGGTCCTTTTAGACAATGCCGTAGTTGGAGAGCTCGCGCGCGTGACGGCAGTCATGTTGAGCGAGGTCATAGCACAAATCAGAGGTTTGAAGCGCCTCGGCCCCCCAGAGACAGAGGGACGACACAGAGGGAAAGCAATCAGCAAGTATGAAGTACCTTCGCAGATTAAGGACTGAGTCCCCTGGTGGGATTCCATCGTAGGATCCGTCAAGAGAGTAACCCGCAGAAGAAGATTTTGGTAGACCATTGCTGGGGCGAGAGATGCGAGGGAGGGAAGAAAAGAGTTGCGACGAGCGCCAGAGCAAGTTCTTATAAAGTGGGCTTGTACCCACCTCGGTCCAGCGCCGCGGAGGACTGCCCATACAGTGGCGCCGAGTCAGCGCTCATGTTCCCATTTCTGTGTGATACAGATAGCACCTCGGTAAGCTCCTGAGCTCTGAGGAGGTAGAAGAGAGCTCGCGGCGAGCGCCCGCGGGCAGCGCCCATAGCGGGAGAGGTCAGATGCACGCCGGCACGCCTGTGCCGCGCAATAACCGGGAAAAGGAGCTTGAATTCTGTCGCCGCATTGTACCGCGTAGGTGCGGAGATAACTCAGCAGAATATTATCTGTTCAAGCTTGAGATGTCCGGAAGGACATGCGCTGGTCTGCAGAAGAGGTCAAGAGACGCACAGTGGTGGCAGAAGGCAAGGTACAGACGGCGAAAAGTCACGAAATTCAACCGTGCGAAAGTCACGTGCTTTCTCGGGTGATGGCCAGCGCTGGGCGGCAGGCGCCCACTCTCGATGGTCATCAACCTCGGCGGCCGGTGACAGCGCTCACAGCGCCCGCTTCCCTCTTGCTCTCTACCACCATGTCCCCCTTCCTCCCTCTCGACCATCTGCAAGCCTTTGGTGGTCGCAGACGCCGTCCCCGACGCTGAATCCGACCCGAAAGCTATATCCCGATCCGGTCGGGAATTGACGCTGCACGTTCCCCATCTTCCATCCCGGCGCCATCCCTTCAACGGGCGTATGTGCTCAAGTCTCATGTCCTTCAAGACCTGCCCTCCCGCGGCGGAAGCGCCCAAATCATGAAGGGGAATATCGGACAACGGTGCAAACTTCAGAGGTGCGTGCTAGAAACGTTTGCATTCCGATAGTGAGCTGATCCATAGTTAAAGGTCGTCTTTAGCTAGATGACGCTACAGTATATGCATGAATATCGATACATGGGTTAGGCGAGCATGAAGACGAATAGCGAGAAGAAGAAAGCGAAAGGGGGAGGGGAACGGAACGGTACTATGGCGATGTGTATAGGTATGTGCCAAAAAGCTGGAGTTCATAACCGGAAGTGACGATAAATACCCGGGGGAATTATAGGTTCATGCCAGTGTTCATAGGAGGAGCACCTTCAGTCGGCTGTCGCGCACGACCTGCTGCCAGTCGATCGGCCGCTTGTTGATGTCGCGCTCGTGCCAGACGGTCTCCATCATGACGACGATGCCCGCCATATCAACAAGGCCGGATGCTTCGCTTTGGGCCTGCAGTCGCGTCTTCAAGAAGTTGCGCTGGGCGGCGTCCGCACACAAGCACCCCGTCAAGAAGATGGGGAATATCAGGAGACGGTCGTATAAGGACGCCGGCAACTGATGCAAGAGCTGTATCATCCTGTTTACGGTGGATACTATCTCGTTCACGGCTGGAGGACGCTGATCAGCGAGCAGATTCGACGGGGAGTGCCAGCAGGACTCACCAGGATGTGACCCGCTCAACACGGTGTGCAAGTACAGCAAGGTCGACTCGCGGAAGATGTTAGCTATCAACCGCCGCGTATCGTCGTCGGGGAATGTGGGTATCGAGGCGACCGGCGTGTGGGCCATCAACTGCGCGAGCTGAGCATCCTGGAGCGTGTCTTCCGGCGACGGCGCGTCGGAAAAGTGCGAGTGCAACCTCCGCTCAATGTCGTCGCCCTTTCTCATCAACTCGCGCAAGCTCAGCGACCCCCTGGCTTGCTCCGTCGCTTTCCACTGCGCTAGCGCCGACACCTCGCCCAAGCCGTACACCGCGTCGTCTGGACAGCCGTTAAGGCCATCGCATCCAAGCCCGGCACTCCGCCCATCTGCCTCGGCACCCTGCACCTGTCCGGCCCAGTAGCCTGGCGCAGACGTCTTCGATGTCAAGCGCTGGAACAAGGGCATGAACCTCGGCGCACGACCGAGCGACATGCTCGAGAAGACGTCCATCAACTAGAAGCGCATCAGCGTCGTGGTCATGATCGAGAAGACAAGGGAACTCACCAATGTCGCCCGGACTGCCAATTTCGCCGCCGGTGACATGTCGCGGTATTGGAGCTTCGGGTTTTCGTCTTTGGGAAGGCCCGTCTGCTGCAGCCAGTCGCACGCGATGACGAGGAGGGGCTGCCAGTCGACAGCGCCGCCGGACATCTGCGCGTAGCTGACTAAGTGAAGGGCGGCGATCGCATCGCTCTCGTTGTGGCCGCGCATCTGCTTCGCGCTCGCAAGCTGGAAGTGGCACTCCTCCTGGAAGAATCGTGTATTTGTGTGCACGGCATTGGGGTCCGGCGCTTCAAGCCCTTGGGCGACGCGCATCTGGGTATAATGCAGGCTCGCGAGTGCGCAGACGGCGTGGGTCACCGCGCTTTGCGGATCTTGCATGATTAACTACACGATGGTGTGTTAGTCCTGCTGAATGTCGACGACGTGCTAATAGACTTACTGAATAGGTAATGCTTGCGGCCGTGTCGCTCGAGAAGAAGTACTTCATCGTGCGGACGTGCTGGAAGTAATACAGAACGTGCTCCTCCTGGAGGGCGCTCTGCCCGGAGTAGAGGGGTATCGATTGTTGCACGGGCGAGGGCGCATGGACGTCGAAGTTGAAGCCCACGTCATCAGCTACCGGGGGGAAATCGAAGTCCGCCATGCTCGTGGGCAGGTTGGGCCCCATCGCGCCGACCGGGTTCGTGTCGTACGCGCTAAAGAAGGACGTGCCGAGGTCGAGGGAGTTGACGTCAAGCACGTTCACGGTCGGGTCGCTGAATGCGAAGTGGCTAGCGCCTGGGCCGGAGAGAACGTCAGCGCGCGAAGGCGTGCAAGGAGGGCGTGCGGGTCACCTGGCATGTTCGGGAGGCCGAACTCCTCGGAGGTGGCGGAGGAGGAGGGGGAGTGGCCAGATGTGTTCGACAGGCGATGGCGGCTGGTGCGCGAGGGGCGGTCGTCGCCGTCGGGGCGGGGGCCGCGCGGCTGGCCACGAATGAGGCCGGCACGGGTAAGTTGGGCTTTGATGTTTGCCTTGTACTCCTCGACAGCTTGCTTATCCTGTCAAGGTACGGTGTCAAAGAAGCTCTTCTAGTCGCTCTGCAGGCGAGGCACGCACCCGCATCCAATCCGGTCGCTTTGAGCCCCAGCCTAAGCATTCGATCCCGAGGCGCTTGCACGTTTTACACTGGCCGTCTTCGGGCTCCTCGTCGCATTTCTGCACGATGGGTGAGTTGGGGTGGGAGGAAGTATGGTGGATATGGCGCTGACCTTCCTGCGCAGGCGACATGTCCTGAAAGGTTGCTTTGTCAGTCAAATGAAGGAAGGACGATGTGGGGGCGACGCACCAGCAGCCTCCCGTGCCTGCTGTCCCACGCGGCCGATCGATGGCGCGTCGCGCGCCGCCGCGAGCTCCCTTTGACGCTGGCGTCTGGCGTCGCTCGTCGTTTGTTCGTGGTGCCGGTGATAAGGACCGGGAGTCTGATGATGGGGACAGGTTCGGGGAGTGGCTATGAATGGAGGATGGGGAAGCGCTCCCGCTGTGAGTGAAGTCGGCGAAAGCCATGGACGCGTCAATGTGGTGAAGGCGGAAGACAAGTTGGGCAGGAGGTCCGCTCTGATATAGCAGGTGGGTCGAAAGTGATGTATAACACCGAAAATCAAAAGACAACCGGGGCTTTTTCTGGTGCGAGATCACTGATTGACCCTTGTATTGAAGCCAGGAGATCGGGCGATTTGATGGAATTGCCCTGGGAGAAGCGTCGCAAATTGGTCTCAAATGGAGGTATCAGGGATGATTTATCACGTCTTCGCCGGTTCGTGAGGGGCCTTCGTCGAGGACGAGGAGGAGAAAGCAGAGAGCCTGAGGGCAGCTGGAAGTACCTACAGGTTACTGGGGCCTGAAAGTTGCCCTTAAAGATCGACCGGACCCAAATGCTCAGTTCCGGCGGGATCTCATTTGTCGCGTGTTGAAGTTCCCCGCCGGTGGCACCAACATATCGGCCCACGTTCGGGGCAGGGGTCGCTCGGCTTCCTGTTTCGTGAGGGATCTGCGGCACATGGCGACTAAATGCGTGGTTGCGATGGCCTGCTTCGCGCTGTATTCGAGCCCACCAGGGGGTCAGCTGGACGGAGTGAGGGAGGCTTTCGCGACTACGCTTCCCCCGCGAGTCGCGGAAATGCACAGCGAAGAGTTCGTATCTGCTCGGGCCCCCATGTGGGTCACTTGCAGCCACGAAGGTCTTCATGTCTGCAAGCTCGCGAGCCGGCAATGCGGAAATGGAAAGGCAACGGCCGACGCCAAACCTCAAAGTTCGCAACAATCCTTAAATTTTTCTTGTTAGAGTTGCGTGGGCCTTGTTCCACGTCTGATGGACGATCTCCCCGACGGCTAGCGAGGTGGCTCTAGCCGTGTACGTTGCGCGAAGCAGCGGTAACGAGAGCATTCGAGGCGACCTCCTTCCGCGCCCCGTCTCGGATTCGGACTCAGGGCGTGGGTAAATGAAGGCGAATGCTAAATTTATTGGAGTCGCGTGGGAGGCCGCACGCACGAGCCGGCTCGTCCGCATCGGGGGTGCCATTTTTGGCCAGATCGGGCGACCCCCCGCCCACGCGACGCACGTGCCGGAACCGCAGCCGGGATGCATGCACGAGCTGCGATGTTGTCGGCGTTGGACAGGCGCCTATCAGGGCGCCTATTGTCCAGGTCGCCATGTCTTGCCCAGATCCCACGCACGCGGCCCGCTTCTTTTCTTCTACATGCTCCGCGAGCTGTGACAACACGTCGCAGCAGATAGGCCGACTGGAAGACCCGCGGGCACGACGCGGGAGCCAACAATGAGGAGCCCATATGGCGTAAGGACGGGTACCCCAGACTGCCTCCTCCTGACGCCCCTGTATTAGGCGTTTCTTGTCCTCAAACATGGTGACCACGAGCGTACCATCATCTTCAGGTCCATCAGCCGCCTTGTACCACCTTCAAGTTCCCTATTTTGGTCAGCCGACAGTCAACAACCGTCGGTTTGTGCATCCTTTGCGGTCGGTTCTCCTCCTCTCGCCGCCGCTGATCTTCCGTCGTTAGTCGTCGCCAGTGGACGCTGCGATCATGTTCCGCATCTTCAGGTGCCTGCACGTCAAGGAGAGGAGAGCGTCGCTGAGGTCGAGGCCCGTCTTATGGGGTACCTTCCGGCGGCTTTCTCTCATTTTGTTTCACTTTTTTGAACATTATCAAGCGACTCAGAAATACATCTTCTGCATATTACAGGCAAGCAGGACACATACATCTTCGAGACCTTTCACCGGAGGGTGAAGAAAGCAAGAGGCGATGCTTCTCCTCCTCACCTGTCCGATGTTCTTCGATAACGCAGCGGCGGTGCCGTCGCGCCTCGTCGATGATTGTTTGTCGACTCACCATCGACAGCAACACTCACGGCCTCTAAACGAAATTTGAGAATGGTTCCATGACGGGTTCCCTCAATTACGCTCCTGGCGACGCCGCGGGACCAAAAGTATACGTGGCAGCTGTTCCTCGAGGCGAGATGTCCTCGCTCTTTCGTTGCATTGGTCGGCATTCTCGTCGGACTAGCCAGCTGCGCAACGCTCGACGCTCTCGCCTTCCATTCAGCGTAGAGGACGAGCCACGGTCGAAGGCGGAAAGCGTTGCGCCACAATCATCCTCCGCCTCCGGAGGCGTCCAGTCCTGCTCCGCTCCAGTCCGTTCATTGGCCCGTCCCGCAGCCCCGCATGTGCACGACGACGCGCGTCCTCCCGCGCCGTTCTAATTGGCCCCGTTCGCCAGAACTGCGAAAATTGGTCGCGGAGGAGAGGAAGGACGTCGCGGATCTTTCGAATGATGTTTTGCACGTCCAGGGACTTTTCCCTGCGGATGTTTGCACCTCCGAGTCGGCTGTCCACGGTCGTATGTTCGCCTTTCTCGTGTGTCGAGGGGAGTGGTATCTCTCCGTCCCCAAATTTGCGAAGCTGATCTTATTCTCATTTTCCCCTCGACCTCGCGAGTTGTTCGTGTACGGTTTTTCCTCTCGAGAATAGTTCTTCTCTGCGTCGCGTCGCATATGAAAAAAAAAAAGATTCCACCCCCTCCTCAAAGGCATCAGCTCGAGAAGGCCGCCGCCAACAAGCTGCCCCTCATATCGACTCTTTTGCGGACGCGGACAAAGGAAGCCTCCGGAGTCGAGGCGGCGAAGGAAGGGGGCGTGGCGACGGAAGAGGATTTGCGTCCGTGGCACCGACATCGTGATTATCTGATCCTGCGGCTAGCAGACATCAAATACCTGCCAAGCCGCCAGCATCACCGAATGGAAGCCCTGCCGCTGATTCCTGCCAGTCCTCAAAGAGGCGGCGATCTATACTCGGAGACCATGAATGTTTACCAGGGCCTCTTCTGAACCCTATGCTCGTCTTCTCAACACCATCCGTGAGTCCTGCGGCTGTGATCTTCTCCCTAGCTGTGGACCTCTCTTAACATGCCGGGATAGGGGGTTTGCGCGCCTCGAGGCAGGAAAGCATACCTCGAGGCGGGAGGACTGTGACAGTCCGTGACATGGAAGATGCCATCAAGTCGAACATGTCACGTGAGGAATACCTCCGCCTTCATGACCATTTCCGGAAGCTATTTTTCTTTGGGGGATTTGCGGCAAGCCGAAAGCGATGGACGCGTCGCGAGTACTGGCGAAGGTCTCGAGCGTCGACACAGCTGTCTACCGCAGTTCGCTAGTTGAGCTGGCGAGGCGCAGGTCCCTCGAACACTGGCAGAGATACCGACCGCCTCCGAAAATACAGCCTCTTCAGCTTTTGGCTAGCGCAACACGCGTCGAATCCAGCGACGCAGGCATTCGACTCAGCGAAATTGGCCGCTGTACTAGCAAAACACAGCTGCTCCCCCTGGACCATGCACCTTCCCGCGGCCCTATGCACTCCCCAGTCGCCCGATGCATCATGATACATCGGGCGCTGGGCGCGTCCGATGTGTGCTGGCTACGTCCGACGTTTCCTTATCCATGCCCCATCTTCCCATCGTCCTGGGAATGGCGCGAGTCCAGATCGGCAGGTATAGAGTAGATGAGGGACGAACTCCGAGCTGCCCTCGGCGGACGTAGTGATTGCGTGCTCCTTAGAGGCTTCGAAGGAGGGTGGGTGATGATGAATGGAAGAGAAATACCTCATACGGCGAGAAAAGCACCGTGCACATACGAGGCGACGTATGCATATGCTCGTGCAGCGCGTAGCTAGGCTGGACTGTATTCGAGACTCGACGATGACTTGGGAATCGGAGGAGGGTAAGTGTATTGAACTGCGGCAGAAGCTCAACCTCATTGGACCCACACACCTTCAATCGTTCGCGCGATTTTCGCGGTCGCTGCATCCTCCCATGTCGACAGCTGTTGAACGTGTCGAGCCCGTCGGACGATAAAGCACGCGCTTACTCACGCGTATACTGTACGAAAAGGTGCCGACCGCCGTCTTGCGTCCTCGACGCGTTGCAAAGCCCAATGCAGCCACTGAAAACACATCCAGTTGAACGATACCACTCACCAGGGGCACGACGATCCCTACACGGATATTCTCCGCAAACGGCCCTCACGGTTGTACGGGAGCGCGGAGGATCGCCCGCCACCGACGACTGTGACGCGCCCTCTAGAGGCGTGGGTACGTCTGAGAAGGACGGGCGCCTAATCCTGCTATCAAGGCGCCTACGCTCCGCGCCGCGCGGAGGTCGTGTCCGCTGACGCATTTGCGGCTCTGCGGCTTTTGAGTAGGCTCTGCGGTCTGTGGGCAGCCCTTCAAGCCTTGCTCGCTGCACGGCTCTTCGGAGTTGACTCGCCCTGAGGACACGTCATGTCGAGGATTCATTCAGTCGTGTAAAACCCTTCCTCTGCGGGTCGTTCATGATGTCGACCCCCTGCGGACGCGGGGTTCGCTTCTGTGGGCATGCCTATTCCCTGGACGAAGCCGCCCTGCACTAGCTTGACCTGGAGTTTTTTCATCGACGGAGCGGGAGGGGTGACGAACAGAAAGACGCACTAGTTGTCGTGATGGACAGTTCGCAGCCGAACCTGGTGGCGCGACCGACAGCACCGGGAAAGCCTCCTGCTGACCAAGGAGGGGGGCGCGGGCCACGATGACCAAGCCCGACGCCAATTCCCGATGACGCTTCGACGTCCCCTGCGCTGAATACACCGACCGTCGGTTGTGTAGCCAGCTGGCCCTCTTTGTCAACGCAGCTCTACCCCCGCTGAATAAGGATCGGCATATGCGCAGGAGGCGGGCCACCCAAAGCTCGCAGCTGCGCTGATTCATCGACCGTGCGAGGAGCGGGAGAAGATCGCGACGACATACGGGCAGCGGTGGTGGGGTGATGCGGCCTTGACATGGGCGTGGGGGCGTGATTGGGTTCCGTGGGCTCCATTCAGTAGGCCGGCGTCGTGGGGAGGCGAACGGGTGGTGAGCCATCATGGAGGCGAGATGAACCAGCTGCGCGCGGCCCTAAGGGGATGCCGTCCTTTGGCTGATGCCGATGCGGTCTCGTGCGTAATCTTGATACGGTGGCTACGTTAGGGAGGGGCACGCGCCTGGAAGCCATTCACGTCGAAGGTAGCGGATCGACGTACGGTTTTCCGGCTTGTAGTTCGAGTGGATCGCGATACGCCATGCATCATTAGGACGGTGATGAAGGGGAGACAAGCAACGTAAAGCTGGACACTTCCTATCCTTAACCTCCGTATGTCCAGGATGGGCTGACCATGTTCTACGCAAGGGTTCCGGAGCATCTACGCCCGAGTCTCTCTCACCAGAGATACTAGGTTCTGTCGTCTGCGCTATGTGTATCAGCGAATGCGCGCCCCAATAAACAGATCACTACGCACTTTGTATAGTCGCAACTGCTGAGCCGTTTTCGCCTAGGGTGCCGCCGACGCTAGCATTGATGGAGGCTGCTGGCAGTGCCGTACGCAACGACTGTCAATACCCCTCCCAACAGATGTCAGTACCCTGTACGACGACAGTTAGTATCCCGCGCAGCGACGGCCATAGCTCGGCTAGCCATCCATGTCGAGACACACGCTGAGTTCTCGTAGGTAGGGACCGCGATGCGCACAATTCGGTCTTGCTGATGGGCCGATGTTAGCGCGGGCAACTTCCGGATAGTTCGTGATGGGCGGGTCGCGTATGTGCCAATACGATTGGTGATTGGCGGGTTGATAGGCGGGAGCTTCGATGTCGATGATGGTTTATGGCCCCTTCATCACCGACACTGCCCACGATCTGCGGGAAAGGAGCGGGCTGAAGCCAAAAAGGAGGCCAAGCAAGGGATTCAAATCAAAAGGGAAGCAAGAAGTTGGATTTAAGTGGTAGGTCGAGGTTAGCACCTCTTCTGTCTCCTGCTGCCTAGTCTCTGCGAGGTCGTGTGGTGAGCGACAGCGAGGCCAGCTGAGGTTGATCGAGGCTCACCAGAAAGTGAATCTACACACTCACAGGTAGAACACGGCCACGTCGCTGGGGCGCAACCAAGGGAATCCTCACCAAGAGAACAATTCTTCTCAGCAGGCCGCGGAACATTTACACATTGTACATTCATTGCTGAACTTCTTGTTACAGCGTTCAGTTGTTTGACGATGCAAGCGATCAAGCCGCCTCGAGCTCCGCGATGTACTTCTTCGACTGCTCGTCGCCGGCGCGCTCGAGGATCTAGGGAGGGAAGTCCGTGAGTACGGTGATGAAGCGACGGGTGGAGGGTCGATGCAAGAGACGAGACGTTGGAGAGGTGAGAGGCGAATGTACGACCATTCGGCGGCAATGACATGGAGGAGGCACATGATTTGGAGAGGTGGCATGTGGGGGGATGTAGAAAGAAATTAGGACGCACCTCGATGAGCTTCTTGACGTACTTGTCCTGAGCGTCCTCTTTCGACGTGCCCTTGACCTCGGTCCACGCGTCCCTGCATGGTTGCTGAGCGTCCGGCGGAAGCATGCATATATTTAAGCGTCAACGTACCACTTGGCCTTGCCAGTGAAGTCAAGCATGCCCGGGCGCGTCGTCGTGTTGTCTCCGACCTTAGCTGAAAGACGCGTCCGCCGGTCAGCCCTCCATTCTTCGCATCCTTGCATTTCGCCCACTCACCCTGCTTGAAGTACTTGTAGAACTGCATACATGCTATGAGGTCAGCGATCCTGTTGCCATCCAAACGCGCGCGCCACGCACGTAGAGCTGGTCGTCCTGGGTGGGCTTGATGGGGCCCTCCTTGGGGAGCGAGCCGATGATCTCGACGGCCTTGTTGAACTTGGATTCGGACATGGTGGTTTGGAGCAAGGAGGATGGGCTTGACGCGGGCAGGCGACGCGATCTGGAGATGCGCCAGGAAGCGTGTGATTGATGGCGATTGGATCAGCGTGGGAAGTATGCGCCATTTCGGGAAACAAAGAGGTTGGACTTTGCCTTGCGATGGGTCAGTAAGAGTGCGATGGCGGGATAGACAAAAGCTGTGAACGTCTGGGACACTGGAAGTTAAGGGAGATGCAATTTTTAAAAATGGTCCAAAACCCGTCAATGCCAGCTCTTGGGATCTATACTTGTATAGAGTCACGGTAAAGCCCTTCAAGGGAAGTGCTCCCTCAGAAAACCTGGAGTATATCTTGCTAGGCCCAATTACACGAATGATGATGCGGCCCTCAGTGAAGGGTGGGTCGACCTGGTTGCAGACTGGCAGAAGACGCCAAGATAGCTCCTCGCGCGCAACCTCGTGTTGACGGCCATAATTTGGCGGATGCACCTGATTCCGTCAACCAGAGCGCCACCACATGTGGTACTGCCGCCCTGTGGACTAGCAGCGCAGCTTGAGCACGACAAGCCCTCGACCCCAGCAGCCCTCCAGAGCGGCCGCATCGCGGACGAGACTGAGGCTCGGAGGCGTCTATTTGTTCATGTGGCGCACGGACCTTGATCACGTGCAGCGTGGCGCCTTCTCGCCGTCGACTGCGCCGACCACAACGACGACGAGCACCGCATCCGGCATGTCGACCGCCACCGCCGCCTCCTCCATCCCCGCGGCCCCGCCGTCCCCGCAAGAAATCCAGCGTAAACTCTCCGTTCATTCCGTCGCAAAGTCGAAGGTACGCTCGCCCGCCCGCGCGCCCCTCGGGGGTTTCGCTCACCGCGCGGCAGTCGCAGACAGGCGTTTCGCCCCAGCCGCCGGCGCAGCAGCTCCAACAGCCGCCCCAGCCCCAGCCTGTCGCCGTCCCCGCGCCATCGCCATCGCCCGCACCGCTGTCCGTGTCCGGCACGGAGAGCGACTCGGACTCGTTCCTCTCGCCCGACGTGTACGCGCCGGCCGGTAGTCAGTTCGTCCCGCAGCAGCCGCTCTCCGCCATCGCGGAGCGGCGCTCGATTGGCGGTGAAGACTCGGAGGACGAGGACGATGCGGAAGGTGCAGGTGGATGGCGCACTGCTAGCGAGGCCTCCGTTCCGCGCGGGCCGCTCGGTGAGGGTACCACGATCCTCAAGGCCGGCTACCTCTGGAAGAAGGGCGAACGCAGAAAGGTGCGTGGGGCGTGCAAAGCGTGCATGTACGTGTGCCGATATGTCCTGCAGACGTGGAAGAAACGTTGGTTCGTCCTTCGCCCCGCGCACATCGCATACTACAAGAGCTCGGCCGAATACCAGCTCCTGCGTCTCCTCGAGCTCGGCGATGTGCACTCGTGCACAAAGGTGTCCCTGAAGCGCCATGAGAACACGTTTGGCCTTGTATCGCCCGTGCGCACGTACTATCTGCAGGCCGCGACCTCCAAGGAGGTCGATGAGTGGGTCGCCGCTGTCGAGGATGCTCGCAAGGCCCTGGTCCAAAGTGGCGAATTAGGTGCAGCGACACCCCCCATCGCGATCCCTGGTGCCACCGCACCGCGCCCAGTGCCAGTGACCCCCAGCCCACCATTCCACCAGCCCGCGATGACCTCTTCCGACTCCGAAGATGCAAGCCCCCGTCGCACATATTCCATGTCGTCGCAAACGCCTCCCACGCTCTCGACGTCGCCTGGCAAGGCAAGCGGAGTAACGGCGTCGGGCGCAAAGGAAGCGGGGAAGACGATTCTGTCAGGATATCTAATGAAGTGCACATCGAAGCGTCGCGCGTGGCGCAAGCGCTGGTTCGTGCTCACTCCGGAGAAGCTCGTCTATACGGGAAGTCATATGGTGCGCCCCGCCCTTCTTTCATTATCTCTATCACTCCCTAACAGCTTCTCCGCAGGACTCCAAACCACACCGCCAGTTCCCCTTCACCGAGATTCTGGATGCCCTCGAGTTCGACATGCCGCCGAAGCACAAGGACCCGGCGCATGCTACGTCACCCCCGCCGCAGGAGGCCATCCCAGAGGAGTCCGCGGACGCGTACACGTTCAAGATCGTCACGACGAGACGGACGCTGCTGCTCTGCGCGCCGACGGAGGAGGACGAGATCAAGTGGCTCGGTGCGATTCGCGCGCTCATCGCGCGGAGGACGGAGAGTGGGGTAGTTCCTGGACGGACGGCGAAGGGCGCGGAGGGAGCACCCTCTGCTCCCCAGCCCGCCGGGGCGGCAGCAGGGACACCTGGGACCAGCAGTGGGATGCGGGGCAAGATCCGGCGCCTAAGCCAGAGCGGGTCGGGGGCGCCACTGCCTGCTGGGGAGGACGCGGCGGCGAAGGAGAAGCAGTCCTGAGAGTTCGTCGCGAGGATCGGTCCTGAGACTTCGTCTTGGGAATGGTCCTGAGACCTCGTCTTGGGAATAGCCCTGAGATTCGTCTCGGTCAGTCCTGAGTCCCGTCTCGTTACCTGTTCTCTTCTATGATCACCCTTCGCCACTCCTCCTGCCCCACGGACCTTTGCCTTCGCTCGTTATCAAAATGACGCTACGTACCCTTATTACCGTGCATCTACTACTCGCTATCTGTTATGCCTTTGTTTTGGCTCTAATTCTGCGTTCAATAATCCAAGTGTACCATCTTCGCCTTCTGGCAGGAGCAGTCGAGGAGTAGGAGTCGAGGAGCACTGGAGTAGTGGGAGGTGGGCCTGATGCCGGAACGTTTAGACGCTGGTCACAACCAGCGAAAGTCGACGCAGGTCTATCTAACTGTGTGCGACGCAGCTAGTCGTAGCTAATCGAGCCGTTACTTTGAGGTAGTAACGACGCAGGAAGCGACGTCAAACTCGCTGGACCAGGACCGACGCCGATGCGCGTGACATGTCACAGCACTGTCACAGTTCGACTTTTCCATTGTGGCTCCATTCGACGACTGGACGCCACGCCACGGCCTCTACAAAAGCAGTGAAGAGGATGAACGACGAATGTATGTTCCCAGAACTTAAGGTCTATATAGGGTTGTTATGCATACAAAGGTGGTATGCGGTGAATTCTCGTCAATAGCACGAGAAAGACAGTCATCCCTTAAAGTCGTGAAGGAGGAAGAGACGCGCACCAGGATCGATTACGAGGAGTCACCCCAGTATTGGCGTCGAGGCTTGCACACGTCGAACGTTGTGCCGCAGAAGTACAAGGCTCTCCGCGCGCATGGAGGGAAGGTCGCTAGCGCTGCTGAACACGCAGGCATAATCAGAGTGCGGGTCGAGCTACGCAACACTAATCGCCGTCACGGTGAAGAGCTACTTACGCATCAGCTAGTCCAGCGTTGCGATCTACTCACGGAGTGATTCCGCATGGACGGGCATGATCAACGCGAATGACTTGCTGCTGCTGCATTGTCACTTGCAAAGGGCAGTTCGTTGGAAGGCGAGCGGCACCGTTTCGAATGCCTGACATGAAAAGCGCTCCTGAGTAGCCGTCAAAGCTATCCTGAGCTTGCTCCGTCACTCGGCTACGGGCCCCTTCTTGATAGGTTGCCTCACTCACTGCTATCGTCCGAGCCTCAATTAACTCAGCTTCGTCCATTGCACAAACTGAAGGCAAGGTCGACAGAAGCCGCTACGTCGAGGCTTCTCTAGGGAGCAGTAGGGAGGGTGGATCTGACGCCGCAATGCTTAGGCGCCGGTGTGATGCCGGTCCGTGAATCTATAGCGTGTACACGTCGGGGGAGGGATAACTGAAGCATAGAAGGATGCCTATCTGAAGAAGGACTCTGGAAGTGGTCCGACGCAGCGCAGCGGTCGTTTTCCCGAGCCACGGGGTTGGGTCAGCAGGAGGGATGCACCGGCGCTAAAGAGGCCGCGCGGGTACTCGGTCGGCCGGCGCCTAATGCGGTGATCAAATATTCCGAAAACACGCACGAGGCGGGGTCGCGCCTCGTGTATCGCGTTAGGCGCCGGGAGCGTCGAGCAGGGCTACCGCGGGCACTGCCCTGTATGACGACGGGGAAAGAGGAGGGGGAGGAGAGGGTCATGCCGAGGCGGCGGAGACGCCGTTGATGGGACTGGTTGGTGTTGTTTGCGCGCTTCTCAAGTTCCTTGCTTTATACCATCACCATTGCCGCCCGACCCTAGCATGAAAGCGCCCCTCTGATAGCCCCCATCGCCGCTCATCGAGACCGCCGTCCCCCTCAAGATGCCGCCCGCAGCGAAGCAGAAGCGCGCCGCCGCAGACCGCGCCAAGGGCGCCTCGCGCGCGAAGAGCGGCTGCTATACGTGTCGCATCCGCCGGAAGGTCTGCCACCGCCTCCAGCGCGAACGTTAGCTGATCATGCGTAGAAATGCGACGAGGAGCTCGACCCCGACGGCGCGTGCAAGACCTGCTCGCGCCTCCGCCTCCAATGCCTCGGTTTTGGCACTAAGCGCCCAGACTATCTCCGCGTCAGTAGCGCCCGTTTCCTTTTCCGCGATCCCCACAGCTGACTCACCGCAGGATAACGACAAAGTGAACGAGATGCGGGACAAGATCAAGCTCCATCTCGCCACGAACGGCATGATCAAGGGCCATGCTGGTGCCAGCAGCCGCGCCATGGACGATCGCCCCGTCTGCATGCTCCACGAATCCCCCAACTCGGAATTCACCCCTTCCCCCGAGAGCTCGCCCCAATCACCTGCATACTCCCTCAACGACGACGACGGCTTCTCCGGCGGCGAGTATACGCTCGGTCTGCACCGCCACGCGCTATCGAGCGTCCGCGACGACAAGTATCCCATGCCCAACCTTAGTGCGCTTTTCCTTTCCCAGCGCTACCGGCCTTGCTAATCCGTAATCCGTCTCACAGCCCAACGACAATCATCCACATCCGCCCCGCCTACCTCTTCCTTCGACGATCCGCCAACAAGCTCTTCGGCGCTTATGGCGCCCTCACCTGCTCCTGTAGAATGTAAGAAGTCGTAAATATATTGTAATGTCAACTCAACACCGTGTACGCCAGTGCCACAACCCTTCGGGCCAGACGCACTACCACAATATGTGAGCACCTTTGGCCAATTGTACAACATAAACTTCTCCACGTGGGGAGAAGACTCGTACCTCACCGATCCTACCACCTTTGGGGAACTTGGCCTCTCGTATATGCCACAGATGACCATTCCAACCCCGTTTGGCTTCGGCAACGACGAGTTCATTCACAAGTACTGCAGCCGGCTGGCCAAAGCGCAGTTCCTTCTCGCGGACCAGTCAAAGTTCGCAGACATTCTCTTCAGCCCGATGCAGTGTTCCGAGCTACTCAAAAAGGCCGCCAGGCTACTGTCAATGGTCGACGACAGTCGGACACGGGACCCGACACGACGTGCGCTCTCGCTCACGGACGTCAAGCTGCACCACGATGCGCTGTGGCGAGAAGCAAGCGAGAACAATGGCGGGGAGGTTATGCTCTGGAATCAAAAGACACCGGAGGAGATTGCTACAGCTGCCATGATCACCGTCTCCGCTTACCTGTTCGACGGTGGCCGTGGTCGCTGGAAGCCGTGGCTCACCGTTCTGTGCAAGTGGGCCCACGACGCCTTGTACTCGGATTTGCAGACCCCGCCGGCACTGGCGCTCATCAAATGCACAGAGCGTGGGCGTTTCCTCATCAAGACCGCAATGTGGTTCGACGTGCTGGCATCGGTGACAACGCAAAAGTCGCCCATATTCTTCGACACGTTCCGCGAGCTGTTCGGCCCTACGGAGAGCGGCATCAGCGAGCTCGACATGCAGGAGCCGCACACGGACTCGCGCCTCTCCATGCTCGAGCTCATGGGCTGCGAGAACAGCGTCGTGTGGGCGCTGTCGGAGACGACCTGCCTCGCCGAGTGGAAGACCAAGGCGGAGCGCGCGGGCCAGCTCTCCACCAAGGACCTCGTCGCGCGCGCCACCGCCATCGAGACCGTGCTCGCGCAGCCGCGCCCCGCGCCGCCCTTCGGTCTCACCTTCGACCCCGCCGCGCACGACCGCCAGCTCACGGCGGACATCTTCCACGCCGCGGCGCGCCTGTACCTGCACACCGTCCTCCACGGCGCGCACCCGCGCGTCCCGGACATCCAGCACGCGGTGCGCGCGACGCTCGACGCGCTCCGCCGCGTGCACGACGTCGCGGCGGGCCCGAATATCGTGCGCAACACCGTGTTCGCGGCGTTCATCGCGGGCGCGTTGGCGGATGGGGACGCGGCGCGGGCGGAGGTGCGCGGTGTACTGGAGTTGGGGGTCGGCGGGACGGGCAACTGCCGCCCGATTAAGGATCTGCTGCAGACGATATGGACGGAGCGTGCGGCGGCGTCGCCGTCTAATCCTGTACCGTGGAGGGAGCGCCTCGCGGAGGAGAGGATGCTTCTGGTGTGAGGGGAGGCGGCGCTCTAGTGCGCGGGTCCGGCCCTCGGGAAGCTTTGCTCTGGAGAGGGGAAGCTGATTGCCGACGGAAAGGTAGCGGCGGACCCTGTCGCTTTTTGGAAGTATACCTCGGGCGCTGGCAGGACCCGTAAACTGAAGCTTTGTTTGGATGCTGAACCAAGAGCGAAGCTACGGTTGTGAATACCGAAGCGACGGCTGTGAATACCGTAGCAACGGCTGTAAATACCGAAGCGATGGCTGTAAATACCACCTACTTACATGCGTACTGTGTCCTGGATTTCGTATCTGTTTTCTGTCTGCTGTTTGTTATCTTGTTTGTTGTAGTAGTCATACATAATCTGCTCACGATGGTATATAAGTAGTATTTGAACGTGCTTTGCTTGTTGGGCTCGCTGTATTGTCGTGAGATCTTCAAGCTTTGCTAGGGCTGCACCTAGGTGCTTGATTTGTGGCCTCGGCGGAAGCTCGAAGGAGAACGGCGCCATTGCCGTTCTAGGGCTTCAGTCAATGTCAATGCCTTATGGCGAGCTATCGGGTTCAGGTCATTCACACAAGGTAAGAAGGCAGCGACGATGAGATCTGGATTCCGAGAGAAATACAATGCTATAGTAGTACAGAGAGTCGATGCACGAAAACAGATAATTATAGGTAGAGACGAGACGAGGAGAGATTAAGATACTCGTAGGATAAGAGGGTATGAATGTCACTCTGGTACTTGCAGTCTGTCAATCGGGCAGGATACAGAATCCATCCAATCTGTCACACGCAGAATGTTGGTTGCTGAGAGAAGCCAAATTCAAAAGGCGGGCCTGACGCTCTCGAGCGTTGACGACATCGCAAGCGTCTAGGAAGATGTGCCCCGTCTTCTCGAAGGCGATCACCAGACTCTTCAAGCAGACGAAGGTACTCGCACTCGGGCGGCATCACAAGCATCACGGTAAGCGACACCTGCAGCGTCCCACTACAGCAATCCTAAAACGAACACATCAGCTTTCCAGCACTGCGAGCACAAGCCAGGTCGGACTTACCCTCTTCGCAAAACACATAGACAGGTACCTGCTCACGGACGCCGGCCTTCCCCTGAAGACGGACGCCCGTCCACCCTTACAGCCCCCAGGTGACCAGCGCAACACTTGAGTAGCTGCAAGTGCAGCCACTTGGTGTTGGAAAATGCGACAACTTTGTGCTCGCAAGTGCGACACTTTGGTGCTCGCTTGATCGACCCGGCACCCGTTATGGCCTGGAGCAGTGACTGCTTCAAGCCAGCCCAAAGGGTTGAGTCGCAGAACACTACCTCCCAGGCCATCCACCGTCGAGTATGTTACGATTCGGAGGGGGTATTGAGATGTGGGCGCGGTTTGCACGCGGAAGCAGGGAGAGACGGTGTAGCGTGTGTTCAAGAGGGAATTGTGCGTGCGGTCGTAAGGCTTGATGGGAACTGTTTGATGTTGCGCTTGAAGGCTTGAAGGTAGCCTACTGCGCTCCAGAATGGGATAGAGGTTGTGCTTGAGGTCGTCGCTGTCGATGTGGGAGGCAGAGTCCCCAAGTGGGTGGCAAGGGCGATGATGTGATGGATGCCACGAGAGGTGAGACGCTCGTTGGGTCTTGCGTTGTTGAGACGCAATGACCCAGGGTTCACGTTCCTGTAAGACGGCGACACGACACTGAGCCAAACATTAGCGATGGAAGCCGACGAGAAAGCATGTTACTTACTGCGTCGAAGGTTGCGTGAGGCTATGAAGGGGGTTAGGAAGAAGGAGAAAAGGAACAATGGTCAATTACGCAGCAACAGCAAGCTGCGTGGTCGTGATCGTGCTGCCGAACGGTAAGGACAATGGCGGCTCATGCCTCTTTATCAAAACCATGTTCGCGCAAAGCAGCGTGACCGCATCGGTCTCCTGCTGACGCTGCAGCTCACCGTTGCGCAGACGAAGGTCGCGGTTGCGCTCACGGAGGTCGCTATTGCGCTGGCGAAGGTTCTGCTCATGAGCCGCGTGGTTCGCGACCTCGAGCTCGAGGCTAGAAATCGTATGGTCGCGCTGGAGAAGCTCGAACTTCAGCGCGTTGCGCTCAGCGACGACGGCGTTGACATCCTCGTCATGCTTCGCCATCTGTCGCTCGTTCGCCTGGAGCTGCATCAGCGCCTCCTCGGCCTGCACGCGGAGCGTAGCCCGCTCGGCGATGTGTGCGTCCCGCTCAGCGACGCGCACACTCCTGCTCATGTCAACTATGCGCTTTGCCTGCCGCAGATCGTGCTCGAGCACCTTCGTGTAACTCTCGAGGGTCCGAATCCGGGCGCGGAGCAGGTCCTCGCTCTGGCTGTTCGCGCGCCTCAATTCGTCCTCGGACTCACGCCTGGCGAGCTTGACCTGCCTGTTCTCGTGCTCGAGGAGGCGGATTTCGTTCTGGAGGAGATAAATGTCGCTCTGGAGGAAGTGGACGCGGTGTTCGTAGCAGCGGGCGGCGAGGGCGAGGAGGGGGTAGTCGTTCACGATGTCTGATGATAGTGCGGGCAAGAAGTCAGCAATGGGCGACACCGCAGGCGACAACGACGGCGCTCACCACGTGCGTCCTCCAGCTCCGCCTCCTGCTCTTCGTTGTCGATCTCCAGCTCCAGGTTCTCGACCTCCAACTGCTGGTTCTTGGCTTGCAATACCTGGCTCTTGTCCTGCAATTCCTGGTTCTTGGCCTCCAGCTCGTCGATCTTGTGAAGTGCGCGACGTAGCTCTGCTGAGGCGTCGGCGTCGGGAAGGAGGGTGCATAGCGCGCCATACATGCGCATTGCCAGTGATGGCAGCAAGCACGGGAAACCGGCGATGAGGTAGAGTACAATGTGGCAAAGAGAGACGAAGGCGACGATGCACGCGGAGACGGTGCGAAACTCTTGGTCCTCGTTCGAGGCATAAAGTGCGTAGAGGAGCTCGCCGTACACCAGAACAGTGAGGACGAAGAGGATGTCGATGGCGGCCATCATGGTCCAGTACAGGGAAGTCATGATCCAGTAGAGGGAGGTCATGATACAGTAGAGGGGAGACATTATTCTATGGGAGATATCGGATGAGTGATGACAGTGAAGAGATAACCCGATGGTTGTTGGTAGGAAGTAATGTGTGCATGGTCATTGACCTTTCGCCACTTATAAGCCCGGCGCCTATTGTTCCCAAAAGCAATTGATGCGCGGTAGGGCCTTGATGAAAGACAATTGCATCAGCCGATAGGCGCCGTCAAGCACTGCCGAATCCAATTTGTGAACTCTGCGGTGTCGGCATGGGGGCGTACACGTAAGGAAGCAGCAGGCGGGAGCACCGGATTGTACACCATCTGGGCTTTGAACGCGCCGCCGCACGCTTCGGAAGTTCGACATAGACGTGCGACAGGTGGGGTGACTCGACAAGTTGCGCGCGCCGCAGACAGCTTGACTTGAGGATCACAGAAGGCACGCAACGCACGCAATGGGACGCCGGTAATTCTGCAAGGATAAAGCAGCGACGTTACCAGGCAGTGACTTGGACCAAAGGCCTGTGGGAAGGAAGGGCCATCTTCTGTCTTCTGCTGCTATCCTGTTACCGGTAGAACATTGCGGGGAGGCTTTGGGAAGGTCGCGAAGGAACCGGAACGACTTCCTCGTGGGGCGGTGATGATGGATGAAAAGCAGCAGACTTTGTTTCCCGAACGAGAACAATGGTGTCCAAGAGAACAGCCATCCGGGCTAGATACTTCCTCACAAATGCCATGGAAGGGCACCTCCCAGAGTTGCCTGTCAAGACGCCCTATGTATATCGCTTGTCAATGTAGACGCTGGGACACTACCATCCGTGTCTCAAGCTGCAAGCTGGGAATAAAAAGGGCAAAAATTAGCAATTACTACGCATTTCGTCCAATGGACACTGTGGGATTTGAACCCACGACCTCACGCAATCGTATGATGCGAAGCGTGCGCGCTACCCCTGTGCCAAGCGCCCATTGCAAACTCGTTCATCCAAGACAGTGCCAATTCTTACATCGCACCTTCACTCTTAGTGACTTTGCCCTACCCTTTCCCTCCCTCGAAAGCAACAGTTTCCTACATCCAGCTAACAATACACCATGCATACAATGCTATACATACAGTCCCCCCTCATCCGTTCCTTGGTAAACATGCTGAACGAACTTGCCGACTCTGACTGTCCGAGTACAAGCTTCGAGCGAAAATACCATCCCTCGTCACGGGTCGCTCTCCGCCCCGTCTGCGTCCTCCTCGTCTTCCTCCGCGTACGGATCACGTCCCTCGCCCCCTGTCCATTGACGCTCCCATAGTGCTGTCCCATTCGACTGATCTGGTGGGATGCCCAGCATGCTCCGAGCGCGATGTAGGCGCGCGAGCAGGGATTGCCGCTCGTCCAGCAGGCCATTGATATAGTCGATGGCTGCATGTATATTAACGTACGATTCGGATGTATACGCTGACATGAACTCACTCTTTGCAAGGACGACATTCTCGCTTCTGGGCCCTGCGCGTCCGTCGATCTTCTCCCCGTCGATCATCTTCGCCTTGCTCCTTGTGTTGCCTTCCCGTCGCGTATCCTTCTTGCCTAGACACAAACTCGTCAGGACATTGCGCACTATTGTAAGATACGATCCACGCACCATCCCGCATCGCCGCCTGTTCCTCCGCGGCTATTGCCTCCCTCAGAGCCGGCACCGTCTCACACAGAGCTTCGTATCCGCGGCGAATATTCGCCCGCCGCTTCTGCTCGCTCTGGATGTGGTTCGCCTTCTTCTGCGACGGCGTCAGGAGCGCGGCTGCGTCCTTCGCTGCAGTGCCGCTCCCCTTGCGTGCCTTCGCCTTCGCCTTGCCCTTCCCTGCTGCGGATCTTGTCTTCGGTGCGGATGCGGCGCGGGCGGGGGGCTCGGGCGACAGGGATGTGGATGCGGACGAGGGGGTCACATCAGGCGGGCTCGGCCTCTGTCGTTTCCTCGGGCCGGATGCCTCAGCAGGTGCAGGCCGCGTCGACGGACCCGTGAACGCATCGTGAAAGTGGTGCGGGGGGAAGGACGAAGTGGGCGAATGCGAGGGTCCCGCGCCCGAGGACTGCAGCGGGTAGCTGTACTGGTGCGGCAGCTGCGGCGCGGGTGGATAGTGGGGATGCTGCTGCATCTTCTGCAGGATGGGGTGCGTGTCCGTATGCGCGTGCGCCATAGGGATGCGCGGGAGGTAGCCGCCGCCGTACGCGCCCGCGCCCATCGCCGCGCCTGCGTCCGCGAGCGACATCAGGTCCTTCGTCGCCTGCGCGAGCGCCTCGCGGTCTTTCGGGGGCGGCGGGATCGCGTGCGCGTGGTGGTGCGGGTCCTGATGGTGCGACGGCCAAGGGGGCTGGAAGAAGGGATCGCTGTTCATGATGAGGAGGCCGGTGGCACTGGTACTGATGAGCAGGCGCTTGTGGTCGTCGGCGGGCGGCGCGTCGTGCTTGTCGTCGATCGTCGCCGTCAAGATGAACGTGAAAACGGAGGCGACTGCCGCTGGGCGTCATACTTATCACCCACGTGGCTTTCAGAGGCCCCGACTCACCAATTCAGAGGCTGAAAGATGTGAGGACTGAGAAAAGAGGGGAAGGACCAACGCGATGCGCTGCGCAAATGGTGGATGTCGAGGACAAGGGAGCTACCGGTTCGTCTGCTCTCGACTTATCGCTGCCATTTCCCCTTTTGAGACGATTCAGGCTCGCCACCGCTGATCATATTGAACTTGTCAGTTGCATTCAATGGGTATGGTGCACTTGGAAGGGTAGCACACGCTGGGAAGCTAACGGACTCCCGCTCAATGCAGACAGGCCCCGTAATTTCCCGAACATCGATGGCGACGTCCAATCCATCCCGCTGCAGTAACTTCACACGAAGCTCCATAGATTGCAAGAAGCAAGCGAGCTTGATAGCTCTACGCTACAGACGAGCATGGACCAAGGTGTTTCTCGCAAGCCCCATTTACGCTTGCGATCCGAAAAGGGAGTGATGAAGCTGGAAGAGGCTCGAAGTTGCCGCGGTCGCCATTGTTCCGTTTTGGGAAATAGAGACTGCTGCTTTTCTTCAACCATCATCGTCTCACGGGGGGCTCTCGCTGCTTCCTTGGCCACCTTCTCACAACATGTCGGCGATGGTCTAGCGGCAGAAAAATGGCAACAGACAGCAGAAGAAGTGGCAAATGCTGCCCCTTCCTTTCCACAGGCCTTTGATCAGATGGTGTAGAATCCGGTGCACCCGCCTGCTGTTCCCTTACGTGTACGCCCCCATGCCGACGCTGCCGGCGACACAAACCAGATTCGGCAGTGCTTCACGGCGCCTATCGGCTGATGCAATTGTCTTTCATCAAGGCCTTACCACGCATCAATTGCGTTTGGGAACAATAGGCGCCGGGTTTATAAGTGGCAAAAGGCCATGGTCCATGCACACGTTACTTCTTACCAGCGACCACCATCGTCCAACTATCTCCCATTGACCGATATCGCCCCTCTGCAGCATTATGATCAACGTTATCATCCTCTCGATCCTCAATGGCCTGCTGTACGGTGTCGGCCCCTCCGTGCTGCAGGTCTTCCCCCTCGCTGTCGTCATGTACATTATCGTCTTCATCTCTGCTTGCCACATCACTCTCCACCTCATCCCCCGCGTCCCGCGCTTGCTGAAACTGCTGCCAACGCACATTTCTGGCGCGCCCCGCACCCTTCAACCCAACGCTGATGCCACAGCCGACCTGCGCCGCGCCCTTGCGAAGCTGGAGGTCGAGCTGAAGGAGGAGCGCCGCGCACACTCGAAGACCAAAGAGTTCCAGGCCGCATCTCAGGAGCAGCTCCGCCGCGCAAGCGTGACGATCGAAGAGCTGAAGGCTGAGAACCAGGAGCTCCAGACCAAGATCCAAAATTTGGAGACCAAGACCCAAGAGCAGGAGGCCGAGCTCGTCGACGCACGTGGTGAGCGCCGTCGTCGCGCCCAATGTTGCCGATCGCTGACTTCTTGTTCCTGCTGCATCAGACACTGTGACCGACTACCCCCTCCTCGCCTTCGCCGCCCGCTTCCTCCAGAGCGACGTCCGCCTCCTCAAGCATGAAAACAAGCAGCTCAAGTCGCAGAACAAGACCCTTGACACCAAGACGAAGGACCTCCGCGACGAGCTCCTTGTCGTCAAGCGCGAGAAGCGCAAGGCCGAGCACCAGCTTCACACCCGGATCCGCACCCTCGAGAATGACAACCGAGCGCTGCAGCGCGGGCTGGACAGCGCCAATCACTACATTGCCACGAACAGAGAGGTGGACATCGTTGAGAGGGCTAAGCTTCGCATGCAGGCCGAGGAGGCGCTGATGCAGATCAAGGCGAACGAGCGGCAGATGGCTAAGCGTGAGGATGGACTTGACGCGGTCGTCACCGCTGCGCGCAGCTCTTTAGAACGCGAACTTGCTAAGCGTACGCACATCATCTCTAACCTCGAGCTCGCGGTCAGTAACCACAGGGGTTATGAGGAGAGCCTTCGCCAGCGCAACGACGACCTTCGTCAGCGCAACCGCGACCTTCGCCTGCGCCACAATGTGCTGCTGCGCAAGCTAGCGATCGATGCGGTCACGCTGTCTCGTTTGACCATGGCTTTGAAAGAGAGGCATGAGCCGGCCTTGTCCTTCCCATCCAGCAGCAACAACACCGTGGCCGCGCAGGCTGGTGTTACCTCGTAATTGACCATTGTTTCCTCCTCTACCACTCCCCCTTTTCAGCCTCACACCAATCTCGATGCGGTGAGTAGTCCGGTTCTCCTTCTACCTGCGTCGCTCATTGTGATTGTTTTAGCCTGTCGCATCTTCATCCTCCGTTAACGCGGGCCCCATTGCATCGCAAGAGCGCGACTGAACTAGCACCCATGCCCCTCCTCGTTTAGCATGCTCGAGCTACCTCGACGTCTAGGTACTTCTTCCCGCGTCGACGTCGACCCTCTCGATCGAGTCTGCGGCATGTCTTGAAGTGCAACCCTCAACCCCGACTTCGAGTCCGACCATCACAACATCCTCAAGCTGTGCAACATCCTCAGGTACCTCGTACGAACCTCACTGGCCTCGCCATCGCAAGACTACGAAGTCTCTATCTTCTTTCAAGAACACACTTCTGCATCTTGGCTTTCCCTGCTTCCGCGTGTAAACCGCGCACACAGCTCAAGACCCCCTCTGAATCGTAACATACTCGACGGTGGATGACCTGGGGAAGTAGTGGTTGGCCGAATCAACCCTTGAGGTTGGCTCGGACTAACCACTGCTCCAGGCCATAGCGGGTGCTGGGTCGACCATGCGCGACCGCTAAGTGACGCGCTGTCGGCCCGGGGGCTGTAAGGGGGACGGGCGTCCGTCTTCAGGGGAAGGCCGGCGTCCGTGAGCAGGTACCTGTCTGTGTGCTCTGCGAAGAGGGTGAGTAGGAATTGTTATGCCCAAGGGTTTTCTGTACTGACTCCTTGCTTCAGATTGGGCTGCGGTGACTTCAGTGCTACTATTGTCGCTTAAGTAGTACTACCGTTGCTTCGACTGCGCGGCACGAGAAAGGTCCAGCGCTCGACTCGATGGAGACGACGTGCGTCACCTTGAACCCTTGTGATGTCTCCAATGCTTGTGTACGCGAACGCTCTACCGGTGGTCCTTTGGTTCGTTTGAGCAGCCAACATACTGCAGCCTGGAGTGGACTCATTGCATCCTGTCTGATTGACTCCTACCCGATTGACAATGTTGATACCCTCCTACTATATATGCTCGCATCTAGTTCTTCTCCCCTCTATATTTATCTGTTTTCGTGCATTGGCTCTCTGTACCATTACTTCACAACTGTATCTCCCTCTCGCAATTCATCTCTCTCCGTTGCAATCCATCTCGCTCCAACTTGACAGAACTTGGAACGAATCACACGATCGAAGAAGTAAACATCAAAAGCTTGGTATTTCTATGCTACAGGTATATCGTCATGCGTTCCAGACATGGTATACAATGCGGGTGAAGGAAGGGCTCGGTAACGAAGGAAGCTCAGTTGACCGCGATCTTCTTCGGCGCAGCCTCAGGCGACGTCTTCGGGAACGTCACCGTCAGCAGGCCGTTTTCCATCGTCGCCTTCACCTCGTCTTCCTGCAAACCACGCGTTAGCTCTCCATCCTGCCCCCACCAAATCATACCACGCTGTTATACTCACCTTCACCCCTGCCGGCAGCTGCAGCGTGCGCGACCACTTCCCGTAGCGCCGCTCGCGCACCGCGTACCCGTTCTCATCGCGCTCCTCCGAGATCTTCGTCTCCGCGCCGACCGTGAGGCGCCCGTTGTGGAAGTCAATCGTCACGTCCTCCTTCTTGACGCCCGGGAACTCGAAGGTGGCGGTCACGACATTCTTCTCAGCGTCTTCGTGAAGGTCCATTCTGCGAATAGTAGTCAGTCGAGATGTTCTACCAGCTGAAGGGATACAACGAAAGCTTACCTGGGCTTGAGGGCGCGGGGCGCATCGTTGGAGCTGCCCTCGCCGATGCGGCGCTGGGTGGACTCGCTAGCGCGCGGGCTGAAGGCCTCGCTGAGGAAGCGATCGATGTCGTAGAAGGGCTCGTAGTAGAAGACAGACATCGTCGTAGGTTGGTAAGTTAGAGAGTCGAGAGACTTGAGTTGTCGCTCGAGTTCTGAGTTGTTGGTGTTTCTGTGCTGAGGAATGCTGCCAGGCGAGCCCGCTCTTATCCTCGCTGCTAGTCTTCTGGAAAGTTCAGACTGAAAGCATACTGGAGCAAGATCCTGCGTTCGAGACTTTTCGAAGCAGTTCGCGAAAGGGATGAGCGCGACGTTCGCTCGAGGTCTTTGGACGCGAGGGCATTGCTAGAATATTCGAGAAGGACAGTGTGGTCAAGCCAGCGCAGTTGTCCGCAAAAGGCATTGTCTGTCTTCAAGGGCGCTAGGAGTGCATAAAAGGGAGTAGCCCGCTTGAGCGTATCGTCGATGAGATGGTACAATGCGGGCGTAGATGGAGGAAGGATGCAAGGCGGGACGAGTGTGACAGTCAGCGTGACCCCCACGCACAAGGTTGATGGACTCACACGGACCCACAGCTTTAGGGACCCTCGCGGCTGCAACGTCTGGCCTGCTCGTGGCCAGGTCGGCTGCCTGGTAGTCAATCGTATTCGTTTGGTATAGTACTTTAGTGAATCCTTTGCTACTTTAGTAGACCCAGTCCTTGGATACTTTAGTGATTGTTAGTCCATCCATACAATGCTGTATTGTATTTTACACCCTCGCACCCTTAGGAAGGAGAGCGTTCCCGATAACCCTTAGTATGTACACTAGCAGAACATATATACGCATTGAACACGACCCAGGTCGATGATACATTATGCACACCACCTCTGCCTCCATCCACGATGCCACCGCTCGCGCAACTGCGGCGCACAGACCATGGCACACCACGCCTACCACCCACCACCCTTTGACTTATCCGTGCTCTTCGTCTCCGACACGGGCTCGTCGCTGTCGTGGTGCGTGACGGTCTCCAAGCGGATAGCGACGTCGATGGTGTTCGTGCCGACGCCCGGGCGCGCGCCCGACGTCCAGGTTCTCCGCGGGCCTGACGTCTCTCCGCCGCTCGTAGGCCCGCCGCTGCTGGTGTTCCCGTGCGCAACGCCCTCAGAGACGCGGACGATAATGTAGGAGAACTAGAGGGCGGGTTAGCGGCGGTCTTCTGACAGGGTGTAGATGATTGACAGGGGGTGCAATTGACGATGGATACTGCTCATGACAAGGGAGGTACAGGAGCGGTAGAGATGAAAGGAGAGAGATAGATGCAGAAGACGTAAAGATGAAAGCCAACGTACCACAATCCCGATCGTCGGCGTCTCCAAGTCTGTGGCGACGTACATGACCAGGGAGTTCAAGCCGAGGAGGATGATGTGCACCAGCAGCAGGATGCTGTAGAACCCAGCGGACTCGAGCATGACAACGAGCAACTGGTGTACGGCGTCCTTCCGCCCGTCGGTGAGGTGTTGTACCCCGCGTCGGACGTGCCAGATGCGGTATGCGATGAGGACTGTGGGGATGTGTAAGTAATCAATGAACAGTGCGAGGGAGTACGAGATGGACGTACGAGATGACAGGAGGTTCGTGTACAGCGTGAATGCGACGAATGCGATCTCCGCTTTCGTCAACAAGCCGGAGTACGTGAGGACGCCTCTCGGGTAGAATCGCATGGTGTACAGATACCAGATTCCGGTCGCTGGGGGAGAACAGGTTAGTGAAGACCAGTGCGCACAAACTGCAAGACTTACAGGCATTGACAATCCAGCCAAAAATGATTGGCGCGGTGACATACCAGTTCCCTCTCCAGACGACGTAGACGCGGTAGATCTGAGGAACGTCGTTAGGAATGAGATCGAGCAGCGCGAGCAGTTGACCCACGATGAAGGCATCTGAGACCAATATGCTAAGATACCAGGCGGAGTTTGCGACCAATGACCAAGACGAGTTCATCGCCCCCGTGTCGATGAAGCCGTCGGGTTGTTGGTGAAAGCGCAGGCCGTAAAGTACTCGTGTTGTTGTCGTTATGCAGCGCTGAGAGCTTCGTCAGCCCCGAGACATAGAGAGGGAGGGGGCGAGCGCGCATACCACAGATACCAGGAGGAACAATGCGACGTGCGTCGCGACCAAGTACTTGTTTACCCTGCGATGCTTGCGCTTCAGGTACAGCATCCGAGTACACTCGTACGCGACGGCGATGTAAAACCCTGCGGACCCGTCAGCACCCCCAGGAAATACCCGATCGCATATTCACGCACCATAAAGCAACGTCTGCAGCGTCGCACCCAGGAAGATAGTGTCGATCTCCCTCAATCCAGCGGCCATGGTGACGATCGTGCAGGGGGAATCCGATCTTCTAGCGTCGATGCGTCCGTGCCGTATAAATAAGGAAGGACGGGGGACGAAGGAGCGTTGCGGGACGGAGGGAGGAGGACAGCGGCGGAAGGCCCCTTGCTCGTCGCCATCCAGGCCTTATATGCGATGAGGCGGTACCAAAATTCTGGTGGCGGCGTAACGATCTGCGATCGACTACCAGGTCCGTAAGGCCCGCCCCGCCATGCCGGCTTCGTGAGCCCCGGCAAGCGAGACCTTTGCCAAAAGGGGCGAATACACTTCGGATCGAGGGAAAAGAGTGGGGAAGGGCCGGGGCTGCATCACCGCCAGGGCCCGCGCCATGAATGTTCCTCTGGGGGATCGACGACGCAGTGAGGGGGAAGGGGAGGGGTAACAGTACCCTGAGAAGAGTCTGGAGGCGGGCGGGTGCCTCGTATGCCGGTTACCATGTCGGTCAACAATGTGCCCCTCCTCGACTGGAATCAAATCTCAATGCAATGCATCATATGGGTGGCGCGCCGACCATGGCGCGGCAGAGCACCTCCAACGCGCCCATTTTGCAACATTTCGGCGTCAAGCGAGCATGTCCGAGGTGCCTGCCTCCCGGAAAGCGTGCTCGGGAAAAGGAGCGGCCAGTTGCCCCTAGAAACTGTATAGTGAAACAGAAAATTCATGTCCTGGGCTTGGCCCACGGGGAAGCGGGGCGCCTCTCTGGGAGGGGCTGGGCCGGGGGAGCGCCATCCTCCTGTGAGGAGCGTCCCTCCCTGTCTGTCCCGAATGCTAAATCCAGCTTGGCAAATTCACTCGGTCTTAACGGGACCCACTCTCGGGCCCTTATTTGACGACGTCGAACGTGCCCTGGCGTGCCTCGAGTGCCGGTGGAGGATGGAGGCAAAGTGGGACGGATGTGACAAAAGGGGTGACTCATACCGTCACGCTGGACCTATGCGGACCTGCACGTTCTGCCGTGCAGCCGCAGTTTGCGTGCGAGGCAGTCAGTTGCCTCAGCCAAGCACATCATTCTAGTCTTCCTCATGCACGCATGTGCAGACAAGGTTACGGCGAGAGTCATATCATTTGGACTCAGCAGAAGGAGGAGCCATAGAGGGGCGTACTTCGAACTGCAGACAACTTTCATATATGTGGCCAAACGTAGATAGAGCAGCGTGTATTACGCTAGAAATGTACGTGGAGGGGATGGGGAGTAGTAAGTCATCGTATGTCGTGATTGGAGAACGTGGTTGGGCGCTGTCAATTGTTCTAAACGCTGGGGGCAGAAAGGACTTGATCTTGCGATTGACGTGGCAAGGGCTCACGAGAAAAACATGATCGGCCGTCGACCCAAGCTGTCAGACCTCATACTCAGCGGCGCTCCAAGTCACCGGGGCGCGGACGGTCTGACGCTCGCGGTGGGACAATCAGTGTACACAGAGGCGGCCCCTTGTAGCTGAAGTATCGCTGGAAATCTTTGCCGCCCCTGCATCTTTTGCATCTAAGAAGGCCGCAATACTTCGACTTGGAACGGTCACACCACGCGAGATGAGGAGGTCCGTGGAAGCTGGTAAACCTCGTCAGACAGATGAGATTCGAACAAGTATGTGGCGACGTACGGCCCTTTCCAACAATTCAGCTGGTCGCATGTCTTCTCTCTGTCTTCTGGCGCGTGCTGATGATCTGGGTGGTAACGACATTGGGGGTAGTCGCAGGCCGTCTGGAGCTTTGAGGTCAGTGGGAATTGGGCACGGACAACGACGCGACGTACAAAATTAGGATCGTCCGCATGGTATACCATGTAAGGGCTGAGGTTGTTCGGGTTGTCCTCGTCGCCAACGAGCTCGAGGTAGTTGCCGCACTTGTTGTCATTGCTCGTGACCCAGATAGTGAATCCACACATTCTGAGGGAACGGCGATGAGCGCTGGGCGAAACCAACGTACAACCATATCGATACACGCACCTTAAAACGCAGAGTCTATGGGTCAAGGAGAGGAAGGGAAGAAAGCTTGATCAACCCGCACTCGTAATGCCACTTTATATGCCTTTTTAAAGCCACCAGGGTGACTCAAGGCCCGAGCACAATAGCAGTCACAGTGAGAACGCGCAAGGGCCCTCTATGCCACTGCAGCCTGGTCGGATGCGATTCTTGTCAACCATGCGACCAAGGCTTCTATGCGGGTAGAAGCGCGTCGTCATGGCTCACGACACGTCGATAGCACGTTGCAGGTATAGAAAAGCTGCGTGTAAGTAACGCAAACATGGTCTTGACATCTACCGTTCCATGGGCCGGCGCTTATAGAGATGGGCGATAGAAGCAGCTGGCCTTCACAGAAGCGTTCAAGTGATGCGGTGATTAGTTTCGGTAGCTTTCGAAGGTGATGTAGGCCCTTGCAGAGTAGAATCGAAGCAGGCCGATTTCGAACAAGCGCCCGTCCAAAGTTGGCCGAAATTACTGGAATGGGCGGTCTTGGAGATTCAGCTACCGGTAAGGTCCGTTACGCTGCGCCAAGGGCATAGGAAGACGTCCGTTTCGACCTAAGGAGCTGACCTGAGCTTGCAAACCGAACGGACATGACGTTCAAGACGAACTTGAAGTCCGCGTGCCATCATCGTGACTACAGCCACGGCACACCGGACCGACCACCCGCTCTTCTGTTCCCCCTTCCATTTGCACGCGTCGACGAGCGCGTCGGTCGCCACGATGTCCTTCGGGTACGCGTCAAATATCTTCTCCTGCGCGCATATACTCACTTTGTACACAGAAGCTTTGGATCCACGCTCAAACCCGCCGCCTCCACACCATCCCTCTTCGGGAACACCAACACCGCGCAGAACAATCAGCAAAAGCCTGCTGGCGGTCTCTTCGGCGGGTCCTCGACCTTTGGGCAGCCTCAGCAGCAGCAGGGGAACACAGGCGGCGGGCTGTTTGGGAACACAAACTCGAATGCGTCCACAACGAACACAGGCACTGGCGGTGGCGGCCTCTTTGGGAACACGGGCGGCAATCAGCAGCAGGGATCGTCGCTGTTCGGGCAGTCGAATCAACAGCAGCAGCAACCTGCGACCGGCGGAGGCCTATTTGGCTCGACCATGAACACCAATACCGGCACGGGCGGCGGTCTCTTTGGATCGACGAGCAATAACACGAACACCGGGACGAGCGGCGGTGGTCTCTTCGGCAACACATCCAATACCAACACGTCCAACACGGGAACTGGCGGTGGTCTCTTTGGCTCGACGACTAACACTAACACCGGTGGCGGCGGCTTGTTTGGCTCGACCAGCAACACCAACACGAACACCGGCGGTGGGCTCTTCGGATCGAGCAATGCCAACACGAATAACAGCAACACTGGAGGGGGCGGGCTCTTTGGGTCTACCAACACGAATACGAACACGGGAGGCGGGCTGTTTGGGAACACGCAGAACCAGCAGCAGAATCAGGGCGGAGGAGGGCTCTTTGGGAGTACAAATAACAGCAACAGCCTGTTTGGCGCGAAGCCGTCAACAGGCGCGCAACAACCGTGCGTGTCAAAGCTTCTACTTCCCAGTGCAGAGGACTGACTTGTTCTTGTTGCAGACTAGGGTGAGTTGAAGCTCATGTATGCGCCAACAATGCTGATACATCCCGCCCAGCATGTCATCCCTTGGTTCACAACAACAAGGAGCCCCTCCCTTCACGAAATCAACGCGATTTAACGACCTTCCCGACAACTTGAAGCGCGTCTTCGAGCAGATCGAGTACGTGTCGCTTTCTTGTCTCCATCCACACGCGTCAGTACGCGTTGATCTGACGCGCGATGCGTAATCCCGCTCGACTTCGCCGACCTTCCCCTCGTCTGCGAACGTACTCTCACTCGACTGCGCACTTCCCTTAAATCCCCTTCCCGTACTCCCCAATCTCAAACGTCTCGCTAATCAACATCCCCTCCAGCTCCCACATTCAAAGCCAGGTGCAGATCAGCAAGGACCTGCAGCAGCGGAAGATGGGCGAGGAGGCCGTGAAGGGCCAGCAGGCGATTCGGTCGGTGCACAAGGTGCGTTCACTCCTCCTTCCCCCTTGCCTCGTCCATTGCCTTCCTCCTCTCTCGTCTACTTCCTCCGCCTCTTCACTCTCTACCTTCAAACACTTCCCTTCCCTCATCCCTCTTGCTACATTCCTCTCGTCATACTGCACGAGCCTGACACCCCTCCCAGGACCTCGTCAACGCGATGGCGACCATCAACCGCGACCTGCAGCAGGCGAAGGACCTGTGGCACAAATCTGAGCAGGCGACGCAGGATCTCATCACGGGCATGAACATCGTGAACGGCGCGAAGAACCCGCAGGCGTATGGCGCGCATCTGAAGGACTTTGCGGGGTTTCCGTTGGAGTGAGTGGGCGTTTTGTCTTATTTTCTGGAAGGTCTTCCTTCTGTCGGGAGACTGCCTCGTTTGGCGAGGGACTCAATTCCTTGTCGACGGTCCTGCTGAGAGACGCGGCGGACGGATCGTGGGGGAGGAAGATGTGCTAACGTTCACCTTCAGATACTTCATTCGCATTACAAAGGAGATGAAGGTTCGGTTGGAGTGGTATAAGACGACACTGGAGGTACGTTTCCCGCTACTGCAGAAGTGAGGGTGAGGGAGTGGACAGGGATACTGATGGACAATCAGCAAGCCGAACGGAAACTGTCGTCGCAGGCCAACCAGGCGCAGATCACGCCGCAATGTACGTGCAGGTTTCCTTTGTCGAGGGCTTCTGCTGACGTCTACTTCTTCGAATCGTCCGACCCCTCGCGCTCGTCTCTTCGATTACGCCCATCTCTCTTTGTATCGATGCGCGCCCATATACCCTCCTTTCTCACCAAACGCCATTCCCGGACGCGTCGCCCTTTATTGTCATGCCTTGCCTCGCCCACGCTGCCTCGCTTGCCGGCCTCCCGCTCCTTTATGTCCACGCGCTACGGATACTGCCGACCACTAGTCATCACCACCAGCCTGCAGGCGCAGAACTCCGCCTTCTTGGCGCTCGCGGCGAAGACGGCGACGCTGGACGCGGAGCTGAAGAAGATCAAGGATCTGTATAGGTGAGTCATCGACAATGGACTGCGATGATTGTCGACAATGGACTGCGACAATTGTCGAAGGGCTTCGAACGAGGGGTTGGCGCTGGGGCGGTACTCGCGTACGGGGATTGCTCTCGCGTAGTGGAAAGCGCTCGCGTAGATGAGCGAATCGCTGTCGCGTAGGTGGGCAACCTTCGCGGATGCGCCGCCTATCCGAACATCTCCCGACCGTTTCTTTTGTCCATGTACTGACGAATCCTCAGGAAACTCTGGCGAGAAAAGAACGCAAGTTTACGAGACCCATTCAACGAGTTGGACCGGGACGAGAAGCAGCAGCCGGGGTCGCAAGACTTCGGGATGAGCCAGATGCGTGTAGGCTGAGGTACTTTGGAATGAAGGCGATGTTCGTTGCTTTGTGTTTGTACGTGTACCCTTTGTCTCGATGCATTTGCTCGCTTGGATTAGATGGATTCACTGGGAAGTCCGTTTTGCGAAGGTATAGAGGCAGCCTTGCCGACGTAACTACCTGCCCGAAGATTCGCTGCTCCCTTGGAGACCCATTCTCCGCCCCGGCGGCGCCCTCGCTCCTTCGGAAGGCAAGTCTCTCTTGCGGACTCTGGTCGGCTGACACGAGGACGTGCTATTATGCCCATTACGAGGTGGGAACAATAGCTTTACGCGCAGTACTTCCGCTGACCACGCGCGCAGGGCTTCCTTATTATCCCCGTTGGAATGCAAAGTTCCATGCCGTGAAGCCCGCGTTCTCGCCAACGGCCGACTTCCGTCCAAAAAGCCGTTTCTCGCGCACGAAAATGCTTCCGCGTCCTGTTACCGGCGGCCTCGGCATCCGCCGAAGCCGGACAAAGAGCATCGCCGCGCGCGTACCTCAGCTCACCCTTCGTCCATCGCTGGATGAGGCCACTGAAACCGCCATCGCTTCTTGAGGAGCGTCTCGACTCCTGCATCGTATGCGGGCGAGACGTAAGCTGACCTTCTCCAGCTTCCGACGGCCACGAGGTGATGTAAAGTCTATGCCGTAACCCCATCGGAACACAAAGGGATTACCCCACCTGGTATAAACGTCCACAATTAGCTACCCGCCTTTCATACTTGGAGTATATAATGCGGAGCAGGCCCGCTGATGCTCCCCGCTGGTCAGGACCGTCGCCCACTACCTCCAACTTCCAACTACCATCATGGCTCGTCGTCACTCGTTAGCACCGGTCTTGCTGGCGTCCGCGCTGCAGACGCCGCCTGCTACGCCCTCCCTGCCGTCGCTGGTCGACGAGGATCTGCCGTGCTATAGCCGTCGTGACGCGCTGGGCTCGTCAGAGCCGAGGACGCCGACGGAGCACACCTACACGCTGGGGGATGGGAAGAAGCCGTGGTTGACGCTCACGATGGTGAGCAGCGCCCGGCAGGGGGCGGTGGTCCCCCAGTACTACGAGAAGGAGCACATTCGGGGGACCGTGAAGCTGCGTGCGGACAAGCGCGACTCCGTGCAGGCTATCAACCTCTTGGTGCGTTGGACGGTCACTACCGCGGTTGCTCAGCCTTTGTTAACCAAACTCCCAGGTTAAGGGCCGTGTGATCACAGGCGCCTCCGCAAGCGACTCCTTCACATTCCTCAATCTCAATGCACTGCTATGGTCTCGCGCAGGCGGCGTCAACAGCGAGAACCACCCCCAAGGCAGCGACGCCATGCCCTTCTCCATCCCAATCCCTCGCAACACGACCGTCCGCATGGGCGACGGCAGCGAGCGCACCTTCCCCTTACCCGGAACATTCCTGGAGAAAGACGCCCCGGTATCTGTCAAGTACGACTTCGTCGTCGTCGCCGCGCGCGGGAAGTTGAGGTCGGACGGGACGTGAGTGATCCTTCCTGATCGTTAGGGTGTTACGACAGGTGTACTCACGTTACCCACAGGATCAACGCAACGTTTGGTTTCGTGCCCAGCCTCCGGCCGCAGGCGCCGTCGATTTTCAGGCAGATTGCGTACCAGCAAGGCACGCATATCCCACCGCCGTCCGCTGACCCGGAGGGGTGGCATACGAGGCAGAATATTCGCATTCGCGGGACACTGTTCCGTACGCGGGAGGTCGAGATTTCGTGCCAGGTCAGTGCTCGACCGCTTTATATCCGCAGAATGCACTACTGACAGCCAACACAGATCTCCCTCGCAAAGCCACTGATGTACACGCGCGGCAGTGTGCTGCCGTTGCATCTTGTCGTAGACGGACCTGACTTGGAGAGCGTCGATCTCCTGGCCGCACCACAAGCCATTGTTGTAGCGCTCCAGCGCCGCATCACATATCGTTCCTCAGGCCAGCGCGAACAACGTGACGATGTCGCACGCGCGGTATGGTGGGCTGCGCACCCGCCGTCGCCCGATCGTCTGTCGCGAGAGCTCGAGGGCGAGATCCACCTCACGAAGGACCTAAAGCCGTCGTGCTCGGTGCCAAACTTCATCTTGAGCGTACGTGTTTGACCACGTTGACCTTCCTCCGCATGAGCTCACCTACAATGGACAGTACCACGTCGTCGTCTACCCCTTCGAAGCGACCGGCTTCAAGCCTGCGCCACCAATGACCTCTGACGGCCACATCGCGCGTGAGACTGTCGAAATTGCGACGATGTACCCTAAGGGACCCATCCCGCGGCCCATCGCGTACTCGCCGCCTGCATACGAGGCACCGAAGAAGCGGCAGCGCAGCCTCTCATTCGCAGTTGCATCGGTAGTCCCGACGCTATGAGACCTCGGTAACTTCGTGTCCTGTGCCATGGCTCCGCCATTTCTGGTCCCGCTCTGCTCCCGCCAAACAATACGCGCTCCGCTGCTATTGTTCCTCATTTACCCCCGGCTGACCACGCCGCTCGCCCGCTGGCCTCGTTCTACACATCCTACCACACATACCCGCTCTTACTCAACTCCTTACGACACTAGACGATGATACCTCTACTCTACATGCTCTCATTGGTAATATTGATTCTACCGCTGCGCGGGTGGCACGCTCCTGCTGTCTTGTTCTGCTGTGTATATTCTTGTACATTTTGTCCTGTTTAGTTTCCGTGGTCTTTGATATCTCACGTTTTCTTGGAACCCATTCTTGCGCTGTCATAAGTCATAGGCAAGGTATTGGCCGCCATTGTTCTAAGTTTGCTGATTCTTGTGGGTGCGAGTAGCCGCATGCTTGATGACCGTGGGAATGGGAAGTATCATTGTTGATGTTCCCTCGTTCGGATAAATTGCTTTCGTCTCGAACCTCCATGCTGTCTTCGATGCCTTCGTACGTCTTTCGCATCGGAAGATACCGCTCTATAAGCTGAGAACTTTGGAACTTGAGGGCTACTGGGCTCCAGTCATCATGGAACGACCGAATACGGATATTTTATGGCTGCTGATGGGAAGCCAGATTCCTATCAGCCACCGCACCTTGGCGGGGAAGACTTGGAATCCGGAGAAGCCGTAGAGGGGGTATAGCACGTCAGCTACTTCAGGGTTCCTCTGGAGTAGGAGCAGGACGATACGATACCGCCAGCTCTCCCTCGCCTTCTGGCTCAGCTCCCTTGACAGAAGCCTATCCTGTGGTCTCCAGATCTCCGAACAGAATATCGTCTGCGCCAGACCCTCAGTTCGACGACCAGGGGCAGGTCGGGCTCTTACCGCCACCCACGCCGCCACCTGACCAAATATTTCGTCCTCCATTCATTCGAAGCGCGCCAACGACTGCGGTGGCCCCTTGCGCTCGAGGATATCGAGGACGTAGGCCCTCGCATAGGAAGCCACCCCATCAAATCGAAGGGTCAGATCACAATTTGTGCTGCTCGCTGAGACCGGCCCCAGTAAACGCTGCCTCGGCCAACGTCGAGGTTGGACGCTTCTTCATTCCTTCGCGTGACGCTTTCTAGGGGGTGGCACGTCGCACCGGCTATCGACGTTATACACGTGTATAGGCAATCGTTCGGAATCATCATGTCGGCGCTCCTTTTCCTCCACGTCCATTGCTGAAGTGCTGCCGCACCCGCGCCTACTACTGACCTTAGGCTCGCATGGGCCAGCCGCTTCGCGCGGTCGATGCGGTGTTCATAGGCGCCTTCATGTCAACGCTGCTGTTCGGTGAGCCAGATATTTTCCGAGGAGATTTACCCCTATCTAATGGTCTTCAGGCGCATACTTGGCAGTCGCTTACGAATGCACGAGAGTTGTCAACAGGAGGCGAAAGCACCGCGTAACCCACAAGTTTCTCGTTGGGACGCATCTGGTGCTTTTCATCCTCACTTGTCTAGTAAGCCGAAAACATTCTCCTGAACTCGTGTCTGTACTCAACAAATTACATAGCGATGTATCACGGTCCTCACCCGCGCCATGCTCGCCATACGTTTCCATATGCTTCCCGACGGCGGCGTGGATATGGGAGCCCTCAGCAGCGCTCCGTCGATGCTCATAAACGTGGTCTGGTTTCTCGCTGTCATAGTCTCTGACGCGTTCATAGTGCGTGCCCTTACTCATATCAGATGTGTATTGCACCAGACTGCTAACGGCTTATCTATGCAGATTTGCCGCGTCGCGGTGGTCTGGCGTGGTCGGATGCATATTGTGGCCATTCCTATGCTTGGATGGCTCGCAAATACCGGTCAGTCGAATTCTACTTTACAACGTCGTGTCAAACCTGATCAATCTCAGCTAGCGGTATCTACATGCTACACGTCATGAAACTGTACGGACCCGGTGCCGACGGTTTACAAGGCCCTCTCGTCGGCGCCAACGTCGCCTTCTGCGTCACTACCCTATCCACCAACCTAATCTCGTCATGTAAGGTCTGCGTTACGCCAGGATGTACGCCGTGCTTAGGATCTTCCAGGTCTAATCGCCTTCCGCATCTGGTCTGTCCGCCGCTCGGTCCAATACCTCACGAGCGGCGCGCATAGCGTAGTCAACAATCTCCTCGCGGCCATTCTGGAATCGGCGGCGCTGTATAGCACGCTCCTCGTCCTGCATATCATATTCGTGGCGACGGGATCGCAGCTGATGCTCATTTGCGTCGATATGGAGGCGCCGACGATAGGAATTGTGGTACGTCTTATGAGTCTCTGTCGTGACCTCGCGCTCTCCGTCTCATCTTCTTACTCCTCCCCCTTCCGTCTGCTGACCCAGGACTCCTAGTTCTCCTCCATCATCATTCGCGTCTCCGAAGGTCGTGCTCACGGTAACACGAGCGACGGTGCCCCCACCAGTGGCGAGCCATCCTCCGGCCCTCGCTCGCGGACATGGACATCAATTGACCGAGGGGTACCACATTCGGGGAATATCGACGTCGCTATCAGGCTCGAGACGGTCACACATCGAGATCACGAGAACGTCGCAGAGCTGAGTCCGGGTGTCAAGGGGAAAGAGGGGGGGGAGGGAATTGATAGTTTTCAAAATCCACGCCACTGTATCTGAGTGGACGGCCCGCTACGAGCCTGTGAGCTGGAAGTGTGCGTATAAATTGTCGTCCCCCTTCGCCGCGTACGCTAAGCACGAAGCCCAGGCGAATCATTATACTAGGCGACACGTGTGATTTATGTCAGAGAGGGCGGCCTTTCCGCGAGGGGCTGCCGTCTTCCGGCAGGCTTGGATGCCCTTGCCAAGCACTCTCGGCCTGTTTTTGCGCTTCTCCCCTTGCTGGAGTACAAAGGAGAGAGCTCGCAGCTGGTCAATTCCTTCAATCCGGATGTGAGTGACTTGGTGGCGCGCTTGAATTAGGCTGCGACGCCCCGACAGTACGGGCTACGGGAGAGAGCAGTTCACCCGCGACCGACGACCACAGAATCTCCAGATGTGCTCAGGATAGTTGCTCCTGTCGAACTGCATCCTTCGCCCGACGTAGCGCACCTATAAACCGTCTGAACTCGTTGGTCCCTATCTTACAGCAACAACTGTTCAGCATCCCTTATTGAGGCAATATAGGCATCAACAAACACTCGTACTTCTTCCTTGGTATTAGCACAATACCCCAGGACATATCCCCGCGTCCCCATGAGTCGACGCCACCATCATTGTCTGGTTTTAGCAGTCCTTTCTCCAGGTCTCGAGGGGCGAAGTCGGCGCCCGCCACCCCACCTCGGAGATCCTTTCCACTGCGCGCAAAGGCGTCGCAGTCGTCGGACATCGCGCCACAGGCTCGTCAGAGGCGGATTGACGCGACGATGCGCCACCACAACCAGCAAATGAAATGCATTAGACCAACCAACATCAGACTCAAGTGGGCTGCATCAAATATAGTGGGGGTTCTGATCTTGATCGTGCGGGCTAGGCTTTCCGTGGGAGCAATGCATGTCTTTCCGTGGGAGCGGTGCATTGTTGACCGAGATGGAAATCCGCATACGAGTCGCCTCTTCTTTCAACCTTTCTCATGCTCGCATCTTCCCATGAGGTCGAGGGTGCCTTGCCCCCTCTCCCTCCGTCGTCGTGCGCCTCCACCCTGTACAGGTGCGGGAGCCCTGTCCTCAATCTCTTACCCGCCGATCTCATTTCAAAGTTTAGCTGTCGGCCCGAGGGATTAGAAGCCCGAATGCACCCACCGCCCCTTTTGGCAAGGCGCGGGACCTGTTGGGCGATCGCAGATCGTTACGCCGCCACCAGCGCCTTGGTACGGCCTCATGAGATATAAGGGCTCGATGGCGATGCACTGCGGGTTTTCGCCGGCGTCCTCCTCGTCCCGTACCCTTTTCCCCTCCTCCCCTCAACATCTTCCCTTCCGCCGCTCCCTCCCCCGACGCGACTGCGTCGCCAGTCCGCTCGTTGCTCAGGAGGTAGCCAGCCGCAGGCCCGATCATCAACATGGCGGCGGGACTCCGGGAGGTCGACTCGGTTTTTCTGGGCGCGATGCTATCGACGCTACTCTATGGTGCGGGCACTCGCTGATCGAGGCTTCTTCGAAGCGCTGACGAGTGCGATGATTAGGCTTCTACGTTGCTGTGGCGTACGAGTGTACGCGAATGCTGTGGATGAAGCGCAAGCACCGGCGGGTACACAAGTATTTAGTCGCGACGCATGTGGTGCTGTTCGTCTTGGTTAACTTGGTGTGTGGGCAGTGTTCTCGGGCCGAGGGCAATAGGCTGACTGACCTAAATATCAGCGCTGTATAACGACCCTTGTACGCTGTCTCATAGGATTGCGATTTCACCAACAACCGGATGGCAGCATCGACACGGGCTCCTTGAACTCGGCGCAGTCCATGATAGCGAACATCGCCTGGTTCTTGTGCATATTGGTCTCGGATGCGTTCATTGTCAGTTCATCTGAACCCTGCGTCGGCTGCGTATGTGCTAAAACGACGACCAGATCTATCGGGTTCACGTCGTATGGCGAGCGAATTATCATGTTGTCACTCCATTGGTACTTGGCTGGATTGGCAATGCCGGTAAGTCCCCACACCTTAACAAGAACAGAATAGTACTGAGAGTATACTCGCAGCAACCGGGGTATGGCTGCTGTATACGCTGCGTACCTATGGACCCGGCGCGTCGGTGTTCGAAGGATTGCTTACGCCAGCTAACATTGCGTTCATTGCCTTCACACTGTATACTAATCTGGCTGCCTCTTGTGAGTCTCCTTGTCGAACGAATTCCACGTTGTTCGCTGATGAGGCGCCCTGAAGTGCTCATTGCGTACCGCATCTGGCACGTCCGGCGGGGCGTCGAGCACCTCACTGACGGGAATGACACCGTCAGCAATCTTGTCGGTATCATTCTCGAGTCTGCGGGATTCTACTCCATCTTGCTGGTCGTGCACATCATCCTGCTCGGCGTTGGTTCGTTGGTGTCATACATCTGCGTCGACATGGAGGCGCCGGTTATTGGCATCGTGGTACGCTGCTGCATGATTTCAATGGCTTGCTCTAATCAATTCTCTAGTTCTCATACATCATAATACGCGTCTCCGAGGGCGTTGCGCACGGGAACACTAGCAGCGGCGGGCCCACGAGCGGCGACACGTCCGGACCCCGGCGAACATGGAACTCCGGTGCTCGCCCAGGCGTCGGTATGAACACGATCGACGTGGCCATCCGCCTTGAGACGGTCACGCATCACGACAGTGAGGAGCCCGTAGACACGAAGTCCACGGATAAGTCGAAGGGCGGAGGGTGGTAGGAGGATTGATGTCTGTGCGTACTGTATCATGACCAGGGTTCTGTTGGGTAGATGTGTATACGTGCTCCGTTACGTTGTACATCTGGGCTGTGGGTAATATACTCGGATTGTGTCTCCCGGCATTTTTGGGGGACTTTTGTGGAGTTGTGGGTCCACCGGCGTGGGAGCTCGTGACCGGCGAAACAAGAAGTCCTTCCTTTCGGGGATCAATGACATTGACCGGCAACTCGGACTCTGTCTGACATGAGCTCGACTTCGATGGCCGCCTCGCCGTTTCTCTTCTGTACCACGACCTGTATTGTTGAAAGTCTTTATTCCAAGTCGAAGATTCCTCTTGACCGAAGCTCACTGCGAAGGAGGAGCAGTGGTCAATGGCGGGACCGACTCTGGTGTACTATTGCTCAGGACACGGTCAGCCCTTGCTGCCTCGCCTATCGCCAAAGTATGCTGAATATGCAACCCCGCATAGGATATGGTCATGCAACACGCGTATCTGCACTCACTACACACCTGCTTCAACTCCCCGAAGAGGTCAGACCAACAGTCTACCTGGTCTCCTCCGCGCCACAACACGTCTTCGCGGACAGCGTAAGTCTCGGCGCGAAGTATCGTTATGCGGAGATAGATACTGTCATTGTACAGCCTCTAGCGTGCGTGGTACTCCAGCTCATCGTACTCAGGCGCTGGCGAGGTCACTAGATATCAGGTCGATCGGCGCAAGAGCGTAGAGGTTCTCAAGGCGTTCTTGCATAGAAAGGATGTCCTGCTTACCGCGGAAGCCGGCTGGCTACGAGAGATCGGAGCCCAGGGCGTGCTCAGTGACGCTGCATTTCTCGGATGGTGCGTTTACTCAGGCATCACTTCACACCCAAGCTCATCAAACCCACCATCAGTCTTGCAGCGAAGGAAGCTGGCTTACCCTCCATCCTCACCACGAATTTCACCTTCGATTCCGTCTATAGCTACCTTGGCACGCCATTGCTGGAAGGCAGTACCTCCGATCACCTTCATCTAGACGAGAAACCCTCCGAAGCCTACGAAGACAGCCCCATCCCACAAGCCGAGCTCGAGCCGCTCGTCAACGAGATCATCTCCGGCTACCGCTGCGCCGACCTCTTGCTCTGCCTGCCTGGATGCATCCCGATACCCTCGTTCAGCTCTCGGCCTGCACTTCCTGCACCTGACTGGGTGAATCCAAGTACGAACACGCTGCTGCCTGATGTTATCCAACACCTGCTCGCTCTTCGATCCGGCGCACCTCAAGAGCTACACCCTCCCGCAACCGCAAGCGGACGACCGCGAGCCGTCGTCCCAGCTCCCCTCCTTGTGCGACCATCAAGCACGGCTGCGGTGTACATGCCCTCGGGCCGCGCCCGATTCCTCTCGTCCATCGGTATACCGGAGAACCTCCACGACCGCAAGATCCTCATTGTCTCCTTCGGCGGCCAAGTTATACGCTGCCCGAAGAGAAACAGCAACAGTCGACCAAGCAGTCGATCCCACACCCCAAGCCCTTCGTTCCACGCTGGCATGTCTTCGCTTACGACCCTCGGGAACAATAAGGAGAACCTGGCGCATCTGCTGTCGAGCTCGGCGTTTTCGCAAGGGCGACCGCTCCTGTCGAGGATCGCCACGCCGAAGCATTTGTGGGTCCCAGGCGCACCGGCTCCGGTGACGAAACCATCGCCCGCGCCAACGCCTTTCTCGTCGCCGGTTACGAACGCCCAAATGCCTACTTTTGACGCCCTCTTGACACCGACGCAATCTAGATCTCAGACCGAGACAACACCGACGTTCAACGCCTTCGCTATACCGCCAACGCCCGTTCTCAATGGCGACTCCGACCTACCATCTGGCTCAGCGGACGGCGAACTCGCCGACGAACCTCGCCTACTACCCGACGACTCCCGGATCGCGATCATTTGCGGCGTGTCCAAGGAGCAGTGGGCGAAGGAGGACAAGGACGAGCACATGCCCGAGGACTTCTTCATCGCGCCGAAGGATGTGTACATGCCGGATTTGACCGCGGTGGCGGACTGCTTGCTGGGAAAGTTGGGGTATGGGACGGTGTCGGAGTGCATCGATGCGTGCACGCCCTTTGTGTATGGTGAGTGGCGATGGTCTTTACTACAAGGATATAGGTGCTAAACTCAGGGCGCGTACCACAGTATCGAGACCGCTCTTCATCGAGGAGCATGGTTTGCGACTGCTTCTGGACGAGGAAGGGACGGGCGTCGAGCTGGCGCGCGCAGCGTACGAGCAGGGAGATTGGGCGGGTGCGGTCGAGGAGGCGTATCAGAGAGGAGCCCCATCGAAGGCGTTGAAGCGGGCGTTGGAGAGGGTGATCAGTCGCAGGAAGGAGGACACGGTCCTGGGCGACGGATCTCTTTCTCGCACGGGCGGGACGAGCATCGCTCATGGGGGAGCCACACAAGGGGTCGGGGACGTTGACTTTGGGGCTAGCCTACCGCAGGTGCAGCAGCAGACGAGGAAGATGGCGCGTGCGGTGGTCGAGTGGTTTGGTGGGGCGGACCTCAGCGTGTTCGACGACGTGCGAGCTGGGTTGAAGCAGTCAGCCTTGCCCTACTGAAGCAATGGGCTGTGCCAACGGCCGAGGTCATGAGCTTGGCCGATGAATCGCAGTACTAGTGGTACCACTGGGACTTTTCGTATGGACTGGACTTCGGGATTCGGAGCTGCATTATAAAATCAATCATCGAAACGGGTCGGAACGCTATAGCTTGACGTGGAAGCCATTGGGCAAACTATGGCGCTCACACACAATGCAATGTATGCTAATTTCAGGAGGACAGGAGGACTATGGGGGATTATGGGTCTGCGTGGGTTTAGTCACACGCTGTGACGCCCGTCACTCCTGATCTGCGCCACCATGGGCAAGGGGAACCTTGTATCGGCTTCTCTCCTCTCTCTTCGAATTGTGTGGCGAATTCTTGACTCTAGAGAAAGGAGAGAAAGAAAAAGGTACACTGCAATAGACACATTTTTCCCAGACGGGTGTTCGCTCACCTGGAGCTGGCTTCGTGGCTCTACCGCGGTTCTTCGATGCGCTGACCGCTCTTTGAGAGTCTTCGTCACCTTCTCTGGTTGAAATGCCTGCTTCCGTGCATCATACTCCTCTACGGTCGTCTGGCCCCGTGACCCATGTTCATAAGTGCGTTTTCCCTGAGATTGCAAATGACTGGATCATGGCACCCTGCGGTCTCATTGACGGTGCGTGAAGGTTGTCTACTTGGTCATATAACTGCGTACGCTTTACACTCTGTCTCACCGAGTTCGACGGCTGCTCACACTCAGCAAATGCGCTTCCCGGCACTACGGCAGGACCGTTGTCCTGACCTTCCATTCTCTATCATGAGGCGCCTCCCGAACCGAAATACGTACGAACCCTCGGAACAATGATTCGGTCCTGCCATTGGTGCCACAATGCCACGCACTGTCGTGTACTTAAGGCGAGGACCACTTCACCTTTTACTACAAGTCTCGTCTCCTTCGTGGCACAACACCATCTCTATCACGCCACTGCTTTGTCTCCTGCGCGCCTCACCTTCAAACTTTGCACCAGTCAAGTCATTACTCGTAAGTATTTCTCCCATGTCCATTAACAGACGATCGCTGACGCTTGCCACAGCTGCGATGTGTCGCTTCACCGCCTTGACCACGAATACAACGAACACCTGTGGAAACCACAGAGTCGTTATCGCTGCCGATACGGCTGGGATGGAACCGGCAGTAGCCGCCAACGACGAGACGCCCGATGCCAATTTTGTGCGTAACGTTTCCTGTATATCGTTTTGGAAAAGCTATTTTGGCTGGCGTGGCCACAGGATGCTCGCTTACTCCCAGCCACAGATTCCCTGCAATAATCCTCTTTGCCAATACCAGCCAGACCACGAAATCAAGGTCATTCATAACGGGAAGGGCTGTTATGAGCTGGGTTGCGAGACGGGACCGTAAGCGCCCTCCATACGATAGCATGCTGGAGTGCTCAAACACGTTTTTTCTAGCTATATCGGTTCCTTCGTTTCAACATGCACACCTGCAAAGAACGACGCCGACGTCTGCGACCTGGTGGGGTGCGAGGAGTGCAATGGTGGCTGGCTACATTGGCACCGCTACAAGGGGGAGGCATTTGCACAACCATGGCCCGAGCCATGCATTCCCAGGCATTGCCGTGGCCATTCAGAAGATTTTTCTCGGCAACGCCTTCAAGATTGGGTTCGCTCTCAGGCGCAGCCTGACTATATGAAGTACCCCTAGTCTATCAGCCGTCCTGTCAGATCCATATGCCTTGAGTTTGATTTTTCCCCTGTCTTATAACTTCGCTTCAAAGTCTGTCATATTGCTGCGTGCACCGTGCGTTTTTTTTCTTGTCCTATCATGTCTAATGTCTAATAGTAGGCATCGTTGATGACATATTTTCGCTCTATACGTGGACCTAGCACATGCAGTATGTACGATATACATGAGTCACATTTGAATGCAAGCCCCTGCATATACAATGGATGGACGTAGTCTCCGATTGCGTCAATGATGGACGACGGCGCCAGCTACCATCCCCAAACGTGGCGCACGAGACCAGAATGGTAAACTTCCGTCCAATCACCAACCAATCCTGGGACGATAAAGAAGCTAGCTCTCCAAGTTCATTCACCATAAATGTACATTGGGTTTCTATCTAGTTTACATAGCTATAGCAGGCTTGACGGTCACACGAAGGTCGCCTAGAGCTTCGAGAGGACAGCATCGGCGCTAGAGACGCTGAGCTCGCCCGGGTTGGGCTCGGCCTGTAAAGTCGTGTCAACGCTGTGAAGACGCCAGGTTTGACCGCAAAGCGTACCTCAATGTACTTGACAGTGAGGTCGTCGATGATGGCAGCCCAGCGGCCAGTGCGGATGCCAAAGCCCTTGGAGGACTGGGAGTTACATGTAAGTGGGAAAGCAATGATAGGATATCTCAATGGGAAGACGTACCAAGTCGACAGAGAGGCCGAGCTGGCTGGCCCAGGCCGCGTTGGCATCGGAGAGGGCAAGAATCTAGAAGCACGGTAAGACTGAAGTCGTCAACATCACACAAGCCAATTCACCTTGTCCTTGAGGCCCTCAACGCGCGCCCAGCCGCTCATCACGAAGGGGTCGTTCGCAGCCACGACAGCGATGATATCTGCGGTGGCATCGTGGGTCAGATGGCGCCATAGCAGTTTCGATAATCGCACGCACCGACACCCTTCGCCTTGAACTCGTCGTACTTCTTCAGATAGGGTGGGAGGTGGTTGACGTGGCAGGTGGGCTAGAGCACGGAAGAAGGGGGAAGGGCAAGGATGAGCCGGTGGGATCTTGGATGGCGAGCGGCTTGCGACATACCGTGAACGCGCCCGGGACGGAGAAGAGCACGACCTTCTTCCCCTTCCACTCCTCGGTCGAGTAGGGGACCGGGACGCCGCAGGCGAGCTGTACGGGCGAGAGACCCATCGTCAGCTCACAGCTCATCATCAGCGATGGACGACGCGACGCACCCCATCCTCGAGCTCGGGGCTGTAGGGCACGTAGGTGAACTTGCCCTCGGGGAGCTTGTCGCCGACCTTGATCGATGGCATTCTGGGTGAGTTCTAAAAGCTGAGGTGAGAGTTAAGGATAAGATGCAGGGCGCGTCGAGCTGGCGGCCTCTTATACATCTGGGCGCTAATCATCACGTGTTCGCTCACGATATATAAGGTAATCCTTCCCCTGACGAATCCCCATCCAGTCGGCACCCACAAATCCGCAGGCCCTTGAGTTCGAGCATCTGCTGATTAGAATAAGACCGCACGTGTATATGGTCAATCAGCAAGGACTTCTACCGGGATTCGTCGCCCTACAACCGAGATACGCGACAGTGCCACAATTTCGCCACCGTCACCGTGGTTTAGAAAGCCGGCACGTGACGAATTTCTACAAGTCGGCGAAGTGACGCGTTCCTCGATAGAGTCGTTCGATATCTTACTCAGAGGAAGATGACGTTCGATGCCTAGCCTCGCGGAAGGCGGTGGCGACTCGCAGGGTACCTTCTGCGCATCGGTCGGCAGGTCCGAAGGCATAACGTCAACCCATGCATCGAAGATGAACATATGATTGTCCTTCTCAACCCCATGAGCCGACACTCACCTCCTCCCGAAGGACGCATACTTCAAATGTTGGGACGCGTAGTCGTCCATGTTGATCCCACACCAATGAAAACGAGTGGAAGGGTTCTTTCGAAGGGAGCGAGGACCAGCGACAAGACGAAGGGCAACAAACAAGATCCATCGTAAAGGGCACTGGTCCCGGATTAAGACGAGTACTAGAATATGTACAGCGTGGAACGTGAAGGGCGTGATCGTGAAGGAATAATAGTAGTACATCCGAAGAAGCAGGTGAGAGGGATGGGAGGTGCGGAAGGATGAGGCGTGAAGGGTACGGAAGGGTAATGCGTGGAAGGGGTGAGGGAAGCGCGTGGGTAGTGGGTGAAGCGCTTAGGTGACTGCTAGTCCAGGAGCCTACTTGTTTAGCTCGGCCTGGCGCGCCTGGAGCTCCTCGTGGGTCTGTAGGGGTCTAATCAGCTTATTGAGTCCAAAGGGAGGTAGACATATGTACGCACCGCAGGCTCGGGAAGGCTGCTCAAGACCTCGGGCGCAGGGACGTGCGGGTCGCGCGCGTGGTGCGCTTCCATGCCGCCATCGTGGCGCATGCCGCCGCCCGGCTGGGGCGGGTTCAGGTCGGCGGGGTCGTTGGACTTCTGCATGGGGTGTCAGGAATCAACGAGTCAGCTGAGGGTATACACGTACAGCAGGGTGCGGCTGAATGGAGACCTGCTGGTCCTCCGAGGTTGCTGCAGCTGCAGCCACCTCCGGCTCGGCGGCGGGCGCGGCCTCCTCCTTCTTTCCCTTCTTGCCCTTGCGGCTGAGCTTAGCCTTCAACTTGCTGAGGAACCCGGGCATCGTGGTGGCGAGTTAGAAAAGGGGCGGACGGGTACAAAGGGGTTCAGGTGTCGATAGTGATAGGGAGCCGCTGGAAGATGGAACGACCGCTGCGGGGCAGCTGGCGTGAGCGGCGGTAGGAAGGTGCAAACGGCGTGGGCGCCTGCGGACGGAGGCGGACGCGAGGAGGACCTTATAAGACCTTGGCCACGAGCCCCATGACGTCCTCCCCAGCGTGTCTCGCATCGCGCGCGGGCAGAGCCGAGGCGCAGGCGAGGCCGCCGCATGGATCGATGGTTGCCGAAGACGAGGCGTGGGTTTTTCGTGGTCCGCGCAGAAGATAATTCACCAAGACGCCGCCATGGGGTCTTGCACAATGGGAGAAGCAGACGAGATGTTGGGGAATAGCGCCCGCGAAATCGTGGGGAGTTCATGGAAGAATTCCATTATCGCACACTGGCCGGCCCAAAGATGGCTTCGCGAGCAGGGAAGAATGCAAGATGCCTGCAATGCAGCTCGGACGTGCGCGGATATAGCATCCAGGCAACAGGAAGAGCGCCAAGCAGCCAATGGGCGCTGGGAAGATCGACGCAGGTGACGTACTCGGGACCAAACGCGGATACACGTGCGCTGGCCATAAAACCTTCCAGGTTGGGATGCGCGATGTGGGCATGCTCCATCCAGTAAACGCGTTATCTCTGCGTACAGAGACACGCACAATAATCGAACGTATAATAAGCACCTACCCTAATCCTAGCACTCACGCCCCCGCCACTCACGCCCCCACCTGCATGCTCGCCGGCTGCGCCTCCGCTGGCGGCTGAGGCCGGTTCGCCGCAATATTCACCACAGGCGGTGCGCCCATGGGAAGTGGACTAGTAGTCCAATCCGGGAGCAACGTCCTCCCAGGGGAGCCTTTTGGCCTGTTGTTGCCAGCGTTCGGGCCAGGAGACGAGATCTGCATGGCGTCCTGATTCTCGTCCCATTTCTCCCGAGCGACTTCGGATCCGCCAGTCTTAAGGGAGCTAACGCAAACCATCAGTACTGTCCACTCCACTGAATTCAACCAGCAGTGAGAGTACTCACCCAGCCAATGATCCCCCGACCCATGCCATCGTTGCTGGCGTGAAAGCCGGTGCTCGCCCCGCATTCCTGTTTCCATCCCGCGGCGGAGATGGGTTATTCAGGATCGCTACATGAGGTATGAGCGGTCTGAGGACGCCATAAGGGTCATATGGAGGCGGTGGGGGCGCCTTGCCCTTTCCTCGCCGCGGACGGTCGTGCGAGACGAGGGGCGGGGCCATGGCGCGGAGGAGTTCCGAGTGCAGGCGAGGGATGAAGCCGGGGAGCATGGCGGTGCCGCCTGTAATGAGGATGGAGGAGATGAGGGTCTTGCGAAGGTCAATGGGGACCTGAGGTGTGGTTGAGTCAGACTGGACGCCATTAGTTTGCGAGGAGAGATGCGCACCATGAGTAGTGCATCCAGTATCACCTCCGCCACACTGCTCTCATCTACATCACCACCTTCAAACAGAACTTCCGCCGCACGCTCGCGCACCCAGCCCGGCACGACCAGCAGTCCCATCCCCGTGCCCGTATTCTGCGACGCGGGCGGGGTCACCGGCAGTCGTATATCTGTCGCACTCGAATGCCGTGTGTACAGCGCCGCCAGCTGCTGGAGATTATTTCCCCCATTTCCCCCACCCCCGTCCCTTCCCTCACCGCCCGTCCTCGGCAAGCTGACCACCGAGAAATCCTCGCTCTCCTTCGTACTCGACAGGTGCGAAAAGTCGCTCTCGCTCTGCATCCCGCTCTCCCGGGAGAACCCTGATTCCCTCGAAAACCCGGAGTCGCTCCTGTGGAAGCTCGGCTCGTCCGCTTCTGATGAGGCGGGCGTGGGGTCGCGGAGGTCGGCGGCGTGCGCGGCCATGCTGGAGCCGACGAAGCAGCAGCGGGCCTTGATGTCCTCGACGACGGCGGTGGTGAGGATGTCTTCGGGGACGCGGACGGCGCGGTTTGCCGCCGGCACGTTGACGGCAGAGGAGAGGGAGGTCGGCGGGGGGAGGTATGTGCCGAAGAGGAGGATGAGGTTGCGGAGGTGGGTGGTGAGGCGGGAGCCGGCGAGGGGGGTTGTGCGCAGTTGTGGGTAGAGGGGGCGAGAGGCGAAGATCTGGCGGAGGGACAAGGTTAGAGGCAAGGGAGGAGGGGAGGAGGGTGTGGCGCACGTACGGGTAGGGCGACACTTTCGAGATGTCCACAGTCGAGGACGAGGCCCGTGATGCGGCCTACAGTGAAGAGGGATAGCAAGTGACTGGACGCGAAGGACACGGATGGAACCTGATACTAGGGTGAGATGCAATTCGGCCTCATTGTGTTAGACGCGCGCACCTGCAGGTTCTCAAACAATATTCGCGCCAGCATCTCCTTGATATACAGCGGCAGCAACGGATGCTCAATTAATATCACCTTCCTCGCCTTCGGGTCCGTCAGCAGCGACCTGCCAGCCTCATCAGTTTCCTTCCCCATCCTCTATGAACCAGTCATACCCCACTCACTTATGAAAGACCGATCGTAACCTGCTCTCCAGCCGTACTTCCAGCAACCGCTCCTCCTCCGCGCGCTCCGCCGGATCTGACGCTCGTTGAAGGTTGTACAGCTCCAAATCCGCCGAGCCGCTGCCGTAGACGACGTCGCGCGGGCGGCCCTCGCCGCTGAAGCCGACCTTCCAGATGCGCGAGCCGGGGTCGATGATGATGCGATCCTCGACGCCGTAGAGGGAGTGTCTCCTAGTCGTCGTGTAGTGGGGGGATGCATGAGAGAGGTGGGAGCTGGAGAGGCGGTTGTGGGTGGGCGTCGAGGGAACCGTGGCCATCGCGGTGGTGGACGACAAGCGCGCGACGCGCGATGCACGCCGGGCCGGTGCCACTGGCTTCGTCATGTGCCGAAGTTCGACTTTCGGCAACTCCTCTCTGTTGGAGTCCAGTGTGGAAAGGACCATTGGAACAATGGAATACTGTAGATGAGTTCACTCCAGTGACTGTGATCCCACTACGAGAAGAGCACTGCTGTTATGCTTGCTCGGGAAGCCAGCACTTCGTCCAGTTCTTCACCTCGAGATGAATTCATGCGTCATTACATTGCAGCCAAACTACTACCCAAATCCTGAGATCATCTGAAGAATCTTGAGATTAAGAGAATGATAGCCAGAGCCCAGCGTTCAAACTGCTCCTTCGTCAGGAACAGCAACGCTTGGGACAAGACCGCCTTCGTGATTTGTGATTGCATGCCCTGCGCCTGGTCAGCCAACTGTGAAAAGTAGAACAAGTACACCGCACCTGATACCACCCAGCCACGCCCTCCCTCTTGTACACCCGCTTAAGGACATCGAGCGCCCCTACGTGCCTCGAATGGTCCTTGTGATGCTGCTCGTGCGGCCTCGGCGCCTCCCTGTGCTGCTCCGCCGCCGCCTCCGCGTCCGCACTGCGCGCCTGTATCCTCACCTTCGCCATGATATACGGATACGTCACGACCGTCGCCAGCGTCTTGCTCAGCGCGCCGACCGCAAACGTCTGCGCGGGCGTCATGCTCCGCGACACGCCGTTCCCCGCCTTCTCCTTCGCGAGCAGCAGCAGGCTCTTCACGCGCTCGTACATCCCGTACGTGATCGCCGGGTTCACAGTCAGCACGAGCCCGGGCCGCAGCCCGAGCCAGAGGCCCGCGTAGCCCTCCTCCTCGATGATCTCGCGCGCGACGGAGAGGAAGGAGTCCTCGTCGGGGCCGGTGGCGAGCCCGGTGGCGGGGTCAATGGTGGTGCGGGGGGTGGAGGCGCCGGAGCGCGCGCGGTCGGGGCGGCCGACCTGTTGGCGGGTGGCGATGACAGAGACGGGGATGGTGAAGATCTGGGCGAGCGCGCCGGCGATGGCACCCAACAGCAGCTCGGCAGCGGTGGAGAGCGGGGGGAGGGCGGAGCCTTTGGGTGCGTTGCGGCGGAGGCGAGCGATGTAGGAGCTCCGGACGAAGGCGTAGAAGAAAAAGTAGGCGTATTCTGGGTGGGGGAACTTTGATTAGTGGGCTAAGCTGGATGCTTGGATTGACGCACGCATGGAGAAGGTATTGAGCATCGTCGCTGCGAAGCCACGGTACCAGCCCATGATCCCCTCGCGCTTGTATACCCTGAGCAGAACGCGGAGCATGGAGACGTCCGCCTTCGTCTTCGGGCCGTCAGACGGTAATGCCTGGATGCGCGTCTTCGCCCTGGGACGTGTGAGCCTGCCGCTTGCTTCCTTCGTTTGTGGAATACATACACATCTAGGGGGTATACGACGCTGCATTGCTCGTCAGATCCTTTGGGACTGCGGCTCCCCAAGAACCACTCACGCAGTACTGAAGCATGCACCGAGAGCGCCTGCGAGCGCGGAAGCGAACGGCGTAAGCTGGACGGGCTTCATGGTCTTCACCTGCGTAGACATGGTGGTATAACGCAAGGTGGGGCGTCCGGTGAACGCCTTTGGGGCGCAGAGCGCTCCGGCTACGTCGTGCAGTTGCCGGTCAACGCTCGGTGCCCGGTGCTAATTGAGCCGACTGTGCATGTGATACGAAATGGACATGTTTTCTGTCTCTTTCTTCCGCCATGACGGTCACGACCAACATATCTTTTCTCACTGTGAACGTCTTTGACATTTGAGGTCGACGAGCATCCACTTGTGTGCGCGTGCAATGGTATTCAATCTCAGTTGACCTTTTCGGAACAATGACCATCTGATCGTCTTCCACTTTTCCGACCAACCGACCACCTGGTGAATGAGCTCGAGGGCAGATACGAGCTCACCTTCAGTCATCATGCGTTTCCGCCCCTCTCACTTGTCTGCTCCTTCCGGTTGACGAACACAAGCTGAATACTCGCTATCGCGATCGGACTTCGCATCAACCAAAGCTTGATGCGTGCTCGTCGCTCATTGCCTCAGCCTCTACTATCCTCCCAGCATCAGCAACTCCTGCCCTCTCCGTGTCAATGACAGGGCCTACCTATACGTTCGTTCAGAATCAAGTCATCACAGCTTCTCTGCGTCAAGACCTCCCTCTTTCCCTGCTGCATCAATAGCCCGTCAGTCCAGATGTCCGCTCTATGCGCCAGCGTCAGATTCCCGGCCTCTGCGCGGCTATCTTGCTTCCATCCTACCGCGTCCCGCGATGGCAGCAGTGCCTTTCCGCGCTCATCATCAAGGTGATGATCTTCCGCGAGATGAACTCAGTTCGGCGCTAGGCTCGCGCTACATATAAGTACAGATGATGTGCTGGCGCTCGACGTCCGCCCTCCTCACCAGCGACACCTCCACCTCTTCAGCATCTGCCCTGTCGGCCATGAGCGTAATGACGATCGACAACAATGACGGCTGGATCCTCTACAGCAGTGGCTGGACGACAAGCGGTTGCTCCAGAATGGATGGTGCTGATGAAGCGGCGGCGAGCCTGCACTGCATTGTTAGGTCGTCCATGGACCGACCAGCCCTCGCCGTCTTCACCTTCAATGGTAGGCTCACAATGTCTTGTATCCTCACTTCGGTATGCGATTTATTTGATTTGCAGGTACCGCTGTCCAAGTCTCTGGATGGCAGAACTCGACGTCTCCGCGTATGTCAAGGACGTTGTTCAGTGTGGACGATGGAAATCCTTCTTCCCCGTCAAGCACGGAACCATACATATACCAAGCTACTTCTCTCTCGCCAGGCCGACATACGCTATTCATCCAGGCCCATGAGGGGTTCGCCCTCGATCACATCGAGTACGCCCCAAGCGCTACGGACAGCAGCGCTCCCTCAAGCTCGTCGGATTGCGCGGTAGCCGCTGGCGCCATCGAGTCAGGAAGCAACAGCGATGCAGCTGCTCGGATCGTAGGCGGCATCCTCGGTGCGGCCATCATTGTCTTATGCGCCATCATCGCCTTCTTGCTCTGTCTACGTCGGAAGGAGCGTAGAGAGGGTGGGTTTAGCTATATTCCCTTTAGTCCTCTACACCCTAACTCATAATCCGGCCAGCCCGACGTGCTTCCCTCTCCGCTGTCCCCTTTGCCCGCCACCCACAGCTAAGGCGGACGCTCTCAGAAAAGCTCTATGCCTTCGACGGTTCGCAGTCTTGCGTCCCCAAATCGCCCACGCCGAGCTCCTCCTCGGATCTCTCGAAGAACCTTCCCGCGTCCGACCCGTCGAAGTACCTTCCCTCAGTGCCGTATGCGCCACCTCCCAAAGACTATACGACCCCCATACTGGGATACGCGCCTCGTTATACGACTCCTGCGCCAAATGACACGCGACCAATGAGGGTGCCCAAGCGTGCTCGACAAGGCTCTACCGCAGCATCGCCCACGCCCGCGCGGCAGACCTCCATGCCCGGCCACATACGCCGAAGCTCGTCGGAGAAACGGCTCCCTCGCAAGCCGGCACCGGCAGTGCACGACGATTACGGGCTGGTGCAGAGCAATAGGTTCACCTCGACGCATGCTGATGACGGCGGCGTGCCGAAGGGCAGGGAGCAGTCATTGTTTGGGCTAGCCCGCTCGGACACGCCGTTCTCAGATACGGACACAGAGCTGCCGAAGTACTCGCTGCCGTCGCCGACGCAGGGTTACGGGTGGACGTCGGAGAAGGCAAAGGAGAAGATGTAAGAGGATGAGGAGGGGAATCGATGTAGAATGCGGGACAGGCGGCTGCGCGAAGGAGGAGTCACCGCAACTGTCAGCGCAGCATATCTTGTGGGTTGGGATTTCTTGAATTTTTCTGTAGATTACACAGGGCGCGTCCAAGAAAGTCCCGGATCATGTAGCGATATCTGTATGTATGTACCAGTACACCATATATATTGTCCGCAGGAGCTTCTTCTAAAACGGCGAGGGGATCCTGAAGAACAGGATATACTGGGAACAAAAAAAACGACCATCAAGAGGAACAAAAATCAGTCGAAGCGGCGAGCATCGTGCGGAGCACGACGCGGCCGAGGAGCCCTTCGTCGGGGTCCAAGGCGACCCTCATGCTCATACGGACTCTGGCAACCGTCTGCCAGTACCAGCGGCGCCAAAGGTGGCCCGCAATACGTCTCGTAATTCTGGCGAAGTGCGCCATCATAAGCGGAATATCCTGCGCATTGCTGGCTGCCGCCCCGGCAGGTCTCGCACTGGCGAAGCCCGCAGTCGCGCGAGGAGCGGCTCGTTGTCTTGAGGTAGCCGATGAAGCTGGGGAGATCAATCAGTGGGAACGAGTGCGGTAGAATGTGAAGTATGAGGCGGGAGGGTAGAGGGTATTCTAAAAGGTGAATTTACTGCTTACGGGCCAATTGAGCAGCCGAGCTGGTCGCAGGAAAACCTGGGGTCGGCGTGGTAGGGGGATCTGGAATGACCGCGCTGGTAACGGCACTCAGGCATATTGCAGTAGGGCTGTGGCGGAGACTTGATCAGGAGGGCAAAGTGGGGTAAAAAAGCCGCCGTAAATCTCAGTACGCACCCCATCTTTGGTGACTCTCGGGATGGTGGGATCAGCGGGGTGGCCTAGTACGATGTTGTAGTTGCCACATCGGTTGGTGCTGTTGGTGAGATGAAGGGTGTAGCCGCACATATGAGGCTTGAGCAGTCGGATCAGAGAGTGAGAGTGAGAGGCAACGGTGGCAAAGACCTGTGCCACGAATGTCAAGACGGGTGGAGAGGGGGGAAGGGGAAGCGAACGCCTTCTCGCCTCCGAGCTACCCTTATATGCGCTTGGGCCGAGGGTGTGAATATGTGCGACTGACTCGAAGGCGCAAACGGTGGGAATAGTATGCGAGGATCTGCTGGAAAAAGCGGCGCATTCATCAACCCTCATTGTGACGGATATAGCAGAGACACATCGATACCGACTAAATGAGGTCGCAGGGCCCTTCTGGAAGGCGTGTGAACGCTAAGTAAGTAGGGACTGCATAGTCTGAGCGAGGAATATCAGCATTCTATAGCGGCGCTTATTCGAAGGTGAGGAATGGAAGTGATGTACGCATGTCTGCGCGGAGGTTGGAGGCGAGAAGCGGGTCCGTCAATTGGTGAGGGAGGACCATCAAGTCTGAGTCATATAGAGCCAGCCAATCATTACGGCCCCGCAAGTGTGGGTGGACAAACTGAGGTTGAGTCAAGGTCCCACGGTCTTCGCACTTCCTTTGCTGTATGTGCGCTATTGCGCGTATACCGGCTACGTTAAGCATGTCATGGATCGAGTCAGCGAACCTGATACCTGGCGAGCAAAGCACTACAAAGTATGGCAATGAACGAGCAGTTCCCATATTGATAGCATAGGACAGACCGCATACACGTTGCACTTGTAGAGAAAAGCCGCACACCGAGGGGATTACCTTGCTTGCAAGGTCTTACTCAGGTGCCTTTGGGCGGAACCTATTTCACAAATAAGTCCAAACATATGACGGTTGTTCTTGTTTCTTTCCTCTTTAAGCATCGAACAAGGTAGCGATTTCTCAGGAATTCATGCAGTAGAGAGTTGATCAACGAGTCAAGCAAAGCAGGCGCTGTAGCCTGGCAATAGCCGAGCGACGTTGCTGCATCCGAAGGAATTGCGGCGACGGTCACGCGGGCGACGAGCGCGTTGACCTCTGCGCTCTGCGTCCATCGGCTCAAGGCTCCTGCAGCAATATTTCGTTAGCCCGCCCTATTCTTCCTCTCTCTCACTCGATAACGCTCTGACCTGCACGTATTTGCTTTAGGCCCTTCTGCTGAGTCCTGGGGCAGGACATGCTGCCTGCTACAGCGCTCAGTCGGCCTGTCCGCGCGCATGTGGGCGGCTGTGGGCGTGCCCCCACGTGACCCACGTGATGCTGCGGGATCCTGCGAGCGGGACGCAGATCTAAGTGGTTCTCAGATGAGTAGAGATGTGTTGGGCCCATTAACGCTGCCGCGCCACCTGGTCTCGTCAGTAACGTGCGAGACGGCGACTCAATCCAAAACCACGCTCGTCCCTCGTGTCGCGATAAAGAGGAGGCAGAGGAGAGTAAGAGGTGAAGAATGGTTGCATCTCTCGACACGCGGCGCCATGTAGGACACTCGCTGTCGTGTAGATGTAGTAATAGGTAAGTAAGGGTGGCGCGAAGCGTCCGCCCGTGTTAATACATACAACGGTTGCCTTTCTTAGAAGTATTCACAAAGAGTTGTTGAAACCCATATACAACTATCCGTGTCTTCATGTCCAATAGCTAAGGGCACGGAGAAGTCCTCCATATAGACTCTCCACGCATAGACAGTAGGAACGAAGACAGATGAGCAGTGGGTCAGAACAAACACTCGGATGGTTCGGTCGAAGCTGAGGTAACAAGACTCGAAGCAAAGAGCAAGTTCGAGCGAGCCCGAATAAATGGAAAATAGAAGGCAGAGTATCATGAAGCCTTTTCTATAAGACACGATTTAGCCATGAATGTTGGCAGATATTTCTTGAGGAGAAACTTTGGCCACCGCAGCGTGCGTGTCACATGCAAGCAAGGTCGTCGGGAGGCAGGGCCGACGCTTCTCTAGTCTTACTCAGGTGCCTTTGGGCGGAACCTATTTCACAAATAAGTCCAAACATATGACGGTTGTTCTTGTTTCTGTCCTTTTTAAGCATCGTCTCCGAACAAGGTGGTGATCTCTATCATGGATCTGTGCAGTAAACAGCTGATCATTGAGTCAAGCGAAGCAGGCGCTGTGGCCTGGCAATAGCCAAGCAACGTCGCCGCGTCCAAAGGAATCGCGTAGACGGTCACATGGGTGGCGAGCGCGTCAGCCTCTGCGCTCTGCTTCCATCGCCTCGAGGCTCCTGCAGAAATGTTTTTTGTTTGCCCGCCCTCTGATGCCCTCTCTCTCTCACTCGCTAACGCTCGAACTAGCACGTATCTGCATCATGCCTTTCTCCTGAGGCCTAGGGCAGGACCTGCTGCCTGCTATAGTGCTCAGTCGGCCAGTACACACGCATGTAATCTGTGGGTGACTGTGGGTGCTACCCACGTGACCCACGCGATGCCACCTCTAGGAGCGGGACTTCAGCGAGACGCAGATCTAAGTGGTTCTCTGATGAGAAGAGATGCGTTGGGCCCATTGACGCTGCTGCGCCACCTAGTCTCACCAATAACGTGCGAGACGGCGACTCAACCCAGGACCACACTCGTCCCTTCAGCCTCGCCCAGCGCGTGTCGCGATGAAGAGGCAGAGGAGAGTGAGAGATGACCAATGGTTGAATTTATAAACACGCGGTGCCATGTAGGACATTCGCTGTCGTATACACATAGTAATAGGTAAGTCAGGGTGGCGCGAAGCGTCTGCCCGTGTTTGTACACACAAAGTTTGCCTTCTTGAGCAGTATTTACAAAGAACAGTTGAAACCCATACGACTACCCGCGTCTTCATGTCCGATGGTTAAGGGCCCGGAGGAGCTCCGTATAGACTTCCCACACATCGACAGTAGCAACGAAGGCAAATGAGCAGTGGATCAGAACACACACTGGGATAGTTCAGTCGAAGCCGAGGTAACGAGACTCGAAGCATAGAGTAAGTTCGAGCGGGCCCGAATAAATGGAAAAGAGAAGGCAGAGCGTCCTGAAGCCTTTCTTATAAGACAGGATTAAGCCATGTATGTCGGCAGATATTTCTTGAGGAGAAACTTTGGCCACCGCAGCGTGCGTGTCACATGCAAGCAAGGTCGTCGGGAGGCAGGGCCGACGCTTCTCTAGTGAGATGTTCATAACGTCTTACCGACTCGGCCTTCAGCTACGTTCCAAGATGAAGGGTTTCCATACTAAATGCAATGCAGGCAGGGGAGGACGACGGAAGATGAAGGTCGAGAGCACATTGTCCAATATGTGGGTCCAGAAGCACGTGCCACGAATTCTCACGGTTTTCTAGCCGACGCCTTCGAGCTTTATTCCTTCTCGTGCCCTCATTACCTTTGTCCTTGAATCAGGTCGCTGTCATTAAGAAACTCCTCACACTAACGGATACCATACTTCACCAACAATCGCAGGTTAACTGCGGCCGCTCGGCCACGACGACTGAGAAAATTCAACCGGAACTTGCAGATTGCCTCCATGAGCGGGACGACATGTGCCAAGATACTGGGACCGGATGCTGATTCGAGACGGTGAGACCCGGTCCTGAGTGAGGAAGCCGCATTCCATTGTTCTCCTGAAATGGGGGCACACCAACCGCAAAGGCTATTCCATGTTCGTCTATGGTCGACGAGGCACCGGTGCGAGGAAGCAGAGAGATGGCCTCGACGTCACGGATCGTCGTCCTACCTCCTCGCCTGGTTAGGAACAATGAAAGAGCTGAGTACAGTAGCTTGCATTCCTGGCGAGCGTGAGTCTGACTTGTCCCTGCCGCGCTGGTGCACGCGATCGATGCTAAGAAAATCGATGGTCGACAGCCTCGTTTCCGAGTACATTCAGCCTCCAGCGATGGAGCGGAGAGTACGTCCCCTCGAACCGTACATGCACGCTTGTCGAACTGATGGGCTGCCGAGTTTAGCTTGTCGCTGGTGCTTGAGCCATGCGCTTGTCTCGAGGAAGAGTTTCTTGCGCGCGCGGACGACGTGGGCGTACGGCGCTTGAAGCCTGCGTGCCGAGGGCTTTTATCTCGTGCTTCTCCCCTACGCGTGCTGGTGGGGTATGCCGGAGAACAATAGACCTGGCCGGCCGGCGGGATCACTCGCGATCGGCCGGGGATCAAGGTGTGATATAGACTGTGGGCGTGCGGAGAGGGAAAGACAATAAGAACAAGAGAGACATGATCGACATTCCCTCTCGTTCGAGCCCTTTTCTTATATTCGACCACGACGGCGAGCAGAGCGCCTGCTCGTCGCTGCCCGTGTCGCGCACCCGCCGACGACCGCGCGCCGCCGCTTGCCCGCACGTCAACCTGCCGTTCTCCGCAGTCAGATTTCGATAAGGCACGTACCTGGCCCCTCGTGCATCTGTTTCCGGGCGGTGCACGCGCCTAGCACTTATCAAGGCAAGATGGGATCCATGGCAGTGATGGTTCGTGATCAACCGCCATGTCTTCTCTCATACCCCAGCAGCCCCCACTGACCTTTCTGCCTCTCAAGACGGGCAGTCTCGCCGACATTCACTCAGATGGACCCATATCACCAGACGTGAGTTCCCCGGACACATACCGGAAGCATAGACTGACGGTAGCTCAGAACTGGAAGCGGGCGGTATACCGCCCCCCTCCCGCACGATTCTCAGTAGCGATGCTCCCGCCAGTCAAGTTTGGTGCGTAGTCCCAACCACCCCTTTGGACAGTACTGACCTTTCCATCAGGCTCGAGCTATAGCTATGGCATGCGCATCTCGCCGATCACTATCAGCTCGACACCTGGCGAGCGCGCCTCCATCTCGACTTACAATTCCCACTCGGAGTACGAGGCGCGTCGTCCCTCCTCCCCTCATACTCCCCCCTAATCTCGACACTAGATCTGGCGCAAATGGGAAGACTGCCTCTGGTTCCAGGAGACGCTCGAGTACGAGTACACCCGCCTCGCGCGCGAGAAGCGGCGGCGGCTCACCTCGGGCAAGGGCGTCAAGAAGAACGGCCTCTACGTGCACGACGCCGCCTCCTTCGAGTCTCTCCCCATGGGCCCCGACCCGACCACTGTTGCCAAGGACGTGCACGACCTCATTCCCCGCCTCACCAAGAAGGGCACCTTCTTCCGCGCGAGCCAGGAGACCATCGAGCAGCGCGCGACCGAGCTGCGCCGCCTCATCGAGGCGCTCTTCCGCGATGACGTGCCCGCGCTGCTGAACGACCTCCGCAACGACCGTATGGTGACCGACTTCTTTGGCTATTGGCGCCGCGACTATGACCTGGCGAAGAAGCAGGGGCGCGAGCCGGAGTTTGGCAGCTCGCGGAGCTCTATTGGGACGAACACGCAGTTCTCTGGGGCGCAATCGGAGGCGTCGGGCTCCCGATCGTCGGGCGGGAGGCACAACTCGTCGAGCAGTTTCGATTACGCCTCGGACACGACAACCTCACCACGGTCGAGTCGAACCTCAGGCAGCAAGCGTATCTCGATGTCCTCCTCGTCTTCATCCTCGAGTTCCTCTCGGCATTCGATGTCAAGTGCGGGACCCTCTGTTGTTGTCGTCCCCACTTCACCTCATATGCAATTTGGACATGATCCAGCGATTGACAAGCGCAGCTCAATTGGCCTGGAGGCACTCCCCGAGAACCACGAGATGTTGCTCAAGGCAGGCCTCGCGCGGAGAAGTACGACGAGCAAAATGGGTGAGCGACGCTGATTCGTTGGCGGTATTCCTGTAGGCTTACCGACTTCAGAACGCCGACCTGCGGTTCGTGAGTCTTGGCAAACAATGGACTCCGCGACGACATATCTCGAAGGCCTTTCGCTTTCTGATGGCGAGGATCATTGGCAGGAACACGCTCGGCGAGGCTCAATTGCAAGCGTCGCTAGTGTTGCCACGATCAGGACAGCAGACTCCGCAGACGCCGTCCTCCCTCGAGGAGAACTGGGCGCCAACCTCCGACGCGCCTCCTCCGCACGAGACCACTCCCCTTCTTCCCGCTACTCTTCAATTTCTGTCATTTCCCGCATGGATACCCCCACGTTCGGTGCGTCTTAAGCGAATGTAGAAGTCTCTCAATCTGACTGTCTTGCAGAGAAATTCCCTTTACCTCCTTTCAACGACAAGATGGTCAACCCTCCGGGTCCGACGTTCATTCGCCGACCCTCACAATATTCCCTTGAGGAGCCATACCCCATTCGCCCCGAGACACCCATGGGACACCGCGCTTCGATTTCTACCACCGGGTCCCACTTAGATATCCCCACCGTTTTCCCTCCCCCACGCACCTCCTCTATGGGCCCCCGTCGACCCCCCTCACCAGGTTTCCGGCCGACGTCTCCTATCCACTACGCGCACGACAGCGCAATTCCGCCCGTGCCCCCGCTCCCCGCCGGCATCGCGTCCTCACCCCCTCGTCCGAGTTCTGCGGCTGCCTTCTACCGCCCGCGCGGCTCTTCGACGGCCTCCTCGGCGCGCCCAGGATCCTCCGGCGGCCGCCCTGGGTCCTCTCATCCCTCAAGCTCGCGACCCAACTCCTCCGCGGGCACCGAACCTCAGCTCGCCATCAAGGCCGCGCACAACAACACCATCATCCTCCTGCGAGCAACGCGCTCGATCCCCTTCGGAGAGCTCCGGCGGCGCCTGCACGACAAATTCGTCAAGCAGGAGGGCGTGCCGCTCTCCGAGGACTTCACCGTTGCGTTCCACGCACCTCCTGCGGAGCCGCAGGTGAGCGAGGCGGCGGCGAGGCTCGGGGTCCGGCAAGGGCGCGCGCGGTCGAGCTCGCTGTCGGCGGGGATTCTGTCGATGCAGTTCATCAACTCGCAAGCGGAGTGGGAGCGCGCGCTGCAGGATGTGGATGTGGAGAGTGGAAAGTTGCATCTGAGAATTTTGGACACGCCAGCATGACATGATTTTGACCTGAACTTGAACGATACCACTGACGAACTGACATGATTCCTTTCTCTACTAACATGATTTTCTTGCATCACCAACATGATTTCGATTTCGCTGATGACCTCTTGTACTTTTTATTATATCGTTGTTTCCGTTAGATCCTCTGACTGACCTATGACGAAGCCGCGAAAGCTTCGGGCCACTTTCTTTGTACGCTGTTTTCTTCTTGGAGTGTAGGGTGTTTTTGTGAGGGTGTAGCAGTACCACTCATAGATGTAACATGTACCTAACTTATTTCGACAACACTGAATGCGATGAATGTAATATCCAAAACCTCAGTGGATATCGAACCTTACTCAAGTCATGAGAAGAGAGGATGTTGACGAGTGGACCGTGAGAACGTTGGCACGTGTCTCGGACCCCCATTCCCTAATTTGGCAACCCCCAATCCTGCTTTCGACCACCATCTCGCCGGCTTGAATACTGTAAATTGTGGCGACGTGGAATACATTTCACTGTTGCTGCTATTTGTCTGCTTATCGTCTAGTCTTCTCTGCAACACCTGGTTTCCGCGTTTCTTCTTCAACCACAACACGGATCTTTTTCTCTGCAATCTTCAACCTCGTCCTTTCACCGATGCAATCGGGGCGCTGTACGATGCGCGTCGTGCGGTCGACCCGATGATCTTGTGGGCGCGATACGTTGTCGCTTTGGCCCTGCGGTCGCAAGGTTCTGGCGCTCCTGCATGCGCTGCGGCACCGTTTCGTCGGGATTATATACCCCCGTCGCGCTCATAGCAGGCGTTCGTCTGTTAGCGAAGTCTACTGGGTCACATACTTCTCGGTCATAGTCAAAGGCCTCATTCATAGGCTGTAATACCGCAATTGGTCAGGCGGCGCTTCGCTACTGGTCAGACGCTACTCGCCTTCAGGTCAGCCGGCCCATCCCACTGCGCCTATTCCCACCAGATAAGCAAGTCGATACGCCAATCCTCCGCACCAAATAAGCGAAGCCACACGAGAGGGTATGCGGTGCAGGGACCCTTCTTCTAGCTGGGTGCGTGGCTTTGGCATGTTTATGGACCCTTGGGGCTCTGAATGTCGTGGCTCGAGACCCTAGAGTTGTCTTCTAGTAGGCGCTAAACTGACGCTGTCTTTCCAGCGGTAAACTTTGTATGGCGATATTTTCTCGGCGAGGATACAAGCTTTGCCAGGAAGGCCCTCGGCTATAACCGCTATCCGCGAACGACCTCCCAGCGGCGCAGCTTCTCATGAAAGGGTGAACACTAAGATCTCCCGAAGGTCATCTAGCGCGAGGCGGTACCGAGCGAGAGGCTTGGCCCGCACTTCATGCTGCGCCGTAGAAGGGAGAAACAGAGGACCTGAGAAGCGAAGGTCGGCACTCGCATACCTCCGTTCCCACTGACATCCGCTCTAGGGATGGTACCACAGCGATTCGAAAGAGGCACACGCGTACACCGCATAGGTCTCTCATGCTTGCTATTACTTCTACATCTTCTTACACATTCTCGGTAGGCGCAGAGATCCTACCGCGCCAGGCGGCGTAAATACGCGTTGCACTCGACTTGGCGCTCTGCACTTGCGGCGTACGAATCTCAGCCTCTCAGTCTCGCCAGCGGTGGCTACGAAAGCCTATACATCGGCTGCAATACCGCGTCAGTCTCTTTTCTCACTACCGCTCGGTCGCTTTCCATGCGTGCGTCCTTCGCACGTTTGAGACCTCACTTTGCTCCCGATATTACTGATACAGGATCGGGCGCATGAACTGCGAATACAATCATCGTTCTCGCAGCGCGCGCTCTGCAGCTTCGCCTCCTCTTCCTTATCTGGCCAGTGAGTGTTTCCTATGCTTCCTCTCTCTTCGCGCCCTCAGCTCGCTCTGCCCAGCCGTACACCCGCTTCCTCTCTTTCTCCATGCTTGGGGTTGCACCTTCTTCCCCAAAGCGTCTCCGGTCTCGATCCAGAATCTCCCCCATCTTCTCTCATATCTCTACGCGACGGTCTCATGGTCTCGGTCCGACTTCGTCTACTCGTGCTCCAGCTCTATCGAGATTGCGCAATCCTCGCGCGAGGGTGGCGCGCTCAACTCCTCGTTCTGCAATGCCACGCCCTGTCGCCTCTCAGGACCTTCCGTTGCCACTTGCAGACCCCGATACCCCTCGTCGCCACCCAGAACGCTCACGATCTGTCACCTAGCTCACTCCGTGCTCATCGGCTACATCTGTCGCTGCATGCGTCGAAGTTCGACGCGCGCGGTGATGGTCATCAGATCCCTGCAAACCTCCGCACGACCTTCGCGCCGATAGATGACATCGATGATGGGGTCGACCATAGTATCAGACACGAGACGAGTGCGGCGGTGCGCGCTGATGAACTCTATTCGCGCACTTATTGGGGATTGTTTGCTGCTGTATCGGTACGGGGAGAAGAGGCTACCGGCGTAATGTCCCAGATGACAAGGAGGGGATTCGAAAAGATAGGCGAGTTGGCCTTTTGCTACTGTTACTGCACTAAACCTTGCTGAACAGTTCGCAGCGGACCCGCGCAGATAGCCTTTGCGAGAGAGTAAGGAGGCGTCGTTCATATGACCAGAGCAGGCGCTTCCGATGACCCAAGCAGGCACTTCCAATGACCCAAGCAGGTACTACGAATGACCCAACGTAGTCGCTCAGATGACCCTCCATACGGCAGGTCAAAAGCTTTGCGCATACGGCATGTCCAGAACTACGCGCATACAGCAAGGTAGCCCTTCCATCAGATTCAATCCGGATGCAGGTCTCCCCGGCCATAACGTTAGCAGCGATACGAGAGTTTAGCTGCGATGCGGCGTGGAAGGCTAGGCGCGATGCGGCGGGGATGGAAGGTGCACTCGCGCGCCCATCTGTAGAAGACCTTACTCCGTTCGCGGAAGCCTGCCTTCCGTCGCGGGGAGGCGCGTACGGCAGTCAGACGGACGAGCACACGTCGCCCAAATAGCGCAGGGAATGGGCGCATAGCTCTGAGTGCCGCCCCGGGAGGACTACGCACGGCAGCCAGATCATGGCATCGCGCACGGCACCTCAGATTGAGTAGCGCGGCGCCCGTCAACTAGATCTCTAGGCCTGGAGCGCTGATGGTCGATGTTGAGCGCCGTAAGTACTGATGGTCGACCAGCGGCGTCTAGTACTCTCGTAAGCGGCCATTGCATCGACGGAGATTGACTGCAGGCCCGGGGGGTTCAAAGGTACATGTATACGACCTTGGGGTGGGAAGGTCTTACTGTGAGCGCTTCGGTGCATGCTGAGAATTTGCGCATTGACACGCTAGTTTCGACACACCGGGGGTATGCGTTGCGGACAATGGTCGCGTTATGAGATTACGCGGTAGGTTCCACGCCTTGACGCCGCTCGTCTGTCCATGCCGGTCTGGAGGTTCGTCTATCCACATCGGCGGAGACGTTGACGCGCAGGGATCTCATCATCAGCGCGGGATGTCTATCAACAGCAGGCGTCGACGAATCTGCGCGCCAGGCAGGGGGGGGGGGCGAAGAGGATCTGGCGCCTCGACAAGGCACATGCATCAAGAACGTGCTATGCCAGAACTGCCCTCCGATGGAGAGCATTGCGGTTTTGGGACGACAAATTCGCCGTTCGCCCGATCCGGCGAATGATGGCGAATGATGGCGAATTGGCCACGTGCAGGGCCCATGCGTACCTGGCGTCTTTACTTTTGAAAGACTCTGCGGTCTTCGCGCAACTCGCTCAGTCTTCCCAAAGAGTCCCAGCAACTGCCGAGTGTCTGAAATAACTTTGTGAAGGGTGTAGCACTTTTTAAAGACAGGTCAAAGCTCGCTTTTTCTGTCTTGCTGATTTTCCTTCATATTGGGCAACGTCTGTATCTGCTCCTTGGAGAGCGTGATGCTTTCCATAGGCACGACGGACCGGCTCATGCGTAAGTGAGACCTAGGCTTTGACTTTGGGAAGGCCACCAACTCTTTGCAAAGACTCCTGGTGGGCGTCAGGCCGCTTAGGCGAGCGTCTTGACCGACTTCCCCAAGCCCTCTGATCTTTGACAAAAGTGTGTATGCGCGTGAGTAAGACTAAAGTTTGACTTTGCGAAGACCACTGCCTCTTTGCAAAGACTTCTGGTGGGTATTCAGCTGCATCAGCAAGCCCTATGAGCCTTGCCAAAGACTGAGCATGGGGGCATTGACATGTCCTTGAATGTGGTGGTGTACAATACATGTAAGCACCCAATGTTTTGTTGCTACTATGACAGGGGGACACAGAGTGTACAGTACATATCTGTCTCAAGGCTTATGGGTCAGGCAGGGTAGCAGGAACACTATGGATTATTTTATTATAAACAATGTTCATGACCATAAAGAGGACAGGCGCGCGTCGACATGATCGGAGTGACCGCGGACCACGTGAATTCGCCATCATTCGCCGTTCGGGCGAACGGCGAATTTGTCGTCCCAAATCTGCATGAGCAGACAAGCGCGATCTGATCACGATGTGATCCTTCCTCTTCGTGGCAGCCTGCCCCTTCGCATCGATATCGGGCGTGAGAGGGGACCTCTACGTAGGCTCAGGAGTCTCTGCGGCTCTTCTCTGCCTCGCTTGCGTCTGATCCAATGCAGGGGATTGACATACGGCGCAGACAACTGACATACGGGGGCACGTAACCGCCAGTGGGGCAGATGGAAGTGGCATTTCAAAGCCAGCGCGACTCCCACTTACGTTGGCGCACTGAATGGTGCGCACGGCAGAATGGTAGGAAGAGGGACGCATGTGCGCCTTCCCTGTTCAGTGAGCGCAGGAAGGGTGCCAGAGCTAGAACCGTATGGCGCACAGCGGGTAGACCAACTGGCGCAGCGCGTCATGGGACCCCTGAGATCGGGTCAGGCACAGGTATCCACGTGTGAGGAGGCTTTCCCAACTGAGACGATCAAGAGATTGAAATTGTGGGAGATATCACTGATGCAGATTTCGCATGTCGGTCCTGCATCCGGGCGCTGTGGATGCCCTCTGCCCACCAGTTGAAGATGGGAGGGCGCCAGAGGGCTGGAGGAACAGAAAGGAGCCACAGGAAGAGGGGGGTCAAGTGACCGGAAGCGGGAGCAGAGCGCGCGGCCCACGCGTTCCGAAGAAGCCGCGGGGGTTTTAGGTGAAATCGATCTCATCGGCCTCGCACGATCGGCGATTCGCCAGATTCCGCCTCGTCGCTATCTTCCTTCCGGCCGCAGAAAAATCGCAGAAAAATCACTGAAGTGCAAGGATTAGGCTACGAAGCCTCAAAAGTCAGTACATACACTCGCAGTAGCAATGGCCAGGCAAGCGCAGTCGTTGCTGGGACGGATGAGCCAAGGAAGGACGATAAAGCCGAAAATGATATCCCGATTCAGACTCCGCCCGACCGACTGGTCAGATCTATCGCCAACCTGTGCGCACCGCTTGCCTTTTCCGGACCATTTACACCCTTCCTCCTGCCCGTCACCATCCGTCGTCAAAGGCCCCTCCGGCGCTGTCCTCGACGTTCGCCAGGCATCGACCCATATATTCCCCAGGACATCCCCCTGGTACTTCCCTCGTCGCCGCCGTCGAGCCGCTCCCTCTGCTTGCCAACTCTTTGTCCTTGAGGAGGTCGCGCGCTTCTTGGTGCGCAGCCTTACGACGCGTTGTGTGTTATGCGAGCGCTGACGAATATAACTTCCTTCAGATTCACTACAAAGTCGAGCCTTGACGACGGCCGCTGGATCCTCATACGCATCCGCGTAGCGCCTGAGGGACGATGTCAGGCTCCTACTACCACGCCACAAGATACACCCCTGCCTCTCCCCAACCGAGGGGGAATGAGCCCCCGCGTCTCCCCTCTTTGAGGGATCTCGACTTCCCTCCCCAAAGACGGAGACCGCCTTCCCCCGTGTCCAGCCCCGTGCAGCCACCAGCCGATCGCCTCAGCTGGAGCAAACCAGCTGTGCCAAACTCATGGTCTACGCAACCCTCCTCCTCCCATCAAGCTCAGTACTCCCCACCGCCTGACGTCACATACGCCGATACCCATTATCCCTCCAAGCACACCGCTTCATACCTCCCATCCACCCCATCCACTTCCTCCCATAGATCCCCGCCGCCGCCGCCTCCCTCATCTCTACCACCTCGCCAAGAACATCCTCAGTACGCGTATCCTCCTCCTTCTCGTCCTGCCAGGCAGCGTGAAACGCGTCCCCCTTCGGTGAGTTTGTTGGACCCGGTGACTTGACGCATATTAAACTTTCGGCTAGGGATCATACTCATCTCCATATCCGTATCCCCCTTATGCGTCTTCGCAGGCGCCGCCGCCGCATGCATCATATCGGGCAGCACCACCACAAGCCTCCCAACCGCCGCCGCCGCCGCCGCCGTCAGCGTCGGCTCATCATACTCCTCCGGCAAGCGCTCACCCATCAAGTGCTCACCCGTCAAGTGCTCATGGACAGCAGCCGCTTCAGCCTGTCTCCGCGCATCTACACGCTCATTCTCATCCGGGTACTGGTAGCGTCTCGCATGCGCCCAGTGCTTCGCATGCTCCACCGCCGCCGTCCTCGAGTGCCTCGTACTCGAATGGGTATCATCACAGGGAGCAATATCCGCCGCGGTCGGGATTGGAGCGCGCATGCGTCGCCTGCGCCGCCTCAGCACCATTACCATCCCTCCAGTTCCTCGTCTCATGGCCCCAGCTCCTCACATGCGTCTCAGCCATCCCATGCATCGTCCCACTCTGCACCATCTCACCCTGCAGCGCCTCCCGCGCACGATCCTTGGGCCCGTCATCCGCCGCCGCCTCCAGCGCCTGCGCACTACGAGGCGCGCCAACACCAGCCCCCACCGCCGACTCCGCATCAGATGAGGGGCCCGCCGCCGCCGCCGCATCTGCCCCCGGTGCATCCGCCGTATCCGCCACCACACTATGCGTATCCGCCGCATCCTGGCTCTGTCCCGCCGCCGCATCCAGCGCCTGGGCCCCCGTCGCACCCTCCATCGGTGCCGCCGCCTGCGCAGCCCGTGCCTCCTTCGCCGATACATCCTCTACCGAGTCATCCAGCGCATTCAGCCACTCCGCCCGGTCATACAGGGCCGCCTGTAGCTCCGCCAGTCCTCTCAGCACCTCCAGCAGGACCTCCACCAGCAGGGCATCCACCGGCTCCTTCTGAGAGGTTGATCCCGCCTCCGCCGCAGTCAGAGTGGCCATCCTATCCCTTGCGGGCGGCGAGTCCGATCGCGGCAGAGCCGTATGGTCGAGGGGGCGCGGAGCGCGCAGAGACGTACAGTAGAGGAAGCGAGGTACCGTACGCACGAGAGGCTGGCGAGACGTACAGTCGACCTCCGGGCTCGTATGGAGCGCCTTCGGTTCGAGGGAGCGAGGCGCCGTACCCTCGAGATAGGGAGCCGCGCGCCTCACCACCTCCGACTACGCCTCAGGATGCGATTTTGCGGCAGGTGAGTTAAGGGTCTAATTGCGTGGATATGTGTAGGCTGACAAGCCGCGTAGCTTATCGAGCACTGCACAAAACTGTACCAGTTTGCGTTTCGGTATGGTGAGTGCTGTTCACTTCCTTTTGGGAAATATAGGAGATGTGCTCATCCCATCCTCCCCCAGCCAACGTCCAACAAACCGTCCCCGCCTTCTCGCCCGGCGACGACGAGCTGTCGGAGATGAACCACCGGGCGGAGGAGGTCGTGCGGCTGCTGGGGAACCTCAGGAGCATGTCGTTGACGGAGAGCGAGCGGGCGAAGGTCGAGTCGGTGTCGGGCTCGGGCTTTCGTGGTGACGAGGGGTCAGGATTTCGTGGGCCGCCTGCGCCTGAGTCGCATCCGAGCTACCGCGCGCCACCTGCGCTTGAGGAGCAGCATCGCGTACCGAAAAGGCCATGGGAGGATATGGATCGGGATAGCGATGGGGGGCAGGATGAGTTGGTGAGTACTATCAAATTGTTCTTACTGGTATAATTCGCGTTTGCTAAATCATCGCCACTCTTTAGCACACCGACAGCGCCGCAGACGACCCGCGCTCGATGGCGGAGCGCGATATGGAGACAATCCGGAGCAAGCGCGCGTCGACCACTGCTGGGAATGCGGCGAATGTCGCCATGCCGAAGACGAAGTACCGAAAGAGGAGTGTACGTCTCGCCAAGCTTCTTGGAAATAGGAGACGATGTGCTAACTAGTAAGAAGCGCGCATCCCCACCGGGGAAGTGTCACTCGTGCAACATTCGAGAGACGCCGGAGTGGCGGCGCGGGCCGGATGGGGCGCGGACGCTGTGCAATGCGTGCGGGTTGCGTGAGTATTGCTTCCCCCTCTTGTCTTGTGATCCCTACTCTATGCGCCCATGTGCTGGTCTCACCTTTCCCTCACAGACTATGCGAAACTCATGCGCAAGCGCAGCAAACTCAACAACGGCGAGGCCCCGCATATCGACCTCGAGACCCTGCGCGCTTCCGCACGGGCCGCTGACGTCTCGGATAAGTTTGCGCGCCCGAAGACGGCGTCAAAGCAGGCGCGAGAGGAGAAGGAAAAGGAGGCGGAGGCGCTGAAGAACCACCAGTCGTCGTTCCAGGTGCCGCTCAGTGGGCCGACGCAGGTGGGGTTGAGTCCGACGCAGGCGCCGATGAGTGTGTCGCAGGGGCCATTGAGTGCGTCGCAGGGGTCGCAGGGGTCGGTGCACTCGCCACAGGTGACGCTGAATCCTCCGCCGCCGCCGTTGATGGTGCCCGAGGAGCGGAGGGACAGCAGGGATGGCGAAAGGGACAGGATGGTGCCGCCGCCGCCAGGGTCATCGGCGTCGTCGCAGGGGTCGCCGGTTATGGCGCGGTACGGGGAGAAGCAGCTACCGCCGCCGCCCCAACCCTGGGGGTCGCCACAGGCCTCCAGGACGACGTCGTCAGCGACGAGAGAGCTACGATATGTGGACTCGGGCCCAGCACCGCCGTCATCGTATTCGCGCTCGACGAAATAGCAGGACGGAAGGTCGTTCTGCGTTACTGGCCAATAAGACTAATTGTACCTTCACATAGCGATACCAGGCATCTACTGATCTTCATTATTTCGTGCATGTTCATGTCCTCCTACTCATGTTCGTCATGCGCTTTCTTTGCTGTACTGTACTGTATTTGTTGTCTTCACGCTGTACATGCTGATTTTCCTTCCCGTCCATGGCTCTACACGTATACCCTCTTATGTATAGATTGCACTTGAAGCCATTGAAAGGCATGCTCGGCAACAAGCCCTTGCACAGCCAACTCACCGACCAGTACAAGCTCACGCCCAACAGCGATAACTCAGGCTTTCGGCGATCGGCCTTTTCCCCGCAAAAAGTATCTTCGACATCGGCTACAAATCGGCCATCCGTTCCGCGGATCTTGATCTCCTGCCGATCGATTGATGGCGGAAGTAGATTGGCGTTGTGGCGCGTGCCTGGGTGTAAGGCAGCGCCGTTTGTGGAGGGGGACTCTTTTGAGTTTACTGGGCTTGTTTGAACTGTGGTGGTGGTAGGGGAGGGAGAGTGGCTCGCAATTATGCGTGAAGCAGCCATGAATTCCATATACTCGTACATCAAGCAACAAGGCGTATACGTAAGATTTCCCAACGCACAATGACCATCCTCATAGCTTGAATGCCCGATGGCGGATATCGACAGAGCGCCACTGTTGCGGGAGGTCAGAGACACGTCGAGCGAGATGCCCATAGAGAGATGCCTTACCCAAGGATAGTACGACGGCAGGTTCTCCGATAGCGTATCCTTAAACTTGGGCGCGCGACGCTCGAAGAACGCCTTCGTCCCCTCCCTTGCATCGCGCGCCTTGCTGAACGCCGCCATCGCGTACGAGTCGTGCAGATGATTCTCCTCCTGATCAGCGCCGGGGTGCTGAATGAGACCCTTCGCGTAAGCGACGGAGACCTGCGAGGTGTTCTGCGCGAGCTCCTTGGCGAAGGCGAGCGCGGCGGGGAGGACCTCCGCGCGCGTGGGGAGGATAGTGTGGTAGAGGCCGTCGAGGTGGCGGGAGGTCGGGGAGAGGATGTCGCCGGTGAGGAGGACGGCGGTGGCGCGTGACTGGCCGATGAGGCGGGGGAGGAGGTACGAGGAGGTCGCTGGAGGGGGCTTAGGACATACGTGAATATTAAAAGGAAATCACCTTACCTTCGGGGACAATCCCGCGACGGACGAAGGGGAAGATGATCTTCGCATCCTTCCAGGCGAAGCGAATGTCGAAGGGTAGCTGTAGCGCAGTGCAGCCTACGCCGGCCTTTGAAGAAGTATTAGTTGTATTCGCAAGAGCCGCGTACGGATACACTTACAGCATGGCCGTTCACAGCAGCGATAGTGAGCTTGCGACAATGATAGATAGCCATGGCGACTTTGCCTCCGCCATCGCGATGCGCTGGGGTAGGAGGACATCGTGAGCAGGGCGCCCGAGCGTTGCCCCAAAATACCCACAGTGGAGGCCTTCCTTCTTCTCTTCGGGCGTCAAGAGGTTGTCCCATCCGCCAGTGATGTTCGCCTACACGTAAGAAGGACCTTGAGTCTTACGAACTGTTCTAGAGAATCATGAGAACTCACTCCCGAGCAGTATGCAGGTGCGGTAGGGTCGGCAGACAGGATGACCGCGCGAACGCGGTCATCCTTGTCTGCGACTTCGAAGACGCGGATAATGTCGTTCGCGAGGTCAGCTTCGAACATGTTCTTTCTAGACGTAGTTGTTCAGGAGTGAATCGAGGGGGGATGGAACGAAGTCAACTCACTGCTTGGGACGGTTGATGAGAACGAGGAGAACACCATCATCCAAGGTGACGAGAATGTCTTTGAAGCCCAAAGAGTCGTACGAGAAGTCGGTCATGGCTCAAGGAGTCGACAGAGTCCGCAGAGGTGGTTGTAAGAGACAAGGTGAGCGCCATTAGTTGCTCTTATGACGCCGTGACGCTGTCGGGCTTCACACGTTCCCGAGCCGGTCGAAGACTGAGCTAATACCCAACTCTATTCAGGACGATATCACCATGGTCTTCAGAGACCAGCTGAACACTGGAATTCGGTTATCGTTCAGGTTCTTCTGCCGGTAACATATGTTGGCGAGTGTGGGCGTCGAAGTGACTTCATGACGTCCGACATAACCGTCCACAAACACGTCCAAATACGCATCAACTGGATTTACATGATGCTCGATTGCCCGCATCACTGGGTACATCTTGTCTCTTACGGTCGATGGCCACCATAGATTCTTCGCACGTTGGCACTTCATGACTGCCACCCACATGCCCAGGCATATTTTCGACGACAGCCTGCTCAAACATCAAGCCACATACAGACGCGACGGCGCACTACACCCGCCGGAAGGGTCACGAATGCGCAGATACCTGGCTTCCGGCCAGACTGACGGCTCGGGGCCCTCGAATTACGCGGCAGCCGCAAATCCCGTCCAGCGTGACAGGGTTTCGCGATGGGGGAAGGGGAAATCCCCAGAGAAGGCTCGCAAGCCGTCCCTCCTGGACCGTATCGAACGCGATTCACCGGATAGGCGGAGGACGTCGCTTGACCAAAACGACGATGCTGCAGCTACTCGCAACAAGCCAGGAAATCTACTGAGTCGGATAACTTTCGACGATCCTGCTGAGGTCAAGGTGGAGCGCAGGGACTCGTTGCTGAATCGCATTGACTTCGACGCGTCGGCAAGTGACATGGAGATCGACTCTGAGGACGCCGAAAACGGACTCGATGAAGGGGATGAACAGGTGCGTAGCCAATCGTACTGCTGAGAACGGTTGGCTGACGTTCCCCAGCCTCTGCTTCCTGTGACCCTCCCACCAATTTCAAGCGATCCCAGTGAACCGCCGGAGACACCTACTGCAGCGCAATCCAGTGAACCTACATTTTCAAACGACCCCGATGTTCTCAAGTATCGCGACGTCTTGCTTCCAATGGTCCTCGCCAACCTGTCACGACGCAACCCATCCAACCCGAGTATCGACAAGGGCAAGCTAGCGGAAGATGTCAAGGGCGGCTTGAACGACGATATCTGCCGGACGTTTGGTAAAGCGATGATGGCCGCGCGGGAGGAGCTGCAGAAGCGGAAGGAGAAGGATTCGGAAGCGCGTGTACCACACGACGCACCCAGGAATGTCGAGAGTGCGAGCCGCGTGCCCATCGCCAGCTCTCCCATGCGCCCACCGCTACCAAGCTCCATGTCGGAAGAAGGCGAGGTCTCCTCCAGCAGCCCAGCGCACCGAAACCCGTACATGCCGCGGCCTCCTCGACCGCGATACCATGCAGGACGGTCAGCGTCACCGCTAGACGACCGACGGAGGAGGGACGACGAAAGATATCCACCACCCACACGCAATCGCGCTTATGAGGATCGGAGCCCAGGACGTGATAGTAGGGCTTACGAGAAGTGGCGGAAGCCCCTCCCCGGCCGATCAGCATCTCCCCCACCAAGACGACCGTCGTATGGGAGCCGACTGCGCTCCCCTCCAGCACCATTCAAGGACCGCCAACCGCCGTTTAAGGACCGAGCATGGGACCGGGAGGACTATCGCGCGCCCCCGCCGCCAGCGTATCGGGATGAGAGGCCCAGATACTCGCCACCCCCGCGTGGCTATCGCCGACCGTCGCCCCCTTCGTCAGAATTAAGGCGAAGGGGGCGAAGTCCACCTTCTGCGCGCGGACCACCATCTCCGCCGTACCATCGGCGGAGTAGCATATCGCCATATGCGCGACGTCCTCGGGGCTTGTCGTCGTCTCCGCGTCGTCCGCGTGGAACGTCGTCGTCTCCGCGTCGCCCTCGAGGGTCTTCGTCGTCTCCGCGCCGATCGCGGTCGACGACACCGCGGTCTGTGCTGCATAGACTGCCTGACCCGCGTGCGCCTCCTCGATATCCAGAATATGCGCGTCCTCCACTGCCAGAATATGCGCCGCCAACACCATCGTCGACGACGGTGTCGCCTGTCGTTCACCCTCTGCCGGTGCTGCGAAAGGAGGCGTCCCCTGCGACGACCGACGTACCGTCTGCGCCACAAACCTTGCAAAGACCTGCATCACCGCGTCGTTCGCCGACAGATGTGCCCGGACTTGCCCCGACACGTGACGGGACGCGTATTGTACCTGATATACCCAACGCATCGACCGATACCCCATCTGGAGACAAAACAGCGCAGCATGAAAGGGAGGAAGACAAAGCAACGACCGCGGCAAACGCCACAAACGCAGCGACCTCGACAAAAGCACTCACGCCAGGTATAAAAAGAGGAAGGGAGGGCCCGGTGGAGGATGTTGCACTACCGGAACTGGATCGCGACGCGATGGTCGTGGATGAAGTTCAAATTCAAGCGCACGCCAAGGTGAACGGGACGACGCACGTCGATGACCGAATGGACGTCGATCGTAGGACGCCAGAACAAGAGGAGCGGGTCGTCAGCCACCAGGACCACAGGACAGCGCACGATAGCTCGACACCTGCTCCAGCCCAAAGATCCACGCCGCCGCATCGCGTGCAGATCGACAGCACCCTTCCCGTCCCAGGGATATGGCAGGCGAAGACAGCGTCAAGCCATGCTTGCGTCAATCAGTGCAGCGTCCATGTATACGAGCGCGATGCCGTAAAGTGGAACGTGGCGCGCAGGCGATCTACTATCAAAGGACCCGAAGACAACGGTGTTGGTGATGCGCCTAGGAGGAGTGGCACGACGTCCAGGGTGGAAGACGATGTGTCGATGATGGATATCGACGTGTCGAGGCTTGAAAGCGATGCGTCGAGGGCAGGGGAGAGTGCGTCAAGAGCGAAGGAGAGCACATCAGGGGCAGAGAAACTTGTGGCGGAAGAACAAAGCAAGGAGACACTGCACGTGCGGCTCTTCTGCTTGGACACCACGGCAACTTACGAAGCCATGATGTCCGTCAACCGCCCGGATGCCCCGAAGCCCGCAGATCCCTCCGTAATTGTGGACACGCTCGTGCACATGCAGAGCCAGTGGCCAGAGAAAGGGCACCTGGTCATCAAACTCAATGAACAAAGCTGGCTGCCCGTTGACCTGGTATGCTTCAATTCATCAATCACCAAGGACGAGACTTTGACCTTTTATGCTCTGCAGCCCACGGAAGGTTATGTCGACCTCACACCGCATCTGGTTGAAGGGGAGAATGTACTATCGTTTGTACAGCTCAGAGGTATTGAGAAGAAGATATTTGTTGTATGTGGGATGTTATTATCGGACATACAGGAGGTGTTGCCGCCGTCTCCCATCTCTGTTGATACGATACCTGTACTTTCGGCAGGCTCTGCAGATCCTGTAATCGACTTTATAGGTGGCGTGTCCACGTAATATCTGCCACTGTCCATCTGCTGTCGCGCTTTTTGTTATTTTATGTATTTCTGCCCGTCATATTGTATCTTTCGCAGTCTAGATATCCTGTTCCTGTCGAGTAGACCAGTGCAGCAGTGATCATCCAATCAGAGAAGGAGGAAGACGGTCGCGGATTTCTTTATGTTTATCACTATTGACTCTTGGAGGTCCATTGTTCGACTTTCGGTCCGGAGGCACCGCATGTTGACCAGACGCGCCGCTCCCTTGCTTTGCACTTCCCACCGCACCACCATCATGTGCTCCAGTAACTTGGGAAAGAGAACTTCGCCCGAAGAGGGGCTCGACGAGCCCGCAAACAAGACGCGCCGACTCCCAACATCGGGCGCGACACAACCTCCCCCAGGACCTGAAGTTCACCTGGCCTTCCCCGATCCATCGAAACTTGCCGGTCGCTCCCCTGCCTTCCAGCAACCCAGTCCCCTTGTTTCCTTCTCCTACACCCCCGCCCGGGTTCTCGAGTTTACGAACTCGGCGCTCAAGTACTACATTCCGCCCCCGCGATCGGGACTCCGGCTTGACTACGGGTACGAGCGCTGGGTGCGGCGGCCAGAGGAGCGGGGGCGCTTGGATGGGCTTCTGAAGGCGTACGCGCGCGTGCTAGAGCGCGGGGCAGCAGGGCAGATTGGGATCGTGTCGTGGCGCGGGGTGATGACCAAGTGAGTTCTGATTGCGTTGGGTGCGGTAACTGTTAGCGTAGCTGACCCTTGTTCGGTGAGTGAGGATATTGACCGCGCCGTACGAGGACCGGGATGGATGGGATCTCAACGTGATGCTCGTTGACGGGACGATGTACCTCGAGGAGCATCTTTCGGACGCAAAGTTGAAAGAGAAGTACGTGAATCATATCCCATGCGCGAGTTCACGCCGGCTGACATCTCCATCCGATAGAAACGACATGGAGCCTCGACATCGGAAGATGTCGTACTACGGCTACGCCTTCGAGTCGTACTGCACCTCCGAGACGCCACAACGCGCGGCCGGGCGTCCGCCGCACGTCGCGCCGGACGCGCCCTTTCCATGGGGCGGGGACGTAAATACGAACGTGCAGTGGTGCTCAGTGGTGAAGACGAAGCTAGGCGATACGCGCATGGTCATTGGGGGCGAGGTGGACTGCGTCGAGGGTGAGTGCTTTGTGCGCTCATGAGCGTCTAGTGGCGGCGCGTTAGCGACTAGCTGCGTCCAGCAATGCGCTAGCTACCTCTGGCCGCTATATGACCGTGTGCTCCTCCCCGATTCTAACGTACCTTTATCCTGTCTCAGGCCACTATTCGGATTCGCGCACGAACAACTTCGTCGAGCTCAAGACGTCGATGGCAATCCGCGGCGCGTCCGACCAGGCCAAGTTTGAGAAGTACGCATCTAATCTATGATGCATATCGCTTGTGGTGTCCACCGTCCCGAGAAACCTCCCCTCGCCCGAAATGTACGACGTGCGCTAACCGAATTTGGTTGCCTCTGCCAGGAAGCTGCTCAAGTTCTACTTCCAGTCCTTCCTCCTCGGCGTGCCGGTGAGTTGACGTCCGTCTCGTTCGGTGTTGTCGTCACAGATGGCTTTTCGGTTTGGCTCGCCTGGTGTTGCTCACTGCAGGCTATTATGCTGCGATTGTTTTCGGGCATGACGGTCAAAGGCACTGACTGCGCTGACAAAGTGGAATTACAACGCTAACTACCTTACAGAAAATCGTCGTCGGGTTCCGCACGCCTGCGGGTGTCATACGCGAGATCCAGGACTTCAAGACGATGGAAATTCCAAGGATGGTTCGCGGGAAGCCGGGGGCGTGGGATCCGACGGTGTGCCTCGCATGGGGAGAGAGGTTTTTCGGGTGGTTGAGGGGGAATGTGGGCGATGCTAGCGGCGACCAACCCGACGCGACCAATGGACATCAAGCTGCCGCCGTCTGGCGCGTGCGCTTCACCCCCAAAGCGGGCGTGTCGGTGAGCAGGCTGGACGTGGCGGGTGTGACGGATGTGGAGGGGGGCGAAGATCGCGTTGGGTTCTTGCCGAGGTGGTATTGGGAGGATGTACTCAAGAAATCGCCTACGAATAGCGGACAGACTCGGAGGGTAACACCATCTGAATAAATTGATAGCTGACACGTTAGCACAGGGTGGAATACTGTAGCAGGCGTCGGTTGCATATAATTTGCAGATGACTAGACTTGTCAAATCTCGGTGTACATGATATTGTTGCGGTAGCGACGGTAGTTTTGGTAGGTCCCGACGGCGACTTCAACGGGTCCCGACAGTGATTTTGGCGGCTCCGACGGGGCCGCTGTACGAGTCAATGGCAAGTTACGAGTCGAGCGGGAGAGTACACACGCCCACCGGTGCTGTGTTGTGAGGATCGTTCTGAACGAGGGCTTGCGGTATTGAGAGATCTATGCCACCACGGAGAGAGGGAGGAAGTAGAGAGCTGTATGACCGTCAAAGCATTCGCTGTAGTGGGTGGAGGGTGAGAGGTTCACTTCATGGTCAGTTTGTGGGTCCAGTTATGGCCACGAGTGCGACAAATGGGTTAATGACGCCGGTTCAAAGTGAACGATCACGGGACTTTGCCAGCAGAATGAAGGCGGCGAAATGGAGGGGGTAACGTGTTGTGAAGACGTACGAGACCTCATGCCAGAGCTTGAGTGCCGTTATTGTTGACGGCGTGCCGGTGAGTGACTTGGGGCGTCGTAGCGAGCGTAGAGACCCCGAAAGTCACGCAAAATAAATCAGGCTGCACCGGATAGGAAGTATGGCGGTCCTCTATCGCGAGATGGCTCGATTGAGGTGATCCTTCATGTGAACCGCTGGTCTTCAGTCCGGTAGTTGCCCGCGCGATCCGACGTCTCTCCATCGCAGCTGCACTGATGGGTCTAGCGATCCGATAGCGCGTGCGGTAGTCACGCACAAGTCAAGGCGCGAACAATAGGCCCGAGCGAGTGCCAATTATGATGTCGCAGTGGACCATAGCCGCAGCCCTCCCTCATTCGCGCATCGACGATGAGATTCCGGATGTGGCGCGTGTCTGAGTCTGATGATATCGATGTCACAGTTGATCTCCCGCCGATGTACCTTGAGGCGAATGATCGAGCTGGTTGCACAGTCGTTGCATAGCATCGCTCGTCGTCACCAGCCGCGACGTACAGATGTGTTTAGCTCCCTCGAACGCGGGGAGCAACCGATTTTCTCATTGAAGAGAATGGAGATAGGGGCAGTTGAATTGCAGTGACTGGCACGCAACTCGTGACCGGTGTCACAGTCAGGTACGTTTGCGATGCACCGGCATATGCCGAAACGCGCTTAAGATTGGACCGCGACCGCCGCGCACCCACGCCCCCGATTCCTGACGTCGTGCGACGCCCAGACACCTCTGCTCGTCGTCCCACACAACGAACACGCTTCAATACGCGCACTGCGCGATATACGCGTCGCGCGATGCCCTCTCCGCCCTCGAACAGCTCAGCCGCGTCGCAATCGCCTCCCACAGCGTTCCTGCCCCCGACCGCTACCACACCCGACTCCGCCGAGTCCAGCATGGACCACGACGACAGCGAGGAGCGCAGGAAGGCCGTGCAGCGATTCATGGCGCGCGCCGAAATATCGATGGTGAGTGCTGGCGCGCCTTACGTTATCCACGACGCGTCTGCCCCCAGCGCGTCCTTCCCGCCGGTGGCGCGCAATTAGAGCGGCCACGCGCGCGATGGACCCTCAGCGCATGTGGTCGCGATTCTCCCTCGTCCACCCTTGTATCGTCTACGGTTGTGCTGACCAGCCCCTTACTCGCAGGTCACCCGCAGTCTGCGGACGCGTCTATCCTACGCCGCCTACAAGGCGAATCATAATGTTCCACACATCCCCCTCAACGATCTGGAGGCCCAGAGCCAAGCACACCTCGCCAACACCGCTCCTGCGCGCACGCTGCCCGCGAAGCGCAAGGCCGGGGGTGGGAACTACTACAACAACCCCGCTACCCAGGGCGGCTCGGCGCCGACCTCCACCGTCACGTCCCTCAAACGGGTTAGCTCCGGCTCTATGGCCCCGCCATCGTTTACTCTCGCACCAAGGACGTACTACCCCAACATTGACGGTACTTCCCCCCTCGCTAGCGACGGCGCGAAGCCCGCGGGGTCCTCGATGAATCTTTACACGTCGATACTGGCACCACCGCCTACCAAGCAGGCGCGTACTATCTTCAACGCAGGTGACCCTCCGGCCACGGCTCAGAGCCGACCTCCGCCATCACCGCGCGCCGGCCGCAGCGGTAAGCCCGCGTCGAAGAGCACCGCCGAGGGAACTCGGAGCCACACTCGCGGCCGCAATGCTCCGTCGACGCCCGGCCGTAGCAAACGACCCACCAAGAAGAGCAAGAAAGAGCACAAGGGCAAGACGGATGAGACGATGGATGCCGACGTTGAAGCGGCCGCCACTCTCACATCCATTTTCATGGCCCATCGTGGATCAATAGGCAGCGCGGGCTCGCCTAGGTCGAGCGTCGATGGAGGGACCTCGGAGGCTGGCGAACACGCGGGTTCTCAGCAGCCTCCAGGCTCGGCGACACCGCGCATGGTTCGTCCGGCTTCGTCTGCCACCACACGACCTCTTCAGGAAGAGGAGTCAGGCGCGACGCTGGTCGAACTTTCGGGGTCTCAGCAGAAGACGCCTCCTCCCAGTGACACGCCGACAGCACCGCCTGGCTCCGTCACGCCTATTCCCGCAGCCACAGATAACGAGGCAGCCGATCTCATGCTCTATCTCGCCACGTCTCCTTCTCCGGCCCGGCCGATGAGCAAGGACTTGAAGGACGCTGCAGCCTTCCGCGCGCTTAGTGGCACCACGTCGAATACACTTCGAAATAAGGGTAGAATACTCTTCCCAACGACAGCGCCTAGCACTGGGCCTGACCCTACAAGCGTCACTGCCCCTAAACAACACGGACCATCACATCTCTCGCGTGGAGGAGAGAGCTCCTTCAACGCCACGCAAGCGCCTGGAACCGCCCATCAGCTTGGGCAACCTCAGCCTGCTTCTATGGAAGTAGACGAGGCGCAGCGCGTGAACTCGCCTGCGCCTCCCAGCGGCCAATTACTCCCGCCTCCTCCCTTGGCATCTAGCCCTTCTCTATCTGCCTCAGGCGCGCAATCGCCGCGCCCTTCTGGCCTCGCCCGGGGCAACTCCAGCAGTCCTAGACCGCAGGTCCCGGAGTTCAACATACACGAATTCATCAATGCGACGCCGTCACCGCGTCGGGGCACACCTCTGGGGACCCCCGGCCGGACGAGCAACCTGGGCCTGCGCGCTGATGTCGGACGCAAGCTGTTCGAGGAAGAGCAGATGCGCATGTCGCAGGGGAAGATTCCCCAGCCGTCGCCGGAGCGAAGCCTCGGGGCCAGCATTGACTTGGTCCAAGGCTGAGCTCCTGGCAGCTGTCTCGCTTCTCCACCTAGAACGCACCCGCGCTTGCGCTCGCATCGCGCGCAACTAATACCCCCGCCCACGTCCCGCCTCGCTCAGTTCGTTCAGCCCTGTTGTACTACCGCACGCCTGCCTGCAAGATGTATCACCAGCCATATTCGCACATTGTACGGCCTAACATTATCGACTCGACCCAGCACATTATCCATCTCCCCCATGCACCAACCGACTACACAACTTCGCATCTATCGCCTGTTTTTGTTTATACGTGGTGCATATCTGGCACGAGGGGAGCGGTCGCCGGACACCGCACACGTTGTGTCCGGCGGTGGCGCTCGTGTTCGTGCTCGTAGTAGGTATCGGTTCAGAGGACTCCGACGAAGGACAGCATCATCTCCCGTATAATATTTTCTCCTCTTCGTTATGCTCTCCCTGTCCATAGTGTGCTTTCTCCGTCCATGTAGTTCACCTATCTAGCTAGCTGCATCTTCCTTTCCATGCGTCCTGGCCTCGTTTCTCCTCTCTAGTCTCCTTTTTTATTCTTTTTATTACTCTGTACAACAACAATTCGGCGGCTTGGGCCTGCATATGCGGGTGCATAATGACTATTGATCTCTGGTACATACTTGTCTCAATGTGTATACTCAAGTCCCCGGACTCGACAATGCGACGACGTTCCTCTCGAGCCTCGCCAGACCTCCAAGACCTTCAACTTGCGAGCAACGGCGGGGGGATGCCACGGTACGTCGGCCTGCTTACGATCTCCCCGATGCCGCTAACCGTTCCTGGGAGCAGAAGCGCCCGCCGCACGAGCCGCAACGTATGTCGCCATGCTCCCTGTCCTGCGAACGCCTCTTCGCGATACACAAGCGTGGCCCTTCCCCACCATTTGGAGCCCCCCGGACCGGCGGCAAGCACCCTAAAGTTGATCATTGATCCGTCGTCCCAGATGGGCCTCCGCAATTTCTCCCCACGGGACCGTGGCGTCGCGTATGGGGGTCAGGGTCACCTTCGCCAGGAGGGAGGCGGACCGCGAGAGGCTACTTAAGGCCGTGCGCGCGGAAATGAGTTCTCTAGCTGCGCGCTCGCTCCCCCCTTCATAATCTCTAACGCTGCTATACGACACGATGACCTTCAGAGACGAGCTGCGCGGGTTTGTCGAGCATCGCAATGCGTACCTGCTCACGATGTCCGCTGTGCTGGGGAGCATCAGCTATGGATGGGATATGTGAGCATTGCGCTATCCCTGTACGCGTCAATGTGGGAAGCTGACCCGCTTCTCCTTCTATCAGAGGGCTCATTGGCGGCATCATCTCGATGTCCTCATTCAAAGAGTACTTCAAGATCGACCAGCGCTCGTCGGGTGACCAGGCGGCGTTCAACGGGGACATTGTCTCCGTCCTTCAGGGCGGCTGCCTGTGCGTACCCTCCCCCGCTTCGTCATTGACGGCGATTGCATGCTGATCGTGCGTGCAGCTTCGGCGCTCTGGTCACGGGTTACTTGTCCGGCAAGATAGGGCGGAAGTGGTCCATGCTGCTGTCGGGCATCATTTACGTTGTGGGCTCGCTGATTCAGTCTATCGTTGGGCTGGGGAGCAGCCCGGAGGTGGGACTGCGTGTGCTTTTCTTCGGGCGGTTTGTTGGCGGAATAGGTGTTGGTATGGTGCGTGCGGTAGCCGTCGGCGGCCTATTCAACTACTCACGACGACGTGTACAGATCAGCGCCATCGTGCCGACATACGTATCGGAGTGCACACCGCGTACGATCCGCGGCAGGTGTACGGGCGCTATCCAGTTGGCCAACAACCTGGGGATCATGTTGAGCTGTGAGTGATTAACTGCGCTCATTCAGTCCGGTCCCCCTGAAGATTTCGCAGTCTGGGTGAACTACAGTGCGTCGAAGAACATCCCACACGGCCAATATCAATGGCGCGTCCCATTCATAGCGCAGTGAGTGCGGCAATTGTATACTCTATTCGTATTCTCACACTTTGCAGGATGGTCCCAGGCGTCCTCTTCATCCTCGCTATGTGCTTCCAGCCCGAGACTCCGCGCTGGTTGGTCGAACACGGGGACTTCGACCGTGCCGGCCGCGCCCTGGCCTATGTGTCCAGCAAGTCCGTCGACGACGAGTCTGTGCGCGTCACGTTGGACGAGATCAAGGCGGACTTCGAGGGCAAGGACCGGCTGAATATGTGGCAGCAGCTGAAGGGCATGGCCGAGTCGCGCCCTATTATGCTGCGTTCGCTCATCCCCTCGCTCGTCCTCTTCTTCCAGCAGTGGACGGGTACGAACACGATCAACTACTTCAGCCCGGAAATCTTTGAGGGCCTGGGTATCACTGGCGAGACGTCCGGACTCTTCGCCACGGGTGAGTGCTGCGCTAAGACTATATGAAGGCAAATCTAACTCCATGATTTAGGGGTGTATGGCGTGGTCAAGACCGTAGCTGTCTTCATTGTCATCATGACCGCGGTCGAGAGATTCGGACGCAAGAAATGTCTGATGGTCGGCGGCATCGGCCAGGGCTTGTGCATGCTTTGGATTGGCGGCTACAGCGCGATTCATACGGACACGACCAACGTCGACGCTGCAAGCTATGTCTCCATCGTCGCAGTATACCTCTATGCTGTATTCTATTGCATTGGATGGGGACCAGTGAGTAGCATTAACGACGGCGACGACACTCGAAACTGACGCATCTTGCAGGTTCCTTGGGTCGTTGCAGGAGAGGTTGCGCCAAATCATCTACGCCCCGCCGTTCTTTCCATCGCAGTCATGATCAACTGGCTCTTCTCCCTCACCATCTCGAAAGTTACGCCGTTGATGCTCGAGAATATTACCTACGGTACCTTCCTCATCTTCGGCATCTTCTGCTTCATCATGGTATTCTGGACGTACTTCTGCCTCCCAGAGACGCAAGGGGTCGCCCTGGAGGACATCAAATACCTCTTCGAGCGCGACGTGCTCGTGCGCGCGCTCCAGGACTCGCCGGGCGGTCGCATATTCCTGGGCGGCAAGCGTGCGCCGCAGTTAGAGGAGGTGCGCCTGGCTGCGGAGGATTCCAGCCTAGAGCGGGATAACAGCAGCAAAAAGGATCTGGCGGTGGCAACCAGCCAAGAAGCGCGCCACGACCGCCACGCAAATGCTATATAATGACTTCACGACCGTTGTACTACTTACTTGCTTTCATTTGGATTCATTGTACTCTTAGACCAATATCGCATGTGTTTTCGTATCAGCCCCTTGTCTGCGGACCTCAGCTTGATGCACGTCAGGTGAAGTGGTCGCTAATAAGTCGAGTCTATTGTTCTGACCCCGTCGCTTGTTCAGAAGAGAGCTTCTACTCCGGATCAGCCGCACAGCATAGTCAGTTGAGGGTCTCGGTGCCTAAGATAGGATCCGATAACACTCGTTCGAGCAACATGTTAGCAACATGAGTCGGGATATTGGGCACGAGGCCGACAACAAACGCGAGTCATGTTCCACTTTCGGCCAGAATTAACCCTGACTTGCTCCATATGGCAGGATTAGGGTAGGCCTGCTCTCAAACACGTTGTGTTTGGGCCGGCATCCATTGTTCTCCAAATCATGACCATGCTGTGCACGGCACGACATATAAAGGGCGGAGACCGTTGCTCAGCCGACGACCTTTGATCCCCGTCTTTGTCGCTTTGCCCCGATACCTTTGTGTGGCTAACCGCTGCCGTTTGCCGGTTCAAGCCTTACGCTTATAACGATGGGTCGCCGATCCTTCTCCCGTGCGTCGTCCTCTCTGATATGCGACCTGCCACTCACGATGCCACTGGGCAACATAGTCACCCGCGGCTTCCACAAGAAGGTCAAGCCTGCTGACTGGCCAGAGCGCCACCATATGTGCAGCAACCCGGACTGCATGTTTCCCAATCCCCCCAAGTCTGTGTCCGGTCGCTACGACTGCTTAGGCTATCCCCAGCCGGGCGTTCATTGCTTTGGGGTTTTCGACGTTTCGGAGAGGAAAGCAGAGCGCAATGACCGCATCGAGAAGAGCCAGAAGCGCGAGATGTACTCGAAGGAGAAAGTGAGGGTCCAGCACTACAACGCGAAGTTCTTCAGGCAGTTCGACGAGCCGCAGCCCGAATTTCCGCGACAGCACGAACGACCGCGACCGGTGCCGAGGCCGGCTGAAGCCGCTGAACCTCTTGTGCTTCCAAGCATGTTGGATTCCACTTCTGACAATCAGTCCGTGTTCATGCGTAGTCTGTCTCCAACGCGCAGGGCTCCGCGGCCTCCTGAAGATGATGGTAGAGTCACACCCGCCTCGTCGAGCACTTCCTGCACTTCTGACCTGTCGCGCTCGTGCTCACCCATCATGCGGGGACGCTCGACGGACGCACGCCCTCTCGCGGACGGTGTCCGTCCCCTGCGCATCGACAAGGACTCCATTCGCTCGAAGGCCGCAGCTGCTACCACACCTGCGCACCACAAGACATCTTCGAGGCAGCCGGCCACGCACGGTCGCGACACACCTTCATCTTCCCGCTCTCCATCCGGTTCCCTCGAAGCACAACGCGAGTTCCACATGCATCGCGCGATGTCGCCTCCCCCGGCCCCCGGGGCCCCCATCAAGGTCGAGGGCTTGCAGTTCATGACTACCTCGCGGCAGCTGCCTACCGCGCGCACAGTGTATGGTCACAAGCACGGTGTCGTGCCCGACACGTACTCTTCGACCCCTACTCCCGCACGCCCGCCTCGAGAGGCCGCGGCTCCGCGTCCTGCCACGTCTTCTGCTGCACGTCACGGCGCCGCATTCTCGCACTGGAATTCCTCGTCGATGCGCGGCAGCCCACACGCTACCACCTCGCGCAACCCAACGTCCGGTCGTAGCGCTCGCCCGGAGGCTGACAACCCACCTCGCGCGGTTGCGTCGCCGCGGCACGCTTCGCCTGCTGCGACATCCCGCCCATCAGCATCCACCTCACGTACTGACGCCAACGGAACTTTTCGCAGGCGCGTCGAGGTAGCCAAGCCTTTGCCTCCTCTTCCGCCTGGCCACAAAGTCTCCTCGAGCGACCCAACTCCGATGCGTCCCCAGTCTCCGACCCCGAGAACGAGGAACGTTCGCCCCATGTCTCCCGAGCGATTCGCATCCAAGCCCCTTACTGGTGGTTTGCAGTACAAGTACTACTGAATGTCTCAACTTCCTCTTCGTTCTCTCTTGATGATCCCCTTACGACCTCTTATGCCTCTTTTCTTACTGTTTTTCCCGCTGATTTCGCTTTCCATTCCTCGCTCGGTGGCTTCGTTGCGCCATTCGCATTGACCCGAAGCTTGGTACCCGAGGGTATCCCACCACGCTCATTCACTACTGTATTATTACAATTATATATACGAAGTACGAAGTCAGACACGATTGTAGTATATGTACAGTGCAGCTGAAGTCCCTGTGTTCCTGTGCGATATCCGAAAAAGCGACGGGCCAGTAAAGTAAGGCATCGAAGAGTAATCCTGAAGCTAAGTCCGTATAAAATGCCTAAAGCTACAGACGATAGATAGTGAGGAATGCCGCTCATACGCAGCTTTTCAGTGCCTCACAGAGGCAATGCATGGAGAAGAAACGTACATGTCATGGGGGCATGAAAGGGAAATCAGAGTGTCCGCTTACGAGCGGGACAGATGCAGCATATGCTTGAACGACTGCCATTTGGACGCGGAAGGCGGTGGACTAATTTCCCATCTACAAACACATGTCAGCTACGTGGAGGGGTCAGGACCATGGCAGATACTCACTGTACAACCAAATCTCCCCGACTACCGTCCCCGCGAGGCATCCCTGCGCCGCGGACGACGCGTATACCAGAAAGCAAGCGCTCCTTGTAGTAGTATATACCAAGCGAGATCTCCTTCCCGTCGATCGTCCGCACCCTCGCCTCGCCCCTCTCGTACTGGAGGCGATCCATCCACGGCAGATGGACATCCATGAAGAGATCGTCGCCATCGCGGTCGAACGACTCGTGCGCCTCCTGCTGGATGAGGAAGACGATGTCCTGCAGCTTGCCATCCGCGCGCTCGTGCCCAGCACCGCGGAAAAGGAACTGCGTCCCGTTGCGGCAACCTGGGGGAATGTGGACGTCGAGAACGACGTGCTTCTTCCGCCCAGATTGGTAGCGACGCGTGATCTTGATGTGCAGGTCCTGCCCGTAGAAGAGCTGCTCCATCGACAAGTACACGGGATACGTCCACAGCCGCGTCGTGCCGTAGCCGCGGCTGCCTAAGATGTTGTACGGGAGCGAGTCCTTCGACGCAGAAGGATGGCTCGATTCGGATCGGGCAGAAGATCGGGTCGAATCGTACCTAGCATCTGCGCATCAGTGCCGGGGGACTGAACGGGGAGAGAAGCGCACTCACGTGTTCTGACGAGAAGCCGGAGGCCTATCCTTTCGCAGCCTCTTCCTCGGGCGTCCACTCGAGTCATGCGAGTCGGTAGTAGAGTGAGCATAGGAGCGCTGGGAACCGGACTGTGCAGTATGCGTATAGGAGGGTGTGGTGTGCGTGTAGGATCGCTGGGAGCCAGAAGGGACGGATTGCGAGTAGTGCGAGGTAGATGGCTCCGGCTCAAAGTGTGCACGGCGAGGGGAAGAACGTGTAGTCTTTTCGTTGGGGGAGCTATGCGAAGATGTCGTATTGTCGTCTTTCCGCGGACGCTTCGTGTTCTGCGAGCGGGCCTCGCCGCCAAAGAACCAGGACTTGAGGGAGGGGGAGCAGCGAGGTTTGGGAGTATCTGGCTCGCGGACGTTCTCCTTCTCAGCGTTGTTAGACCGAGTAGACGTGGGGCGCTCCTCTCGTCGCTTCGCTTCCCTCAGTAGCGCCTTATACGCGACCGTCACCTTTACATCAATCTCGGTCAGATACGGCGTCAAGACGGAGCTCAACTGCACACGCACCTCGACGAACCGCTTGCTCGCGTACTCCTTGTTGGTATGGTGTCGGTCGGGATGCCATTTCAGCGCCTGCAACGTTACAGCTTCAGTCGGGAGCGAAGGCACATTTGATGTGGCCACGCACCATCCGCTTGTACGCTCGCCGTATCTCCGCCACCGACGCGCCCCCTTCGACCTCCAAGACGTTGCGATACTCCTGCAGTCTCGACGACGGCGCCATGTTCAGCTGGGGAGGAAAGGGAGCAGTCGCAACAAAGCGCAGAGATAAAAAGCAAAGTACAATGAGGCGAAGATAAGAAAGGGACCGACCGAGAATTTTCATGGCCCTGCCTGCGCATTCATTTACGCGTCATGGTTTCCGATTCTCCTCATGTACCTCACGTTTAGGGGACGAGCGCGCCTCGAGGGAGGAGGCGAGGTGATGAATGCGGCAGAGCCTTACGTATTCGTGGCACTAGCTAGCGGTCAGCGTTTGTCTGGGGAGGTGGAGAACAAGGACACACATCATCATCTCCGGGTAGGGCAGGGTTGGCATGCAATTGTGGAGGTGATCTGCAAGACCGGGGAGAACGAGATCTATCTCATTTTCCTGAGGCCGCGGTCATGATAGAGCAACACGCGTTTCAATTTTGCCGGCGGACACGTACACGTCGACGAGAGCCTCGCGGGGAGACGTCTGAAGAGGCAAGGCGCAGGTCATGTCTGCCTAGTTCGCCCATAGGCGGGACATTCAATGACCGGCACTGAACCAGCGCTCCACGAGGTCGAAGGTCGCCCTGGCCCTGCACGGTGGGAATAGGAAGTCGACGAGTCCAGTTGTTATGCAACCTTGAGGTAAAGCGAGCAGACTCATAGTAAGAGCGCGCACCGTACGATGCAGTTGTACCCTCCCCGGCACAGGGGAGCCGCCGTCAAAACACGAAGGAGCAGAGCGTCCAAGTCATGTCGTCCCAAACATCTTGTCGAAGAATGAAAGCCACTGCGCCTAGGGTGCACCGCGTTCAGTTATGTCCCCAGAGAAGGCAGACCGACGTACCAACGCATCCCGTGACATGTTCGATATCACACGCACCGTGAGAGAGGAAGACTCGGCTGCGAGCCTCGCCAAAAGCAGCTTGCGCCGTGAGGCATAAGGGTCACCATATCGATTGACAATGGTCGACAATCTAGCGAAGGGGTGCGAATTATCGTACAGCAGAAAGCGCCGTAGCGGAGGAAACCAGTCGAGCCACATACAGAAGCCGGCAAAATACGTGCGTAAAGGAACGGAGGCCTAGGATGAGTGCATGTGAAGAGGATGCTGGGTGTAAGGGCGGACGATGAATGTAAAGAAGGAATAAATTACGCCAGCGGCGGTGATGGTACAATACCGAAAACAGCACCAGAAAAGGGATATCGGGTTCGAGAACGATTGTGTGGTAGTGACGTACAATTGCTGGCTGGGTGCTGTCCGGAGAATACAGCTACAAGAGGCCCTTTGGTAAGCGACGATAAATATGAACAAGGTTTGCGAGTGCGACGACGACGGAGAGCGATCAAACGAGAGCGGCAGACTGAAGGTAACCTCGGAAAATCGAGTCCCGGACTGAAAGCGGGTTAGCGCATGGTCGAACGGCGGGGGTCAATTGTGCTTACCGTTGCCAATGATGCGTTGTGTTGCTTTGGTATCCTGATGATTTGCCTGAGCAAGCGATCCGGGCTGGCGCGAGGAAGCGACTTACGACAACGCTCGTGAAGTGCGTGTACAGAACCCGGCGGTTCTCGTTATTTCTTCTGTGCACCTGCAGGAAGTGCGCACGGAAGTACTGGACAGCAGTCTCGTAGTCGTTGGAGCGGTTGCCGAAGGACGTGATGCTGCCAGGATATCAGACCATGCATGAACTGCTTAGCGAACCCGACGTACTACTTCGATACCCTCAAACCAGCGTCCAGTTTCGCCTTGAGAAGATCGGTTTTGTCTGCGAATAATAGGGCAAATTCGAAAGATAGAAGCAGGTGGCGGGAAGAGGGATCAGTCAGATGAGATGGCGCTGAGATGGCGGCGATATAGCACGCACTCAGGAACAGGACCAGATGTACACTCTTCAGTAGCGCATTCGAACAGATTTGGGTGAAAAGTTGCAAGGAATCATCGATCCGATTCGTTCGCGGGTCCTCTTCCAAGTACTGATCGAGAAAGGTGAGTATATGCGCACAAATAACGGACAAATGATATACCTGATCAAATGCGCTGACTGGTGCGACGAAGATAATGGCATTGGCGTCATCGAAGTACGGTACCCACGAGTGGCGCTGGCCTCGTGCACCTCCCACATCGAAAAGGTGCCAGGTCACCGACTTGCCGTGGATGTTGACGTCGAATACGTGCTCTGCCACACCCATGGTCTGCACTCGAGCGTGCAGTATATCGTCTGGAAGAATAGATCGCGAAATAAGCACATATATGCGCGCTTTTCGGCAGAGGAAAGCTCACCGATGGTCGGTAGGTAATCGGCAGCCGCGACGCGGGATATATGCTTCAAGAAACTCGAGACAAGTGAGATTACGGGACACAGGGCCAGAGAGGAAGAAACTCACAATTCAGACCACTCATCGAGCTTGAGCTTGCGCTTCGAGATGAGCATCTTCACGAGTGGATGACTCCAGAGCGCCTTGATGTCTTCCTTGCATATGTCGAGCATGCGGCCAACCTCCAGAACAAGGCTGTCGTGCACAATGTCGAAGCTGTCGCGCTCGACGGGCTTGCCCTCGGAGGACATGCGCCGCGCCCACTTCGTCTTATTCAGCGCGTTCTCGATCGTCCGCGCCTGCCATCCGCTCCGAACCAGCACACCGCCCTTGCCAGGTCCTGAGACGTTGATACCACCGCTCAGGCGGTCGGCTAAGGCAGCGTCGGTGGAGATGAGCGGCGCCAGTCGTCGACGGAGATATGCGATCTGCGCCATTCGAGGGTCTTTTCCAGAGATAGGTGGGGGAGTACTAGGTGAGAGGGGAGCTTGGTGAGTCGAGGATGCGTATCCGTTCAGAGAGCTCGGCTTTGTGAACGAGGTCGAGGGCGAGGACTCGGTGCCATTCGGGTAGCGGGAGTAGACCGACGCGCCATCGTCAAGAGGTGCGTTCTCGGAGCCCTCCTCGAACTGCTCCAGGCTGGTCATAATGTGCCTGAGAGAGTGCACGACGTTGTAGTAGATGACTGTGCGCCAGGAGGATCGCTCCTGGTCGATGGAATGCGGGCGGTACATCAATTGAAACTGCTTCTGGAGGGTCGACTTCCCGCTCTCCGCCTGACCAAGCAGTAGCAGCTGCACAGCAGGTCAGCACCTCCATCATGGTCGACAGCTCTGCCGCACACCTTCACGTCGCCCTTCGACCTCTTCATGCGCTCGCGCTCCTGGCGAATGTCCTCATCAATCTGCTCGGAAATGCGTTTTGCCTCCGCTTCGCGGAAGACGCGCATCCTGCGCTCATTGTCGGTCTCGCCGGGGTCAGGCTGAAGAGCCGCGGTCAAGGGGTCGTCCTGGCTGTAGATGGAGGGAGTGCGCATCGTCGCGACTCGGGGAAGATGGAGGGAAAGGAAGAGAAGGGTATGCGGCTAGCCCAATGGGTCTAATTCCTCTTTGTGTTTCAAGAGCAATCAATCCGTCACGTGCGTTGTTCCGTCTGGCAACAACAGCACTCGACACGCGTGCGGCGCGCGCGCCCGTCCGTCGCTCATATCTGGGCGCTGTTGCCATCGACGGCCGTGGGCAAGGTGATGCCGGATGCCTGGTCCTCCGAGGCTCGCTCTCGCTCTGCAACGTTCAACGGATCGCTCTACAGGCTGGGACGTCTCTCCACCGACATATGCTCTGCTCGGACCCCAGCACTAATCACTGATGCAGTCAATTTCCCTGCGCCCGTGTACGTAGCTCGGTACCTCGGGCGCCTCCATCCGACACTGGGCTAGTGCTCAGAATGAAGCCGGCGCGGTCTGCTATCCGAGCGCTGGAGGCGACGAATAGCGCGGATCGTGTGGCATCCTCCTTCCACGGACTTTCTGCCGGGCTCTGCATGAGCACGCACGCCCCTTCTCGAGGCTCGCGAGAGACAGCAAAGACTCAGAAGCTGAAGAACCAGGCTCGCTGAGCATCCTGCCTACGCTTACAATGACACTGTGAGCTTCCGTAGCAGAATAGGCGACAGGACCCGCCCGAGCGAGAGGGCGGATCACTCTATGCAACCCGCTAACTGGCAGATGCGACTCGGGTCCGTCCCAAGCGCGCAACTCTCCGGTCTCTAGCTGGCCGACGCACTGTTCGCCCTACGTCTGCAAGATTTTCTGGCTGCACTGACCAGCGATTTAGTAACGACGCTAGACGATGCTCGGCACACCTAAACCTAGCAGTACCGACATTCGCTGCTCTGGTCGGTCCCGGCGACGGTATTTCTGACTGACGATCTTTCCTGCCGTACTCAGAGGATGATGCATGCGTCGATCTTGGTAAACGAATTGATTTTCTAGCTTTCTCTCTCGAACGGACCTTGCAGGGTCTCAGACCAAGGCCCTTGTACACGAGACCCCCGCGCCGCTATCGCCACAGAGAGCGCAGTCGTCCATCTCCGTTCGACGTTCGTACAGCCGCCTCGAGAGCAGAGCTCGCCGAGAATGGTCATACTACAGAAGACTACACCGCGTATACCGAAGGCGTCCTACTGAATGTAATCATGGCACCCTCAATGCTTATGACCAGGGCCGATCGGTACCCTGAGGTCATTGCCCAGCACGTAGAATCAAACTCTGTATCGCTGTCTCCCTGGACCCAGCTGCGCCCAGGTGCTCAGGGTGCTAGGGCGGAGGGATGAACGTAGGGGTCCAGAAGACAAACATATGGGTCCAGATACGGCGTTTGCCGAGAGATGGATCCACAAGTGCGTGCGCACCTTTGTTGATGGCCAGCATCACGATAGCACTTTGTTAGTTCTCGGCAATCATATCCTCGATTATACGCTTGCGAGTCGCAGGGTGGCCCTTGATTAGCGCGCATAGGGAGAAGACGCCCGCAGGCAATACGGTCATTGTAACACGAGTCTACAACAGGAACTACCTCTAAAGTGGTCTATGTACGTGGTACAGGTATATTCTACTTAGCAGCCATGCATGGTTACGATGAGCAGCACAAAAAGGGTAGATATATAAGCTGCGAATTCTAGTCCGGATACGTTTGCCTATGAGCAAGCGGGAACGGAATGGGCAAAAGGTAACGCAGGACGGCGCTGCGCGTGTAGATAAGTAGGACGCGAGATGGCGCGGGCAAGTGCTAGAAGCACGCTGGAGCAGCACTAGACAGCAGCTTAAAGCGCTGTCTGGCGGTCCACGCGCACTTCTGAGGCCACGAATACGAGGCTTGTGATGCGCCTGCTGTCTAGGCGCGGATCTGGCAGCTGGGATTCGATCCTGTGATGATCGTCAGGGTGCGCGTATGGGAAACCAATAGAGGATGCATACCTGACTTCGACGGTTTTATGCCGTTCGAAGGATGCGGGAGACCCTGATGGTGTGGGTCGCTGGATTCCGCGGATGACATACATGCCGCCAAGGGAGCCATCCTGCATAGGCCTTGATCAGCTGGTGACTCCATGGTACCGCGAAGGAAAGAACGCACTCGACAGGATATATCTCGTGGCGCCTCTTGCGCTTGCATCCACTCGACGCGCAGGCCCATGGGCGCGGTCCGGCGCATCGCAAGCACCATCTGGGCGACCTGCGGTCGAGATAGCGGCGCGCCATTGACGGTGCCCTCGAGTCGCTCCGCGAAGGTACTCTCGATAGCCCGCAAGGCGTCATCATCACTCCGCGCCTCGAAAACTTCGCGGATGTGCGTGATGGACCACTCTGTGAGACTGCCCAAGCGCGGTTGTGGTGGGGGCAGATAGTGGAAGAGGTCGACGTGGGTCTCGGTTTGCATGGTGGGTGGTAGATGCGCGGGTGTGTTGCGGGGAGGAGGGAGGTTCTGACCCCGAGGGTTGCCAGGCTATTGCTGAACAGCTACCAGACGCACTCATGTCTTTATATACTCTCGACCTTGTGAGATCGCCACTTCCAGCGGTCCCGCCTCGGCGATGCATCAAGGAAATCATGAGCGCGGACCTCCCTTCGGGATTCTTCTTGTACGCCATTGGTACGTCGTCGTGTGGTCTAAGGAGTGCGCCAGGCCCTCTGTCCCCACAACGAACGCGTATATTGGCAGATGCGTAATGCGTAAGGTGTCCTCGGTGCTGGGGAGTTGCCTCCGCGGTGCCCTGGATGAGCTTCGCGGTGCTGTATGAGCTTCGCGGGGTTCGCTGGGTATGAAAGAAGGGCGCGGTCCACGCCTGGGAGGATAGAGGGAGATGGGACGGAGCACACTTGGAGTCGCATTCCAGCCACCGAGGCGCGCTTGCGGACGTAATCAGATGTAGCAAGCACTGTGAGAGAAGGACGAACTTCAGGAACAGGGTCGATTGGAAGCAGCGGATCTGCGAGGCTGAAGTGATGCGCAAGGGAAGGATTGTCGCTGTCCTCGCTCAATAGGGCAACATACCTGACTAGAATAATCTGATGGAGCCCAGCTTTAATCGCGACAATTGCAAGGGCTGAAGCGTTGAGCTGCTGTTAGCTCAGTCGACGTATCATGCCAAGAAATCATACGGCAAAGCGCGAATGCCGCAACACGAGGTCCGAGGACATGAATGAGAGCCCAGCGATGACGACTTCCAGAGTAAAGTCCAAGTTTGAGGGCAATGCTGCAACGCCAACTTCATTTCAGCGCAAACGGCTTCTAAGCTCAGGAGTTCCATGCTGAGCTCGCTTGAGCGTGCAAGCTGACAAGAGATCCGCCAAGGCGTGCTGTGACCTGCTGTGGGCACGTTTCGCCAGCAAGGGAAGATCGATAGAGACAAGATAGAGGGTGGGGAGAGCGTAGAAAGGGATCTTCGAGGAGAGAACCTTCTTGAAGCTAGATGTCTTCTCGAAAGCGCTCAGCGCTGTTATTGCGCTAGATTAGGAGCCGATAGCGGTGATCGTGATCGGCGACATTAGGCACACACAAGCACCTAATACCCGACGTTGAGCGCAATGTTCCCCGTGCAAAAGCGAGCCGTATGTCCGAGGAGGTTAAGACTCACGTATCCCTGGCAGCTTGCGTGGCAAACTCGTGTCGAGCGGTGAATGGTGACCTCGGGCAAGTCCAGACACCCTCAAGAGACCGAGCATGTATATCGTCCGACAAGACCCGCGGCTTTACCAGGATACGTATTCTGTGACTTGTCGACCAGGAGAGACGGGCCGTAAAAGCTACTTGAAGTCCAGAGCAAGCCCCGTTCCCTTGAGCATCAGGTTGTAAAGCTTCACAGTCGTATGTGGGGTGGATGACCGCTCTGTAGTTGTTTGCGCTGCTGACAGATTTAGGCTTGCGCACCAGATGGAGTAAGGAAACAGAAGACAAGAGGATGCCCAAATCAGGACCAATGATGATCGGCTCCTCCGGATGTCGTCAACGAACATGCATCGACACCGCGTCGCGACGCGCATGCACAACGCGCTCTTCCTCAACCACCACCTCCAGATACGCACAGCTGGAAAACATAAAAAAAATGGCGACCACAAAGCAAGCATTTGCCTCCCCCACACCGCGAGCGCCTGGCTTCACCCCCAACTTCTTCTCCGAGTATAGCGTCGTCATCGACCGTCCGCGCGACGAGGTGTTCAACATCATCGGCACCGCCGCGGGCGCAGAGCGCGTTACGCGGCTATCTGATATGTGTACGCGCTTCGAGATGCTCAAGCAGGATGAAGTGAGCTTGGCGTCAGGCGAAGCCTTGAAGGACTCGGCGATGCGGACGCAAGCGGCGGTCGGGAAAGGGGAAGGGATCGCCAACGCTAGCGACGAATCGGCCTCGCAAGCAGATCCTGCCCGCCACCTCCCCCGCCAGCACTTCTCCATGACCGAAACCATCCCCCTCCTCTTCGGCATTATCAAACACGACGTCCTCATCGTCGGCACGCTCACTTGGGACACGTCCGCATGCGTAGCACTCTACGAGAGCGAGGCCGACCAAGGCGTTCTGGTCTGGAAGCTGCGCACGTTCGAGGAGGTGGAAGGGGGCAGTACGCGCGTGAACGAGCGTATAGAGGGGAAATGCAGCGCCCTGCTGCGTCCTATCGTGCAGAGGGAGACGACGCGGGGACACCAGGCGCACATGAATGCATACCAAATGCTATTCAAGGCATCTTGAAACGGGCGAAGGGCAACAGTGCGCACCAGCGAAGCACTGCTAATCACATTCGGTCACTAGATAAATTGGCTACTGCTTGAAAGCCTTACGACGGTTAGCTATACGGGCATACACGGAGGAGTCAGGACTCTTGGCGTTACATGGGGAAGGGAACTTGTGCGTCGTCGAAAGTCATATTCGTGCCTTGAGATGGGATCCACGCCCGAAGCAGACCTTCGCCGGGTATAGGAATATTCTTCTGACGTCTGTAAGGTGTTCATGATCAATATCGAGATGCGCTTTATCGCGTTAATGACTTACAGCTCGCGCACTAATGAGACAGATCCAGTAGTCAGTACGAAGGCACAGGGAGATGCCCAAATGACGCACCTCGGATGATGAAGTTGGCAAGGATAGCGAAGAACAGAAGGACGCTGACAATGATGGGTCCCGCGATAGCATCTGCATCATGAGTGCAAAATTGAGCTATGGACTTGTATAGGTGTGGGAGAGGCGTACCAAAGTGACCTGGATCTCGCCTGCGAATCTTGGTGATGCGGTGCTGGTAGATGAGGTATCCGTAGATCTAAACCTTCGTTAGCGCCTGCATAGCAGTTTAACGACAGAGTGTACTCACCAAAACACCGATACTGATCAGGGCATAGACATATGCGAATATCCTCGCCGTCTTGTCCTTCGATGCGTTGAAGAGCGCAAGGGATAGGGTGCCAAGAAGTACGGCCATGTTCAACCAAGATATCCATGCTGGAGCAGCCGTAAGCTACAAACCCACTGTAACATCTTGCACAAGACTCACTTCGCTCGTTTGCGAACCAGACTTTGCCCTCAACGCGGATGGGCGTCGCGATCTTCCTGGGTACGCGCACGGAGGGGGGTAGGCTATTGATAGCATGGTAATCCGCTACGGTCGGTCTGTTTCCATCCGCATCTGCTTGCGCATCAGGGATGTGGTCTTCACGCGTGTATCGTGCAGGACGCGAGAGTCGAGGGAGCTTCGCGAGTGCGGCAGGGGAGAAGGGATGCAAGTTCTCCGTCATTGCATGCCATGACCGGCGAATCAGCGACTCAGACTGCGGTGAATCAAGTGGAGTGTCCGGGCTGGATGTCGCGCTCATGGTGGATGTCCGTGTTCGTCGTCGTTGGTAGCAACCAGCAAACTCGATGCCCAGCAGTCCCAGCGGGGCTCCATGATCGGGACGAACGTGCGCCTCGACCGGCCCTGGGCCGGCGCGGGGCCGGTCCGTGGCGGCGAGTGCCTGGGTCACACCAGTGACGTCAGCACGTGGCGTCGAAGAAACTGGAACTTGCTCGAGACGTGCAGAGATTCCCCTCAGAAACATACAAAATGTCGGCGGCATCGACCTGCGCTCCTTGTTTTCTACGTTCTCAGCGCTTTCTACGAACACCTATACGTCTTGCTTCTAACGAAACGCTATGGGCACCGACTACTATAAGCTCCTTGGCGTCGACAAGAACGCCGACGACGATGCTATCAAGCGCGCGTACAAGAAGATGGCCTTGAAATGGCACCCCGATCGGAACAAGGGGTCAGAGGAGGCTTCCCAGAAGTTCAAGGAGGTGTGTATCATGACTATGCCAGTTGAGACGTATGGCTGACGAGCTTCACAGATCTCCGAAGCCTTCGAGGTTCTGAGCGACAGCAACAAGCGTGCCATCTATGACCAGTTCGGCGAGGAAGGCCTCAAGGGCGGAGGTGGCCCCCCTCCTGGCGCTGGCGGTCCGGGAGGCTTCAGCGGATTCAGCGGCTTCCCCGGCGGTGGCCCAGGCGGCGCGCATACATTCACCTTCACCTCCGGCCCAGGCGGCAGCTCAAGCGGAGGTTTCAACCCCACAGACCCCAACCGTATATTCGAGTACGTGTTTCCCCCTTGGCGCTTTCAGAGGTTTCCTAACGCCGACGACAGACAGATATTCGGTGGAGGCTTTGGCGGCTTCAGCATGGGCGGAATGGGCGGTGGCATGGGAGGCTTCCCGGGCATGGGCGGAGCGCGCTCAGGGCGCAGCACACCCCGCCGCGCACAATCCATGTTCGCCGACGATGACGACGAGGACATGGACGGCACCTTCAGCGGCTTCAGCGGCATGCCCGGTGGGATGGGCGGCGGCGGTCGTCCACGGCCATCGCATCAGAAGAGCCAGGCGCCGACAGAGATCACTCGCCCGCTCAAGGTCTCGCTCAACGACCTCTATTCTGGCGCGGTCAAGCACTTGAAGATCGGTCGTCGGTTGCTCGACGGCACGACCGAGGACAAGGTGCTGGAGATCCAGATCCATCCAGGATGGAAGAGTGGCACGAAGATCCGGTTCCCGAAAGCAGGTAGGTATCACCCATATCGCCGCCCTTGGTTCCCTCGCTCACACGCACGCTTCGCAGGCAACGAGCAGGCCAACGGGGACGCGCAGGACCTTGTCTTCGTCGTCGAGGAGAAGCCGCACGACAAGTTCAAGCGCGAAGGCAATGACCTCATCGCTCGCGTGCCAATCCCTCTCGTCGATGCGCTCACGGGCTCGTCAAACGGCCGCTTCGTCGTTGAGCACCTCGACGGGCGCAAACTCCAGGTTCCCGTACCAGCTGGCATCGTCAAGCCTGGCCAAGAGACCACAGTACCGGGCGAGGGCATGCCCATTCGCAAGGACGGCCAGGTGCGGAGGAAAGGCGACCTCATCATCAAGTGGGACGTCCAGTTCCCCGACCGCCTCACCCCCGCGCAGAAGGAGGGCCTGCGGAAGGTCCTGGCGTAAGCGCGCACGTCGTCGCGCAGGGGATAGGCGTGGCATAGTCCAGCGTTCCCCGCTTCCTGGCGACCCGCATAGGGTGCAGGATGGAATAACTTGAGTCTGGCGACTCGGCAGTTTACAATACGGATCCCCTATATGATATCTTTATTGTCTTTGCACATTTTCCGGACACATTGCATGCACATGTTGTACTTGTACCTTCAATTCATACCTTGCACGTTTTAGACGCGAACTTCTAAGCCAAGACCACGAAAACAGTCCTTCGTGAGGAAGGACAAATATTTGTGCGTCGGGACGGCAATTGCCGCGTGTACGGCCCGCCCGCTGCTTGAGCTTGACGAGCGCCAGCACGCTCATCGCGCCGCGTTCTTGCTTTCATTCTGTCTCGTGCTTCCTTCTTACCTCCATCTCCTTGACTGCAGCGCTATCGCACGCGTCCACGATGGCGGATCTCGTCGATAGCATGCTCGACCTCATGCGGCGCCTGCCGCCAACGCGCACTGAGGAGAACGTCGACGCGCTCATCAGGATCTGTCCAGAATACGTGCGTCTTCATAAGTGTTGCAGCTGAAACCATAGCTGACTCTTGCCTCTTATATCGGTCTGCATACTACTTCGCCCTCGGCATCGTACACTGCGCGATTCTTCCCTCCCTGCCGCGCCGCATCCCAATCGAACAACTCACGCACCCGTAATTTGAATGCTTTCACCACGTCCCTAAACCTTGTCTGGTTCGCGAACGCGCTTATAGGCAGACGATCTGCTTGGGAGTGTCGACCAGCCGCTCAAGCTCATGCACGACCGCGTCGCGGGCCGCGACTACCTCGCATGCGACTACAACCGGGATGGCGATAGCTATCGGTGAGTGCATCCGTCCACTCGACGCACACCTTGATCCCTCTTCCATCTGTATATATTCTTCATGTACACCCTGTTCTGCTGAACCACCGCATCTGACGGTTCTGTGATCTTGGGACTGACGCTCGGCTCCCAGATCCCCATGGACAAACGAGTACGATCCACCGCTGGACGATGGTACCGTGCCAGGCGTGAAGCTCCGCAAACTGGAGGTGATGGCGAACGAGGCGTTCGACACCTATCGCGAGATGTGCTGTGGATCATCCCTCCCTCACAATTCTCAGTGGCTTATGACATCTCCCCCTCCATCCAGGTACTACGAAGGCGGTGTCTCCTCCGTATACCTATGGGACCTTGAGGACGGCGGCTTCGCCGGGGTCGTCCTGCTGAAGAAGTCGATGACGCCTTCGTCACCCTCTGAACCAGCAGGATCCTGGGACTCCATCCACGTCTTCGAAACAGCCGAGCGAGGGAGGCAGGTACGTATCTATCACAGCGTTGTCCACTGGTCCCGTCTGCTGGTCGACTGTACGAGTTTGCTGACGCTTTTTATAGGCCCACTACAAGCTCACGTCAACGGTGATGCTGCAGCTGACGACGCATAAGAGCTCGGAGAGCAAGGATGAGCAGAAGGAGAAGGACAAGTCGGATCCGGAAAGCTGGAAGCGGGAGGGCGAGGTTACCCTGAGCGGGAGCATGACGAGACAGGCGAGTGATTAGGCTGGCTTGCGAGTGCTTATTCTTGCGACAACCTGTTCTTTTGCCATCATCTGTCGACCCCGCATACTTACCACCCTTCTGCAGACCGAGCAGGACTGGCCGCTGCACGACTCGCAGTCCCACATCACGAACACGGGCCGCATGATCGAGGAGATGGAGAATAAGATGCGGAATTTGTTGCAAGAGGTGAGCGTTCGGATAAGCTCATGACATCGACTTGCTAAGCCGCGTTCAGGTTTACTTCGGCAAAACGCGCGATATTGTGTACGACCTTCGCAGCGTCGACGACCTCGAGAAGGCGCGGAAGCAGCGGGAGTTGCAGAAGGAGCTTGTCGGGTTCATCAAGAGGTGATGCGCTGGTGGTGTTGGGAGCAGAGTATCAAGAAAGCAGAACTGAATCGGGAGGGAGCGGGAAGGGGGAGATGGTCGAGGGGATTGTTTGTATCATACTCCATACACTGAAAGGGACTCACACTCTGGATAAGCGGATAGAGTGAGATCCTAAGGTCAAGATCGAGTTCTCCCTCGCGAGGTGAGCATACAGTATTGGCGATAAATTATACAACACTGCCATCTACAAGTTGCACGCTGCCATCTACATGAAGTCGTCAGCGTTCGCACCGAAGTCGTCAAGTGCATCGTCGTATATGTTGGTATCGATTCTGCGATAATGTCAGTCTCTAATTCCTTCCTCACTCCATTGCGGGATAGACTCACTTGCTCGACGCCTTCGCCGCACCCAGCGCAGGTTTCGCTGCCGCCTTGGGCTTCTTCTTGCCGCTCGCCTTGTCGCGCTGCTCCTTCTGCTTCTCGTTCGCCAGCGTCGTCAACCCACTCGCGGCCTTGCGGACCTCGACGTCGCGCAAGGGTGCAGCCAGCTCGCGAACGTGATGCTCAACGAACTGCGCGTAGAGAGGCTTGCCCTGATGTCGCTTGACGACGACCTCAATGATCATGGCGGACAGCTTTTGGAAGTCTTCCTTCGTTCGCGGTTGGTAGGAGAGGAGGGAGTCGAGCTCTTTTGAGGTGGTGCCTAATGGGGCGGAGAGGCGAATTCAGTGTCCGTGATCATCAGGGCAAGGGAAGTGTAAGACGCACCGCCTAGTGCTGCCGCGCCGAAGAGGTCCGCGGCGTTGTTCAGGTCCGAGTTGAGCTCGCGCTCCTTGTCCAGCCGTGCCTTCTCGCGCGGGTCAAGCACTTCGTCCGAGTCATAGCCCACGTCGTCCTCCCCAGCAGCCTTCCGTGCAGCCTTCGCGGCCTCCTTCTCGGCAAGCTTCTGCTTCAGGTTGCCCTTCTTCTTCGGCGGGGCGACAGGTGCGGGCACTGCGGGCTTGTCATCCTCGTCGGATGATTCTTCCCAGTCGCTCTGCGCTGATCGCGTCAGATCAGTTGGCGGGGCGAGGGGGAAAGGGAGCGCACCGCGACCTGCTCCTCCTCATCTTCGCCCTCCCACTTCGAGGACTTCTTGGGAATGACCTTGGGTGGTGGGGCGACCTTCTTGGAGGTCTCCTCGTCAGAGGCGTCTTGGGATTATGCGGTGAGATCGGGGAAGTACGATCGAGGACGTGGTGCGTACCCCAGTCGTCGGACATTGGTGATAAGATAAAGTGGTAGTGTAGTTGGGTTGCTGGATACCTAGCAGGTTTGGAGGTACGCTTTACGTGGGATACACGGGAAGTATGAGAACAAGTAAACGACCTGATCAATTCACAATGGCCGGGAGATGCCGATGAGCAGATCGGGTCTCGGTCCGCACCCTCCGCGCTTGCCTCCGAACATTCGACTTCGTTCCCAAAGTCAGCAGCCATGCAAGCGTCGTCCAGGTACGCAGCCTGCCTCATACCACCATGCTATACCTCTCACACTCAATACACCCACTCAATGAAGAGAACTGCTGAAGCTCGCTGTCCCCCTCGTGCGCACGCACGGCTTTACGCGCGATGCGTTGGCGCGATCGGTGCTCTCCCTACCCAAGCCGCACCCTGAACCGCTCTCCGACTCGGCGGTCTCTGCACTCTTTGGTTCGGGAACTGCAGCACCGAAGTCGCTCATCAACGCCTGGCTGGACGAGGGACTGGAGGACCTGCGTGCAGCCGCTCGTCGCGGTCCTGTGACTGTTCCCTCTGCGCTACATGCGCGGTTGAGGTGGAATGAGCCAGTGCTAGAGCATCTGCCTGAGGTGTGCGAATAATGTGCATGGCTCTACATGGCTGTTGAAGGATCCCGGCAGGCTTTCGCGCTGTTGGCGTCACCGGAGAAGGGGGCGCCACCGCTCGATCCCACACCTGCTTTGAAGCATACATTCAGTATCGCAAATGAGGCAGCATACCTTGCGAAGGATAAGACAGTGCAGGTGAGTATACACTTATCTGTTATGCACTTGCGCTCATAGTTGATGCTCTGCAGTTGGAATGGTATGCCAGGCGAGGATCGCTTGCCCTGATATACGGTGCAGCAGGTTCGTCTTCGGCACACGCTTATGTATTCGTGGCGTGATCACTAACCATCCTCGCAGAGTTGCACCAACTGAAGTCTCCTGAGACCGCACATCCCTTCCTTGACTCCCTGCTCTCTACCTCTTCGAAAGCAAGAGCTGCATTAGGGGATGTCGTTCTGTATGGGGACTACGTCGCGAAGAGCTGGTATGGCATAATCAAGAGCTCGGGGGCTTTCTCATAGCTGTATCCCATGGAATGTTGATGGCTTTGCAATGGATGGTTTCTGACTCATGAAGGCCGTTGAAGATCGCAAAGCTCGCGTTACACATTCGCGACGGCAGGCTGAGTTGAAACTCTGCACGACCATGGAGCTACTTAGCGCGTCGGGCGAAGTACAGCTTCTAGCATTGATCCAATAGATAATTTATACAATACCCAACAGTCCATGGAGTCAATGGAAGTATGTACGCGTCGTTGAGGGACGTGCAAGCTCCACTGAGACCTTTACGCCCACACCTACTCAGGTTGATTCCCATGACTTACGCCAGCGACTGCAGCACTCGGTCCGTCATCTGGATGACCTGCAAAACCGTTAGCCATCAACGCCTCCATCCTTGCTTTACCGAGAAAAGTGCGTACCCTGTGGATATCCGGACGGTCTGCCGGGTTCACCTTCAGCATGCTGTCGATGAGGTCCTTCAGGCCTTGCGAGTAGGCGGAAGGCGGGTGCTTGTATTGCGCATTGAGGACGGCCATGGCGATGGAGCCGCCCTGCTCGCCTTGAGTAGACTCGAAGGGCGAGTGGTTGTAGGCGAGGGCATAGAGCATGCAGCCGAGAGACTGATCGAGGAGAATGTCAGCTCAGCTCGAAAGGGCTGGGTGGGATGAAAGGAGAGCAGGAAGTGGCTGTGATTTTGAAAGGCAGCGGGGAATGAGACAGGAAGCACGAGTGAACACGCACCCAGATGTCGACCTTCTCATCGAGAGTGACTCCGGTCTTGACATCGAAGAGCTCGGGTGCGCGGTAGGTCATGGTGCTTTGTTCTGCTGCGATGTCCTGCTGCACGAGAGCCTGGTTCCGGTTTTGGATGGGAATGCGTGCCTTCACGGTACTGCCAAAGTCCATGAGGATTGGTGTTACGCCGTCGTCGGCGATCATGACATTGCTGTGAAGAAGTTCTCGTCAACCTTTGGTTCGACGAGCGATATCCCAAAAGTAGCGCACCCAGGCTTGATGTCGCGATGCGCGTAGGGGACCAATTCCGTGTTACCTCCATTGCTGCTGAGGTCCTGGTCTCCCTCGAAGATCACATCCCCTTCCTCCTCGACCCGGTGTTTTGTCACGAGCGGCACGTCAGCACCGTCGTACGAGTACCCGCCCTCCGCATCGCCCTCAGGATGCGGGAAGCGCTCGTCGTCGTCCGAGTGTCTCTGCTGCTCGTCTCGCCTTTGCTGTCGCTGTTGTTGCTGAGCGGACGAGGAGGACGCGACCGGCGCGCGGTAGTCGTGCATGGCGCGGATGGCCTCGCATGTGCCGCGGAAGAGGCGCAGCATCTCGCCCTCGGGGAAGTGGTTTCCGTTTACGACGTTTGAGTTGATGGCGTCTTGGAGATTACCGCGCTGGAGGGGATCAAGAGGGCAAGGGTGAGGGGAGTAGTCGGTTCATGACAAGAGTGCGTACCTTGTACAGCGGGAGGAAAAGATATACGATTTTGCCCTCGCCGTCGGGGTCCTGCACGACGGCGGAATCGAGGATGCGTATGATGTTGGGATGCCTGGGGGTGCATTCGGCGTCAGCGCGATGCGCAGGGAAGGAAGGGTGGGATAGCGCACTTGAATCGCCTGTACGCTTCGACCTCGCGCATAGCCTCCTTGACTGCATCAGAGCCGGTCGGACAGCGTATCTTCTTGAGCGCGAATTGGCGCTGTAGAACAAGGCGGGGAACACGTCAATACGCGTCGCGCTTGTCGCGCAGCTTGGCTTACTCACCCCACTGTGCTCATCCTGCGCAAGGTAGACAAAGGAGAACCCGCCCTCGCCAAGCACCTTGATGATGTTGACTGCGCAGAGCTTAAGTCAGATCCTCTCGTTATAGGTTTCGGGAAGGATGTATGCGAACATGTCCGGCCATTTATCTTGATCTTTGCGGACTGTTGACAGAGACAGGAGGATAGAGCCCATATAGCATCTTTGGCCTGGTCTCTGAGATTGTCGAATGCATTGAGGAGGGAAGGTGGTATAGACATGATTGTCGTCGTCGACGCGGACGACGAGCGCGGGTGCTGCCGCAGATGTGGCGGTGCTATCTCATCAACCGGCGGGCCGGAGCAAGTCTCGGCATCCCCTGGGACTTCACATTTCTCAGATCCCTCTACTCCTCCTAGACCTTGTCCGCCGCGGGTCTCTGCCTCTTGGATAGTCAGCTCCTGTGGGCTTCATCTATGAGTCGATGCGCCGCTCAGTCCGATCCCTCGTGCAGTCGAACTATGGTCTTTCTCGTCGACTTCGAACCTCTGCAGTCGCCGGTGTTCAGGCTCAACTCGCGTACCCCTCTTCCAAGTATGAAGTCAGAAGGAGGTCCGAGCGCAGGGCGCCAGAGGATGCGACGTCGCAGACGCCATTGCGACAGCGAGAGGCCGAGCCTGTCGTCGAATACGGTGCGCAGGGTGCAAGTGTTTTCGAGCTGGCCAGCTGAGTTATATTCGCAGTCAAACGCAATGAGATGGGTGTGCAGCTGCTCTCTCGGTCCCTGCACTCGCAAATCTTCAAGAACGTCTCCTTCCCTCCTCCCCCGCCCGCCTACATCAACATTGCACACGAACACCTCAACGCACACGGCCTGGACCCCGCACAATCCTCCGTACTCCCCAATACCTCCTTCACCCTCCCCCCTCTCCTCGGCAGCACCCTCGACCAGCACTTTCATGCCATGGGCGTTGAGGCTTCCGAACCCTACCTCTCCTTTGCAAAGCGCTTTGCGGATACGGACATCCCCCCGGCGCCTGAGCCGCACGAGTTCGAAGTGCGCAGCGGGTGGACAAAGTACCACTACTTGCCGGACGGGATGTCGTACTCGGAGCACGTCGAGTACCCGGACGAGGATATGCTGGCGTTCGACGTGGAGACGCTCCCCAAGGTGCACCAGTACCCGATCATGGCGTGCGCGGCGTCGCCTACGGCGTTCTATGCATGGCTGTCACCCTGGCTGCTTGGGGAAACGGACGATCCGGAGCACTTGGTGCCGTTGGGCGATTCGTCCCGTGCGCGCGTCGTAGTGGGACATAACGTCTCGTATGACCGCGCGCGCATCAAGGAGGAATATGAACTCGCGCAGAGCCGCACGCGCTTTCTCGATACAATGTCGCTGCACGTCGCCGTCAAGGGCATGTCCTCTCATCAGCGGCCTGCCTGGATGAAGTACAAGAAGGAGAAAGAGGTGCTGCAGCGGCAGAAGGAAGAGGCTATCCAGGCTATCGAAGCAATGCTCGTTCAGACGGAATCGGAGGAAGAGCAGGAAAAGTTGCGCAAGCTTCTCGACACGCTGGAGATGGACACTGCGCCAGCTCCAGCGGCTGCGTTTGCCGAGGACGCGGAGATACTGACGAAGTCCTGGCAAGACGTAACCTCAGCAAACTCTTTACGCGACGTCGCAAAGCTGCATTGCGGTATTGAGGTGTCCAAGGAGATCCGCGACGACTTCATGACCTCAACCCGAGAGAGCATCCTCGCCGACGTGACGGACTACCTGTCCTACTGCGCGAAGGACGTCGTGACTACTCATGCCGTCTATTGCAAAGTACTGCCTGGTTTTCTTGAAGCGTGCCCACATCCGGTCAGCTTTGCAGGCATCTTGACCATGGGGAGCGCATTCCTCACGGTTGATGACGGTTGGAAGCGTTACATCCAGAGCGCGGAGGGCATCTTCAGGAAGATGGAGGATGGCGTGAAGCGCAAACTGCATGACATGGCTGAGAATGCGAAGGGCCTCATGGAGAGCGGTGCATGGAAGGACGACGTATGGCTAAGCCAACTTGACTGGGAACCCAAGATCGCGGGGCCGAGTCGTGGGGTCAATCCACCTGCGCCCAAGGAAGTACGTATATTCACACTCGACCATCATTTCACCATGTCTAATTCATGTCCGGCAGACCGCGTCCACCTATCCGACTTGGTATGCGACCCTCTTAGCCGACCCTTTCGGGGCTAAGACGATGCGCACCGTTGTCCCTTTCCTGCTTCAACTGTCCTGCTACGATCAGCCTCTGCAGTACTCGGCTCGAGATAGGTGGTACTATCACCGCGACTTCACCGACGCGGATGGAAATCCCGCCATCTCCCAACTGCCCACCGCTGAGGGTCTCAAGTCGTCCTACAACCTCTTGTCCAAGAAGCACGCTGGCGCAATGCTTGAGAGCGGCGTCATGACAGCCGGCCGAGGCAAGCCTCTAGCTATGCGAGTAGCGGTGGGACCGCGCGACGACACTACGCGGGAGCAGCTGCTCCGGCTGGCAAGGCAGGTGCTCGAGCAGGACAACGACGTCGAGAGTGATCCGTGGCTCAGGCAATTGGACTGGTCGCCTGCGGTCATGGAGAACGGAAAGGTCAAGGCCAAGTCGTCGAAGAAGGCCAAGGCTCCCCCAGTGCTCTGGCCGAAGTGGTACTGGGAGATCACGAAGCCGAAGAAGGATATGCCGCCGGGGTCAATGGACCTTACTGTGCGCAATCGTCTGGCACCTCTGCTCTTTCGACTGTCTTGGCTTGGGCATCCGCTCTTCCACTCCCGCGAGCACGGCTGGGTGTACCGCGTACCAACATCGCAGCTCGAGAAGGAGGACGGCTCACGAAGGAAGATGGTCAGCTTCTACGACCCCGCGGACGACACGCTTGCGCAGATGGTCGCGCTGGGCGAGTACAAGTTCTTCAAACTGCCCCACAAGGACGGCGACAGCGCCAATGTCGGCTCTCCGCTCAGCAAGACCTTCATGAGCCATGCCAGCAACGGCACGCTCAGCAGCCCGTTCAACGAGGCTAAGGAGGCGCTCGAGCTCAACGCAATGTGCAGCTACTGGATCTCGTCCCGCGACCGCATCATGAACCAGATGGTCGTTTGGCAGGACCCAGCGCGCCAGCGGGACCTCGGCTTCCGCGATGCGCGCCCAGGCAAGCAATGGGGCGTCATCGTGCCGCAGGTCATTACGATGGGCACCGTGACGCGGCGCGCGATCGAGAAGACCTGGCTGACGGCGAGCAACGCGAAGAAGAACCGCGTGGGCTCGGAGCTGAAGGCCATGGTGCGCGCGCCGCCCGGGTACGCGATCGTAGGCGCGGACGTCGACTCGGAGGAGCTGTGGATCTCGAGCTGCATGGGGGATGCGCAGTTTGGGATTCATGGCGCGACGGCGCTGGGGTGGATGACGCTGGAGGGGACGAAGAGCGCAGGGACGGACTTGCACTCGAAGACGGCGAGCATTCTGGGTATCTCGCGCGACCAGGCGAAGGTGTTCAACTATTCGCGGATTTATGGCGCGGGGATGCGGCATGCTGTCCTGCTGTTGATGCAGTCGAACGCGAGCATGAAGCACGAGGAGGCGCAGAAGCTCGCGGAGAACCTGTACGCGTCGACGAAAGGCAAGAACACGCACCGAACGGACCTCTTCGAGCGCAAGTTCTGGTTCGGCGGATCGGAGAGTTATGTGTTCAACAAGCTCGAAGCCATCGCTTTGTCCGACAAGCCAGAGACCCCGGCGCTGGGCTGCGGTGTCACGCACGCATTGGTCAAGGAGTACCTTCCTACAGGTTTTGGCTCCGACTACATGCCCTCGCGCATCAACTGGGTCGTGCAGAGCTCGGGCGTGGACTACTTGCACATGCTCATCGTGTCGATGGACCATCTTATCCAGAAGTACGACATCAAGGCGCGCTACCTGATTTCCGTACACGACGAGCTGCGATACCTGGTTGAGGAGAAGGACCGCTATCGTGCCGCGCTTGCGCTCCAGATCGCCAATTGCTGGACGCGGTGCATGTTTGCGTACAAACTCGGCATGGACGACCTTCCGCAGGGCGTGGCGTTCTTCTCGGCTGTCGACGTTGACCATGTACTTCGCAAGGAGGTCGACATGCCTTGCGTGACGCCGTCGCAGCCGCATCCCATCCCTCCTGGCGAAAGCCTCAATATCACCAAGGTCTTGGAGAAGACCCACGGAGGCTCTCTTTGGCCCGACGGTCGCCCGATGGAGAGGATGGCATCTGTCCACGCAGGGACCCTGGAAGGGTATAAGGAGCCAAACTGCCTGACACATCGCGCGCAGAATGCGGCATTCCTCCAAGCACAGGCTACAACCGAGTTCAACGAGATCAAGCGGCTTGCGAAGGAGGTGTACGGGACGAAGTTTGAGGGTGGCATTGGGGAGCAGCCGGGGACGGGGAAGCGGCGCGGGAGGAAGAAAAAGTCGGTTATCGTCGGCTCGGGTGATGGAGTGGACTGGAACGCAACAGTCGACCAGCTTATGGAGCGGCAGAACGCGTTGGATCAGAACGCTCCTTGGTAACTTATATCGTTTATTGTATACGCACTGTAATCTGCCCATCGCACTTGCTTTACTCTTGCACAGCTTTGTGTACTAATACCATCACAATTTACCAGCTCATGACAGTGGAAGTCAGCACGAATCCTAGACTCGAGCCAGTCCCCGCTCCGCGGAAGCCGAGGGCAAAGCAAGCTGATACTTGCCCGATCAGAAGAGCGGAGCGGGGACTGGAAGATCTCGAGCACCTCTTGGACAGTCGAGCTTTTTCCCACGATTTTGTGCGACTTAGCGAAATTCAACGCGTCCTCGCAGGCAAACGACCCGCGTCGGACGCGTCGCCAGTCTCGATCTCTCTCTGTTCTCGTGCTCTGAGACCTTGAGAGCCTGCTAGTTACGACTCTGGCAAACTGATACATGGCACATCATGCATTTATTCTCTATAACATGGTGTACCGTTATACGTATATGCGCCCATGTCGCTGAACCTGAGTGCATGGCGCACGGTAACGCGACCAGCAACGACGACGATGTTCACAAGAAGGATCAGTGACAATGTGTGCAAGGGATGTATAAGGGCTGCGATAGCTGTTGGCCGTGATGCGAGAGGATGGCGGCTGGGTGCGGTGATCTTGATGATGTTGGCTGATGGATAGTCGCAATGCTGGATCTTGCATAGCCAGTCTGAAGAGAGCAGCGTCGTGGGAGAGTCCTATAGTGCAGCTTGGATATCACAGATCGGCGCCAAGCAGCCACGCCCCGCGACGCGCTGGAGGTACATGTTGCCACTAGTGGAGGTTGATCAGTACGATCGAGCGCGCAACTGAGACAGTGACACGCACTTTGAAGGCCTATGTAAAGACCCTATACACTCCCCGTATGCACGTACAGGCCCGCTGCGCCCGAGGAATCGGGAGAGCGGGATGTTGGTGCATCGCCAGACGCGCCTGCAGCTGACTGATGCTGACCCAGGCCTGCGCGAAGGTTGTTGCTCAGACATCGGCGTTCACGCGCCGTCGGTCGGTTGAGGCATCGAACGCCATCGTGCATCGCGCCGAGGGCATTTGGAAAGGTTTTGTGGCCAGCAGAGGGCAGAGGCGAGTGGTATGGGTAAAGTTGGTGCTGGAGCTCGTCGCGATTTTCGCTAAGTCGCATATATTCGTGGGAAAATTTGGACTGTACTAGCTACTAGGCGAGATCTTCCAGTCCCCGCTTCGCGGGCACCGCTTTTACTTCCAACTATCTTCGGCTTCCGGGCCCGGACACCGTAGGTGGCTTCCGCCGCCTGCCTTTCGTCTGCCTTCCGCCTTCCGCGAGCGGGACTGGTTCGAGTCTACACGAATCCTGGGTTGCAGAAAAAGAACAATGAGCGTGGCTTAATGAATTGTTGCGAGCACGTGACCACCGCATGTTGAGAACAATGGCGCGTCTGTCACAGTGTGACGTCTCGCGTCGCTCGCCGATCTTGCATTCTGCTGTCATCATCAGCTGCCATGTCAAAGCGCCCCATTTCGCCATCGTCGTCGTCGTCGCCGACGCGCAAGCGTCAGCGAATGGACAGCTCTACGCCGGCCGCGGAGGACGAAATGCGCCAGCCGCTACCCCCGGCCGTCCTGTTGCTGTCGATGCCCAAGCTACTCATTCAGCCCCCCTCGCATCCGCAGCACGAGCTATCCCTCTGCTTAAGCATCCTTGCTTTGCGGAAGTGTCTCAAGACTACCAACCTCAGCGCCGTCGACGAGTGTCGGTGCCATACCGGCATCGCGGAGATTGGGCTCATCGCGTTACGCGGCGGGTTCGCAGAGAAGGAAGATAGCTTGTGGGCAGAAGATCTGCTTGGGGACGTAGAGAGGTCCATCAGCCAAGGAGTACGTGCACAGACATGCCCTAAACGCGCCTTACTGACTTCCCCGTAGCTCGTCCTCGCTCAGAAGGTGCGATTGACCGCATATATGCGCGTCGAAATACTCATATTCCTCCAGCACCCAGCATTATACCTCTATACTCCCCACTTGACCCTACTCTCCTCTCAACTGGCCGAACAACAAGGCAACATGAAGTTTGCGCGCGCCGCACTAAACCGCATGATGAACAATACAACCTATCCCCGCTACCCGGCAGACGTCGTATATGCGGCCTATCTGGACAACATCTCATTTCTCATCGCCAACCCCTCACCCTCCAATGCTGCGCTCTCTCGCTCCGCCAGTCCCACGAAGACGCCGACGCGATCACGACCCGTCTCGCCATTGAAGCCGAAGGTGGACGAGAAGGCCCAGCAGGACACAAACCGGAGGCAGATCCTGCATATACTCGGTTCTTTGCGCACGCAGGCGCTGAACAACGCACATACACTCGTGGTCACACTTTGCGACCTTGTCAAATTGCGTCTGCTCATACGCTGGGGGCTGTGGGCGGAGGTTGGCGAAATGGTTCAGACGGTTGAGGAGGCGCTCAACCTGACCGGCTCGCATGCTGCTCCGGCTATTGGGAAGGAAAACGCACCTGGTTCACAAGCTGCCCCTACACCTGGAACGTCGGCGCCACTCCAGAACTCGAATCAACAGCCCGGCGCAGTCCCCGCTTTTCAGGACAAGCCGGCGGATTCCAAAGCCAATGCCGACGCGACAAACGCTACTCCCACCCTCGATGTGCCCTACCATATCGCTATGCTCCAAGCGCACGCGCTCATCCTCGCAATAACATATCACGTCTACACCGGCTCGATACCAAAAGATCATGTCACTCCTCGACTATCACGCCTACATGTGCTGCTGGACTCTGGACTCTTCGACATTCCGGATGAGAGGGTATCGGGGCTGGTCCAGGTGAGTACATTGCGCGGCTCTATCCTGAAGCCGACTGATCTTTCCTTCCAGTTGCCCTTGTCTGAGTGCGCCAACGCCCGACCGCTGCTGCTACGTCTAACGCCTCCTGCTATCATCACCAGCATGACCTATCTCATCTCTGCCGTCTCAAAACGCGACCCTGTTGGGCGCAACCCGAAGCGCGGCGTCTTCGCCCGTGAGGGTCTTCTTCACCTCGAGAATGAGCTGGCTCTGGGTACTGCGGCGCAGACAGGTAAGCCATCAGTCTTCGATGTGGAGAAAGGATAATATGCTAATCGCACCTAGTACCTGACTTCGCCAGCAAGGCCGAGCTGAGCGAAGCCCACGCGCGTGTGTCCAAGATTCAGGCGGACCTCATGCTGGAGGGGATAGCTGTACGTCGCTCGTGGACATCGCTTTCTCGTCGTACGCTAACATAATATACAGCTTGACATCTCGCGGTCCTCCTTCGCCCCTGCAAGACGTAGCTTGGACGCGCTTATAGCTCACCTACGGTCTCACGGCATTTGGGAGTGCTACGCTGCTCGCGTGACTCTTCTGGAGGGATACCTGGCCCACGGCGAGGCGGGGTGGATGTACACCCTGTTGCTCACGGACGAGGAGCTGGCGGAAGCAAGAGCCAAAGCAGAGGCTACGATGAAGTCCACCCCCAAAGCGAAGGGTCAAAGCAAAAACAAGAAGAAGCAGGACGCCAAAATCAAGGCAGGCAATTCCGCCGATCTCAGCAACGCCGCCAACCTCACCGAGGCTCGCCGTAAATGGGGTCGTGCGAGAGACTGCTACCGCGTAGCGGCCACCCTGGCGAAGGAGACCGGTGATAACTGGCTTTGTGCGGCGGCAAAGGCGGCGGGACTGGCGCTGCGGCTCGGTCTCGAGGCGATGGGCGAGCGCACGGAGAGATGGCGGCCGGGGAGTGAAGGCGAAGAGGATGTCGAGGCAGCAGACGAGGACGACATCGACAAGTTCGCACGCGCTATGGAGGACGCTCAGGTCGTCAAGGAGTGCCACGGCATGGGCGGCATCCTCAGCGCGGTGGGCCGCGTCCTGCAAGCCTCGCTGAATGTGCAGGAGGGGACGGCGACGTTGGGCGCGAAGTAAGTTCATCTGATTCATCGTGGAAGCATACAGAAAGCTGATCACCTCCGACAGAGCATCCCTCCGTTCCGCGCTCACGCTCACGACGAACGCGCAGGAGAACTACCTGCGCGCGCTCGTGCTAGCGATGTGCTCGAGCCACTACCTGCTCACCGCGGAAGAGCACGCGAGCGAGATGCTCGAGGCGTGCAGCAATATCGCGTGCGGGCTCGGCGTTGGGCCGAAGAAGGGTGTGCAGGCGCAGGGCTCGGCGTCATCGGCTCAGAGCCAGGGGATAGCGAAAGACGCGTCGTCCTCGTCGCTGACGCAAGACCCCGCTGCCCCAGCTGATGGGAACAAGCTCGGCAATGTGCCCCTGCGCTTGTGGTGCGGGGAGCGCAGGGCAGAGCTGTACGCGAGGAATGGGGACGAGGAGAACAGGGGAAAGGCGTTAGAGACGCAGCAGGCGATCGTACTGGCTGCGAGGACGAAGATGAGGGAGCAGAGCGCATGAAAGACCTTTGCTACATGGACGCCGGAGGAGTGGTCTCTAATCCAGATTGTTTGTTGACTCTTGCTCGCGGAGAACGATTCTTGCTAGTGCTACCGTGTGTTTATCTGCTATCGTCTAGCTGTGCGACGCTTTGTTTTGTAGTCGTTTTTCTTTCTTGTGGGCAAGGCCTATGTTATCGAATATGCACCTCATGCCCTCAACGATCTTGGACTCGAAGGTCGGAGGCGAGCGACTTTGAAAGTCGACTACTCAGGCCGGGTGGTTATCCAAGACGCTCGTCACAAGCGCGCCATGATCCATGTATCGTCTATAAACACGCCACAATCGCAACTAGTCCTCTTCCTCGCTCTCCTCCTCATCGTCGACCACACCAACGACGCCGTCCTGACCCTCCGCCCGCTCCTTGAGCTCGCGCCCTGCGGTCTTGAGCTTGCTCGCGAATGCCTTGCGCGCGCCGAAGTTTGCGCCGACGTCCCAGATTTGGAGCTTCGCCTTGGATCCGGCGGCGGCCAGGGTGAGCGGGTCGTCGGGCGAGAAATGGGTGGAGAAGACTTTGCCCTGGGGTAATGTTAGTAGGGGCATTGAGTGCGCTTGCGCGTGTATATGGGGACGTACCACTCCGAGGTCTCGAGAGGTGACGAGGCTGACGGTGCGCTTGCCATCTGCGTCGTCCTCGGTGACGTTCCACACCTTGACGAGCTTGTCGGTGCCGCCTGTGGCGAGGCAGCCCTTGATGTGTGGGTTGACATCGATGGAGGAGGCGGCGCCGTCGTGCGCGGCGAGGGTGAAGCGGGGTTGGACGATGGTGGAGGTGAGGTCGTTGGTGAGGGTGCGGGCGTCGTAGTTAAGGACGAGGCCGTTCTCGAGGGAGACCTGAAGGATGGTCAAATGATCATCAGTGCGGGACTGCGTGGAAGACTCACGTAGAAGCCGTAGGATTCCCAAGGGTCCCATCGTACTGCCTCGACATCGCTGCCAAGTACAGCGCCGACGCCGGCATCGGGTGCTCTTGAGTCGAATGTCCGTACGGTGCGGTCGTACGAGCCCGTTAACAACACACTTGGCTCCGCCGCATTCCACTGCACGGCCTGCACCTTGTCCTTGTGCAGGTCGAAGCTCCGTATCGCACCCCCCGACTCGCCATCCTCGCCCGCGTCCCCGATCGTCGGATCGCGGCTCAGATCCCACAGCTTCACCGTGCGGTCCGCGCTGGCACTCGCAAGCAGATTCCGCTGCGCACGGTTCCAGCTGAGGTCGAGCACGGCGTCGACGTGATACGCCTTCTCCTGCGCGCGGTGCTTCGTCTTCTTTTTCTTTTTCTTCCCCGTACCGAGGGGTGTTGGTATGTGCGCCTTTGTCTTGTCCGGGCGGCCGAGGATGCTCGCGGGATACATCGCCTCGAGCGTGTCGAGGTCCCAGATCTCGATCTCGGGGTCGAGCGTGCCGACGGCGATGTAGTTGCCCGAAGCGCTTTTGGGGGCGGTGGAGGAGGTGGGGGTGAAGTCGAGCCATTCGAGGCAGAGGGGGAAGTTGGGAAGCATGAGGTCGTGGTGGCAGTAGAGGTTCTCTTGCGAGTCGTCGTAGACGTAGACTTCGAGTTGGGAGATCTCGTCTTCGGTCTTGGCGACGACGATGAGGTTGTCGGTGGGGAGGACCTCGAGCTCTTCGCGTTCGTCATCGTCTTCGGCGTCCTGGGCATGATGAGTGGGGCAAGGGGGACAAGGGAAGTACCACGCACCTCCTTGAGGGTAATATATGGGTCGTCATTGTTATCCTTGTAGTATGTTAAGCCCTTGATGTTGCTGAAGGGACCAGATGCTGAGTTGTGTGAGCGATCGCAAAGTCTGGACGCATTCCGCACTCACATAGTGGTGTTGCCTCCTCATCATACTCGTCCAACTTGTACTGAGCAATGTCATCTGCCGGCTCGGGCGCTTTCGAGTCCACATCCATAGCATCCTCGGCATCTCCTTCGTCTTCGCTATACACATGTTACAGACTGTTCAACTGCACATCATGACCACGTACTCGACCCAGTTCTCCTCATCATCGTCCCCCGCGTCGTCGGCCTCCTCCCCCTCGGCCCCCTTGCCCATCATCTGCGCGGCTTCGTGCGCGCGCTCCAGCTCGGTGCGCGCATCCTCGAGCTCGATCCTCGCGAGTGCGCTCACGCGCTCGAGCTCCTTATCGTCGAGGACATATTTGGATGGATGTCGGGCGGCGATGCCGCGCCGGACCCAGGCGAGGGAAGAGATCAAGCTGCTCATCGCCGAGAACAATGAGCGCGATCGCGATCACAAAACTTTGGATTTTGTTTGCCGCTGTTTTTGAGGCCGCTGATGGCTGATCCAGGGAAATATCGAGCATCTCCATTTGGAAGGAATTTGAGCTTCGCGAGCCCTGACGAACCGATATTGTTCATATGGAAGAGAAGGAGAAAGTAATATTTCCACGAAGGAGGCACTCAGAGAAAATGAAGTCGCCGTATCGAAGGTTCCCCGGCATTGTGAAGTCTGGTTATTACGACTGAAGGAAGTCTGTGCTAGTGTTCTTCAGCAACATCAGCACCTTGCGCTTATATCTAGCTCAGATTGAAACCCAAGGATCAAACGATTGGTGTCGATGGTATTAGGATAAAGGAAGAGAGCGTAAGGTATACTGACGATTTATATGATGACCCCTCACAGCTTCTCGTAGACTGACACACGCGTGTCAGCATATGTACAAGAGCAAGAGAGGCGAAGCGTACCAGAACGCTGTCACACACCTAGCAAGTGAGGTCGTGCGAGTAGTCGACGACGACGAGGAAGCCCTCACCGGGCTCAGGCGTCTTCTCGACCCAAGAAAGCGCGGGGAAGTCGAAGTTACCCGATACGACATCGAACACGCCGTTCTGGTTCACTTTCTACTCGCGCCCGTCAGCACACCGCATCCGCATAACCGTGCCACCGCACACTCACCGAGTTACCGAGCTTCTGCTGGTCCGGGTGGACAAGATCGTCCGCCGCGTCCTTCTGGAACCAGCCGTCCTTGATCGCGCCCGCCGGCAGCTGCGCGTCCTCCTTGACAAACTGGAGCGTGTACTGCTTCGGGTTCGCGCCCTCGACAGGGATGAGCGCGCCGACGTGGTCCGCGTACGGGCACTCCATGCGCAGTTCGTCAAGGATGAGCGACGCGGAGAGCGTGGACGCGACGCCCGCAGCGGCGTTCTCGAGGATGACCGCGGACGACGCGACGTCGTGCACTGTCCAGTTACCCTGCTGGGCGATGGGGTCGTCGCCGATCCTGACGGACTTGACCTGGGTGGCGTCGACGAAGGCGACGGTGCTGAGAAGGGCGAGAACGGTGGCGAACATCTTCGAAGAATCCGAGTGAGACTGAGCTGAAGACGAGGCGAAGAGTGTGGGTGGATGCTGAAATGGGCTTTGAGGGCGACTTTATAAAGGCAGACCTATACGGCTTCTTATGTCCGGCCTGTGTTCGGATGGGTTTCTAGTGGGCACCTCGCTTGATAATTGGTCGTCCGGCCGGGCATCGTCCCTTTGGTGAACGAGCTTTCACGGCGTTGGCAGTCTCTGGTGTGCTTCAGCTTGCCGCCCAGGATGCGGTTACAATACAATTGTGTTTGTTCGCTGACCTAGAATCAAGGGACTCTCGCAGGGATGCACAGCGCGAACTGGGCGGCAAGCAGGCTGTAGCCTGTAGGACACAAGTTGAGAGGACAATCGTACAGCCATATTTAGACAGTACTTTGCCGGTCCGCTTGGCGTGTGCGTGCCCCGCAGGCGAAAATTCAGGAAAAAGTGGGGACATCTCAGCGTGTCGGCATTCTGCGTTGATGTGAGCAAAGGACTGTGTACGCTCCATGCAGCTCGTACAGTCAGTTTCGACTTCTCTTTGTGGACTAATTTCGAGGGCAGACATGCGAACATGCGAGGGCTTTGTCGACGCCTCCAATGGTGTGGGTTCGAAGTCGAGACCGGGAGATGCCGAGGCTCACGGCACGTTGCTTGCCTGTATCAGCAGCGTATGATCAGGAAAGACAGCGAGAGGTTCATATTGGCAGCGGCTAGCCTAGTAGTGTTATAGCTCGGAGGAACGCACCGAGTTCGCTGTGCTTATCAGTGCTCTACGTGCGCGCAGGTAAGACCTGCTGCGCGCGAAGAGACCTCCCGAGTTGCCTTCCAAACGTCCTCTGCCCATGCCTTCAGATACTCGCCATATTCCTGATCCTCCCACTCCTCGTCCGAGGCCCCTTCCCCACACTCCTGGGCCTCCTCGTCCACCCCCGCTTGCGCATCCCCCTTCTCGCACGCATGCATGTCTCCGCCATTCTCCCCTTGGCCCTCTGCGACGTCGCGACACGATGCAAAGTCGCTTGGTCTCAGGGCTGGCGATAGCGATAGCGGGGAGTGGCCAACGCCACCTGCGCTACTTGATGCTAGCCCGGTGTCGTTCGTCGAGGGGATGCTCTTGTCACAAAGGCCGTAGGTATCGTCCAGAGCACTCTGGCCGCCGCTCTCGTCATGACCAGAAGGTTCGCCAGAGCCACCTTGACCTTCCCGTGCATCGTCAATGGCTGTTCCAGGAGCACACTTCCATCCGAGCTAGGATCGACGGACATCCACGTGTCGTAGATATTCCAGATCATCCTCAACGCACCGGCCAGCGCTATATGGACGTGGAAAACTTCCACCACGCGATTCAGCGTTGGTCGTGTAGCCCCGTAGATGCTCTCTAGCTTTTTGCCTGTGTCGTAGATGACGAAATGGTAGGGAATGGGAAGAATGATTGCCGGTAAATCTTGGATAGCTGGGGCTTTTGCGAAAGGATGGCCAGTCAGTGACACCTGCGCCTGGGGGGCGGACTCCGAGACGGGGGGAGCAAGCCCGTGGATAGACTCTGACTGCCTCGTGAAGGGGAGTGGGAGGAGACGATACTTGAAGTCCACGACATTGCTCTCACGGTAAAGCTAGGGTCGTGAGTTACCATAATAGCAAGCTGATCGAGCAGACAAGGCATACCTCGTTCGGATCGCAGCGCACGTTAGGATTTGAAACTGGGGGTGACAATATATCGCTGTCCAAATAGCGGAGATACATGTCAAGGAGGAGGTCCGGGTCGTCGGGACACAAGAGCCACCTGCTACACTTGCTGCAGTCGGTTTGATTGAGGTAGCGGCTGATGACTGTATTCACTACTCAAAACATAAGGCATGCAAGGCCATCCAAGAAAGCAAGATACTCACGAGGATGCTCGTTCTTCTGTATGTCGAGGTTGACCTTGAGAGATCCCCTGTCCTTGTTCCATGCCCAAGCCAGCTTGTCCAACTGCGACACATCCCGGTGAGCTAAGTACCATGAGGTGCGGTAGATCACCTTACAACTGAGCATGGTGTATCAGGTTCCAGATATAAGGTTGACGCGTCTGGGCAAGCTAGCGTCACAGCGCAGGTCGGGGTAGTTGCCTCGATCGGCAGCACTCGGATCTGCCTGAGAGCATCGTCGACCCGTCTACGCACGGCCGTTGAGACCGAAGATGTTTCCGACGAGATCTTTCTGCGGCGTTTTCTACGCCGAAGTTGCGACCGTGCGGGTCGCTTGCTGCGAGGTGTAGACGCGTTTCCCGAACGTTGTGGTTCGCCCTGTACATCTTCTTCCGAATCAACATCCTCGACATACCACCCTTTTCGGAGAGGGGGAGTACAGGAGCGAGGACTGCGCGCTGCTGTGGACATTTGTCGCGTCGTAGTCATGGTCCAGGTACAAGAGAGGTGGCGCCCTTGTTTACTATCATTTGGGCCGCGGAGCTGAGAAGATATCGAGTGACTCCATTTGGAAAAGTCCCACGGGCAAGCGCTCAGGAAGCGACATACGATGAGAAAAAATGTGGTATTTGACTATGCTACAGGTATATTTCAATCCATCCCAGAGTCCATAAACACGAACAGTGCCAACAAAAACCAATTGCGCCCATGAGGCCCTCAGTTGACGGTGATCTTCTTGGGTGCCGCCTGAGGAGAAGTCTTCGGGAATGTCACGGTGAGAACACCGTTCTCCATCGTCGCCTTCACTTCCTCCTCCTAAAGATCTTGTCAGTACACTGCTCAACAAACGCCAACTACAACGCCGTTACTCACCTTCACACCCTGCGGGAGCTGCAGCGTGCGCGACCACTTGCCGTAGCGGCGCTCGCGCACTGCGTAGCCATTCTCTTCGCGCTCCTCATCGGCCTTCGTCTCCGCGCCGACGGTGAGGCGCCCGTTGTGGAAGTCGATCTGCACGTCCTCCTTCTTGACGCCTGGGAGCTCGAACGTGGCGGTCACGACGTTCTTCTCGGCGTCTTCGTGGAGGTCCATCCTGCAGAGGTGGTCAGTTGGCCTGTCAAAAAAAGGTAGAAAAGCGCGCTCGAAGCTTACCTAGGCTTGAGGGCGCGCGGCGCATCGTTGGTATTGCCCTCGCCGATGCGGCGCTGTGCGTTGTCCGCGCCTCGGGGGCCAAAGGCCTCGCTGAGGAAGCGGTCGATGTCGTAGAAGGGCTCGTAGTAGAAGACAGACATCGTAGTAGGTCGAGAGATATGAGAGAACTGTTGCTCGAGTACTGGTGAGTGGCTGTTTGTCTGAATTTCTGAGGAGACAGGCGCCCAGCCTTTATACTTGGGGGAGGGCTTCGAGAACGTTCAGAGTGGTTAGAGTGAGATTATCGGTGAACGTGTGTCGGATCCTAGAGAGCTTTCTACGAGGTTCGCGAGGATGAGGCCTCCCAAGGTAGTGAAGAGCCTTCGAACGAAACGGCGTTGCCAGAATATTCCAGAAACTTTCTGCAGGACAGCGCGCTTGGGGTGCCAACCAAAACGAGTGACGCACCGATCGAGGGAAAGCTTAATTGCTTCTCATCCGGACTGATTTGACTGCGAGGCTTGGAGCGATACAAGGGGGCTGCGGAGAGGCTCTGAGGATAGGATTGTGTTTGTCACAATCACACACGTGACAGGTCACAGTTGAACTCGACATCGTCAAGACCCCATTCAGCCAAATTCAAGCACATACAAAGCGAGGTAAGCCCAAGAAATCCTACTATACATGCGATATCTTGCGTTTCTTCGCAGGCTTGTCTTTTTTATCCCCTGATTTCGACTTCGCGATCGCTGCCGCGGCGCGCTTCGTAACGCTCATTGGCGATTTCTTCTGCGAGTCCGTCGAGTCCTTTGAGGATTTCTTGGGCGAGTCTTTCGAAGTCTTGCCATTTGAGGCCCTCGGCGTCGCTCCCTGCGTCTCCTTCAGCAACTCCTTCTCCGTCGCTTGCCCCGCAGGAGCGCTCGACTCTCCCGACCCCCCTGCAGCACGGGCAGCGGCTCGTCTCTCTATTCGTCTTTGGCGAGACGCAGAGATGCGCTTCTTCTTCGAAGATGATGACTTCACGTCTGCGCTGACATCGCTCGTCTTTGCCGCCTTCTTAGCTTTCTCTGCGTCGTCCGCGCCGTCCGCGCCAGCTAGCTTTCCCCTCGCAGCCTTGGCCTGCTTCCTGGCTCGCGCCTCGGCTCGTCTCTGTCTGAATCGCTCGCGCTTATCGGCCTGACAAGAACGTCCGTGATCAGGATGAAGAGCTCAAAGGTGATGGGGGAAACATACCTTCTTGCTGGTTCCCGGAGTCGCTGTAGCCTGCTCTTTCTCCTCGTCGACTTTGTCGAGAATGTCAAAAGCATCGGTGGTCGGGTCGGGCTCATGTGTTTCGACGTAGGCGGCGAGGCGGGCCATGCGTCGGGTATGGGGCTGGGTGAAAGAGGGTGGGTAAGGAAGAGGCTAGCATGGAGGGTCGACGGCTATGCGTACCTGCGACTCAAGATGTTGGTCGATGAACTCTTTTGTACGCAGCATTTTCCCAGGGCATACGACACAAGTGAAATGCCCGCCTTTATCCGGGAGCTGGACGATGGGGGACGAGGACATGAGTTCGCCGATGGTGAAGACCTCTGCGGGGTCGGCGGGTGAGTCCCCTTCGTCTGCGTCGGACGCATCGTCTCCCTCGGGGTCTTCATCTTCATCTTCATCTTCAGCGTTATCCCCCTCGAGCCCCTCGTCCGCGTCCTCCTCTACCTCATCGTTTGAGTGATCGGAATCAGAGTCGGATTCAGACTCGTCAGAGTCCGTGTCGAGACCGCCCATGCCGAGAGCCTCCTTCATCTCTTCGTCTAGCCCGAGCTCCTCCTCCTCCTCTCTCCGTTTCCGCTTGCGCTCCACGCGTTTGAACATGTTGAGAAGGTCGAGAGGGTCGGGGGAAGAAACAAGCAGATGATCGGTGCCCGGCCCGCGCGCGGCGGAAATTTCAGATGTCGCGTTCGCCGACGCGAACCTGCTTCTTGCGCTCATCAGCTCCTGGCCGCTCTACTCGGCCGTACACTCTTCTAGACGACGGGGGGAGGGCTTGACTGCCTTCCACAAGAGCGCTCTCAGAATGCGGAGGATCACACGCACGGCCTTCTCGCTGCCCAGCACGGCGCGATCGTACGCGTCCGCGGCAGGTAAGTCCGGCGAGGCGGGGTCTTCCAAAGCTCCTGCCAGGCAGAAGGAAACTTCCATGGCGAGGAATATACGCCGGAAGTACAAGAAGAAGCCGCGGATAATCGAAGACGAGCGCCATGCGCGGGGTCTATACGGCGCGTCTATGCGCCTCGTCGACCGCTCGTTGGAGAACCATAAACGCAAGCCTATTCCGCGCGACCCCCGTGATGAGGCAGAGCGGCTGAAGGCTATGCTTGCGACTGCGGGCGGGCGCGCCCCGTCCCTGGACAAGATGGAGTTTGACCAGGCGGCGAAGGAGCAGCTCACGTTCGCAGCCGAGGACAACGAGATGTCAGAGGAGCGGATCTCCCTTGGGTCCTTTCTTGAGCTTCGTGGATAGTGAGTGCCATCTTGACCTCACAGATAATCTATTGACTATGTATAGTGGAACAAGTTCGATGCATGCCGTCGCCCTCCGTAACATGCCCATCAATAACCAGGCTGGCTTCGAGGTCTTCACGTCTACCGGCGAGCTTTGGAAAGTCACGACCGATAACATCTTATACCACATCCCCCAATTCGTTCCCCTCGATGTAATCGCACGCTGCGGTACGGAATTCACGGCACAGAACAACCATGAACTCGCCGCGCGCACGAGGATCCTCCTCAAGCTCCGTGAGATGGACCGCGACATTGAGGAGCGGCGCGCGCAGTTCACCCACCCCCCAGAGGCCGTGTACGAGCACTTCCGCCATCTGGACGACAATCAGTGGAGCACGGTATCCCCCCAAGAGGTCGCAGAGGCCTTCGCTGTCAAGAATCGCGAGCCTACGACAGTTGACATTCTCGCTGCCCACAAGTTCATGTACGAGCACAACCTGTACTTCGTGCGGCAGTTCAGCTTCATGTCGGAGGCCTCCTACGACGTCCGGCCGAAGGCCCATGTCGACCTGCTCTCCACTGTCTTGTCTTGGGCGCGCCCGAAGGCAGGGGAGAAGGACCAGCGGCACATTCTTCAAGCGTTCGCCGAGAAGGCCGCGGAGGTCGTGCAGAAGCAGGAACAACTTACTGCGGAGACGCGCGACGAGCCGCTGAAGCGCGTGCCCGCCGAGCACCACTGGACGCCGAACGAGCTCATCATCCTGCGCACCCTGCTGAATGCGGTCGACGTCACGCGCGAGAACTCGGCGTACGACGCGGTGATGTGGTACGTCGTGGGCAAGGTGTTCCCGCGCGAGATACGCGTGAGCGACGACACGCTCATGCAGACGATCCGCGCGCTGGGCGTGCTGAGCCCGTCGCTCAACCCCGCGCTGCTGGCGCCGAGCCTGCGGCTGCCGCTCAACCCGGAGGCGCGGGAGGCGGCGGTGCAGAAGGACGACGCGTTGGTCGAACGTGCGGTGAAGCGCACGCCCGTACAGACGCCCCTGGGACCGGAGGACTTCCATGCCGTCGATCCTTTAGAGGCGGTGCGGCACGACTGGGGCGATATGCCGGTATATGTCGTCGACGACGTGGGCGCGCACGAACTCGATGACGGTATCTCCGTCGAGCGCGATGGAGAGGACGTCTGGGTCCATGTCCACATTGCGGACCCGGCGTCGGTGATCCCGCCGGGGCACGTCTTCGCTCAGCGCGCAGCAGAGCGAATAGAAACATTATATCTGAGCGACCGCATCTACCCTCTGTTGCCAACTTCGCTGGTCCAGCACCCCGTTATTGGCTCGTCATTAGGAGGCGACAGGGGGCGGCCCGACCGCGTGTTGACCTTCAGTACGAAGCTTGACGCAGACGGAAACCTCAAGGACTATGCTGTCCGCGCCGGTCTAGCTAGCAACGTGAAGAAAATGACATACGACGCCGTCGACGCTGCCCTCGGCCTGCCGCGCAATCTACCAGCTTTCCCGTTCGGCGCACCTTCGACTTTGCCACCGATTCCATCAGCCAACCTCGACGCTGCCGACCTCGAGAACTTCAGGACGTTACATGCCATGGCGAAGCGCTGCATACAGCGGCGATGCGACGAGGGTATCTTCCTCAACAAGGAGTACAAAGCTTCCCCGTGGCACATCGACCCTGGGACCGACAAGGATATCTACTTCGAGCCTGGAGCGTTCCGCGGTGCGCAGCGTGTCGAGCTTGCAGTCAGAGACGTCAAGCAAGAATCGGCAGGCGCACGCGGCATCATCGCTGAGGCCATGAAGCTCGCCGGGCGCGCTGCCTCGCTGTACGGTCTCCACAACGACCTCCCGCTCATCCGGCGCTCAGCTTCTGCCCCCATCCCCCGCACGGATGCCGACCTCGAAGCGCTGCTCGACCTGCGCGACGACGAGGGCTTCGTCGAATGGCACGAAGTGATGGGCCGGCTGGAGATGCCCAGTTCTGGCGCGTTCACGCTGCAGCCGAGCGCGCACTTCACGCTCGGCGTGCCCGAGGGCGAGGGCTACGTGCGCGTGACGAGCCCACTGCGCCGGCACGCGGACCTGCTCGCGCACTACAACATCCACCATCGGCTCTCGGGCGCAGAGGGCCCCGTGCCATTCGACACGCGCACGCTCGACGAGTACATGCACACGCTGCGCCGGAAGACACGGTTCAAGCGGCGCATCGAGGCATCGGAGAATTCCTTCTGGTCGACGATCTTCATCAAGCGGTTCGTCGAGGACTTGCGGCTGGGGAAGGCGGATGGGAGCCTGTTGCGCAACTTGGATGCGTACGTGAACATGAACTTTGGGCTGGACGGGAGGATGATGGAGTTCCGGCTGGATTCCTACGTGCCCCAGCTGGGGCTGCGAATACGGGCTTTCAAGGACGACCAGGGGTTGGCTACTGTTCCTGTGGGCCATCGTGTACAGCTCGCCGTCACTGGCGCAAGCTTGGGTCTTCCCTCCTACGTGTATGGCCAGGTAGACAAGTATTGAGCGATAATTGCTTTCCCCACACCACTACTCACGATATTACCATACGCACTGTACACTACGCACAATCTCGCTACTTACGCATGATACGACGCGCTCCATTGGGTCTGGGCAGCTGTAGAAACCATCTTTGAACGCCATTCCTGCAGAAATCGGGCCAGGATAATTGGCGAGGCGCGTCTGGCCGACGCGGTTATCCTGAGGCGCGCGCGCCACGTGATGGAAAATGTCGAACCATGGCACGATCAGAATTCCTTCAAATAGAGCGACGTCCATTTGCCCAATTCCCAAGCTCCTGAGCTCGACTTGTCTCCGACGACGTCTGCGGCGACAATGACCTCCAACTATACGGTGCCCAGCACCGACGCCTGGGCGGGCTACTTTGCGGAGGCGGGGAACACGATCTCGAAGAACCCCACATACCTCCTGCTGGCCTTGGGCTCCTTCCCCCTCGTTGCCATCGTCTTGAACGTGTTGAACCAGCTTGTGAGTAGCGTCGTGGCTTGTCGTGCGCTAGTGCTGACAGAGAGCGCAGCTGCCCAAGGACAAGACGCGTCCGCCGGTCGTCTTCCACTGGCTACCATGGGTCGGCTCTGCGATCCACTACGGCATGAACCCCCTCGACTTCTTCTTCCAGTGCAGGGAGAAGGTGCGTGGCACGGTGCACTCGCGCGTGCATGGTCTAATAACCTCCCTCAGTACGGCAACGTCTTCACCTTCGTTCTCTTCGGCCGCAACGTCACGGTGGCGCTGGGCCCTGCGGGCAACAACTTTATCCTCGGCGGCAAGGGCCATGTCTTCAACGCTGAGGACGCGTACACGGTGCGTACAGACGTCTCTCCCCCTTGACCTGGCATTGAACTGTCGGCCAGCACTTCACGACCCCCGTCTTCGGCAAGGACGTCGTGTACGACTGCCCGAACGACAAGTTCATGGAGCAAAAGAAATTCATCAAGTACTCCCTCACTGGCGATCGCTTCCGCGAATACGTGCACATGATCACCGAGGAGACGGAGAACTTCCTCAAGAAGGACGAGACGTTCGCGACGTACCAGAACAACTCGAAGGAGTGGGCCAAGTTCGACGCCGTCGAGACGCTTTCGCAGATCACCATCCTCACCGCCGCGCGCACGCTCCAGGGCAAGGAGGTCCGCGACAACCTCGACAAGACGTTCGCGCAGCTGTATGCCGACCTCGACGGCGGCTTCAAGCCGATCAACTTTTTGTTCCCGAACCTGCCCCTCGCGAGCTACCGCCGCCGCGACCGCGCGCACAAGAAGATCTCCGAGTTTTACATCGACATTATGCAGAAGCGCAAGCGCGGCGAGGCCGAGGACGTCGACGATGTCATGGGCTACCTCATGAAGCAAAAGTACCGCAATGGCAAGGAGATCCCCGAGCACGAAGTCGCGCACATGCTCATCGCGCTGCTCATGGCCGGCCAGCACACCAGCTCCGCTACCGGGTCGTGGGCGATCCTCCACATTGCTGAGAACCCCGACGTTGTGTGAGTGGCGGCGCCGATTCCTTCGCGAATATCCCGCACTAATCGACTCCCCCCAGTGAGCGCATGTACGCCGAGCAGGTCAAGCACTTTGGCAACCCCGACGGCACGTTCCGCGAAATGTCCTTCGAGGAGATGCGCGAGCTCCCGATCCTCGACTCCGTCATCCGCGAGACCCTCCGCATGCACCCGCCCATCCACTCCATCATGCGCGGCGTCCGCGACGACGCGCCCGTCCCGACCTCCCTCGCCGCGCCGGACAAGGAGGGCGGCGTGTACATCATTCCCAAGGGCTACTGGACGCTCGCCTCGCCGATCATGTCGCAGATGGACCCGTCGATCTGGGTGCACCCCGAGCGCTTCGAGCTCGCGCGCTGGACGGACCCGGAGGGCTTCGCGAAGCAGGCGCTCAGGACGTACGACGACAAGGACGGGGAGAAGATCGACTTTGGGTTCGGGCTGGTGAGCAAGGGCACTGAGTCGCCGTACCAGCCGTTCGGCGCGGGCAGGCATCGGTGCATCGGCGAGCAGTTTGCGTACCTCCAGCTCGGTGTCGTCCTCGCGACGCTCGTGCGCCACCTGGAGATGAAGCTCGGCGCGCCGTTCCCGGGCAATGACTACACGGTACGTTTAATCACTTTCACGAGGCTACGTGCTCATCACGCTCTCAGACGATGATCACGATGCCGCTGAAGCCCCGGGACATCTACTTCCGCCGGAGGTCGACTGTTGCGTAGATATACAGAGGAGTGTTATCGGTTTGGGTGAGATGCAACTTTACTAGAAGGTCTACATTAATACGGAAGGAATAAAAGCTCCTTTGCCAATCAATACCTGCCCCAAAGCTTGTCAACAGCATAGTTCGCGATGGGCCTGGTGCCCTCGATATTTGCGCTCTTGCAGTCGTGCTCGACGCCATCTAAGCTCTCGGCCGCTACACGCGGCGTACGAAAGCCGTGCAGCGTGGGGTCCATCGAACGTGACCGCGTCTGCAATGATAGGACTGTGATGGCGGAACTTGTATACGGTCCGAGGCGCATGGCGAGATGGACCAGCACGTCATGGCGATCCCGATGGCCGCGCATGCCTCAGTGAGTGGAAGTTCGCCCGCGTCTTGAGAACGTCGGGAGAACCGGACAACGCTCACAATGACCACGGCCTCATCCCCGTGTCCGCCCCCTTCTCCGACGCACCACCCGCGCCATGCCCCTTCCTATACGTCTCCAGGCGACTATACGTACTCTCAACGGACCGTCGCGCATTCGGTCCGGGACCACATCCTATGACCCATGACCCTCATGACATATTCTCCCCAGGTCGAGGGATCCCTTGGCCCGGTCTCCCGCCCGCGCACGCATGATCTGGACGTACCTCACCGTGCTGGTATAAAACGGCGCGCGGGGATTTGTCGCGCTGCGCTTTCTGCCCACCCTCCCGGACGCGCCTGGCCCTCTCTCCACTATGCGCGTGCTGCATCTGACGCGCCTGCTCCCCTTCGCGGGTATGCTTCCCCTCGCGGACGCGCGCGCGTCGTTCTACGCGCCGCACGAGAAGCGCGAAACTCAGCTTCACGCGCGACAGAGTCCGGTTGATCATGGTGGCGAGTATGTACCGTCGCCGGGGTCAAGTGCGTACTTCCCTGCTTGTACTGAACGAGGCAGGATGCTCACCATGAACAGTCGGGTTCTACCATGGCGAGAGCAATGCGTCGGTCACCTTTGACCAGCATTCGGTGTTCTTGGGTGACAAGGTGAGGTCGTTGAATAGAGAACTTAGGAAGAAGCTCATTGCGCAATGCACAGCGCGTCATGCTCTTCTCTGGCGAGTTCCACCCTTTCCGTCTCCCTGTGCCGGAGCTATGGGTAGACGTGCTGCAGAAGTGCGTAGTCTCGCTGAACTTGCCCTGGTACGTGGCTAACCCATTTTGTAGGTTCAAGGCAGCGGGTCTCAATACCGTCTCAGTGTACTGTGAGTCGACCAGCGCTTTGCTTAACATGTGGAATGCGTGATGTTGAGGCTCGTGTCAGGGCACTGGGGATTGGTCTCTCCCAACGCTGACACTGTCCGCTTCACGGAGCACAACGACTTGGCCAAGTTTCTGGACATAGCGAAGGAGGTTGGCGTGCTTGTCGTCCTTCGTCCTGGCCCGTACATCAATGCTGAGTCTGCTGGAGGTGAGAGAGCACATGCCGATATCTTCGAGACCTAGTTGAGCGCGGTTTGCAGGTGGCATCCCCAGCTGGACGACGAACATTCCCGACCTTGCGCGGACCAATGCGACGGGCTACCGAGATGCTTGGTATCCCTAGTAGGTGTCGACCTTCACCTCGCCTTCCTGTCGACTGAACCGTTGACAGCATCTCCGAGTTCGCGAGCATCGCAGCTCCGTATCAGGTGCGTCAGCAAGGCCTCAACAGTCGTCCATCACGCTCATACTCTTTCCTCAGTATCCTGACGGCCCCGTTGTCGGTACGCGACCACTCTCGCATCCATAACCGGCCTATACTCATCCTTCCCCTAGCCATCCAGAGCGAGAACGAGTACTACACCGACGAGGGCCTCGGGATCCCCGGCCTCAGCGCGCACATGCAGGACCTCCAGAACGTCTTCCGCGAGTCCGGCCTCCACCAGGTGCCCACCATCCACAACGACAAGAACGCGGGCGGCCAGTTCGCCAAGGCCGGCCCGGGCAAGGTCGACCTGTACGGCTGGGACGGGTACCCACTGGGCTTCGACTGCGATAAGCCGGAGGTGTGGCTAGAGCTTTCTGGGAGTGAGTGGTGCTGGCGATCTTGTTTGTGGGGCTTTGCTGAAGCTTGGGTCCTCAGAAACGGACGCGAACCACCAGTCGCTGAACCCGGCTGAGCCGCTTGCGTTGTTTGAGTGGCAAGGTGTGTAGCGGTCCGAATGCTTAAGCGACTTGATGCTTACATGTATCGCAGGTGGCGCATTCTCCTACTGGTCAGGCCCCGGGTACGATCAGTGCTACCAGCTCATTAATGAGCAGTTCGCCAATGTTAGCAGGCTTATTCCTTCCTCGAAGCATAGTGGCTCACGCACAACAGGTCTTCTACAAAGACAATTACGCGGCTGGCACGGCCATTCAGAACTTGTACATGACTTACGGTCAGCATCTCTTTTCCACCGTCGAAGCTTTAGCGGCTGAATAAGCGCATGTGCAGGCGGCACGAACTGGGGCAACATGCACACCCATACGATCTACTCAAGTTACGAGTGAGTAGTACCAGCCTTTCATTCGCACACGTCGCTGACTTCACCTTTTTCAGCTACGGTGCTGTACGTGACCGTCTTCTAGGTATCAATACACAGCTCTAATCCTTCGTAGGCCATAGCTGAGGACCGCACGCTTACGCCCAAATACTCCGAGCTGAAGATGCAGGGCTACTTCCTGCACTCTTCGCCTGACTACCTCGTGGCTGTCCGCATCGGCAACGGCACGACGACCAACGGCACCGCCTACAGCGACTCCCCCGATATCTTCACCACGCACCTCAACTCCCCCGAGACGAACGCGAACTTCTACTTCGTGCGCCAGGTCACGAACGCGAAGACGAACGACACCGACTTTACGCTGCGAGTGAACACGACGCTCGAGGGCGAGATTACGATCCCGAAGAACGGGACCTCGACCTTGGCGGGAAGGGAATCGAAGATCCTGGTGACGAACTATCCATTCGGAGTCAGCAAGGTGGAGTATTCGACAGCGGAGGTCTTGACGTGGCTTACCTTGGACGATGTGCGTGACACTAAGTTCATTTCGAGCGCCTTGCTCATGCTTCGCAGACCGACATCCTTGTCACGTATGCCCTTCCGGGCCAGTACGTTGAAATCGCCGTTGAGACCAACTCCACCGATACCGTCAACGTCGCCGGCTCCGATTCCATCTCCGCATCCCCTGCGAACGGCACCGTGCTCATCTCCGGCAGCCCGAGTGGCGTCTCCGTCATTAGCTTTGGAAACACCACCGTCCTCGTCGTCGACAAGTACACCGCGAGGGGCTTCTGGGCGCCCCGGCTGAACGCTGCCGCAAACAGTACCGACGTGTACGACCAGTCGCCGGACATCCCCGCCGTCCTCGTCGCGGGGCCTTACCTCGTGCGCTCCGCCGCCATCGACGGGAGCACGCTCGCCCTCACGGGCGACCTCAACGCGACGACGCCGCTCCAAGTGTGGGCCCCGAGCTCGGTCGACACGCTGACCTGGAACGGCGAGCCCGTCGAGGCGTCGAAGTCCGATGAGACGGGTGCGCTTGAGGCCTCGTTGGCGCTTCCTGTGTCGCTGGAGAACATCGAAATTCCGGTCCTGCAAGACCTCGAGTGGGTGTGCGCGGACTCGCTCCCGGAGCTGGCGGACGACTACGACGATAGTGCGTGGACGACTGCGAACAAGACGGAGACGGCGCGCCCGCAGCAGCCGTTCTCGGGCGAGAATGTCTTGTATGGTGCTGAGTGAGTGGTATGCTTGTCTTCGTAGGTTGACTTGCTAAGTCGTCGCAGGTATGGCTACCACGCTGGTGACTGGGTCTGGCGCGGGCACTTCTCCGGCAATGCGACTGGTGTTGAACTCGAGGTTCAATGGTGAGTCCGAAGACTTCAGTCTATGATACAGTTCCTTAATATGCCCGTCAGCGGCTACTCTTGCGCATTCACCGCCTTCGTCAACTCGCACTTCCTCGGCTCCGCGCAGGGCACCTCGCACAGCCAGCAAGGTGTTGACATCCTGAACCAAACCTTCACGTTCAGCGCAGATCAGCTGCGCGATGGTGACAATGGTGAGGCCCTGCCGCTACTATGCTTGGCTTGCTAACTCACGTCTCGTCAGTCCTCACCGTCATCCACGACTCCACAGGAATGAACCAGGACTACGACATCGACGATGAGCACAAGTCTCCGCGCGGCATCCGCGGGTACAAGCTTCTTTCTTCGGATAACTCTACTCAGTTCACGGAGTGGAAGGTCGCTGGAAGTAAGTGCGCGACACATCGTGAGGGGAATTCTTTAGTTGACCACTGTCTGCAGACATCGGCGGTGAAAACGCCCCTGACTATGTTCGCGGCCCTTACAACGAGGGTGGATGGTGGTTCGAACGTGTTGGTACGTGACCTGTGCAGCTCGATGGCGGTAACGATGTCTAAACACTTACAGGTGCCCACCTCCCCGGCTACGATGCCTCGTCCTGGAAGCAGTCGTGCTCGCCATACGAGGGGTCATCGTCCGCCGGCGTGACAGCGTACCGCACGACCTTTGACCTCAACCTTCCCAAAGATGCCGACATCCCTCTTGCCTTCGACTTCTCCCTGGACTCCCAGAATCCGTACCGCACTCTGATCTTCGTCAACGGCTGGCAGTTCGGCAGGTTAGTTGCCTGTGTCTATGTTCTGGTGAAGCGAGCTGAGCGTTGTGCTCTTATAGGTTCCTGTCCTCCCTAGGCCCTCAGGAGAGCTACCCGATCCCCGAAGGCATCCTGAACCACCGCGGCACGAATGAAATTCTACTCACTCTGTGGGCTACCAGTGAGTTCAGCCCCGCCCAACCGCTTTGTCAACAAGCTCATGCTTTCTGCAGACTCAACTGGTGCAAAGTTCTCCAAGCTGGAACTCAACCCGCGAGCCACGCTTGCTTCCAGCAAGCAGACAACGCTCGACATTGTGGCAGCCCCGGATTGGAACGAGCTGCGCGGCAACGCAACTGTGTTTTGAATCGCGAAGTAGTAATGAAAGGACAGCTTGTAAGGTTCTCACTTGCTCTGTAGTAGTATAAGTAGGGAAATCGAATGATCTGATACGACAGTCGTTTGACGATGGGATCGACTTTGAGGAATGATGCCTGGCCGGCAGTTGCCGTAAACCAACGAGCGTGTCCGGGAGAAGCCGTTCCTCCTGGCAGCGTCCCTTTATCTTGAACTTCCATCTCCTCCAATTGCCCTGCGATGTTCTCAAGCAATCAAGTGTACTCAATGTGACGCTCGAAGGCATGTTTGTGCGAGGAAGATATCTCTGGTAAGCATAGATACTGTCAATGTCGGCAGCCTGTCGTGTGCTCTTTCACGAAACCATACTTCCTCGTGAAAGCGAGCAGTCATAAGAAGTTCTTCTTGCAGGTTGCCTGCAGTTCCTGGGTTCTCATTGACGGGAAGTACTTGCGCGCGCGTGGCGATGTTCCTTTGTCCGAGGTCTACTGACCCATCGCTGGTCTTTGTATTCAGCCGCTCCTTTGTCCTTTGCGCCGCCACCTGCTGGATGCACGCGGCATCTAAAACAAAAGGCTACTATGTATATAACGAGGCCGGCCACTCCCTTTGAGATTCTGATCCCCCGTACTTCCCGCTACCAACGACTATGGCCCCGCCGCCTCTTCCTCCCCCACGTCCCGTCGAGGAGTTGCCGGTCGTTGCCCAGGATGCGTCTCACCTGCGCTTCACCGTGCCCAAGATCATCTTCCGCAAGCAGCCTGGTCCGGACTGGCCTCGCAACCACCACATGTGCTCCGCCGCTCACTGCTACTACCCCAACTCGCCGAAGCCTGTTCCGGGGAAGTACGACTGCCTCGGCCAATCCTGGTGCGGAGGCCGGTGTCGCGGGACGTACACGGTTTCCCTCGAGGAAGCCCAGGCGAACGACGCCTACTACCAGCAGCTGCAGGCGATGGATGAGTGGCGCGCGAAGCAGAAGCCGCCGCCGAAGGACCCGTACGAGCGGGACTCCGTGGTGCGCGAGAAGGTGTTCGTCAACGCGCGGGCGCGTACCGTGGAAGGGCAGACGCAACTGAGCCACAAGGAGTCCACCATACTGGTGCGCCAGCGACAAGAGTGGGAGCGGCTGCAGCAGGAGGCGGAGGAGGTCGCCCGGATGCGTCTGGAGAGGGGCGGCTGCTGCCTGCCCGGGCTGACAGAGATGGCGCAGGCGATCATCCGGCCTTTGTCCCCCTCATCGCTGCGCTCACGATCGCGCTCGCGGAAACGCAGTGATCAGAAGGCCGCACTTACTTCTCAACCGCCCCCAGTACCCAATACGACCTTGCCCGCGCGCACGTCCAGCCTCATCCCATCGCCACCCTCCGGAAGACTTCCCGCTATCCCCAGTGTCAATTCTGGTTCCATCTCCGTACCTCTCGCCAGCCATCATTCGTCCATCGGTCGTAGCACCCGTACTGCTCGTGCCGCCAGCGCTCGGCATCCTCTCCCCGAGGGCTCCCTCCGCGGCCCTCTTGAGCCCTTGCCCAGAGCCACCAGTCCAAACTCTTTCAGCACCATGCCCATTGCAGGTACACCCCGCGAGCGCCCCAGAAGTCCATCCTCCCACACCATGCACGCCACGCTGCCTCTCGCGCGCTCTCCTCGTACGCCGCCGCGCGCGACGACCTCGCATCCTATTCACTCTGCCGTCCGGTCAACTAGCCCAGTCACTCCGCCGCCTCGTCGGTCCAGCCAGTCCACGAGCCCGACTTCCTACTCCACGGATGGTACCGCCTACTCAGCTTACGCAGGCACCCACTCGACGCGCGCGACGACCCCATCCCCGACCCCACCCCGCATGGGTCAGTCGTTCGCGGGCGCGCTCAAGGACGTGCGGCCTCCTCCCTCACAGGACCGTCGCTCGTCGATGTCCAGCAGCTCGCACGCGGGAACGATGCCGGAGTCCTTCTACGTATCGGTGCCGCCGTCGTCGCTGCGCAAGTCGCACAAGTCGCTCCTTAGGAAGTCGCACAGATCAGTGGGCGAGCGCTCGGTGGCGGAGTCGCACTGGTCTCGCGTGGAACGCGGTGCGTCGCCGACGAGTGTACCGCCCCCGCCCATGTCGGTTCCGAACCCGACCCCTGCGCAGTCCTACGCCGCGACGTACAGGGCAAGGCATGCGTAGGTTCGCGCAGAGTATTTGATGAGTTGGGTATGGGACTTCGTTGCGGTCGGCGTTTTTTTGTATCAAATAGAGCGTTCTGAAGAATCGTTGTATCCTGCTTTCGCTAGACTTGACTTTACGAACCTCACGACCACTCACGACCTCTCGGATTATCAAACTGTTCTTCTAGACGTACTGTAGCTCAGCTGTAGCATAAGTAGCGCAGCGCGCGAATAAATAATGATCAGTCTCTCGCCTCCTTCTCCAGCATCGGAACAATTGACATTCGCATTCTGGGCACTCGCCGTACCGACCCCGTCTGTGCAAGGGATACTTGATTGACGAGCGAGGAGCGCATAGATAGCTAGTGAGGTGCACGAAAACGAGGGGCTGCGCTCTGGTGCGCTATAACAATGCAGGGGAATCAGAAGGAAAAATTCAATAATGATGCTAGAGATTAAATGAGACTTATGATTTCCTATGTGACAGAGCATGCGTATGGAGTGTGAGGGGACGCGAGCCCGCGGGGGCAGGGCGCGCGTGTGAGCAAGAGGCCGTGAGGAGACGATGTGTGGCGCGGGTATGCATGCAGGGGATGAGGGGGGTATTATCGTACAACGTCAAGACGCACACGGCGGCCGCCCCACACGACAGCGACGTTTACACGTCTCGAGTCCCAGCGCTGGTCCAGATGCCAGGTCCATTCTCTAAACAACACAGCACTCGAGACAGCAAGAGGTGTACGCGGGCGGGCGTCACTACCGCGCGACGTCGTATGCGCCCTGCGCGCCCAACCCGTAGGCCGCCTGCGGCCCGGGCGAACGGCGGCCCATGTCGTACGCCATGGCGGGCCCTGGGCTCGCCGCTCGCGTCGCCATCATCGGGTTCGGCGAGGCCATCATTGGGTTTGGCGACGCGGCGCGCATCATCGATGGGTTTGGCGAGACGCGCCCGTCCATACCGTATGCGAGTGATGGGCCGGGGCTCAGGCGGCCAGATACTGGCGGCGCCATCTGGGTCATGGGGATCGCCTCGCCTTGCTGCCATTGGCCTGTGCCGTCGTTGAACGTCTGCGGAACCGGGCCACGGTACGGGTCGTAGTAGCCAGTATTTGGGTCGTCCCGGTAGGGCATGCCTGAGTTCGGGTTGAGATGGGGCAGCGGGGGTACAGCATACGGGTCGTTGGTGGAGAGATCGGCGGTGGAGTAGTTGGTCGAATACGCCGTCTGGGACGGTGAACGAGAGAGGGATACCTCGGATGCGGTGTCGTTGATACCAAAGCGGCCGGTCGGGTTAACGGGCATGGCGTGAGACGGGGCGTCGGAGTCGCCAGGGTGAGCGTTGAGCTCAGGCCATTTGATCGCCTCATCTGCGGCGCGGTTAGACGGGTCGTGCGGGGGCAAAGTGCGCTTGGCGTACCATCATAGTCCGCAAACCGCTTCCGGGTGAATTTCCATACGAAGAAGGCGATGATCCCAATGAGCGCGATGCCGCCAGCGACCGACATGCCCACGATGGATCCGGTGGAGAGACCCTTGTCATCATCGGCAGCCTTGGACGTTTCTGACGGTGCTGCGGAGCTAGACGACGTGCTATCCGCGCCCGACTGAACCGGAGGAGTCGTGGTGATCGTGACCACATCACCGTCCTCACCAGTGGTGGTGATATGGCTTGTCACTGGGACGCGCGAGGAAGTAGTGGTCGCCGCGGTGGTCGACGTATTGTCCCCATCCGTCTTGGATGTTGTACCGGTTGTCTGTGTTGCAGATGTAGTCCCCTGCGTAGTCGATGTACCGGTTTGGGTGGTAGAGGTGGCCTGGGTGGTCGTAGCCTCCGTGGATGTCGTTTCCGCAGCAGTAGTGGTCGCCTCCTTCGTCGTCGCGGTGTCCGTCTCCTTCTGCGTCGTGGTCTCGTCTGTCTTCGCAGTGGTGGTCTCCGTCGCCGCCGTCGTCGTTGTATCATCGTCGTGGCCTCCAAACAGGCCTTGCCGTCGCTGGAGGTCGTGCGTCGAGTGGGAGGACGCAGCCTGGACGACGGCGAAGAGCACGATACATGAAAGGAGGAGAGAGCGTGATGCCTTCATGGCGACTGGGAGAAGCGACAGTGAAGGCGGGGGTCGTCGAGCCGGGCGACGACAGCTAGCGTTCTCGCTGTGCGCGACGGCGGCAGCGACGGGGCGAGAGGAGGGCGATGCCGTTGTTCACGATGAGTTCGTTGCTTTGGCCGTCGTCGGGAACGATGGAAAAGAAGGTAACGCGTGTCACGCTCGTGTGATTTTATTGATATCAATGACCTGAGGCTGTGCTTCCAATTGTTGCGCGGCAACCATCTGCTCCTCCCCATGGGCCTCCCGCCGCGCCCCCTCAGGGCGGCGCACATCCGCCAGGCCCGCGCCCCACGCAGCCGGAGGCAGTGGCCTTTGTTCTCTATCTTCTGCGCCCTCGTTCGCGGGCTGTACGCCCTGCGTCACTCCCTCGGCTGGCTCGGACTTCTCCGCGCGAGAGGCAGCTCCACTCCAACGTTGATCTTCAACGGTACGCGTGTGCTGGACGGCGCGCATGTTCTTGAACATCTTCTACCCGGAAGTTCGGGCGATACGTTTTATCAGGCTTTTTCTGACATTTAAGGGCGCTCTCTAAGTGCCTATCGCTTGACTCAGGTTCAACTGTCTACTCAGGTCCCTGGCTCTGTCCCTTGGCAGGTGAAGCTCGACTTCATCGCGTCTCAGCTGCAGTGCTTGCATCTGTACTCCCGGTGCCGTCATCTGGATCCGCATCCAGTGCCCGCAGACTCTGATGATGAGAAGGTATAGCAAGTACATCCCAGGCGTTCGCATCAGTAGTGCGGTAGAGACGCCGCTTACGACCCGTATTTCAGTGAAGGCTCTCGACCGTGGACAGCAAACCGAAGTGACCTAAGCAGTGCGTGAAGGAAAAGTGACCTCCGTCCTCGGTACATAGGCCAAGGCCAAAAAACATCCATTGTACCACATAGAGTAATTGGAGATAGCCAGCGAGATGCGGCACTGCTATCAAGATGCCTTGCTCTATGAAGACTTGACGGCGTTCAGCAAGCGCAGTAGGACTTCCCTCCCAGCAAGATTGAGAAAGTCGAACCGTGAGAACATCACGACGCTACCATACGGGGAAGCCGGAAGTAACCGATATCCCCGATTGAGCCAACTGGCCATTTGAGCTGTCAACTCGAATCAGAGCCACCTCAGGTCGAAGAAACAGATATAATTATATGGCGTGTACGCTATAATCCAGCAGGAGAAATTGTATGATACGCAATGGCCGATCAATCCAGCGAGCGGCGTCCCAGCAGCTTCGTAATTTCCCGATGTTCAGCCAGCCATACGGGGAAAGTCACCCCGGCACTCGTCTCCTTCATCTCGATGAGGTAGTTCGCGAAGACGATGAGGGTCCCGTAGCGATACCTACAGGGGTCAATCAGCTAACCAGGCCCTCGGGTTCTGGCGATGCATACGCACAGGTAGTTGATCGTCACGTCGCGCAACTTGCGCTCTTTTCCGCTGCCCTTTTCGCATGCCTCTGTCTTGAGCTTGTAGCTATAAGCAGAGTCAGTAGTGTCCCACCCATGGTCACCACTCACTCACTCATAGATCGCCTTCCTCAAATTCTGCACGTCCTGCATCAAGTCAATCGCCCGATCCGTCAGCCGCTTCGCAGCCTTCCCATGCGACAGCACGCCGACGAGCTGCAAGATCGTCTTATACTCCCCCTGCAGATACGCCTCCTCCTCCGACGGTCCGTCCATCGAGTCGTACACCGGCGCCTCCAGTTCCTCTTTCATCAGCGCGTCTTCCGCGCCCGGCTCCCAGTGCCGAATCGTCGAGATGAGGCAAGCGGTGACCATGCCAGAGGTCGTGCGCCCGCGGCCCATCTGGCAGTTGAAGACGAAGTCGCCCGCCTCGGAGTAGCCTGAGCGGACGCGCTCGAGGAGCTCGAAGAGCGCCTGTGGCAGCGGCGCCTGCTCGTCGGTGATCGCTACGCGGCCATAGTTGATCTACGAATCTTTCTTTACAAGGGAGCTGTGTGGAGGCGGACGGACTGCCTACCTTGTAGCCCTCCTTGACCATTAGGTCAAATACGTCTCGCGGGGTCATGATGTCGTCCTCCGTGACAGATTCCCAGATGGGAATGATGGAGAAGACGCCCGGTCTCTCTTCGACCTCGTCGTGGAGGAGGACACGACCATTGCCGAGGCGTACTTCAGTAAGGATGTCTTGCTTAAACTTGTTCTCCATGTCCTCAACGACAGCCGTGGATACTCCTGTGGCCCTAGGAACCGCCTCAGCTGCGCAACTACAGAAGAGAGATGCGTGTCACGTACTCGACGTTCTCCAGTGGTCGATCGACTAAGCGCAAGACGTGCGGCCTGCCAGCGACGTAGATCACAGGCTCCTGGATGCATGTGAGCGGGCGATTGGGCAAAATTTGGATAGTCTCACCTCCCGCAGTGAAGTCCAGTAGACCATGTTTGAGCCCTCTGGTCCGGCCTCTATCCTATGGAGGGCTCGACGCAATCTGACAGGTATGATCAATGATGCACGAGCCAGCCGACGGTTGCAAGACCTTACCCTTGAACTGTTGGCATCCCGCTATTAGACTCGAATGAGCAGGCAATTCTTGATCATTTGTTTGCACGTACCTCCCGCAGACCATCTTGCCGTCCTCCAAAACACCAGTGACGAACCCGGTGCCCTCCAGTGGCGAGTTCGACCCCGAGGTTACCAGCTTTAGCGTCAGCGGTACGCGCCGGAAGTTCGGTGCACCGTCGATGCGCCTGGGGCATGATTAGTCTTCGTCAAGCTGTATACCACCGGCATGCTCACTCCGGTAAAGTCATCTTCTGCAAGTTTGAGAAGAAGTCGCTCTTCAGGATGGTCGACGCCGACAGGATGCTACCCGACCGATTGAGTACAACCTGGCGGACCTCATCGGGGTGGGCGACGTCCTCGGTAACATCGGAGCGCTCCAGAGGCTTAAGCGCATTCGCCCCTTCCTCGAGCAGTTCCCGCTCGAAAGTCTTGATGACTGCGCAAAGGCAGTATTCAGTACAATGATCGATGATAGTGTAATTGAAGATGATTCAGCGCACCTGGGCGGCTTTTAACAAACGTCTCGATACTCTCAAAGTCCTGCATCGTGTCGGGTTCGATGGACTGCAAGTAGGATTGGAAGACGATGAGCTCAAAGTACCTGCGCAAGTTGTGGACGCCTGACGAGACGTGTCAGCACACTCTCAGCTCGCGTCACTGAGTCCCTACCTCTTTGTGCCAGCAGACGCTTTTGCCTCTCATCCGATGCTTGCTCCGCAAGGGACCGTGATTCCTCAATGGAGTCGCGCACATTGTAGATGACAGCACATTGGTCGATCGCGTCGTCCACGATGTTCTTGACCGTAGGGCCTCTCCTGACCACGCGAAGCAAGTCTACAATGGCCTCAGTAAAGGCAGCATTGGGCCCGGGACGCAACTTACTGTTGATAACCTGGTACGAGTGCCTGTTCTTCGTGGCTTCATGCGGCGCTTGCTCCGAGGAGATCGACATCATCGAGATCTGCCGGCGAGGCTTATGCGGGGTCGTCGGCTGCCTATGCGCATCCAGCCATTGCCTGATGAGCAACAAGATAATAGACGCCAGCGTGCTCCTTCCACGCCCGAGCTGGCAGTTCACCACCAGCGGCGTGTCCCTCGAGCAGCGCAGGACGATGTCGATCAGCTGCGACAAGTCAGAGAAGTCGGGCGAGCGCTCGGCGGTAATGGGCACGCGCGCGTAGTGCACTTCGGGGCGCGAGGCCATAACATCCTTGAGGACCATCACGTCCTCCTCGCGCACGTCCTCCCAGACGGGGACGACGGTACCATCGGGCGTCTCGGTATGTAAAAGCAGCTGGCCGCCGAAAGCCTGAAGCTCGGCGATGACATCGTCGCGTAGGCGTTCCTCAAGGACTTCCAGACGGGAAGCGGATATGCCTCCGTAATCTGGATCGAGCCGTTAGCTGAGCCTCGGATGGCTTGCAGGCTGATATCACCCTTCATGTTCCGCAGTGAGAATCCTTCCCGACGCAGACAGTATGGCATGCCGTTGATGTAGACGATAGGTTCTTCCCGCAGCGTAATCCAGACAATGCGTTCTGTGTGCGGATGCGCAGAGCGTACACGCTGTACCACCTCGTCAATGGCCGCAACGGTGGGCTGCCCAAGCGCGTAGATGTTCGTCCCTGGTACTTGCCGGAAGTTGATTGCGCCCCGGACACCATGCTCGACGGCAGCGCCCTCGCTGAGCCATTGGTCTGACTTGAGTAGGGTGCTGACAGCAGCGTTAATCAAAGAGTCAGGCGGACTGGATGAGTGCTGTACCTCTCGCGCAGAATGATGCCACTGCGGTTCTTCACGACATGGTTCGAATACTCGTCGCCCAGAATTTGCCCGCCAGTGATGGCAACATCGTTCTTCCGTCCTGGTACCAGAGCGCGGTTCTCGGAATGCGTCTTCGAGAGCGACGACAGGTCACTGATCGGCGCGAAGATATTCAAGCGCGAGCCGGACGACTTGCGCAGGAACTTGACTTGGCTAAATGCAGGTTGGTCAGAATTGCTCACTTCCCTGTGGCCAAAAGATCTGTACTGACTTCCAGATTTCTGTCCGCGCCTGATGCACTGTTCAGTGGGGATCCGAAATAAGACAAGCATATCTTACCATAAGCCAATCACCGAACGACTGCCCGAAGTCCACAGGAGACTCCTCAACGAAGCTGGCGTACGCCACCAAGAAAAAGCTATGCGGTGTATGTCAGGTTCTATTTGAGCTCTCGATGATCGGAAAGGCGCTTACTATTTCTCCAGTGCCCTTCGCGCCTTGCTTAGGTAGATCTCGCCCTTCGCCTCGTCCATAGACGTCATGGAGTATCGCAGGCGGTGGATCAGAATATCTTCTCGCAAGTTCGTGACATGGTCGGCTGTGAGGCAAGTTCATGAGCTACTGGGCTCTCCGAGCAGCTCATGAGACTTACTGGCGTCGATCACTCTGTCCACCAATTTCTTCGCCTGCAGACCGAAGTCGAGACAGCCAAGCAAACTGAGGATGACACCGTAGTTACCCATATGCGCGCGGCGCAAGTCCTCGAGCAGTGTCGGCTGCGACATGAGTAGCTCGATGGCGGACTGGGAGTTCTGGTTTGGAAGGCCTGTTAATTTGTTAGCGACTGGAGCACGCGCTCGATGTATGACTGACAATTCTGTAGCAGGTAAGTCAAGCGCAGGATCGCGCGGTTGGTATCCTGCTGTGCACTTGCGCGCTCCAGCGCAGCAAGTATACGAGATTCAGTGGTCTGCCGCAGTGGTCAATAAGGGTCCAGTGCCTCGAAAATCCACTCACTTGACTTCCCACAGGCGTGCTGCGCCCATCGGGAGTAGCACCGCCCCGCGTCATCGCAGTCGATTGTATGGGTGTTCCCGAGCGCGCGATGCTTGCCCCCACAGGGGTGCTCGAAGCTGGACGTCCCGCAGGCGGCTTGATGCCAAAAGGGTCGTCAAAGCCTTTCTCCATGACCTGCTTGCGACGAACGAGGCAAGCGGCGACCATCGCGAATGTCGTGCGCACAGCACCCATGCCGCAAGAGAATACCAAGGAAGTCTTCGTGGGGTCGGTCTGCGTGATGACGCGCAGGTAAGCATCGAGGTAGTTATCCTGCAAAAGAGTCAGCTTTCGGCAGTGAGGTGAGATTGAGGGTTCAACTCGCTTCGATCGGCCGGTCAGGAGAAATGGGTATACTAAAGAGGTCAATTGATCAAACAAAAATTGGCTCCAGCGGTGTGAATCTTACCGGTGATACTGCAAAATGTGTCAGTCGTCAGTCTTCCGAGGAGGGACCATGGAATACTCACATCCACATTCCATCCTTGATTCTTCATCTGCGTCCAGAGTTCGCGGGAGGTGCGCACGTTGTTGACGTCTACGGCCGTCCACGTTGGTAGGATGGCCCCCTCGCCACTGTCCGATGCTGTATAGGGTTCAGCTTCCGTAGACGCATGCGCTATGAATTCAGGAGCTCACCTATCTCATTGTGGGTGAGCACGAGGCCACCGTATCTGCGAAATGGCTAAGAAGCGAACGTGTGACTGTGTCGTGCCGTGACACACCTGGTTGCTTCCTGCAAGATGTCGTTCTTGAGACGAAGTTCGATGGCTTCGAGGTTCTCGGCACGATCTGATAGCGAAAGCAGTCGCCGAGGCTCAGACGCATCGCGTAGAACGAAAGGGCGCCCCGAGATGTACACTAGCGACGTGTCATGGTGGGTCTACATGTCGAGCCAGCGGAGATACGCACCCAATGGCTCTTCACGAGTGGAGAACCACACAACGTGGTTGGGGTTTGGGTTGTTCGGGCGGCACCCGAGAACGGAGAGGATAGCTCGAAGACCCTGCGTGCGCGGCTGGGCTGTGCCAAACACATTCAGGTCTCCCTGGCGTGGCGCGCGAAAGTTGGGGGCGCCGTGCACATTGATGTCAAGGTCAAGAGCTCTCCCTGGGTGCGATGAGAAGGATGACTCGCGGACGAAGAGGGGTCAACACGCACCTGAGGGGTAGTAGTCCGTCTTGAGGATGAAGCCCCTGCTCAGCACACTTCCCGATCTCGTCTTCACGGTCGATGCTACAGCCCGCTGGAGATGCGCCATCGAGTCGAGCGATGGGGCGGACGAGCCGTTGCTCAGGCGCGAGAGGTCAGGAGAAGACAGCGCAGGGCGTCCGAGGGGACTGCCATGGATTGGGATGGTAGATACGGGGGGCGATGAGGGGGAAAGGTTGCCCACTGGAGGAGGCGTCGACATCGCTGAAAAGTACAAGTCCAAGAAGCGACAAGGCTACGAATATCGGACATACTGCCTCACGCGCGCCTCGCCTCGGTGCGCGTGTTCGGATGTCATCGAGACGCCGGCGCTAAAACCGTCATATCAAATTGGATCGGGCGGAGGCTTGTCTCCGTTGCTGAAGTGTCGGCGTCTACACGCTCTTCAGCTGCTCTTTCGATATTCAAACGCTGGCTCAATCAAATTGGAGGTATTCATTAGAAACAACGAAGAAACATCGATTGTTGCTCTACTGCACCCTGTCGATATAATGGGACGGGTTCTTATCGCCAACCATAGGGTGCCGCTGCAATCTTACGAACCCGCGGCTAGGAGCTCGCCGGCGCCCATGTCACCTTCACCGTAAGGTGGTCTCACAGTAATGCACTTCTGTAGTGTTTAATGCGAGCGGTAAACGAGTTCAGGTGAAGGTCGAAGGCAACCGCCGAATGAAAGGTGAACCTGGCCTGTGACTCGGTCCGAACGCCGACAGTAACCCCGGAAAGGAAGCAATGCTTTCCAAGGTTCCCAGGCTCGTGGCTGCTCTTGTCTTCCACTCTTCACCCTTCTTGTCGTGGACAATCGCCTCACAGCTTGTTTTCCTTCCCTATAACGAGTGACAATACTACTTGTTGGATATTATGGCAGAGGAGATCACCGAGCGCGATATCTTCGGTTCAGATTCTGAGCTTTCAGAAGAGGAGGGTGAGTGACCCGCCGCATCCTCCAGAGCTGCCTGCTGATTCTGTACAGAGTATGATCATAACAAGGACACTGGTGGAGTGTCTGACGGCTCAGTTGGTGGCACACAAAAGTCCAAGGCGAAGAAGAAAGTCAGACGCCGCGATGACGAAGAGCGACCTCTGCGCAAACGCAAACGGAGGGAGCCTCCGCCGCCTGTCATCCCCGAAGACGAGACGCCAGAGCAAGGTGCGTGATACTATACAATCTCTGAGTGAAAATACTGACCAAGTATCAGCTCGCCGACGTGAGCTGAATCAGCGCATCGACGAGGTCATCAAGCCGAAAAAGTCGAACAGGCCCCGCAAGCGGAGGGGCAACGAGGAAGTCCTTGACAGCTATGCCGACGATGAAGTGGCTCGTTTGCGTGAGCAGATGCGGGAAGCGGTCGAAGAGGACAAGAAGTATAGCAGCCAAGGTCTTCCTGCAATCTCCAAACTGCGCATCCTGCCCACAGTGATGTTGACGCTGCGCAAGTACGTTGACATGCCAGTCTCATGGTTTTCATCACTTACGAGCGCACCCCAGGGCGTCTCTTGCCCAGTCTATCGTCGACAACAACCTCCTGCAGCAGGTCCGTGAATGGCTCGAGCCACACCATCCCGACCCCTCCCTCCCCGCGCTCAACATCCAGCGCGAGCTCTTCAGCACGCTCCGCAAAATGGACTTCATCGACGCCTCCGTGCTGAAAGAGAGTGGCCTCGGCAAAGTCGTCGTCTTCTACACCCGCTGCAAGCGCGTCACGCCCGAGATCCAGCGCATCGCGAGCGAGCTGTACACGCTGTGGGCGCGCCCCATCATGAAGCGCTCCGCGTCGTACCGCGACCGCATGGTCCCGCAGGCGCAGATCACCGAGCTTCCGCGCGGCGACCGCCTGCCGACGATCATGGCGAAGGCGGCGAAGGAGCAGGGCTCGCGCGCGCGCAAGAACGCGGTCACGATCCCTCAGCGTGAGCTCGGGGACTACACGGTGGCGCCTGTTGCCATCAAGCAGACGTCGGCGAGCGTCGCGGATGACATGAAGCGGCGCCATATGCAGAACGAGAGCTTGCGGCGGCTCAACAAGAAACTCATCACGGCGACGAAGCAGGCGTAGGCTTTCTGGCTGATTCTCTGGGTACCGTCTTTGTTCTACCTTACCTTGTAATCTGTAGGTGGTGACGACTTTGATTTTTCTGCTCATCGTGCTTGCTTTCTCTTTGAGCCTGGGCGCGTTTCGCCATGGTCTTGACCGCGAAGGTAGGCCCCCAACGTCTTCGCCGTCCTTCGACAAGTCTCTTTGAGGGTCATGGGTGGGTACAGAGGGTGCACCTGGAAGCCAAGGGGGTGAAATCCACGAGGTCCAGAAGATTCCTCTGCCTTCACTTTCCATAGCACGTTTGCTATGAATCCTGCAGAATGGCCCGTGCGTTCTATGTCTCATATGCACGACCCATGACGCTACGCTGAAGTTTCCAGAAGAGGGGGCGATGGCTTGGGATATAAAGGCGAGGGAGGAGGGCCAGCATCCCTCAGCAGAACACACAGCACCACTCACTCGCATTTCACAACTCGCTTCACTCACGAATCATCATGTCTGTCTTCCACTACGAGCCTTTCTACGACCTCGACCGCCTCCTCACTGAGGTCTTCAACCCCCGCACCTCCGGCGACGCGCAGCGCCGCATCGCAGAGGGTGACGCGCCTCGCGCTATCAAACCCAGGTGAGTGTACCCTCCTGCACGCTGCCACACGACCGTTGTGCTGACCCACGTCGCAGAATGGACCTCCACGAGGACGCCGAGAAGAACGTCGTAACCGCGACGTTCGAGTTTCCCGGCGTCAAGAAGGAGGACATCCAGCTCGAGGTGCAGAACGGGCGCCTCACCGTCGGCGCGGAGACGAAGGCCGACGAGGAGCGCAACGAGAACGGGTACGCAGTGCGCGAGCGCCGCTACGGGAAGTGGTCGCGCACGCTGCAGCTGCCGACGGGTGTGAAGGTGAGTAGCGAGCGTTGTCCAGGTCGAAGGTGATGAGCAGAAAGCTAACGAACGTGCTGCAGGAGAACGAGATCAAGGCGTCGATGGAGAACGGCGTGCTGACGGTGACCTTCCCGCGTACGTCCGCGGAGGCTGCGCCCAAGAAGATCGCGGTGAACTAAGCAGCCAAACCAAGTCCTGTATTCCCTACAACACGAGCAACAATGTACAATAGTCAATGCTACTTTTGGTGTCATCGGGAACTAGTGCCCTTGCGTTCATCTCCGGCTTGCGGGCAAGCTCTAAGGATAGGACGTGCGCTAAAGACGTGGGCTGCGTTTACCTCAAGCTTGAGAAAGAGTGCGAGTCCAGTCCTATTCAGTAGGTCGTCTAATCAAGATGAAGCTTCATGGAAGCTACCCGCTTGTGATGTCAGTGATCACTTGAGGGAGTAGACCACTCGACGTCGGAGAGCCAAGTGAGTATCATGTCAAGTAGATTCCGCAGTTGTCCTCGGGGCTGAACATCGCACACGGAGCGTTTTCCGAGGAAGAGAACGAGGTGACCGACGCTGTCCTCGCTGTCGAGGACGAGGCTGTTGCTAAGCGCCGAAAGGTCGAAAAATAAACATCACGCGTAAATCACGCGTCCAGAATTGAATGCGCCGAGAGCACGTGTGCGGAAAGACGGGGAAGGAAGGCCTTCGAAGGACATGTTCGATTCGACGTTCCCCGAGGGCGGCCCCTTGCGATGGCCCTCGATGGTGGTCTTTGTGCGAGACTCCGCGTCCGCTGGTGGCGACGCCGACGAGCGTATTGCCACCATTAGCAAATTTGCGCTGAGCGCTGCGCCACAAAATGAGGCCGGACGCCGCGTGCCGCCGCTCCCCGCAGCGGTCGGCCGGGGCCTGTCATAACTTTGGTCATTTCATCGGTGAGCGAATGATTGAAATTCCGTATTTTCCTTCGATGCCTACTCTTTCTTGCCGTCCTCCACCATCCCCACAAGCAGCGAACGAGCGCATACGACGTTGCCGAGAGAAGTCGCGACAGTGACAAGCGAAGACGACATCAGGTCGACCACCGCCCCCAGGTGACCCTACCAGTGCACGTAACGCCTGCAGACGTACTACGCGCATCAGTCGTGCTCCCCACCGCTGAAACGCTCGACTCGCCATCGCGAGCACGTCAACCTTCGCGCTTGCTGCCATGGCCGTCGCTGTCCAGCACCCATCGCTCCCTCCCACTGGCTATATGTCTGCATCCATGCACGCCGCGACCAGAGACAAGCAGCTGCCCCCGCCCCCCGCGGAGCAGCTGCACTCGACTCCCGCACCTGCCAAGATCACTAGGGCCAACTCGCGCTCCTTCCGCCCCAAATTGCACACCCTCCCCAGCGCTGGCATCGCGTCCAGCAGCGCCCCCTCTCCGGCATCCCCCACCCCGCGCGCCCGCCCCATGTCTAGCTTCCTACCGCGTAGCACGAGCGCGACGTTCGTCAACGCTGTCAAGCAGCCCAAGATCCTCTCTGCGCTAGTCTACTCAATCGAATGGCCAGACTTCTGGTCCTTCGCCAACACATGCCGCGATTGCCGCCGGCTGGTCGGTACGTCCGACCTCACCGACGTCGTCCTTTCACGTTTCGTGCCTGGCTATGCCCAGTGTTTGCGTGCATGCGATCTCGAGCAGCTGAAGAAGGTCACCGTGACGCTGAGCGATCTCCATCTTCTTTGTGAGTTCGGCGATCCTTCTCTGAACCCGACTTGCTCATGGATCTGTCAGATATGTCACAACACATGCCTCTTCATCGATACCCCATGCACTCCCTGGCGTGTCAGAATGCACTATACCCTACCCCAGAGCAAATGAAGTTCACCAACAAGCTCGTCGCCCTCACCCAGACCCACTCCCGCTTCGTCCTCCTTCTCCAGTCGCTCACTCACAGCACTTCCAACCCGCCACCACCGGAGCTGGACGATCCCTTCTCCTTCTCGCGCCGGAACAAAAATGCTGGCGTGCCCGAACTTACTTTCCCCGCGCCCCTGTGCTACGCCGACACTGATGATTCCCCTGACGACCCCTGGGCGGTACCGTCCTCCCGAGAGAGCGAGGCGCAGGGCAGCCCCACAAAGATCACTATCTCCCCGACCCCGACTAGGTCGAACACGAAGATCAAAGGTCACGCCAAGCTCCCGAGCCACAACAGCGTGCTGTCGATGGCGCGACGACGGCCTTCGACGGACTCCAGCTTGTCGGCGCTTACCACGCCAATTAAGCGCCGCACGTCCGTGTTTGGCGGAAAGAAAACCGTGCCTCCGCCTCCAGTCGAGCCGCGGTCGTTGAGACTGTATGCGTCTGCATGGCGGCGGACGCTATTCCATACATCGGGCGGCTCAACGTCAGATGACGAGGACGATAGCCTCCCGAGGCCCCGCCGCCACTTCGCATCATCGCCCATGAGCTCGAGCGCGTCGTCGAGATCCAGTCCGTCGCCCGTGGGCTCTCGGCGGCCGACCATGGTCGCCGCATCATCGAGTAGCGCAGGGCGTCTACCTTCTTCCTCCACTCCGCACGATCTGTCGCTCGCCACATCGCGCACACGTTCGCCCATATTGCGCGTCTTCATCCCGTGCGCGACGCTAGCGCCGGATTCGCCCGAGGTGCAGGCGTGCGAGGATCAACTTGTCCAAGCAGGACTGTGGGACCACTTGTCGACCGGTGACATCGTCTGCAACTTGGGCTACGTTCCCCCGCGCGCGAGCCCGACGAGCTCCTCCGCTGCGTCCTCCGCCGACGACATCAACGAGGACGAGCGCGGCACGTGGCTGCTCTTCGACGGGACGGTGCTCGTGCCGCACACGCCGCCTGCGCCGCCGCCCATCGAGGATCCGCTCAGCCTGCCCTCGCCATTCTACTACGCGCACATCACGCCCCCTGCGTGCGATCCAGCCTTCCGACTAGCGCGCCTGCCGCCCTGTGGCGGGGTGCCTGACCTGGCGCTCGTGCGTACCACTGCGAAGGTCAGGAGTGCGCGGTCCGCGACGGGCTTTGCGTTTGTGCGGCGGTATGCCTGGACGGCGCGCGTGTACCGGTATGCGATGCCGGGGGATGATATTGGTGCGGGCTGGTTGGGCGAGTGGGTATTGCAGGGCGAGGGGACGAAGGAGGGGAGGCAGGTCTTGCTCGACTGCATTGCGGGATACGAGAACGAGCCCAGGGAGTGGGAAATGGTGCGCGAGAAGAGCCGTCCGGGACGGATATGGCTGAGGTAGGTTTTGACAATGGACAATGGACCGACCCCGGCTGACAGTGATATGTAGGCTAGTGCACGACTACTGTCCACCTAATGGTGGTCAAGAACATCATCTACCATAACGTCTGGTAGCATTCTTGGATACTGACTCTGCGCTGCCTTTTAGAACATCTCCTAACATGTAATAATCATATATCTTCCAGCAACCATCTACTTATTCCACGCATCTGAACCATCTATTCCCCGTACACGATCACACATATCCATCTATCTCTTGCGTTATATCTTTCCATCGCTTTTCCCATCTCTCGCCTCAGCTACGCCCGTTACATATTCTATCCCCCCTTCCCTCTTTAGATTCATACGACGGACGACTATGTCTCTGGAGCTCGGCACACTGCTGGATATATCCGTGCCCGACCCTCCCCTGATCTCGAACTCACGATATTGTACAGCCCCCTCATCACTATGAGTACTGACCTGGCGCCCAGTAGAGCTTCAGCAGAAGCGTGTATCGATCCCCCGAGACAGAATGTACTTACAGTGTATCGATGTATACCATTTACTGCTTCCCAAGTTACGTGCGTCTGTCAGCGATCCTGCGGCGCGCCCTTCATGTCAAGATCGTTGCTCAGGTATACAGTCGGAGATGTGCGTGTAGTGCTGGGGACTCCGGGGTAGTCTCCGGGCGCCTCTTCCGCTCAGTGAGCGCGCTAATGAGATGTGTGGCTGAACTTGTGGGTCCATTGAACGCGGTCACATGGCGAGATCGGCCCGCGGCACCGCCGTTGAGACCTCTTCACTTCAACCACGTCCTCTGCGCCCTGCGTCCTAGCTCGGTGCCTACCTGCAATGCTCTAAGTCGCACCAGTACCCTTGCGAGTCAGGCACCCAAGCAGCGCCCAATCGCTTTTCTATGGCTATCCTCGGCATCGGCGTCGACCTCGTCCATGTCCCGCACATCGCGGCTGCCCTTTCACGGCATCCCTCCCGCTTCCCGGGACGTATCTTGAGCACTAGCGAGCTCTCGGACTGGCGCAAGCTTGCGGACGCAGCAGCTGCCGAGCGCGTGCGGTTTTTGGCTGTGAGGTGAGTACGGGAGTACGAGGTGTCGGACTTGCTTGCGCTGCGGCGCGGGCAGGCGAATACGTCTAGAGGACTCTGTTGTTCAGAGGGTCCCTGTGACCTGCGCTGCGATCTATCGTGGGCTCCAGTTGGTCTGCGCCGCAGTGCGATGCTCATTGTACGCTGACGACTCTATCTAGATGGGCAGTGAAGGAGGCGGCGTACAAGGCCCTTTCTGCGGCCTACCGGCCTGTGTGGCACGAACTCACGTACGCGCATGGCCTGGACGGCCGACCGATGCTCCAGTATCAGCCGAAGGAGGGTGTTCAACATCCCGCGAACGGAATGGAAGACGCTGTAAGCGAGATGAAGGCCAGGAGAGTAGGCGACGGACTCGGAGGGCCGACGCCGCGGCTCAAGGCGCTGCACACATCGGTTAGCCACGATGGGGAGTATGTGATTGCGAATGTCCTCGCGGAGGGTGAGTGGGGGATCGATATGTGTTGCCCATGGCGAGAGCTAAACGCAGCGTCATACAGTGCATGACACTTAGAAGGGGGCGGTTGCAACCGAGCGACCCCCGCGAAGGCGCCCACCTTCGCGCGCCCGCGCGCCGGCCTCAAGGCCTGATCTAATCAAAGGTTCCCTACGTATGCACTTGACTTCTTCGACGACCTGATTCCTGACCACCTGATAGGGAATCGTGTGTTTGTTGACCGTCGAAGCTTGCACGTTTGACTTTGTGCTTGACGGCGGAAGAATCCTCCCAGCAGGGATGCCTTCCATCGATGAGCGGCCGTGATGCGTAAAACAAAGCTATCCAGAATAGGACAGTCTAATCAGAGGCTTCGGCAAGACCGCTGATAGACTGATCTATCTCGCTTGTTACCGGTGAGTGGCGGTCGGTTGGGCGTGTCGCCTCGGGTCTGCCGAAGGCGTGCATGGATTGAGCAGCTTCTGAGCCGCTCGCTTGCGGCTCTTTTGTGCGGACTTTGTACGCTGTTTGCCTCGTGACAACTTCAGTCGCAAGCCTGGGGTGCGTCTACCTTGCGCGCTCGACTCGATTGTAGCCATGGGGGGCTGACTTAGAACTCCAGTTTTATGGCCGGTGGCGCAAAAGGCAACTGGTCCCGAAGACGTCACATACTTCCTGGTTACCTGCATCGATAAGGTCTTCATCTAGGAAGTACGTCCGTGAGAGTTTCAAGAGAGAAGCACGGTAGCAAAACATTTCTATCTATCCTGGGAGACCCCCATAAAGCCAGGAGATCATTGGGGTTCTAACGGTAGCCTGGAGGCTAACACGAGGACTTGCTCAACGGGATTTTCGCTAAAGGTCCAACGACAAGTCGACATTTCTACTGGTACCAGGTGAGTGGTATACCTCCTCGCCACCACCCACCTTCCCCTCGCAGGCCGGGTGGTCCGTGCGGGCACCCTGGCCGCCATCAGCGGGGATCTGCCCCCAGTCCCGACGGAGTTAATTTTCGGGGGCGATGCACCTCGTGGGGCCTCGTGTTGGGCCGTGTTGTGCCTCGTTGTGATACCGCGATGCGCGCTCACACGCGACACGTGCAGCCAAAAATCCCTCCTGGCTCTTACGTTCATCATCGTCTCCCGTCGCCGAGCTCACCGTCGACGCCGGCAGCGACAACGCCCGCGCCGCTCACCACCGCCCCTCGTTCAGCGACTATAACCATGCAGACACGGCGCGCCTCGGGCGTGACCCCGCTCGCAATCGTCCTCCCCCATCCTCAGCTTCCCCGGCGCCGCTCGAACTTGCTCTCGGGGTCCGCGTCGCCGCGTACCCCGCGCTCATGCGGCTCCCCCTCGTGCTCGCCCATCTTCCTCACCACCAGCACGAACAGGAATAGCTGCGATAGCTGGAACAGCTCGATACACGAGGACGAGAAGGAGTGGGAATGGAAGGCTGAGCAACTGCTGCTACTCTCCAGGGTACGCGCATATACCGCGTCGAACGCGTCGGGGACACGTCACTGACACCTCACCTCACCAGACTCTCGATGCGTTACCCTCGCATCTCTACACTCCTTTCAACGGATCTGTACCCCCATCCAACCTCCTAGACAAGATCGCGCGCGGCGTCGCGCAGGCCAAGGGCGCCGAAGAATGGCCGCACTCCCTGCGCCAGACGCGTCAGAAGCTCATCGAGCTATCGCGCGCCCGGGGGAAGGATGAGTCGATTCCTGAAGAGACGGCGGTTGAGATCGCCAGCGACGACTCTCAGGACCCCAGCGCCAACCCATCCATGCAAGCCAAGACCCCCAAGCCCTCAATTTCTCCCAGGAAGCGCCCTCTGTACCGTCAATCGAGCATGGAGTTCATGGATGCCCCTGCCTCCGATCTCAAGGACAATGACACAATCAACAAGTGGGTGATCGTTCGTAATGTGGCGCGTCCCGGTAATTGATGGTGTATTCCCAGGTTGTCCAGCCGGCTCCAGCGTACAGATCGCTACCTGTCCAACCAATCCTTCCACCCCTACTCGCGACCCACAGGTCGTCGCCTCTCATCGCCCCCGCGCCCTCACAACGTTCCCGCACTGACCAACGCGACGTCAAGCTCCTCGACGCTGTCTTCGCTTGCTTCATCTGGGCCGACGCGCCCATACAATCTGCGTCGCACGGCATCGCTCCTGTCAACAAGCTCCTCCGATTGCAAAGCCGATGCTCGGCACAGCGGCCTCAGCAGCCTCAGTGGAATGAGCGTGGAGGAAGCGCGTCTTCTGCCAGCCATGCCCGACCCCAGAGTTACGCGTGTCAGGCGCTCTGAGTCATTCTATGGCTCTTCCGAGTCCCGGCAGCCGCTGAAGCGTGCGCCATCATACAGCGCTTCGGTGATCGCGCAGAAGACGAAGCAGCGCGAGTCGGTCGTATCGAACGACTCCAGCGTGAACAGCACCCAGAGCGCCTGCCAAATATCGTCCGACGAGGAGGAGAAGGCGCGCTCTCGCTCGGCCAAGAAGCCCCGGACCAGGTCTGGAAGCGGGTCGTCACCCAAGGCCGACACGCCCGTGACGCCCACCTCTGAGTCAAAGCCCAAGGCGCCCAAGCCCCGCTCGGAGAAGCCGAAGGCCCGCGAGCCCACCGAATCCCACAAGAAGCGCAAGCCGACGACCATGAAGCGGCACCCCAGTCTGCTCGGGCCCGAGCTGCCTGGCGTGACTCAGCCGGCGCCGCTCAGCCCTGCCGTCGAGCTGCACCCTGTCCCTGCGTCGCCGCGTCGGACTCTCCGGCGCGTCAAGCGCCTGCCGCCTGGCCGCCGCATATCGTTCGGTGTGCTGGCGTCCGGTAACGACGCGGACATGGAGTGCGAGGACGAGCCCAAGAACGCGCCGCTGACCTTCGGCGCGCCCCTGGGCAGCGCGTTCCAGCTCAACTAGACGGACGTGGATTTCTTGTGCAGGGAGCTGGACTTCCTATAGAGGACAGGCAAGGAGGGAGGAAGGAAGGAGAGGAAAAACGCTACGGAGAAAGGAGGAAGGAGATCTTGGTTTTGGCGTCCGTCCGGCCAGTCCTGCGCTCGCTGGATCTGATCGTCGCCCGTCGCCACCCCTGCATCGGTTCAAGGACTCGATTCGAACTCGGCACCTCGCAAACTACATTGACAACACACACTGACAAGCAAGCCTCTCAACAACATTGTTATCATTATTCTCATCTATTGGTCGGCTATTCGCGGCAGTCGGGCTCCTCTGACTGTCGCGGACGTGCGGCCGATCGACACTCGCCCCATCGTGTACTACGATACAACCCCGCTCACCCGCGCGGCTCGCCCGCTGCCATTCGACCGCTACAACACGGTGCTCGCTACCTTGCGCCTATTGCTAGCACCTAGTAAGTACACGTCCTTCACCACATTCGTCTACCGGTACTGACCAGTCCGACAGATCTATTCACCGCGCAAGACTCACCGCATACACTGACCGCCATCGCGTACTTCACCGTCATCGCGCGTCATTCGGCTTCTGGTCGACCCCACCACATCCGCTGTCCATCTTCGCATGCATCGACCCATGTACTCGCGGCCATTCGACACATTGTTTCGCCCCTCACCACGGCGCTTTTCGAACCTTCGTGTACCACCACCCCCATTCATTCCTTACGCAGGACGAGCCCGGGCTCGCTCACCTTTTCATCTTTCTTCATCTCTTTTCGTCTTCGTCTTCTCATCTTATCTTCTTCACCCATCTCACCCTAACATATCTTATATTTTCTATCGTGCTCACCACGCTTCCCACCTTCCTTCGCTCGTGCTCCGGTCCCCGACATCTGTACTCCCCGCCGCTCACTCACCCCCTCTTCCTCTGCCCGCTAACCGCCGAGTACGCATGTCCTATATTGAACACCTTCCTTTCGGCTTCGGTTTCCTTGTGTTACTTACTGATCCCTTCCTTTCCTTTATATGTTCGATTCCCTTTACTTACTCTGTTCGATTTCTTTTGCTGCTACTGCTACTGCTGACTGGATCGTGGAACTCACGCCTCTACGTTGGGCGTTGTACAATCGTCTAGGCATCTCCAAATATACATGCGATTTTGAATAAGTGTGCTTGTGGGACGTGAGCGCTTGCGATGTGGGGATGCAAGTGGCCGGTGTTCAGCGCTCAGCGCTCGGCATCAAGCCCGAGCTTTGGGTTGGCGGAGATAGTTCCAGCAAACGTTGACATTAGGATACATGATGAGCCCATGGTTTAGAGATACAGAAGAGTGAAATGTAGGTAAATGGTGATAGCAAAAGCAGGCGAGCAACGTTGACACGTTGCCCTGTTTGGGTCTGTCGAAGCCTTGTTTTAGGCTTTCAAGCTTTTCAAGACCTCAACGAGGCCCCTAAGTCAAACTCCTCCACCCGAGCCTCTCACGCGACTTCCTCGATCTTCGCGCCAGAGGCAAAGGTGGAGGCGAGACCGCTGGTATCCTTGTCGCTCAGGCTGATGGACTCGCCCTTCTTCTCAGCCTTGTTAAGGAAGCCTGCAGAGGCGCCGCGGTGAGTTCCACACCAGGGTAACAGGGAAGACAAAGCCGGCTTACCCTTCATCTTCTTCTTGTGCTCCTTCTCCTTTTGCGCGTCTAGTGCGCGGAAGCGGGCAATTTCGGCGTCGACGCTGGCGGCCTCTGTGCGAGTGGTACAGGGTGGTCAGGAATGAGAGAGAGGGCAGAGAGTGATAAGGAGGAATAGGGCGGCGGAAAGCAGAGACACATAGGGAGGGGGAGGCGGAAATATCGAGAACTTACCGGCAGGATTCTTCTTCTTGACCTCTTCTAGAGTGCGGATACCGCGCTCGATGTAGCCGTCTTCGCATTCTGCCTTTCCTTTGCGGAAGAGGGCTTTGGTGTTGTCGGGGTTCTTCGCTAGGGCCTGAGGGGGTAAGGTCAGCAACACGGGACGCGATGGGGTGAAGTGTGGCGAAGGTCAACGCGCGTTCACGATGAACGACATGATGTTCGGCGAGCTACACACCTTTGCTGCGGTCTCTATTGCGCGCTTCCAGTTGCTGTTCTTTATGTGGCACGCGGCCATGTTGGCGTACACCTTCTCCAGGATCTCATCGGCCTGTCCGTTCGTCAGCGAGATGCGCACGACTGATCAAGGCATGTACGCGCCTCGGTCTTGGGTGATGTTGGTGCGCCACCATTGGGATCGGGTTCTGGCTTGTTCTGCTTTCCAGAGACGGCAGCCATGGCATTCCTACAGGGCTCGATCGTTAGTGGCGCCTAAGGGTGTAGGTGTAGGGAACGCACTTGTCGAGGCCATTGAGGTACATGAGGGCCTACCAGAGCGTTTCAATGACCACATCCATCATCTCACTCGGTATTACTCACACTATGATAGGACATCAAAGCTAAGTGGCGAGTCAGTCCACACTCAGAACGCGTCGCGCGCCACAAAGACGCACCCTCTTTGATCTTGCCCTCCTTGAAGGCCTGGTCGGCCGTCTGCTTGAACTGCTTCGCCGTGTTCAGCTTCTGCTCCGTAGCGGGATCCATCGCGATGTGCTGCTACTCGTGCGCGGGCGTTCAGGATAAGATGGGGGATTCAGGACAAGGCGCGTCGGTCAATGCGGCGGGGACAATAGCCTTAGGCGCCGTTCCCCACGATTATATGGCGTCGGGTGACAACAGCCAATAACAAAGCGCACCTTTCCCGAACCGTCACCCCATCACTCGCCCGCTGCACGATGTCCGTCACCCGCGACGTTGCGGGCTTCTCCGCGTTTGGCCTCGCCGTCCGCTTCTGGCAGCTCGGCATACTGAACAAGCACCTCTTCTCCAGTGCGTGGGGTGTCTGCCGTGGGGTGTGAATTGAGCTAACCGTTCCCCGTGTAGACCCGGCCGGCCATGTCGCGTCGATGGCTGCGTTCGGCACCCTTGGATACTTTATGCACCACTGGGACATACGGGTGCAGGAGCTTCTTGCTATCAAGCGAGCAGACATCACGGAGAAGCGACAAGCATTGATTGCAAAGGCGCGCTCAGAAGAAGAGCAAGCGCTGTCGGGTTAGAGGTATGTTGCTGTCATCATAGGCTGGTGCAAAATCTCATTTGTTGCCCTTCAGTGTATTTTCAGAGCATAGAATGCAACTCCATCCGTTCGAAAGCTCATCCCCTCTGCTACGTCTCTGTCCTGCTTTCATCATGCACGAGACAGAGGCCATAGTCCATGCGAATTCACTCCCTCGCGTCCGAGTTTTCTTTCCTGCAATCTTACTGATAAGCATATCATACAACATTCAATCTCTCGAGACTGGACCGTCCTTCCTGCTTCCTTCCCGGACCATCCTCATACCAGCTTCGCCACCGCCGTGTTCACGAAGGTCTCCACATTAAACCCTCCCTCTGGGATCTTGACGACTCCAGCCTTCTCCAGGGTGCTGCAAAGCCACGTCAGTTCTGTTAGCCGTATCCCATGCGAACGAGGGACGCAGCCCATGCGAACGAGGGATACAACCCCCAAGCAATTGCGCATTCCCCAAGTAATCGCTGCTCACCTAAGTGTCTCCTTCACCACCTTTTCGGACACAGCTCCGCAATCCGGAGGGTATCCGACCGTCTTCATCCAGGCCTTTACAGCGTCAGCGTTCACGAAGTGCGCGAACTAGTGCTGCCCACTCACCTTGATATCCTCCTCCGGGTACCCGAACTTCTCCTTGATGAAGGGCACGTTCTTTGTTGCGCGCGATTCGTCTGCGGGGGTGTTCAGTCTTGAGGTACGCCATTTGGCGAGGACGGTACGCCATTTCGCAGCACGGTGCGTCGCTTCCCAGCACGGTACGCCGCCTCGCAACACGGTACACCGCCTTGCAGACACAAGACGCCCCTTCGCTTAAGACAGAACACTTACCATTGTTGAAGTCCACCACATACTTCGTCAGCGACGAGAGGAATGCCGACAGCGCATCGGGCGCGGCACGCGTGGGGTGCGCCGCGATCATCCAGGACGGCCAAGGCGTTGGGACGGAGCCGATCTGGGCAGGTGGTCAGGTGTGAGTCTGGCTGGAGAGTAGCACAGATTTGGCGAGTAGCTTGGTTGAAAAAGCAGCTCGGATTTGGCGACTATTGTGGAAAGAACATGGGCAACGAGCCAAGCACTCACAAAGCGGACCTCCCCGCGGTCCAACCACGGCTTCGTGGTGAACCACTCCCACATGAAGGCGCTCGTTGAGCCATCATTCACGGAGGTGACGAGGCCGTGGATGTCGTTGTTGACTGGGGGAGGTCAGTCAGTTGCGTTTGAACATTTGAGTTCGATGGTTGTGTTCGAAGGTTTGAGCACGATGGCTACTATGTTCGATGACATGCGCTTTAGATTGGCACATACCTTGGAACTTGAGGTCGTCTGTAGGCCAGCCTTGCTGGAGGGCCATGACGTACGCCATCGTTTGGCTGCCGCTGTACAGATAGTTGCGGGTTCGGTACATGGTGAACGTGAAGACGTGGCTCTCTCATACCTCCCCGGCCGTGAGATACCCAGTGTTGTCCCCTTGAGGTCGGGGATGGTCTTGTATGGCGTATCTTTGCCCGTGATGACCGCCCTATATATCGAAGCGCGTTAGATCCGACGTGCGAGCGCCTCTGTGTGCTGGAGGTTGACTCACCAGTTCAGAGGCGTCGAGACGTAGCTGCCGACGAGCTTGTATGCCTGCGAGCCCTTGGCTATGCCGGAGATCAGGGGGTCGGTCAAGGCGCTAGGATATAATATTTAAGATCGGTGCTTAAGAATGATGAGTGGCGGATTGCATGCTTACATAGCGACATCTATCTCGTCGTTCGTGAGGCGGGAGATGAGCTGGCCGGTACCACCTGCAGCAGGTGGGTAGTAGCAATGAGTTTTGTGCACAGTAAATATGTACTACGAAGACATACTCGGGCACTCGACAAGGGTGAACGTCTCGCCCTTATCGTCCGCCTCGAACTGGAGGAGCGGGGAGCAGAAGTGCTCGCGGACTGTAGAGCTTGAGCGACCCTCCCACCATCACTTGAAGCCATTCATACCATATCCAATACGTAGGGGAACCATGCTACGGGGTGGGCAGAGCGCTGTGTGAAGGGCAAGAGGGTACCGAGTTGTGGGCGCAAGATGGCTTATCGCGTGACGTAGCCACGTGCCGTGACGCGACGCGGTCAGCAGGCGCGTTCGAATCCGACGCGTCGAACGTGGGCTTGTCCGCGACCATCATCTTGGCTTGACCCTGCGCTCGCAGTCTGCTCTGTCTCCCTGAGTACGGCTTCCATGAACAACACTACACACTCTGCTGTGACCATCCTGCGCCAATTCTACGCAGAAGTCCTCCCCTTGCACGACTACCTCAAGTCTATCCTTGCTTCCGATGCGCGCGTCCAGCTTTGCGAAGATGATACGGATGAGTATCGGACTCTATTCGAAGGTACATATATTGCCGTGAATGAGAAGTACCAGGGTGCCCCTCTATGCCCCTCGCAGGCGTTGGCGCACATACGTGATGTAAGTTAGATGAGTGTTTGAATGACCCTGCTATTGGACCTTCAGCTTACCTTCTCGGTGCTAGATCCTGCAAGAAGCCCAACGTCGTCTCATACGAGCGAAGAAGACACAGAATATTCTCGCTCTGGGCTACCGCCTCGACCACGGCGACAAAGGAGGTCGTTTGCACAATACCTTCGTGAACACTATTGCTGCTGCGCTCGAAGGCGACGAGTGGGAGACGTTGTTGAATCGGTAAGCTCGGCAATCCGTACTTCATCCTACGATGACTGGTCTGTTTACTGACTTGTTACTCAGCATCGGCGCAGATGCTATGATTCACTTGCTCACTGACACGTCCATCTTCGTTTCATTACCGAACGGATGCCTTTGTCAAATGAGTGGGGTGCCCGTTGTGAACCTTCGACCGGCCGCGCCAGCGCCAACTGCTGAAGTCGAGCCCACTCGTCAGCATGGAGAGAAGCGTGCATTGAACGGCGGCGCTGCTTCCGCGCGACCGACGAAGAAGTTGAAGACCTACGACAGCGCAGGGAGCTCGCGTTCTGGCCAGGATAAGAAAGCCAACGATGGAGTAGTGTGAGTGCTATCTGTTTTGCTTGTCTCTCAACGACACACTGACAAGAGATGCGACAGGATCCCTCCGTCTCAGATCAACATCATGCGCGCGCGGCTCTTCTACGCCCGCCCGGCCATGGCACCAAAGTCGAACCGCATAGTTGTCGGATTGCCTCCTAGGCGTAAGTATTCACCTTCGAGTCTTGCGCCCCTTCGATGCCGACACCCTTCCTTGCTGGCTCTCTCCATTACTGGCTCCCCTTCAATGCTGACTCCCCTTCACCCAGACATCCTCAACCTCATCAAACCCACCTACATACGTACCGCATCCGTCGACGTCGACTACCGCGTGCAGTTCACCGCGGCGCGCAAGCTCGCGAAATACGTCTTCCCGCGGCAGTATGGGTTGGCGCACCCTTTTCAACACACGAAGGGCAATGTCCAGCAGCTGCCGGACTTTTCAGATAGGGAAGCGGAGATTGAGGTGAGTTAGGGGATGGTTATATTCATGCAGAGGAATGGTCATTCTGGCGAAGACGACTTTCCATCAATATTCGCGAAGAGGAAAGGCCATTTTCGTGAAGAAATTGTTAATCAGCCCGATAGGCCCTTGGTCCCTGTAAGACGCCAAAGAGGTTGAAGGAAGCGCTTTGTCTGCTTGAGAAGTTGATTTGGCGCCATGGCAAGTGCAGGTACCTGCCGTTGCGCGACAAGGTGTGCCCAACGAAGGTGAATCGTTCCCCTTCCATCACGTAGCCTGCCGCTGAGCGCACGTAGGTGCCAAAACGAGAAGGCGGCTCCCAGCTCGATAGCTCCGTCATTCTTGTGCGTAGGCCCCCATCCGTCAGCAGGAGCGCGCTGACGATCCCACAGGAAATGATGTCCGAGCACTCCATTATCATGTCCCAGATGTCAGCCGGATATACCTCGACGGATAGTAATGGGCGTCCCGTTCAACCTCTTGGACTTACGCAGGCCGAGCGCTACGCGCAGGCCAAGCCGAAGTTCACCGAGTTTGAGTGTAGTTATGAGGAGGTGAGTATGTCATTACTATTCTTCGAATCGAATATGAGCTAACCTACCCAGGTGTACCGCTACGCATCGCTCATCACGCGCACCGTCATTCCTAAGGGCTTCTGGGGTACTGCAGACAATATGAAGCTTGTTCTACGACGTGAGTAGCTCTCCCTCCGCCTGCATGTATGGTCCACACCTGCATGCATGGCCCACACCTGCATTCCCTCACTGACCATCGCTTAACAGACGTCAAGGAATTCATCTCCTGCCGCCGCTACGAGACTTTTAGCCTTCACCACCTCCTCCAGGGCTTCAGCACCTCCGCGTGCGACTGGCTGGGCCCTGTCAACCCCAAAGCGACCCGTGTATCCGAGTCGGACATGCGCAAGCGGCGCGAGCTGATGGAGGAGTTTGTGTTTTGGTATTTCGATGGGTTTTTGGTGCCGTTGCTGAAGGTGCGTGTTTGGTCGATCGTTGGTCTCGGTGGTGCGTGGGTAGGTGGTGCATGGTTAGGTGGTGCATGTTTGGGTGGCGTGTTTCTAGGTGGCGTGGGCTGGGGCGAGCGATGCAGACGAATGAGATGTGCGATGCAGCTGCATGATGTCTGACGCCTCACAGACAACCTTCTACATAACCGAGTCCTCCGCCTTCCGCAATCGCGTCCTGTACTTCCGACAGGATGACTGGCAGACGCTGTGCGCGCCCCTGGTCGACCGGCTCACCGCGAGCACATTCCAACGCCTGAGCGATGTACGTGCGCGTATGCTATCGTTATGTATGCTTCATTGACACTCATCGTTCAGCCCGACGCCAAAGAGCTCCTCCGCCAACGCCGTCTCGGGTTCTCCTTCGTCCGCCTCCTGCCCAAAGAGACCGGCGTCCGGCCCATCGTCAACCTGCGCCGAAGGGCGACGCGGCAGGGCGGCGAGCGGTCGATCAATCAGGTTTTGCAGGCGGCGTTCCAGATTTTGACGTATGAGAAGGTGAGTGGTGGATGGCAGACTCTGTTTGCGTGCGACGATTGGTGAAGGGGAGGGAAAAGGAGGAAGAAAGCAACCGACTGACCTAACGATAGAAAGCACACCTGGAGAACCTGGGCGCGTCGGTGTTCAGCAATACGGAGGTCTATGCGAAGTTAAAGGCGTTCAAGGAGGCCTTGCCGAGGGGCGGGGATGGGAAGCTGTACGTCGATAGCTCTTGAGGATGCGCCCGAACGTTGTTGACTATGGCATTCTCGCCATAGCCCGAAGCTTTACTTCGTCAAGGTCGACGTGCAGGCATGCTTCGATACAATCGACCAGCAGCGATTGCTAGCAATTCTGCGCGAGGTTATCAGTGAGGCAAGTACTTCACTCACCGTCTCTCGTCTCGACCTTGCCCTGCTTCTTGTCCATCGGCGTATTTACTCTTCCTCGCTCCTCATTCACAGGACCGCTACATGACCCAGCGTCACGGCCAGGTCCACCGTGCCGCAGGCAAGATCCGGCGCACGTACGTGAAGCGCGCAATCCCGGAGGACCAGCACCCGGACTTTATCGAATATGCGCGCGAGCTTGCCAGCGCGATGCGAAGTGCGGTATTTTCAGATCAGGTGAGAGTGTTATTGTTGAATACAGTATAACTATAACCATTTGCCCGTTCCCAGGTCACCTACCCCCACCACCAGCGCGAGGAAATCCTACAACTCCTCGAAGAACACATCACGGAGAACATCGTCAAGATCGGGCAGACGTACTACAAACAGACCGTCGGCATCCCGCAGGGCTCGGTTTTGTCTGCGCTGCTCTGCTCGTTCTTCTATGGGGATCTGGAGAAGAGGAGGATGCCGGAGTTGGCGAGGGACGCGGGGAGTGTGAGTGGGGAGCATTTGTGCTCTGTCGTTCTGGTCTGCGCCGAGGATTCTGACGGCACTTACCCAGCTTCTCCTCCGCCTCATCGACGACTATTTGCTGGTGACGACGAGTCGGGCGCGCGCGGTCGCGTTCTTGGATATGATGCACGCGGGTGAGTTCGACGAGCCTCCTTCCCGCTCCCGTAGGCTGCCTGTCATGATTGATTGCCCCTCGCTCGAGAATCATGCTAACTGTACCCCCTACTCAGGCCACCCCGACTATGGATGCTTCATCGCGCGGGAGAAGACGCTCACGAATTTCGACTATGACGAGCAGGTAATGAACGTGATACCGTCGGGCCAGAGAGGTGGGTAATCACTTCGTTCGCGCGATTGCTGCCCAGAGAATGAGGGCATCGCACTCAAGCGGGCGTGTTGGAGGGGGAGGTGATATATTTGCTGACCGCACTTGTCAGACTTTCCCTGGTGCGGCTACATGATCGACATGAAGAGCCTGACGATATCGGTCGACTATACGAGGTATAAGGACAAGGGTAAGTCGATGTTGTCGACGTCGTGATGCCATACTGCATGCCTTGACGGCAAGAAACAAACACCTCCAAGAGCACAAAACTGACCACACGACCCAGATATTGAAAACTCGCTCACCGTCGACAGAGGGCGGAAGCCAGGCGCTGGGTTCGTGGGGAAGATGCTGCTGTGAGTGGTCTTGTTCTTTCATCAATCCCCCCTCTCCTCCCGCTTACCCCACGACCACATACTCACAACCCCTCGCAGCCAAGCCCGCGCGCGCAGCCACCCCATCTACTGCGACCCCGCGCTCAACACGCCGCACGGCGTGCACGTGAACGTGTATCAGAACTTCGTGCTCTGCGCGATGAAGATGTGCGCGTATGTGAGGGAGTATGGGGGGGGATTGAGGGGGAATAGTGGGAAGGTGGTGTTGGGTGAGTGAGGTTGGTTCAGGCTTGGGGATGGGAGGAAGACGAGGCGATGGATGTGACCGTGCATCATAATAACCATCCTTCAGACACCATCCACAAGACCGTCGCGTATGCATATGCATCGCTACGCGGGCAGCTCAGAAAGACGGACGCTGGCGAAGCATGGCTGAAGAAGGCGACCGTGACGTGGTGAGTAGCGCATTTTCTAGTATATTCTTCCAAAACTAATGTTTCCCTCAGGCTCGGCCTGCACGCCTTCAGCACGGTCCTCGCGCGCAAGCCGCGGGATTACGTACTCGTCCGAAAGGCGCTGAATAGCGAGTTGAGAGCAGCGCGGTACCGGCGGTATGACCGTCGACTCCGGAATGTGGTGCATGAGGGGTTGTTGGGGATGGCGAGTATTCCGTTTTGAGTATGTGCTTCGGGTGTTACGTGCGTATAGGCGGATTGAACATCTAAGTTATGCATCGAAGGGGGATGTTATTCCATCCATAGTCATTAGTGAGCCGGGATAGCATGATTAGGGTGTACAATGTACATGGGGGATATGGTACAGGATGAGTAAGAGGCGACCTGCAGACGAGAGTCAGGGTCTAACTCCAACACAAACCTGGGAGGACGTACCGAGGGCAGCCAACCTACGGGCTACCGCAGCTTCTTGCCGTCCGTCTTGTCCAGAAGGTCCTTCGCCTCGTTGATTTTACTCGCAATGTATGGCGAGCCGCCGCGGTCAGGATGGTTTGCAAGCATGATGTGCCTGTGCGCATCCTTCAAGCGCAAGGGGACGGTATTGTTGTCCCTGCGTCTTCCGTCAGCATACTTCTTCCCCAATGCAAAACAACATAGAACGCACTTGAGCCCAAGAATCTGCAGCGCCTCCTTGCGGTCCATCCGGGCCTTGAAGCCTCCCTTGACCCACTGCTCCGCACCCTTCTGCGCCCCTCGTCTGAGGACGGCGCGGCCGACGAGAGCAGCTGCCGCGGCGCCGCCTCCGATGAGAAATATTGACTCCATGGCTGAGTGGGTATGGTCTTTCAGAAAGATGTGACTTCGGAGAGGGAGAACGGGATGATCGCGGAAGGAAAGAGCGAAGCGGTCCCGTGACTCGGGATTTTTTGGTCTTGACCTCGACGTGCTGGCGACGAGCTCGAAATATCAGTCAAAATGCACTGAACAGACCTGCTGAATGACTTACAGAACGATTCTTGAGCTCGAAAGAGAGCTTTGAGTGGACGATGAGCCAGCTTTGAGTTGTTTGTTGGACCTTTGACGCGTGTAGCCGTGATTTGCACTTTCGTCTTGCGCCACGACCGCCTGGGTCACAGCACAAGCAGACGTCCGGGAGAAGCTAGTATATAGGACACCATGGAAGGTACGCCTCCTACCTACAATACCCTCGCGCTGCCATGTCCTCTGACACCGTTCCATCCTCCCCAGCCTTTCCGGACACCTTCCCCCTTCTCCAGGACCTGTACGGGGGCGTCGATCTCGACGTCCGTGTCGTCCAACGCCATTACAAGTCTGCTGGGAGAGCTCTTCAAGACTTCAAGACTGCCGTAGGAGACGCCCCCCTCGGGCTCGCCACAATTAACCGGCAGCCCGGCCACCCTGTTGTGCTCGCCCTCGCAAGTGACACCCAAGTCCTCGTACTTAAGCTCGGGTCCGGACAGCCCATGGCGTCTCATGTGACGGTGAGGATGCTACGTGATATACTAGGCAGCTACCGCCGCATCTTCGTCTTCGGCGGGGACGAGCTCGCTCTCGGCTTGCACGAGCATCTAGGCATCCACGTCGGCAACATGATAGACCTCCTAGGTGTAGCCTGCGCGCACGAGGAGCGGCACACGCTAACGACGTATCTCGAGGCACTTGGCGGCGAGGGACTGTCGAACGACGCGGGCGAGCGTATCTTGAATAAGGATGTGGCCGGTGGCATGATGAGAGTCAGTGGCTCGGGGAACGTCCGTGACGTTGCTCTCGAGGCCTGGGCAGCAGGCTATGCGGGGCGCTTGCGCTCAATGCAGATAAAGATTTACGGGCTGCAGCGCATTGACACAGTCAATTTGGAGCCCTCGGTGAGTGTGCTCGCTCCTGTGCAACCTCCCTCCCCGCACCACTGACACTTCCCCCTCCAGCTCCTGTCTGCGCTATACAAGCTCGACCACGACCAGCGCCGCCGCCAGGCCGTCCGCCCCACTCGCGTCACTAACGAGATCGCCGAGGCCGTCGTCGGGAAGGAGAATGGCCACCTCCAGGTCGTCTCCGCGCGCTACAAGACCCGCGTCACGCGCACGAGCCGCGACCAGCACATCGAGGTCACGCACTCTGTTGGCGGTAGCGACATCACCCTCAAGGGACGCGCGACGAAGATTGACGGCCGAAGTGCGACGATTGCGTGCCAGTCCGACAAGCTGAGGACTGGAGGCAAGAACGATGCAGGCAAGAGCGCAGACCAACTCAGCGTCCAACTTACCACCGTCGGCCGCGAGTCCAGCACCGTCGCCGAGCGGATGCGCGCCTCCATCGTCCACCTCGCGCTCCGGCATCAGGCCGACCTCTTCGACCAGCCCTTCTTCTGCGCCATGTTCCTTCCCGAGGAAGACACATGGGATGAAGACGCGCCCATGCGTCCCTCGCTCCCCATCCGCTTCGCGAAAGAGGATGCCCTGAACGACAGCCAGCGCAACGCGTTGCAGAGGATCCTCAGCGGTGCCAATGAGGACCGGCTGGTGCTGGTGCAGGGCCCACCCGGCACGGGGAAGACGACGGTGATCGCGGGCGCGGTGGAGAGTATCGTGCGCGGAGATAGCAAGCGGACGATCTGGCTGGTGGCGCAGAGCAATGTGGCGGTGAAGAATATGGCGGAGAAGTTGGCGGACGTAGGCTTTCGGGAGTTCAAAGTGCTGGTGTCGAAGGATTTTCATCATGAGTGGTGAGTTTTGTCCTTCTTTTTCGTGTACCGTCGTCTGGTCTCGAGACAGTTGTTGACTTCTCCATGTAGGCACGAGCACCTCTACGAGAAGATCGAGCACCGGCTCATTCGCTCGGACGGCTTTCCCGAGACGCCCAACGAGGCCGCCCGCCTCCTCGGGGACGCCCGTGTCGTCCTCTGCACCCTTAGCGCCCTCGCCGTCGACCGCCTCCAGTCCGTCACGCACGTCGTGCCCCCGCAGATGATGCTTGTCGACGAAGCTAGCCAGATCGAGGTCGGCGACCTGCTGCCCATGCTGCACCTTCATCGCAATCGGCTGGAGAAGGTGGTATTCATTGGGGATGATAGGCAGTGTGAGTGGGTCTTTCGGATGATGAGTGCTTTCGGATGATGAGTGCTGTGGGGGAAGTCAGTGAGGCTGACGCATGGTGTTCTTCTGCAGTGCCGCCACACGGCGGGGATGATCTGAGGGGGCTGCAGAGTGTGTTTGAGCTGCCGCATTTGAGGTCAGGGACGGTTTTTCTGGATGTGCAATGTAGGTTTGCTGCCTGAATGAACATATATGGTAGTTGACAACTGCCGCAGACCGCATGCCGACGTTCCTCGGCGACTTCATCTCACAGTATGTCTATGACGGCCAGTTACTATCCGAGCACCGCAACAAGAGCGCGGACTGCTGCCGCTTCGTCGACGTCGCTGAGGGGAAGGAGACCCGCGCGGGCATGAGCTGGAGGGTAATGTGAACCCCTGCGAGCGCGATAGATATTTGACTGACCGGCCGCCTCATCCGTAGAATGACAAAGAGATACCTGCAGTCGTGACGCTGGCACGCGAGCTCAAGCGTAGCGGCAAGATGTTCCGCGTCATCACACCCTACGACGCGCAGCGCGGGGCTATTGAGGCGGCGCTCAAGCATGCAGAGCTACCTTGGGAGGATACGGTCTTCAATGTGGATTCTTTTCAGGGTTCGTGTTCGCTAGCCTGGCTATTGCTTGAGTGACTGACTGACCAACCCCCGGATAGGCAACGAATGCGCCCACATCATCATCTCGCTCGTCCGCGCTGAACGCATGGGCTTCCTCGCGCAACAACGGCGGGTCAATGTCATGCTGACACGGTGCAAGGATAGTATGGTGATTGTGACGAATAGGAAGTTCTTAGAGGGTGCTGGGGCGTCCTCACTGGTTGGAGAGCTAGCGCGGGTGTGCGGCGACGACGCTTGGATGGAGTTACCGACGTGCGCTGGCATGTAGTGGAGTGGTCCAAGATGAGACAGACCCATGGACTATGCATGACTTATGGACTTCGTACGCATGAATATGTTTGTTTGGAAAGAAAAGTACAACCGTGACAGCCTCACGTGCCTTTCTGTGACATGTGTAACAGTGTCCACTGTCCAGCGACAAACATCCCAATTCCTGTTCCCACCAGCGCTTGACGATGAGCTCGAGACGGTGATCTGAATGCAAGGAGCTAACCAGCTAGAGGGTCTTTCCAACGACGCGTGCGTGTGACGAATAAGTCCTGAGTTGACGGCCAGGTCAGGTTCAGCATTGTGCAGCCGTGATCTGCGCTTTCGTCTTGCGCTACCTATGTGCAGGCCATAGCACAGTCATGAGCCCCCCAGATGTCTCGTATATAGACCACTACTCAAGGTGCGCTTTCGACCTGTTGTCTCCCCGCGCCGCGATGTCTCCTGACCATGATCCCCTCCCCAGCATTTCGGGACACCTTCCCACTTCATCAGGATCTGGATCTCGATGTCGGTGATTACCGTACATACAGATTGGCCACAAGGGCCATACAAGGGCTCAGACAGGCGCTCGGAGAACCACCTGTCGGGTTCGCCACCTCCGAAGGTGTCGCTTCCTTCGCGACGCCGCTACATACTCCCCTCGATCTACCGCCCTTAGCCAGCACTCCGTACTGCTCGCGCGTACTAGTACGCTCGATATACCCAATTCTTTGGTTGATTTCGGTCATCCTGGGAATCAGCTCTACTCACTTTTAGAAGCAGGATCAAAAGGCCTCATAAACTCGCGAAAGGCTCTCGCTCCCGCCCCCTTGGGCGTCCTTATACTCTTCACTTCCCGCGATACACGTCTTCATGCAGAAGATCACCAGCAGCCTGCAATGAAATAACACCGCCGCTTCGTAACTGCGACGCCCCACCGAATCCTAGTACACGTACGCGCGGAACGCTACTCCCGCACATCCTGGGCTAGCTTCTCTATGCCTGCCCTAGGCACGTCAGTGATCCTATTGAGTACCCCGCCTTCCTCACAAACGCCTCATTAAGCGCGCATGTATGCCTCATAAGCACCAGGGTGCTGGGGCTCAGGTTCTCCTTTTTGCCCGCCGCCCGCCATCATGCCGTCCACGAAAAAGCATACAGCGGAATCTTCGCTGAAGCAGGACCTCTTTCCCTCTTATGGCGCCAACATCCCGGTCACAGAATGCCCCGGGTGGTCGACAAGGCACCTCTGGGCGTTCATGAAGACACTCAGGTCCGGCTCCTCGATTGGCGCCGCCGTCCTACAGAAGAACGACTATGTGGTCGCCCTCGCCCTCGCCTCTGTCGACCGCGTACTCATCGTCAAGAAACCAGAGGGCTGTAAAGATGGACCTGTTCTACCTCTGTTCCAAAAGCTGGAGTCCGCCCTCTTCTCGCAAGGACGCCGCGTCTTCGTGCTTGACGGAGACAAGTTCGCTCTTATCATCCACCATGACCTGAACATCCGAATAGGAAACTGCGTCGATCTCCTCTCCGTGTCCGGCGGGGATAGGGCTCTCAAATGGTCTTACGTGGCGGCTCTTGGAGGCAACGGGGTTGTCAACGTCGACGCGGTGAAGAGGATGATGTCGAGAATTCGAGGCAAGCAGAAGATGGAGGATATAGCGCTACAAGCCTGGGCAACAGCGTACGCAGGACAGTTACCCTCGATGAAGACTCCCATTCAGACCGTCGAGCGTATCAACACGCATCTCTTTGAGTCTTCGGTGCGTCGTTCCTCAGTGCCCGTTCGTGATGAGTCCTGACAGCAGGGCAATGCTATTAGCATCTCGAAGTCCTTTGGATCAACATGTATGATCAGGAGCGGCGAGACGCTCTCAAGCCCCTTCGAGTGCAGAATGAGATCACTTCCGCGAAGATCGGTAAGAAGAAGGGAAACCTACAAGTCGTGTCGAAGCGCTTCAAGACGCGCGTCATGAGGATGCAGGACGGGCAGGTGGGACATGCGGTCCTTGCTGTAAACCATCGCGTTAGCTCAATTCGTGCCACAGCATATCGAGATCACCCACACCGTTGACAACCGCGCAGTCACCGTCCGAGGAAAAGCCACCAAAATTGACGGACGCACTGCGACAATAACTTGTCCAGAAACCTTTCGAACGACGGGCAAGCTCGAGGTAAAGCTGACCACCGTCGGTCGCGAGGCCGGGACGATGGCCGAGCGCATGCGCACCGAGATCGTTCACTGCGCGCTGCGACGAATGGATAATTATGACCTCTTCTCCATCCCCCTCTTCCGCTCCATATACCTCTCTAGCGTCTCATGGTCTGGCGGCGATATGCCACCCGAGTACCACACGGCATGCGAGCCGACATTCACAGCCCGGCCGCTGAACCGCTCGCAAGTCGCCGCCGTCAAGCGCGTTCTTTCGCCCGCGAACGAGGACCGGGTGTGTCTTATCCAGGGCCCGCCGGGTACGGGGAAGACCACCGTCATCGCCGCCTGTGTACAGAGCATCACGAACGCGTCGCGCACGAGGACGGTCTGGCTGGTCGCGCAGAGCAACGTTGCGGTGAAGAACATGGCCGAGAAGCTCGCCGACGTCGACTTCTGGGACTTCAGGATATTGGTGTCGAAGGACTTTCATTACGATTGGTTCGTCGTTTGATACTAATTCCCTCTGCGTGGCCTAATTATCGGAGCGACGCAGGCATGAGCACCTATACCACCAGATCGAGGAACGCCTCATCCGCTCGGACATGTTCCCCGAGACTACTATAGCCGCCTCGCGGATGGTGCTGGGCGCGCGCGTCATGCTCTGCACGCTAAGCTGCCTATCCGTCGACCGCATCCAGAGCATCACCAAGGTCGTCCCACTACAGACCGTCCTCGTTGACGAGGCGTCCCAGATCGAGGTCGGCGACTTCGTCCCGATGATCCACCAGTACCGCGAGACGCTGCAGAAGATCGTGTTCATCGGGGATGACAAGCAGCGTGAGTCGTCTTCATTTCCGCTGTGGTTCTGAGTCGTCTGACCGCTCGTCTATGCCGTAGTCCCGCCGTATGGGAGTGAAGATATTAAGGGGATGCGGAGTATCTTCGAGGTGGAGCACCTGCGAGGACGGCCGGCGTTTTTGGACACACAATGTATGTGCTCTCTACAAGGACCAGCGTAGGAGCGTGTTCCATTGACGTATTTCATTGACAGATCGCATGCCGATACAATTGGGGAGCTTCATATCCAAGAACGTCTACAAGGGGAAGCTCAAGTCGCAGCACCTTATACGCACGCCCTGCATCAGCTTCATCAACGTCGTCCACGGGCAAGAGAAGAGTGTCGGAACGAGCTGGACGGTGTGTGATCGCATATCCCCGCTCGCGCCGAATATACCTAACGATACCGCTACAGAACGAGAGGGAGGTCACCACGATCGTTGCCCTCGCGAGGAAATACATGCAGGAGGGGAAAAACTTCCGCGTTATTACGCCCTACGACCCGCAACGTGGCGCTATCGAGGCAGCGCTCAAACACGCCGACCTCAAGTGGGAAGACACCGTCTTCAATGTTGATTCCTTCCAGGGTATGTCTGACTCTGGCCATGGTCCTGTAGCATGTCTGATTATTGTGCAGGCAACGAATGCGACCACATCATCGTATCCCTCGTGCGATCTGGGCACAAACTTGGCTTCCTCGCTCTACAACGGCGCGTTAATGTCATGCTCACGCGATGCAAAAAGAGCATGACGATCGTGACAAAGAGGGCCTTCATTGAGGGTGCAGGTGCATCTTCTCTCGCTGGGAAGCTAGCGGCGGCCTGCGGCTCGGGGTCCTGGAGCGATGCTTGATGGCGCGAGTTATGTATCTGCTGGCGGCGGAAGGTTATGTCGATTTTGGACCACTTTATTATGACATTATTCCATGCATCTTGAACATACCTTGTATACCTTGCCATAGACGCGCATCTACACTCTCCGTGTGTTGTAGGTGTTCGTTCAAGTCAAGTCCCGCGGCGCATCAAGTTCAACTTTCAAGCATGTGACCGTGGGACACACGTAACAAATTCGGCGTTGCCGTCCGTACGCGTCACGGTTCCTATCCTCTGCTCGCCACCATCATCTCGTCCTACGTGTTTTGTATACAGTCGTTTCATATACTACTGCTGCTTCCAGCGCGACGCGTCACTCACGGCTGTCTTTGGCCCTGGCTGGTAAAATCTGCCCCCCAAATCCGAATCGGAATCTCATCGTCCAATTGTTTCCCTCCGCCTCACATGCGGTCATACCTCTGAGGCTTCGAATACGAACGTGGAATAGGGCTGACGCGACGCTGCGGCAGCTGACTGAGAACATACGGTTGGCCATCCGTGAAGAGGCCTGGATAGGGAGGGCTTCGGATGGTATGCGTAGACTATAAAAGGGGCGCAGGACGAAGCTTGAACAACAAGCGATCCTTTCCCTCTAACGCAAACTAGCTCTTCTACCAACATGTCTGCACCCGTCCAGTACGTCCAGCTCGGCAAGAGCGGCTTGCGTATCTCTGTGCCTATTGTGCGCTCTCAGTTTGTTCGTGTGTGAACGACAGACTCAGAATCCTCTTCCAGATTGGCGCCATGAGCTACGGCAACCCCAAGTGGGCGGTGAGTGGGATCTGTACCGCGTCTCAAACAAAAACTGAGCCTTCCCCCTCACAGGCTACTGACGAGTCGACTCAATGGGTTAAGGGCGAGGAAGAAGCGCTCCCTATCCTGAAGGCCGCTTGGGATCGTGGTATCAAGTAAGTTTTTGTAAATCTCCGTACATGTAGCTGACTTCTGACGCTCAATTTTCAGCACCATCGACACCAGCAACAACTACTCGAACGGTGACTCTGAGCGCATCGTCGCCAAGTTCATCGAGAAGGTAAATTATGTCTCGTACATACTCGTTTCCGCCCGCTGACCTTTTCCCAGTACCAAATCCCGCGCGAGGAGATCGTCATCGCCACCAAGTGCTGGGGCCTCGTCGGCAAGGGCGCCGACCACGACGTCCTCACCTTCCTCCAATTCCCCGAAATGAACAACCGCAAGCAGTACATTAACCAGTCCGGTCTCTCGCGCGCTGCGATCTTCTACGCCGTCGAGGAGTCCCTGAAGCGCCTCAACACCTCGTACATCGACCTCTACCAGATCCACCGCTTCGACTTCAGCACGCCGCCCGAGGAGACGATGAAGGCGCTGCACGATCTGGTGGAGGCGGGCAAGGTGCGCTACATCGGCGCGAGCTCGATGCGGTGCTGGCAGTTTGCGCTCTTGAACGAGGTCGCGGAGAAGAATGGGTGGACGAAGTTTGTGAGCATGCAGGACGAGTACTCGCTGCTTTATCGCGAAGAGGTAAGGCGACAAAAATCAAACTCGGGAGTACTGGCTGACCCTGGCTTCAGGAGCGCGAGATGCTGGCATACTGCAAGCACCACGGCATCGGCGTCATCCCGTGGTCGCCCCTCGCTGGCGGCCAGCTCGCGCGCCCGGTGGCAGCATCCGAGACTGCTCGCAGCAAGCTTTACAATTCCATTCGCCCGAAAGGCGAGGACCCGATCGAGACTGAGATCGTCAAGCGCGTCGAGGAGATTGCGAAGAAGCGCGGTTGGACGATGTCGCAGGTCTCCCTGGCGTGGGTGAAGCGCTCGGTGTCCAGCCCAATCGTCGGCATGAACGCGATCAAGCGCGTCGAGGAGAGCATCGTGAGCGGCGAGTTGACGGATGAAGAAGCCAAGTATCTCGAGGAGCCGTAAGCAAACTTCATGTTCTTTCGAGCCTCGTCTAACACCCTTCCTAGGTATCAGCCGAAGCCCGTCCGAGGACACGCTTGAGGACTATAGTCGAAGCTGCATGTTATCCTCAATGTACATACTGTATATTTGCACAAACAAATCGTGACTTTGAACATCCAAGTCGTGCATTGCAGTAACCACCCAACGGTCAATTTGCAGTGCGTGCAAATACAAGGAATGCGAGAGGCGAACTTGAAGCTCATCGAAAGAGACCCTGGTCAAGTCGAACTTCGGGGACATGGTCACGTCTGATCCGGCGACGGAGGGTTGACGGATCAGGACACTGGAAATTCCATTGTTCCTTTCCTCCATGTTCACCCGACGATTTCTGCTTCTCGGCGGGCGTCGCGGTCCTCCTCCTCATCCACTACCATCCATGAGTGCTTCGAATAATATATCTCCAGCGCCAGCTCGGTCTCTATCGTCTTCGAACCGAGCAGCTGCACCAGCCCGGCGAGCAAACAAGCGCGCGTCACTGCCGCGTCTCCCAATTCCAGACCTGCAGAAGACCGTCGACCGGTACCTGAATTCGTTAGAGCCATTCATGCTCGAGGAGGACGCGCGTGGGGGCATGTCCTACACCTCTGCTCGTACTCTGCGCGACAGATGGGCGACCGAGTTCACAGAAGGTATCGGCGCGACGCTGCAGGAGAGGCTGATCGGTGCGTTTGATTGTGGGGTTCGCTGTCATCGTCGTTGACCATGCGCATAGCACTGGACAAGGCTTCTCCCAACAACTGGCTAAACGATAACTTCTGGATAAACAAGGCCTACTTGGAAGGGCGATCGTCCTTACTCGTCAACTCCAATTGGTGGCTCGCGTTCAAGGACGATGATCTCATACCACCTGCGCAAGCTGAACAAGATGCTGAAGAAGGCGGACTTTCCGGTATAACGCCCCTGCAGATTCGGCGCGCAGCCTGGATAACGCATCGAGTACTGGACTTCCGGGAAAAGTTGGCGTTGTGCGTATGCAATTCCCTTCGATCATCCCGTCAATTGACATTGTAGCAGGCAGGAGATACATCCCGAAACCACGAAGACGGGCGTCTGGATGCAAGAGAACACCCGCAAGGTCTTCAACACAACGCGCAAGCCGGAGCCGTACTGCGACGTTGTCACCTCCACCCCCTTCCCCTCCGAAAACCCTGCCGCCCGGCGAATGATCCTCAACGTGCACAACTGGTTCTACGCTGTCGACATTTACGGCGGCCAATGCCGACCCCTCCCGCCAACGCGCGTCGAAGCCAACATACACTCCGCCGTTGCCGACGCGCACGCGCGCCGCCAAGCAGGCGAGACCGCCGTCCCCGTGGGCATCCTCAGCGCCGACAACCGCGACGAATGGACGAAGGTGATAGTACCTCCTACACGGACCGTGCCTGTAAGACTTAAGTACCCGCGCGCAACGTCAGAACCTTGCCCACTTGCTGTCGCTATCCCCTGCGAACCAGGAGACGTACGAAGCCGTCGTCGACGCTGTCATGGGGCTCAGTCTTGACACGCTGCCGACGACGCCGGTGCACCATCATCCGAACACGGACACGCCGATACCCTTCTCGTCGACGCGAATAAAGCCTATGGACGAGCACTTGCATTCGATACGCGGGACGACGCACAATGTTACAAACCGCTTCTTCGACAAGTCGTTCACGCTCATTGTCGATCCTCTCACTCGAGCCGGCGCTATCGGCGAGCACTCCCCGGTCGACGCACTCGTACCAAGCATCGTCGCTGAGTACGGAATTATCGAGGGTTGCCCATCCTTCGACGATGTCCAGCCGGAGGCCCCGTCGGGCGGCTTCCGGCGCCTTGATTGGGTCGTGGATGACGAAGTCGAACGGGCGTGCGCTCGCGCGAAGGCACACGCCGACGCGCTAATCATCGACTCCGACAATATGGTGCTGTGGTTCGAAGACTACGGGACGGACTGGATCAAGACCTCTGGTACGTCGCGTCGGCTATGTGCTTCGCTCGTCTACTAACATGTCTTTTACCCTAGCCAAACTCTCGCCCGACGCGTACATCCAGATGGTCCTCCAGCTCGCATACTACCGCACGTCCGGGGAGTTCTCGGCGACCTACGAGACGGCGCTCACGCGGATGTTCAAGCACGGGCGTACGGAGACAATACGGTCGTATACCGCTGAAGCCCGCGAGTGGGTGCTCGCGATGTGCGCGAACCCCGGGGAGCGGGTGCGTCGACTCACTCTTGAGGTCCGCGCGTAACTCACGTACGTTGGCAGAACTACGTCGCAGACCCACGCAAGCTGCGTGCGCTCCTCGACGCCGCGGTTCAAAAGCATACACGATTGACGCGCCTCGCTGCGACCGGCCAAGGTGTCGACCGGCATCTCATGGGCCTCCGTCTCATGCTCCGACCACTAAACGGCGAGAACGTCGCGCTGTTCGAGGACGTCCTCTTCGACAAGAGCCAGCAATGGAAGCTTAGCACGAGTGGCTTGAGTGCTGGGCTGCTTTTCAACGGCACTGGCTTCGGTGCCGTGTATCCTGACGGTTATGGGATCAACTGTAGGTTGCTCCTGCATCTGCTTCGGCCCGTGCTGACATGTGCCCAGATCTCGCTGCACCCGACATGATCAAGTTTGGCATCGAGTCGAAGCACTCATGTCCCACTACATCAACAGAGGGCTTCCGACTTGCTGTTATTGATGCTCTTCGAGATGTCAAGGCTCTTTGCTCTGCTGACTCACCTAATGATATCCCACATAGTCGCTTGTAATATATCCTTATTGTACTACTTATATTTCACTCTGCATCACCAAGTAAGTTGGAAATATATTGAAGCAAGGATCTGCACGTAAATGGTTGTGTAGCTAGATAGTAAGCTAGATGTTGCCCTCATCAAGGTCCTCTGTGTGGAGGACGGGGCTCGTAGGCCTCTTCGGCGAGCCCAACAAGGACTGAACAGACGCGTTTGTATTGTACTACTACCTATGCTACTTACCGAATCGTTTCCGCGAACCGCGCGTGGCGACCCCGTGACCCGGGCGCCACGCGAGGTCACGCACTGTACTTATAGTCACGACCACGAGTTCAATGATCACCTTTTTTTCTCCCTCATTCCTCACCACGAAAGCCTTGCGCTCGACGCGAGCCTCGCTACAGTCGAGAACGGTAGGCTGGCTAGGACCGCCCGCCGTAGACGCCTTGAGTAGAACACCAGGATTGCCGGTGTTCCTCGGCGTCGACTCGCCACTGGGCGACCACTCCGCGTCGACGCACGTGCCTCCGTGAGTGCACCCTCTCGGAGCCCCAGGGTCTCCACAGAGTGGACGTTAAGGGGTCTCACGGAGAAGAAGGGCCTTTTGCCCTAAACACCCAGCGCCACGCGCTCAACCGCGCGTCGTCTATAACCTTCCCTCGGCGAGGTGAGTTTCCCGATCCTAACTCGTCGTGCTTATACTTTTCCCCTCCTCCTACTCCGCCCCTTCGAGAGGAACCTGGGAGCTGGGCAGCCGTTGCTACCCTACTCTCTCCTCGTGAGTCAGTACACGAGGCGAAAGCGTTGCCGAGCGCTCCCGAGGACGGCCTCATGTCGAGCGCTAGCCGAGCAGGCGAGGAGGGCGCGCCACCCGACGTCCCGGATGACGCCGATCGCCGCTCGCTAGGCGACCCCGCCAAGGAAGAACGGGAGCATAGGCGATTCTGGGTAAACCGCGCCTTCGACGAACTGCACCTGCCGACGGTGGACGACGCCACGCGTCCCCCGCACCTCAACACGGGGCGCAAGCGACTCGACTGGATGATCAACCACCGCACCTTAAATCCGGAGGATGTCATCGATAGAGGGGTGTCAGTAGACAGGAGCTTCCAACGATTCGCTTTGCGTAGGGAATTTCTGGAGCTGGTTGATTCGGTGATCAGCTATACGCAAAAAGTTTTGGGGAATCTGGCGCCAGCGGCGGCGGCGGACCCGCACGAGAGCGGGGAGTACTGGGAGTTCGACCCGCAAGGAGTACTGCGAGGCAACCTCGCCGGCACCTCCTCGCTTCCGGACTTGAACTTCGCCTGGACTATGTTCAATCAACGGTGCGCCGCAGCGCTGGCGAAGTATCGGAAGTACCGCGCGCGGGCGGAGAGTCTGATCGCGGGCGAGACGCCACCCTCGCTCTCGCCGATCACTACGCCGGGCTCAGTCTACCGGGATCTCCCTCAGATGGGATCTCAGGAGGAGAAGCTTAAGTACCTCTGGGGCTCAGTACCCAGCTACGCGCTCAATGCCAGAGACTCACAGGCAACCTGGGACCGCGCGCGCTTCCTGAGCAAGGCTCCCGAAGAACTCGTCAGACCACCTTCGCCCTTGGTAAAGGCTTTCCCGCCGAGGCTTCCCGAACGAGACCCGCTCACTAAGTACTACGATGGGGATCAAGCCCGGGATAGGGCGTTCGGGAAGGAGTTCACTCCTTGGAGCGGAAGCCTCCCTGTGCGAGACTACGAGGAGAAGTGGAATCCCCCACCGGACGCGAAGAAAGAGAAGGGGTTGAAGTTTCAGAAGCAGTCGGACGACGACCCCTCCGCTAATCTTCAGTCCAGCAAGGCGAAGCGTAAGGAGTCCGGCTCGAAGGGCGGGCGTGAAAGGGACGCTTCAACCTCCCGAGAAGCTGTCTCGTTCTATGGCTCTCTCTCTACGAGGCGCCTCGACCTACAGGAATCCGCCTCTAGGGCGGGGGGCTCGAAGAAAAAGAGGTCGAGATCAAGGCGCTCACACAAGAAAAGGGAGTCCGAGGGAGATGGCGGCGGAAAGGATGACCGGAAGTCCGCCGCTGGACCCCCTCGCAGGCCGAGCGGGGGAGACAAGGATCCCGCGCCACACGCGGCAGAAGAGCCGGGAGACGACCCTTCAGACGGGGATGGCGATGAGGAGGACGACGAGGAGGATTCGAGCTCAGACGAGGAGGGAAGGGTGGTCGATCTCGACGAAGGAGAGGAGCTGCCGTTTCTCCCGTACGGCACGACCGCTCCCACCGTGCTAGCCAGCATCAAGCCGGACCAGCTGCCTAGCTGGGACGGGAACAAATCGACGGCTCACGAGTACTTGGCAGCCGTCTACGAGTATGCGAACAGCGGAGGGTATATGAACCAGGCAGTCGGATATTGGCTCTGGACTCGGTTGGAGAAAGGATCCGCCGTCTTCCAGTGGTACGTCACGCTGTCGCCGACTCTCAAGAGCTACATGAGGCGCAGCGCGCACAACTTCCTGGGAGTCGTCCAGAGGGATTACTTAGGACCCAAATGGATCCGGAATCTCGCGACCGAATTCCAGTTCCAGTCGTTCAGGGAGTACAAGCATCGTCATGAGTCGCCGAGCCAATTCATCTACCGGCGCATCATCGCCTCCCGGGCGCTGGCTTTCGCACCTAAGAACTCGAGGGAGGAAGTCAAGATGATCCTGAGTGTCGCTCCGCCCAGCTGGGGTATAGTGCTGGTGCCTTCCTCCATCGACAGCACGGACACCTTGACCAAGCGCGTCCTTCAATTCGAGGAAGAACTCGCGAACGCGTCTCGATCAGGGGGAGGCGACATAAAAGCGCAAGTGGCGTCAGCCCTGAAGGAGCTTGGAGTGTCGACCAGCGCGGCGACGCGCAGCAAATTCCCTTCGAGGCGCCCGGAAGGAGTCTCAGCTTTCAGCGTCGAAGCGTCAGCGGAATCAGGGGGCCCGGAGGAACGGGAAGCGCCGTCAGAGGAGGCCATCGCAAACGAAATGCTGGCGGTAGCCTACAGTGTGGTCGCCTCGAGAGAGAAGAGTAAGCCGCCGAGCAAGCCGCGATTCGCGAGGCGCGACGACGTCAAGAGCAAGAAGAAACCGCCCGCGCCGTGCAGACCATGCGGGAGTCCCTTCCACTGGAACCGGGATTGCCCGCATTGGAACGAGTACCTGGCGGAAAGGCGAGCGGAGGGCCATCTCGTCGAGGCGGAGGACTCTGACGCGGAACGAGCGTACAACGTGGCGTATTACCTCTGCGGCCAGGATTTTGAGCAGGCGGCTCGAGCCCCCACGGAGGAAGGGGACGTTTACGAGCGTAAGACCAGTCACGCAGAGGGGAAGCCGGCGTTGTATGAAGTTCGCGCGCAAAGCTTCGTATCGCGCATCGAGGAGATAGAGGACGATTATGCACAAGTTGATTTCAAGTCCGGCCATGTCATATGGACTTACCGGCCACTATGGAGCCGGCTCGCCTGCTCGCGCCGGCCAGCCGCCGCACAACCTGCAGCTCCACTTCACGTCCCTTCCCTGTTTGAGCCTTCTCATGTGGAGTCTGCGGCTTCGCGTCAGGTTGGTCGTTATGACCGTCAAGTCAGGTGTGCCCGCCGGTCGCACATGAGATGGCTACTGAGGTTTCTTATCTCGGTCACTAACCATTCTGCCTTCCTACCTTTCTTGCATAGCCCGGTGCCCGGTGCCTATTTCTGATCTTATTCCACCATCATGCGAGAAAAGCGATCACCATTGATTCAGTTATAACGGTACGTACTGTGTATACTGGCTACGTAGCTAAACCACACTGTTGGTCGGCACTGGGTTCGACAACATCCCACGCTATAACGAAGACAGTGCGCTAGCGTTGCAGCCAGCACATAACCGTCCCCTAAGCAGCTTGCGTCAGCTTGCCCAATCATACAATGTCATGGCGATACGTGCCGCGCCCTATATTCCTACGCCTTCGCCTCCTCCCTTGGCAAGGGCACTACATGCGCCCATCTCTAGCCCGTGTCTGTAGCATACACAAGGGTTCTGTGAATATGGCTGACAGTCATGAGAGCAATGAATATGGGTCAGCGCACCAGTTGACGCCCTCAAAAGGAGATACCGATCACATATGATGCGACCCGCTTGCTTGTGCGTATGAGGTGGGAAAAGGCAGGACATGTCACCTGTGGTGTGCCCTGCTTGCATGGTCAGTTCTGATTGGCGGGGAAAGCGAGAACACTCACCGCTCAGCAAGGCTCGAGCGCGTCCTCGTATGGCTCCGTATACGTCATCTCGCGGCGGTGACTAACTCGATCACCTCGCTATGCTGTCGAAGCTCTTCCTGGATAGATATATGAAGAGATGTTCAGAGTTCGGGCGATCATGTTGGCGGGGAGGACAGCAATAGATGAGAGTGAAGAACAAGAAGCCGCAGTCGATCGGCAACACGTGTGTAGATGTGATGATCACTCTGCGGGAATTGCCGCTCATACGGCGCCACCGCACTCGCACTGTCTTCGGACGCTATGGACTTTTGTCTGTGCTGGATACTACTGAGGTAGATATCACCCGGCCGATTTCACCCATATCTGAAACTTGGTCTACATATGTTTACAATTCACTCAATGTCTACTGAAACTTCGTTCTCCTGGAATTCTTGAGTCAGAGCCGCTGCGTACCCCATCGTCTCCTTGCAGTATTCCTCGGCGGCACACATGGCTGCATGTTTGGCACTCAGGACATCGATGGCCAAGTTGACATGGCGGCTATAAAAGTCCAACTCGACTTCGCATGAATGGTATGGGCAGCGAGCTTTCGTGCCGTGGGCCATGCAACGGCCTGGGGTCCCAAAAGGCAGATCGCAGTCGCAATCGCGCATCTTATGCCCGCTTTCGCAGATGCTGTGTCCACATGGCACGACGGTACCCACTGCGGGAGCACCGCATACACAGCAAGCGCCGACGTCACGCACAGCAGCACTCTGCCGACCATTAGACATGATGCATTCTGGAGGACACTGGATCATACCCAGCCATTGGAGGCATTGTCCAGTTTCGCTCGCGCTTCTAAGTACTCGCGTTTCGTCGCGACATGATCGTCCTGGTCCTTCCGACGAGCGAGCGTTGCTTGCTGAAGAGCCCCTTCGAGCTGCAGCACCCGCGCTGAGGAATCTCTGAGATCGGACTCCATTCGACTCAGTCGATGAGCGAGTATATCTCGCTCGAGTTCAGCTTCGCGTCTTTCTCTCAACGTCTGCTCCAGGTGGGCGTAAATCTTCACGAAGGCGTCAGCTCGTGGTAGACGCCGAGAAGGCGACGCACCTTGGGGAGGGGAAGGGTATTCATAATTGATGCTCGACACTCCAATGGTGCTCCTTATATTCCTCTTCAATCTGAATACCACCTGACATACGCTGCATAGCAGAGGCAACGGCGGCCACCGCTGATTGCTAAGGCATGGCAACAATCTGACGGCCGGTAACTATCACGGCGCCCGACGCATTCATTGAGCTCGCCGTCGCGCTAATGGTGTGAATCCCCTTCAGAAGATCGAGGGCAGATAGCAAGGAACAAGGCAGGCAGTTGACGTTACGTTACCATCGCAGCTCAGCTTCATCGTCCTTGATATTGCATGACCACCTACCCATATATTGCATGTTTAGAGACGGTCCGGAACTAGAGACATGGCCAGAGCATCCGCCAACTCCAGATGATAACATAGCCGCCGGCCTCGCGTCGCGCGGCAGCCGGCGACTCCGGCCCAGGTGGAGCGGGCGGAGTCCCCACTTGAGGCGGAGCCGCCGACTCACCTGTAAAGCATTGGCTCTGAATGGATGAGCCGCCCGGTGAGGTATGCTAGGGCACCAACGACTGGTAGGGACAGTGAGCGACGAGGGTCTTATGATTTCAAGGAGTAACAAAACCATAGAATCAAAAACCAATCCAGACATGGGAGATTCCTGTATTCAAACCTCCCATTCCCTCCAGTTGTAGAAGAGGGCGGTCTCATTCTCATCCATCGCCTTGTCGGGGTCTTCTTCGAACTGCTCAATCCACTCCTCTGGCCACCCGCTGGAGGGGCATTCCCCTGGAATGGGACCAACGTACATCCCTAGCATTTGGCGTTCATCAAAGGACCCTGCAAATCACCGGGGGTTGTACATACCTGGAGCGAATGAGACACGCGCGGTGACACCGATGCTTTGGGCGAGGTGAAGCAGCAGAGACCGAGCATGCGGCTTCCATTTCAGGCCTTCGTTCTCTCCATAAGGACGTCGCAAGAGACCGGAGGGATAGCGTGCTTGAGACGCCCGATGACCATCGTCCAAGTCACTGTCGGTCGCGCTGGAATCGGTGCTCTCCGAGTCACTTGCCTCGTCCTCTGCGTCGTAGATGATCAAGATGATCATGGAGCAGCGCCGTGGAAGCGCGAATGACTGCCACCATGAGAGCGTCAGGCGATCACCGCATATGCCTGTAACGTCGGCATTGTTCCCCCCTCGGTAGCCTCCTCCACGGCCCATGTCAGAGTAGAAGACGCTCATGATGAAGAATTCGAGGTGAAGTTCAGTGATGGGTGCTAACGCGTCGTTGGATAGGACGCGAATGAGGTTCTTGACGCCATCCATCTCCTGCAATCGGTCTCCGCGTCGCGTGAGCATCCGAACATGAAGCTCGCGGAGGGCAGGCAGATGCCCTTCGAAATGCAGGCCTGCGCCTTCTGTATCTGTGAGAGAGGTTTCAGTGAGACATGAGCCTGACATGATTGGTAGCCACT